TTAATTTGTTCTCAGCCCTTCGACTCATTATTATTTGGCCCGCTTTAAATACAATTTGTCTCTCTTCTTCTTAATCCGCCGCGCTCTTCCGCGCGGCGATAATGATAAAAACCTTTGAGTGAAGATTTTTTTTTTGTTATTCTCACCTTTCTTTTTCTCTCTCCCTCTTCCTGTGTTGTTGTCTCCACATTTGTTTACGCGGTTTTTTGTTGGTTAACGCGCAACTCTTATCAAAGCACTTATCATCGACACCATGGCGGCAACATCAAAAGAAGAAGTGAAAACAATTGGGAACAGCAAGTTTAGCTCTAAACTGAAGGGTTTAAAATTCATGCAGCGAGCGCAGGAGAAGAAAACGAGCGACGACGAGAAAGCAACAACAACAACGACATCATTAACCACGGCGAGAACAACGACAGCAACAACAACAACGAAAGCAACAACTTTAAGTAACAACAAGAACGACGACGAGCACTGGACGTACGAGAATCCAGAGGAGTACGAACGCGCTCGCAAGCAAAAAGCTTTGCAAGAGCAGCTCGCCTCTGTGCGAGAGAAGAAGAAAACATCGAACACGCAGTGGGTATTCGGTCGTCGAAGTTTCGGCGGCTTCAACAAAGCCATTGAAGCCATGGCGAGAGAGCAGCAAGAGAGAACGAGGAAGGCGAAATTAGCGATTCGCGACGCTCGAATAAGTAAAGTAGACAAGAAGAATACGAAAAAAAAGACGACGATTCAGACGACGAAGAGGAAGAAATAGTGATGAACGCGATGATGAATACTCATCATGGTCTAATAGGAGCAGCTTTAAATAATTGTACGAGTAGTAGTTTAAAATAGTTAATACGTTTATAAAGTGACCCATGTGGTGCTCACTTCTTCTTCAAAATTTCTTCTCTTTTCTTCAAAAATTCGCGTTTCGCGGAGAGACATGGTGGAATAAACAGCACCACGGTATGATGGAGAACATTACGAATGAAATCGACGAGGGGAATAAAAAGGACGACGACGACGACGTAAACGATGACGACGCGAAGTGGCTTGGTGTCCCTCTCGAAGATATACCGATCGGGAAGCGACGGCGCTTGTCGCGACAACATTCTTCGCTCTCATCGTCGAACGGTGGGATGCAACAAAACGACGAGAAGGGGAATCCTTCTCCTCCTCAAAATCCTCCTCGTCAGAATACGAATGTTTTATTAAACGACGACGATAAAGTGGATCGTTTCATCAACACCAAGCGAGGATTTAAGGAATGCTTGCACGTGGAATCCGTTCCTGCAAAGATATCGAACAGTGTACCTCTTGAAAACGTCGATAGAAATATCGTGAGCGACGAGATGAAGCTGATTTGTAGGCAAGTTGGTATTGTTCGTATCTACTCTCATCAAGCAGAAGCAATACGAAGAGCGCGCCAGGGCGAAAGCGTAGTGATTTCGACACCAACGGCATCGGGAAAGAGTTTGTGCTACATCATCCCTATTCTAGAGATGATAATGGAGGAACCAAACGCACGGGCGTTGTTGATGTACCCGTTAAAAGCGTTAGCGAATAACCAGGCGGAGAGTTTCCAAAGGTTTATCGACGCGGCGAAACGCGCAGTAGGAGGAGGAGCGAGACAAAATGGGTTGACCAACCACGGGGTGGACTTGGAAAAGATTGCGCGATTAGCGAATTGCCAAATTAAAGTGTGCGACGGCGATTCAGACGCGCAGGAAAAAGCCCAAATACGCGCGGAGAACACGAATAGAATTATAATTACGAATCCTGACTCTCTTCATTGGATGCTGCCGCAGCATCATTTGTGGGGAAAGAAATTTTTTGGCAACCTATCGCTCATAGTTTTAGACGAAGCGCATATTTTTCACGGAGTTATGGGATCGAACGTCGCGCTGTTATTTAGAAGATTGATGCGCGTGTGCAATAGCTACGGTAATCCAACTCCCGAGTTTATATGTACGTCCGCTACCATCCGGAACCCGTCCGAGCACGTCAAGGCGTTGACGACGAGGGATACATCAAGCGTCGCTGAAAGTGGAGCACCGAGCGGAGAGAAAAGGTTCATGCTTTGGCAACCGGCAGAGTTGAAATCGACGAGTAAAGGAGGTGTTGAAGTAAGTGCGGATGATAGAGAGATGGCGGAGATGAAAACTCGGAAGAGTCCGAATCACGAGGCGGCGGTTTTAATCGCAGATTTGGCTAAAAATGGCATTCGATGTTTATGTTTTGTCGAATCTCGAAACCAGTGCGAATCCGTAAAGCGCGAAGTCCGAACGATTTTGAACAAGGATAATTGCTCTTACTTATCGAACAAGATTGAATCCTATCGTGGTGGTTATTCGCGCGCTGAACGTAGAGAGTTAGAAAAACGCCTACAATCCAATCAAATATGCGCGCTCGTATGCACTTCCGCCTTGGAGATGGGAATTGACGTCGGATCCTTAGATGCTACCGTGCACGTAGGCGTTCCAGAAACGGCGAGCTCATTGTTGCAGCAAGCTGGTCGTGCAGGTAGGCGTCGTGGCACTTCGCTCGCTTTAGTCATCGCTCGGGAAAATCCAATCGACGCGTATTATTGCGATAGGTACGAAGAATTGTTCAAACGTCCTCCAGAAGAAGCGTTTATAGATCCGCAGAACGAGGCACTGTTGACTTTGCACTTACCGTGCGCTGCAAAAGAGCTCGTTTTAGATTTATCATCTACGTTCGATACGAAAATGTTCGACTTGAGCACGGAGGAAGTAGAGAAGAAAAACGAAAAGTACGCGAAACTCAACGTTGAAGAGATACACGCCATGAATGAAGACAGTACAGAGCCGAATGAAAGGAAAGCGGTGAAAAAGTACACGCCGTTCCACGCCGCGTTGAAAAAGTTACTCTCAACCCCGACCAATATAAAACCTCTCGTGTTCAACGCTACGACGAATACTTTGATGGAACAGAAAAAATACGGAGTCAACCCGCACTCGGCGGTAATGTTGCGCGGTAATCCGTTCGGCGACGGGTGGTGGCTCGTCTTGAAACCAAAGGAGAGCAGTAGCGGCATTAATTACGAGCAACTGCTTCAAAACCCCGAAACGAAAGGTATGCTCGAGAAACGAAAGTTGCTGGTGGAGTGCGTAGATTCCGATCGAGCTTTGATGCGCCTGTATGTCGGCGGTATCCACCAGACGCGAGACGGTACGTATGAAGTGAAAAAGATTGATACCATGAAACGTATCGCGTTTTGCGAGGAGTACGCACGAAACGGACTCGCGACGGTACCAAAAAAGACAGAAAATATTACTATATTAGATACGAGTGTTGCAGAGAACTGCGCCGTTCGATACAACCGGGAAGTTTTTAATACTCGCGTATCGCTCGGGAACGTCCGTGTGGAGGAGTTTGTTCAAGGCTATCATCGTTATCGCGTCACCGGTGCAGACAGTGGCAAGAGTGTGAGCCAAGTTGAGTTTCAAACGCCGCTCTTGTGCTCAAATTATCAAACAAAATCACTTTGGTTTTCGTTGCCGGAAGATGTTCTGAATAAAATCCCGCCCGAAAACGTCTTTGCGGCTATCTTGGGTGTGCGCAACGTCTGTGTGGAATTGGCGAGCTCCATCGCGTTTTGTTCTAGAAAGGATGTATCGGGCAGTTTCAGATTTTCCAACGATCCACCGAATTCGACATGCGTCATTTTCATATACGATTGTTGTCCCAACGGTGTTGGTTTGTCGGATAAACTATTCGAGCGAGCGGAAGTTTTGCTCGAGAAAGCCGCGTGCGTGGTGAAGAATTGTCAGTGCGAAAGAGGCTGCCCTCTGTGCATATGTAGTGGTCGAGGCGGAGGAGGAGCTGCAGGCGCGAAGAGATTCGTGAAAATGATGATAGAGTGTATGTGCGCACTTTAGAAAGTAGAATACGTGACTTTGTATGTTGACAAGAAAGTTCATTTCCTGACTCTTTTTTCAGCCCATGTACGGAATAGCGATTCCACTTATCGTTCCGTTTTCGGACATCTTGGTTTTGTATACCAAAACTTCGTGGAACTTATCGTCAACCAACGACGCGTAGCGCTCTTTAAAAATCTTGCCTTCGCCAATGCGACCGCTTCTCACGAGATAGTCGTTGGTGCCCCATCTTTTAGGTAAATCGGTGATTGCCTCACCACGATACGAGTGTTTCGCGTGGAAGCGCTTGTGCTCCTCGTCGGTATCGGCAATATTTTGTATCTTTTTGCAGATATCCTCGTCGTTTTTCCCGATGATGTCCTCCTTCTTGAAACCGATTCTGTTCAACAACGCGTCGTTACACGCGGTATATTTCCCTTCTCCATCTTTTACGAACAACATCGCCGCGGACGTCTTCGCAGCTTCCCATAAGATACATTTCTCTTCCTCTTCCTCGGTGGAAACCTCGGAAGAAGGAGAAGAAGTTGAAGATACGACGACAACAGAAACACCTTTATGAGTGCGCGTTCTTGCTGCTTTTGGCGCGCAGAGAGAAAGAAAGCGCTTGGGCAGAGTCAAAGAGTGCGCGCGCGTTGAGTGTGGAACGATGCTGTTCAATGCAAGTGAAGAGGGCGATACCATCTTTAATGAACAAGAGAGGAGCGCGCGTGGTTTTGTTGTAGTGTGAGTGGAAAAAAAACGAGGTAGAAAAGAACAAGAGGGGGTCAAAACCGATTTTTACTTCTCTCCAAAACACCCCTACTAATAAAAATAAATAAACACCCTCGACTGATAATGTTCGTCGATGAAACTTTCAAGCGTCTGTTTTCGCACGCGGGTGTGATTGGCTGCGCAATAATCGATCGCGAAGCTGGTCGCATCGTCCATGCGCGTGGTTCAAAATGTATCAACAAAAGTGATTTTATTGCAAGCGTGGCGTCTTTGTTGACCAACACCGCCTCTTTTTCTCTCAAAAACGACGAAGTTGACTACGACGAAGATGGTCGAGGAATCAATATGTCACCAAGGTGCATACGCCTCCGATTCGAGCGAAACGAATTAGTCATTGCACCGGGAGAGGAATATGCCTTAGTCGTAATCCAAGAGTGTAAGAGATGATGATGGACGTTTTTAAAGTCAATATATAAAATTATAGGTGTTCTGCGCGCGCAGCGTATTTTTTGTTCTTACAATTTTTGTTTTACAAAAGTTCACCCTCATCTTCGAGTTCGCTGGAATCAGAGTATTCCAACTCTTCAGCTTCACCTTCATCAAAATCCTCATCCGATTCGTCCGATTCTGAATACTGCAACTCTTCCAAAACGACGACGTGTTCTTGAAGATTTGGATTTTGCTCTTGCATCTTTTGCCGACTACTCCGTGCTTTCCTTCTCTTCTTGTTCGGCCGATGGACCACCGCTCTCGGATTTACTTCGGAGGCTGATATTCTTTTCGCTGGTTCATCTCCTCTTCTCAATATGCTCCATTTCATGCGTTCGTACTGATCACTCAGCAAGCCTGGAATATACAACAGTAAATCTTTGCTGTCGTACTCCGTCTTTTTCGTAAACTTTGTTTCTAACTTTAGCGCAATATCTCTCCAGAGGAGATATCTGTCCAAATACTTCGCGTCCAAGCCTTTTACAGACTCGAGAACATCCGAAATCAACAAAATATCTTCACGAGATAGAAACGTATCCTGTCGTTGCCTGATGTTTCTGATTATTCTGTTTGCATGCCACAGCGTATCTTTCATATCCTCTAAGTCCGACTCGCCTAAAAGTTGTATGAGTCGGTCGTTGATTGCTCTGACTGTTTTCGCCGGTAAAAAACGCCGTTGCACGTCAATAAAACGCTCCACCATGAAGTCACGTTGTTTTGCGGTTCTGATATCTTGGCAAGTATCATCCGAGCAGCATCCAAATGTTAGTAAGCCATGCGCGAGCAAAACATCCTCCGTGTGGAGCCATTTAGTCCTGGACGGCACATATTCGCGCATACTCCCTTGTTTTGTTTCTTTCTTCTCACTTTGATCACAGCGACCGATGAGTTTCGGCACTAAAAACGAAAGCAGTGAGTTCTCTCCGGGTAAATAACTTCGTTGCATGCGCGTCTTCAACGCAAATTCCCTCGTTAATCGTATCAGTTGCTTGTTTGCTGGTTTCCAAGCAATGTCAGTGACGTGCTCGCTACGTTTCGCTCCCGGGTAATCCATACAAGTCGTTCTGTCATCCACTCTGAACATACAATCTATTCTCGAGAAGTGCAGATTTGGTCGCCTATGTCTCGACTTTGTCGTAATGATTCTATCTCTAGGAGACATCCAAAGTTTACCTTCTTCTTTCGTGAATCTGAGAAGATCAGGACGGACTGAACGCGCGAACTCTTCCACGTCACCCATAAATTGAGCCGCGTTGCGAATCATATCGTTATCGAACACATTTACTACAAGTGCCGCCGATTCTCTTCTTGCTTTGAACTTCAAACTCAACACGTCAAGCATGTCTTTATTCCATTTCACGAACTCTGAATTGAGCGAGAGATCCGCGGGACCTTCGAACTCGGTTGAAAATCCCTTGATTTCTCCGCAAGCATGTAGCGCAAACGTCTGTACCAGAAGTTGCGAATGGATAGCTATTTGATCGCGCAAAAGGTGTACTTGGCTCTTAGTCATGTGCGACTTTCTTTTCAGCTCGATCAGCTTTTGTGCATTCCTAGTCGCGACTCTCTGCGATTGTCTCGTCGCGAGTATCACGTGTTGTGGTATCACCTTTCCAACTCCCTTTCCCGCCTCGCCTTCTACATTGCGATTCTCTTTGCCGGCGTCTCTGCAGTCTCGTTCCAAACGGCGTCTTTCCGCTCGCAACTTCAACTGAAATTCCCGCGCGCGCACATCCTCGTCTTCAAAATCTTCGTCGTCGTCATCATCGTCGTCGTCAACATCATCATTGTCGTTATCGCCTTTTGTATTAAACGACACCGCTGCTATACTTTCCTCATTCCTATCCGGGCCGTCATTTCCACCGTCACTTGCTCCTATATTATCCAACAGACCAACGTCATCGTTCGTGTCTATGACACGAACTGCGCTCAAGAAATCCTCGTATATATCTTTTTCACTCGTGAACATCATCTCTTTCTCGTCTGGTAACGTGTTCAGCCGTTGTTCTAGTTCATCAAGCGAAACGTCGTCCATATTGAACCGCGCACGGGTTCTTCTTGCGATTGGTCCGGCGCTCGGCCGCGAAGCGCTTCTGTTCAAAGCGTCGTTATCATAACCGCCAACGTCGTCGTCTTCACTATCCGAAAAGTAATGTAGACTACCAGTACCCGACATGTGATTTACTCCATTTGGCGCGTTGATATCATTTAGAGCTATTTGTCGCTCGTAAAAGTCGAGAGACCCCGGAAGCGCCTTCATCGGCGACGCTATCGCCGGGATCCATCCCGTCGTATCTCTGATGATATCTTTTGATACTTCTTTTCCTACTGGCAATTTCGCAAATTTGGCTACTCCTCTTGTCGCTTCGTACATTTGTGCGGGCTTATTGTCCGGGATAAGATCAAATTGAACGCGTCGTACCCCTGCTCTCGTGCTCTTCTCTTGCTTTTGTACGGTTGAGAACTTTTCCGCCTCGAGTTCTTCGTATCGTTTTGCTCTCTTTTCGTCGCTATCGCTATCGCTACCTGCATCCTCTGACTTTTCCTCCGATTCTGAATACTCCAATTCTTCGCACTCTCCTCTGACTTTATACGTCGGTGATGAGCTGAGCTTCCCAGATACAGAACGTTCTACCTTCATCCTTCTTCTTCTCTTCCCTTCTTTTTCTTTTTCTTCTTCTTTGTCTGAGCTGTCTTCTTCTTCTTCATCGCCGGAAGAGAAGTCGTCGTCGTCGTCGTCGTCGTCGTCGTTGTCGTCTTCTGAATCGTCTGAACCAGAACCACCGGAATCCCACTCTAAATTCCCAATTACGTAATCTTCGTCGTCCGAATCGTCGCCGCCGTTCGTCGTGTTTGATGATTGCGGCAGTGCTTTCTTCATCGTCGTCGAAAATTTCTGCTTCTGCGGAAATGTTCCCGTCGCCGTCGTCGTCGTCTTAGCACCTTCCTTTGACTTCTCCGCAGCCGCGAGCAGCGCGGCATCTGAGAGCATTCTTAATTCGCTCATGTCTTCCGATTTATGCTCTTCGCGTCCTGTCTTTTGACATGTCACAAAAGGAACGACAACCAACACTGATGAAAGCACTTTTCACAACTTCCACAACTTCTTTTTGAATTTTTCTCTTCTTCTTTGTTTGTGTAAAAATGAAGAGTTTCGGCTGCTCTGCTGTTTCTGTCTTTTGTTGTGGGTTCAGTTAGAAATTTCCTCATCACAAAAATAACACTTCTCTAAAACTCCTTTCGGGATGATATACTGCGAAAAGATGGAGTGTTGCGGAATCCGCAATCAGTTGAATGTTACAACGTGTGGCCCATCCACGCGTAGCTCGTCGTCGTCGATTAAAACTTCGGCGCTTCAAAGCAAACGAATCAGTTGGGAAAAATCATCGAAAAAAGGAGCCGTATCCTGTTATCCATCATCATCATCATCAACAACAACAACAACAACAACAGGAACAAGGAGTAATCAGAGTTGCAACAGCTGGAACGCATCTTTGCCCTCCTCTTCGCGCGCATTCGCGATGGGATCAGTCTCGCTTTCGTCATCTTCATCATCATCTTCGTCATCTACCGCTCGCGCGTTTACTTATTTTTCAGAAGCAGAACTCAGCGGGGGCAAGGTGAGGGAGAAGAAATCTGGCTTCGAGCCTGTCGCGGATAGCGGTAACGGCGGTGGTGACAACAACAACGGTAATGATAACAATAACAATGGTGGTAATGGTGGTAGTAGCGGCGGTAATAGTGGAAATAGTGATGACAGCGAAGAGAACGAGAATGAAGCCGATAATAATAGCAGCGCTCTTTCAATATCGGCTTCTTCTTCAACAGACGGCTCGATTCCAACATCAAAAGTCGAACAGCTGTGTAAAGAACACAAAGCGCCTTTACCTGAGGATATGCTCACTATGATTCGAACGTCCAATGGCGTTTCTGCTGCTGTTCTGATGCGTTGGTTCGACCTCGCGAACTCGAAATCTTTCTTCATGAAGCACGTGGTATCAAAATTTGCGTTTTTTCGTAACCGAGCGTTGATGGATGCGAGTTTCAGTCGTCGGCTCTTTACAGATATCTCGATTGATGTTGCCTTATTATCATTCATAGAGTTTATGAGAGTGCGCGCGAGATCACCGTCGTTGTCGTCGTCTTCATCGTCATCCTCCAAGAATAGCAAAAAGAATAGCATCAACAACAATAAAAAGATGTATAAGAAGTCGGGAGGAGCAGGACCCGCCCCGCCTTCTTTTTGGGACGAGTGGGAATTTTTCGCGTGTGATATTCTCGCGGCTATCGGCATGAACGCGGCTATTGTGAGCTTAGTTTCACCGGCTATCCGCACAAGAGGATCGATCGGTCTGAACGCGTTCACGGCAACGCGAAAACGAGGTAGATCCGTAGCGTTTCTCACGATCTCGGCACAAGTTGGCGTGTGTTGCTATGCCATGGGATTTGTCATGCAAACGTTGGCGGAAGTTTTATACGACGCTCGAACGTCTTCATCTTCGTCTTCTTCAATTGGAGAGGGGAAGATGGCGACGGCTCAACGAGTCGGGAAGCACTTTGGTTCGTTTGCAGCGACGAGCTCTTCTCCGCGACAGCACGCCGTGCTCGCAGTTGAACGATACGTAGAGAAAAAGGTAGCCGGGGCCGCGATGGTGACAACATCTGTGGTCTTGCGCGCATCCAACTCCGTATTCGGTAGTCGAGAATTTCAAAAGCAGCAGCGACAACATATTGTTGCGTAAAAGTAGATAAATTGTTCATTAGTCTTGCGTGTATAGTTCTAAAAAGTAGTAGTACAACTAGTATATTTATACACTTTATCCTCTCAAACGAACGCTTTGCGCTCTTCTAAATCTAAGGTGCCCTCGCGGTCAACATGCTTCAAAAGTCTCGGTGGCGTCCTCGCTGGTTTCGGTAATCCTCTCGGAAATTTGTGCGGTTTCAATAGCGCGCGTAATCCTAATCGATTGTAGTGAACTTTGGTAACTCGTCCTCCGTTCTTTTCGATGAGCGCCTTTGCTGTTTCTGAACACCGAGACACTTCTATATCCAATTTAAGCGTAAATGGTACATTCTTTTTCTTCATCCTCTCATTATCCTCTTCTTCATCGTCGAATTCATCTTCTTCCACGTCTTCAATGTCGTCCATTTTACAGTTTCCAGCCAACAGCTTCACTCCGAATCTCGTTCTTCGATCGAGCAATCCGGCGGCTAATAAGTGTTTCATCGTCACGACGTTCCCGATCGTTTCAGAGCTGAAAGCGACGTTCTTTTCGTTTTCAAACGTTCGCTGGATCTCAGATAAATTTAGAACATTAAATCGCATCTGGTTTTTGTTCGTAAACCCGCGTTTGGGTAACGTCAATCTTAATGGCGTTTGTCCGCCTTCAAAACCTAGTCTCGGTCCTCCACCTGAACGCGACTTTTGTCCGTTGTGTCCTCGACCAGCGGTCTTCCCTTTTCCCGATCCGATACCTCTACCTTTTCGTTTCTGATACTTTCTCGATCCAGGAACGTCTCGCAAGTTGTTCAAACCTAAAACACCTTCGGCGGCGATGCTCGAACCGGGCTCGACGACGATGCCTCTCTCGGAAAGTTTTGTTTTTCGTTGTTGTTGTTGTTCTTTTTCGATCGAAGAAGAAGAAAAAGAATTTTTAAAACCACCTGATAAGCATCGAGCGGCGGAAGGAACGATTCGATGGTACGAAGTAGACGTCGTCGTCGCTCCTTCTATCTCGCTCGTCGTTAGACACATTCTTCGCAAGGAAGAAGAGAGCGCTCGACGCATTTTTACTTGCAAAGTACGTAAAGTGTGGTGATTGTTGTCGTGTGTTTTCTTCAGACAGAGTTTCTGATACCAAAAAATGTGATCAATCGATCACAAACAACAACCAGTTTGGAGCAAAAAGAAAAAAAAATTCAATCGACGAAAATTCACCCTCAGCCGTCATTTTCGAACGCGCCGCAGAAAGAGAGAACGCGCTCTATCTTAAAATAATCTAAATTAGAAGAAAATGCCGCAAAACGAGCACATCGAGCTTTTCCAGAAGCGATACGGTAAACGCCTCGATCATGAGGAGAAAGCGAGGAAGAAAGAAGCGAGAGAGCCGCACAAGCGAAGCGCCATGGCGAAGAAACTTATCGGCTTGAAGGCAAAATTATACAGCAAAGAACGCTTCAAGGAGAAGATCACGATGAAGAAAACAATCAACCAACACGGAGAGAAAGGGAGAAAGAGAAAAGTGGAAGACGAAGTCGCGCCAGGAGCTATTCCCGCGTACTTGATGGACAGAGAAACAACTTCGAGAGCTAAAGTACTCTCCAACACGATTAAACAAAAACGGAAAGAGAAGGCGGGGAAGTGGGAAGTTCCTTTACCGAAAGTTCGACCAATTGCGGAGGACGAAATGTTCCGAGTCATGCGTTCTGGTAAAAGACAGAAGAAGACTTGGAAAAGAATGATTACGAAAGCGACGTTTGTTGGACCAGGTTTCACGCGTAAACCACCAAAATACGAGCGCTTTATTCGCCCGTCTGGCTTGCGATTCACGAAAGCGCACGTCACACATCCAGAGTTGAAAGCGACGTTTCAGTTGCAAATCCTAGGCGTGAAGAAGAATCCAAACGGGCCAATGTACTCATCCTTAGGCGTGATGACAAAAGGTACAGTCATTGAGGTTTCAGTAGAGGAGTTGGGATTAGTTACGCCGGGAGGTAAAGTAGTGTGGGGGAAGTACGCGCAAGTTACGAATAATCCAGAAAACGATGGCTGCGTGAACGCGGTGCTCCTCGTTTAAAGAGATTCATTCCACATCGGAAGAAATAATGTAATTGTAATTGCCACTCAAACACCATCGCTTTGCCGGTGGTGTAATTTGTACAAACGCACACATACTGTGTACGGAAAGAGATGGACCTTTTTCTTCTATTTTTTATATTCCCTTTTGCCTTGTCACGTTCGTGCTTGCATTGATTGAGTGCTTTTTTTGTGCTTTTTCAGCCATGAAACCATGAAAACACGTCATTTTTATTCGCGACGGCACCTTCCTTTGTTTTCATAGAATAAAAAGGGAGTTGAGAAGGACAACTAACGCGGTCTGTTTTAAAGAGTGGACGCAGTAAATAATCCTTCCCATCACTTCTTTCGATCTCAATTCTTCCTTCGCAGCTTTGCGTCGAACGTGGTGGTGATATAGAGGAACAAGATGGGAAAAGGAAAGGTGAAGACGGCACCCTCACCCACGGGAAAAGATGGAGAGGAAAAAGAAGACGATCTTACTCCTATTCAACCGGTTCCGTTTATGCAATTGTTCCGGTTTTATACCACTCCGGATATCCTCATGCTCTTGGTCGGTTGTGTGTTCGCAGCCATTGGTGGATTGTGTTTCCCCGGCATCAATATTGCGTTTAGAAATATGATGGATAGCACGGCTGCGTCTGCGACGTCTTCAGATCAGACAAAAAATGCCGTCATGTGGATGGAAATCGTCGCGTTAACGCTTGGGACTTCTCTATTCTTAGCGTACGGTTTTGTATCATGGGCTGCGAGTCGAAACTCGAGACACGTGCGACAGAAATACGTCGAGTCGTTACTCACGCAGGATGTCGCGTTCTTCGACGAAGCGAAAGCGGGCGAATTAGCTTCGTATACTGCGGAGAAAGTGAACGAGTTACAACAAGGTTTATCGAAGAAGTTTGCCGAGCTCGTGCAAGCGTTCTTTCAAATGGCGGGTGGCTTCGGCGTCGGATTTTACTTTTCGTGGGAACTTTCTTTGGTTATTTTAGCGACGACACCTTTATTGGGCTTTGCGACGATGATGCTCGTGAAAACCGTCTCTGGATTTGAAAAAGGCGTAGAAGCGTACAAAGCCGCCGATGCGGTGGCCACGGAGTCCTTAAATGCAATTCGCGTAACGAACGCGTTGAACGTACAACCAGTCATGGCGAAACGGTACGACAGCCACTTGGGCGCCGCCGAGAAAGAAGCGGCGACGCGCACGTGGAAGGCAGCGTTTTCCGGCGGCTCCTTGTTTGGGACGATGTTTTTGATGTACTCGCTCGGTTTATGGTACGGGAACAAGCTTGTGGCAGATTCCATGGACGATGCGTTGAAGAAATACCCACCACCAGATGGCTTAACAGACGCTTCGAGTATCAGCTGGTCGATGCACAACGAATTCGCCGCACCGTATTGTGGATTTTATAAAAGCAGCTCCATAATTTCCGGGTCCGACTCGTACTCGCAGTGCATGTGTAAACTCGAATACCCGGCGGGATACGAATCTCCCAATTGCGGATGCGGCTACCGCGAGGTAAGTTCGGTCGGCTCGTTACTCGGTGCTTCGAGCGACGTGTGCATGTCCGGCGGAACCGTCGTCATGGTATTCTTTTCTGTTCTTTTCGGAGGATTCGCGCTCGGGCAAGCCGGTCCGGCTTTTGAAGCTTTGGCGAAAGCACGCATTGCCGCCGCCAAAATTTACAAAATCATCGATCGCGTGCCAGAAAACGGTATCGATACGAGAAATCCAACTGGGAAGGAACTTTCGTTTCCTATCAAAGGTGACATTGAGTTTAGGAACGTGCACTTCGCCTACGGCGCTTTGAATCGAAAAGTCTTCGCCGGCATAAATTTGAAAATCGACGGTGGAACTATGTGCGCGCTAGTTGGCCAAAGTGGATGCGGTAAATCAACCATCGCGAGATTGTTGGAGCGGTTCTATGACCCGCAACAAGGAGGGTGCATCACCTTAGATGGCGTTGACATCCGGACGCTCAAGATCAACGCCCTGCGTGACGCGATAGGTATCGTATCTCAAGAACCGCTACTCTTCGAAGCTTCAATTGCCGAAAATATCGCAGCGGGAGCGATTTCATCGGTCAAGTCTTCCATCACTGACGCAGACATTGAACGCGCGGCGCGCGTTGCGCGAGCGCACGAATTCATTCAAAGTTTTCCTGATGGCTACCATACCATCGTAGGTGGAAAGAATGCAAAGCTTTCGGGCGGTCAAAAGCAGCGAATCGCAATCGCGCGCGCGGCGCTTCGGAACCCGCCCGTGTTGATATTGGACGAAGCAACATCGGCATTAGATACCGAGAACGAACGTCTCGTTCAAGCGGCCTTGGATGCTTTGGTTTCGGGTGGTTCGAGAACGACTATCGTCATCGCGCATCGCTTGACGACGGTGCGAAACGCAGACAAAATTGTCGTCCTCGGTAAGCCCGGGAACGATCCATCCGCCGGTAGTGAAGTCATGGAGCAAGGTACGCACGATGAGCTCATGAAGTTGGGTAAAGACGGAAGGTATCGCGCGTTGGTTGGTTTATCGAAAGATGACAACGCACCGTCAGTATCATCGAAATCGATGAAAAAATCGAGTTCGAAAGCATCGTTTGCCTCGCTTGCTTCTGCGGAAAACTCGCAAATTGATGGCAAAGGCTTTTCGGGTGGTAAATCTGATAGCTACGCCAACTTGAGCGAAATTTCGAAGGGAGACGAGGATAAAAAGAAGAAGAAGAAGAAGAAGGGCGCGAAATCGGATAAATACGAAGTGAAAACGAGTAGAATTTGGAGCTACTCGAAGCCGGAGTTTCCACTCGTCATCTTCGGGTGCTTTGTCGCCGTTGTAAACGGATGCATCATGCCCGCGGTTGCGTTTGTTTTCGCCGAGATCATGGCGTTGTTCTTCAATTTCGATACCGACTATATGCGCGATCGTTCAGAAACGTTAGCAATCGCCATGTTTGGCGTAGCCATCGCGGCATTTATTGCTTCTGGTGTCCAAGGTGGTATATTTGGCATCGTTGGCGAACGGTTAACGAGGCGTTTGCGCTCGCACGCTTTTCGCGCGATGATGCGTCAAGATATCCCATTTTTTGACAACACGGATAACTCTGTTGGCGCGCTCACGCAAGTGCTGTCCGTGGAAACCTCCAAAGTACGCAACATGACTGGGCAATCGCTCGGTGGATTCATCCAAACGGTTGGCGCGTTAGGCTTTGGCCTCGGCTTGTCGCTGTCGTCTTCCTGGAAGTTTGGCCTGTGCTTGCTCGCCGCGGTTCCCATATTATCTGTTGGGGAAATGCTCAATATGAAAAATCTCGGCGACGGCGGCGCATCGGCAATTACTGATGCGACGAAGAAGTCATCGTCCGTCGTGAGCGAGGCTGTGCAGATGATTAGAGACGTCCAAGCGTTTGGCTTGGAGAAACGCATCGCCGGTTTGTACGACACCTTATTAATTGAGCCGAGCCGAGCCGAGCGAAACGAATCCATGCGCGCAGGTGCAACATTTGGCATAAGTCAGGCAGTCACTATGGGTTTTTATGGTTACGCGTTTTGGCTCGGCGGCTACTTCATCAACAAAGGCGAATTGACCTTTATCGATTTCATGAAGTCCCTCTGGGCCCTCGGTTTCTGCGCCGCCGGCGCTGGACAGGCGGCGATGTTTATGGGAGACAAAACCGCAGGAAACGCAGCGGCGAGTCGAATTTTTGAACTCATCGATCGTGAACCGCCAATTGATACGAACCCTTTCGTTGAAAGTGGTGATGCGCGCGTCATTCCAATGACGCGTGCGCAGGCGAAAGAGTCGAATTGCGGTACAATTGTCGATAATTTCTCAGGATCCATCGAATTTCAAGAGGTGAAGTTTTCGTACCCGACACGAGATGCGCCAGTATTAAACGGTTTGAACCTGAACGTGAAAGCCGGTGAAACCATCGCGCTCATTGGTACGAGTGGCTCTGGCAAATCTACCGCGGTGCAGCTTTTAGAACGTTTTTACGATGCAGTCGCGCCAAAATCCTTGGCTGCGAAGAGTAACGATAGCGAGGGTGATTTAACCTCTTTAGTTGTTCCCGGGGCTGATTGCGGCAAGATTTTCTTTGATGGCGTCGATATCAAAGAGCTCGACGTTATGTGGCTTCGCGCTCAAATAGGTCTCGTCGAGCAAGAACCCGTCTTATTCTCGGGATCTGTACACGATAACATCGCCTCTGGCTCGCCGACCAGCGAAGCTTCTCGCGAAAAAGTTATCGAAGCTGCTAAAATTGCAAACGCGCACGAATTCATCATGAACATGCCGCAAGGGTACGATTCAGATGTCGGCGTCGGTGGCTCATTAGTTTCCGGAGGTCAAAAGCAAAGGATTGCGATTGCTCGAGCGATCGTACATGAGCCAAAAATTTTATTGTTGGACGAAGCGACGTCGGCTCTCGATAATGAATCAGAGAAACTAGTCCAATCCGCGCTCGATGCCGTCATTGCAAACGGTAAACAACGGAGTACGATTGTAATCGCGCATCGATTGAGCACGATTCGAAATGCAACGCGCATCTACTTGCTTGACAACGAGAATGGGGTAGGATCCGTGGTTGCTGAGAGCGGATCGCACGACGAACTCATGCGCAAGGGCGGCAAATATGAACTCTTGCGCAACGCATACGACGACAAATAATTAAAGAAGATTAAATACACAAATGAACATACTCACACATACATACATTACTATTAAAACTACTATTTGTACAATCTATTCTCTTCTATGAATTCGGCGACGAAAGGATTCAATTCCTCGATGGTCGATGGTTTATTTCCGCTACTGATGGCCTCTCGAACAGCAGTGCTCGAAACGTCTCTCAGGCCTGATATATTATCAAGGAAAACAACGGACTTTGCTTCTTTTATCATCGTAGGCGTTGCCGTTGCCGTCGTAGGTGCGGTCGACGAGATTCTAGGAACGACGACGAGATTCGTCGTTTTCAGAATCTCGTCTCCGCGTATCCATTTACCACCAATTAAATCGTCGTACGCGTCTTTGCCCATCACGAACGTATACTCGATGTTCCTCTTTTCAAAGTCATCCTTTTCCTTCTCGTAGACGTTTCTCAAATAGTCCAACAACTCAAACGTCCCTACAATAGTCGCGTTTGCGTCTCCGGTTACTTTCCTCTTCCACTCAGTCGCTTCGAGTTCGATTCTTCTCACTTTGACCCTTTGCACAGAGTTTTTTCCTTCTCCGGGGATCGAGAACTGTTTCTCGCACATTTCGCATCGCTGCTGAAAATTTGGCATTTTCGTTTTCAGCATCGCGTCATTTTTGGATTCAAACGCGTGTCTGTACACCGGCACGACCCACACTTCGTCGTACAATTTGTCGTCGTCATCGTCGTCGTCGTCACCATTCGTTTTAATCCTTTCCATCGCTAACAAAGCCTTGACAATTTCTCCGTGACCTCCTCTGTCCGTCACTGGGTTTGCGCTCAAGCCAAACAGCGCGATGTTTTTTCTTCTCTTCTTCATCACGAGGACAAAAAACCCCTAATAAATAATAAAGGATTTCTTTTGCGTCCCGATCTCTCCTTCTCTTTTCCACCCCCCACTACTTGTTCGTTCTCATGCAATCAATATATACTCGGGTTCTTAATATGCACTAGTTTGGTTCTTCTAATAACTACCAGTAGTCGTAGGTAGTATCCATATATTTTATTATTAGGTGTGTTCTTTTGAGTGTTTTTGACGTGTTTTTTTTTCTTTTTCAGAGTGCAACAACATCTTCACAACCACCAGTCAAAAAGACGAAAACACCCAGGGGGTAACGACGAGAGAAGAAGAAGGAGAGAAAGAATGAACACGACGATTTTTTCAGCACCGTCGTCGGCGTCGTCGTCATCGAGTTCGTCTTTATTCGTAGCTTGGACTGACGCGGCAGCAGGAGGAGCTACTCTGAATACAAAGCATATTCGTTCTCATCTTCGTCGTCATCATCATCGACAACGCAGCAGAGCAGAGGATTATCCATTCAGAAAACTTTCATCATCGACCACGAGAACTCGCGCTTCCTCTTCTTCCGACGATACTAATACTGATACTACAAGTTCATCATCATCATCATCTTGGACGGCGAGAGAGAAAACGCAGATGAATAAAAATATCGATTACTTGTACGAACTCGGGAAGAACGATACGGGAAACACAAACACAAACGTCGGAGCGAAAGAAGGAAAGATTGACGATATTTTCGCACGGAATCGAGGCGATGGTGAATTTAAACTCGGGGCGGATTCAGACATCGCCAACGGCGATTTGCGCTTTCGGTTCCAAGAAGTTCGACAGTTTAACAACTTAGTCGGAGACTACTTCGTTCCAGAACAGTTCATAGAAAAAGTAGCTTTACACGTGTGCAAAAATTTCATGTGCGCCGCGCAACCGAATAGTCCGAATGTCCCTTTGATTTTAGGCGTCTGGGGTGGTAAAGGATGCGGGAAAACGTTCAACTTAGAACTCGCGTGTAAAAAATTAGGAATGATGCCCATCGTAACGAGCGCGGGTGAACTCGAAGATGAAAGCGCGGGCGGGCCTGGTAGGCTCATACGACAAAGATATCGACGCGCGGGAGAAGTCGTTCGAGTGCACGGGAAAATGTCCTGCTTGATTGTGAACGACATCGATGCCGGATTGGGATGGTTCAAAGATACGCAACAAACGGTGAATAATCAAACTGTGTGTGGAACGCTCATGAACTTGTGCGACCATCCTGAGTTAGTTTCTTTAGGCGAAGAGCGCCGCGAAGACGGCTCGAATTTACAAACCGTGAGAATACCCATCATAGTCACCGGGAACGATTTGAGTCGTTTGTACGCACCGCTTTTGCGAGATGGAAGAATGGAAAAATGGTACTGGGACCCTCAATTCGATGATATTGTAAACATGGTAGACGCTCTGTTTAAAGACGATCCGTTGTGGAGTATTGATGATACGAGAGCGTTGGTGGCAAAATTTCCGAACCAGCCGCTGGATTTTTTCGGAGCTACGCGTTCCACGGTGTACGACGACGCCATTCGTAACTGGATGATTGGCAACTCGAAAAAGAAGAACGGCTACGACGATCAGTTTGGCCAAGTATTGATGAAAAATTTAGCTCTTGGGACATCTGGTGTGGATTTATTTGGCAACGTTGGTACGGATGAAGCGCCTTCTTCGGCTTGGAAGTACCACGCGCCTCTGGAGATTGTCCAGTCCGAGAAGACGCAAATCACCACGGAAAGCGTAATGGCAGCTGCAAAAGAGTTATCGAACCAACAAGATTTGGTCAACTCAGAAAAGCTATCGGTAGAGTATATGAAGTGGCAAAAGAATCCCGAGGATTTAACCCCGGAAGAAAAAGAAGCTATGGAAGCTAAACGATCTTGGCAAAAAACGATGAAGAAACGAGAACAGGAACGCGAGTTAAGACGCATGGAGATGCGTTCGAGCGCAGCGAGCGAGCAAGCCTTGAAAGCGCGCACACTAATGCTCGAAGCTACAATTCGGCGAGCGAAAGAGAAGAAAGCACAGCGAGAAGCTGAAATAGCAGCGAACCCATCGCTAAAGCTCGAAGAGGCTGCGAGAAAAATGAACTCAGAGGTAGCGAAAAAGCAAAACGCCATTCCGGGACCGCCGTCTCGTAAAGATAGTAAATATACCATCGTATCTGTTGAAAGCGCATTTGATGCCTTCAAGGCAAAAATGTGCAAAGTGGTAGATGTACGAGACATGCGATCGTTTAGACGCGAATCTGTCGTCGGATCCATCAACCTCCCTATTGTTAAAGTTGAAGGAAAACCGCTCGCGTATACGTACGAAGCGAACGCCGCAGATTTTATCGAGCAGTTTACGAAGATGTTTACGAATAAAGAAGAGATGATTGTATTGTTAGGCGGTGATGCAATAAACGAAAGGACAAATCTTGAAATCGACAATCCCGAACTAAATGGTTTAGCGGCGTATTTGGCTGAAAACATCGGATACGAAAACATCGCGGTCGTTCCGGGCGGTTACGATGGATGGGTCCGCGAATACACTCCGGGTGGTAAGAAGAGACTGAAGGAGTGGTCGCTCGATTATGTCACCGGTGCAGCTGGAACAACGTGCGTTGGTGCCGAGCTTCCCGTCGTTGGTTCTCTCGCAGACGAGCGTCGCGCAGCTGAACTTGAAAAACTCGAGAAGTTGAAGAAAAGTTTGGCGAGTGGCGACGCGTGGAAACGCGCGTTTGATTCTCGAAGCGGTAGGATGTACTTCTACCACAACAAGTCGAAACGGACACAAAATCAAAATCCAGAAATGTATAATGCTAAAACAGGACGTTGGAAGTTGCTAGACCCGCTGGGCGAAAATGAAAAGGAAGATGAGGAAGAGGAATGCGGCGAAGGCATAACTAATGAAGATGATGAGGGTTCAAATGCAAAAGTAGATATCAAAACGATTACCATCGACGAAGCCGTGGAACGTTTCTACTCGAAGAAAGCCGTCCTCATTGACTGCCGAAACGCATTTGATATTAAAACCGAGAGTATTGAAAAGATGTTGACATGTCCGTTGCGACTTGCGAAAGGAACAAAGTTGAGTCCGGAGTACGATCCTGTCGAAGAAAAAGATTATATAGAAAGTCTCTTGACATTGCTAGGCGGAGGAGGCGACGCCACCGAAGTAAAAGCACAAACAATCATTTTCGTTGGGGGTGATTCAGATGAAGAACAATCGCACATTGCCGCATCGCGAGCGCTTCTGAATGGATTCGAAAACGTAGAAATAGTGGACGGTTCCGTTTCAAAATGGCTAAAATTTTATAGTCCGTCCGGAAAGAAGAAAAAGGTCGTCGCAGGTGGCGCCTATAAAACCGACCTGTTAGCGACTGGCGCGTTCAATCCGTTTGCTGGAGAAAGTTGATCGCACTAAGATGTAATAAATATCAAAATATGTAAAACTAGTAACTAGAATGCAACGCGATACATCATCATTATTGCCGACGGCGGCGGAGCTTTTGGTGGCTTTGGATTCGCGCGTCGCGCACCACTTCTCCCCGGCGGCGTCGCAGATGAAACTCGTCCTCCTCGTCCTCCCGCGAACTTCCTTTGGGAGGGCTGATCTGACGGCGCCCGTTGTTGTTGCTGTTGCTGTTGCTCTCGTGGAGGCGGCGAAGATTGCGTTCGCTGCTGCGGCTGTCGCGTCTGTTGTTGCTGCTGATTATTCCACTGTCCCCCTCTGAATCGTCGCTTTCTCCATTCCTTTAACACTTGCGCAACGTCACCGTCGTAACGTCGAATTGAGGTAACACCTTCAGTTAATGATTTACACCCGGGAGGCGTGATTGTGCTTCTCCACGCTTCCATCTCTCTCGTCGTGTAAAAGTCTTGTTCCTCCACGTCCTTTGTATCTAATACCTTACGCTTCCAGTACAGCACGGGGCTTCCAATCGTGCGCAGCACCTCTTCGTCCTTCGATAAAGCTTCGTCTGCTGATAATCGCGCTACCGCAGCTTCGAGCGATGGTAGCGACATCGGTGGTTTATCGACGTGTACGTATGCGTTCTTTACGTGTTGGAGATGATTTCGATTCAATCTGCGCAGCTCATCTCGAACTTCTTCGTAAGACTTGTACGTTTTCTTAGACGGAAATTCAAGCGGAGGGTCCTCGTATTCAGACGCGTCGACAGTATCATCGCTCACTTCATCGTCGTCGTCGTCGTCAGTTGAGAGAAAAACTTTTACGCTACCCTCTTCGTCTTCGTCTTCAATATCATCGTCTCCCTCTTCGTCTTCTATTATGATGACATCTGAAATATCGTCGTCACTTTCGTCGCCATCGTTCAAAACTTCTACATACATCGGTGATTTTCTCGCTAACAATTCGTCAATGCGGGATGTGTTCCCACTTTTCTTCGATTGATTCTGCTTTGGCTCGTTTCGTTTTACAGTATCGGCAGACTTGTTTTTCAACCCACCAAGTGCTTTTGCAGTCCTATTCCCGGAGAGTTGCTGCTGCAACGTTCTTTCCAACGGAGCGACTTTGATACGATGCTTAATACATCGCGCGCAGTAATCGCACACGAATAGTTCGCGCAAAGGAGAATCTGGATCTACCAAAGCTTGAATGCCTTTGCACAACTGAGCACGACCGCCTCGTGGAATCACCGCTAACGAATACGCCAAAGGCGTAATAGGTGCCTTGTTGTAAAAAACAGCCTCTGCCCGAGTCTTATCTCTCAACGGATCGCAATTCTTGTCAAACGTATCTGGTATAGAAGCGTAATCGAGTAAATCGTTTCCACCGAGACCACCAACTTGGTTTACTAATCGCGGTCGCGACGAGGAATCGTAAAGCGTATAGAATGAAAAATCTGCACATTCTCCCGCATGATACGTCGCCAACACCCACTCGACGCCGTACATGTAATCGTACACGCGTTTCACGCTGCTGTCGTTGTTCTCGTTCACGTCCGAAAAATTGTTCCAAACGTGTGCAAAATCTTCAGCTGGCATGTTTGCAAGCGTAGAGTAGTTGATTGAAAAATCCTTGATGGTTACCATGTCCTTGGCGAGTGGACTCGCGTATTTGCTCGTGTGTTTAAAAGCACTCGCATCGTTCTCTTCCAACCAGTCCAAATAATTTGGATTTAAAAGCGTTCCGGCTACGGCTTTGAGCATGGCCCAATTTACCGTGTCATCCATTCCCGTCATCGGTTGCGAACGCCGATCTCTTTCCAAACGAAGTTGAAACAAAGGATCTTTCGTATTCGAGGGAGGCCCCGGGAATAAACGGTTTCGACCTTTGAACATTTTACAGCTCCTCACGCGCACGTAATTTCTCCACGAAAACTTCACCCCAAATCGACTCCCACTAATGTAATCATTACCTGACATCACAGACAAACCGACAAAATCCCGTCGAATCGCCGACAACTCCTGTGCGTATTCCTTTGGGCGCTTTTTCCGGTCTGGTAGAATACCGTCCCACCACAGTTGCCCGTCGTCACCTTCATCGCTACTCCTATTCTCACTGCTAGAATTATTGCTATTGTTATTCGAGCCTTTCGCGTGCAAAGCTTGTGATTCCCCACCACTACCACCGCCTCTTTTCTGGTTGTATTCATTCATTTCCATTTCCCTTTTCGCTTGCCTTTTAGATTTACTCCCAGCCCCAGCGCCGCCGACGCCGCTCAAGTTATTTTCCGCGCTGAGCACTTTTGAATTCGGGTTTAAACTCATCGCTAATTCCTCGTTGAACATTCTGGCTGAAAACACGAGTCTCTGCGCACCACTAACGAACACGTCCATGGTTGGATTAACCGTCAGCGCCAAAAGAATGGCGTCGGAATCTTCGGAAACGACGCAGTGCGTGTGATTTTGAAAGTTTGGATTTTCCTGTCTCAACTGCATGGCTCGAACGAGTTTAATTTCACCTTCACCCGGCACCGTCGTTCCCGAGAGCTCGTATAAAATGTCCGGACCAAAATCTTCTCGGTGTACTTTTGACGCGATGTAATACTCAATCGCTCGATCGACTTTCAGCGCTAACCTCGACCCGGGCGTAATTCCGAGTTTCATCATTCTCGATAAATCCGTCGATAATGGTTCTCTCTCTCCCGACGATAGTCTCACTCGTCGTCGTCGTTGCGTGATGGTCTTAGCCATTGGCGCTGGCCCGTCTAAAGCGAACGTAATCGAATGTCTCGGTCGCGTTCGACGAATGATACCGGTCAACAAACCGAACAACTTTTTGTAAAAGGCGGACTCTGTTTTCGTGTGGTGCGCGGCGACATGCAAGACGTTATTCACATCCACGTACACGTGGTCGAACGATGCCAGTCTTCTAGGGTCCAGTTTATACGCACTTTTAATATCATGCAACGACGACGACGACGAAGAAGAAGAAGTAAAGTTACTGTTACTTCTGTTGTTGTTGTTGTTGCTGTTCTTCTTGTAGTTTTTTCCTCCGTCTGTTTTCGGTTGAGCGAAGCTCTTCTTGAACTCTTTCTGCATCATCTTGTTAAACCCAGAGATTCCCATTATGACGTACGCGTGTATATCTTCTCACGAAAGCGCGCGGCGTGTTTGTTTCTCTCTCTCTCTCTCTCTCTCTCTCTCTCTCTCTCTCTCTCCCTCTCTCTCTCTCTCTTTGTGTGTGTGTGTGTGTGTGTATATGTATATATATCTTTCGCTCTTTACTTTACGACCCGACTAAAATACCGAAGGAAATGTGTTGAGTTCGTTATTGACGATGGAGAATTTTTAATCCCCGGCGACTTTTATATCGCATGTGGGTGGTCGTCCCCGCGGGTTACTAAGAATGCACTCTACTCGAGCGTTTCAGAGAAAAAGAGAAGATTGCGTCGTTTACTCCTTCTCTCACGTCGTCGTCGTATCCTTTCTTCTCTCACCTTCTTTCTCTCTCTAAACGGCCGCCGACAATAAAATTTGGAGAAAATTGGTTTGTCGTTGTGTTTAAAACTCACCACCAAAACCTATTTAAATTGGAGCAGAAAGAGTTTTTGTCGTTTGTGCAGAAGGAACAACTTTTTTTTACTCGCAGAGTGATTTTGAAGAGTTGCCTCATACTCATAGATAGGAAATGACGACGGGAAGAAAAGAAACATAGCACATCACGCTTTTCATGTTGGCGAGACAATATCATATAACGAATCAACAGTATTGTCCTCGCGACGAAAATCTGTGCCGTCGATGGTTTGTGAGAGGAAGAGGAAAAGGAAGATTGGTTTTTGTCTGGAAGGCAACGACGAAAACAGACAAAAACGAGAAACAAAACGAAAACGAAAAGAAAAAGAGCAGCGGCAGAAAGAAAGAACGAGTCGACCGACTGGTCTCGAGATTGGGATACTGCGATGGAAGGAGTCGCGTGAAGACTGAATTTCTAAACAGAAATCGACTCTCTCTGTCTTCCAATTCGACGATAGAAATTAAATCTTCGTCGGAGAAAGTAGACCCGAGCGACGTACTCATCGATGGACGACATTTAGAATCCAACGAACTCGACGGGGTGTTGATTTTATTTCACAAACCGAAAAACTGCGTCTGCTCGAAAGAAAAAGAGGAAGGAAATAACGTGTACGATGAACTAATGAAAGCGACTCTAATGGATGAGGACGACGCAGTAAATGGTAAGGAAAGAATAGAGAGATGGTTAAACAGAGTTCCCGAGATCAACACCGTTGGACGCCTCGATAAAGACACGACCGGGGTCCTTCTCTTCACGGACGACGGGAAGTTATTACACGCGTACACTTCTAAAAAGGTAGAGAAAGTGTACGAGGTGACGTGCGATAGAGAGATTCCGTCCTCTTCGATTTCGTTATTTGCGTCAGGAACGATGAAACTTTCGGGAGAACCAAAAGCGTGCTTACCGGCGAAACTCGAAATTCATAAAACAGACGCCGCAAAGGCAACGATTACCCTCTCGGAAGGTAAGTTTCACCAAGTAAAGAAAATGTTCTTCGAAGGTTTGGGTTGTATGGTAATCGAATTACACCGATCAAGTTTTGCTGGGTTCGTATTGAAAGATGGTTTCGAACCGGGAATGTGCGAACTGTTAGACATTACGAAAGCGCGGGAGGTGTTTAATCTCTAAAATCGAAAGAAAAGTGAAGCGCTCGAAACTCTTAGTAGTAGTAGTAGGCACCATGTAACAATAATATATATATTAGTGACTAGTAAACGCCACCCGGCATGTGGAACGCGCCGCAGTACGCCTCAACATCCGTGCGTAACTTGGCGATATCGCCGCTTTGTTTGCAATCAGCGCCCTCGACGTATGCTTTGAAATCTTTCAACTTTGTTCCAGTCGTCACCGAGGCTTTGCACTCGCTCGCAATCGTAACGCCTCGGTCAATAAACTCGGCAACTTTCACGAAATCAGCCTCCTTCATGCCTCTAGTCGTCATCGCCGGCGTTCCAATTCTAATACCGCCCGGAATGAGCGCAGACGTATCACCTACGACGGAGTTTTTGTTCAAAGTGATGTGCGCCATGTCGAGAATCTTCTCCACGCGCGCACCGTCGATGCCTTTCGGTCTCAAATCGCACAAGATCAAGTGGTTGTCCGTCCCGCCAGAGGATAAGCTATACCCTAACTCCGTGAGTTTCTTCGCCAAGGCTTTGCAGTTCGAGCACACTTGCTTTTGGTACTCTTTAAATTCCGGCGTGTTTGCCACTTTCAACGCCACGGCCAAAGCGCCGATGGTGTGGTTGTGTGGACCGCCTTGTAATCCCGGGAAGACTGCAGAGTTAATCGCTTGCTCGAACTCTTTTTGGTAAAAAATGATCCCAGATCTCGGCCCTCTCAAGGATTTGTGCGTCGTCGACGTGACAACGTGCGAGTATTCGAAAGGATCGTCCGCTACTTTTGCCGCGACTAAACCGGAGATGTGCGCCATGTCGGACATCAAGTATGCGCCGACATCGTCGCAAATCTCGCGCATTCTCTTGTAATCGTAGTTTCTCGGATACGCCGAGGCACCGGCAATGATAATTCTCGGTCTGAACAACGTCGCGTTCTCGTGCAACTTGTCGTAATCGACCCAACCTTCCTCGTTCAATCGGTACGGCATGGACTCAAAGTACACCGACGTCGCGGAGATCTTCTTCTTCGGCGTGTAGAATCCGTGCGTCAAGTGACCGCCGTGTGGTAAATCCAAACCCATGATTCTGTCGTGCGGGTTCAACAACGCGGTATACACCGCAAAGTTCGCCGGAGATCCCGACAACGGCTGCACGTTTACGCCCCATTCGCTCGGGTTTAACCCGTACAACTCCAAGGCCCGTTTTTGGCACAAGCTTTCCGTTTGATCGATGAACTCGTTGCCACCGTAATATCGGGCACCGGGTAAACCTTCGGAATATTTATTCGTCAAGCACGAACCGTTCACTTCCATCACCGCTTTCGATGTAAAATTTTCCGAGGCGATCAGTTCGCACCCCAAAGCTTGTCTTTCCTTTTCGTTTTGCATGATGGCAAACAACTCTGGGTCTAACTCTTTCACGCCCAAGTCTTGGAACGGATGGGAGGAAGAAGTTGCGTTCGCCGCGGTCGGATCCGCCACCGCTTTGTTCTTTTGAACTCCTCCGTTTCTTTTATTAATATTGTTATTGTTGTTGTTGGACCCCGCAGAAGAAGATGTCGTCGTCGTCGTCGTTTTAACAACCTTCTTCGTCGTGTTTGAATTTCTTCCTCCTTTTTTCGACATCGACGACGACAAAGAAAAAGAGGAAGCACCGACAGAGAGCGCGGCGGCTTTCGAGGATAAAGTAGTAAACATCTTGATGAGCTACTTTTGTTGTTGTTTAAAGGATGATGTGATGAGTTTGATGTTTGTTGTGAAGTAATATCTCTCTCTCTGTTTGTGATGGATGATGATGTGGGGTTGTTGACGCGTTTTTGTTTATTTGAAAAAGTTCCAAGTCCGGGGTTTTGAAGGAAAATATCTTCGATGACGACGAACGAAGAGCTTGATGTGAAGAGATCTCATCAGATCAAAAAGATAAAAAACGAAAAAGCGACAAACAACACACACACGCCACATAACAAAACAGAAATTTATACGAGCATATCCAAAAGAGAGAAGACACTACTCAACGCGGTAATGTTGTCATCAACAATAACAACAACATCGAAAGCATCATCATCGTTCTTGGTTCAAAATGGATTCGCGACAAACACTCGAGCGTCATCTTCGTCCCGTCGATGCCCCCCCGGTTTAGCAAAGAAAATGATTACTACTACTAATAATACTATCAAAGCGATGGCATCGTCATCGTCGTCGTCGTCGTCTTCATCATCATCGAACGAGAGTAACGACGAGAACAACGAAACGAACGCGTTCCGACTTTCGGGCATCGCGCTGCTACCGATTAGCCTTGCAAATTTATTCAACACGCCAGAGACGTTGACGACGTTTTTAGATTTCAAAGACGCGGAACAGTTTCCAGACTTTACGACCGTGGAGACGTTAACGCACTGGTCAAATTTATTCGGTTCGGATGCGTTTTCGTTAATCACCTTGTGCTCGTGTTACGTGTTAGCAGACGCCGCGGAGAACAATCGCTTGAATTCCCAAACGTACCAGCGACTCGCAGTCGGTAACGTTTTAGTCTTAGCGTCCGTTATTGGCGCTTTAGCATTGACCCAAGTCGTAGGCGAAGCGCCTCGACCAAACGCGTCGGCCATCGTGACATTCACCGGATTATCTTTGCCGTGTTTGTTTGCATCGGTCGGTGCAATCAACACGCACGGGGGTGGGTTTGCTGGAGTTTCAGATTTGTTCGCAAAAGATTGGGACGATTTGAAGGACTTCTCCAATAAAGACGCGTCGTACTTATCGCGATATTATAAGCTCAGTTTCTTTACGACTTTGATCGTCGGCGGCGCGTTTGCGTTCTCACCGACTTCTCCCTTAAGTGCTATCAACGAACCATACGCGAGCGCGGAGTTCATTAGAAGATTGTTTGGTCTAGGCGCGGTTTTTGGGTTAGCGCCAGCGCAGTTTGTCTTATTAGACGCGAGTAAACGAAACAGATTAGGAGGAGGCACGTTCAAGAAACTGAATTTATCCATCGCCGCGTCGATTTTTCTCATTGACTTTATGACGGTGTGGGGCTTTGGGAAGATTGCTGAAATCGCGACTCCGGATCAAATACAGGTTTTGAACGAGGCGAGCGCGACTGGAGGGATTTCTCAAATTTATAACTACGTAGGCGCGATTTCGGTTTCCTTGGCCATCGCTGGTGTATATCTTTATCAGGGATTGTTTGCGAAGAAATAAAAGCGCGCCTGTCAATCTATAAAGTAGTTTATTCTTTCAACACGCAAAATGTAATTCTAATGATACTCCTTACTACTAGTAGTATATAATTAATTATCGAGCAACTCATCGGTAAATGCGGTGAATAATTGCGTTTCGCAAAAGTTTTTCATAAACGAGCGATCGCGTCCGACGTACGAATCGACGAGTTCGTCTTTAAGCAACACCGCCACTTTCTGTCCATCTTTTCCAACTTCGGCGATGGAATAACTCCGAATGCGACCCAGTATCGCATCGCGCATGTGATTCCTGAAGCACTCACCAAATTCCCCGCACAGCTTTGAAGATTTCTCCGATGGTTCTAAAACCGAGGAGAACACCTGCGTTTCGGCAGCCAGGCGGATGGAGGCGTGTATCGGTCTCAATTTTTCTCTGAGTTCGTGCCAGTTTGGTGCCGTTGCCACTATACCACCCATGATTTTGATTTCATCTTTATACGCATTCAATCGCGTGATGTGCTGCGTGCGTTGTCGTATGTCGTTGGTTTTGTGCTGAATGCCTACGATAAAAGGCACGGGCGCCTCGAGAAAATCAGTCATCGAATTCGGCAAAATTGGTAAAAACAATCCTCTCGGACGCAACGGACGTAACATCGCTAGCAAAGATAAAATCACGCCGGATAGCTGACCTAAATTCGGAGAGAAAACGACGACCTGTTTCTCCAGCAGCGCGCAAGCCATAAATGCCATGATATTCTCAATGCTCAACGATCGACACAAAGCCGCAATCGCCCAAGGTTCGATGTGCGCGGCTTCCTCGTCATACGTGTAGGTGATTTTCCCAACAGAATCGCGAATGCATTTCCTTTCAAAGCACGGGTCATCTGTTGTACTCACGGGCCGATAAAACGGAATCGGCGCATCCAGAATGCTCTTCTTCTTTTCAGAATTTAAGGCTTTTCCCGCTTCATCCTTTATCAAAGGACCGTTGAAAACGCGCGTCGCGTCGCCAAGTTTCGGAATTGACTCGGCGTGAAAGGACTCGAGTATCCGCAACGAATCATCGTTCTTCCGTGTTTGTTCCTCCACGCTCCTATTGAAACCGCGTGACGATGTAGCCTTGACGTCGCTATCTGTCTTGCTCTTTAGAGTTCGCGGCGCTTCTTCGCTAAAGTTGAGATCGCGCGCAATATTTTTACTCTCTTCGTCTTCACCGCTCGTCTTTGGAAGTGGAGGTGGAGGCGGTTTCGTCGGAGTAATGCCAGAACGCGAAAACGCCATCTCCAAATCCTTCATTAATCGTCTCTCGTCTCGCCGTAATCTTTCCAGTTTTTCTGAGGTGACTACTGCTCTCAAGACTTCAAATGTCGTCTTAAAAAACGGCGTTTTCGTGATGAGGCAATAACACCTAGGCGCCGCGACGAGGTACTTTCTCAAGTTTGCCTCTTCCCCTCCTCCTTCCCCATCGCCGCCGCTAGGTATAGTCTCCTCCGAAAAAGAAGAATTCGGCGATAGCGCAGACGACAACGATGAAGACGCGATAACCGGCATTTGACTCACAAACTCGTTCGCGTATAAGCAGACTCCATATAAAGGTTCCTCTCCGCTTTCACCACCAGTCAATCGAAAGACAAAACTCGAAGTGTCGTGAGTTTTCTGGGCGTTGCCGTAAGCCACCTCTAAAATTTTCGACATCGACGCCGTTTTCTCCACTAGTTTTGGTTCCACGCCACTCGGGAAACAAAAGTGTGCGATTGATTCAACATCGAACGATTGCTGCGCCGTTTCGTCTTCCGTGTTGCTGTCTTCGTCGTCTCCTTCTATTCGAGCTTTAGGAGAAGGAGGATAGGAAAACAAAACGTCCGCCGAGTACGTCTCTCCAACCGTTCCTCGATGCGGCGGCGTGTGTTTCGGGTGCGATACGCGCACGTCTTTGGAAGAGCGTCTTCTGCTATTACTATTACTGTTGTTATGACTATTATTATTATTCAGATTTTGTTGTTGTTGTTGTTGTTGTTGTTGTTGATGACTAGCTTCGCGAAACTCTCTCGGCGAATCCGCCACCGCAGTAAAATCGCTCCGGTCCGGATGTAAACCAACCACGAGAAACTTCTCGAACGTAAACTTTGTTTTCTTCTTTCCCTTATCTGTAGATGAATAGTTGTTTTCATCATCATCATCATCATCATCATCATCGACGTCGTGGTCTCCTTCCTCGCTCACTTTCTCGATGTTCGCGTTTGCGTTCTTTTTTATTTTTAGTTTTCGATTGGATTGTAACCACGACCGTTTCTCTGCGGTTTTCGCTTCTGGATTAAACCAAGTCACGTGATGCGTGTTATTAGTATTGATATTCGGTCTAAACTTCTTCTTGGAATTTGAATTTGAACTCGTCGTCGTCGTCGTCGTCGTCGCCGTATTTTCAGTCCCGACGAATCGGTTCGAGGTCGGGGAAGGCGTTTTGAACGCGTCCTCCTCCTTGGAACTTTCTTCTTTCGTTTGTTCTGGAGGTGGAGAAAAAGGGGAATTCACGTGGAACTCTTCTCCTTTTCCTCCTTTTCCTCTGCCATCGCCACCATCATCCGCTGTTGTTTTATCCTCTGCTTTGTTCATCATCATTTAGGACGAATAGTATTAGTCTACTATTACCAAAAGAGCAACACCGTCATCCCGGGTTCTTCTTTAAGTTCTTTCTTTTGTGTTAGTGTCATTAAATTTGTTCTCTTTTTTTGTTTTGTGACGTTTTTAACTGTCTCGTCTATTTTACTCTTCTCTCAAAAAAAGAAAAGAAGTTTCCAAGTCGACCTTTTCTTCATTCACTTCTTCTTAGAAAGAAAGGAGAGGATGCAAAACAGCGGCAGCAGCAGTCGACTGCGCCGTTGTTTCTCCCCCACCGTCCTCACTCGTCCCGTGGTGTTGTTGTTGTTGTTGTTGTTCGTATTTTTCGTCTCCATACAACAAACGAACGCGCAATGGCACACGTCTGGGAAAAAAGCCGCTCCGTTTAAAGCGAGGAAAAGCGAAGACCGATCGGGAAAGTTGGAAAACATCGCGTTCGTGTGCGCGGGATTCCCGTGGATGTACGGTCCGTATCAGATGCAAGGCGATCAACTCATGAAAAGGTTGAACGAAAAGTATAATTTTAACACGTATTGGATGATGCGAGGGAATAACGTGCACAATATACCACCGGGAGTGTATACGGGGAGAGAAATCTCCAATTTGACACCACCACAAGTGCCGAAAATGCCGCACGACTGGGACGCTTCACATTTAAAGTTTCTCGGGTTACCAGCGAGGACGAAAGTGACGAGCGTGATTGCTCGCGTAAATGGTGCCGCTGCATCCATGTCCGAAGTGAACGACGCGTCCAAATTATACGGTATCGATGCGTTTATCGTCTTAGGCGACATCAACGTCGTCTACCACGACTCGTACGATTTTAAAGTACCGACCATCGCCTGGGTGCCGTTCCATTACAATACCGTCAGGGGATCGAATAAAGCTCTGCTGAAATCGTACACGTATGCGGTTGGATTATCGCCATCGACGACGAAAGTCATCGCGGACGTGCGATCGGACGTGGCGTATATTCCGCATTTCATAGACGCGAACGTTCTGGAATCCGCCGCGGAGACTTGGTTAAAGAAAGAACGCAGATTAAAAGGGAATAAGAATAAATCGGACCGAGAAATTGTATTTGACGCGAACAAATACGATAAGATGTTTAAAAGACGTCCGTCGTCGTTTAGTGCGGTAGAAACCAGTCAAGATGGTGATGACGACGATGTGTTTTTAGTGCTCGCCTCGGGGACGAATTACGAAGGCGCCGATAGGAAAGGGTGGGATGTCGCCATCCAAGCGTTCGCAAAATTTCACGAGACACACCCAGAAATCAAGAAACATTTATGGGTGCATTCGTTCTCGTCTACGCAAGTCATGCGCGACCACGATGGGAACGGAAATAAAGCGCCTCCCGAGTTGGCACCGCAAGGCGTCGATTTGCGAGGACTGGTCCAGGAAATGGATTTGCCACCGGACATTTATACGGTCGACATCGACTTGCACCCACGAGGACGAGTTGCGGCGATGAAAGTTCACGCGGATGTGTGCTTACACCCTTCAAAAGTTGAGGGTTTCGGGATGAACGTGTTGGAGTGTCAATCGGTGGGGACGCCAGTCGTGACGACAAAGTTTCGAGCGATGGAAGATTTCACGCGAAACGGCATCTCTGTGCCCCCTGCGCAATGGGAACACTTGGCCGCTTTAGGTGGAAAGTGGGTTATGCCTGACGTGAAAGGCGTTGCAAAGGCATTAGCTGAGATTGGTAAGAAGCGGAAAACCGCGGAATGGAAGAAAAAGAGCAAAGATGCCGTAGAGTGGATTAAGGAAGAGTTCTCGCTCGATCGCGTCGCCGCCGGATTCGACGGCGTGTTGAAATTAGCTTTGGAAACGCACACGAATAACCTTCCATTCATGCTCTCGAAGATGAAAGAAGCGCCATCGTTCGCGGAGAGACCCATCTTTCACGTCACCACAGATGTGCACCCGAAACAGGCAGATTGGGACGAAGAGTGGATGTTGTACCACCGACCGGATGTGCGCGTGGATTACGAGATGGTGCAAGAAATGCTTCACGATTTGACGACGAAAGAAGGCGAAATGGTGTCGTTGGCGTTTATCGTGTGCAAAGACGTACGTGGAATACCGATTGAGTTCCAAGTTGAAGAGCGCGATTACGATGGCGTCCATCGGTTCAACACGGAGCACCCAATTTTACTCCCGACGTGGGCGTTTGCGCAAGCGCAACAAAATTTCCCGTACATCCATAACACCGCGTGGATGTTAGCGGGAAACTCGGACCAACAATTTATTAAGATGTTCCCACCGGGTGCGGCGCAAGTCATGAATCCTATCGAGATTAAAACGTATAGCGACGAGCTTTAGTTATTGTGTGTTGCTTGCTTATTCGAGAAAAAAAATATAGAAGTACTCGAAAAAAGATTGTCACTACTGATGTATGTAATAAATATGTGCGATTAAAAAAATATATTTCTTATTTCATCACGTCTGCGATGACTTGGTCCTTAAACACCGGCAAATCTGGATGCGTATATAATGGCTGAAATTCCTCTGGTTTTCTATCTTCCCCAACTTTTGCCAATTTGCTTTGGAACGGTTTGCACCCTTTACTCATTCGCATGAAGAGCTCGTGCCATCTCAAATCGCTCGTTAACTCCGGGTGGAAACTCGTCGCCAACAAGTTCTTCTGTTTCACCGCCACCACCACCGATTCTATGTCCACGCCCATTTCTTTCTTTTTCTCCTCGGATAAGTAATATTTCGCTAAAACCTCGACGTTTTCCCCGACTTTTTTAATCGCCGGAGCTCGGATAAAAATCGCTCGACACTTGACGTCGTTTTCTGAACACCCCGGGATATCGCACGGTATCGTCGTCTCGAAAGAATCAATTTGCGAGCCGAAAAAGTTACGAGAAACGTCCACGTTGATGCCACCTAATAACTCTTGACCACCTTGCTTGGCGCCTTGTTCGATGCGATCGGCTAAGAAGATCAACCCCGCGCACGTCCCCCACACGCACCGTTCTCCCTCGTCCTCAAATTCTCTCAACGCATCGAACAAGTTCCATCGTCTCGCGATGTTCGCCATGGTGGTACTTTCCCCACCCGGGATGATCATTCCTTGGCACCCTTCCAACTGAGACGCGGAACGAATTTCAACCGCTTCGCCGCCACATCTTCGAATCATCGAGCAGTGCTCGCGAAAAGAGCCTTGTAAAGCCAGGACGCCGATTTTTATTTTATCTTCTTGTTGTTCAATTGCCATCGTCACGCACTTTTCTTTTTCTTTTTGTGACGTCTGATAAAAGTCGGATGTGTGGTGTGACGACGCAGCTAAAAAAGCGAAAAAAGCGAAAAAAGCGAAAAAAGCTAAAAAAGCTAATAAAAAAGCTAATGTGGCGAGCACCAAATTGACTAACTCTTTTCTCTCTTCTTTCGATTTGGTCTTTCAAAAATTTAAAATTTTCCTTTTTCTTCACTTTAATGCATATTAGACGCATCGCGGCGCGTAATCATCAGTTCATCGTCTACTCCTCGCGTATTAGTAGTATTAAACAACGTAGTAGTAGTAGTAATTTTATCAACAACTACAACAAAAGAAGAGCATTGCACGACAACATAAAAATGGGATCCGGAGGTGAAGGTTTTACGAACGAAATCGAAAAGAAGGCGAAAATGATGAGCGCAGAAGACGAAACGTTATTTGAAAATAAGCTGAGAGTAAAGAAGCTTTCCGAGCACGCGACGGTTCCCGTCAGAGGTTCAGACGGAGCGGCTGGGTACGATTTATCCGCCGCGTACGATTGCGTCGTCAAAGCGAAATCGAAAGAGCTCGTCAAGACGGACTTGTCCATCGCGATTCCGAAGAACACGTACGCTCGAATCGCTCCGAGAAGTGGTTTGGCGTATAAAAAATTCATCGACGTCTTAGCCGGCGTGGTGGATTACGATTACCGCGGGAACGTCGGCGTTATTTTGGCCAACTTTGGAGACGAGGATTTTGAGGTGAAGAAAGGCGACCGAATCGCACAAATGATCTTGGAGAGGATCACTACGCCGGAGTGCGTGGAAGTCGAAGACTTGGAAGCGACGGAGCGCGGCGCCGGCGGTTTCGGTTCCACCGGAGTGAGCAAGTAAACTATCAACAACGCGTTCTTTGATCGTCATCAGCAGCGCTATTACTACTTCACCTTTCTTGCTTGTCCTTATTTAATTAAATATACGCGTACTTTTATATAATTTACGTGCACGTATTACTTAGTACTGGTAGTACTTACAGCGTGCATTTTTGAATTTTTGCTTTTTTCTTCATTCTCTTCTTTGTCCTCATCGGCGAGGGAGAAATTCATACACAACAACTAAAAATACTAATGTCTGGTGTTCAGCTGACTGAAAATCTCATCAAAACACTGGACGGGGGTGGAAAGGACGATGATTCGTCGTTCATTCCAGCGCCGGGTGGATTTCAAGGCCCGAGAGATGGTTACATTTTCCAGAACGGAGAAGCAGGCGTCGGGTATTACAGGGAAGAAATTTTCGCCGCCAAAGAAGATGATGATGATGATGATGATGACGAGGTATTGGTAAACGACAACAACGCGAAAAGGCGCAAGACGTCCAACGAGACCGCGACGACGACGACGACGATGAAGACAAAGTCAACGATAGATTACGATAAAATGCTCGCAGAAATCGAGCAGAACAACCCGGACATTACCAAAGAGACCACGGAATTAACAGGGAAGAGTGTCAAGAAGTTCGTGATTCAATTCGAAAGAGCTTTGAACGATAACGTGGAAAAGAGAGCAAAGTTTTCGACGAAACCGGAGAAGTTTTTAGATTCAGAGGTCGACTTGGACAATGCGATTAAGAATTTACAGTCGTTGGCATCTGCGCCGAAATTATATCACGTTTTGATCGATACGAAGTGCGTTCCGAGTTTACTCTCCGTGCTGGCGCACGAGAACGAGGACATATGCGTAGACATTTTAGAGTTGTTTCGAGAGTTGTTCGATCCAGACGCAAGCAACGAAGGAGAAGAGGATGAGAACAGACAGGCGTTTCAGTTGCTGAACTGCTTAAGAGAGAACGACGGAATCAAAATGTTCGTCGATTGTTTGATGGATAGATTCTTTTCGAAACCAAAAAAGAAGAACGAAAGAGAAGAACGAGAAGAAAAAGATGATGATTTAGCCGGAGAAGAGACGAAACGAAACGCCGAGGAGACTATTTTACAAATCGTAGAAAACGCGATCGAAATCAGCGGAGGCACGAGCGAGATTTGCGAATACTTTTTAAACGAAAGCAACACTCGATTGAAAGAGTACTTACTCGAAAGAGTAGGCAAAAAACAAGGCACGGATGGTGTGAAGTTACAAGCGTCCGAGTTGCTTTCAATTTTAACCACCGGGTGCGACGAAACTGTGAAGAAATCTATGTTGTTAGCGAACGATGCGTTTATGGATCCAATCATGATGGCTATTGCGTGCTACAAAAAGAAAGAACCGCAAGATAGCGAAGAACGAGAAATCGTCGAGAATCTCGCCGACGCCTTGTGCGCTTTGCTCCAAACGAAGAAAGGTCAAGAGACTTTTTTCAATTTAGAAGGTTTAGAGTTGATGTTGATGTGCGTGAAATCAAAATTATTCGTTCGAGGCTCGGCATTGAAAATTTTGGATTTTGCGTTGACGGAGAACGAACTCGGGTGTTTGAAATTCATCGACGCGTTTGGTTTGAAAACCATCTTTTCCACCTTTGTCGGTTGTTTCGGCGGCGACGAAAAGAAGATTAAAAAGATTCGCAAAAAGTACGGCAACGATTACGTCGACGCCGAGTGCGAGCGCACGTTATCCGTTATCGCCTCTCTGTTTCAAAACATCGACATTTCGAAAAACACGGACAAGTATAATCGCGTCGTCTCGAAGTTTGTGGAAGACTCGTTCGTAAAACTTGATTTGCTCGTCGAATCGTACGTTTCCTACGGCAAAAGAGTCTCGAAAATCGAACTCCCCAACGACGAAAACCCGCCGCAAGACTCCGAGGACGAGCAAGACATATACCTAGAAAAGCTCGATCACGGATTATCGAGCTTAGAAAACGTCGCCATTATAATCGCGCATTTATGGGCGACGTTAGACGATGCTATTCAAAAGCGGATTTTCGTCGATTTAGAAAACAACGAAATCGACGTCTCTCACGCCAGAGATGTTTTGAGAGACCGAGCGAAAAACATCGGCGATGGTGGTGGCGAGCAGGTGCAAAAGGACAAAGTTGATCAACTTCTCACGCTGGTGTATTCGCTATACATGCCAGATGAGGTTCGGCCTGGTGATGAATGAGAGATTTAGATTAATAGAGAGAGAGAGAGAGTTAGACATGAACTCGTAATGAAGAGAAAAGAGAGAGAAGATTCACCTAAATTTATCCACACAATAAAAGAGAACGCACTTCTTCCATTTATTCTTCAACGCCTCTCTCTCTCTCGCGGAGCGAGGAAAGCAGAACAAAGCAAATGCGCGGCGCGCACTCATCGTGCTCTGCATTTTCTTCTCAACAACGCCTTTTTTATTCCCATCGTCGTAATCATTATCATCATCATCATCGAAAACATCAACAGCATTTAAGTCAAACTGTCGTAAAAAGAATGAGAGGAACCCCTAATAATGCTAATGATAAAAACGACGGCTTCCGTCCCATGGAGAGAGAAGCGCACGAAGACGTAATATTGGAAGAGAACGGAGATTTGTACGTTTTTGGATACGGTAGTATCGTGTGGAAGTTTGAGATTGAAGGGATTGAACCGATTGAAACCGTTCGGTGTAAAGCCTTCGGGTGGCAGAGAAGGTTTTATCAAGGCTCGACTGACCATCGTGGCACGTTAGAATTTCCGGGAAGAACTGTGACCATGACGAAATGCTCGAAGAACTCGCCCGTGTCTGGCGTCGCGTACAGGATTAAAAGAGAAGATGTGGAGAAGTGCTTGGAGAATTTAGAGTTTAGGGAAAAGCAGTACGATTTACGCGTGCAGTTAGAAATTTATGAAGACGACGACGGCGACGCGAAGAAGACGAAGAAACTGATTAGCTCGAAGGCGGTGTGTTGGATAGCGACAGAGGACGAGAAGAACGTGAACTGGGTAGGCGAACAAACGGTAGATGAAATAGCAACGGTCATAGCTAACGCGAGAGGACCTTCCGGTCCGAATTACGAGTATTTGTTCAATTTAGCGGACGCGATGCGATCGTTCAACATCGAAGACGAACATTTATACGAGTTGGAAGCGCAAGTGAAGAAGCTCTTAGTAGGTGATAACGTTGAAGTATAGAGCAGAAACAGTATTTTATTATTACATCAATCAAAATTTACTCGGAGAACCGACCATAAACTCGTTGTCTTCTTTCTCGGTGCCAAAATACCGATCGCCAAACTCCCCGACTCCGGGCAACACGCGATTATCATCCGACAATCCCGCGTCGACTTCGGACGTGATGATTTTCATCCTCGGGAATTTAGTGCACAATTGGTGCACGCCTTGCGTGGACGCAATCACGGAGACGAACAAAATGCGCTCCTCCAAAACACCCTCGGCCTTTAACATATTTATCGCCGCCATGGCGGAATATCCAGTCGCTAACAACGGGTCCAAGAGTAAGACGTACCGTTCGGAAATGTCATACGGCAATTTCTGGTACAAGACGTCCGGTAATTTACTCGCGTCTAACTCGTCCTCGTCGGAATCTAAGTTGTCGATATTTTCCTCCTCTTCAACCGGTGGCGATTCGCGTCGCAATAAATCACTTCCCAGACCATCTTTATCTCTTCTTTTCACTAAAATTTTACCAATCTTGATGCCTTTGCAACACGCTCTCAACGCGTTTTCCATCGCCTCGCCGCTTCGAATCATCGACACCCCGCATATTTTTGAATAAAAGGAAACGCCACGGTACGTCTCTCCAGTCGGTGTTTCAATTTGGTGCTCTTTAAACGGCAAATACCCCAACGCGTGTTCAACGACTAAACGAATGATGCGGTCGGAATAAAAGACGAAATCTGACCTGGACACCGTTCGGTCGCGAATAATCGTATGCATCCCTCGAATCTGGAAGTGCGGCGGTAACACGACCAAGTTGGGGTAAATTCTCCTCAAATCTGTTTGGCCGAGCTTTGTGCGAATGTGCTTCGCGATTAAATCAATCGCGACGGAGTTTTGACCACCCGCCCAAGGGATGATGATATCGGCGTTTCTCTTCGACGGCGACACGTACGCCTCAAACATCGGTTTCACGAACGTCGTATATTGTAAAATCACCCCGTCCACCTGCCTCCCGCGCTCCAACGTGTCTCTTTTCATTCTTCTTGCCAAACGTAAATCATCGTCGGTGTCTACGAAAATCTTCATGTGGCACAAGTCTCTCACCGCTTCCATCGCTAACACCAAAATACCTTCGATGATAATCACGTCCCCGGGTTCGACGTTAATATCCACCCCTTCTTTCCTCGAGTGCGTCACGAAATCATACACCGGCACTTTCACGTTCCTTCTTAACAGTAAATCTTTCAGCGTCTTCACGATCAAAGGCCATTCAATCGCGTCCGGGTGATCAAAATTGTACTGTTTCACGTTTCGCCTCTCCTCCTCCGTTAAAGGTCGATAAAACGAGTCCTGCGCTAACAGCACCACTCGTTTCTCTTGCAGCGAGTTCATGATGAGATTACACACGGTGGACTTCCCAGACGCCGTGCCTCCGGCGACGCCGATCAAAAATGGTTCCCGATTCCCTCCGTTCGCGGAGACGCGTTCGTCCACTTTCGAGCGGAACGAATGTTCGTTTTGGTGGTGGTTTTGGGACAACGAAGGCATGGACGCGCTCGACTCTAATAAACTACTCGTATTCGTTGTGTTGTTAGTATTATTGATTTTCCTTCTCCCTTTCCCGACCGAACAGTTCAACTCCATCAATTGCGAGATGTGTTTCGAAGGACTTCCGTTCCCGTTGAATATCGCCTCTCCGGAAGGCGTGGATACCGCCGGGTTATTCGGAGAGCGCGGAGAGGAAGACGTTGGAGAATCCGGGGGCGTTCGAGAGAACGTCGTGTGTCGCATTTTTCCTCTTTTATGCTCTTCTTTCTTCTTGTCGTTCTTTTTTTGTGATCGAGAAAGAAACTCAAAAGCTTCGTTTATTAGTATATATAATCTCGTTTCAACCGCGTGGTTGTGAGGAGGTGAGGTGGGCAAACAAACAACAACAACAACTTTAAAGTGCTTTTTGCGCGCAAAAGAAGAATGTGGAGATGATTGCTTCTTGCAAACTTTTATAATAGAAAAAAACGGAGTGATGATGCGTTATAAAGCCGCTCAAGAATAAAGAACAATTTTAAGAATAAGAATCACGCGGTTCAATATAATCAATCAATCAATCGACGGGTAACTCTTCGCCTTTACGTAAGAACAACGGGGTTAACCCGCCGTCTCCCCACGGGGCTAACACGGCGTCCGCGGTCGTAAACAAGCCGTGCGCTACGACGCCGTCCACGCTTTCAATTTCCGCTTGGATTTGAAATGGAGTGCAGTCTTCTCCAGCTAAAACGAATCCCTTGGTGTATCGTCCACCTTTTATCGCGTCTTCAAACTTTATGTCTATTATGGTCGTCGTCCCATCTGGGGAAACGAACGGGTTTTTCCCGCCCATCGGGTGCGACTGTTCGTCTCCCGACTGACCTCGTCTCCACAATTCCGCGTCGCCTAAAAACAAATCGTCCAAATCCTCCGCGGTTTCTTCCCAATTCTCCATTTCGATCTCGACTGGAACGGAACCACCGACGTATTCTCGAAACTGTTCGGTCAACAAGATCGTTTTCAACGATTTCTTCAACACGTTTCTCGTCGTCGCGATGGACGGTTGTATCGGCGTTTGCGTTCTATCTAAGATTGAAACGATGTTCCCGTCGTAAATAGCCGTTTCGTTCGGTTGCAAGAACACCACATCAATCGCCAGCGCCTCTTCGCAATCCACCACGGGTGCCAACCCTCTCAGCGCCAACTCTTTCGCCGCTAACGTCGACACCGGCACGTATTTCACATCAAACACTTTCTCTGTCTCCAAGACGTCGAGCAACTTCGAACATATGCTTCCGGTGCCGACGGCGATGGTCATCCCGGTTGAGATCTCCGAGGCGGCTTTTTTAGCCACCGCGAGTATAGTTTCCTCGAAACTCGTGGAGGAAGAGGATGATGATGACGAGGAAGTGGCCTCGCCCTCCTCGTTATTATTCTTGTTGTTCGATGATGATGATGATGAAGATGATGATGATGATGATGATGCCGAGAAGACAAATCCTCTTCCTCTTCTCTTCTGTGTGCTCTTTGTGTTTGCATTTCTACTCGCGAAGAACAAGCGTTTAATCTGTTTCAAACTCGACGACCTAAACGAAGACGATGAAGACGAGGAGGAAAAAGAAGTGCTCGTCCTCGCGGAGAGAGTTCTTGGCGACGCGAAACAAACTCTCCCCGACATAGTAGAGAGTAGTATTTCTATTTATTATTATTGTGGAGAAAGTCTTCAGAGAAAGAAAAGAGAAGAAAAAAACGAACACAACGACACAACACACGAACTTTTCAAACAGAAGAGTTCCTCCAACATGTCCTCTCCCTCTCCCTCGTCAAAATCGTCGTCTTTATCATCGTTCCGGATTTGCACGTACAACGTCCTGGCGCAGTGTTACGTGAAATCCGAGTGGTTTTCATGGACGAAACCAAAATCGTTACTCAAATGGAAAACAAGACGCGAACACCTGCGGAGGAGACTGAGAGACGACGAACTCGGGAAAGTCGACGTGTTCTGCTTGCAAGAGGTGGATGAGTTTGAGAACGAGTGGAAAGAGTTCATCGAGAACGAGTTGAACATGGGCGTGTTTTACAAACGAAGAACGCAGAAATCGAACGACAAGAAAGATGGGAGTCTGGTGTGTTGGAACAAGGAGAAGTTTGAGTTGCTCGATACGTTAGGTGTGGAATTTAACGAGGTGACGAAAACACTAGATTTAGATATAAAAGAAGTTGAAGGGTTTGAAGAAGAGGAAAAGAGAGAGTACGAACGGGATTGCGTCGCAGCGTGCGTGATGTTGCTGCACAAAGCATCTAACGTACCCATCACGTGCGTTTCGACGCATTTGTATTGGGATCCAGCGAAGGCGCTCGTAAAATTAAAACAGGCGGAATATCTGCGCGAAGAAATCGAACGATGGTCGCAAACGAAAGGTAATATTTTAATCGGCGGCGATTTTAACAGTCTCGCGACTTCGGACGTGTATAAGAGTATGGTTGAGAACGATTACGTGAGCTTAATGCGAGATAATGAGACTGGTCGAGAACCGGAATATACGAACGTGACGCCGTCGTTTACAGAAACGATAGACTACATCTTCTCTTCAAAAAATTGGATTGAAAAAGTCACTCACAGAGGAAAAGTTAAGAACAGAGATTTGTTGTTCGACGGATGTCCTTGCGAAGGTGAACCAAGCGATCATTTACCGATTTATTGCGACATCGAGCTCAAGAAGGCCGCTGCAAATTAGTTATGTAGAGTTAGTTTAGCGCGTATCTAGTACTAGTACCTGTTTTAAATTAGTTAAATAATGTCGCCGTAGCCAAGAATGTCGTTCGTGAAATAATTCACGCTCTCTTCGCTGTATTTCGCCAAAGAAACCTCCGCGGTCGATATCGGCGTAGGTTCCAAGAACCGCCTCGCGTCGCGAACTTTCTTCAACTGCGAGGGATCTTCGTCAATGTTAAACAGCGATATAATAATTTTCAACACCGCCTCTTGTTGCGTCCACTCGTCGCACATCAAGAATTTCAAAACTACAGCTTTGATGTACCCAAACTCTTGCTTGTCTAATCCTCTATTGCTACTGGTAACGTTATTGTCGTCTCCGGCTTTAAGCGAGCTGAAACTTGAATTTCGCGAACCGATGACGCCACCAGCACCAGCACCAGTACCACTTAACTTTCGTAACTCGTCGCACTCGGCGTCTTTTTCCGTCATAATTTTTCTCGCTTTCTTTCGCCACGCGTCAAACTCAAGTTTCAACGTTTCCAGTTCTTTCTTCAACTCCTTAATCGTATCCATCGCGGTCGCTTTCGATTCTTTCGCTCGTTTCAACGCGGTTTCCAACGACGATACCAACGACATTTCGTCCTCCTCTTCTCGCGAGGAAGACACTGAATGAGAAGAAGCTGCGGCGTTGTTGTGCTTTTGTTCCGAAACTATCGTTTTCATTTGATTCTCGAGCGCTGAATATTCTCTCTTAAACTCGCTCAATTCTTTCTTCGCCTCGTCCAACTCGTTCGCTTTCCCTTCAAACGATTGCAAGCACCTTTTTAACTCCTTCTCTTTCAATTCTAAGCTATTCAGCAGATCCTTTCGTTCAATTTCTAATCGCGCGTTCTCTTTCGTCTTGTCCGATCTTTGTTCCAATCTCTGTTCGAACTCCAACTCCATGTCCAAACGCATCGCTTCCATCTCCGATACCGCCTCGTTCTTTTGCATTTCAAAATCGTCTTTTTGCTCCTTCATGCTTTTTAGCTGTTGCTCAATCGCCGCGAGTTTCGTTTCGCTTTTCGTTTTCGATTCGTTCGCGACTGTTTTAGCGTCCTGTAAATCATCTCTAGTCGTTACTAACTCCTGTTCGAGTTCGCGAACTCGACGAGAATATTCTCGCGAAGTTTCTTTTGATTCCTTTAATTTTTCCTTCATCTCCTCGAGTTGTTTCGTGCCCGTTTCGTTCGCTTCGCTTTCGAGTTGTCTCCCCCAATCCATGGCATCGTTTGCTAAAGTCTCAAACTTTTTCGCCGTTTCTTCCGCCTCTTTCACTCTCGACTCGAGCGTTTTGATTTCCGATTGAAACTGTTTCTTCTCCTCTCGCGCTTCTTCGAGCGCTTTTTCGAGTTTCGTCTCCCCTTGGGAGAGATTTTCCGAGGCTGCTTTTTTCCACTGCGACACCGTATCTTCCATAACTTTTAGTTTCTTCTCGTGTTTTGATTGAAGCGTTTGGTCTTTTTTCGAGTCTTCTTCGTTCTTTTTCGACGCGGACACTTTAGCGTTTTCAGTCATTTTTGCCAGTTGGTCTTTCAGCGACGCGATGGCGTCCTCCTTCGATTTCAACTCCTCTTGTAATTTCTTCGCGGCGACGTCAGATGTGGCATCTTTTTCCTCCTCTCTTGGTGGTGGTGGTGGTGGGGGTGGTTCGACCGTCTTCTCTTTCATTTCCTTTTGCATTTCAAGTTTTTCTTCTTCCAGTTTCGCACTGAGCGAAGAGGCTTTGACCAACTCTTTCCTCAAATCCTCCACTTCTTGTTTCAACGCGTCTCTTTGCGTTTGGCACGTCTGGTAATTCGCTTCCACGTCTTCCAACACGCGTTTACATTTCTTTGTATTTTCTCGAGAAACTTCTAAATCTTCCTCGATTTCCTTCATCTCTGTTTCCAACTCGTTAACTTGCTCTTTGAGTCCAACGACGAGAACTCTGTTCGTCGCCGTCTCGATTTCCGCGCATTTCTTGCTCGCCGCGTCAAAGTTTTCCTTCCCTTCCTCCTCTCCGTTTTCGCTCGTCGTTAACTGTTTCAATTTTTCTCTCAGAAGTTCATTCTCCGCTAAAACCTTCGCGATTTGCGCTTTGTGCAACACTTCCAGTTCGTTCACATCTCGGGTATCGAGCGCTCTCAGCCGTTTCGCGCTTTCGATCGGTAATCGAACGTAATCGCCTTTGTTTTTCTTTTTTTCTGCTCCTGCTTGTTGATTCTTCTGTTCCTCCTCTCGTTCTTGTTCTCCAAAATGTTCTTTTCGCGACGAAGAGGTGGTTGTTGTTTGCGCCAGGCGCATTTGCTCCTTAAGAATCTCCGCCTTTTCTTTGGCGATGTTCGATACTTGAGAAAACGTCTCTCCAAAGTTGGAAAAGAACGCGGCGGTGTTCATTAAACCTGATTGATTCGGTTGTTGTTCTCGTTCCTGTTGTCTTTCCAAAAGGTTGTTGGCAACATCTTCCTCTTCTTCTTCTTCTCTCGACTTTAAAGACATTTGCTTTTATTCGTACTAAAGAAAGAATAAAGAAAAACCTTCTTCTAAATCTCTCTCCTCCTCTGAACTGCAAAATCGTTCGTGTAAAATACGCCGTATTTAGTGCGCACGCATAAGCGAGGTAGGTGAATGTGTTTCAGATGTATATAATTTGTTCGTTGTCGGAGACTTTTTTGAAAACTTTTTTCTTCCTCAAAATTTCTTTTTTTTTCACACTTGACAAAAAAAAAACAAAAGGAGAAACAAAGACCACGAATTAAGAAGAGGAAAGAAGAAGAAGAAGAAGATTTTTCGATGACGATGCTCTGTGGTGCGACGAGAATATCGACTCGTAGGAGTTCTTCGAATCGCAGAACGAGCCTGAGTGGTGGTGGTGTCGCGACGACATCGTCGTCTTCTTCTTCTTCTTCTTCTTCTTCCTCCTTTTTTAGTAGCAGTCAAAATCGTCGTGCTCTATATATTCGCAAAAATAATACGTGTCTGAATTTGAAACCGAAAAGAACGAAGACGGCTTCGTTCTTCAACAAGTTGCCGTGGTTAGAAGATTTCGAAGACGACGAAGACGTCAAAAGAGGAACACAAAAAGAAGGAAACAGAACGCAGTCGGACTGGCTGGACGCTTCGCAAGAACTCGATCTCTTCAACACGAAGAGCAGCAGGAGTACCATGTCGACGATGGAGGAAGACAAAGAGAGAAGACAAAGAAGACAAAGAAGACAAGTGAAAGAAGCAAAAATGAAAACAAATTCGTCCTTCTTCACCACCGCGGAGGAACAAGAACGGATTGATTTTTTATCCATCACGTCGGAGGAGTTCAGAAAGGCGCGAGCGTTCGTGGAACCAGAAGTGAAGAGCGGGTTCGCGAAGAATATCTTTGAAAGCGCGACGGAGATGAAAGAGATGATGGAAGAGGATGATGGAGGAGAAGACGAAGAAGCGCGAAACGTCAGAGCCGCGAACGAGGACGACGAACGAAGGAGAAGACGAAGAAGACGAGAGGAGGAAGAGAAACTCTCATCATCGAGTAAGAGCATTCCGTTCGTGATAAAGCAAGTCGTGAGAGCGTTTTCGTACGTTACGAATGCGATAGTGAACGCGTTAGAGTCCGTGGTACCGTATCAAGTACCTTTGACGGCAATTCGATGGAGCGTTTACGGCGTGTGGGCGCTGTTGGCGGTGTCCTCGGCGCAGAGATTTTTAGTTTTGTTAGCGTGTACTGGAGGAATGCTTTTACTTTTCGGTGCCTTGAATGCAGGTCTGAATGGTGTCGTGGGAGATGATTTCAATGAAGACAGATATGGAAGTAGCGATAGAAGCTCTAGAAGAAGAAGAAGAAGAAGAAAATCGTCGTCGGCAAACACGAAAGGAAGAGACTTTGACGCGAATAGAAAAGCGTACACGAGAGGCTCGCAATATCGCACGCGATCCAACCCGAGATGGGGAAAAGGAGAGAACAGAAAAGCGCCGTCCACTATGAACGACGAGTTGATGGATTTAGAAATTCCTTTCACAGATTTCGTGAGCGAAAACTTGAATCGAGCGGCGCAGTTTGGCGGCGACGCTTTGCGAGATTTGGGATTATCGTTTGATGAAGACGAAGAAAATTATTCTCGAGCGCGAAAGCCGACGAGAAAAGCAACAATAAAAACAAACAGTAGTCTCAAAATAGAGAACGATAACGATGGTGACGAAGGGTTCATCGACGTGACGCTCGAGAAACAGACGCAAGATTCGTCGAGCTTTACCGTCGGATACCGGGAATGGCTCGAGGAAAGCGGTACGAAGAACGTGAGCAGTAGTACCAAAGATATCCGCGCTTCTTCTACTCCAATAATAAGTAACACCGAAAAAGATGATGAAACTCTATCTGGCGATGGCATCAAAAACGATGAGTTTGTATTCAAACGCGAAGAAGAAAAAGAGGAAGAAAAGAAGGACGAAATGAAGGCGACAAGTGCGGCCTACGAAGCCGACACTATAAGTTACGACGACGAGGAAGACTACGACGACGATGAAATATTCTTCGACTATGCCGAGTACGACGAGGAAGAAAGAAATTACGACGAGAACAGTAGATTCAATACTGCGTTCATAGAAGAAGAAGACGATTTCATCGAACCCGTCGTCCGGCGTCTTCGTCAAAGTGCCGGTCAATCGTTCAATTGGTTCAACGAGTTTCTCACCGGTCGATTTTACGGAGCGTTTCAGGAAGACCGCGTGGAGGCGTTTTTGCCGCCTCTCGAAGAAGAAAAGGATGAAAAGGATGGCGAGTTTGTTGAACCACCAGAAGAGAACGACGACGACGTCTACAAAGAAGGAGGTCAAAAGGTTGGTCGTGCTACGCGATAAAAAAGTATAGTTTGTATTTCCGTGTTGTTGTGTGTCTCGTATGTATTTCTAACGGTTGGATGATGCTGTGTTTTGGATTTTTTGTTTCTTCTTTTTGTGTCTCTTTTTTCTCTTTGTCCTTCTTCTCTTCTGTCTGTCGTCGCCAAAAATTCCTTTCTTTTTGTTGTGAATAATGAAAAAGAGATCTCCTCGTCCCTTTTCAAACGAAGAGATCTCGTCTCTTTTTGGTTTTTTGTGGGGGCAACGTGTCCTTCATCCCTTACAAATTAGATATTATCTCTCACGAACATCATCAATCATGTTTGCACTCACTACCCAATTTGCTGGCGTCCAAGTCGTCTCCAAGACGAATGCGCCGAAGAAATCGGTCAACAAAGTCGTTTCGGTGAGTTTTAAGGTTTTCTCGCGCGTAGTTTATCCTCCTCTTTCGCGAGAAAGATGACGACGCTCTCTGATGAATTTTCTTTTTTTCTTCCATTCTCCCGATGGATCATCTCTCCGTTGGATGATGAATGTGCGCGATGAGATGATTTCTCGATGTCATCTCCTTTACTAATACAAACTACCACTCATTTTCACATCATCAAACAGAACGGTTACACGATTGACACCGACAAGCGCAGACAAGCGTTAGAAGCGAAGAAGAAGGCGAACGCGGCGGCTGGCGAAGCGGCGAAAGCCAAGGCGAAGGCGTTGGCGGAAAAGAACAAAGCAGCGCAAGCCAAGGCTTTTGCCCAAAAGAAGATGCTCGCGGAACAAGCCAAGGCAAAAGCGGCGGCGGCCAAGCAAGCCTCCATGAAGTTGAACAAAACCGTCGGCGGTTCCTCCAAGTTCAAGAACTCCTTCACCACGGCGCCGTCCGTCAAGGACCCGTTCGCCGAAAAGAAGTGGGGCGGCTTCTCCTTCAACCCGTTCGGCAAGAAGGACTAAGACGTATTTTTGTGTGTGATATAACGCGCTCGCACCTCTTGAGATTTTTTAATTACCATCATCATCTTATACGTTTTTCTATTACATCCATCTATATACTATCGACTTAACACCTGTGCGAGTTCTAACGCGACAGAACAGCCTTGTTCGAGGTGCACGGCGTGACCGGCGTTTTCGATTTCAATCGCGTCGATGTCGTTGCCACTTAATCGCACGGCTTTTTCAGCTATAGACGCAAACTTTTCGTCCAATTCGCCGTATATAAAAGTCACTCGAACATTCCTCTCATTCGTTTCCAGTTCATCCCACACGTGCTTTTGTTTTCCAACGCTCGCGTGTTCCAGAACGTTTGCGATTTCATCCTTTCTGTCTTCTCCAACGGACGTCGCGCGTTTCCATGCAACTTCTTCAATCGACATTCCATCCCTCGAGACGAGAGGTTTCCACATCGGCTGCTCGTACCATGTTGTACAAAATGAAAGCATTGACGGAGAGGTTCTCAGATTTTTAGCGAGCGCGGCGTCGCGCTCGCATCTAGTCTCTTTACTCACGTCGTCTCCAAGCATTCCGCACGTGCCGCTGAGCGAAATAACGGAAGAAATGCTGTTCTTCCATTCTTTCGACGACGAGAGAGAAAGCGAAAGCGCAACGCGAGCGCCTAGACTGTATCCAACTAGTGTAACATCTTCAATCTCCATCTTTTCAAGCAATGAGCGTAACGTATCCGATATCCCTTCGATGGAATACGTGGAACTTGTAGCGTCGGAATTTATAATCTCGGTTTTCGTTTCACCGTGTCCGGGAAGGTCGATAGCAACGCATCTGTGTCCGAGCGTCGCCAAAGACTTTGCAATTGGCGACCAGTCACTCTTATCGCCCATAAACCCGTGGAGAAAAAGGACAGTTTTCGAGGATGATGCGGTATCGGAAGGAAAGTATCCCTCCAAGCTAATGTCGTGTGTTACTCCTTCTTTTTCAACCATCACGTTGTATTGCTTTACTTCCACAGCAGCAGTAGCAGTAGTAGAAGGTGAAAAGTGAGATTGCGCCCATTTCGTTGCAACTTCCTTCTCGAAGGAATTGGGTTCGATACATACAGACGATGTTTCATTGATCGATTTTGATGGATTCAAGGTCTCGTCGACGAACCATCGTCCCGTGTCCAAGCCGTGAGAAATTACGCCCCCAGTAGAAGATTCCCCCAGTGTTTCTGCGATTTTTGCATTCATCGTCATCGCAACGGGAGATTCAAAAGCCGATGATATCACCGGGATTGCGCTCGTAAGCTCTAAGACGATGTCGCATATGTCCTTCGTAATCTCAACACCACCAATTATGGATGGTTTCAAAACAATCGCAGCACATCCCAACCGATTTCGGAGGATGCGTTTGTAAAAACTACTCGCGATATCCCCTGAAAAAGAAGCTTTATTGCGAGTCTTGATGAACGCATCAACGGTTTCATCCAAAGCATAAAAGATATTTGTATTAAAGAAGAACTCTTCCAGATATTTTTCTGATTTTGTAGGCTCTTCAATAAATTGCAAGTTGACGTCGCGTAAGCGCTCGAGCTCTTTTCCAAACAAAATTGCGTCTTCCAAAGACCATGCTCTGTTTGCATCCGCTCGTATTTCAACATCAGCACCAAGAATGTCTCGGAAGGCTTTCAATCTCGTCGCGTCGCGCAGCACGTTCTCATCCCGACCAACCTTTACTTTCACGCATTTGTATGGACTTTCTTCAAACAGCCTTTTCAAATCTTTCGCGTTTTCCTCGTCAGATTTTCCTATATCGGGGTCGAACAAACAGTTTACGGAGACGTAATTGTTGGAAGTTTCGTGAACACTTTGCAGTGGATTTTGTGCAGACGTCGCGTTTGCTAGCGCGTTTAATACTGCTGTCTCTATGCAGAAGCGTACGCTCGGAAATAAGGATGCAAACGTATTCTCAGAGATACTGCTTTCAGCGAACCACTTTGCAAACTGGCCTCTCAGTGAAGTTACGGAAGCCGGGATGTTTTTGCCGAGAAGTTTTGACTCACAAAACACTTGCAGTTGTGCACCGGCTAACGCACACTCCGCCTCGTCATGCAAACCAGGAAGTGGAGAACACTCGCCGTACCCTACAGTCCCATCCCCAAGTTTCACCTCAAGTAAAAAGCCATGGCGGGATTTTTGCTCAGATTTGGTTGTATCCTTTGCTCGAAGAGGTTCATCGAAAGTGCTCACCGAGACGCTTTCAACAAATATTGAAGAGTCATTATTGATATCATTTTCCACTTTCAGAAAGTGCTCGACCGCAAGTACCGCTTGGCGTTGCGCTGATCTGTGCTCTTCTAAGTTCTGCGGTCTGGACGTCGTCACTTCAATCACGCGATGGCGTCCTTCACCGTAGCTCGTTGCAAGCTCATTCGAAAACGAGTGCATCGATCTAGGATGAGCAAATGCTACTCTGTTAGCTTCGCATAGCAAACGTCGACTGGTATCAGGGGGTGTGGCGAACAGCTTCTCGAAGGTTTCGCGTTCTACTTCATCGGATACTGGGAGAAAGCCGAAAATCCCTCCACCGCCGTTGTTCACAACAACAACAGTTACCGGAGGCTGACCGGGACGCTCGCGCAAGAAGAGTAAGCCGTTTGAATCGTGCTGGAAAGATACATCACCTATAAATAGTGTAACGGGTCGGTTCAAACCACAAGCGTAACCGGCAGCAGTTGATATGATACCGTCGATTCCAGAAGCGCCACGATTCGCAACGACCGGATTACCAAGTATCGAACTACTCTCATCCATAATATCTTCATCGAATTGTGAATACATTTTGATTCCAGTCAAAGCGTCAGCATCGCGAATTGGCATGGAGTTACCGAGAAACAATGCGGAAGACTTTGGCAACACATTGCAAATTTCAGCCGCCACGGACATTTCTGTAATCCCATTTTGTTCATCCATCTTCAAAATGCGTCGCGAGAGTACATCTGACACGATTTCGCCACACGCAACGAATGTCTTTGCATAGTACTTTTGCTCGTCTGAGGGCGACGATAGTTCCGCTTTAAGTATTGCGCTCGCAAACACGTCCCTAGAACACTGGATGCGATGTGACACAACGTGACTGGGATCAAAATTCCGAGGAGAAGGATCTACGACTATGTAGGAGACGTTATCAGCAGCAGCTGCGTCGTCGACAAATTTACATAATCGCTTACTCACGATACGGGACCCAAGCTGAACAATGCAGTCGGGTGAAAATCTTTCGACAGCTTCTGCGGAACACAAGAGGTAATCGTAACATTTGACGACATTCAAGTCAGTGGGACTACCGTTGACGCCAACGCGCAAGCCAGAAGTAACATCAGCCAGAACGGCCCACCCGAGTACTTTAGCAGCCATGGCTGACATTAAAGCGTCTTTTGGGTTTGCAGAACCACCGATAATCAAAACACCGCGCTTGGATTCTTTCATTTGGTTCGCGGCGCTTTCAAAAACGGAGAAATCTTGAATCTCCAGAGAATCGTCCGAAATAGTATCCCCGCGCACTTTCTTTACCTCTTCTTTGATACTTTCCATCGTCGCTAACGACATTTTTTCACTCGCACCATCACTATTGTTGACATTGTTTTCAATCTTTTGCCTCGGTCCGAGAGGTTCGCGAAAAGGTAAGTTCACGTGCACCGGTCCAGGGTGAGCGACGTCAGTGGATTTACCGTACGCAACCCGAGCGATATTTCGAAACGTTTGAACTTGTTCATCATTCGTCTGCAAGTCTCCAGGAACAGGGGCATCGACAAAGTAACGTCGAAAGTTCTGAAATATGTCTATTTGATCGATTGTTTGGTTCGCCCCAGTATCTCTCAGCTCTTGCGGACGATCCGCTGTGAGATAAATTGCAGGAGTTTGCGATTCGTGCGCTTCGACAAAGCTAGGTAGTAAATTCGCTACTGCTGTACCAGAACTAACGATAATCGCGCACGGCTTACCGGCTCCTTTACCAAAACCTAAAGCATAAAACCCAAGGGAACGCTCGTCGATGCACACGACCACTTTCGCCGATGGGTGGTTTTCTGCTGCGAGAGCGAGAGGCGTGGAGCGAGAACCAGGAGCGATACAAAATAGCTGAACACCATTCAATACCAGCTCATCCACGAGCGCGTACGCCGCGCGAGCGTTTGGATTATTCGGAAAGTACGCTAAAGCTTTGATGTTCCTGATATTGTTCTGCAGTAACAGCGCTTCCATCGGTTTGGTTTTCAAATTCAATTCTTGCCACTCTGATTTTGCGTTTGCCGCCTTCACCACGCCCACTCCGGCAAAGAGATCTGCAACTTTATTATCACCATTATCACCGTTAGAAAGTAAGGCTGACCTGATGGCGACACAGAATTCGGCGCCTTCAGAATCAATCCAACCGAGTGGTCCAGCATATAAACCTCGGTCAAACGTCTCCGACTTTCGGACAGTTTGCATAGCAAGATCTCGCGGATATCCGCACACGGCAGGAGTAGGATGCAGCGCGCTGATGACATCAGATTCGTCAACTTGCTCGTCGATCTTTGCACGAAAGCGCGCGTACAAATGCTGCACAGATACGTGGCGCAGAATTCCTTTTTCGAGCTCTTTGAATACTCCCGAATCGCCGTCACGCGCAATTTTTGCGAGCGATTTTCGAACATCTTCTCTCACGATGGCAAACTCTTCGTGCTCCTTCTCCGATAGAAGCATATCGTAGGCTAACGCAGCATCTTCACCAGGATCACTTCCTCTTGGTCGTGTACCAGCAACGGCTTCAGATTCGACCGATCGCGACGTAATATTTGACTTGAACAGTCGCTCTGGTGAAGATCCGATAAATGAAGTCCCACTCGGGTGCGTCAAAATGAATTGGTACGCGTCTGGATCCCGCCTCTGTAACGACTCAATCAATTCGCACTCAGATACGAACTCAGAAACATCCAAAGTAGTTTTCCTGGCCAAGACCACTTTGCGCAAACTCCTCTTCCCTGATGCATTTTCAGTTCGCTCGATAGCGTCGTCGTCGTCGTCGTCGTCATCATCACTCTCCCGGGGAGAATCGTCATCTGGCAGCTCTTGCAAAGTAACGCCCGTATTTTCTTCGTTTTCAATTTCGCTATCATCCCTGTTCTTACTGACGAGGTTTTCGAAAACATCCAATATGGACTCGTCCGCGTTAATTCCGCTCCTTCTTCCCATGTTTTTCAAGGCACTTCGCAATCGTTCGGCGCTTCCCATCGGAGCTTCTGCAAACGCATCTTCGTCGAATGAAGTCCCTAATAAGAGTTTTATATCATCTTCTTCATTTTCTCCTAAAGCGTTCATCTTTTCGATCGTTCCACTCACAACGTTCTGCCATGTTTCCTCATCCGGTGAAACTCTTTTACTCGAATTATTCGTCGATGGTGTTCTTGTTGTTGTTGTTGTTGCTGCTGTTTTTACTTCTTTTGCACTTGCTTTTAACGATGCCTCGATGGACTCTAAGCATTTCAAGCACTTCTTCACGGCTTCGTCCAACGTTTTTGCGCAACTTCCATCGTTTACAATCCCGTTGTCATCCCAGGAGATGTTTACGCCAACTTCCCCGCACGATATACTTTCAGACACATCCACGATTGGAATGAATACATACCTAGAACCAAAACACTCCCACTTATTACTGTCTACTTCTGCTGCTACTGAATGCGAAATAAAACTAGGATCGAATCGCCCGGCGCCAAACGCTTTCACGTTCTTCGATACTTTCAAAAATTCCCTCACGGCTCGTAAGCGCCTCTTGGTCAACAACGAATCGTCATCATCGATACCATTCGACGAAGGAATCGTTGAAGTCCACAAGCAACTCGCACCGATTGCCGCCATCGCACCTCTCGTGTCTTTTGCAAACTCCTCGTTCACTTCTTTGCCTTCTTCGCTTCCTCCTCCGCCGCCCCTTTTCATTTCCTCTTCCTCCTCGCGCTTCTCTTGTCGCACCGGTTTCGGCGGCGGAGACCTCGGCGAAAAGTAAAACCTGGGCGTCGTATTCTTCCATCGCTCGAGTCTGTTTTCATCTCTTTCTTTTTCGTTCGGTGTTGTTGTCTTCGTCCCTTTGTTCATCGAGGACAAAAACTGCAGAGCGTTTGCGTCTCTGGGCACAAAACACCTAAACCGAAGCATTCCAGATTTGGAAGAACCCGCCGCGCTACTGCTGCTCGTCCTACCGCATTCGCTCTCTATCGTCTCGCGTAATCGTGCAATCGCTTTCTCAATCGTGTTTTCACTCGATACTTCCTGTAACCGAACAAACTCTAACCGTTTTTGTTGTTGTTGCCTTTGAGGAGGAGTATCTTCTCCTCCTCCTCCAATCAACTCATCGTCGAATGAAGACGTCGTCGTCGCGTTGTCCGAAGATATCGCGTTGTTCCGTGCGAATCCTCCTCTGGACGACGACGTAAACGACGACGGCACAAACGACGAGTTTGCTCTCTTTTGACGCTGTTTTAATGATGATGAGAAGAGGTGTTGTCGTCGCGAAAATCGAGAGGAAGTTTTCTTTTCTTTTCCTCCGTCATCGATGCTTCGCGGTACCGCGAAGCAGGAGCGACAGACCAGCAAACCCGTCGTCGTCGTCATCTCCTTCGAAAAAACGATGACGAGATGCTCTCTTCCTTTCTCCAAAACGAAATAATACGAGAAGAGAGAGAGAGAGAGGGAGAGAAGGAAAGGTTCTCTCTTGTCGCTCGTGAAGAGATGAATTTTTGAGGAAGCAGATAAGGAGAAAGGTGAAAGAATCAGAGAAAGAGACACACGAGAAACTACCATAAGACGAGAGAAAGGCAAAGAAAAGCGAGAGAGATAAATCGCGCGCATTTAAAGTATCAAACATCATAATCACAAAAATAGGTTCTATCATCTACCACTTACCCTTTCCGCGACCGCCTTTGCTAAACTTGCCGCCTCTTCCGCCGCCCCTGCCTCTTCCTCCTCCTCGTCCACCGGACCAGCGACCGCCGCCGCCGCCGCCGCCTTTCGTTCGGACTAAAGCTTGCAATTCCGGCGGTATCGCTTGGTCTGCGCCTTCCATAATCTGCACCAACTCTCTCGCTTGTTGCGAATCTTCTCTGGTGAACAGAGTGTGCGCGATGCCGGTTTTACCGGCGCGTCCGGTACGTCCGATTCTGTGGACGTAATCTTCAACCGCGCCGGGAAAATCGTAAATCAAAACCATAGCCACGCCAGGGATATCTAAACCTCTCGCCGCGACATCCGTGGCAACCAACACGTTTCCTCTTCCTTTACGAAAGTTGTCTAAAGATTTTTCGCGCTCGTGTTGGTCTTTATCGCCGTGAATGGCGCCGCAACTGTGGATGCCGCTTTGTCGCAACTTTCGATCGAGGAAATCGCACCGCCTTTTCGTTCCGCAAAACACAATGCACGTATCTTTCTCTTCCAACTCACCCATAGCTTGCATGCAGTTATCGAATTTCTCGTCTTCTGTGCACACTTGGACGATTTGCGTGATCATTTTATTCGCGGTGAGTTTCCCGGTGCCGCCTTCGCCGATGGACACTTGGATCGGTTTCGTCGTAAAGTTCGCGGCTATTTTCTGCACCGCTTTCGGCCAAGTCGCGGAGTAAAAGAGCGTCTGCCTCGCGTGCGGACACAGTTTGATGATTTTCTTAATTTGGGGTTCAAAACCCATATCCAACATGCGATCGGCTTCGTCTAAAACGACGTACGTCGCCGCGCTGGCGGAAACCGGCGCGGAAAATCCCGGCGGCGGGTCCAAGAAATCGTTGATTCTCCCCGGCGTCGCGACAACAATGTCCGCGCCACCTCTCAGCGCTCTCAACTGGTCGCCTTTAGCCGCTCCGCCGTAAAGAACGACGCATTTTGCTTTCACCGCCGGGCAAAACTTGGCGCACTCGTCGTTGATTTGAATCGCCAACTCTCTCGTAGGCGCCAAGACGATACTCGTCGGTTTCACCGCTCCTGGTTTCCACCGACCGTTGACGAGTTTCATCTCCGGTGCTTTCTGAGGTCCGCCGTTCTTTTTTATCCTCGTCAGTGCCGGTAACAAAAACGAGCACGTCTTCCCGCTCCCCGTTTTCGCAATCGCGACGATATCTCTCCCGGTTAACGCTATCGTCCAACTAAACGCCTGAATAGGCGTCGGTTTCTCGTACCCTTGCTTCTTCAACGCGGCTACAATTTCCATGGGGAATATTTCGTGACACTTCTCGAAGGATAAAATCGGGTTCGGCGCGTCTTTCGTGCTCACCGTGACGTGATGTTCCTTCACGTACGCTTTCACCTCTTCCTCGTCTGAAACTGACATTTTATTCGTCTTCTTCTTCTTGGATGAGAATATATCGTCGTCCTCTGAATCGACGACGGCGATATTCGCATCATTTCCGTCGTCGTCGTTCCCTTTCGACTTCTTTAACTTCTTTGCCTTCTTTTCCTTCTTTGACTTCTTTGACTTCCTCTTCTCATCATCATCATCATCATCATCATCATCATCTTCAGCCGCCGCCGCCAACTCTAATTTCCGTTTCTTATTCGCTTTCTTCTCCGCTTTCCTAATCTGTTTTGCCGCTCGTTTTTCTTCTTCCTCCGAAAAGGAAGATTTCAAAGCTTTTGTCAAAGCAGCGGCTTCGCCTTTGCCCATTATATAATGTTGTTGTCTTCTTCTTTGTCTTTGTCTTCTTCGGAACAAAGTTGTGTGGTGTGTGTGTGATAAAAAGTTTTTTGCAGGAGATGAAATAAAAATGTTTTTATTTTTTTTATCTGAAGAAAAAGGTGATGGTTTGATATTTACCACGCTGCTAAAATTTTCTCTCTTTTATCTATCATCTCCTAAAACTACGCGGCACACCCGATTCGCCGTGTTCTCTATCTCTATGACTAGTATTATTTTGAGTATTGTTATTGTTTCTCGTCGTCGTCGTCGTGTAATTATTCGGCGAAGAATGAGGCCCCGACGAGGTGTTGTTGTTTTCTTCCTTCCTTCCGGGAAACGTCATCTTTGGCAAGACGTATTTGTTGTTTTTATCGTCGAACCACGCGCTTCGAGGACCGAGCTTTTGTTCTCTCTTCCTGTCGAGCTCGTCCGTTTCCTCTCTAGATGGGATAGCTAAGGTGAATAAATCCGAGGCGGCGAGGACGCGCGCGTCGCCTTTCGCTTTCGCGGCTTCCTCGACCAAGACGCCGACGTGCATTCGTTCCTGGAAGAGCTCGTCTTCGGACGGTTCGTGGTCCGGTGGAGCCTCGTTATCTTCTTGGTCTTCTTCATCTTCTTCATGGTCGTCGTCGTCGTCATATTCGTATTTGCTGTTGCTCGGAGCTGAAGAAGAACTAGAGGCGGAATTCCCGGAGTAGCGCGCGGAAAAGTGCGTCAAAACCAAAGTTCGAGCGTTGACCCTTTTGGCAAACGATCCCGCCATAGCCGACGTCGAGTGGCCTTTGAATAAAGCTTCTTTCGCTCTCTCCGCGTTGAACGTGGACTCGTGGACGAGAACATCCGCGCCGTACGCCCATTTCGCGATGCCTTCTGAGCCGCACGTGTCGCCGAGCATGACGATTTTTCTTCCCGGTCTCGGCAATTCCATCGCCTCTTCCGGAGTGATGATCCTTCCAGGTTCTTTAGGAGACTCGACCGATTTTCCAGCTTTGAAATTTTTATACAAAGGGCTCGGGGGTAAACCTTGTTCAGTCAACCACTCGACTTTCATGTGCCCGTCGCGATCTTTCTCTTCGATGACGTACCCGAAACACGGGACCGGGTGTCGCAACGGCGCCGCGCGAATGCACACGTTCTCGTCCGCTAAAACAACCCAGGATGGCCACGCGTGTCGATTTTCTTCTTCCCACTCTCTCGCTTTATACCTCGGAAAACCGACGTGGTTCATGCCTTCTTGCGGCCAACAATCCCCAAAGACTAAATTACCTCGTTTCTTCCACGCGCAATCTTCGTTCACCGCGACGTGCGCCGGGACCTTGCCGTTGCACTTCTCAAACTTTTCTCTCGACGGCGTGGTCAATTCCGTGACGATAATATCCGTCCCGAGTTGCGTTCTCGAGTACGTCATCGCGGCGTGTACGAACGCTTTTAAACCTGGTGGACCGGTAATCACGAGCGGTTCCTGGTCCTTGAACGCGTCTCGAGGGCCTCGTCCGTTGTTCCCGTTTCTCTTCTTCTTTTCGTCTTTTTGCTTGTACGTTTCCGACCGACACGCGGAAATCGCGCACAATAAACCGGGTAAACCGAAAATGTGATCTCCGTGCATGTGCGTGATGAATATTCTAGAAATTTTACTCAACTTTACCCCGCATCGCATCATCTGGTGCTGCGTCGCCTCGCCGCAATCGAACAACCACACCTCGTCTTTCGTTCTCACCGCGGTCGCGCTCACGTTTCTCGAAAACGTCGGCGCACCCGAGGAAGTTCCTAACCACGTGATTTCTAATCCAGTGAACCCTTTCCCGTCCTCGCGATCTTTCGCGATGTCCAGTTCTAACCGTAAGTCCTCCGTCGCGAACGAGGCCGGAGACGCTTTCCCGTTCATGACGTTCCTTTTAATGACAACACCATTATTATTCGCACTATTCGTTGTTGCTTTTTCCGACGGTTGTTGCTGTTGTTGTTGCTGCTGCTGATGCTGTTGTTTAGGAGGAGAAGGAACTGAATCAACGGCTTCTTTTCCTTCTTCTGATAAATCTAATTCTTCTTCTTCTCTCAATAATCGTGCAATCAACTCTTGCTTTTTCCCGCTCACTTTTAACTTTCTTTTGGCTAACCGTTCTCTCAGTTCGGACACTTTCAACTTTTCTAACTTCTCCGCGCGATGCGTGCGAGTAGTGTTACCATCTTCTTCTGACGACGACGTCATCTTCGTCGTCGTCGAAGAAGAAGAAGAAGAAGACAAAGAAGAATGCGGTTGAGGATGGTGTTGGCGGCTCAACGTTCGTCTCGTTTTACTCGATGGGTAAAAATTCCTTCCGCGCGACGACGTAAACGTAAACGACGCGCTCGTACTCGCACGACTACTCGTAGTAGTACTACTCCTTTGGACGACGACGGAGAATACTACGCTTCGCATGATGATGATGATGATGGTGTGTAATAATAATAAAAGAAAAGCAAAGTTTTGTGAAGGTTTCCTATGAACGAAATTCTCTATTTTTTACTATTGAACAACTGACTAGTATTCGGATGTGAACGACTTCCGCGCGACACCATCGACTGACCATCATCTGTTATCACTCGTAAACAACATACACATATCATCATCATCCAAATATGATTTCGTCGCATGCATTATTTTGCATCATGCGTAGTATTGAGTGTACATTTGTGCAACGCTTAAAACCTTGAAACTTCACTTTACGTAAGTTTTGTTCGCGCACGTCGCACACGCAAAGAGGTATCTCTCTTCTAAACGTCATCGCGCGCGCGCTTTAATCACACATCATTATACTACACTATATATACTCGTATTATTATAATTTAGGCCCGGTGATGCCTAAAAACTTCGTGTGCGTTCCGTACGCCACGACGGCTCCATTTTCGTCTCTTAACTCGCACTGGCTAAACCCCATAGTTTTCCCTAATCGTTTCGATATCGCTTCGACGGTGACGGTTGAATGCATTCGAGCACTTTTGACGCACGAGACGTGCAAATCCGTGGTCACGCCGCCACCTTTTTCGCTATTTTCATCGTCCACCAGTAACGCGCACGTGGTTAACACGTCCACTATTGTCGCTATGCACCCTCCGTGTAACGTTCCGAATCGATTGCATAAGGATTCGTGGACGTATAAGTCACATCTGATGCCGTTTTCTTCTATTTGAGCTCTCATTTTGTTCTCCTCGTTCGATGATGATGATGATGATGATGATGATGATGATTTTCCTCGTGTGATTTGCGTCAAGTTCGAGCAGTGTAAAAGAGGTATCTTATCGAACGTGGTGTTTTGCGGGTGCGTGACGATGTCGAAAAACTTCATCGCTCGAACGAAACCCCGAGACGACGACGACATAGAGTCGTCTTCTGTACGTGCGTGTGTTTCTTTGTTTTATATGTTGTGTGGAAAGTGTGGAAAGAGCTCTTGACCATTTTCTGTTGTTTTGTCCACATTTACCACAAATTTACACGCACAAAAGAGACTCATTGTAGAAGAGATTGAGACATTTGCGTCGTCGTCAATTACTATTAACGTATAGTATATAGTAAGAGAGAGTGTGTGTACATAAGTGTTTTGTTGTGTTTTGTTGTGCGATTTGCGCGGACGAAAGAAGACTCTATTAAAGACAAAACAGAGAGAGAGAACGAGAGAGACATAATTGTGTGCTGGGGGTGATCATCGAAATCAATCGAATCATCATCATCCTCACCGAGTGTTAGGGACAGAGAGAGAGAGAAAGAAGAAGAAGAAGATATATATACATATATCCGTAGCGTAACTTAGATATACAACGTTGAAAAACACGTCCTACTCATCAGATTGAGTAAAAGTTTCAAAAGAGCTTTTTCTTGTTTCCGTCGTCGGTCGTTTTTTATATTTATTCTTTCGTTTCGGTAAACGCCGCCTCCTCCTCAAATCCTCAAAAATATTCGAGAGAGAACAACAGAAAGATTTTAGTAGTAAAAGAATAATAAGAAAGCAAATATGGCACCGTTATCAGAAACCGCGAAGAACTACAAAGACGCTCTGTCCGAACTGAAAATGAACAGCAAACCAATCATAACGAGTTTGACGATGTTAGCGACGGAAATAGCGAAAACGGACGACGACGAAGCGAAGACGGAAGCGAGGAATATCGCCAACGTGATTGAAACCAGAGTCGTGGAGAAAGCGAGAGATAGTCGAGTGGCGTTGGCGACTTTGTACGTGTTAGATTCGATCGCGAAGAATTGCCGAGACCCGTACGCGTCGGTGTTTGCGCCGCACGTGGCTGGGGTGTTTTTGACCTTGTTCGCGCAGACGGACGAAAAGACGAAACAATCGATGAAAAAATTATTGGGAACGTGGGAAACGCAAAACGTGTTTCCGAGAGAAGTTTTAGCGAGAATTCAAACGGACGTAGATTTGAGTGGGAACGCGCGAGTACCGCCGCCACCACCACCGATCGTGCACCAACACCAACAGAGAGTCGTACCGCCACCGCCGCCGATACTTATGATGGGACAACCGGCGGCGGCGCCACTGCAGCAGCAGCAGCAGCAATTTTTAGGACAACCGGCGCCGCTCGTAGCTGGTGGCATGCCGGTCGTTTTACCGGACTTGAGTGGATTGTTGAACACGCTCAAAGCGCAACAAGCGCAATCTTCTATGGGAGGAGGATCTCATCAATCGTTGCAAGGTATCGTCGCCGCTGCGCCGCAGCACCACCACCACCGACCGGTGACGCCAGATTTCGCGAACGAAGACTTTGATTTCCTAGATGCCGAAGAAAGCTTGAAGAAGTTTAAGAGAGATCCAAAATCGATGAATAAGCGGCGCGAGTATTTAGTCAACGCGTTGTACGATGATTTACCGTTTAAATGCGCACAAACCGGACGTCGCTTCGCGTCGAAAGAGTCGTTGGATCAACACATGGATTGGTTACACGCGAAGAGAAGAAGGAAGAAATCCGGTCGCGCCTGTCGAGGATGGCACGTCTCGGCGAAGGAGTGGATTAAAGGAACGATTAAGATGGGTGAGGTGGACCCTGAATTCGACGCGTTCGCCGCTGGAGAGAAGAAGAAGAAAGAAAACGCCGTAGGGATCGTCATCGATGAAAATTTAGATTTGAACGATTTGCCGAGCGTCCTGGCGATCGAGTCGCAGAAAAAGTGCGCGTTATCTGGAGAACCGTTCGAAACGTTTTGGAACGAAAAAGCGCAGGAATGGCACTATGGTAAAGCGGTGAAGTTGAAACGAGCGATTGGATCGAAGAAAGTTAAAGCTGGGGAAATTGCGTTGATTAGCGCCATCCCGAAGGAAGAGTTGGAGCCAGAACTCATCGAAGCCATCGCAAAGGCGCAGCCGAGAAACGCATCCACGAAAGGTGCAGTTTTACGCGAAAGTAAGCGCGCAAAGAAGTAAAAAGATGTACGAATGAATGCAGTGCGTAGCATGAGTAGTAATAAGTAGTAGTAATGTAGTAGTAGATAACTTTAATATAAAAAATAGTAGTAGTTTTTAAAAGCTGAACAAAAGAACAAGTAGTAGTAAAATTGACAAACGTCGTGGAACGCAAACAACAATTTTGAATCAAATAAGAATGAAAACAACAACAATAACAACAACGATAACATGATGAAACAAATCAAAACATGAAAACCGATAACAATGACCAACAACAATATAACATGACTGATGAGAACAAGAATCCAAGATCAAGCAAACAATAACTTTCAAATTTTGAGAGAGCTGAGTATGCGCGAAAAAACGCAAAACATCACTAACAACACAGGCACACGGGCACACACGCGCGTCGTAAAATCCAAAACAAATTTCGAGAGAGCAATCGAAAAGAGAGAATAAATGGTGGTGCGCACTTTTTTCTTTCTGCCGCTGCTGCTACTGCTATAAATACTGCTCTGTTGTTGCCCGCTCTAATCTAAATCATCTCTTCTAGTATTGTCAGTGTCCAAATAAACCATCATTACCATCATATCATCATCATCATCATCATCATCATCGTCATCATCATTCAAAAAATTAAGCCCATTTCGTCTCGCCAGTTTTGCTATTGTAATAGTACGGCTTCCCTTCCGAGTAGTACGTCGCCCAATCGCTCGCCGCAGCCGCAGCAACCGCTTGCGGCTGTGAGGGGTCGTATTCTTGTTGTTGAGGAGCCGCGTAGACTTGTTGCTGCTGATAATATTGCTGATACTGTTGCATCAACTGTTGTTGTTGTTGCGGTTGTTGTTGTTGCGGCACTGCTGCACCGTACACCTGAGGAACCGCCGCTGCGCCGTAAACTTGCGCCGTTTGCGGGGCGCCACCGTATACGTTCACCGGTGCCGCCGCAGCCTGTTGTCCGTACGCCATGCCGTATTGTTGTTGCTGCTGTTGAGCGGCGTACATTCTCTGGCCGTTCGGGCCGAACGTTTGGTTCGCCTTCTCAATCGCTTCGTTCACTAATCGTTCGCACTCTTTTACGTTCGCCGCGGTACCAGTGATGACGCAAGTTACAGGTTGTTTCGATCGATCCATTTGTACGTCGCACCCGGTTCTATCGCGAAGCAATTTCACGTGCGCGCCGCCTTTACCGATGATTCTACCTTCGTGGCCTTGGGTCGGGATGATAATTCTCGTTTGGCCTTCCGGGATGATCGGGTTGATGTTACTACCACCTTCCTTAGCACCGCCTTGTTGCTGTCCGTACACGTTAGCAGCACCACCGTAATACCCGCCGTACACGCCACCTCCGGCGCCGCCGCCCATTTGCATAGCCGCGTATTGCGAAGGCGTCATCATTTGTTGCTGTTGCTGTTGATTTTGCATCCTTTGCATCCCGAACGTATCCGTCTCTAAAGCCATGGTTTCTAAAACCACCTGTCTCGCTCGAATAACGTCTATTCGTTTGCCTTGCACGTTACAGATGCCCGAACCTTTGACGACTTTCAAGTTTGCTCCTGAGACGCGTTCGATGTCGCGAATCGTCGCGCCGCCTTTGCCAATCACTCGTCCTTCCTTTCCTGGGCACGGAATTTCAATCGCAACTTCTTGATCGTTCGGAATACCTCTCAACTCTTCCGGTAACGACTCCTCCTCGATGGAATACGCGTTCACGTTGGCGGCTGAAATCCCGTTCAACGTCTCGTGTTCCTTCAACACGGCGCCTTGTTGTATGCTCGACGCCGGATGTCTGTCCGCGATTGACCCGGTCTCGCACACCTCTTGAATGATTTTCTTACACTCTTCCATTTCGCTGGTCGGACCTTTCACTGCGCACGTGCCGCTCTCCCGGTCGATTTTAATCGACGCTCGGAACCTCGCTTCGATGTATTTCAAAGTTTCCCCTTTCTTCCCAATCAAACGTCCTTCGTTGCCTTTGATGTACACCGTCATCGTGCAGTTTTCCGGGTTAAGCGGGTCCGCGATCAACGATTCCAACGTTTTTACATCTTCCTTTTCTTTATCGTTGTCTGAATCGTCGTCGTCGGAAAACTCTTTCTTTTCTTCTTCTTCTTCTTCTTCCTTCTTCGATTTCTTCTTCGCGATCGAAACTTTTTTCTTCTTCTTCTTCGTGTCTTCTTCTTCTCCGTCTTCTTCTTTTTCAGACACGGGTAAAGATGGCTCTTCTTCTTCTTCCGAAGACGCTTTCCTTTTCTTCGTCGTTTTCTCTTCTTTTCCTTCGTCTTCTTCTTTCATCATAAAGTCTTTCAATTTCGCCGCCAAAGTCGCTTTTAACTCTTTCTTCTCGTACGCGATTTCTTTCTCATCCAAAAACGCTTTCAACTTCGCCACGGTCAGTTTGTCGATCTCCGCTTCCGTCATTTTTGATGACGATGATGTTCCCGCCATTATTATTATTACGCAGTATTATTACGTTGTTCTTCTTTGTCGTTCTTTAGTATGAGCAAAGAAGCGCGTTTAAAACTACTCGCAGAAGGAAGAGATGCTTTTGTGACGATTAATTCTCAAGGGTGAAAAGGAAAGCAATACGAGTTGTTTAGGGTTACAGTTAAAAAAATTTTGTCCTTCTTCTCTCAAAAATTCACAATCGACTCTTAGCGAGCAAAAAGTTTCGCTCGTCCACGCTCTCGAGAAAAGCTCTTTGGTACATTTTTTTTCTTTTCCTTTCTTCTTCCTCTTGGTCTTGGTCTTCTTTTTCTACTAGTTTGCTTCTATTATGACTATTACTATTATTACGAATCATCGAAGAAGATGACAAAGAAGAAAACAAAACATCGTTTGTTTTCATCAAAGACGAGGATTCAGACGACGACGCTAACGACGAAGACGATGAATTTGAATTTTTCATCTCTAAAACGGCTTCGACTAAAAACCGACCAATCAACGCTCTCGTCCACTCGCACCCGGGTTCGTGCAATAACAAGTGTCCTTTCGTGTGCGTGAGTTTGACGAACTGTTTATTTGGGATGGATTTCAACGAGCGCGAGAACAAGCGTTCGGTGGACTGCGCGCACGTCGCCGCGTCCTTCTCGGCGTGCACGGCGAGTATGTTTCTCGTTATCCCATCGAGACGTCCACTTTCACTCGCTTTTTCCAATCCTTTCATCGCTTTTAAAATCTCGTTCCCGAACCTCGCTCGCGCTTTCCCCACGTAATTAAACGGATCTTCCTCAAACTCTCTCGCCGTGGCCGCGTCTTCGGTTAAACTCTGCATCGTCGTCGCCGGAACGACTTTCATATTCGGCGTCGCTTTTGCAATCACCTCCCCAACCATTGCCAAAGCTTTCTTCTGCGCGGTCCATTTCACGTTAATCGCCGGCGCGATTAAAACAATCGCGAAAAAGTAGTTTTTCGGATACGTCATCGCGCAACGCAACGCGAACAACCCGCCTAAAGACACACCGGCTAAAGCGATTGGAACTTTGCGTCCAAATCTCATCTGTGCGTACTCCACCACCGCTCGGAAATCTTCCACGCACTTTTCAAAACTTTCAATCTGGTGTTTTATCTCGCAGTCGTAATTGTCCGATTTGCCGTGTCCGATGTGATCGAACGAAACCGAGGCGATGTTGTACTTTGCGCTCGCCCACAGGGAAAACGTTTCGGCAAATCTCGAGGAGTGTTCGTGTAACCCGTGGGAGAAAAGAACCACACAATTTATTATATTTCTTTTTGTCGCAGATGGCAAATCGGTGCGAACGAAGAGTTTTCGTTTCTTTTCGCCTCGTTCCAGGAAAAGGAAGTCTGACTCTCCCGTCGTCATCGCGTGTGTGTTCTTATTCTTATTCTTAAAAGTAGTAGTAAAGTAGTAGTAGTGTGAAGAGAAAATTCAGTTTTTAACGAACTCTTCTTATGAGAAGAGATACGAAAAAGAAAATTTAATTGACTGACACACTGAAAAGTCGTTGGTCTCTCCTTTCACGTTTAAGATACAAAACGACACACAAACACAGTCATAGGAGTAATACTCTATAAGAGAACAACACTAATAAAATGGGCGCGGCGGAGTCGAGCACTTCCTCTCGTCCTCCTGGAACGATGTTGTTGGCGAAGGAGCAACCGGAGAAGTCAAAACGAACGAACAGAGGGCCGAAACGTAAGTGCGTTTTGCTTTTCGATGATGACGATGAAAACGATGCGTCACATTCATCATCAACGTTACTCTTAAATCGAAAAGACGTTCTGAGATTAGTGTGGAACCTACCGAAACGCTTGAGACTTACCTGGCGAAAACTGTTCGACACGAACACGGACGGTTTATCGTTCACTCGTTTAGTCGAAAGTTTAACGAAGAACGAAGCGACATCGTTTTGTATCGCGGTGGAAACGAAAGAGAAAAAAGGAGAGATTTTTGGTGCCTTGATGGTCTTTCCCGAACGCGAAGGGTTGACACTGAACAAGACGGAGTGGCAAGGGTTAAGCGAGAGTTATCTGTTCACGTTTCCTCAAAAACAAGCGAACGTGAAAAGGCAACCGAAAAAGTTCTTGGCGAGTGCAAACACCGACGGTCATTATTGTTGGTGTTGTCGCGACATGGTCGCCTCGGAACGCTTTCCCAACGGGTTAGCTTTTGGAGGGAAAGAATATCCGATTAAACACTTCGCGATGTATATCGACGAACACATGGAGACACTGACGACGAGGAAAACTGGAGTGACGTACGAAGGGTGGGGATGTGAAGATTCAAACATTGAGAACGAAACGATGACGATTGAACGAGTGGAAGTGTGGCAGTGCGACGCCGAGGACGAGAGAGGCGAGAAGCCGAAGAAGAAAAACAACATCGTGGCAGAAATGGACGGGTCCGCCGCTGTGGCGGCGCAAAAAATGAAGATGAAAGGAGGAGAGAGTCACAAAAATGGTGATGGAGGTGTGTTATCGGAGAAACATCGCGAGGCGCGATTCTTGGCGACTGTTGGAAGCACGAAAATCGCATTAGAATAATAGATCCCAGAAGAAAAATAGATAAAACACGAGACGAGAGAGCGCGCGTGAAAAGAGTATATAGATACAACAAGAAGATTCTTTTTCAAATATAAAATTGATATTACATGTACAACAGTGTAGGTGGTAGAAAGTCTCGATACTAATGTTGCTCTCAACGACGGAACACACATTAATAATATTCTTCGTAATTATTAACAATTCAAACCGACAAACTCTTCGACAAACGTTTCCAGTTGCTTTTGCGCGGCTAAGTAGCTTTGCAACTGCAGTTGAATCGCCTCGTTCGCCGGTGAGCTTTTCAAAGCGGCTTCAAAAGTCGCTTTCGTGAACGAATCCGCCAAGGATTTGTCCACGTTCCTCGACCCAGCCGCGTTACGTACGTTGTCCGTCACGCCGCCGGCGGCGTTCGCGTTCAATTCTTTCAACACTCGCTCGTTGCACAAAATGTAATCGCACCCAGCCATAGCCCTCGCGTCTGCGGCGGATCGAATCGAAGCCGCTAAAATCTTACTCGGGCTCGCCACAGATTGAATGAAACTCTTCGTATCCTGCGCCAACGCCAAGGCATTTCCCCCGTACGAGTTGATTCTGGCGTAATAAATCTGAATCAAGCTCGCGTTGGCTTTCGCCGCCAACGCCGTTTGCTCCAAGCAATAACACAAGGTAGCGTGACACGGCACGCCTTTATTTTCCAACTGTCGCATCGCTTGCACGCCTTCCCACGTCGCTGGAATCTTGAACAAAAGCTTATTCGTCTCCACGTTCACCTCTCGAAACATCTTCATTAACCGTTCCGTCTTGCTCACGATGGCCTCCGCGCTCGACTTCTTCGCGTCCACCTCTACGCTCACTCTTCCGTCCACTCTGGCGGCAAACTTTGCCGCTAAATTCACCGTCGCTTTGTCGATGATTAACTCCAACTTCTCTTCTTTCGACATCGTCTCTCCTTCTTCTTTCTCTTTCGCGTAGACCAACGCGCCTTCCAAAGCGCCTTTATCGAAATTTTCCGCTTTTTGTATCGCGTGTAGTAAAATCGAGGGCGACACCGTCGCGGCTTGCGGGCCTAACATGCCGAACTCGTTTAACGCGGACTTTGTGTCGTATAAAACGGAGGAGACTTTTTGTAAATCCGAGAGTTCCGATTGGAGCACGGTAAATGGTGGTGATTCGTTTTCCGCGACCGCAGACAACCTTCTTCTCGTACTCATCGTGGAAAGATGATGAGACGAAGAATGCTGACTGGGAATACTTTTTTTTCTCGGAATCAATCGTCTTTGCGCGTTAGTCGTAAATGGGGTCGTTGTTACGTTTCCCAACGGTCTCGGCGGACTTCTCGCACCTTTTGGGGTTGTTGCGAACGAAAAGGAGGAGGTCGTGATGAGCTTTTGTTGATGAGCGATGAACATTTTTATTAAAGGTGTTCTTGTTGTTAATGTTGTTTGTTGTTGATGTAATGGAGACAAGTTGCCTTTTTACGAACGAGAAGAGGGAGAATTGAGATATTTTTTTCATTCAAGTGAATGTGCTTTTTGTTGTTAAAATTGAAAAACAGCTCCTCTCTCTTCTATCTAATTTGTTACATCTCTCCTCCTCTTTATTCTCAGTCTCCAACTTCTCTCTCTCTCTCTCTCTCTCTCTTCACCCTCTCTTCACCCTCTCTTCACCCTCTCTATGTATATAAATGAATGATCCGTATCATCATCTACTTCCTCTAAAAAAAAGCTACTACGCGTAAATTTTAAACAATGTAAAATTTAGTTGTCTTCTTGCTTTCTTTGCTCTTCGAGGATGGTCAACTTGATACCCTTGCCCTTCGGCAAAGAAACCATCGGCTTGTTGCCGGTACCAATGGCGAAAACGTTCGAGAATCGGGTGGCAAAGTTTTGGCCAGCGGCATCGGTCAAGTGGACGACTTCAAAGGAGCCCTTGTGCTTTTCGCGTCTGTTGACGATACCGACACGACCGGCGTTTCTACCACCGGTAACCATGCACAAAGCACCGGCGTCAAACTTGACAAAGTCGGTGATTTTGTTGGAAGCGATGTCAACCATGACGGAGTCACCTTCCTTGATCATAGGATCCGGGTATCGGATGGTTCTCGAGTCGTGCAACTGCACGCACGGAACGCCCTTGTCGCCCAACTTCTTCTTGATCACCTTGCACAACTTGTATTGCGCTTCAATACCGGTGATTCTGTGCACGACAAATCGACCTTTCTGGTCGTACATCAAACGGAAGTGTTCGTCCGTCTTTTCAATGTCGACAACGTCCATGATACCGCACGGATAGCACTTCTCCATTCGAATTTTACCGTCAACCTTGACCAAGCGTTGTTGAAGAATCGTCGTGACTTCCTTGTAGTTCAACGCGTACTTCAAACGGTTTCTCAAGATCAAGCACAACGGGAGGCATTCGCGAGACTTGTGCGGACCTAAATTTGTTTTACAGTAAAGAGAATGATAAAGAAGAGATGTCAGTTTACTTTCTTGAATTTTTTTTAGGAGTTAAAAAGAGAAACTTTGTGTTGACACAGAAGTCCTAAAGACGAGCTTTTGAGCGCCCACCAAGCGCAATCTGCGGCGCAATCATCGCGTCTCACACAGCCTTCTTCCGAACGATATAAACGATCAATCGCGCGATATTCGTTCGCTATGAACACTCCGCCGTGCGAATGAAATGCTTTCAAACGAATCTCGTCGACGACATCCATATCTTCGCCGCCTTTTTTAGAAAAAATGCTCTTCCAAGGCGCCATTTTGCAGCTTTTGGTGGAAAACACATCTCTATAACGCGACGACAAAAGAAGAAGAAGAAGAAGAAAAGATCGCGCGTGCGAACGCCAAGAGAGAGATGCAACGCAACACTCGAACAGAAACACTCTTCGTGCGTGTAATTCCATCATCGTTTCTTTATCGTTCGCGCGTTCATCATCGCCAACAATCTCTTTTCCTCCTTTCTCTTTCGCGCTCATTCCATTTTACGCGTAATAAAAAGAAATCTAAGAACAACAAAAGCGACGTACCCGGTGCCGGCTTCGGCGCGAAAACGCCCGTCAGCTTATCCAACATCCACGATTTCGGCGCGTTTAAGCGCTTCAAGTGTTTCTTCGGACCTCGAACCATGATGAATAATATTAATGCGTGTTTACGAGGAGGAGGATTTTATTATGAGGGTCTTTCGTCTGGCTTTGCAAAAATTTCAACACAATTTTTAGGCGAGAAACGAGTGAAAAAATTCCAACGTTTTCACACAAAAAGCGCTTCGAATAACGAAAACTCTATCTATCTATTACGACGACGATGACGACGACGACGACGACGACGATGCACCAACACCAAGGGATGATGACGACGACGACGACGACGATGCACCACCACCACCAACAACAACAACAACAAGGACGACGACGACCACAAAAAACGCGGCGCCTCTTTTTTTCTTCCGCAAACAAGAACAATCACAAGGCGGCGAATTTGTCGTCTTCTTCAATGTCTTCATCTTTGTCGAGCAGCGCTCTTTTCTGCCGTCGTCGTGCCAGGAGGCAATCGTCTTTCTCCTTAAAAGCGTCGACGTCGTACGATTCAGACGATGACAATGATGAGAGGAGAAGAAGGAAAAGGACGAGGATGAAGTCCGCCGCTGCTGATGGAAATACTAATCATAATAATAACAACGAAAACAACAACAACAACAAGAACAACGATGGATTTAAATCGGTGCAAGATATCGACGATTACATAATCAACCCGAAAGAAATCACCGATTTAATCGACTCGGACCCGTCCGTGTTGAAAGAAATCGAAAAGTTGAAAGAGGAGAGCAAAAAAGTCGCCTCGGAAGCCATCGAAAAGTTGAAAACGAGCAACGAGAACGAGTTGCGAGAGACGTTTCAGAAAACAACCGAGAGAGTCGTTTCCGCGCAATCAGAGGCAGAATCGGCGGCGATGGACGAGTTGAAGATTCAAGAGGAGAGGATGCGAAAAGCGGAGGAAAATTTACGCGCTATCGCGGAAGAGACGAAGCGATTGAGAGAGGAAGGAGAAGGAAAAGGGGGAGAAAACGAGGAAGAGAAGAGGGAAAGAAAAGATCGCGATCGGATTGAAAGCGCGAAAGTTGGTACCGTATCCGCCATTGGTGGCGTCCTCTTATCGTTGCCGTTAGCCTTGTCGCAATTTAGCGGGAACGCGTTTAATCAATTCGCCGACGTAGGCGCGACGGCGCTCTCGTGCGCGCTCTTCGGCATCGTGTATAGATACGCCGTTCGGGAAAACATCGACGATTTCCAACTGAAAGGCGGCGTCGTCGGTGCGTTTGGCTTAGTTCGAGGCGTCGGCCAAGCCGAGGTTTTCATGGACGTCGCTTCGAATAACGACGAGTTATCTTTCGCGGCGTTTGCGCAAGCGGCGGCGATTTGCGGCGAATCCGTTTTGGTCTTCTTGTTCGCCGGTTTGTGCGTGGAAGCGGCGATGACGCGCGAATTCATACTGAGAAAAAGCGGAAAAGAGTGATGATTATTGATTACTACTGATTACTACGCGTACTTTAAATTAAACGAATCTATATTTTATTTAATCTAACAACTGCCCTTCCAAAACCATCAGCTGCGCTTTCAACACTCGACACCTCTCCTCGGTGACTTTCTGCGCGCACCACAATTTCATCAACTCCTCGTCGTCTCTCATCTTTGCCTCTCTTTGCTTCCACAACATCTCGTGTTTCGATTTCGCCTCGCACTCCTCGTACGCGAACGACACTTTTTTCTTCTTTGTCTTCTTCTTCTTGCCCTTGCTTTCCTCGTGGTCGTTCTCGTTCTCGTTCTCGTCCTCCTCCTCTTCCTCCTCGACGACGCGTTTACTTTTCTTCACCACTTTCTCCCAAAAGCTCTTCCTCGGTTTGTGAAAAATCAGTTCTTCTCTGTTCTCTACCACGAGTGGTTTCTTCGTCGTTTGTGGTCCTGTTTTCGCGATTTCGTCCGCGTCTGGGAACAGTTTCAAATTCGCCATCAACTTCTCCTTTTCTTCGCCCACTTCCGGTCTGAATTTAATCTCGATCCCAATCTCAAACTCGCCCCATCCGGTTTCCGTGACCTCGTACGGCGGTTCCGTTAAAACTCTTTTCGGTTCCGCGAACGAAGGGTGCAGCTGAAACGTGACCGATTCAACCACCTCTTGCACGTCGATGTTGTTTTGCCCTCGAACAAAAACCGTCCACTCGTGCGAGTGGTACTCGTCCGCTTTTTTTCCCAACCAATAGGCGACGGACCCGTACGAAATCGGTAAAATGAATTCCTCGTCTGGTATTCGCGGGTTTTGTTCGTTGTCCAGGTAATTTTCCAAAATTGCTTTATTATTCTCGCTCGAATTCGCATTCGTATTATTGGTGTTCTCCATTTTTATACACTCGTCCTTCTCGTCAGTCCTCTCTTCTCTTCTCTAGATGATGATACAAAGTGTGTTGAATTGAATCGAATTGAATCTTGAATTTTTAAGGGGACAAAAAAAAACTTAAAGGAAAAAAAAGTTTAGGGCTTCAACCCTATTTCAAGAGCACCTTTCAAAAAGGGCAGAGGAAGAAAAAAAAAATTTTCGATCGATCGTCTTTCTGCTCCTTGAGAGAGTAACGCGCTTGTTGTATCACCACGCTTTAAAATTGATTGAGGTATCATCATGTTGAGCAGAGCGGCGAAGCGCGCCGTTTTAGCGGCGAGATCTTGTGTGTTGGCGGCGGAATCCTCGACTTCCTCGTTGAGCTCGTCGAGTGCATCCATCTCGTTTTTCAATCGAACCATAAAAACGGGGGCTTCCTCGACATCATCATCATCATCACAAGCATCATCATCGAATACTAACAGAGGGTACGCGGCGGGCGCAGCGTTAGGAAGCGCTTTATCCGTAGCCGCGGTATCAACAACATTCGTCGCGTCAGCAGACGAAGCCGAGCACGGGTTACACTTACCGCAATATTCCTGGCCACACGACGGTTTGTTCGATGCCTACGACCACGCGAGCATACGACGTGGCCACCAAGTGTATCAACAAGTCTGCGCGGCGTGTCACTCTTTGAATCAAATCTGCTACAGAAACTTAGTGGACGTGGCGTATACCGAGCAAGAGGTGAAAACGATGGCGGAGGAGATTGAAATCACGGACGGGCCGGACGATACCGGGGAAATGTTTGAACGACCGGGGAAGTTGAGCGATAGGTTACCGAGTCCGTACGCAAACGAGGAAGGCGCGAGGTACGCGAACAACGGAGCGTATCCGCCGGATTTGAGTTTGATCACGAAAGCGAGACACGATGGGATTAACTACGTGTTTGCGCTGTTGTTGGGGTACAGAGATGCTCCGGCAGGGATTGAAATCAGAGATGGTTTGTATTATAATCCGTACTTTCCGGGAGGCGCGATCGCGATGCCGAAGATGTTGGTGGACGGCGGAGTGGAATACGACGACGGGACCATAGCCACGGAAACGCAAATGGCGAAGGATGTGACGACGTTTTTAGCGTGGGCGGCAGAGCCTGAGCACGACGATAGAAAATTGATGGGTGCCAAGTGGATGTTTGCCATGGCGTTGCTGACAGTGACCGCGGTGTATCAAAAGAGGTACATCTGGTCGCAGTTGAAATCGAGACGGGTTATCGTGGACGCGGTGAGATAAACTGTGTGAGAGAGAGAGAGAGGAGATCTTGTGTGTTGCACACTAAATAACTACACTATATACTATTATTAAAAGCAGTTATATACTATATGATATATATGATATACAATCATGCATCATCACTTCGCGGAGGTCCGAATGGAACTCCATTTGTAGGAAACGACGTCTTCGTCGTCCTTCGCGTTTGCGTTCATGCTCTCTCGCATGGTTTTCAAATCAGCTTCGATTTCGCGTTTGCGTTCCATGAGTTCCGGAGGTAAAACGTTGTTATTTGAAGACGACGAGACTAAGACGATGTATTCCTCTTCCTTCTCTTTCTCTTCGATCAACTGTTTCAAACTTTCCCTCGCCGCGACGCGCATTAATTTACACTTTTCAATCGCCATCGAGGCGGCGTTTTGCAACACTTTCGCGTCGGAACCGTTGTCCGAAGCGATTAAAATTTCGCAAATTTCCGCGCATTCTTCCAACTTTTCTTCGCTCACGCGAACTTCCGTTATGACGTGAGTAGATAAATCTCTCTCTTCCGTTGGTCCACCGGCGCGCAAACCGTTCTTGTTCTTTTTGTTTTTGTTTTTTCTGGACTTTTTGTTTCTGCGACCGCCAACGGTGGACGCGGACCATCGCGAGGAAGATTGTTGACTTATGGCAGAGCCATCTCCGAATTGCGTGCTGGTGGCGTATAAAGAATACCCAGAGACATTTGAAAACTCAGAGTTCATTTCAGAGATGTCGTCGTATTCTTCATCTTCCGATCCATCCAAGGTAGCGCGTCTCGGCCTCGTGCGCCCTTCTTCGATGCTCGCAAATGTTCTCTTATACAATTTGCGTCGTTCTTGCAGACCAATCAAACGCTCTTTGTACTTATCGCTTCGCGCTTGCACGTCTTCGAAGTGCTCGAGAAGTTTCGTGGCGCCAACCACGCACTCCGGAAACACAGTCGTTTCGAACACATCGCTTCGATTTTTGGCGAAGCACGTCAATTTTGCATCTCTCCATTTGTTTGCCAACGCGAAATTTGCCACCGCGCGTTCCACGTCATTGAGATAATCCAAGGCAATAATAGCCGCAGAAACATAATCGCTCGACGCTTGCTCCAAGTTTTTACACGTTTCGCTCGCGAGTTTCACCATCTCTTCGTCGGAAAATTTTAACTTTTCCTTGGCGACGATAAATCCGGAACGCCACGACGACGATCCAGATCCGGTAGATTTTGACGACGACGATGAAGATGATGACACGCCGGTGAAGCATCTCAACGCGCTTTCGTAATCACCGCACTTCAAGTACGCAACACCTGCGTCTTCAGATCGATTTACGACGCTTTCCAAGTACCGAGCGTGGTATTTCGTGATGACTTTCTTGGTTTCAAAATCGTCGCCGTTTTCATCTTCTTCGCAGAGTTCATGCAAGTACGGAAATAACCCGTGTTTTGCGGCCACGGTTGATGCTTTTTCGAGCGATTTATCTTTCAACCAAAACTTAGCGGCATCTTTCCACATCTCCAGACGCTCAGAAATCGTCGCTTGGCGTTCAAACTCGCGCATTTCGTGCAAGTGTTGCAACTCCGGCATAAACTCACCCGGGTCCATGGCTTGGGAATTCATGGCGACGAGATGCGCGACGGCTAAATCGCCGGTCGATAACGCGGCGTCGAATAACTCGCGATCATTGGTGAGAAAGAGTAAGTGCTTCAACATGCGCGCCGCGGAAACGGTTTGTTTTGTAAACTGTGCGCCGATAAACTCGGTTTCATCCGCGTCGGAGGAATCCGAATTCATGACGTCGTTCGCGGCGGCAACCGAAGACGCCGAAACATTTTTTGTACTCATCGCTTTGTTCGAGGCATCTTTGATTTCAAACGCTCGAACTTCAGCAACGATCTCTAGCGCGTCCGCCAAGTCTTTGCGTTTGGCAGCTTTGATGGATAGCACGTCGTTGTTGTCTTTTTTATTACTCTCTGCGTGGGTGTCCAAGAACGAACCAGTGCCGCAAGCGTACGAGGTCAACATCGCGAGTGACCATCGCGATGTGCCGTCCCCAGCATTCATGTACAAATTCGAAATCGATGTTCGTATCGCTTCGCACGTTCTTCGGATTTTCTGCACCCCAAGATCTTCCAACATTTGTTTTCGATCCGGACACTCTGCGTACGCGCTCGCGCAGAGCTTGCGCATGTACCCGCCATCCTCCGCGAATGCGTCGCCAACCCGCAACGCTTCCAACAGCTCCATCACGTGTTCTGGCGTTTCTAATCCTCGAACTAAATCGTCCGCGTTCGGATGTTCTATGGATGATGGGAAATCATAATCGATTAAAACGTTCAAATCGACGCGCTCTTTCGAGCACAAACGGAACGCGGTTTTGAAATGTCGCATTTTCAAGCTCTTGGCGATGGATGGCAACACGAGCGCTTTCGGCGATATGATTTCCAAATTTCCTCTAGGCTGTTGCAAAATGACAGTACACGATCCAGGCGGTATGGCAGCAATTCGTGAACCGCGCTCGACAGAGCGTTTGGCCATATCCGCGAAATTCGCCCCCGCGTTTGCCGCGACCGAAGACGATGGAGTTGCAAAATCGGCGTCGTCCGGGCGCATCGCGGCGCGCATTTTGCCGTGTAAAGAATCAAACGCCAACTCACCAAGTCGTGTCTTACCGTCGCCGGAGACGTCTTTCCAGTTACGTCTCGCCGCGACTGGGTCGATGATGTTATTGAAAAACGCTTGCGATTCCAGTGACTTTGAAAGTTGATCCACCACCGCGGCGCTCGATTTGTTATTCGATAAAGACAGACGCACGACACGAAGTTTTGAGTCTCGCGAGACGCACGCGATTGCGTTTGGCGTAGAAACGGTTTTGTAATACTGTTTCCTTCCTTCTGCGTCGCAACTTTTTACCCACGTGTTATTTTCGTCCTCGTAAAACGCTTCGAAGGAATCGACGTTTTTCATCAGAAGAAGACGTTTATCGTCATCGCCGCCGAGAATACGATAGAGAAACAAATCCCCGTTTGAGTACAACGCGACGACTTGACCGTTCGCGAGGGCTTTTGCTTTATGCAACTCGTGCGTGATAACGTTCTCGTCAGATGGTGTCGATGCTGCGATGTTTAATTGCTTTGCATCAGACGTTGAGAAAATCAGAGGCGTCTTTTCACCGGCGACAAACGCCACGAGAAGTCCATCTTTATCATCATCATTACCATTACAGCAATGCGCGAGTTTCGTCACAACTCTTCCACGTCGTGTATTCTCCAACTCGATCACGGACACTTTTACAATTTTACTGTACTCATCATCCAGTTCGATTTTGTGAATGATGGATTCGTTTGTACTACTCACGCACGCGAGCGCGTTCGCGCCGATCCAACAATACGAGCGGAACTCGTCTCTTTTCTCCAGGCTAAATGGCATCGTCATCGTCTCTTCGACTACTGATTTCTTGTCATTTCGTTCATCAAACAATTCTTCGGCTTCCGCGTTTCCGTTGACGCGAACTACTTTGTATCGTCCATCGTGTAAAGAGACGAAACAGACTTCGTCTTCTTCATCGTTTTCGAGCGATCGACGAAAAGCGTTCGGTCTCCACGCAACCTCTGATATTTTCGCCGGGAACCGTAGAGAATGGTCGCACATTGGCGGCGGAACGACGCAGCGCGAGAACGGCGTCAATTTGAGAATCTCACCATCGATAACTGCCGCGGTGCCTAAATCAGAACTCGTGCAATCTTCCCAAACGAAAGTTTGCGTGTTTACTTCGACTTCGTCCTCTCCGTTTGTCGAAACGATTCGGAGCGTGTTTGGATGAATAGCATCAAATTCCGCATACTTCGACAACGAGGCATATATCTCTCCATCATCTGCGTTGTTACTGCTATAGCTATCTTCAATGCATCGTTTACAGGTCCAATTGGCGTTTCCGCGAGTCCATATCGACGCCGCGCTTCTGAGCTTCTCTTTGTCGTACGTTGAAATTGCCAACGTCAACGAATCTACGGACCAACTCAAATGCGTAATCTTCGAACCTTGAAACCCGCGCATGAGTAAGGAGGATCGCCGTAAGCCGTTTTTCTCGTAAAATACGACGCATGGGACTTTCTCTTCTTCCTTTTCGGCGTTATTATTAGTGCTATTTCTACTACTACTCGCCGCAACGCCTGAAACCGCGATCAACGCGCCTCGCGGTTGCCACGCGATGGCGGCGTTCTCGCCCATTCTACCCGGTCCAGTCTCGTCGTCTTCGTGATCAACATCTCCTCTGCCTAATATCTCCAACTTATCTCTTGAATACGTTCGCAAGTGATTCTTCCCATCTTTCAATGTCGTGCAATACACGCAAAAACTCTCGCCGTCATTTCGCCAGGTAATTTTACCAGATTTGATCGTCTCCTCTTCCTCTTCCTTTTCCTCGTCCACGTCTTCTAAACAGCTCTCTCTTTCGTTTAGCAAATAAAAATCCCCGTTCATGATGAGAATCTTCCCACTTTTCGTCAACACCGCGCACATTTGCCCATCCGGCGAGAACTTGGCCGAGACGCACCCGCTCGGAACGTCCGCCACGCGCTCCACGTCCAAAGACGACGACGACGACGAGGAAGAAGAAAAACTGCTATCGTTCACGAGCAACAACTCGCCTCTTTCTAACGCGACGAACGTCGCTCGCAACTCCGGAAGTCGTTCCACGGAAACCGCGTTTCTTCTTCTCTTCTTGGATTTGCTTTTATTTTCTTCGTCTTCGTCTTCGTCTTCCTCCTCGGTATCTTTCAACAGAATCATCCTCCTTTTTGTCTTCTTCGCATCGTGTTCTTCTTCTTCTTCTTCTTTCCCATTTTCAACAAAACACCGAGCGCGAACCACGTGTCCGCTTTCCAAACAAACGAACGCGTGCTTTCGCTCTTCGTCCAAAGACGGCGCGCAGGAGATTGTGTTCGTATTCTTACGTTGTTGACTTTTCCTCCTCCTCCGTTGTGATTCTTCGTCTTCGCCGCCGACGAATCCGCCGTCGTTGAATTCGTCTTCTCGGACGGTGAAAGAGGAGGAGAAAAATGTCTTCGTTCGCGCGAGAGAACGAGACGAAGGAAGCAAGTTTCTCATTACGTATATTTATATATATCGCGTCTTCTTTTGCGGTAGGTTATGAGTGCTTCTCCTGTTGTTACACACGATGTGTCTTCTTCTTCTTCTTTTTCTGTTTCTGCGCGTCTTCTTCTGTCGGTTTTTTAAGTGCTTTTTTTATTCGTAGTACTCTCAAACTAAAAATGTACCTACGAGTACGAGTACTAATTGCGTCATAACAAACAAGCGACGCTCTCTTTGACGCCGTTGACTTCTCGACCGCTTAATCGGACGCGAGTGCCGTTTACGGTGACCTTAGCTTTGGCTTCTTCTTCTTCTTCTTCTTCTTCTTCTTGTTCTTCTTCTTCATCTTTGTCGTCGTCGTCGTCAAATTCGTCCTCGTCTTCTCGCAGAAGAACAGAGTTTGGCGGCTGTTCGTCCTCGTTCTCGGTATCGTCCTCGGTATCCTCTGCCACGTTTATATCGTTGTATTCTAAATCTAAAGCTAACTCTTCGTTTCTTGTGGTAAGAAAGTTCGTGTCGCGCTCTCGCTCCATTTTTTGTTTCTTCCTCGGCGTAAACGCGTCCGATTCTAGGACAATCTTCTCGTCGTCGCCCTCGTCGCCGAGTTCGCGAGGGGGAAATAGAGCTCGTATCGGTGCGCCTATGGGTGCTCCTGGAATCCATTCTCCTGGCTTTGCTTTTCTCCACGCGATAGTATCTTCTTCTTCTTTTTGTCGCTTCTTGTTGTTGTTTTGCGTTTTTGCGTTTTTCTTTTTATTCTTACTTCCTCCTCCATCCGCGGCGATTGCGCCCCCGCCCCCGTCCAAAGATAACAACGTCTGAAACTTATTCTGAACGTATTCGCTCGTATTCGAACCTCTAACGCTATCATTACCGCGTCTCTGATACCATTCGGCGATAAATGTTGCTTTCGCCACGTCGCGAGAAACCGCGTGTTTCCACGCGAACTCGAATATAGGATTTATAATCTGTCGCGCGTCGTTCGCCAAGTCGTGAAGAAGTTCTTCGGTGCCAAACTCTAGGATGGCGCAGCTAAATCCGTCGACGACTCTCGAATCGATTTGGTCGATGACGTTAGAAAATGCCCGAACGATCTCGTCCGTGTTGTTCTTCTCTCCGAGGTCTTCGTCGGGGTCCGTTTTGTCGTAAGAAGAGTTCTCAACGATCAAAAGCATTTCCTCCTCCTTCGCGTCTAATAATTCTCGAACAAAAGCGTGCACTAACATGCGGTCTGGTTTCGATCTTGGCACCAACCGTTTCAAACGTCCAACCGCGCTGTTTTTCGTTTTTTTCCTCGTCTCCTTCTCCCGTTTCATTTTATTCGCTTTCTCTGTTTTCGCGTGCATTTCCTCTTCGCTGTCGTACATGCTCTCGTCGTCGTCGGAACTGTTCGACTCGTCTTTGCTTTTTTTCACATTTTGTCCTCTTTCGCACTCGACCATCGCTCGAATTACCAATCGCATCTCCTCTGTGACGTGTTCTAATTTCCGTTTCTGCCGTTCCCAATAATTCGCGTCTAACCACCCAATCGCGTCTTCGCTCGCTTTCCTTAACCGCTGTATCGAGGGTAACTGATTATGCGTTGAATCGTGTCGAATATCTACAAGCGTTCTCGGGACGTTCAGTTGCGTCGCGAGCGTTTGGACGCTCATTGCAAACTTGCCTTTTTGCGAAGGATCGCAAATACCGTTCACCAGTCGAGTTAACGTCATCGCGTACGAAAGTCTCAAGGTTGATTCATTCCTCCTTCTCTTTTTCTCTCGCATCACCTCTTCGTCCATCAGTTGCAACTCCACAATCTGCGCGTGCGCGTCGATCGCCAAGGGCACTCGGCCTCTCACTCTCCACATTTGCACTATTTCTAACGCTCTTCTTTTGTTCTTTTCTTCTTGGTCTTCTTCTTCTTCGTTGTCTTCTTCTTCTTTACCATCATCAGCAACGGTTGTTGGTAATGGTAACGGCAACGCGTTCTTCTCATCTTCGCACAAAAGAGTCTCCTCTCTTCTTCTCGTCGCACTCCTCAAAAAGCGAGACCTCCTCGACGACGACGTAATAAACGACCCAAACGATTTTGACGACGACGACGAGATCGATAAAAGATTAAAAGCGTCTCGGACGAACGCCCACTCCTCCCACGAGTGCCACGGGACGAATCGTGTGTTCGCCATATATTTTGTTCGTTTGGTGCTTCTCCTCTTCTTCTTCTTCTTTGTCTTCTTCTGCGCTTTTTCTCTCTGTGCTTCGTTCTTCTGCTTTTTTTTTGTTTAGGGTTGTTTACACCCTAAACTGAAACGTAGTTCTTTGCACCACCACGTTTTGTTTCTGAACACCCCAACGTGTTGTGTTGAATAATCTTTTTCTCATAAGCTCTCCGTTTTGTTCTTTTGAGAAGAAGACAAAGAAGGAGGAAAAGACTGAATACAGAATAAAGATGGGTGTGCAGATTTCGTGGGGAGAACTCTTCTCCCCGATGACGTATGTAAAATTCACGAAGAAAATAAACATCCCTCGCGCGACGTGTTTCGTCGTCTCCGTAATTTCCGGGAGGAAATGTTTGTCCAGAGGAGGAGGATCATCATCATCATCGGGAGAAGAAGGAACAGAAGAATCCTTGGTAACGCAATCGCTCTTCACCGCGCCGATGATCGTGTTCATGCGAGAGTTTCTCGTTGGTACGAGCGAGTCGAGACGGAACGCGTTGCTCGGTGTGGCCACCCCGGTGGTCGCGTCTGTCGTGAGATTGCGATGGATGAAAAAACTGACCGCCTCGGAAGTCGTGAGGGTGTTTGTTCCAGAGAAAGAGAAAAACAAAGCGAAGAAAACGAGCACGACAAAAACACTGTTAAAAACTGGGAAACACGTCATCTCGTACAAGAAATTCATCGAGAACCATTGCGACGACAAAGGGTTGGTGAACGCGTTTTCGGTGTTGGTGCTCGCGGCGTCGGTTATGCCGGAAGATTTGAGAGAAATGAGTTTCTTACCGGGCGGACCGGTGGTGCGTATTTTCAGCGACAGGTTCAAATTCGGCATCGACGCCGTGCAATTGCCGAAATTGAACATGCCCAGAGTTGGGAACTTTTTCGTTTTTGACGTGTATTCGGCGCAGAACGAAACGTTGTTTGGAGGTCGAGGCCAAGGGTTCAGGTACAATCTCTTCTTGACGCCGAGATACCTGGCGTTTGATTTACCGAGATACGCGTTCAAACAGTTCAAACAATCGAAATTGGCGAAAGCGAAGTGCATCGTCAAATCCCAAAAGTTTGGGTTTGAACTCGACTTGATCGAAACGTTCAATCCGTTCACGTTACCGCAACGAGTGTTTTTCCGCGCGAGCAAAGTGGTTGGTCGAGTCGGCAACGCCGTGATTGCGAAACCGGCGCAGATGGCGCAGAGACAATTCGTTCGAACGGTCTTACGAAGAGAACCGAGAGCGCCGAGACAGTTGACGTTTTTCGAACGCTTGCAAGTTATGCTCGGATTGGCCGATCCGGAGCAAATTGCCAACGAACCAGAATCGCCGAGAAGTTCGTTGTTGCCGTTCTCGAAGCCAGAGGCGCCGAGCTCGAAATCTGCCTCCAAAAACGGCAGCAAAAGAGGCTCCAAGGCGAGCTCAAAAGCGGCATCGGGAAGAAGCACGCCCGCGTTGGCCATCTTTGGCAGCAATAACGACGAAAGCACCATCAGTGGAACAAAAAAGAACGAAAAGAAAAACAAGAATAACAAAACCGACACCAAGAAAGACTCTACTTCTTACGAGAAAGCTTCCTCCTCCGCCTCCGTCTCGAAGAAGAAAACCTCCAACGACGCCGCCGCCGCCGCCTCCTCCGCGTCCGATTTGACGCAACTGTTACCGAGATTAAAATCCTTCTCCGAAATCAAAGAAGACGTGGACTCGTTCTTCCAAGGCACGCCGGAAGAGCAAGCCGCGAGAAAGAAAACCCAAGAAGAGGCGAAGAAGAAATTCGAACAGGAGCAAAAAAAGAAGCAAAAAGAGTTGGCGCAAAAACGCGAGCGCGAGTTGAAAGAACAAAAGAAGAAAGCGCAGGAAGAGGAAAGGTTGAGAGAGTTGGCGGAAGCCGATGGCAGGCGAATGGTCGAAGTGAACGATTCGTACTTTAACAGATACGTTCCGGACGTCGCGGAAACTTTACCCGCTTTCAAAGCGCCTTCCGCCGTGGAAGTCCCGAAGAAGTAAAATAAACCGCGCCAACTCGCGTCTCTTTATATCATCATCGCGCGATGATAAAGAGAGAGAGAGAGAGAGAAAAGAAGACAAAGAAGACCAATGTTTACTCCTGTTACAACACTTTACGAGGAGAGAAGAAGAGAGCGCCAGCCGTTTATACACTATTATTATTTGAAAAAGCGCTTTTGTTGTTATATTTTTATTTTTATCATCCCTCACTTAGTTAAAAACGGATTCATCATCACACTTAAAAGAATAGAACATCTCTTTGCGCGTGTGTAACGGCAAGGAGAGAGAGAAGAAAGAGAATGCAGAGAAGAGGAATGCATCGTTTTTCTGTCCTCTTAATCTTCGATCTTTTTGCGCTTTTGATGCTTGGAACGACGAGAGGAAATGATTTTGATGGGACAATCGCAAGAACGAGAACGAGGACGAGAACGAGGAAAGGAGGAGGATATGTCGATGATTACGATTTTGATGCTACTGTTGATGATGATGCACGCTTTGGTGGTGGCGTTCAAGGCTGGGCGGCAGAGTCATCGGAAAGGAATTTGTATTCGCTTTCATCATCAACAACAAGACAAAAATCGAGAAGAAAAAGCACCTCCTCCTCCTCCTTCTCGGTACTACAAAACGCTCGAAAATCGGACGTGAGATTGCATCCGTATCCTCACGTCGTCATCGAAAACTGCTTACCTGATGACGTTTACGAAGAGCTCGAAAAATTTTACCCGAAGCACGAAGATATAGTGCAGATTGCCAAACCTGGGAGGACTTCGATTGCCGCGAACACGAGAGTCGATTTGCGAGCGTCGATGGTGTTAAGTAGTAAGAAACAAATAGTATCAAAAGCGTGGGAGGAGTTCATCAGGTATCACTCCAGTCGAGAATTTTACGAAGAAGTCATCGATTTATTCGGGGAGGAGGTCTTTACAAAGTATCACGGCAGATTGGAGGAGAAATACGGACTTAAGCTGCGAGAGATGGAGACGGAAGTTCGGTTGATGAGCAGAAAGAAAAATCCAGCTACTGTTACTTTGGACGCCCAGATAGGAGTAAACACGCCGGTGATAAAAGGCCAGAGTCGCGTTCGTGGATTACACGTGGATAATGCGCACGAATTATACGCGGGATTGCTGTATTTTCGCGACAAAAATGATCCGGCGAAAGGGGGTAATTTGGAGGTGTTCGAGTGTTTACTTGGCGCCGGCGCGTGCGAAGAGTATAGCGAAGCGGAAAGATGGAAACACAGAAAGAAAATAGGCTGGGACGTACAATTTAAGAACTCAGGGGATTTCAAGTTAGTCGCGGAAGTTCCGTACGAGAAGAACCAATTCGTGATGTTCATTAACTCGAATTCGAGTTACCACGCGGTCAGTCCGAGAAGTGCGAGTGCGTATCCCAGGCGGCTGATAAACATTGCTGCGAATGAGTATTACAAGAAGGAGAATTAATTAATTCTCAGTATTATGTGACAACTTTGCGCGCAAAGAGTTGAGAAGCTGTTTTAGTTGTAGTAGGTAGTGTATAATAATAGCATGCAAAATGAAAATGCATCATAACAACGGAGCGCGAGCGATGGTAGCATTATCGTCGGCGTCGTCTTCATCATCTTCATCATCGTCTTCATCGTCTTCCTCATCCTCTTCATCCTCCTCGGAACTTCCGGCGAATTTCATCGCGCCTATGAACCCATAGACAATCAACGCGCACCCGCAAAACATTGCAAAAATACCTCCAGTCGTTCGCGTCCACACCTCCTCGTCCGCTCTCACAAACAAAAGCTCGGCAACCGCCGAAAGAGGGATTTGTAACAGCAAACCGATGGAAGCGACCGAGGCTCCGAGCTCGGCAACCCCGACGCACCACAAGTATTCCGCCAACGCGTTATCGATCAGGCCTTTCAAAACAATCATCCCGCCACTTTTGTTCATGGACAATATCGATTTTCGCATCGTACATAAAACGATGACGAACGCGAACGTGCCGACGCTCGCGAGAATCTGTCGCGATTTCGAATCCTTGATGGCGGCGAGGAGCTCTTTCTTCGCCTCCGTTTTCATCTGCCGTCGTCCCGTAATTTCTTCTGCTGCTCCTTCATTTACCTCTGCTGCCTCTCTCTCTCTCTCCTCGTCTTCTTCGTCTTCGTCTTCGTCTTCCTCCTCCTCTTCCTCGCGTTCCTCGCGTTCCTCTAACAACACGCCGCCTACTCTATTATTCCTAGAAAAATTTTGATTGCTACTCCTACTCCTATTCTCGTCGCGATGACCGTCGCTCACTTTCACCGCGTTCAACGCGATTTCCACCTCCGTGGCGTAACCGGCGTAACACACCGCGCTCGCTAAAATGAGCAACACGCCCCACGCGGTGTCCATGTTCACAAAAGAAGAATAACTGTTATAACTATTATTTTCGTTCCGGGTTCTCGGCGAATCCTCGTCGCCGCCTGCAGTCATACCCGAAGCACCACCGAAAGTGGTCTCATCGTCCGCGACTGCCGTCAAAACCACTCCTATTGCGACGAGTCCGAGTGCTTTTAAAAACCCGTTCGAATCTCTCACCGGTTTTTCCAGCCCTCTGTAAATCCCAAACACGTACGTCAACGCCGGCGCGACCGAGGACAACGCCGTGTTCACCGTCACCGACACAAACTGTAAACTCTTGTTGAAATAAAACTGCGCGAGAAAGAACAACGGAGGGACGATGACGTAGCACCTCAACGCTTCGTTTTCGCGTAAAAACGATGATATTCCTCTCGTACTAACATTACTTTCCTTCCATTTCCGGAACATCGCGTAATGATGATACCTTCTTTTCTTCTTCTTCTTCTCTGCGAGATGATAAAAGTACCCTTTCATCTCCACCGGCCAATAGACTAAAAACAACGCGTTAAACAATGCCGTCAAAGTCAACGGATCCCCAACTCTTTCTAAATCTTTCACTATAAACGACGCGCACACCCATATCGCGGAGACTAAAAACACGGCCAGGTACCCTCGCGTTTTCTTTCGCATCATCTTTGTCATCATTTTCATCGTTTTCATCATCGAATTCGTCAAAGAAGTCTGATGAGTAGTATTTCGATGACGACGACGAACGTTTCGACTTTTACGATTTCCCTCTCCCGGTCCCTCGTCGTCGAAAACGAGTTGGACTTTTGTCTCGGTATTTGTCGTCGTGGTTTCTTCTTCCTCCCTCGTCAAAGAAGAAACTTTGCCTCGATGTCGAGACATCACAGAAATAACGATTTTGATGATTTTTCCTCGTTTGTGTCAGTTTGTTTGTTTTTCGCAAATTTTTTTCTAACAAAAAACACTTGTCAAAAAACGTCAGAGTTTCAAAGCGACAAAAATTTATACATTTAGTAGAGAGTGTTAGTAGTATAGAGTAGTATATGTTGCAACGCGGCACACTCTTACTGAGAGACCAATCACAACGACAACGACAACGACAACAACAACAACCTTTGAGAAGAAGAAGAAGAAGAGGATTTGGTGCGATGATGCGAAGGTCATTTCTTCTTCTCTCATCGAAAACGACGACGATGATGTCGACGACGGCGACACCAACAAAACCGTTTGAATTCATTTCTTCTTCTCTTTCTCTTTCTTCGAACATTTCTTTTTCAAGAAGACTTATAGGAGAAGAAGAACAGCATCATCGTCATCGTCATCGTCGCAGGGTGGTTCCTCCTCCGTGTCATCATCATCGTCATCGAAAAGTGAGAACGTTTGCTGCTGCGTCTTCATCATCCTCCGACGACGATGGAGGAGGAGGAGGAGGAGGAGGAAACAAATCATCAACTTTCGCAGAAGAAGAAGAAGAATTCTCATCAGACTCGAACATCGTCGACTTGGAACTGCACGTGGAAGCGAGACAGTCCTATCTGGCGTACGCGATGTCCGTGATCGTCGGGAGAGCGTTACCGGACGTGAGAGATGGATTAAAACCAGTCCATCGACGCATTTTGTACGCCATGCACGAGTTGAATTTAGATCACAACAAACCGTTTAAAAAGTGCGCGAGAGTCGTCGGGGAAGTTTTGGGGAAGTTTCACCCGCACGGGGATCAGTCGGTGTACGACGCGCTGGTGAGAATGGCGCAAGATTTTTCCATGTCCGCGCCGCTGGTGAATGGACACGGGAATTTTGGGAGCATGGACAACGATCCGCCGGCGGCGATGAGGTACACGGAGTGTAAACTCAGACAGTTGTCGCAAGATATGCTGCTGAAAGACGTGGAGATGGATTGCGTGGAGTTTGCGGATACGTTCGATGGGTCGCAACAAGAGCCGATGGTGTTGCCGGCAAAGCTACCGAACGTGTTGATTAATGGGAGCACGGGGATTGCGGTCGGGATGGCGACGAGCATACCGCCGCATAACTTGATGGAAGTGGCGGACGCGTTGGTGGTCTTCGCCAGAGCGGCGCAAAAAGGAGAGCAAGTGAAATTGGAAGAGTTGTTGAGAGTCATGCCAGGGCCGGATTTTCCCACCGGTGGGGTTATATTTGCCGATAATAAGGACGCTAATAATGATAATAATAATAACGACAAAAACGATAGTGGTAGAAGTACTAGTAATAGGAACGCGCTGAGAAATTTGTACCGCGACGGAAGAGGCGGGGTGACTTTGAGAGGCGTGGCAGAAATTGTACCAAGGACAAAAGTTTCCAGCCGGAAAAGAAGTGGGAAAACGGCAAAGAAAGACGATAAAGCAGCGGCGGAGAAAAGTCTGGACAGAGATATCGTCATCTCGTCGATTCCGTATATGCAAAACAAAGCGACTTTAGTGCAACAAATCGCGGATTTGGTAAATAATCGGCAGATTGAAGGCGTCGCGGACGTGCGCGATGAATCGGACCGAGACGGCGTCCGCGTCGTCGTCGAGATGAAGAGAAGTGGTGACGCAGAAGCCGTGCTGAATTCGTTGTATAAAAGGACAAAATTGCAGGTGAAAGTGAACGTGAACGTCACGGCGCTCGTCGGTTTGACGCCAAAAGTTTTGGGGTTGATGGAAGTGATGCAAGAGTTTTTAGATTTTCGCATCGATGTCATACGTAAACGCGCGATGTATTCGTTAGAAAAGGATCGAGCGAGAATGCACATCGTCGAAGCGCTTCTGACGGTTCTCGAAGATACCGACGCGGTGATCAAGATGATCCGAAAATCAAAGGACGGGAAAGAAGCGATGGAAAATTTACGAGAAATGAAGGGACTGACTACGGTTCAATCGGAAGCGGTTTTACAAATGCCTTTGAGGCGTTTGACGAGTTTAGAATCAGGAAAGCTCGTCGAGGAGCGCGATCAGCTTTTGAGTTCTATCAAAGGAAATCAAAACCTACTCGACAACACGTCGGCGGTGATTGACGTCGTTTGCGAGGAAGCGTTGGAGGTGAAAAAGAAACACGGCATCCCGCGAAGAACAACAATTGAAACCGATACGAGTTCATCGATTGAAGTTGAGCACGAAATACCAAACAACGATTCGTTGATCATAATGTCCTCGCGAGGGTACATTAAGAGAACGAGACCGGAAACGTTCAAAGCTCAACGAAGAGGGACGCGAGGGAAATCAATGTCAAAATTGAAGGGGTCGGATTCCATCGCGAAAGTAATGCACGCGAAAGATTTAGATCGTGTATTTTTCTTCACCGATAAAGGGAACGTTTTGACGGTGAGAGCTTTTGACATTCCCGAGGCGTCTACTACTGCGCAAGGAACGCCGTTTACTAGATTTGTCGACATCGATAAGGGAGAATCGATAACTGCCATTTTAAGCTTAGAACCTTCCGCTTTGATGAAGAAGAAAACGCCGAATGAGCCGCAAGAAGGAGAAGACGAAGACGAAACCTTCCTGGTCATGATTACGCTTAACGGCGTGATCAAGAAAGTCTCCGCGAAGGAATTTGCTAGCATCAAAAGAAATGGGAAGAGAGCGATTGCTTTGGACGAAGGCGACAAGTTGAAACAAGTTTTAGTCGCCAAAAATGGTGATTCCGTTTTAGTTGGCGCCACAGACGGTACGCTGATTCGTTTTGACGTTGACTCGGTGCGAAAGTTAGGCAGAATGTCCAGAGGTGTCCGCGCGATCTCTTTGAAGGAGATCAAATCGTCGTCGAAAGAAGCCTCGAAAGCTAAAGGGGTAGAGGAGGACGACGACGACGAAAACGACGACGACGACGACGACGATTTCATAATCCAAGCCGAAGACGATGAAGATGACGAAGGCGATGATAACGAAGAAGAAGAACAAGAAGAAGAGAATGACATTCTAGATTTTGGTAACGACGACGATGAACCTTTGGTGGCGTCTGTGGAACATTTTGAAGGGGGCGCGGCGAAAGTCGCCGGTATGGCGATCATTCAAAAATCAGAAATCGATCGCGAAGGACCGTGGGTAGTATTCGTGTCTGAAAAAGGTCGCGGCAAACGAGTGAAAGTTTCCGATTTTAAGACGCAAATCAGAGGTGGCGCGGGGATACGAGGCATCAAGTTTAACAGCGGGGATTCTTTAGCTGCTTTTGCGTTGATTGGGAAAACGGACGACGATTCGATAGAAGAAGCTATCATCGTTGGCTCGCAGCTCGGCGTCGCGAACAGATTTCAATGCGCGAGCATACCCGAGATGGGAAGATACGCAAAAGGAGGGACGCTCATGAAACTCAAAAAAGAAGACGCGATCAAAAGTTTTGCCGTGATTCCGGCAGCCACCGCGGAATAGGAAGACACATATTCGTCGTTACGAACGGATTTAATTTAATAATAATAATGATAATAATAATATAAACAATAACACTGCATGATGAAGATGTGTACATGTAAAAACAACTACATGCCTTTGGCTTTAGCCAGTCGTAAATTTCTGGCGTTGAAGTGTTGACCGACTCGGTCGTAACCGACTAACGATCTCATGGCGAACAAGATGGTTTTTTCGTTGAACTCCATCTTATTTTTATTGTTCGCGTCGCCGAAGTGCGCCGGCGTGCCGTCTAAAACGATAAAGTCCCGGTTGGTGCCCAGACCTTCGAAGGAGGCGCCGCCGCAATCTTTGCCCACGATTAACTCGTACGCGTCTTTAATCGCGTTGAATTCCGCGACGTCGGCGTCTGGATTTCTGTCTGGATGCGCGGTGGCGATTAATTTGCGGTATTTCGCTTTGATCTCCCTCGGCTCTTCGTTCGCGGTGGCGCCAATCTTCGCGTACGCTCGATCCAACGCGCCGTCGTCGCCGCTTCTCGCGGCTAACCCGTCCACGCAATTTTCAAACGACCCCCAATCTTCAATCCCATACTCCAACTCTACGTGTTCGATATCTCTCAACGGTGCTCCGGCGATGTTAAACGCCATCGCGCAAATCTCCGTTTTCCTCCCCGGCAACATCGCCGTCACCGCCGGGACGCCGTCGATTTTCTTCGGCTCGTTCGGGTTGTCGTCCGTTTCCGGCATATCCATCCCGAGTTTCTTAAACGCCATGGTCGCTTCCAACGAAACGCGGTCGGCGACTAAGATCTCCGCCACCGGGAGCCAATCCGTTAACAGCGGTAAAAGTACGCTCTCTCCTTCGCCGCCTTCGCCGCCTCCTCCTCCTTTCTGTCTCACCGAGAGCACGTATTCTCTCGCCGTGTCTCTCGTCAGCGAGAAATCTTTCTGAATCTTCTCGTACCTTCTCCCTTCGCTGGAAACGATCGCGCGTAACTTTTCCGACCGTTGCTTTCTCAGCTTATCCTTTTGTTGCTTGGACATTGATGTTTCTTTTTTTAATCCTCCTCCCGCAGCGTTGTCGTCGCCGTCGTCGCCGCTCAATTTCGCCGCCCGTTTTTTCGCTCGAGACTTGCTCGCCGCGCATAACACGTGCAACTCACCTCTTTTCCCGCTATTCGTAGTATTAGTATTCGTAGTATTACTCGTCCTAAAAGTCCGCAAAGACGACGAAGAGCCGTTCGCCAAGAAGGATGATGACGATACAAAACTCGCCGCCGCAAACATTTTATTCAATTCGTCAAGTGGAATAAAAATGAAGAATTTGGATAGAATTGACCTTTTTTCGGGGTTTTGATTGAAAAGACGTTTCAGAATACAAAAATATATACATCTTCTTGGAGCTGACGTAGTACAGAACAGTATTCAAATCGCTATCGTTATCTCGTAATCATTCATTCTGTTATTAATATTAGTATTATTATTCTTTGACGTCATCTTTCTCGTCGTCGTATTCGTGCGCGTTTCTTCCGTCTCGAACGGCGTTGGCGACTTTGCTTCGAGCGGAACCGTCGGCGTATCTCGTTATGTGTTGTAAATATTCCTCCCAGTTTGGTAAAGTGCGCGAGACGTCGTCTCGACTAACCATATCGCGCAACCATCGCATGTATTTGCGCAAACCGACAGATTTAGCGGGGTCGATTTTGAACCTTTCGTCCCGGTGGGTTTCAAACACGGGCAAGCGCCACGCCCAAGGGAAGAGCGTTAAATCGACTAAACCCGGCGTTTGGCGACCGTTAAAAAACCGTCCTTTTTCGCGTTTTTCGCCATCTATCATCACATCGTCATCATCTACTAAATGCGTCGCAAACTTCTCGATCGCCTTCTCAATCTCTCCGAACGCTTCTAACTGCTCCGTTTCCTCTTGTCTCACCAACACGGAATAGTATTTGCTACAAATAGTCTTGGCGACGAAATCCGCCATCACCCGTTCCTTCGCGCGTTCGGCTGCCGAAGACGCTAATATCGGTTCCTTACCTCCGTTCACAATCTCGTCTATGTATTGTATGCACACGATCGATTCCGTGATCACGTTGTTAAACTCGTCTTTAATCGTCGGTACCATCCCGAGCGGATTCGCTTTTAACAAATCTGGCGATTTGTAGTGGTACCAATTCTCGTGTTTCGTCTTAATCTCTTCGTTCGTTTTGCTTCGTTTCTCCCACCCTAAGGATTCAACCCATTCGTACGAGAGGAAACCGCGGTGTCGTTCTAACGCTAACGTCGCTCTGTGTGCGAATGGGCAGAACCACGCGGAGTAATAGGTCATTTTTGGTACATTTTTTAAAGCTTCTGCTTCGCTTTCCTTCGCGATATCTATCGCGCTTTGGATGGAATTTCCCAAAGAAGACGACATGTGACGAGTCTGTCCGGGCGACAGGCACTTGAAAGCGTTCGAAAGCAACCGCGATTTCATGATTATATCCTCCTCTGCTACACGTTTTTGTTCTTCTTTTTTTTGTTCTTTCTCCTCTGCCTCCTCCTCTGAACCGGTTGGTGTTGTGTGCATGTATTCGTGTTGTGACGCGAAAATGTGAATTCAATTAAATTTTTGTATTTCATCTAAACTACTTGTTCATCTTCATCTTCTTCTTCTTCTTCTTCTCGTTTGCTTTCGTCGATTTCGAGGACAACAGCGCAGACGCTTTCGTTTTTGTTGCTTTTGTTGTTGTTGTTGTTGTTGTTGTTGTTTCTCGTCCTCGTCGTTTACGTCGTCGATTATTTCCTCCATTTCCGTTTCTCTGCGTTCCTTTCGTCTTCACGGGAGAAGCTGTTTTGTTCCTCGCTGCTTTTCCCTTCTTATTCTCGCCGCTGCTGCTTTGGTTTTTCTCCTTCTTATTCAGTGCGACTAACGCGGCTAATTGCGTGCGCCTGTCCGCCATCGGTTTGACTTTCGCGTCTTGCTTCTCCTCTTCGTCCCCGTCTAAAACGGCGTCGCCGAACAAGTCGCCGTTTAATTTCACGTAATCCACTTTCGTTCTTCTCCGAGGTCCTTCTATGATGATTGCCGAATCGCTGCTGCTACTACTACTGCTATTTTCGCTATCATCGCTAGCAGATGATGATTGCGGAACTACCGCTGACCCGGAGAGCGATTCGTCGCTGTCGTCTTTACCGTCGTCTTTTTCATTCTTCTCTTTGAAATCTTCGTCCTCGGATTCGTCGCTCGGCCACACGTCTTCTTCGTTCTCGCCGTGTAAATGAAACCGCGAGGTCCCAGGTATTATACCTTTGTCGAACATGTCCTGTTCTTTTTTAAACACGTCCAAGTGCGTGCACGTTTCAATGTCTAACCTTTGATCGTAATCCAAATTCAGATAGTAAATCACGTCCACGCGACAATCGCACAGAGGACACAACCATCCTTCGTCGCCTTTCGGTATATCTTCCGGTTTCAACGGCGGTTTCACGCATTTCATGTGATACGCCAAATCGCAGTACCCGTCGCAAAACACGACGTCGTTCTCCTCCTCGTTGCACTCGCCCGATCCGCACTCGCAACACACCACGTCCTCGCATTCAATCTCCCCATCCTCATCTTCTTTGCACTTGAACTTCTCCAGTTTCTTCTCGTCGTAGTTTAACTTCTCAAACAACTCTCTGACTTTCAACTTCCGGAAGAAAATATCTTCCCGTTTCTTCGCTAACTCCGCGATTGGTTTCAACTTCTCCTGATTCGACGAGCGCCATCCGTCGAGCGTATACGTGTCCAAATACGCTTGCGAACGTCGCAACGCGCTCAACTGCACGCAAATTTGCGTTCGCGCTTTTTGTACTCCCTGATGATGTGTATTGTAATGATGATGATGATGATGATAAATGTGTTGTTTTACATTAGTATTACGAGAGAGACATCCTCGCGTACATCGAGAAAAGGAGGCTGGTTAATGAAGTCTCTCTCTCTGAAAATGTCTCGAGACAAGACTCGAAAAACAAAATTCAAATTCACAAAAAGCGCAGAAAAGTTGTTTTTGACGACGCGAACGAGGATGATGATGATGATGTGCACATCCTTACCTCCGCTGCTTTTAAAGCGTCTTCGTGTTTTGAATCGTTTTTTGTGTTCCTCTTTTTTCTCTTCTTCTTCTTCTTTAGTATCGTCCTCCGTTCTTCTTCTTCTTCTTCTTCTTCTTCTTCTTCGCGCGGTTGTTGGTGTTTTTCCCTCGTCGTCAGCCTTCTCTTTCGCCGTGTCTTTACCATCGCGTGTCAGTGTTTTACGCAAAAAGTCGTACTCTACTAAAGCGAGAGAAGAAAAGAGTCTCTCAAAAATTCTCTCTTCTTTCTTTCTTTCTCTCTCTCGAAACGCGCGCGCGAATGCGAGTGCGGTCTGGTGGGTAAAGCAGTCCCCTAATACGGAACTCCCCTAATTCGAAACCCTTGACTCTGTGATTTAGGGTGTAACAATTTAGGGTTTTGTACAACCCTAAATGAGAATATCTCTTACTTCTGTAAACTCTACTCTACCGACACATAAACACACGACGCGAAGCTTTAATAAATAATTGTATATACGAAAGAAGAGGAGGAGGAGCGCAGAAGAAGGGCGTTTCTTTAGTATCGCGCGCTGCTGGTAAAGGCGTTTCTTTCTTCTTCGCAAGAGTGTTGGTGTGTTGTACTTTCAACATCATCATCATCATCTAATCTAGAAAGAGATGGTTTTGAATGATGGAAAAGAAGACGACGTGATTACGATTGAGATTTTGGACGACGATTCAGACGACGACGAGGAAGAAGAAATAGAAGAGAAAGACGGGAAGAAGGATGCGAAGATGAGATCGTCGTCGTCGACCGAAGAAGAAGATGATGAGGACGAGGGAGACGACTTTTACGTCGCGCAACATCATCGACAACAGAAACAACAACAACAACAAAATGCAAGCTTTAAAGAGAAAGAAGAAGTGAAGAAGAAGGAAGAAGACAAAGACAGTAAACTGACGACGACAACGATGGTGAGCGATGGAAACGCGTTTACCAGTACTACGGATGCGGTCGCGGCAAAGACGACGATGGTAAAATCATTATCGGAAAAAGAAGAAGAAAAAGAAAAAGGAGATGATGAGTTTGCTAAAAAAGCGCCTCTTCTGTTGGCAAGTCCGCAACCGAAGAAAGCTCCGGCGAATGTTCCTTCTCCTGTTCCTCCTCCTTCTTTGCCTCTTCCTCGAGCTCCCGTCGTAGCGCCGCAACCGGCGCAACCGGCGGCTGTTCCTCCTCCTCCTAAACCGACGAGTAAACCGAAAAAGAAGAAGCGAGAGTTGCGAGAGATACCGGAGGACCATCGCGGGAAGCCGGTGACGTATGAAATCGACTGCAAGGAGTTGTTCGCGAAATCGTTCGATAGGAGAGAGGTTTTGAGAGAGGTTTTGGAGAGGAAAGGGGTGGCGTATTCCTCGTCGTCGTCTGCGAAAAATAACAAGAAGAAAGAAGCGGAAGGAGAACATCTAGAAACAACGCTCACGCCAAAAGAAATCGAAGAGTTGAATCTCATCAAAAGGAAGGCGTTGTTGGAAAACGACGAAACGATTGAAAAAGCGGACGTAGAAAACGTGAAGGAGTTGGTGGAAGATTTCGCGTCGTTTTTCATCGCCACGTTTGATGAGAAGAGGAAGAAATGGGCGAAGAAGTGCTTTCGCGAAAACGCAAAGAGACGAAAAGCGAAAGCGGAGGAAAACGCCAAGAATGGTAAGGGTATATTAACCGATGGGTTGGAGCGTACGTTTGAGGCACCAGCCAGTAACGCGGATTTCGAAAAAATGATGTTGGACCCGAAAAAGATGTCGATGGGAAAGAAAGCGGACGCATTGGCGGTTTCTGCAGCGGTGAACAGAATGCCGAAGTGCAGAGTGAGAGAATCTGCGTTTGGCGTGACAAAGACGGAACGAGAAATGATGGTTCCAGCAGTACGAATTCGGCCGGTGTCGAACGTGCCGGAATACAGAGCTTACACGTACTCTGTCCACGAAAACATCCGAGGCTCGGAAGAAGAGAAGAGAAGAAAGTTGCTCATCTCTGATCAGGACGGCGAATACCGAGTCGCGAATGAGAACGATTCCGATTATAGCGACGAAGAGGAAGACTTTGAAACCGGGGAAGAACAGTACCCGTGGCATCGACGGGACGATCTTTTACTTCACTCGTGTGTTAAGTACATCATCGGTGAGAGCTCGAAATTGGACGAGTTTCTCATTCAAGAAGTTTCGGAACCAGCCATGGCGGCGAACGGTAAGGCAGCGGCTGTTGAAGAAAAAGAAGAAGCCAATCCGAGTAAAATCGAAGATACGACGAACGAAACGACGACGAAAATGGAATTCCAGGATTTCGCGATAACTGGCGATGAACGAGTAGAAACAGAAGAGAAAGATGAAGAAGTAGAGGTGAAGAAAGACGCGATGGACAAAGAGGAGGACAAAAACGGAAAGGAGAATAATCTGTCCGACAACGACAAAACGAACACTGTCGCGACGCAAACGAAGAGGCAATACACCGCAATCGATATCAAAGCTAAGCAAATATTCGAAACGACGTTGTCTACGCTCGCCTCGTACATCACTGGTGTACCACCGGTCAACTTTATCGCCTTACGCGTCAAGTTACTTCGCGATCAAGAGAGTGGTATTCGCGACATTGCCAAAGACATAGAATCTGCGCATGACAAGAATGCAAAAAACAACAAACCTACCAAAAAGAAGAAATCGGCATCGACTTCTCTGCCGAAATTGAAAACGATCGAAGCGATTGCGAAAGAAGTCATCAGCCGAGAATCGATCGACTTCTTGCCTCGAAGGTTGCATGAGTACAAGAATATGGAAGCCGCGATGGATTCCTTTCGCACGTTGTTTTGTCCAAGATGCCACAGTTATTCGTGTCAAATTCACGGCAACGGCCACTTACCAAGTGTTGGACGAAGGATTCTTACGAATTACAAACCCGAATGGAATAAAGGGAAAATAGGGCACCCAGGAGGCCCGCAACAGAAAAAGAAGAAAGGGTACGTTCCCGTACCGGGTAGAAGAGCTGAACGCCACAGGAGTAAGGAGACCATCGATGCCAACGCCGATGCCAACTCCCCGGCTGACATGGATGTCGACGATACCAATAACGATAGGAAGGAAGATGGTGGACAAATGCACACTGATATCAACAACAATGCTGATAGTAACGAAGAAGGTGGAGATAAAGAAACTCCTCTCAAGTCTGATCCGGAAGCAAATTATTTAGCGCTTGCGAAACCAATAGATCCGTGCCGGAGTTCTCAGTGTTGGCGTTCGAACGAAGCATTATTCGCACTAATGAAAAAGTTGCAACCGCCATGGCTTCCTCCGTCCGACCGCGTGTTTTGCTCGCCGATTCCCGCAGAGAATAACGATAAGGCGATCGACCCGATGGATATTTCCGAGGCGGTGATGGCAGATTTCCTCTGCAGAGATAAATCCATCACCGACGAGAACTTATTGTCCATCGCTCAAAAGTTGAAGCACAGTACAAAGTGGGAAAATTGGGTCGTCGAAGCATTCGACAAATCGTTGGATATTTTCGAAGATTCCTCGAATCCTTGCGCGGTGGCGGGCTTCTTAGAACCGTGCGAAACGAAACCACCGTCGTGTAAAATCGTTTGCGAAGAAATGCTCTCGATGTTTTGTGAAGATATTTTGGAAAAAAGAAAGGAAGACAGAGCAGCTGAAGAGGCGAAAAACGAGGCGACAGATGGTAACACAACAGTGGTTGATGCCACGACAATGACGATGGACGCTAGGAAAAGAAAGGGATCAAGACTGATTAACCGAACGTGGGAAACGCAAGCGGAAATCAAACAACTTGGTAACAATCGACACCGACGAAAAGCCGCCAAGAAGGCACAAAATGTTGGTTATCAGGGTACAGTCGCAAAAAGTACAGTCGCGCGAAGAAAAGAAGCTTCTGAAGGCGACAAAAACGCTTTGTGGTGCGAATACGAGCCGTGTAATTGCGAAGGCGGCGTCTGTACGGACGAGTGTCCGTGCTCGGTGAATTGGAACTTTTGCGAAATCAACTGCGGGTGTGGCGCAGATTGTCGCAACGCATTCATCGGATGTAATTGCAAAGGTGATTGCACCAAAGCGACGTGCCCGTGTAAAATGGCTGCCAGGGAGTGCGATCCAGACAAATGCGCCGAGTGCTGGCCGTCGGTTCGAGATTTTTCGAGACGCAAGAGAGAGCTGGAAGGCATCACTCTCGATACGGAAATCTTTTCCAGCGATCCAAAATTGGAAGGTATCACCGAAGTTAACGTGAAACGCAAGCACGAAGACAGGAAAGCGCCGTGTGAAAACATGAAGCTCCAATTGAAAGAGCACGCGCACGTTTTACTGGGCAAATCTCCAATCGCTGGTTGGGGTGCCTTCTTCGGCTGCGATGCAAAAAAAGACGATTTCTTGGGAGAATACGTTGGTGAGATGATCACGCACGGCGAGGCTGAAAGGCGAGGGAGCCAATACGACCAAACCAACTCAAGTTTTTTGTTTAACTTGAACAACAAGTGGGTCTTGGACGCTTATTCGAGAGGAAACAAGTTCAAATTCGCGAATCACTCGAAGAAACCGAACTGTTATCCCCTCGTGATTTACGTGCGCGGGAACCACCGCATCGGCATTTACGCTAAAACAGATTCCAAATTCGGCGACGAAATGTTCTACGATTACGGGTATACGAAAGACATTATCGGAGAAGCTCGCGTTTGGGCGCACGACGACGATCAGCAAGACCAAGGGAATTACCGAAAGTAATAATTCTGAAATCATCATCGTTCACTTCGAACAAAAGGTCAAATCACCTAATTTTACGGCTTTGCAATCAAAACTTTCTTCTAATTGCTATTGCTATTTCGTCCGCCTCCTCTGCCTCTGCCTCCTCGTCCGGGCGAGGATCCTCGTCCTCGTCCTCTGCCACTGCTGACACTGCCATCGATCCAGGGTGGCGCGTTCGAATTTCCTCTTCCACCTTCGCTATCGTAAAAATTTCTTCTCACGACTCGTCGTCGGCGTGAAGAAGAATCCTCGTTTCTGAAGTCGCGGTCGTTATTATTATTATTATTATAGTTAGCATCGTACCCGTTCGAAGCGTTGTTGTTGTTACCGTATCGACGCGGAGGTCTGTTGATACTTGGGCCATTTCCATCGATTCCTCTTTGATTGTAGTTTTCGTTTCTCGCGCTCATGGAGTGTTGTTGACGGTTGTAATATCCTCCTCCTCCGACCCTCCTGTTGTTATTATTAGGGGAAAATCGGTTATCTCGAGGGGTGTAGTAATCGTCGGATTCAATCGGCATCCCTTTTTCGTCCGCAATTATGTTCATACCTCCGTCGCCGTGCGTTTGCATGCGTTCTCTGGCGACTTCCATTACTCCGAGAGGAGATATTGGCAGGAAAGTTAACTGCGCTCGGTCTCTTTTTGCGATGGATTCAAACGCGACTTCGACTTCGCGTCTCGACCCTTCGTCTTCCATATCGATTAAATCAATCATGACTAATCCGCCAATGTCGCGCAAACGCAGCGTTTTGGCGACCGTCTTTGCCGCTTCTATATTGACGCGACGCGCTAGCTCCTCGTTATCCACGCCTTCCTTTTTCATGACTGATCGACCGGCGTTCACGTCGATGGCGGTCAGCGCTTCCGTGCGTTGAATGACCAAATGTGCGCCGGGAAGTTCCGTCTGGTCGAGCCATATGACTTCTTCGTCGAGAGATTCCACCGCGTTGGCAATACCGAGGTGTTGAAATAATGCATTTCTTGAGCCACCATAGTTATCGTCGTTGTTGTTCGTGCTACTTCCAGCGGCGAATAAAACCACCCTATTGATGATTTCTTTCGAGGCGCCGGCTCTCGTGAGATCGTCCACAATTGCCTCATACGCACTCGTCGTGTCCACGTACAACTTTGATATGCGTTCGCCAAACAAATCGCGCACTAAAACTTGCTCACTAGTCGCCGAATTCAATAATCGTCTTGGTTCCAAGTCTGGGTAATCATACGCTTGCTTTGCGGATAAGTTCAAATGTCCATCCATGCGAAATTTCTTTCGCATAAAGTCGTTTTGGAGGCTGGAGGATTGTTTCACCAGTTTCTCCGCGGTAGTCTTCACTGAATTCCAATCGTCTACGAGACGTTTAATATCTAGCTCTAAAGCGTCCTGCGCGACGCCAGCGGCTTCGGTGCGCATGATCAACGCCGAATCGGACGGGCAAACGCTCAAACCAACCGATTTGACGTATTTACGCGCAGGACCGATGAGTTTGCGAGAAACGTACACGCCTTCACCATCCGGGCACAATACTACATTTCTACCAGGAAGCGTTGGACGGGCCGAAACGCGCGGGCCTTTGTTGAATTGACCGAGTCGAGTGACTTGGACGACGATTGGTTGTCCCTGTTCCCATTTCGTGGCGCAAGCGCCCCGAATGTCCTCTTTCGAGACGCCGAATTTGTCGCGGATTTTACGAATTTTTTCTCTCTTTCCGGCCTCTGGATCGTCGCCAAAGTCTTCCTCTTCTTCTTCGCCGTTAGCATTTGACGTCTTCGTTGTTTTTGGTTTCGCGGCGTTACTCTTCTTGTCATCTTCATCCACGCTCACTTCAAAATCATCGCTATCGTCGACTTCGACTTCTTCCGCGCCGAATAAGATTTCCCTGCCATCCTCCCCATCGTCTTCTTCTATCCATTCCTCCGTGATTTCCCCAGTTTCTTCGTCCACTTCGATGTCGTCCATTTGCCCAGCTACACTCGCCATGAATTCGTCCGATTCAAAGTCTAAAGCGTCGTTAGTTGGTGCTTCCAACGCGAGTTCGACGGATTTCATCGCCGCGAGTTCCATTTTGATGACGGACAAATCTAACCGCCACCGCTCCAAGGAAAGCAGAGGTATTTTATCTCTTTCTTTGCTCTGACCAGTTTCATCTTCGTCGTCACCACGAGTCGTCAAATGACTCTCAGACGCCGGCGAACGCCCGCCGGCGCCTCGCCAGGACTCGGAAGATCCAGACGCCAAGGTATTCTTTCGCCGTTCTTCAGCAGCCGCTTCTTCAGCAGCCGTGCGCGCGCGATTTAATAAGCTCTTCTCTTTACTCGGCGAAGGCCCACCACTTCCGTCCCATAGATCGCCCCATTCGCCGCTCGTCCACCGTTTCTTTGTCAGGCCAACTTCTGATGTAGTCGATAAATCATCGTCGTCGTCGTCCTCACCCTCCTCCTCGTCGTCGTCGTCCTCCGCGCTCCCGTTGATCGTTTTGTCATACTCTTCTTCAAACAAATGTTTTTCTTCCCACGCTTTAATCAATTCGGATGTCTTCATCAACTCTTTCAGTTGCTTCTGCGAACATTTCGCAACCGCGTCTTCTCCGTACTCCTCTTGTAACAGCTTCAACTTCCTCGCTTTTCGAAGTAAACCTTTTGCTCTGTTGACTTCTACCGGCGCGTGCGTTCCGTCCGGTCTATCGACCCAATCAATTTTTGTTTTCCAAGCCATGGCTGGAGAGTCGACACCTTTTTGCAATAAAGCATACGGTGGGCCTTTTCCGGTTAAATCCACGAGCAGCGCGTTCATGCCTTTCATAACTCGCGCGACCGTACCGATGTACACGTCTCCGACGCGCATGCCTTTACCAACTTCCGTGCCGTGTTCGGACCAAATTTCGACGAGTTCGCCTTCCTCTAAAACGCCAATCTGTACGCCTCGACCTCGAGATTGATCGGCGGCGGAATAGACGATTTCGGTTTCTAATCCTGTTTTGATGCCGCTCAAGTGCGACCCGGGACTGTAGCCTAACTCAACCGCTAAATCGTTGCTCAGCGCTGCCGCGTCCTCTTCTTCGCCTTCTTCTCCTCCTGTATCTTTGCCATTAACGTCGTCGTCGTCGTCATCATCTTGACTCTCTGTTGATAATGATGATGATTTCGCTTTTGCCCCTCCTTCTCGTGTGTCGTCGTCGTCGTCGTCATCATCATCATCATCATCATCTTTCGTCGCCTCGACGACTTCTTCCTTCTCTCCTTCCTCCGAGGACTCGTTCATGCCTTCCATTTGCTTCGCCGATGGTTTCTGACCATCCCACGCTAACCACGCCCCGCCAGTTTCAATTTTATTCTCCGACGCTTTTACTTCCACTTTCGCCGTGGAACTCGCGGTCAATCTCTCGTCGTCTATCGGCCAATCGACTGTTATTTCGTATTTCACGCATCTCTCCGGCAACTCGACGTAAAACGACTCCCCGGGAGACCACTGGATGACATTTTGAAACTGATCGAGCAACACTAATTTCAACTCGGTTTTACTAAACGCCGCATCGTCGGATAAATCAATCTTCCCGGTCCATTTCTCCGCATCGTTCGGCGTTTGGACGAGTTGCAAACACTCCCGAGAGTCCCATCCGCCGAAAGCGTCCAACGCGCCGATGACCGCCACGCGTTCTTCATTCGACGACGTAAACGAAGATGAAGAAGAAAGAGATTCGCCGTATTCGTCGTATCTCTTGTCGTCCTCGGCGTTTTCATCGTCGTCCTCCTTACCATATTTGCCACCACCGTTATCATTGCTAAAACTACTCCCTTTCCCTGTGCTTGTGCTGTCGCTATTGCTATTCCTCCTCCTCGTCACGGTGATGAAAAAAGCCACTTTCCCGCTCCGATTCGGTCCATCTCTCGAACGTCTGCGTAACCCTTTCGAGCGAGCGACGTTCGTGATTACCAATTTTCCTCTCTGTTGTTTACTCCTCTCATTATTAAACCTTCTTCTAAAAGAAGTATTATCGTTCGATGAAGAAGATACAGAAGAAGAAAACACTTCGGCGAATCGCATTTCTCTCTCTCTGTTGTTGTTTTATCCAACGCAGACGAAAATGATTCCCCAAGAAAACTCTTTCTCTCTCTCTCTCTCTCAAAATACAGAGGAAAAGAGAGACCACCGAGAAACGATGTGCTCAACAACAACAACAACAACAGCAGCAACAAAAAACTCTCTCGTCTCTCTCGTCTCTCTCTCTCGACTTTTCTTCGAGAATAATGTAATGAATGCGAGGAGTAGATAGAGAGACTCAATGGCGAGTAAAAATTATTGTGCGATGAAATAATTGTTTCAATTTTTCATTTTTGCAAAGACAGAAGAAAAAATCAACAACAACAAACAAGAACAACACAAACAAGAAACAACAAAAAAACAAGAAAAAAAAAACACAAAAACAAACCTCTTTTTCTCTCTCACAAAAACACGTACTCACACACACAACAAGAACAACAACAACTCGCTCCGCGCTTTGCTTTTTGTAGAGCGAAAACCACGAAGAGTACTAATGACGACGACAAAACCGAAGAGAACACTTTTTGAGTCGTTTACGACGAGTGAGACGAAAAAACAGCACCATTTCTCTCCTCGATTAAAAGGAGGGAAAGATTCGGATTTATACGTTGCGATTGGTGTCGTCTTGATGATGTTTTTCTTGGCGTTTATGATCGCGTGGTGGAACAGCAACACCTCTTCGAGAAGAAAGAGCAAAGTGCGCTGAGAGAGAGAGAGATGGCGACGAGGAGGAGTTTTTTTACGACGACGGGACGACAACAACAACAAATCGGTGGTTTAAGAAGAAGAAGAAGAAGCAACAGAGTTGTTGGAGTGAGGAACAACAACAACAACATCAACAAAAATGTGTTTGACGAATCTTCGACGACGACGGAAACGAGTAGCAATTATGAGGAGGATAACGAAAGAAAGAAATTGAACGTGGCAATTGTTGGCGCGGGGTTTGCGGGGTTATCGTGCGCGTATAACGTGATACGACGGTGTAGTAGAGGCGAATTTATCAGTTCGACGAAGAGTAATAACGATGGCGTGAACGTGACGGTATTCGCCGCCGAACATGCTGGTCAGGGCGGCGCGTCCTCCATCGCCGCGGGGTTGTTACATCAAAGAACGCCGAAAGGGTCAAAAATGCCGTACGGTTCCGTCGGGTACGCGAAGACGTTGGAGATGTTGGAGAAGTGTCAAAAGATTGAAGACATGATGGTCGATCCGGATTTGAACGTGAGCGGTATTGATTTTCGGTTCAGCGGCGAGTTGAGGGACGTGCAAAGAGGGAAGATGTTTAGGAATGTTGGGTGTTTGAAACCGGCGAGGACGGAGAAGGATGCGATTGGCATCAGGAAGAACGTTTTGAATACTGATAATAATACTAATGGTGAAGAAAAAGAAGAAGACGCGATTCGTTTTGTCGAGAGAGAGGAAATCGAGGTGGATTTGCTTCGATTACGAAACAAAGGAGAAGAAGGAGGAGACGAAGATGAAGATGCGAACAAGGAAAACAACATCAACAACGCGTGTGGATTTTTCGTCGAAAATGGCATCGTCGTGGACGCGCAAAGGTATTTGGAAGCTTTAAAAGTTTTGATTGAATTCGAGGCGGCAAAAAACGCGCACGCGAACGTTTCGTTCGCGTTTAAGAAGCGACGCGTGGAGAGTCTCGAGGAGATTGCGAACGAGTCGTTCGACGCTATCGTATTGTGTTGCGGCGGTGAAATTCTACGAGACGGCTTTCTCGACGACTCCACGAAGCGAGAACTGTTCGAAAAAGTGGGAGGGACGTTAGAGCTCCAAGCCGGCCGAGCGCTCGTGTTGGAACGCGAGAACTGTTTCGTTCGAGAAGACGAAGAAGAAAAAAAGTGGGAAATGCCGGGCATTCTCGGATCGCACTATCTCTCTCCGTTTCAAAAAACCAAAGCGATGTTTGGACCGACGAAAGAGAGAGGCGAGAAAGTGAAACCTGGAGATGCCGCTAAAGCTGGGTATTACTCCACGGAAGCCGCGAAAACTTCTTTCCCAAACACTCCGGAAACTATCGATTTCTTGTTGCGCGAATTGAACGAAAAAGTGTACCCTAAAGCGACGACGATTCAGACGACGACGAGCAAGAAGAAGAAGAATTTCTTCTCGATCAAAGACATCGATACCGTCGCGTACGGCGTCCGCGTCAACGGAACCCGTACCCCCGCCGGCAGATTCCCGAAAATCGTTCAATTCGATACTCCAACAACAACAACTAATAAAAGCGACCAAGATCATCATCCTCGAAGTCGTTTTCTCCCAAAAAAAACATCAACGACGGTAAAAAAAGTACTCGCGGTCACCGCCGTCGGCGCGAGAGGTTTGCTCTACCACGCGCTGTTAGGCGAGTGGGTTGCGGCGGCGCTCGTTTGTAACAACGACTTTGGAAACCACGCAGTAGTAAACGTGGAAGACGTAAAAAACGAAAAGAATAAAAAAGACAACGCCAAAGAGTCGTTCGAAACCATCGTTCCCGAGGCGTTTCGTTAGTCAGAGTAGTACGTGCAATAGCAGATATAGTAGTCGTCTCGTGCTTTAAATCGCGTTTCATGTTACTAAAAGAATACTATTAGTTTACTACTCCTACTCCTCGTACTCAGAGCAAAAGATATTTGATGAAAGAAGTCGTCCTTCACTCGTCTTTTTTCTTTAAAAAATTTGACCAAAAAAAATCGTCAAAAAAAACAGTTCAAAACACCACTCGAAAGAAGAATTAAAAAAAGAATAAGATGGAGATTCATCCGTTCCGGTTGAAGCCCGGTCAAGTGCGCGTTTTGCTCTTTGTTTGTATCGCGTTGTTCTTATGAACGACATCTGCTACTGTTGCTTTTCGTTGTTGTTGTTTTTAGTCGTATGAGTCGTTATGGTAGTATTCTCTCTCTTAACATCATCTCTTTTCATCCGTTCGAGATGATCAAATTCATCCGACGGATGACATCGCTCGCTTCTTTCGTCTGACGCTTTCTCTCTCTTAATCTGTGCGTGTGTGTAAACAAAATACTATTAACAGGACGTGAAAAAAGAGCTGGAATCATTCTGCCAGTTGAAAAACATCCAAGCCGGCATCGTAATCACCGCGGTAGGGTCGTTACAAAAAGCAAAGATTCGCTTGGCGTCGTCCGTGCAAACGAACACGAACGAAGTCGCCGAACTGACCGAGGAACGGTTTGAAATCGTCTCCATGACGGGGACGTTATCCGCGAAAAACGGGATGCACGTGCACGTGGCGGTTGCAGATGCGAACGGAGAAGTGTGCGGAGGACACATGTTAGAGGGGTGCGAAGTGTTCACGACGTGCGAGATTGTCTTGGGCGAGTGCAAACGCTTCGCGTTTGAGAGACACGCGGACGTGAACACGGGGCACAAGGAGCTGGTGGTGGTGAAGAACACGGCGAGAGATTTAGAGAGCGAGTATTATTTAGATGACGAGGGAAGCGCGACGACGCCGACGGGGAAGAAGGCGAGGAGGATGCGGCAGATGCGGATGATGGAGATGGAGAGAGAGCGGTTGCAACAAGGAGGAGGAGGAGAGAGAAGAGGATTGTTCTCGAGGATAGCGGCGGTGATTGTGCCGCCACCGACGCCGATGAGGACCGTGAATGAAGTCGCGGACGAAGTGTAAGTAGTAGCTCTTATATTTTCTTGCTTGTAGTAATAACAATTCTTATTTAATTATAATGATATAATAATAGTGTACAATACAACGCGCGGCGTAGTTTTTTTCTTCGCTCATCAAACGACGGGAATGGGAGTCACTGGAATGCTCGCGTCGCCATCTTCCTTCTTTGAGTCTTCGTCGTTATCATTCGTCGCCGCATCTTCGGAAGAAGAGGGAGTTTTCGGCAACAACTTTTCGTCCCTAAATCCTTGGTTTAAGATGTCGATGTTTTGTTGCCCTTCGTATTTAAACGGCCTCTCGCCCAAGACTTTGACCAAGTCGTGTCTTTGCAACACCTCTTTATCTAACAACGCTCTCGCTAAACTTTCGACGACGGCTTTTTTTTCTCGAACTAACGCGACCGTTCGCAGATACGCTTTATCTACTAACTCTCGAACTTCCTCGTCAATCATTCGAGCGGTGTCTTCGCTGTACGGCGATTTGAAATCGTTGTCGCCTTTCGGAAAGGAGAGTAAACCAATCTTTTGGTTCAAGCCGTACACCGCCGTCATGTTGTACGCCATTTTCGTGACTTTTTCGAGATCGTTTTGCGCACCCGTGGAGATTTTTCCAAGCATGACGTCTTCCGCGGCGCGACCACCGAGCGTCATGCACATCATGTCGCTTAACTGTTCCGTGGTCGCTAAAACGTTTTCATTCGGGAGGTATTGGGCAAACCCCAAGGCTGCGGAACCTCTCGGGACGATGGAGACTTTTAACAAAGGCTCGGCGTGTTCCATGAACCAACCGACTACGGCGTGACCAGCTTCGTGATACGCGACGGTTTCTCGTTCCACCCGAGAGATGACTTTTTCCTTCTTCTCTAAACCAGCGATGACGCGATCGACCGCTCTTTCAAAGTGTTCCAAGACGACGAATTCCGCGGCATCCCGCGCGGCGACCAACGCGGCTTCGTTGCAGACGTTGGCAATGTCCGCGCCCGCAAATCCAGGCGTTAACGCGGCTAATCGTTCCGAATAATCCGCAACCGGTCCATCTAACGTAATTTTCTGTAAATGCACTCGAAAGATTTGCTCTCTACCTTTCACGTCCGGTCGGTCGACGGTAATTTGTCGATCGAATCTCCCCGGTCTCAACAACGCCTTATCTAAAATGTCCGGACGGTTCGTCCCTCCGAGAATGACGACGCCTTGAGTCGACCCGAAACCGTCCATCTCGACTAATAACTGATTCAACGTGTTTTCTCGCTCATCGTTGCCGCCGGCGAAACCACCTCTTCCTCTTTGTCGGCCAATCGCGTCGATTTCGTCGATGAAAATAATCGAAGGTTTTTGCTCCTTGGCTTTGGCGAACAAGTCGCGAACTCGCGAAGGACCGACGCCGACGAACATTTCCATAAAGTCGGAACCGGAAATAGATAAGAACGGAACGCCAGATTCACCCGCCGTAGCTTTTGCGAGTAAAGTTTTCCCAGTCCCCGGCGGACCGACTAAGAGAGCACCTCGCGGGATCTTCGCGCCCAACTTTTCGTACTTTTCCGGTGATTTTAAGAAATCGACAAACTCCATGATTTCCCTCTTTGCCTCGTCGCACCCGGCGACGTCTTTGAACATCACCTTTGGCGCGTTTTTATCCAATGTCGCGATCGTCGCTTTACCGACGTTAAAGATACCTCCACCCGGTCCACCACCACCACCGCCCATTCCACCCATACCGCCAACCGCGCCTCTGCGCATAAAGTACAACCATCCCGCTAAAATGGCAATCGTCGGCAACGCGCGCAAGATTTCGCCTTGCCAGTACATTTCTGAGACGTACGTCACCGGGACAAATTTCGACGATTCCACGCCCATGAGTTCTTGAGCTTCTTCCATTTTCCGTTCAAACGTTTCTAACGAACCGATGTTGAAGGAAAACTTGTGCGTTTGTTGATTCTGTTGTTGTTGTTGATTTTGTTGTTGTTGATTTTGTCCAGCGGTTCCGAAACTTCCTCCGGAATCGAAGCCATCCACGACGGATCCTCCACTCGTGTTCGACAACAAGCTCGCTCCACTTTTATTCTTTAAGAAAACCTTCGCGGTGGATTTATTCGACACTTCGATTCGATCGACCAATCCTTGCTCCAACAGTTTCGTCTTGAATTCTTGAAACGAGATTTCTCTCGCGTCCGATTGCCCGGCTCGAGAGAAGGACACCCCCAAGCCGAGCAAAAGAAGTAAACCTAATTGCCCGGCGACTTGCTGCGACTGCAAAAGCTCCGCGAACGATTTTGGCTTCTCATCGCTCTCGTTGTTGTTGTTGCTCTTCTTCTCGCCGCCTTTCTTATTATTATTATTGCCGCCGCCGGGAGGCGCCGTGTTCCCGGTGCTCCCGTTCGAGTTGTTCGTACCGCCGTTACCATTACCAAGTTTACCATTCTTCGACGCTTTTAAAAGCTGGTCCGCTTTTGCCGCGTTCTCCGCGGCTTTTTTCGAGGCTTTTTCCGACGACGACGGAGAGTTTGCGCCGCTTCCGCTGAATCTTCTTTTCGTAGTCGTCAAAGTCCCTCCTCTCTTCTTCAAAGCGTTCCAAGAAAAAGAAGAATCTCTTCCGGATGAGAAAAGCAACAATCGTTTCATTGCCCCGAGAGAGAAGGAACCACCGGGAGACGACAAAAACGATTCAGACAACGCGTTTTTTGTTGTCGTCGTCGTGGTAAAACACTTCCTCCCGTTGTTGTTGTTCAAGTTGTTCATCTTATTCGAGTTTACGAAGATTTCATCACGAACGACTCGAGATGACGACGTAGACGCCTTTGAGAAATTCTTCCCAAACAAGAACAAAGTCTCCCCGTGAGTGCTTTTAAAAAACGCATGAATAAAAGAGTTAGTCTTGCACCGCATGACGACACCGTAGAAACGACTTAAAAGTGAGGAGGACTTTATGAATCAATCGTAAGTAAAGTGTGTTGTTGTCGTGTGCTTTTTGCACCAATATCTGTTGCAGTAAATCAGTTCTACACGAGAGAGTAAAAAAGCGTGGATGGAAACCCGATGAGTTTAGGGTTTACTATCAAAACCCTAAACTTAAAAAAATGGCAACAAGGAAGAGAGACTTGTCACGAATCTCATCACGCGTGTGATAAAAAGCACTCGAATAAGATGATGATGATGATGATGACGAGACAAAACGAAGGATTTCGATGACAACGGTAAAAGTACCGGAGAAACTCCAAACCTTGCGAGGGTTCAAAGTTTCGAAAATTCTCAACGATGGCAAGGACTCCTCGAGCTTTGGCAACGTCGTCGCGTTGTTAGGCACCTTCCCTGGATTGATGGAAGAAGAAGAAGAAGAATCTGTCGTTCTGAAGCTTTCTCGACCGCCGATACCGTTGGACGATTTAGACCAACTCGCGGACGCGATAACGCTTTACGAACGCATGCCGTACTCAGGGATGGAGTACGGGTACTACCACGGCGTCGTGAACAATTCATCCGAGACGTTTTTCGCCCCGTATGTGTCCGTGGACGTCTTATACCCCGGGTGTTTGAAAGATGAATCAAAAGAAGCAAAAGCGAAGCTCCTGGCGAAACATATAAGCCGCAACCAAGCGCAGAGACCGGTAATCTTCCGCGAGAACCCAAAAACGTACGAAAATGCGCATTTGCCGTACATCGAGGCGATCCCGTCAAGTGCGATAGGGTGGGTGCACAAGATTTTGAACAAAGAGAAAGAACTCGAACGATTGCTCTTCGACGACGACGACGTGAACGACGGGTTTCTCTTGAACACGGATCCGAAGTGGACGACGCACCCTGACCCGAAGACGACGCCGAAAGAACAGTGGATGAACCATCCTTCAACGCGCGAGCTGTACTGTCTCGGATTGTGTCACAGAAAAGACGTGCGGTCGCTGCGGGACTTAAGAGCGGCGCACCTGCCGATGTTACGCGCCATGGCGAAAAAGGGCAGGGAGGTGATCAAAAACACGTACGGGCTCGCCAACGAGAGCTTGAGGATATTCGTGCACTACCCGCCGCAGTTTTATCACTTTCACGTCCACTTCACGAACGTGTCTGTGGAACACGGCGTCAGCGCCGAGCGCGCGCACCTTCTCGACGACGTGATTGAAAACATCGAACGAGACTCTGAGCACTACGCGAAGCGCTCCATCACGTGCCGCATGGGCGAGAACGACGAACTGTGGAGGCGGTTCAAGGAATTAGATGATAAAGCGGGGGCAGAGGCAGCGGACGACGACGCGAGATAGCTCCTCCCGTTCTTTTAACTACAAAACTATATATACTACTAGTATGCTGTGCTTTCTAAAACTTCATTATTCCTCCCGATCATCATCATCATCCCGATCCTCCTCCATCGTGGTTAACCAGTCCTTTTGAAATTGCTCGAAACCTTCCACGAGTACGATGCGGCCTCCTTTACTCTTCGCAATCTCTCTCGCTTTTTCGAGTTTACTCTTACCGGGGTTCTCGCCGATTAAGAGGATATCGGTGGATTTCGCGAGCGCGTTGGAGACGGAACCGCCGAGGCGTTCGATGTCTCGTTGGATTTCGGAACGCGATTTCGAAGTGAACGTGCCGGTAATGCAGACTTTTAAATTGGAGAGTTTGTTGTTGTTGTTGTTTATGTTGTTGTTCGTTCTTGACGATGAGGATGAGGATGATGACACGTCGCCTCCAAAAACGGGAAGAATCTTCACGCCGTTGTCCAGAATTCGTTTCACCTCGTTGGCGTTGTTCGGCTCGCTCCAAAAGTTGGCGATGCTTTTCGCGACGATATCGCCGACGCCTTCGACAGCTTCGAGAGAGATTTTGATGCCGTTCTTCTCGTCGACGTCGCTCTCTTCGTCCGCTCTACTCCCAGTTTCGTGATAACGCTCCGCCGCTTCTTTGAACTTGTCTAAACTTTTGTACGTTTTCGCGAGTTCCTTCGCCGTCGCTTCGCCGACGAACGGTATTCCTAAAGCGTATATGAATTTTGCCAGCTGAACGCCGTTCGTTTTCACGTCGTTGATGGCAGCGAACATGTTCAGCGCGTTTTTTGTAAACTCGTGCTTTTTCTTTTGCGCGGGGTTTTCGTAACGCGCCCAAACAGGAGGCATTTCTTCCTCGTTTCTATTCGGTCCGTAAAATCTTTCCTCCAACGTGAAAATGTCCGACGTGCGCTCGATGGCGTTCGTCTCAAAGAGTTTCTCGATTTGCTTTTCAGCTAAACCGCGAATGTCTAAGGCTTTTTTAGAGGCAAAATGCGTCGTCCTCGCGGTTCTCTGCGCTGGACACTTCAAACCCGCGTTACATCGAATAACCATGCCGTCCTCGGCGTCTCGAGAGACGAGCGAGTTGCAACACGGACACAACATCGGCGCGGCGTAGGCAGAAGCGCCGCCCAGATTTAACGACGACGACGTTGATGACGATGACGATAAACCTAGCGCTGCTCCCAAAGACGAAGAAGAGGAGGATGCCTCTTTCGCGTTTTCTTCACTCGTTATCCGTTCAGCGTCAGTGGCGACGCGAATAATTTTTGGAATGACGTCCCCGGCTCTCTCGACGACGACGTCTTGGCCAATCTGAATCTTTTTGCGTTCAATTTCGAAAAAGTTGTGCAACGTCGCGCGACGTATAGTTGCTCCGTTCAACTCGCACGGTTCTAATATAGCTACTGGTGTCAACACGCCGGTTCGTCCTACTTGCACTTCTATGGATTTCAACGTCGTTATCGCAACATCCGCGACGAACTTGTGCGCGATGGCCCATTTTGGTGCTCTCGAGTCGGAGCCGATCCGATCGCGCAAACGCGTTTCATTTATTTTATACACGACGCCATCGATTTTATGCGACAACGTGTCTCTTAAATCGTACGTTTTCGCGTGGAACGCGAAGAGTTCGTTCAAATCAGAGGAAATCGCGCTCCTGGTCAAACATAAATCGGAAAACCCCCACTTTTGACACTTTTCGTAAAATTCAATTTGCGTCTCGAACAATTCTGCGCGGTCTCCTCCTTCTGTCCCCCAACCGTGCGGAATGAACGATAAAGGAACGTCTACGTTTTGTTCTTTCATGCGCATGACCCCTGCGGCGGCGTTTCGCGCATTTTTAAACGGTGTTTCTCCGTTTGCACTTTTCCTCTCGTTGACTTTTTCCAAAGCGTCTTCTTCTACGTACACCTCGCCGCGAATTTCAAAGACTTCCGGGTAGGACGATCCTTCTCCACCCAATTCTCTCGGTACGTCTCGACATGAAGAACTCAACACGTGTCTCGTGATGTCTTCGCCAAACTCGCCGTCCCCGCGACTCAACGCGCGGACGAGTTTCCCGTTTTCGTATCGCAAACTCGCGGAAACGCCGTCGATTTTCAATTCTGCGCAGTACTCTACTTTTTGCAAAGCCGCCGCCGGCAAAACTTCAACCAAGCTCTTCCTCACCCTCTCGTCAAACTCTCTCACCTCGTCCGCGTTAAACGCGTTCTTCAAACTTTGCATCGGCGACAAATGTTTATACTTCTTATACTCAAAGGATGAATTCGACGACGAAGACGCCAACCTACCGCTCCCTACCCGCGAGTACATCCCGTCGTCAAATTTCCCTCGCAACTCTTCAAACTTTCTCTCCACCGCTTCAAATTTCATCCGTAACAAGTCGTACTCTCCGTCCGTGAGTGTTTCTTTCGCTTCGTCGTAGTATAATCGATCGCTTTCCGAGATTTTTTGTGCTAAATCTCGTAAAATTTTCTCCGCTTTGGACGAGCTTTCGATCGAATTCGCAAACGCAGTCGCGACCTGAAGTGAGTTCGACGAAGGCAAATTCCTTTCTGAAGAGGAAGACAGCGACGACAAAGCGCGCAGACACCCACCGGTAATCTTCTTCATCTTCGTCTTCGAAATCGTCGTCGTCATCTTTGCAACAAAAACAGAATTGAATAAAAGTTTTGCATTTGAATTCTTCGTTTTTCCATTCTTCGACGCAGAAGCAGACGACACACACGAAGAAGAAGAAGAGAGTAAAGAAAAAGTCGGCATCGTACGCGTCGTCGTCGTCGTCGTCATCGCGCCGCTGAAACTTTGACTTCTTCTCAAAACGTAGCCAAGTTGGCGCATATATATCGCGTGTGTATACTACACAGAGGTCTCTTTTTCTCTCTCGTAAAATGGAGAAAAAGTAGGCAAAATTCTACCGAATTCTCTCGATTAGAGGTTGGACGTGTGACACGAAGCGAGAGCGCGGTCGTCGATTGAATGAATAACGCGTTGTATGTGTGTGTGTGTTTAGAACGACATAACGTTTACTGGCTTTGCTCTAATGCCTTCAGTCTTTCTGTGTAATCTGACCATGTCGGACATTTCTTTTCGATGGCGTAGCGTAAACACTCGAGGTGTTTCTTCGCGTGAGCAAAGTGCAAAACCTCGTAATCCCAAGGCGCTTTCGCTTCTTCGCGTAAGTATTTGAGGCACTCGAGATGACCGTTTCGGGCGGCAAATTGACACGTCCACTCATCGACAGGACACTCATTTGCCACGCAATACTTTACCATTTCCAGATTACCATGAAATGCGGCCCTATTAATCGTCGATCCATCCCACTCACACTTTTTCTCTTCTCGTATCCACTTAAGCAACTCGAGTTTATTCGTTCGAGCAACTTTCCAGCAGAACCATGATGTTTGGTTCCACCAACCCGACCACAACGATTTATTCTCCCACACAAACTCCAAAGTCGATATCGACGACATATCTTCAACTTTAAACGTCTTTCTCAGCTCCCTCTTGCGAGACGATCTCTTCACCAACGCTCTCGTCTCTGTATTCACCTCGTACAAGAATTTGAGATCCGTTGGATTCAATCTCGGAAGCACATGTTTGAAACAAATGTCGTCGTTATTCACGATCAAATCCCACAAATTCTGATACCGCGGTGTTTCTCGCGACTTGCCCCTCGAACTCGCGAACATCGTAACATCGCTCGCGTTGCGCATATCGAAGAACTGTATCGCGAGGAGGAGGCACGTAAAACTCGCCAAGTAAAAGTGAAGATAGAATGTCACATGCGAGTTGTTTTTCCCACCTTTCAAATTGGAGACAAAGGAAGGAAAATGCTTTCACAACAAATAATGACGAAAACGACGGGCAAACGCGCGCGAGAGAAAGAGCTCCGATTGAAACGAATACAAACTTTAAGAGACATCAGCGATGGGAATTTGAGACATTCGTTTAAAAACGATGACGACGATCACGACGACGAGGATTCGAGAAACATCTTCTCGGAGCAGTTTTGGAATCACATCGGACGCGAATTTCATCTCAAAGTGAACGACGGATTGGATTCATTGTTGACGAAAGAAGCGAGAGTGAAAGCAGACGCGCACGCGTTCGGCATCGAACAAGAAACATTCGTGCAAGAACTCATGCAGGAACATTCAAGACGGGTTAAAGAGGACGGGTACACGAGAGTATCAATCGCGGAAACCGCGAAAGAGAATGAACTTTTCAGTTCGAAACGAGAGTACGAAAGGAAAAGTGGATTTCAACGCGAGTGCCAACATTTAACGGAGATGATTGAATTCTTGGACGAAAAATGCGGATTGAATCCAACGTGGTCGTTAGTGTTCGATAATTATTGGGTCTTAGCGCGCAGAGTGGAGAAAATCGTGCAAGAAATCTCGGGGGGGAAAGAGAATCGATTGAACTTTGACGCGTTGGTGTGGCGGGTGAGGAACGTAAACGAAGAAGACGAGAAAAGAGGAGAATCGAACAACACTGCGACGATGACTGCGTTTACGCCGCACAGAGATCGGCAGCCAAAAGACACGAGGAAGAGTTTTCGAGAAGACGAGTCGCCGAAGTATTGCACGATTTGGATTCCTCTGACAAACGCGACGTGCGAAAACTCGTGTTTATATGTCATACCGCGGAAGTGCGACGAAGGGTACACGGAAGGCGACGACGATACGGATTTAGAAAAGACGCCGTTGGAGAAGTGTTTGAAGGATAAGAAGGCGTACCAGAACATAACGGCGTGTCCGGTGGATGTAGGCGAGGCGGTTGTTTTCACGCACAGAACCATACACTGGGGGAGCAAACCGAGAGATAATTACCAAGGAGAGCCGAGAGTGAACGTGTCGTTTGGCTTTAGCGACGATTCGTTCGAAAAGGCGTATTTGAAAAACAGAAACGGCGTGAAAGTGACCGAAGACGCGGAAGACGTGCAAAGCTTACCGACGTTGAAAGAGCGGTTGGTATTGATTGCGTCGCAAATGATTGCTTATCACGAACGGTTCCCGCCGAAGAATTTCAAGGCGTTGAAACTGTTGAAGAAAATACACGACGCCGGGAAGAGTTTCTTGGACGAGAGGTACCGAGAAATCATAGAGACGGAGTATATACGAGCGACGAGTATGTTAGCCGGTCGTCGAAAAAATGAGAATGGGGATGAGGAAGATGAGGAAGAGGACGACGACGATGACAACGAAGACGATGAATTAGACAACGCTTTAGATGCCATGCTCGATGCCAAAGCGAAAGGTCGCGGTGACGATTTCGAGGACGATTACGAGGAAGAAGACGACGACGAATTCGCGAACGATCCAAATCCGGACGATTGCAGCGACAGCGATCCAGAACGTCCGTATGAAGTGACCGAGGAAGATGTATTCTTTGGGAATGCCACGGAAGAAGAAATTATTACAGCCAAGAATATCCATCGGAGAAGTATCGGGAAAGAAGAACTTCCGATGCCGAAAGAACGAGAGGTGTCGAGAGTAAACGTGAGGGAACACTGGAGCGAATACCTAAAAAGACCGGAGAATAAAGAGAAAGTAGACGACGCGAAGAAACTGCTCGGCATCAAAAGCTAATAACATCTGTAGTAATAATATCATAATACAACGCACTTTGTAGGATCATTAAACGAGCGAGAAACTAGACAATGCGCACAGATTGACGTACTCGATGCCGGCGGCGTTTGTCAACGCTTCTTCGAACATCGAAACAAAGTGTCGACCTCGCGAGCACGTACCAGATTCCGAAGATGTATCGGGTAAAATATCGTACGCGGCGTCCGATGCGTTCGGAGGCGAAGAGAGCCTGTACGACACAAACACCAAGACGAAGTAAATAAAAAAGATCGGAGCGACGACGATTGAGAGAAAAATGTTTCTCATCGCTTTATTTCTTTTCGTCGTCGTCGTCGTCCTCTTGTCTGTTGTTTTCGGTACCAACGGCATCGTCGAAACCAAAGGCATCTCGGACGGTTTCCTTCCCAACTCCAATTCGAGCTTTCGCATCTTTTCCGCCGCGTTTTCTAGAGCAACTTCCGTTCTCATCTTCGTTTGTGCCATTGAATCTCTCTCAAATCGCGCGCGTTTCGTCTCGTCTTCAGCTAACCGCTTCGCGCTCGCCTCTCGATCGTGCGCGTGTTGGACCTCCTCGTTTGCTTTCTCGACAACGTCGTCGGCATATTTTTTCGCCTCGAAGCATTCTCGTTTCGTCTCTACGACCTCGACTTCGAGCGCGCGGATTTGTTCCGCGTGACTTTCTCCGAGTCTTTCGATGTCTCGTTCGAGCTTGACGACGGCTAATTTTTCCTCAAACGCGTTGAAACCGCTCATGCGCTTCGCTTCGTACGTCGTCGTCTCAGCTTGACCTTTTGCCGGACTCTTTTTACTGCCGCCGAAGAAACTCTTCCCACCACTGTTCGTGGTGCCCTTCAACTTTATCGCGGTAATCTCTGCGGCTTTCGCGGCGACGGTATCTTCCAATCGTTTGATATCCGCCAAAGCCTTCTCTAATTTACCTTCTAAACTCGACCCGCGAAGCTTCAACATGACCATATTTTTCGTCTTGGCAATGACCGTCGCTCTCGAGGCTTTCTGCGCCTCTTCCGAAGCGCGCATACGCGCGTGGAGTTTCTCGTGTTCGTCTTGAAGCCATTTAAAATCAGCTTCGGCGTCGGCGAGTTTTTGTGAAATCTTTTGCACGGCTGCTTTGCCGCCCGCTTTACCGGCGGGCGAAGCAACCGGAGCGTTGTTGATGTTGTTTTCGTCGTCGTTGTCGTTCGTATTCGCGAACGAGGCCAACTCGTTTTCCATTTCCAACTTAGCCGTTGTAACGCGTTCTAATTCATTTTCCAACCGCTCTATCTCCTCTTGAAACTTCCCGGATGCGTTTGTCATTTCGCTCAACGCGCTTTTCCTCTCCTCGTTCTCCTTCTTCAACATCGCTTCGCTTAATTCCACCTGTTCCAACTTAAACCTCAAATCGTCTGCCATGTTTTCGAACTTAAGCATCTCCTCTTCAGCTTTTTTCCCTCTTTCGACTAATTTGAGCGTCTCTTTCCTTCCTCGATCGATGATCTCTCTTAATTGAAACTCGACTTGTTCGAGGTCGGAAAATTTCGATTGGTCTTCCAGTTGTTTTAGCCTCAACGCTTTCACCTCCTCGTTGGCGGCGTCCGCGGCAAACTCTAAACCAGGCACTCGAGCGACGTCTAATTCTAGCTTGCGACATAACTCTTCGTATTTGTTCCTTTGTTCGATGGCGTCTAAACGCTCTTTCGTTTTCTCCGATTGTTCGATTTTCAATCGAGCGCATTCGGCTTTCGTATCGTCTAACTTTTTCGTCGTCGAGGTCAGCTCGTCGTTTAAAGCTTCCGCTTTTTCAACCGCCTGGCGACACTGCTGAGTCATTGCCTCTAACGCTTTTTTGGTTTCGTTGTTTTGTTTCTCTCGCTTTTCGTTGACGAGTTTTAATTTTTCTTGGAACGTGCCGTCTTTCGTTTGAAGTTTCGAGACTTTCTTTTCAAATGTTGTTCGCGCGATACTCGCCGCGCGCTCGATGTCCTCTTTAACCGTTTCGATGGCTTTAACGTTCTCTTCGGCTAAGTGTCTTTTCTCGGTTTCTTTATCCAACTCCTGGCGCATGGCTTCCAAGGAGGCTTTCAAATCTGAAATTTCGCGCTCGGAGACGACGCGAGATTCGAATACCTTTTTGGACGCGTGTTGCGCGTCGCTCAATTCTTTGCGCAGAGCATCGTTCGCGTCTCCTAATTGCTCGATTTCTTCCGAAAGTTTCGTCTTTTCGCTCTCTGTGACTTCAAACTTGGACTTCAATTCGTTTTTCACTCGTTCGAAATCCGTACATTTCTCCGCGAGCGCCTTCGAGTTTCCTCTCTCTTCGTCAACCGCTGCGTTCAAAAGCGCTATTTCCGAATATTTCGATTTCACATCTAACTCGCTCGCGGTCAATTTTGCCTTTACATCTGATAACTCCTTCATCGCCGAGTCGCGGTCGTCTCTGACTTTCTCGTCTCTTTGTTCTAACAAGCGCTTTTCGCCCCGTAAGATTTCTAAATTTTCCGTCAACGCCGCCGTTTCAGCGTTGGATTCGGCTAACGCTTTTCGATGCGATTCCGCGTCCGCATCGCGTTGTTTCTTCATTTTCTCGAGGTCGTTGCGCAACGCGTCGTTCGCGGCTTTCAAATTTTGTAGATCGTCTACGCTTTGCGCCATGGTGCGTTCCGCCGCGTGTAACAAGCTCTTCCGCGGATCGTTTTCTTCTTTCGAAGAAGTAGAAGAAGCCGCGGCGGCGGCTAATTTACGCATCAATATATTTTCCTTGTTGCGGAAGGAAAGAGGCGTAACAGTCGTGCTTCTAAGCGACGAACGACTGTTGTTATAAAAGTTGTTGTTGTCGTTGTTGTTATTGTTGTTGTTGTTGTTCGTATATCTACGGCTATTACTAAACGGCGGCGAGAACTCGCTCGCGTCTGCGCGCATCGTTTGGCCTCTCGGCGGAGAAAGCGAAATCGAAGGTATCCCAGGCGTGTGAGATGGAAGGTGATGATGATTTTTCGACGTCGTTTTTGTCGTTGTTTCCTGTTGTTGTTGTTGTTGTTGTTGTTGTCTCGTCGTAAACAGCGTCTTTTGTACCTCGGCGGCGCCTTCGGGCGACGACGTAAACGACGTAAACGACGCGACGACTCTTTCGCTGCTCATTTTCGCATCATCAGTACCATCATTCTTCTCCGATTTTGGCGTCGTCATGAGCAACAACTTCTCCTCCAGTATCCTATTCTTTCTCTCCATCTGTTCCATCCTTTCCTCGAACACCCTTTCCCGTCTCGATATCGTCTCCGAACTCACCTCTATCAATCTATCGGCTAATTTCATCGAATCTTTCGCCGATAAAGGCGTCGTGGTTGTGATGACTGCCATTATGTCGTCGTCTAAATCTTCCAGAAATAACTGTTTACTCGAATCGTCGTCTTTTCTGTCGTTCGTGTTCGCTTTTGTCGCGCACTTCTCTAAGAAAAAGTCCATGTTTATATTCAATGTCTTCTTTCCGTCAAAGTGTGAGAAGATTTTGAAAAATTCTCCCCACTAAACGCTCTTCTTTTTCTCTCTTCTTTGTCTCTCGTTTTCTCGTCGTCGCGTTCGTACAGTCTCTCTGTTCTGTCTGATGTTACTTTATTAAAGGCATATGTATCGGTACATTTTTCTCTTCTTCTTCTTTATTAAAGTAGTATTATAAAAGTATTCGAGATGATGTGAGATTTGTGTTCGTTGTGAAGTCAAAAATCTCTCTCTTTCGACTGCCTTTTTTTTTTGTTTTTTCTCTCGCAAACGTCTTCTGGTTTCAACACATGTGAGATACATTCACATGCGATCACAGAAAAAAAAAAAGAAGAAGAAGAGAGTTTCTGTGGTTGTTTCAAAAGTTTCTGTGGTTGTTCTCTCTTCGGAAGAGAGCTTTTCTCTTCTCTGTCGTCGCTTTGTTTCGATCGATCGATGATGATGAGGCGTTTGAGCAGCAGTCCTGCTTCGATTTCGACGAGCAGATTTAATAATGTTTTTCGCAGGGGAGAGAATGAACGCTCCCCTCCTCCGAGAGTTTGTTCTGCGAAGGCAACGGCTTCTGTGTCGTCGTCGAAAGGTCGCGAGAGTAAGAAGAAAAATGCCATCATCAAAAAAGGAGTAGGTTTGAAAGTTTCTTCGTTTCGTTGCGCGAGTTCATCGTCGTCGTCTGAATCGTCGTCGTTCGAAGCTGGTGGTGGTGGTGGTGGAGGGAAAGAGGGTAAAAATACGAGTGCATCACCGAAAGAGGAGGAAAAGGAGGAGGAGAAGAAAGAGAGCAGCGGTTTGGAGAAAGCTGGTTTCTTGTTGGACAAAGAGAACAACCAAGATCACCTGGTGAAAGTCGTCGTCGATAGAGTGAAATCGATCGAAGAGCAGGAAGATTTCTCTCTCGATTGGGCGCCGGTGGTGTTGAGAGCTTTGGACGGTGCCGATCGCGTGTTACCCCTGTTCAGCGGGAATAAAAAAAATCAAATATTGGAAGTGCTCTTTCACGAAATGAAAAAGGGAGGTAAGAAAGAGAGTGAGAGCAACGAAACGATCACGTATCACGCGTGGGAAGGGAGGATCCACGCGGGATTTGAAAACGCCGAAGCGGTGGTCGTGTGTGAGCGAGGAGACGAACTCGACGAGGACGAGACGACGGGCGAGAATTTGACGATATCATCGATGTTTGAAAACATACTGAAAGAAGCCGTTGAACTGTCTCGCGTGGATTGGGAGACTTTGGCCAAGTGGCAAGATATAACGAAAGAAGAAGAAAAAAGAGGTCCGACGCGTTCGGCCCATCACCCCTCGTCTTCCTCTTCCAATAGTAAATTTTCGATCAAAATCGTCGACTCGGACGGGGCAATCAACACGAGAGATTGGCAAATTCTTAAGTCCATTTTGCGAAAAGATATTCTGCCGCAGTCTCAGAAAACATTCGATTTACCGAACGATTCCGAAGTTCTTCTGAGTTTACTCGTCACGCTCGTGAAAAATTTGCCAATTTACGCCACGCGGCAAGTCTTGGAAAAATATTCCAAGTCGCACGAGTGGGGTTTGTCTTACAGAAGAGGTCATTCCGCACCAAGACCGCACGTAAAGCGTCACCTTATAGTTACAGACGACTTATCGAATTACCAGAAATTGGTGGACCTATCGGACGGCTTTATCGAAAACTCGGGGCTTTATCGAAAAGACGGGGATGCACTATTCTTCATCATGGAAATATTCAAAAGCTACGACAGAATGTTAAAACATTCACAAGACGCGAAGAACAGCCCCAAGAAGAAGAGGCAAGGCGGACCGATGTACAGAAGAGACATGGATCAGTTGATTCTCAAAAGGCTCGAGGTTGCTCTTTTTATCCAGCAGCAAAGCGCTCGCTTTATGGAAGACGGAAACTTGGAAGACGACTTCTTGACGGCTTTATATCAACATCAACGCCTCCAAAAACTCCAAGACGAGATCAACGAAATTTTATCTCTCGAGAAGAGAGATTGCGACGCGGCGAAGAAAATAATCGACTTGGAGGTTGCCGTACAGAGAGAAGATTACGAAACAGCAGCGACATTGAGAGAATCTTTACGATTATTGAACAACATCACGTGGGTATACCTCAGAGGTGATCAACAAAACCCGTTCGACGATTGATCGATCGGTTTTAAATACACAAAAGAGAGACAAATACAAAGAGAGAGAGACAAAAATACTCGGGTTATATTAAATTGAGTTGTATAAAATGTTTTCATACCACCCATGTACAGTAAGACGTTGAGAGAGATTTTCTTTTTTACGGCGCTTCTGGTTCTCTTTGGTACGATCCACGATCTCTCGCAAAGTTATCCGCCGCCGGGTTATAGGACTCCCTCGGCGATCTCACGCCGAACGACCTCGGCTCCGACCCGTACACCGTCGCCCCGTAATACTTCAAAACGTCTTCTGGATAAATCCCTTTCTCATCTACGAGACCGTATTTACCCATCGCTTTCGCGTACGATAACGGTGTCCAATCTTTCTCCGTCCTCGCGTCCAAATCTGCGCCGTACTCATACAAAATCTTTACCATCTCCGGTCCGCCGTCGATGGCCCAAAACAACGTCAAATCGCCGACGTGATTTTTGTAGTTCGGATCGGCTCCGGACCGTAACAAGGCCTTTGTCGCTTCCAATCGACCTCTGTGGCACGCGCACATTAAAGGCGTGTACCCTTCTTTCGACCCGTACGCTCTCCCAAACTCAAAATTCACATCCGCGCCTTCCTCGATTTTCTTATACACCAACTTCACGTCGTTTTTTATCAAAGCCATCAATAACTCCTCGGTTTCCCGAGAGGCTTTGTGTACGTCTTTCCCTTTCGACTCTGGCTTGTAATCTGGGTGGTGCGAACCTTTCCCGGAATCCCACTGCAATTCGTAGGCTTCTTCGATGTCTTTTTGGCTGTTGTTTTTGTTGTCAGAGAGAGAGAATAATGAGATCACGAAACGTTGTTCGTTTGGTCAAACAAGAAGGGAGATCTCGAGGCAAATGCATGCGTTTTTTGTGGAACGGAGATCTTCGATCTTTGCGCCGCGAGAGTATACGATGCGTCAAATATAAAAGAGGAAATATCGAGCACGAGTGACCGCAAAAAAAGTCCTACCGTTGCGCCATGATGGCGTCCTGTTTGCGCGCGCATCATTATTAGATGTTTTTGATGAGAGAGAGAGAGAGATCAGAGATCAGAGATTGTGAAATTGAAATGCAACGAACAAAAGCCAGACACACGCGACGGGAGGTAAACGATGAAAAAACGAGCGTTACGAACAACAACAACAACAACAACAACGCGTAATAATCGACGACGACGATGATGCGAACGAATACCATTTGAGACATGATGAGAGAGTTTAGAAATCTCTTTTCTTTGTGCTTTGATGAAAGTTAAAAAAATGAGGGGAAATGAACGAAAAAGCGTTTTTGCTGCTTTTTTTCGATTATTTTTTTCATTACACTCGTTGGAGCAAAAAAGATTCTGATGAATGAAGCGAACTCTGGTCGTCGTTGTCGCTCCACTTACCGCTCCACTTCAAAGAAGAGGCAAAGGACGTGCCTTCTCTGGCTGGCACGGCGGCATTAAGCACGGCTTGGACGGCTAAGTGTTTGTTGGTATAGGCTGGTGGTGATGTGCTTTCTTCTTGTTTCTTTGTCTTTGTCTTCTTCGAAGACGAGGAGGAGGAAATCGCGTTGCGTAAAACTCGCACCGCGTCTCGGACGTCCGTTCTCGTTTCCATGGTTTTAATCTTCGCCTCGCTCGCGAAAACCAAGTCTGCTTTCTTCGCGCTCGACTTTGCGAGAGAACGCAAGGATGTTAAGAGCTTCTTTTCGATATTCGATGCGCGATCGAGACGTTCTTTCTTACCCCGTTCGCTTTCAATCGCGCGTTCGTAATTTTTCTTCGCCGAGCGCAACGCGTGCGATTGAATTTTTTCTAACGCGTCTTCAAGTGCGCGTAGCTCTTGATCTAAACCATCGTGCGCGCGAACAGCCTCGCGTAATCGAGATTTGGCACCCTTTTGAGTCTCTTTTGCTTCTTTCACTTTCTGTTCTCGTTTGAGCGCATCCGGCGATTTCTCCAAAGACTTCCCTCGGATGCGATGCATCAAAGCGAGGTTGGATTTTTCCACGTCTTCAATAGCAGCAGAGAGACGATCGGTATCGCGTTTGGTTCTAAATAAACGCGCGTTCAATTCTTTAATTCTTGCTTGTTCTTTCAAAATGGACTGTTGCGCGGTTTCGTGCATTGCCTCTCGTCGTCTTCGTTGTTGTTGAGAATCGCCACAGTCGCCGTCATCCTCGACGACGTGCGCGTTCGTCTCCGAGGAATAAGGCGCAACCAACAAAACCTTCTCGTACCTCGACTTCGCGTTATCTCTTTCCATTTCCGTCTGATTCGCCACTTTTACCAACATCGATTTTTCTTTCAAAATTTCTTTCAACTTCACATTCACCACCTCCTTCCGTTCGCGTTCGCACGACGCCAACTCCTCTCGAAACGAATCTTTCAACGTCAATTCGTTTGCAAACAAGCGATCGCACGAATCGTCTTTTGCCAATAGTTTATTCGCCTCTTTACCACAATGTTGTTTCAAGATGTGCAACTCGACCAACGCGTCATTTCTCGAATCTTCCGCCGCATTGCTCCATCTCTCCGCCGCCGTCGCTTCGATTTTCGCATTCGCCAAACAGTCCTTCTCGAATCGATCGCGTTCGCATGCGCTTTGTCTCACACTCAATCGCGCTTTATTCAAAGTTTCTTCGACCGCTTTTTCCGCGCTGAGTAATCCGTCGTGTTCCTTTTTCGCCTCTGACACGGTCTCTTCCAGTTTCCGAACCTTCTTTTGTAACATCTCGAACTGTTCGCTCGAGACGCCGGCTTCCGGCAACACGCCTTCTTTCCTCTCCAACTTTCTTCTCAAACAATTCACTCGGAAAGCGTGCTGCAAAATCGTTTCGTTCGTTCGTTTTTCTGCTTCTGTGTTTTGTTTTAACAATTCTTCCGCGTTTTGTTTCTGCGAATGCGCCCCAGCGCTGAATGCTTTCATGGTTTGCAATTTGCGCGATTTCTCGTTCGCCTCTTCTCGCGCTCTCGTAGCGTCGCGCTCCGCCATGTCGTGCGCTTTCGTCGCGGTTTTCAAAATCTTCTCAAACTCCTTTCTTTTCACTTCCAGGTCAGCCTGCTTTTCAGTGGCCGTTTGTTTCTTTCGTTCTTCCTTTGATCGTTGCGTGAGCGTTTCAATGTGCGACTCCTTCTGCGCCTCTAAGCGTTTCGCGTGGTCGCGTAGGGTTTGTTTCGTCAACGATAATTTTTCGTTCGCCAAATGCGCGACATCCGAGGCTTGCTTTAGTGCTCTTTTCTGGTACTCCCACTGTTTTTTCGTCTCTTTCAACTTCTTCTTTTCCATCTCGCGCGTGTCTTCGCTTTTCGTGTGCATCCGCTTCGTCTTTTCGCACTCGCCTTCGCTCGTTTTGCGTCGCTTCTCGTGTTCTAAACGTTTCGGTTGAATATCCTCCGTGAGTCTCCGTTTTGATTCGTTTAACACTAGCTCTGCGTTTGCTTTGGATTCAACAGCTGCGCGCTTCTCTTTCTCTCTTCTCTCCAATCCCAACTCGGCGTCGCGTAAACGATCGAACAACGCTTTGCGCGTGTCCATCGCCTCCCTCAAATCTCTCGTCAACCCTTTCCTGGAGGCAATCTCCGCTAATCGTTCCACGTCCGCGCTTTCAAAGTTCTCCATCGCCACTCGTAACTTCTTCGACAACTCTCCGAAACACTTTTCGTGTTCTCTCTCTTGCTTCTCCATGAAATGATCTCGTTCCTCCGTTCGATGTTCAAACGCGTTGACCACTTCTCTTCTTTTTTCCCACACGTCCGCGTTCCTCGTTTGCCTCTCGTGTTCCTCATTCAGCTGTTCCAACGCGAACCGTTCGTGCGTGATTCGTTTCTTCAGGTGTATTTGCAACTCTTTTTCTTCTTCAATAGCGCTTTCTCTCTTCTTCCTCTCTCTTTCCGTTCTCACTTTTTCCAACCGCGCGTTTGCCAAACGCTCCTTCTCGTTCTCCTTCAATCTCGAATACTCCTGCAAATGTATTTCCAACCGTCCCAACGCTTTTCCGACGTCTTTTTGGTGCTGTTTCATCAAATACGCTCTGTTCGCGTGCCTACACGCGTCTTTTTCTCGTTTCAAAACTTGCTCCGCGTGTTCCGCGATGGCTTCGTCCAACGCTCGATTCCGAGCGTTGGCGAATGTTGGAATCATCATCATCGCGGGAGGAGGAGGAGGAGGAGGAGGAGGACCCGTCGTCGTCGTTGACGTCGTATTTTCCGTCGTCGCTTCTTCCTCTGCTTCTTCCATCACGGTGTGTTGTTGTTCTCTCTCGTTCGTATGCGAAAAGGGTGCTTTTCGCCGCGTATTCAAAAAGATGTTCTTGTGTAGACTTTTTCCTCTCGCTCGCTAAAAATAGCCACCTATTACCTTCTTCTAAAAATGTTGACTTTCCGCGCTCCTCTCTTCACGCGACGATGGCGCATCATACACTCGATTCCCGCTCGACTCCTTACCCATCGTCTTCAAAACCCTCTCAAAATCTTACCTTCTTCTTAACTCTCTCTTTTCTCTTCCTCTTCTCTCGCCAACTCTGCGATCGCGCGTATCGTCCTCCGTTCCAGCTTTTCCGTTTTCCTCGCAACGTCTCGCTTGAGGTCCCAATTTTGCTTCTTCGTCCCGTTCGAATGAAGGATAGTGTCGTCGGGAGTGTTGCCATTTTCCTCTTCTTTCTTTCTCTTAAACTCTGGCGCGACTGCGTTGGGTAAGATTTGTACTCCCACTGATGTTGATTTCAACGCCGAGATGTCTTTCGGGACGTAGTTGCGAAGTTTAATAGTCACGTTCGTCTCTTCATCATTCGCCGCCGGGGATGGATTGATGAACAAATCTTCTTCTTTCAAAGCGGTCGCACTCCCGCCTAAAACTTCTTCTTTTTCAGAGAGCTCGCGCAGTTCTTTCAGGCGACTTTTCCTGCTGCTGCTCATTGTAGTCGCAGTCGCAGTGAGTGTTGTTGTTGTTGTAATAATAATAAGTGTTGTTGTATCAAAGCGCGCGTTGAATGAGTGAAGAAAAACGTCAGAAATCAAAGCGCATTTAGAACATCATATATGCCGGTCCCGATGAAGATAATGCTCGCACCGACGACGATTCAGACGACAAAAACTCCTTCAGTATTCGCTGCTGCTCGTAGTAACAATGCTCGTCCTACGATGAAGATGAATACGACTACTACGAACACCAACAAAAGACACCGACGCGATGTGATTCTCTTCGTATCCACTCTCGTTCTCTCTTCTTCTAAAGAAGCCGCGATGAGTAATAACAACGCGTCGTTTGCAAAAGAAGACGACGACGAAGAGACGTTCCAATCGCCTCTGATAAAAGCTTTACTGGAACAAACGGAAGAAAACAAAGCGCTGAGGAAACTGCAATTGGAAACGAAGTATTGCCTGAGACAGTCGCAAATGGGGGTTGGAGACTGCGCGGATATCGACGAAGAGTCAATTAAAAGGATACAGAAGGAAAGAGCGGAGAAGTTGAAGAATGAAGCGGCATCGAAAGAAGAGGAAGGTGTTGATGATGGGAACGCATCAAAATCGTCGTCATCGGTTGAATGAGGACGATAAAGACGACGATTTGTGCGCGCGAGAGATTTCGCAAACAACTCATAACTACTACATAGTATCATTAAAAATCATCATCGGTCTTTCTTGTTAAGTCTATTCATCATATCATTATTCGCGACCGCCTCGGCGGCGGAGGAAGAGGAGGAGGAGGAAGTGCCAAAGACGACGTCCCATGTGCTCTGCGATATGCCGAAAATCAAATCCGGAGACTCGTAATGGTGCGTCATGTGTCTCCGTTTGACTCTTCGAGCGTATCGGGTGAATATGTTTTCATTATTGTTGATGTTTGTTGTTGTTGCTGATGCTGATGCTGATGCTGCTGATGCTAAGTGGTGGCACGCGTAATGCGTCATGTCGTACGCGACGTACCCGGTTAAACTTCCCGCGATGACAAGTTTTGCCAACGCCGATCCGCAGAGGAGACTGTAGAAACTATAAAACCCAAACGCGATGGGTCCGGCTAAAACGGGAGGGAAGACTAAACGCAACGCATCCATGGGATGTTTGTGATGACAGCCGTGGAATAAGAAGTGGAAGGTGATGAAGAAGGGCGAATTCGCTGGAGGCTCTTTGTGGAACAAGAACCTGTGCATTGCGTACTCTTTGAACCCCCAGGCGAAGAGGCCGAAACCAAACGCCGCGAGTTGCGAGACGCACGAAAACGCTCTTTCCGAGCTTTGTTCCGCACCCTTGATGACATTCCAAACAATCACCGGCAGCCAAATCAAAAGCACGACGTACCACGCCGTGACCGATAACGCCTCCATCCAATCTGCCTCGAAAAATCTCTGCTGCGTCCCGTCCGCTCTGGACGGTTCGGGGATGTGCGTCCACTCGAAATACTTTTCTTTCAGGAAAGGCACCTGTTGTAACAAAGGCTTGTTGAAATTAATCCCATATTCGTCGACTCCGTTTTTTTTGTCTTCTTTGTCTTCGTCGTCATCGTCGCTTACGACGACGACGACGCTTGGGCGAGCAGCCCCCGCGGAATTATAAACAGCGGTATTAACGTCCTCGAACGACGCGCACGCGTTCAATCCTCCTCCAACCACGCCTATTTCTGACCCGTCGCCATCACTCAACCGTTCTAAACATAAATCTTCCGACGAGCTTCCCCTCACGTTCTCCCCTCCTTCTCCTAAATGTAACATCGACGAAGAAGAGGACGTGCCCTCTTCGCTGCTCGCCGAAACGCTCCGGTTTCGCCGCTCGTAATGATGATGATGATTGTACGAGTCGCACGAGGATGACCAATTAGTATTCTCATTATTCGAAACGATGTCTTCATCGCCCTTTATTCTTCGTCCTTTCCTTCTAAAATTTCTTCTGGTATTCTCCATCCGCGTTTTCGGTGACGGAAGCGGCGTCGTACGAAGAGTCGTTTTAAGAAGAAGAGCATCATCATCATCATCACCCACAATCTTCCCAACGATGAGCTTATTCAGCATTTTCTCCGCGTTCTGTCCGTGTGCTACTTCTTTGCGAAACGCGTTTGTCGCGTCTTTCCCTTTATATTGTTCCAACGCTTTGTTCCCTCCCGGATGCGAAAAGTGTTCCACGTTCAACACGAGCCCATCGACGATAATCAGAAAAAAGGACGATTTGGAAACGTCTTCGCGAGTGTAGCGTAACAACAACTTCTTCTCCTCATAATACATTTCTTCTCGCTGCTGCTCGTTCTTCTTCGTCGTCTTCTTTTCGTCCTCTTGGTGGTCTTCTTCTTCTTCTCTCTCTTCTTCTTTTTGTCGCATCATCCTCATCGGATGGCGTTCTTTCATCATCGTCATCATATCTACACTCTTTCTCGCGCGATGTATAAATATAAACATATAACGAATAATGCGTTCAAACAACCGATATAATCGTAATAAATAGAAGAATCACAGAGCAGTAGTAAACGCTCCTCTTCACAGAAGAAGAAGAAGAAGTACACGGACACAACAACACGGGCACAAAAGCTCTGCTCAGTAAATCTCTCTTTATTTTCCTCAGTCTGATGATGTGTTTCTTTTTTTTCTCTTTTAAGTGTTGTGTGGTGTTTGTGTGGTGTTTGTCTCTTTTCTGCGTGTGCTTTTTAAAAAAAAAAAAAAAATCGCTCCTTTTTTCGTTGTTTTTTGCTTCTTCTTTTTCTCGTTGAAAATCATGTGGGTTTTTTTCATCACGATTTTCGTCCTCGTTTCATCACAAATATATATATAAAAAAGTCGTCACAGAGTGCGTTATAAATACGTTGTCAGTGAGTGTATACGTATACATATATATAACCAGATTTGGGAACCAGATTTGGGAACCAGATTTGGCCTTGTTTGTTTCGAAAAAGCGGGAGGACTTTTTGTGCGTGAGAGAGAGATTCTCTTCTTCTTCTTCTTTCTTTTCTTTTCTTCTTTAAATACGTAAGTTAGGGGAAGAAATTGGAATAATTTTAGATTTATACACGCGAGAACGAGAGCGCAATAATAACAGAGGTGGTCAAAGAAGGAAAGAATAATAATAATGGCGACGACGAGACGACGAGGACGAAATAATGCGATTCAGACGAAAACGACGACATCTTTCTCAAGAGAAGAAGAAGAAGAAAACTTTGGTTTTACGAAGATGAAGAAGACAACGAAAAAGTCCAAGTCCAAATCGAAGGAACAACAACAACAACAACAACCACAAAAGGAGGTATTGGCGAAAGAACAACAACCCATTTGCGGAAGAAAGACAAGGACAGAAACAAAAACAAAAACAACCTCAAAATACGAGATTCAAACGCAAAAATCTTTACAGCTCGATCGCGACGAGCGTTTTCAAGAAGAGCACGAACCGTTTCTTTTCGGTCCGTACGCCGCGCCGTGCCCGGAAGCGAGATATCGGAAATGGCTTTGCGCGGATTGCCCGACGTGTATGAAAATAGACGCGCCGTTGTATGCCATTCATAACAAGTACATTTTGAGCGGGTACCGGACGAGAAATACGTTCAAGGATGCACTCAGGTCGGTGTTTAAGAAACACAACGAAACGACAAACATTTGGACGCATTTGATTGGGATGATTTTTTTCTTTACGTTTTTAGTCAACGTGAAAGAACCGGAACGAGTGCAAATGATACCAGAGACGTGGGTGACGGGAGCGAGCGCGGAGAGAGTGTTGGGGTTACAAATGACGCAAAAGTGGCGAGAGAAAGTCGTCATGGTGGACGAAGGGTTGCGAGAGGCGAGGAAGAGCTTCGTCAGGGAGAAGATTAGCAGGAGTAGTAGCGCGACGACGAATAAGGACGAGGACGACGACGAGAAAAAAACGCCGTTGCCGACTTTCGAAAAAGACGATATCGAAACGAAAGAGATGGAACGCTCGATTGACTCGATATTGAGCGCGTCGAAGAATTTACGCGAGCATTTACGCCGGGAGGAAGACAGACCGTTTAAAGAGTTGAAGAGAGAAACGGCGATGTTTATACAAGAAGCGAGACGGTCGTTGCGGAAACACCAATCGTATAGCAACCGAGAGAAAAAAAAGCACCAACAAAAACAACAACGAGAACGAGAAGAGGACCCTCAAAGGCGCGAAGAGAAAGAGGACACGAACGATCCGGCGTTTGCAAAAGTTACCGAAGCTTTGAAAGAGGTGCAAAATGTTCTCGACGAAATCCCAAAAGACGTCGAGAGATTGAATAAAGTCCCTCGATGGCCCATGCGCGTGTTTTTATTGGGCGCTATACTCTGTTTGGGATGTTCCACGTGTTGTCACACGTGTTGCAACATTTCGCATCAAGTGTCCACGCGGATGTGGAAAGTGGATTATCTAGGGATTGCGATTTTGATCGTCGCGTCGTTTTACCCGGTCGTATATTATTCGTTTTATTGTTTACCGGAATTGAGGGACTTTTATTTATCGTGCGTGACCTGTTTAGGCGTCGCGGCTTTAATACCGACGATTTTACCGAGGTTCCAAAAACCTTCGTGGACGCCAATTCGAGCGGCGTTGTTCACCGCGTTGGCGTCGTTTGGTTTCTTTCCTTGGTTTCACAACGTTTTCTTCGTCTGGAAAGTTGTACCAACGCCAATTTGGCACGGTTTTTGGTTAGAGTTACTCATGGGTTTCTGCTACTGCTCCGGAGCGTATTGTTACGCGTTGAAGATTCCGGAGAAGTATTGGCCGGGGAGATTCGACGTGTTCGGGTGCGGTCACAATATCTTTCACATCATGGTCGTCGCTGGTGCGTTGGTGCACTACGAAGCGTGCTTAGTCTTAGAGCTGTGGAGAGATCACCACGCGTGTGAAGCGGACGAGGTGATCATGCGCGACGCTTTGGTGTTCGGAGGCTATTTCGGCTTTCAAAAGTTTGATTTGTTTTCGAGTTTGCGAAGACGAAAAGAATTTTAGTCAAACAAAAAGTCAACGCAAAAAAAATGTTGGTATTTATAACTTAATAGTCATCATCATCATCATCATCAATCAGGCCGTATGTAATTTAATAAACAAACACAGATATAATTAGTAGATCATCGTTGTTATTATGCTCTCTTTTGAACGTCTGGAATCGTTCGTTATATTCGTCGTTCGTTTAACCTTTCGCGTCGCGGCGAAAGCGTTGTTTTCCTTTTCCTCCAGGAGCCGAACAGGAAAGAGGAGCACGAATAGTAATAGCAACTTGTTTAACAAAGAGCATAAAATACACGCGCTGATAAAGCACTTGCGAGAGATTGAGCGGCACGAGGAAGAGCTGAGCGTGAAGTTAGCCATCGTGCGGCGACAGCTGTGCGAAGAGAAGATGAAAAATAGTAATAACGGCTTCGGCACGGTTCGTCATAGCGGTAAAGTCGAGCCCAGAAAATGCTCCGCATCATCATCAATTGAATAAATTTGTATTAATATAGTAATTATTAAAATTATCTTTGTGGTGTGAATTCCCTTCACTCACTCTTTCTCTCCGTCTTAGTATACTTCCTCTCTCTAATGTGATACTATTTTACCAGAAGACACCGTCGTCGTCGTTTAGAGTCTGTCTTCATAGTCACCCAACGGCGGGATGGTGTCCTTGAGACCTTTTCTCTTACGGATGTCGCCGATGATCTTACCAGCTTGGGTGGTCGGGTCGAGCGGATCGGAACCCAACATGTCCCAGTGATCAAACACGCACTGCGGGAAGGCTTGGCCACCAGTCGCGGCACGCAAGGTACCGGTGAAACCGAAGGATTCCATGACCGGCAAGTACGCCTTGATGTTGTAAATCGGCGTACCCGGGCGTTGCGTTTCTTCGACGACCATACCTCTCTTTTGCGTAACGGTGGAGTAGATGCCACCCAACGCTTGTTCCGGCGCTTGGATTTCAACCAAATAGACCGGCTCGTACAAGCGCGGTTGCGCAGTGAGACACGCAGCGTATAAGACTCTACGGCACGTCGGGATGATTTGGCCGCCACCTCTGTGGATGGCATCCGCGTGCAAGACGACGTCGTGAATTTCAAACTTGATGCCGCGCATGTTTTCTTCAGCCATCACACCTTCTTTCGTCGCCCATTGGAAGGCAGCGACGCACGAATCCTTAATTTCGTTCACGTACTGAACCCCTTTACACATGTCGACGATCAAGTTCGGACCAGTGGTGTCCGGACCAAAGCACCAGATCTTCTTGGACAAATCTTTATCCCAGTTGAACTTTTCCGCTAAGAGGCGACCTCTCGCCTTGACTTCATCTCTCGGCGTCACGTCTCCGTTGTCAATAGCCTCGGATAATCCGTCTTCCAAAGGCGTAGCTTGGAAGTACAAGCGGTTGTGCTTGTTCGGGGACTTGGACATGACCATGTGGTCGGAGGTGCCCAAAACCGTTTCTCTGAAGGAAACAACCGGATCGGAGATGCGAATCTCCGCGCCGCCCATGAAATCTTCTTGCAAATCCTTCAAGCAAATTTCCAAGTGCAATTCACCGGCGCCAGCAACAATGTGTTCGCCCGACTCTTCGATCGAGCACTGGACCATCGGGTCAGACTTGGACAATCTCTTCAAGCCTTCGACCAATTTCGGTAAATCTTGAGAGTTCTTGCATTCAACCGCGACGCGGACGACCGGGGAGACGGAGAACTTCATAGCCTTGATGGTGTGCGCTTCAACTTCGGCTTCATCCGTAATCGTGGCGTTCTTTTGGATGAATTGATCCAAACCAACGCACGCGACGGTGTTACCAGCCGGAACATCATCGATAGAATCTTGACGACGACCCATGCACAAGACCGTTCTTTGGATAGACTTGACGTACAAATCTTTCTTCTCACCCGGGACGTAGTGCGGACCCAAGATTCGAACCTTTTGGCCCGTTCTGACGGTACCGGAGAAAACACGGCCGAACGCCAAGAATCGACCCTTATCAGCAGTCGGAATCATCTTGGAGATGTACAACATGAGCGGACCCTTGGAGTCGCAAGTGCGGATACCTTCGGCGTATTTGTCGTCGAGCGGGCCTTCGTACAAAGTGTCCGCGCGGTACTTTTGAGCAGTCGCAGGCGACGGCAAGTAGTAGATAATCATCTCAAGCAACGCAACGTCGGCCGGCAACCACGTTTGCATGACTCTCTTCATGAGCGGTTTACCCATCAAGTCCAAGTCTTGCGGCTTCAACTTGTCCTTGACTTGCAACTTTTCAAGCATCGGGAACAATACGTCCTTCTTGTCGTTCATGGCGGCATCAATGACGCGTCTGATCGGCTCGTAGCAAAACTGGACGAAGGCTCTCATGCAAGTCTTGGCGCCGGTGTGCTTGTTTGTCCACTTCTTCTCCTTCGGGTCGAAGAAGTTGTCGCCCCAGAGCTTGCCCATCATGCGCTCTTGCTCGATGCCAAACTTCGCGGCGTACATCTTGGCGAAGACGGTCAACGTAAACGCCCAGTTGTGTAAACCAGCGGAAAAGCAGACGGTACCCTTCTCCGGAGAGACGCAAACATCGCCCAAGGCTTCATCGGTGTACGTCGCCATGACGATGTTCGCGTTTTCGATAACTCTGCAAAAGTTTTGGTACGCTTCTTCGCCATCCAACATGAGTTCCAAAAAGCATCTGTCGAGCTTATTCACCGTCATTACCGGTTTAATACGCTCGCCCAACGCTTGTCTCAACACAGTTTCCGTTTGCACGCAAACGCCTTCCACGCAATCGACGACGACCAAGGCGCCGTCGGTGATGCGCAAAGCGGCAGTAACTTCAGAAGAGAAATCAACGTGGCCCGGGGAATCAATCAGGTTGATCAAGTAGTCGTTGCCGTCTCTCGGGACGTCCTTCGGGATGCGCGCCAAATCTTCGTCGGAAACTTTGTAAAACAAAGAGATGCCGGTCGATTTGATCGTGATGCAACGATCTTGCTCGTCTTGACGAGTATCCGTCAAACGCGCATCGCCGGCGTTTTCTTGCGCGATAATACCCGCCGCCGCGACCAAGGAGTCCGTCAATGTGGATTTGCCCTGTTTATAGAAAGAGAGTTAGTAAAAAAGAGGAGAAATCGCGTCGCGTGCGCCCTTCCTCGTTGAAAGAATGTTGAAGAGGAGGATGCTCAGAGAAAAGAATAAACCCATTTCTTGGTGCGGCGGCGACATCGCGAAATCGGAGAAAATCGGGCAAATTTCTATAATAAATCAAACACGTACGTGATCAACGTGAGCAATAACAGACATGTTACGGATGTTGTGGACTTTGTCCATTTGACGACGCATGTCGTCGATGGTAAACTGTTCGGAGAGAGAGGTCGCATCGGTCAGTTTCAAGGTGGATTTCGATAAATTTCGCGTATTGGGTCACACAAAAGTGCTCAAGACGCGAAGAGAAAATGCAAGAAAAAAATGCCATCTCTTTGGAGATGGATGTGCGTCGCGAAGTTAAACGAGTCACGTAAACAGGAGAACGTAACGGTCGCGTACCTTAACCATGGTGTGAGACTGTTTTTTATCGGATTTGAATTACTGAACACGCGTAACAACCGTGCCGTTTAACTGAAGAAAATGTCCGATTGCTTTTGGTTTCGCCTCTGAGTGAAAAATTCTTCCTTCTCGTCTTTCTGTGTCAGAAAAAGGCTTGAGATATTTTCGTGATTAGAAAAAATACGAGGATATGTAGTAGAGTGTTCATAAATAATAAAACGTAGATGATTCCTCTTTAACTAAGAGCACTCACCCAATATCAATACAGCAGTACATCGTGGAAACACTGTAAACACGATCATCAAACCGGGTTTGAGTCGGAGTCGGAGTCGGAGTCGGAGTCGGCTTCTTTTCGATTTGTTGGGCGTCGGCTTCTTCGGCTTCGTCTTCGTTCGGAAGCAGACAGCGGCGGACGCAAACGGCAACAGAAGAGGCAACAAAACAGCCACTTGGTTGCACTGAGAAGCTTTTTGAAAAGGTATTTCCAGAGACCAAGTAAAACGATGCCGGCTACGGCACCTTGGAAGAGGCCAGAGATAAATAAGGATTTTTGGGAAACGGCGTTGGAGTCTTTCGCGGACGTTTCCTGTGTCAGAGAGTCGTACGAGGACGGGTACGCGATAGCTTCGATGTTTACGTGCGCGATGCTTGTGCACGGTTTCGTTGCGTCCGATGGTGTTGTTTCTTGTTGTTGGATTCTGCACGAATCGTGTTTCCAATCGTATTTCGCGTTGATGGTCTCGTTCATTTTCTTCGCGTTGTACAATTTGACGAAACCGTACTCGAGAGTGAGTTCGAGCGTGTCGCGCACAACTCTGGGTGTCTTTTTCATCGTTTTGGCGTCGTATAGTACATAATGGAAGAAAATATCGCGAACTGCGCTCGGTGGACCGGCAATTCTGATCTGGTTACGTAACCATTTCGTGACGACAATCGAAGAGGTGTTCAACTTTACCGCGTCTTCGTGTTCAGACGGGAAGGCTACGCTGACGTTGGCGAGAAAGGCTGCGTTGCTCGGGTTTATCGATTTTATTGTCACGGCAACACCAAACACCGAGTCATAATCTGGATATAAATCGTATTCGAACGCTTTATAAAACTTCAAGTACCCTCCAGTAGGCAGAAGAAACGTCGACGATGAATCATTGATATGCGTCTCGTTCGAATCGACTCTGAGTAAGTACGAAGGAGAAGGAGAAGGAGGAAGAGCGGATGCACTCGCGTCCATGGAAATGTTCCGAAACTTTGCAGGCGCGTGCGGAACGTCTGCCGTGACTGTAAACGAGACGTTCAATACCGATGGAACTATCCATCCATCCAAAATATCTCTCGCGCTGAACGAGAGCAGCAGCGGAGGACGAAGAGAAGCGTATCGAGTCGTCGTACTCACCGCGTCGCCGAAAATATCAACATTTGGCGCATTAAAGTAGAAATCATCCGGAACGAACAGCAAATTTGCAAATGCGACGCATCGTTCTATGCCATCTTGCCCTTCAGCATCTTCTGTCGTCGTAATCATGTACGTGTGCTCGAGTCGAACGACGTCGTTTTCTTTCAGCGGCGTCTTTCTTTTATCTTCCTCGGCGACTACCGAAGACGTCGAGATTGCAGGTGTACGTATCAAGTACACCGTTCCGTTCGTAGGCAAAGTTTCAACAATAGCCTCTGTTGCGTTATCTTTACAGTCCAATCGTAAAACGTCTATGGTAAACTCGAGGGGCACATTTTCTTTCGTTTCCTTGACCGAAGAGAAGGAAGAAGGAGGCATCCGTCGAACGGGCGACTGTACTCGAAACTCCACTTTGGTTTCGTTTACCGCTTTTTCGTCGTATTTATCGTACACGTAATACGAGAAAAAATCGGATAAATACTCTTTCTTTTCTTCGATTATTGAAGGAACGAAGTTTACGACGTCATCTAATCGATACGTGAGCGATTCGGCTTCGGATGTGACATCGATGATATCTCCAAGATTCAACGTTTTCGTATTCTCTGGAGACGAGGAAGCGCTCGACAGTCTAACCTTCCCGATCGTTGGCATTCTTGACACTTCAATCTTTGAGATGTACTCATCATCGTCTCGAAACTCGATTTGAAACGATTTTCCTTCTTCGCGTCCAAAATACTCGACGACGTGAAAGACGCCCGACGGAGCATCGTTCACGGGAGAAACGAAAATTGAAACCAAACCTTGGTTCAAAGAGTCTACGGTCTCAAATTCATTCAGTAAAGATGTTTCTGTTGCTTTGAAAGAAAAGCTTGCATATAACTCCAACGTCGTTAGTTCATTACTATCGTGTATCCATGAATGGTCGTTTGGTTCGGGCGTATAAAATACGGCGTTGCCGAAACATTTGAAAGGAACGCGCGTGACCGGTATCGCCGCGGCCTCGTCGGCGGTTTGCATACTACTGTCAGCATCATCACCATTAGTATAGTTAGTATCATCGTTGTTAGCATCTCCTATCGGTATGGCTTTCAGAACGCCTATCTTCGGTAAAGTGAGTATCGAGAAGGCATGCTTTACTGATGAAATTGTATGATTCAACGCGCTACCACTCGTCGGTGTTATCGTCGCGTTGTAATAATCATCGTCCGCATATTGAAGCACGATTTTCGCCTCTTTTACGTCTTCATTGATCGTAACGTTTACATCCACTGCCAGCGGTGCCGCGTTCGGTAATCCAGCGTGAAAATTGAGCGTAATCTCTTCGTCGCTTATTTTTTTGTCGTACATGGCAAACGCGTGCACGGTGTTTGTCCATTCCCAAGTATCGTCACTCGAGTCGTGCGCGTTATTCGCGCTCGTGCTTCCGAAATACGGCGCGGACGTTTCTTGCCACGCGTTTGCGAATGGAAACTTTCTCTTACCGTTATCGTCGACTAAAACGTCTCCGATGACCTCGTCTACGATTTTTGTCCCGTTCGCGTAACACGAGATTCGATTTTTTCCGAGCGCGTTTTCCTCGTCGTCGTCCGAAAACGATGCCGTCAGAACGAAATGATTCACAGCGTTCGCTACAAACGCGCTTGGTTTTGTGATTACCGAAGCGCACGTCTCTGCCACTAAAGTTGGATAAATTGCAATCGGCTCGCGCGACCGAAACCCGACGCTAAAATCAGTCCCAATATAAAGCGCAAAATCAAACTCATCCGTGCAATCGAACGCGCTCGTCCAGGCGTACGGGTTAAACGTCTCGTTTTTTTTTGGCGTTTCCAGCGTAAAGAAAGGAGTGAAATGCCGACCGGTGAAACCATCGAGTTTTTGTAAACGAGGGGTGATCCAAAACTCAACGCTAAACGCTTTCGCCTCGCTCGCGCGCGATTTAGCATCGAATATTACATCCATCGTCGAGTTCGACTTCGTCCTCGTCGAGGAGAAGAAGGAGGAGGAGGAGAAGGAGGAAACGTACTCCTTCGTTTTTGACGAAAACGTCACGCCCGATGTGCCTTCCGAGCACCACCGTTTGTGATACAAAGAATCATCCTTCTCGTCGAGGCTTTCCTTCGGCGGCCAAAAACGACCGAGCGTCCCAAACGACGACGACGATATCGTTCGATTGGTCTCGTCGTCGTCGTCGTCGATGCTACTGCTGCTGCTGTTGTTGTTGTCGTTGTTTCTATCAAAATCATCCATGAAAAACACGTTTCGTTCGCACTCTTCTCGAGAAAACGCGTACTCGCTCACGACGAAAGATCTGTTCACCGAGCGCCCGGTGTAATAACTATACCGCGCGGATGCGAAGAAATAGTTCCTCTGTGTCGTCAAAATCGAGAACAACGACAACATAAACAATCTGCTCGTGTGCATCTTTTATGTGTTGTTGTTGTTGTTGTTCAATGAAACAGCGAAACAGCAGCCAACAACCACAGCGTGATCAGAGTTTCAGATCTCAGAACGAAAAGTGAAAAAAACCGTTTCGTTCGAACACGATTTCCCGAACGAGATACATCGTTTTCTGCACCGAAGACGTACACTTCGAAAAGAAAGCGAAGGCTACAAAACACATTCCTCCTCCTTTTGTTGGTGTTCTCGTCGTCATCGAGAGAGAGAAAAAGAGCCCGCGTTTGTGTGTGTTTGTGTATATATAATATGTGTTGTTGTTGTTAAAAAAAAGAGTGGAGATGCGTGAGATCCGCATGTGTGTCGTTTTTTGCCTGCAAATGAAAAAAAAATCTCTCGATTTTCTGTTTGGCGGCCACTTTAAAAAAAAAAAAAACGAGAGAAAGGACGAGAGAAAAGAGAGATCTTTTCTACGAGAAATCTCTTCAGTTTTACTACTCTCATTAGTAGCTCTCTTAATCAACTCTCTCGAACGAACGAAGGCACGAGAAATACGAGAAGAGCTTTAACAACAGAAAAGGAGGAAAGAGGCCCACGCTTTCGAGAACGCGCGGAGCAGTCGTTTTGCGGTGAGTATTTGTTCGGGTGTGTATTGTTTGGGAATTCTTATCAAAAAGGTTCTGGAAAAACGCTCTTCTTTTTCTCTTCTCTAATAAGAGCAGATAGAGATAGAAAGAAGGAGTCTAGCGATGTACGAACCGTCCATCCGACGGAAATCGTTGCAATACTCGTGCGATATATGCGGCGAGATACCGATTTTAAGGAAAAGATGGTGCTGCGACGTGTGCGAAGATTACGACATTTGCGACAACTGCCACCAGACGCAAAAAGAGCGGCTGTTGAAAAAAACGAATAGGAAGAATAAAAATAATAGTAGCAAAGATAATACTAACAACAACAACAACAACAATAAAGAGAAAGGAGGAGGAGACGTGGCGATGATGAGCGATTCGGACGAGGAAACGGACTCGGAGGAAGAGAATAGCGACGAGGAGGACGAGGGGGACGACGTGCACACGGACTCGCACTCGATGCGAGCGTACGCGGTGAACGAGACGATGGAACCGTTGCACTCGGGGAAGTTGTCCTCGGTGGCGGAGGACGCGTGTTGTCGGTGGTTTATGGACGCGTTGAAGCAAGCGAAGAGAGGTGATCCGAACCAAGCCGCGCTGGTGTCGCAGATGATGTTGGAAGGGTACGGATGTAACGCAGACCCGAAGGAGGCGAGGTATTGGGCGCACGTGGCTAGAAACGCAGGCGCGCGCAGAATCGAAGGCGTTTACGACGAGTTGCCTTGAAGTATCGCATAGATAGCTTGTTTTATAAATATGATTTTAGTAGAGAGAGAGAGAGAGAGAAAGAAAGAGAGAGAAAGAGAGAGCGAATTGCGATGCAGCGAGTTGACACGGACAAAAAGAAAGGAAAGGAAGGGTTTTCAACGCATGAATGAAGAAAGTTGCATATAAAAGAAGAAAGAAAACTTTCAATAATAATAATAATACAAACGTGCGTCTCATAGTATCGTGTATAGCATGTTTCAATTGATTGCATGATGCGATTGACAACAAAAGGGTGCGTGTGTGTGTGTGTGTTCGTATAATACTTTGGTTCAATACTCTAGGCGACTTCTTCGTTTTCCTTTTCTTCAGTCTTCTTGGAAAAAAAGTCCGAAATCTTCTTACTCCCGTGCGTTTCCACCTCTTTCTTATTCTCTCCGTCCTCGTCCGCCACCTCCACGTCTTTCTCCGTCATCTTTTTCGGCTCTCCTTCTTTCGGTTTCATCGCGCTTACGTGGTCGTGCAAAAAATCAAACTTTTGCTTCTTCAACACCGCGCGTTCCACGTCCAAATATTTAATCGTTTTCCGTTTCCCGAGTTTCATGCTCCCTAACGCGCTTTGCGTCAGCATCTCGCAAAATAACTCCGTGGCTTTGGTGATTAACTTCGTCGCGTCCCCGGAGGCAACTTTCACCGATTTGTCCAATTTCATAATTCTTTTCACCCGCGAAAGTGGCAAACTCAACGAGTTCCCATCCTTGTCTTGATTCATCATCGATTGCATCTGCGTTTGTTGCACCAATCTTTCCGCCTCCGTCATCCCGTCTTCTTTTGGCAAGTCCTCCTCATCCTCATCATCATCATCGTCCTTCTTATCTTTATCCTCGACATCTTTCTTCTCATCCGCTCTCTCGTTCCTCTCCCGTTCCTCTTTCTCGTCGAATTCTTTCTCGCACTTTTCTTTAAACTTTTGCTTCTCCTCCTCGGTGAGATTCTTCCATCTCCCGGATATTAATTTCGCAATGTCTCCCATCCCGGGTTTTAAGTTGCCTTTTTCGTTGAGTTCTTTTTTCGCCGACTCTCGGTTTTCGGTCGTGAAGACGATGTACGCGGATGGGCGTCGTTTACCAGAGCCTCCTCCGGGTCCGGAGGGTTTCTTAGGTGGCATGATGATGTGTGATTTTAAAAATTTTTTGTGTGGGTTTTTCAAAACGAGAGAGACAAAAACACCCCTACGTGCAATAATAACTCATCAAAATCACATCGTCAGAGGGTTCACAAAAACGCACAAAGGAAACTCTCTCTCTCTGTAATTCCATCTCGAGAGGCAACAATCATGGAACCGAGGCAGCGTCGCCTTCGCGTCATCCGCCGTTTACTCTGCCTCTTCCTCTTCCTCTTTCTCGCCGCATCTTCCATTCGTAAGTTCCGTTATTCGGTGAAAGAAGCGCGACACTTCGCCGCGGAATCGCTGATACATTTGGCGAAAGATTTAGACGAAGAAATCCTCGATGTTTCCCGGTTTAATACTAATGTCTACAACAGCGCACAAAGGCGTTCAGAGGAAGATTTTAAGGAAGAACCGGAAGTGTACGAACGACCGAGCTCACCGATGCCACCTGCGGATCCGAGCGCGCCACCTCCACCTCCGGTGGCGCCGAGCATGCCGCCACCAGATGATGCGATGAGAAGAGAAAGGTCGGATACGCTAATAACACCATCATCATCATCGAGCGCAATCAATCGAAACTTAGTATTCTTTTCCGGCTCTTTGAACGAACCTACCGTAAAAGATCATCCTTTATATAAATCTAACGAGGACGATTCGACAGATTTGTGGGCTAAACGCAGACGAGAGTTGTTCGACGGTTCGTTGCCGCACCCGTACGTGGACGAGGACGACGAAGACACGGCGCATTCCGAGCAGACGAAAAGATATATAAGTTTAGATAAAATTTTAGATTTGAAAGGATTGAGGAAGAAGTATCCGCCGTATACGATGGAAAAAGTAGAATTGGGGACGGAGAGGCCGTTGCACGTGACGTTTGCGACGGTGGAGTTGGTGACGTTGGTGGATAATTGGCTGACGTACAGCGTAAGAGCGAATATTAAGAAGATTGTGGTCGTGAGTTTAGACGAGGCGTTGCACACGTGGTGCGAGAAAGAGTTGGAAAAGAGAAGGAAGCATCGACGCGAGAGCGATGGTGATAATGATGACGATAACGATGAGTTCGCGTGCGTGCCCGGCGGTCACTTGTTGGACAAGAGTAAATTAGGGCATTCCCAATCCGGCGGCTTTCGAGAAGTGAAGGAATCCTTTTACGCGTTGATGAACGTGAAGATACAAATCATCGAAACTTTCTTGTTGAATGGATACGACTTGTTGATCTCCGATGCGGACGTCACGTGGGTGCGCGATCCGATGCCGTATTTTAACACTGGAAACTTAGGTAAAGTCGACATCGCTGTCTCGGCCGACTGTGTGTTTGACTTTCGGGGCGATTTAATCGATCAAGACGAAATCGACTTGCACAGAAAGTTGAATTTTCCGCAGTTGACGACGACCGTGTTTACAAAGTGGGAACATTTTCGAGACCCGTTCACGCAACTCCCGTGGCCGTATCTAGCCGAGTATAACACGGGCATGCTGTTGTTGCGAGCGACGTTGGAATCTCTGAGATTCGTGAAAGATTGGAAGCACGGGATGGAAGCCGGGAAAAAGTTGTCCTTCGCGAACGACCAGCACCATTTCAACGCAATCACGCGGTCGAGGTGGTTACAACGGAAATCGTTGCCTGGGTATTGTAAGAAACTGACTGATGTTGGCGAGAAGAGTTCGATGTGTCGCGCGTTCGATAAACCAACTGCAGACAATCGACATCCGGATGATTACTTCAGAAGGCCGGATAAAACGTACGATCCTTCGAAACCAAAAATGACCGTCATGGACCCAGATTTTGTGCCGAGAGATAAAGAAGGCTTGTGCGAACCAGTGACGCTCGATGCGATGAAAATTGCGAAGGGAAATGCGAACGATGGGTTCTTTTGCGAAAAATATCCTCCCGATTTCGTCGCGTTCGCGGAGGATTACAAGAGAGGTTTGCGTCCGTTGTATTCATACGGAGGTACGTCTGGTTCGTTGCGCGTGGCAAAGCTACCGACGAGTTTGTTCTCCAACGGAATGGTTTTCTTCATGGGTAAAGACTACTCGAAACGTTCGATTGTTCCTTACGGTGTTCACAACACGTACGTGTACGATGGCGCGCAAGGCAAAATTTGGCGCTTTCGCGAAGCCGGCATGTGGGCAGATAAGAAACCGTACTTTTTAGGCTCGTCCATGTATAACAAAGACCTTGGCGCCAATCATGGTGGTAGTAGTGCGAAATCAAAGGTCAAAGATCCTGTTGTTGTGTTTGAAGAAAAAGAAGAAGAAGAAGAAGACCTGAGCAAAGAGAATGATTTGAAGACGCTCATCGTGCGCATGTCCATACCGGATTGGTTGGAAAAATCCGTCAACGAATCCATAACGACCTCGAAAGGCGAAATTCCAATCGGTCACATGAACGGTTTGCGTTGGCAACTCGCGCGCGTTCGCGACGCCGTGGCTATTGCAAAGATGTTAGACCGAGCGTTGATCATGCCCCAGTTCATATGCGGATGTCACAGACACTTCAATCTGTTGGTCAATTGCACCATGGGCGCGATGACGATTCCGTTCGTCTGCCCAATCGACCACTGGGCGTTACCGAGAACGTTCGGTAATTTACCCATTCCTATTCGCGAAGCGTCCTATTTTGAAAACAGAGTCAACGCAGGGTTCAAGCCATTCACTTCTCCAGCACCAAGAATCGCCATTTGCTCTTCGGACGAAACCGAAGACGAGTGTAAAAACCGGAAAGGCGGCATGCGAGGCGCTTTGCCGCACTTGCCCGGTTTTGCCCAGACGCAAACGCCCATCGACGAAGGGAAAGCGAAAATTGCCATCAAAACTGGATTTTCTAGCGCTGAATTTACCGCGAAAATTCAATCCGAAATCAAATCGCGCGGTTTACAGGACGAACCTGTGTTAGTTTTAGATGGTCTGGGTGATTTCAGTCAATCGCAATTTGTCGAGCACGGGTCGCGAACGAGCGATTTTACCGGGTTTGCCAATAAAGATGAAAACTTAGCTTTCGACGATATGCTCGGAAAATCCACGCACCAGTGGTGCTGTTACATAAACGGAACGGTCATTCACCCGTTCCCGAGGCTTCACGCTTAGCAATTAGATGTAAAATAAAACGTAGTAGTATAGCAGTTCAAATTAGTTTTGTAGTCGTAGTTTTAAACAGCGGGATTGGCTCTATTCTATAAATAATTCTGCTATTCTCTAATTTTCTTCTCCTTCTTCTCCTTCTTCTCTTTCTTTTCCTTCTTCTCCTTTTTCTCTTTCTTCTCCTTCTTCTCTTTCTTCTCTTTCTTCTCTTTCTTCTCCTTCTCCTTCTTTTCTTTCTTCTCTTTCTTGTTTCGTTTCTTATCGCGCTCGGCTTCCTCCTCGTCTTCGGCGCCGTCGCCGGCGTCGTCGTCGGCTTCCACATCCTCATCCTCGTCGTTGTCACTTCTCTCCTCGCTATTACTAGTACTACCACGGTCTACTGGTCCACACCCTTTCCCTAACAAACTCCCAATCAATAACACCACCCGATCGTCCTCTCTGTTCACCCTCTCCACTCGAAACTTCACTCTCGCGCCTACTTTAATCTCCTTCATGCTCATCGACTCTGACTTGTCCGAAAGATCTTCCTCTTCCTCTTCGAGCATCTCCGTGCCGTCTTCGATAATCTCCCACGCTTCTTTCGTTTCGTCGAACATCATGTTCTCCTTAAAATTCTCGATTGGAATCGACGCGTTGAAAATATTCCCGACGACGAGACCGATGTGGTCCTGTCCTATTTTGTTCACTTTCCCGATTAACACCGCTTTCACTTTTGGCGCAAACACGGTCGCTTTGACCGTCGCTTTCACTTCCACGTACGCGGAATTCGGTAAAATAGTTTCTCCATTTCCTTCTTCGTTCATGTTCAAATCCGTGTATTTCACGAGCACGCCGCCGAAGCCGTCGTGATGTCTCAGCGTTTTCGCGTCGAGTTGTTCCCGGACGCCTTTTTTCCGGTTTCCCAATTTCGACGGATGTAACGGGATAGATATTGAGACCGTGGACGTCACGAACCCAGTCGTGTTATTATTATCCGTCGTGCTGCCACTCTTCTTTGTCTTCTTCTTCTTCCGCTTCTTTTCATCATCAAAACCGCCTCCAGACATTCTCACTCTTTTCATCTCTCTCGGCGGAGAGAGAGAGATGTGTGTTTTGCCGCCGCCAAAAAGAGGAGGAGAAAAAGTCTCGTCAAAGCAGACGTTTTTACGAACTCAACTAAAAATCTCTTTTTCTCTTTTCCCAAAATCTCTCTCGAAATCCTTCATTTTTGGACGCGCGTTATTGTACTGCGACGAACGAGATGGCACCACCAATACCACCACCAAAAAGAGGCGAACAGAAGTACGTCTCGTCCTCCGGAACGACGGCGAGGTCGAGACCTCTTTTTCGAGCGACGATATTCGCGGACTTCTTTTGGGGAATTCTGAATGTCTTCGTCGCGTTCTTTCGAACGCTCGTGTCGTTGGACCAATCGCAAAAGTACGGGACCAAACCAGGGGACGTCGGGAGTGGCGTGTACGGAAGAAGACCTGGTAATAATAACAACAACAACAACAACGGGACGAGGAGATATCCCGGGGGAGGAGGGAGTAACATTCACGGCATCGATCACAACGCGACGCCGCCGAGCGCGTGAGGACGGTAACGCGTCACCATTTCGTCGTCTTCTGTTTAATAACAGAAGACGCGGGTGACGCGCGGTCTCTTCCTCCTCTCACTCCTCCTCGAGTGTAATAGCTCTTCGTTGTTTGTCGAAAGTGAGAGAAACTGTTCTTCTCCGTGGTGATGTCTTTGTGGGTAAACGGTGCAACACATTATGCGTGTGTGCCTCTGCCAGGACTGATAAAGGAACTCTTTCTCTCTTCTATAAAAATCGGAAGAATACGAAATAGCTTACGCGTGTTGTATAATACTACCAAGACTCCTCCTTTTAGATACGAATAAGTATACATGTATGTGATCATTACAATTTGTACGCGCAGCGCCGGCACTTCTTTTACGTCGACGCGTTTTTATTCTTCGCCCACTTCTCTAACATCGTCTCTTCGATGTCCTCTAACTTCATCCCTTTGGTTTCAAACACGAGTTCTTTCACGAAAACGTACCCGAGGAGATTTAAGAGCGCGTAACCGGCGTACGTGCCGCCCAAACCGAGAAACGTGACGCCGGGTAGAAACGCAGAACCGACGATGGCGTTGGAGAAGTAGTTGGTGGCGGTGCACAAAGACACCGCTTTGGCGCGGATTCGAGTCGGGAAGACTTCGTTGTAGAGCAGCCACGGGACTGGGCCGGCGCCGGCGGAGAAGAAGAGGACGTAAAGCGGGAGGGATATGAGCGCAATCGTAGCTTCCGGTTCTTGTCGTTCGCCGCTGATGTTGCTTTTGGTATCGCGGCCTTGGATGGCGACGTCTTCGATTAACCCGCCGATTTCGCGGTCCGGTAAGTCTTCGCATATGATTGATTTCGTCGTAAACGAAGAGTACGAGGACTGTTGGACGTTGAAAATGTCCGAAAAATAACCCTCGTTGATGCTCAAACTACCTCTTTGCTTCGCTTTTTGTTCTGGTGATAACACTTCCACCGCGGACGGGTCGAGCGTGTTGCAAAAGCTCGCCTTGAAGAATTTACTCGACGTGGTCATGGACGACGCGCCTCCTCCGAAACCGCCGTTGTTTTCGGAGAGGAACGGTACCCCGTGCGTGTAAATGTCCACGGCAGAAAGCGCGACTAAGCACGCGGACATTCCACCGAACGACCACAAAAGCAAAGGTCGTCGACCGAGTTTGTCCGTGAAAACCAGCGCTAAAACGCCGCCCACAATGTTCGGGACGCCGACCGCCCACGTCAACAACTCGGGCGAGCTCAAACCGACGGAGCTAAACACCGATTTCGCGTAGAATATAACTGTGTTTGATCCAGAAAACGCCGCCAAAGCGCACAACCCAACGCCTGTAATCAAAGAAGGGACGTTTGTTTCGTCTTTGAAAATCTCCGACCACGTCTCCAATTTTTTGCCGCCGCCGCCGCTCGTAACGGCGCTCGTACTATTACCAATAGTACTCCTACTACTACGAATACTACTACTCGTTTCCTTTCGGTCGTCGTCTTCAACAGTCGTATTCTCCTCTGCCGCGCTCTCGCTATTACTACTACTATTATTACTACTACTCGCAGCAATACTACTACTACTGCTACTACTACTATTACTACTACTACTTTCTTCCTTTTTCTGTATGTTCTCTTGCCACACTTTCGCCGCTTTCCCTCGAATGTTCATCAGCGCCCCTAACGACCGCCTCGATTCTCGCTCAATCTCTTTCTTTTCCACTTCGCACTCGATTTCCTCGCTCGTCGCTAACAACCACACCGGCGATTCCACCGCCACGACCAACGCGGTCACGGCCAACGCCACCGCCGGAAAGACTGAATCCGAAAACAACGGTCGCCACCACCCGTCGCCTCCGTTGGCGGCTTCCTCTAAAGGCACCGCCAATTGAAACGCCGCCAAACACCCAAAAACGTACGCCATTCTCCTCAAACCGTTCGCGGTCCCTCGAAAACTTGGCGGCGAGATCTCCGCTAAATACAAAGGCACGATTTGTGAACTCGCGCCGACGCCTATCCCGGTGATTAATCTCCCAAACGTCATCGACGCCGCGTCCCAACTGACTGCCGAAATCAACGCACCCACGGCTAAAGGTATCGTCACGAACGCCAACGCGTTTTTCCGTCCGTACTTATCCGCGAACGGCGCGATAGAGAACCCACCCAAAACGCCTCCCAACACCATCACGCTCACGACGACGCCTTTCAATCCGTCGCTCTCCGCGAAGCCTAAATCCGAGGCAATCGACGCTAAAGGCGCGTTAATCACCGCCGAATGGTACCCGAATAAAAATGCCCCGATCGTAGCTGTTGCAATCGATGGGATTAACCTTGGGCCTATGTTATTTTCTTCATCGTTGTCTTCTTCTTCGTCTTCTTCTCCTTTACTCTTTCTCGTTACAACGCCTCCTTTCGTACGCGGTGGTAACGGTGGCGGTTCGTCATCCACGCTCTCATCATCGTCATCTTTAGAAGAAAAAGAGCGCGAGAAATACCACGACGATGATTTAGACGATGCGAGCCTCCTCACTTTTTCTCTTAATTTGGGGTCGTTCACGCGACGCGTAAATGTGCTCAACGCATCCTTCTTCGTTCTCTTCTTCGTTGTCTTCGCGTTCGTTGACGACGATGATTTCGCGCCTCGCAGAGGCGCGAACGACGAAGAAGAACACGAAGAAGAAAAAGAAGAGGTTGTCGTAAAACGCCTCCTCGTTTTGATGATGTTCTTTTGCTTCACGAAAGTCCCGCGGTGGTGCGCCCTGTTTATCATCGCGTAGTCTCTCTCGTTGATTCGACGACACCAAAGTGCGTTGCTTTTGGGGAAAAACGAATCCAATCGCTCCACTGTAATCTCGGACGCGTCTCGCATCAAAGTCAACGGAGAACGCACAGTCACGCGCGCACACCACGCACACACACACGCACAGAACGCGAAGATGGGTGCGCCTTTACCGAAAAGTAAAACCTCAAAATGTTCGTGCGTTCCATTCGAGCGAAAACAAGAGGGAGTCTCGTTCGAAGGAGTGATTCTTTCAAACGCGCAGTTCGAGTGCACGATCTACGCCTTTGGCGCGCACGTGGCGAGCTGGAGATCGCTCTCGGACTTGGAAGTGTTTAAAACGAAACCGGAGTTTTTATTCGTATCAAAGAAAGCAATTTTAGACGGAACGAAACCGATTCGAGGAGGGATTCCGATATGTTTTCCGCAGTTTGGGAAGCTCGGAGAGTGCACGAACCAACACGGGTTCGCTCGGAATGCGACGTGGGAATTCGTTGGATCCGAAGTGGATGAAGAAAAAGTGTTGGCCAAAGCGACGTTTACTTTATCCAGCACGGAAAAGACTATGAAAGAGTTTCCGTATAAGTTTAAGTTAAACTATACCGTGTCTATTGAGAAAGAGTTTTTAAACACAAAGTTAGAGGTTATAAACGAAGACGAGAAGGCGTTTGAGTTTACGACGGCGTTGCACACGTATTTCGGCGCGAAAAGTATTACCGATATCGCCGTGAAAGGATTAAACGGGGTGAGATATACGGATTCGTTAGAAGACGGAAAGAAGTGCGTGGAAGGTGAGGAAGAGATTAGGTTTGATAAGGAAGTCGATAGGATTTACCGAAGGAACGTAGCTTTGGTAGATAAGGAAAGGTTGGAGATTATCGATCGAGTGTGGGAGGACAAAGGCGTGTTGTCGCAACACACGAGAGGGGTGGCGATGACCACGAAGAATTTAAACGACGCGGTGGTGTGGAATCCATGGATTGATAAGGCGAAGAGTATGGGCGATTTCGGGGACGAGGAGTATAAGGAAATGGTGTGCGTGGAAGCGGCGGCGATTGATGAGCCAGTGAAGGTGAAACCCGGAGCGTCGTGGATTGGAGAGCAAACGTTGGAAGCGGTGATTAATTTGGCGCACTTTTCCGTTTGATACTCTTATTTCTTATTGTTATTGTTGTTATCGTCCGTCACTATTGTTACTTTGGACACTGTTACATGCACATCCACGAGTTTCTGTGAGGTACCACGGATACAAATCCTGATAGAGTATCGCGCGTTTTATTTTTTCTACTGCTGCTTTAAAAAGCAAACACCTAATGCTACTACTGTACGTGCGCGCGCGAGGAAATAAGAATATCAAACCAAATGCTCTCTCGAAACTACTGCGAGCATTCGTTCGTGCTCCGATTGAATCAAAGCGAGTTCTCTTGCGTACTCGTACTCGCTCTTCTCGAGCGTTTCGGTCAGAATTTCGTTTCGAAGTTCCAATTGTTCAATCTTCTTCTCGAGCTCGGCGATGTGAGACGCCGCCGAAAGCTTAACGACATGTTTCGCTTCCGCCGATGTTTGCGTCGTCTTCGTCGTTTTAGAAGAAGAAGAAGGAGGAAAAGGTACCGAACACGCCGCTAACGCCGCGCTCGCGATTTCTTCCTTTCTCAACGCCCTCTCCTTCTCTTCCTCTTCCTTTCGAACTTCACTTTCTAACCGTTTCACTTTTTTCTCCAACTCTTCCTTGGCGACCAACGCCTTCTCTAAACTCAATTCCATTTTGCGCATCCTCAATTGCTTCCCACCAAATGTAATACCATTCCCTTCCTCGTTCTCGTCGTCGAATATATCTGCTTTCACTATTTCTTCCTCTTTCATCAACATCTCCGCCGTCCGTTTCCATTTCATCATCTCCGCTTTCGTTTCGCTCAAACTCGCGCTCGCGTTTGCCAACTCTTGCGATACGGTTAAATTTTCTCGTCGTAACGCTTCGTTCCGTTTCGTCGCGTCCGATAAGTCTTCCTCTCGCACAGATTTCAACAGAGCGTTCGTGTCTTTCAGTTTTAAGAATAACTTTCTATTTTCTTGTTCCATTGCTGAAAGCGTCTTTTCCATCCGCAAATATTCCTCTTTCGTCTTCTTCAACAGTAAAACGTTCGACTGAAACTCAAACCTGAACTCCGCCAGAGACTCCATCGAATTCAAATTAAACTTTGTAGCATTACTCCCTCTCTTCTTCTTATTATTCGTATCATCATCATCCTCACTATCAATATCGATCAAATCAAACTTTATCAAAGCTTCCTTCCACTTCGCGTGGTCGATATCGTCGGTAATCATAAACGCGCGTTCTGCTTTCTCTCGCCATTTCTCGATTTCTAATTTACAATTTCCCCTAATCTCGTCCACTTTTGAAACCGCAAAAAAAGCCTTCTCTTCCGCTTCGCACCGCATTTGGAGCGCGTGACGAAGTTGCTCCTCTTTATCCTTAAGTTTGAGTTGGAAATACGATTCTAACTCCTCGTATTCCTCGTCCGAAATGTTCATTTTAAATAAAATCTCTTCAACAAACAAGTGGAGAATTTTGAATTTGTTCTCACAAATCTTGCCTCATCTGATACATAAAAACGTGTATTATTGCGCTTTCTTTAAGCAGTAGTATTCGTAGTATCACACTAATCTCGTGAAAATCGTCGACGCAGAGTTAAGAAAAGCGTTTGTACTCTGATCGCGAGCAAAAACAACACGAATAATGTTCGCGAAACTGCAAAAGCACAAGGAGAGAAAATCGAAGCAACAGTTGAAATTCCGCTTCGATGTCTACGACATCGAGTGTATCAACCTCCCACAAAACGTGTTTTCTGTAAGAGTTTTACTCACCAGAGGCGCCAAAGTGTCACTCACGAGCGAAGGTTTCGTCGATGCAAACACGAACTCGGCGAGTTTTTTGAGCACGAGCGAGGAAACTGAAGAAAATACGAACAACAACAAGCTGACGCAAATCGTGACTTTATACCGAGAACACACTGGACAGTTCGAGCCGAAAGCGTACAACGTCAAGTTACAAGCCTGCGGGAACAGCACGACGTTCGCAAGAGGAATCTTGGATGCGAGCAAGTTTTGCACGGACACGAGCGCTCTGAGCGAACACGGGTTCGAGACGACGCACGAGATGCGAATGGACAACGGCGTGACGCGTGTGAGGTGTAAAGTGCGAATGACGTGGTTGAAGAACTGGACGAAAGGCGGAGCGTCGAGACGTTCTGAAATGGATATGACGGAATTGTCGTTTATAAGTAGCGCGAATTTGTCGGCGTCGTTTATGACGAACAATGATACGAACGGTATGGAGAATGATAACGATATGAATCCGTTCGCGATGAATATGACGACGACAACGACGAATGATAATGAGAAAACGGAACCACCATCATCATTCGCAGCGAACGGCGACGAACAAGATTTGTCCGGGTTCGACGAAGAGCTTGGAGAAGAAAAAACAACGATAACAACGACGCCAGTCTCGTCGAGTGCATCGCCGCTACGAAAATTCAACACGTCCGAAGTGAAGCGCTCGTTATCGACGACTTCGTATCTGTCGCCCATCGGCGAATGTTCGACGCCTGAATTAGCGAATAACCGAGCGGATACAATAATCGCAAACGGCGTGACGAACGAAGAAGCCGTGGCGAGAGAAAAAGCGTCAGCAGAACAACAAAGACAAACGACCATCGTCTTGGAATCGTTACGAAAAGAAGCGAAAGATTTAAGAAGGAAAAACGACGAGTTGACGAGAGACCGCGTCGAACTCGAAACGCAACACGAAGAGGAAACGGAGAAATTGAAGAGGAAAATCGATGCCATGCGAGACGAATTGAGAGTGAAAGAAGAAGGACAAAAAGACATCGAGAAGAGCGCGTTTGAATCCAGTCGCGCGTTAGAAACGCAGACGCGTAAATTAGAACGGTTAGAGGCTGATTTCGCGCAGGCAAAGATGGAATCGTCAGGTTTAAAAGAGCAAACGCAAAGCTTGGAAGCCGCGTTAGTCGCCTTGAGAAACAAACAAGAGGAGAAGAAGGCGAACGATGAAAATATCGCATCTCTCGAAACGAGCAACAGCATAATTGCGACAACGACGGCGATGTCGACGAAATACGCGGAAGAAATCGCCGCATTGAAGACCACGCTAGAGAAGAAAGAGAAGCAAATCATTCAGTTGGAACACGTCGTGAAAAAATCCGCGGAGGAAATCTCGCGAGAGCGAGAGAAAACAGACGCTATGATTCATAGAATAGAATCCGAACGCGACTTGGAACGAACCGCCTGCGAAACCGAACTTGCCAAATGCGAAACCGAAATCGAGAGTTTAAAATCCCAACTCGTCTCCGTCGTGCAAGAAACGACCATGCTCGCCACCGATTTACGCAAAGACTTGCAAAAACGCGCCGACAAAGAAATTCGAGACGCCAACGAAGAAGCCATGAAAGCGAGGGAAGAGCTCGATCGATGCCAAAAAGAGCTGCAAGATACAAACGTAGCTTTACACTCTCACGTCAGCGCGTTAGTGAGCGCAAAAACCGAATCCGCGGTCGCGCAGGGCGACGTCTTAGAACTCCGCTTGGCGCTTCGCAAAACCAAGGAAAAATTTTTGGACTCGTTAGCGCGTTTGACTCGGTACGAAACCAAAGACGTCATGCGAAGAGCATCTTTGGCGTCTGCTGCTCCTGCTCCTACTGCGTGAGAAAAATGCCAAAAACAATATAATCGCATCATCATCATCATCATCTTTGTATTATTATTATTAAACGAGTAGTAGTAGTAGTAGTATTACATCTCTTCTCGCTGTCCATATTTTTTATTATTTATTCCTCTCCTGATGTGTGTTTATTCCTTTTTGAAGAAAATGTAAGAGAGGAAAAAAAAAGACGAGAGCAATTTTAATTGAAGCCAAAATTTTCTCCATCTCGTCCTCTACATAATCGTCATAAATACGACTCTTACGACTCTTACGACTCTTACTCTTAATACACTACGAAGAAGAAGAAAGATACTAAAATGGATCAAATAGCGGAAGCGATCATGCAAATCCCCCCGAACGCGCTCGATCGCCAACGCGCGCTCATGCTCTTAGCCGCGTGCGACAAATACAGCAAATCGGGGAGACCGAGAGTGGCGTCGAAGTACGCGATGAACTGCGGAGCGATGTTGTTTAAACTCGGCCCTCCGGTGGCGCAACTCACCGAGGCGGTGTTTCAAAGAGCGGTGTATTTAGCCAAACACTTCGACGAGGACGTTCCGGAATACATGAGAATTTTGTTAGACGGGAACAATCCGGAGTTAGGAGACGCGTTCACCTGGGTCGCCGCGATTGAGGCGAAACTGGGGAAACTGGACCAAGCGGAAAATCACTACAAAGGCGCGGCGAAAGCGATCGAGGAATACGGGAACATCGTGGAATTGAGCGAGAAGATTTTACACCAGTGCTTGTTCAATCGACACAGGAAGCGATTCGAGCAGTGGGAAAAAGTGATGGAGTATTGGAAGCAGAGAATTGTCGTCGCGGAGGAGAACGGGGAGTCGGACGTGCAGTTGTTGAACGCGACGGCGTCGTATTGCGGGGAACGAGCGAACGGGTTTGAAGCGAGAAGCAAGTTTAAAGAGTCGGCTTTGTATCGAGCGAAAAAGTTCGTGGAGACGTGCGCGAGATTAGAAGCGCACGGAACGAGGCGAGACGCCAATCCGGCGCAGTTAAGTCAAGCGATTGATAGCGCGGCGCAGGCGTGCGTCAGGGCCGGGGATAAGATGAACGCGACCAAGTTGTTAAAAAGAGCGGTGGCAGCCACGGCTGGGGCGGTGGAATTGCCTGGATTTTACACTTTGGGGGAGATTAAAAGGATTAAGTTTAACGACGAGGGCGTGTCTTGGCACCGAGCGCTGTTGGAAGACGACGACGACGAGGAAGGAGGAGGAAGTAAAAACGGGAAGAAGAAAGACGGCGTGAGCAAAGACGTGATTGATTTCATAGAAAACGGAGAAGATGCGACGACGAAAGAGGATAGTGATAACAACAGTAGTAGCAGCAACAAGAAAAATGGGTTAATAGGCGCGCCGCGAGATCCGTTTGTCGGCGACGAAATCGAAGTCGGGACGTACGAAGCCGTGGTGAAAATCGGCGATAACTGGGAAATTAAGAAAGGCGCGGAAGGCGAGGAGGAAGTAGACGGATGCGAAGCCGTCGGTTCTATTTTATTAGCGTTGGGACAAGTGTTTTTCGGTTTTGATCAATACAAAGAAGCGTCGAGACCTTTACGAACGGCGTCGAGGTTTCTCGCGCACGATCCGAGCACGCAAGGCGTCGCTTTGCACATGCTCGCGTGCTCGATGTTTTATCAAGTCGGGAAGAACGGAAAATCGGACGACGCGAGAAAACTCGATCGGGAGTTACGCACGCAAGCTGCTCTGGCGTTTTCTGCCGCGGCAGACTGTCGATTGAGCTCTACTGATCCCGAAGGATTAAAAGACGGCGTGAGTTCGTTGCTGTTTTTAGGACGGGTCATGTTTGAGCTCGGCGAAGTCTCGGACGCGATGAACGTGACGCAAAGAGCTTTAGATGTGGCCAGGAAAGGAGTGGGCGAGGATTCCAAGGAGGCGAAGGAGGCCATGAACGCTTTGCGGCATTTACAAATGGAAGTGCAAAATCGATGATGATTGATAATACTAGCAGCATAATTAGTAGCTTTGAACAATAATACTTGGTAAAAAATTCATATTATTTACGCGTTGGTCACTCTCTTTTTCGTATTCACGGTAGCATCGTCATCACTATTCACGCTTTTATTGACCTCCTCTCGGGGGATGTTCAACGCCATGTACGCTTCTTGACCTCTCTTCAAGAACCAAAAGGCTAAAAATTGAATGCCCAACTGCAAACCAAACTGCGCGCCGACTTGCGTCCCGACTTTCACGTTCTCGAACGAATACAATTCCAGAATTTCTCTCCCGTTCTCCAAGCACCGAATTTCTCCTTCTACACACGTAAATTTCACGTCGCCGCCAAACTCGTTCGCTGCTAACGCGGAGAACGCGTAATAAATGAAATCGATGTATTTTATCCATCCGGCGCCTTTCGGGATGGAATCGACGTTTAAGTAAATGCCGCCGAACAAGGTGAATATGGTAATCGAAGCCGGTCCTAAGGCTAACGCCGCGCCAACCGGTAACGACGCCGCCATGAAAATGCCCAACGCCTGCGCCGCCAACGCTTCGCAGATTATGATGGAAACGAACGTCCAAAAGTATTCCGCGCCTTCGCGGAACCCGACGACGTTATACACCAACGCGCAGAAGAACAACCTCGGCAACAGTTTTGGAAGTTCCGCGATGTACTTGGAAATGTAATACGCGGAACACGAATACGCGCCGGAGGAGCGTTCTCTCCCTATGACTGCCTTTTCTCCAGCGAACAAGTTAATCGCAGGGAGTGCAGACGTGTACGCAACGTTCAAACATATGAAGAACAAACACCCGATTCTGTCTTGCACGCCTTGTTGATCTTTTCCTAAATCTCTGTACAACGCGGAGAGAATTAAAGCGTAAATGACGTCGATGACGATTGGAACGAATATGCCAATCACGTTCCGTTTCTGTTCGCGCAACGAGCGGTCCATGAGTAACGCGAATTGTTGAAACCAATTCGCGCCTCGTCCTTGGTACTCGTTCACGAGAGTGTTGTCTTCTCCTTTCTTCTTTCTATTTTTACTATTATTACTACCACTACCGCCGCCGCCGGCGTTTCCGTTTCCGAACAAGGAGGAGTTCATCGCGCCTGCTAATTTCACCGCGTTCTCGCCCAACTCTCGTTCCTCGCACTTATTCGCGAACAATCGTAAACGATCTCTGCTATTTTTCTCCGCCACTTCTGATCTTCGATCCATGCTCGTAATGTCCATGAAAAAATCTGCCGGGTTCGTCAAATCTGGACACATGAACGATAACTTCGCGAAGTACTCCACCGCCTTCTCGGAATCGCCAATGTATAACATCTTCCCTTCGCTTATTAACAAAAGTTGGTCGAATAACTTAAAAATAGAACTTCGAGGTTGATGGATGGTACACACGACCGTTCTTCCGTGCGCGGCTAAATCTTGCAACGCTCTGACGACGTTCTGCGCTTGAAAAGAATCGAGCCCGCTCGTCGGCTCGTCCAAAAACAACGCCTCTGGATTTGCCACCATTTCTATGCCAATGTTTGCTCTCTTCCTTTCTCCACCGGACAACCCTCTCGGAAAGCCCCCAGGTCTTCCAATCTTTGAATTTTCCACCGCTTTTAACCCCAACTCTAAGATTAAACTTCTCACCAACCTCGTCTTTTCTTCGATCTTCATGCTTTGCGGCAAGCGCAACTTCGCGTGCAACATGAACGTTTCCATCACCGTCAAGTGAGGGAACAACAACTCTTCTTGCATCACGTACGCCACTTGTCTGCTTCGATAAATCTTCTCGTTCCTCGCTTTCCCGTCGACTAAAATCTCCCCGGTTAAAGTCCCGTCTTTCTTCGGTATTCGACCGGAGAGACAGTTGAGCAGAGACGTTTTCCCACTTCCCGTCGGACCCATTAACGCGACGAAATGTCTCGGCATCGCCGCGCCCGTCATGTCGTCCAAAACTTTTTTACTCGTTTTCTGTTTCTTATTGTTGCCAATCTGGACCGTATACGTTAGGTTTCGCCACGTGATCGATATCCCTTTGTGCGTCGTTTTTCTCTCCGTCATCGTCATCAGTGCCTCCACGGCAGCCGCCTCGTGAAAGTTCTTTCCATTATTAAAAGTACCGCTACCATTCCTCTCTTTTCCTCCTTTCCCTCCTCTCGAAGACGCGTCCACAGATTTCCTCGTCTGCGTCTCGTACTCCAGTTGCCACACTCTCGCGCACTCCTCCGCCGAAGGAGGAGGAACTTCTTCTTTCATCAACGTCATTTTTTTATCTCGTGTGTGTCTCTTCTTCTGTCTGACGAATGCATTCATTTTTTTTTGTTGCGTGAGAGAAATTAATTGGTTTTTTTTTTGCTCTCTCGAAGAAAGAAAAAAAAGTTTTTTGTCTCTGTTGTTTTTGTCTCGATTTTGCTTCATTTTTTATTACGCACAACAAGAGTCACTCACATTCGTCGTATTGTTATTGTTATATTATTAAGAGTAGTAGGAGTAGTATTCATCAAGAAAGATGATGCCGTGTACGACGACGACGACGTGCCCTGCGAGGACGCGAGTTCAACTCCCCGGTGGTAACGCGACGAAAACGAGATCGAGAGGAAGCGTTTTAAAGAATACTAAAGCTTTAAGGAGGACGATGGTGACGAGAAGAGCGGGGAAACATTTATATTTTTCTGTTGAAGACAATTCTCGCGACGATGAGGATGCGAATATCTTCGACCCGCTGGATATTCTCCTCCTCTCGGAAGAAAAGGAAGATTTTGGGAGAAGTAATACTAATACTAATACCGAGACGTTAAATACAGCGACAAGGATGATGGTGATGACAACGACTGTTGGGTACGTTGGATTGACCACAGATATCAACAGCGTATCCGCTGGTACAAATGGGAGTGGTTTCCTCCTCCAAAATTTTGAAGGGGCTGGAAACGCGTTCGCCGCGAGTTCGCAACAATCCATCGACCCGTTCGCGAACTTCTCGCCAGTCTGTCCAGCATCCGATGGTGTCTTTCGAGTCGGTCAAAGACTCGCGCTTTCCTTGGCTGGGGATAGTAACATTGAAAATTATCGACCGCTGATTAACGACGTGTTGATTCGCGTCAGAACGGAGTTGTGCGTGTTGGAATCGTTCGTGAGAGAAACGGCGATACCGTTCGTCCAAACGAAAGGGTTAGGGTGGGTGTTGCCGAGACACGAGACGTCGGAGACGTATTTAGCCGGGGTGGTGTTTGTCGTCGGCGCGAATTTTATCTTGTTGGGAAGCACGAAAGTTGTGGCGATTTTAGCCATCTATCACGATTTGAGCGTAGGATTGGTGGCGAGAGGTATGGGCGGTTTGCTCGGATTTATGAGCCCGGGCGACGTGAGAAAAGCGAGAGAGGAAGAGTTTGAGAAGTTGATGACGAAACAGATGGAAGAGACGAAAAAAGTAATGTTGGATGCAAACATGAGCGCGTCGGAGAGAGAGAAGAAAACGACGGAAATTAGCACCCGGTACGCGACGGAAATGGAGAAGATTAAATCGACGCAAGAGGACAAGGAGAGATCGGACGAAACGAGCGGCATCGCGAAATTTAGAAAAGGCGCGAGCGTGATAGCGATTCCTTTGAAAGTGTACGGAACGGTGAGTAGAAAAACGAGAGAGATTTTGGAGGTGTTTGATACGTTTTGTTCGCGATATTTCGTCGCGTTTACGGTGACGTATATTATCGTGAAGACTTTGCACTACGTCGTGTTTCCGGACGCGCTCGGTTAAGAAGAAGAAGAAGAGGAAAATTTACGTTATTATAAATATGCTTTAAAAACTGGTATACTCGCCGCTATTTGTCGTCTAACTTATTCTCTTCTATGCGCTCTCTATTCATTTAATCTTCTATTATTACATCAAGTCGGTCGTTTCACGAACCGTCGAATCCGTCTCGCTCGAGCGTCCTCGCTCTTCTCCCGGCATTTCTCCACGTCCTCGCTCAGCTTTTTCAACGTCTCGTACGAACACTCGAAAACTTCCACCCTCCTTTTCGCCGCCGCCGCGTTCTTCTTCTTCTCGCCCACACTTCTCAGGGTTACTTTCACCACGTATCGCAACCGGTCTCCTCCTACTCCTTCGCTTTCCTCCTCCTCCCGTCCGTCTCTTCCTTCTCGATGTCGTCCTCTGTTCTGTCGCATCCTCGAGCTCGTCTCCGCACTCATCCGCCACTCGATCTTCTCCAATTGCTCCGTCGTTTTCTCGTCTTCCATTTCCGCTAGTGTTCGGCACGCTCTGGTTAATTCTGTTTTGTTTCGCACGTACGCGCTTCGTAACGAAGCTTTCGTTTCTTCACTTATTGAAGACATTTTAGACGAGGAGTTTGTGACATTTTCCAAGCGCACATCGAACGCGTGCGGGTAAAGGTCGACGGATGCGCACTGGTAGAAAAACTCTGCCAAAGTTTCAATCTTTTCCAGTTCTTTCTCGTCTGAGTCGAAAGGGTAGTGCTCGTCATCTTTTGTGTCGTAAACGTCGCGAGGCGTCGTCGCAGACAAAACCGCCTCCAAAGCGAATTGGATTCTGGTTTTAACGACTTTATCAGAGGAAGAAGACAAAGAAGAGTTAAAAGACAAAGCCTCTCTGAATTCGCGCTCGAAACGTTCCGTCGTCGCCAGCGGGTCCATTTTTCTTCTTCTTTTGTCTTCTTCTTCTGAGTGAGTTCTTGTTCTTGTTGTTGTTGTCGTCGTGCTTCTTAAAGAACAACCGGACCGAAGAAATGATGATTTTTGAAGCATTTTCAGAAAGAGCAGTCGTTTGTCTTCTCTTCTGTGAAAAAGCCGTTTCTCAGAAAAAAAACAAAAAAAAAAAAAGTCAAACATGCATGCTTCACATGTGTTGTTGCTAAAAATAAACACGTCACATTACATCACACACACACACACCCGGACTGACGATAAAGCAGCGGCGCACATTTTTTTAACGCGAACGAGTGCTCACGCGCGAGCGTACCGTTTGAAGTACGCGCCACTCTTCTTCTTCGCACGATGACGACTTCTAGGAGTACTTTAAAAAAAATAACGGAAAGAGAGCGAATGGAAATTTACGTCTGGATCGACCGGTTGAACCTGCAATCGAAACCGAAGAAGCACTTCGCGAGAGACTTCTCGGACGGGGTGTTATGCGCGGAGATTTTAATGAAAACTACGTGTTCCTCCTCCTCCTCTTCTTTCAGTCGTCGTTCGAATACTGCGAGGATGATATCCATGCACAACTACCCGATCAAAAACAGCTTCAAAGGGAAACTGGAAAACTGGGAACTTCTAAACGCGAAAGTGTTGAGAAGTCCAAAAATACGGTGCGAGTTGACGAGAGAGGAGATGAGCGCGGTCGCACGAAGCGAGAAGGACGCGGCGGAGAGAGTTTTGTTGAAGATTAAAACCGCCGTGGAGGATGATTTTATGTCTCTCGACCACCCGGACGAAAGAGACGGAGACCGAGAAGAAGAAGAAGAAGAAGAAGAAGAACAAGAACAAGAACAAGAACAAAATACGCACAAGCAAAGGCTCGCGCAGTCATCCGCAAACGACGAGAAGAACGACGACGAAAAAGAAAAAGAAGACAAAGAAGAAACCAAAACGACGACGACGACGACGAAGCTCCTCTCTCTAAAGGAAGCGACGATAAAGGAAGAAGAAGAAGAAAAAAACCATCCTCGAAAATCATCTTTGTTGTCGTCGTCGGTAATAAAGGAGAAAGACGAAGCGATATCTCGTTTGACCGTCAAAGTCGACGCGTTGACCGCCAAGTGCGCCAAGCTCGAACAGTTGCTCGAACTGACGAAAAGGAAAGCAATACTGTGATTTAGGGTTGCACAAGGCCGCGCCCCAAGAAAGGGAAAAATTCTTTCTTTTCCCTCAGAGAAGAACGAGAATAAGGACGCGTATTATCACATAATAGTATTAAAAGATGAAGGCAGCATCCACGACTTCAATGGTCTGGTCCATCGTCTTTTACGGCGCGGGTTACTTAGCCTCCGCGGCTGGGATTATCATGTTGAACAAATACATTTTATCGGTCACGCCGTTCCATTTTCCAATCGTCCTCTCGTCCTTAGGAGTCGCGTTTGGATGGGTGATGACGGCGTTGCTGTATAAATTTAACGTCATCGAGTTAGGAAAAGATAAGTTTGAGATGGGTTTGAAAGAATACGTGATGGTGGTGTCACCGATTGGGTTTTTCCAAGCGACGACGTTAGCGGCTGGGAATACCGCGTACTTTTATCTCTCGCTGAGTTTTTTGCAGATGTGTAAAGCGATGGGACCGGTGGTGTTGTTCGCGTTATTAACTGGTATGGGATTGGATAGGTTCAACACTCGGGTATTCTTATCGATTTTGGTCATCGTCGTTGGGACGTTAATGGCTGCCTGGGGAGATGTTTCTTTCACCGCGGTTGGTTTTACGTGCATTCTCGTCGCCGAGTTGAGCGAAGCCGCGAAGAGCGCGTGGATGCAGTTTTTGTTGGCCAATAAATCTTTTTCCATGTGGGAAGGTTTATATTTCATCTCCCCGGCGTCTTTGTTCTTCTTATTCGTGGCGAGCGCGGCTTTGGAGTTTCAAGATATGGTAGATAAAGACGCGTGGGGAATGGTGAAAGGTCAACCGCACCTCTTCGCTTTGGCCGGCTGTCTCGGTTTCTTCACCAACCTGTGTTCCTTGGGGGTCATCAAAGCCGCCGGGTCGTTGACTTTGAAAGTTCTCTCCATGTCTCGATCTGTGCTGTTGATTTTATACGGCATGGCGGTGTATCACGACGTCGTCACGGTCGTCGAAGCGATCGGGTACGGGATCGTCTTAGTCGGCTTCTTTTGGTACAACTTTGCGAAAATCGCGCAAAAAGAGCAAGAAGCGAAAGAGAGGGAGGCGTTGGAGAAGGAACCGTTGTTATCGGGGTCCTCCTCGGAGAAGTCTGCCGCGTAATTATTAAACAATGATTGTAACACTTAATATATATTTATTTCACGCCTAATTAAAAGAAAGTTGCTCGGTACGCTATTACATTATGAACACACGCACAGTAGACACTCGAGACACACACACTACGTACGAAGAATTTGTGTGATTTGTCTGTTCTTTGCAGAGAAAAATTATTCAAAAAATCGTCAGAATCCTGTTTGGTAAACATCTTTTCGCTCACGCTTTTCGGACTTCTTTCACGCACACACACACACACACACACAGAGAGAGAGAGAGAGAGAGAGAATATATATACATCTACGACGGCTTTTTGCGTTTTTGTTTATTTTTATGAGATAAAGAAGACAAATGTCATCCACATCATTCGGGAAAAAAGCCACGGAGTTGGTGAAAGAAATCGCCTCGTCCGTGGAATCGAGCGCGAGTCCGTCCTCGATTCCACCGTATAACGACGAGCTCGTGCGGTCGATACTAGAGGAAGTGAAAGCGCATTATCAGGAAAACAGATCTTTAGCGGAAAAGTTGAAGCAAGTCACAGGAAAAGAAGAACAAGAAGGAATAACAGCGGCGATACAAACGCACCATCACTCGATTTTACGCAACAAGAAAGCACTGATGATTTATCTCAACGAACGCGTGAAACGAATCCAGAGTTTACGATGGACGTTAGGCGTCGGCTTACCGGATTCGATCTCGGAAAATTTATCGCACTCGGAACGAGATTATTTCACGGAGTATTCGAAAATTCTGAACAAATACATGGGGAAGAAGGAAGGTATTAACATGAACTTGATTTTAGACCGGGATCCGCCCAAGGAGCATAAAGTGCAAGTGCGGTGTACGAAAGATCACGGCGTGATTTATTTCAAAGACGGCGTCGTCGATTTGAAGAAGGACTCCGTGCACTTGTTGAGGAGAGAAGAAGCGCAGCCGTTGATTAGCGAGGGGGTGTTGGAGAAGTTGGACGATACTTAGTTGTTGTTAGTATTCGTATTATGTCTCTCGCATGTCATATCCGTGTTTGTAACGAACAACTCCTCATTATCCAAAACTTTTAATGCGAATACACATGTCTTTTGAACCACCATTACCACCACCACCACCCAATGATGATGATGATGACGACGATTCAGACGACGACGATAATTACTTCTATCTCGGCGACGCCGCTTTATACATGCAAACGACCACGTTCAATACGACTGGACAGAAGAGATGGGACGCCGCCGTCGCTCTGAAAGATTTTCTCTGTTCAAAATCAGAAGAGTTGTTTAGTAGCGGCACAAAAAAGAGAGTGAGAGTTTTAGAGCTCGGAAGTGGAAACGGGTGGCTGGCGATGACGATCGTGAGGAAATTTTGCGACTCTATCGATGCTTTTCACGCGACAGAGATGGAAGCGGGAGGTGCTCTGGATTGGTTAAATTTGATACTCGATTCGAACAGAGAGAAGAGAAAATTATCGTCGAAGGAACGAGAGAAGATTTACGCGACGTCGTTGGATTGGAACGAAGTTATACTATCAGATAAAGAAGAAGAAGAAGTAAAAGACGATTACGATGCTCAAATGATTGACGTTGATTTTCTCCTCGGCTCGGACCTCGTGTACGACGAATCTGGAGTGAAAATATTACCGCGAGTCATCGCAAAACTGTTGCGAAGCAGATGCCGAAAGACAAAAAGCGGTTTCATGCTCTACGCGCACACGAAACACAGATACGATGGGATGGACGTGGATTTCTTTGAGAATTTAGAAAAAGAAGGGTTAGTTTGTGAAGAAGTTCGAAAAAGTGGCACGAAAACGCCGCCACCGAGTCCCCCGCCGTTTGAGAGTTTGTTTCCTGACCAGAGAATCGCCGTGTTTCGAATTTCTCCTTCAGAAGAGTAGTTATTAATCTAGCACTAAGTAGTAATAGCAGTTATAGTAGCAGTTATAGTTATGTATTGAACATGGAATAGGTAGTTTACAACAAAAACAATAGTACAGGTATTAAAACAAAAGTATTATCATACTTATGAAACCACGCACGAACATCCGGGTTGATCAATCACTTCGAAATGCGCCAAGTTGATATCGACGACTATAACCGTAATATCGTCCGGAGGGTAACTTCGATACAATCTTCTCTGCTTTGCCGCTTTCGCGAGTTTCTTAGCCGCTTGGGCGGCAGGTATACCTGGCGCAGACTCTTGAAACGAGGAGTTTTGGCCAAATCGAACGCTTAAATCTGCGTACATTCCGCTCCCATCTTTCCCGGAGCTCATGTTATTCCCGCTGTGATTGCTTCCGCCTCGGACCGAGGCGTCCACGGTTGCCGTGTTGTGGAAACCTCCCCCTCTCGTAGAAATATCGCTCGTTCGCGTGTGATCGGCGTCACGCAAGGATTCAATGTGTAACGTCGCTTCGTCGCTCGTAAACACATCCCAACACCCGTCTGAGGCTAAAACTATCCGAGCCGGTTCTCCGCAGGCGATGGTGAAATCTCTGAACTCTGGCGTACATATGACGGCGCGAGCGACGCCGGAATCACCAATCGACCGCGAGAATGCGCAGGATACGCCAGTTCGGGCGACAATTCTTGGTGCGGACAAACCGCCAGTTTCTTCGTGTTCTATTCTTGCTAAGAACGACGTTCTTCTCGAGTGCATCGAGGAAACTAGACCGGAACGATCGATGTGCACTCGAGGTATGTCTTCAATTTTGAATGGAAACAAAGTCGCGTAGATGTCGTCGTCGTCGTCCTCGTTCTCTTCTCCGCCAAAATTCTGCGTTGTGGACGGTTCTAGACGCGAATCTTCCAACTCTTCGCTCGAGGAGCTGTACGGTAAGGAAGAACTCTTCCTCCCTGAGCTGCTCCCGTTGGTGCTCGAATCTTCGCCACTATGATTGTTATTCAAAAAAGCAGAATCGTCTTGAGTGACTCCCGCCGCGAGCGATCGTATCGTTTTCTTAATTTCTTTCTCCTCGAATTTAGCATGCATCTTTTTTAACTCTTTTCTGGCATCTTCTCTTGGTAATTTCAAAGATAAATCCGCGAGTTTTGCCGCGGCGTTTCCGGCACCTTGGGCTTGGGTTAAATCGCTCCCCGAAGTCGATTTTACGACACTTTTTACTACTATATTGTTTAGGTTTGTGCCACTATTGCTCTTTGGAATTTTTATTGTATCTCTCCCGGTAGAACTCGTCGTTATCGGTGGCGGCGTGTTCCTGCCCTCGTGTTCTCTTTCTCTCACCGCTTCCGAGGTTTGCGTAAAGCTATCGTTGCGAGATTTGAGCACCTCCGAAGCTCTTCTTCCACCGGCAAATCGCGTGAGCATTTCTGATCCACCTCTGATTGATTTTTCTTTTTCTGCTTGCGACTTCTCTTGCCACTCTTTAAAGGCTAAACCGCCTTCGATGGACGGATTATCCGAATCCGTGAGAAGATCATCCACACTCGCGTTTCGGCTTCGTCTGCTCTTAAATGATTTCAACTCGTCCGCTTTTTGCTTCAAAACGCGACTTTTTCTCGCGCGAGCTCTGTAATACTGCCCCATCCTCGAGCGTTCGTTTAAATTCATCGCCGTGTGATCTTCGCTCAAATTGAACGTTCTGTTTTTATATCGAATCACCGCTCGCGTATCCCCCACCCAAGCTGTTTTCACGTACGCGATGTTTGTGTCTAATGCTCTTTTAATCATAACAACCAACGCGGTCGTTCCATCTCTTCCAGTTACTCGCATGTCGTGGTTAATCTTCGCCGCCGCGTCTCTCGTCGCCTGCTCTAACGATTTCGGCCACACTCGTTTGGCGTTTTCTCTATCGTCCAATAAAATATCGTGATATCTTAGATTATCCGCGCTGCTCCTTCTTCTATTATTATTATTATTATTATTATTATTATTGCTCTCTTTTCTTTTACCGCTACTCGTGCTCGGCTTCTCGTCTTCTGGCAAAGCGTCGCATATTCGCTGTAAAAATTCTTCCGCGCACTTTGTCGCGCTCAGCTTCCCGGCGTGGCCGTCGAATATGCAAAACACCGCATCCGCAAACTTCCCGGGAACCGCATCGTCCACGAACACGCAGTACGCGTCCTCATCTTTCGTTGATTTTTCTTGGAATATGCCTTTTCATTTGTACGACGACATAGGATGATGTGAGAAGAAAAAGAGAGAGACAAAAGAGAGAAAAGATGTCAGCGAATTGGGTATTCAATCGGAAAGTTTGTTCACTTTTAACTGCTTCTACGGAAAAAGTGTCTCTCTCTCTCGTCTTCTTTTTTGATGTGGAATCATCATCGCACGCGCAGGAAAGAGGACTATAAACACACATACACAGAGAGAGAAGGGAGAGAGAGAGAGAGAGGAAAACGAAAGCAGCAAAACACTGCTTTTGTTCGTCTGTAAAGATACGACAAAAGCCGCAGATGATGATTTTTGCGGAAGTAAGAAAAGTGCGGGTAAAAAAAAACGAACCGAGAGATATAATTAATTAAACAACAACACACAAAACAACGCACCGTATTCACACCCGGAGTGTAAAAACGCGTTGACTGCTCCACCAACTGCGGGTGCTTTCACGTTGAGAGCGCTCTCCGATCGTCTCATTTCCTTCAGAGGTCTTCTTCTTCTTTAAACGCTCTCATTCTTTTTGTAAGTACCAATTTTGAAGGGAAAAAAGGGAAAAAGGCATAAAAGAGAAAAAGAGAGCAGAGGCAAAAAAAAAAAATGTTTAGGGTTCCTAACCCTAAAATAAGTAAACGTGCCACCTTCTTTTGTGGGACAGAGAGATCAACATCTCTTCTTCAAAAGAGAGACACACAAACCACGAGAAGCGCTTTTGCTGCTTTCGCTGTTTTCGCTGTCACGCTCCTTCTCTCGTTGAAAGCGACGAGAAGAGTGGACCACACGTATATATCAAAGAGCTTTTTCTCTGCTGTTGGAGTATTGAGGAATAAAGATCGCAAAAAGAAAAGAAGGTAATTTCTCTGTTCGTCCCGGGGGATTAGTGATCGTTTGAAAGAAGATTCGATTCTTCCACTACTCTAATTAGAAGAAGAAGAAGAAGTTAAAGTTAAGAAGTTAAGAAGAAGATGAGCGGTCACGCGAGAGCCTTATTAGCAGATCTCGGTAAAGGCGTGAAAGTGGAAACCGGAGAAATCATTTTCATCTGCTTCGGCGTTATTTTATTCGTCGGCATAATGATCGGCGTCGGATGTTGCTTAGCCGATGCCGCTCAACACAGACGAAGGAAATTGACCTTCCCGGGCGCGGAAGATTACGTCTCGCACGGACGCATGTCGGTGAGAAAATGGATCAAAACAATCAGTGCACCAGATATGATTGCAGAGCAATACGATATTGCCTACGCGGGAGGGGAATTACCGAAAGATCGGTACCAACGATTAGCGTTGCCGATGTACGCGGATGGCGGGAAGAAGTTTGACGCGTGCGCGTTGCCGAAGAAGTGGCTGGCGCCGCTCGGCGCGCCGTTGCGTAAACTTTATTTGTGTTTCTTTTGGAACGATATATGTAAGGTTATGTACAAGGATTGCTATTGGGGAACGAAAAGATTGAGAGATTGGAATCAAGAAACGGAAGCGAACGAGGAAACGCCGGCGAGATGGTTGGGCGAGTGCAAGCCGTGTTGCTACGCCGCGGATTCGTTCAACTCGTGCGCGAACTGGATGTGCTGCGGGTGCTGCGGGATGGAGTGTAAAACGTTGCAAGATTCGACGACGAACTGCGTCAAGTCGCTTGGGGATCCGAACTGTTGCGTGATTGAGGATGGGAAGGTGACCGGAACACCAAACATGCCGACGATACCGTCGTGTAAGGTGAACAACTGTGGAGGTTGCGAGGGGTGCAATGTGTCGTGCGCGAAACCAGAAGAAACAATGATAGCACCGGGGGAGAATGATTCTCCGGAAGCGCACGCGGCGTATAACGCCTACTTGGAGAAAGCTGCGAAAGTGAATTCGGAGAAGAAAGCGGCAGAGGCGAAGGAAAGAGCGAAGAAGGCTATCCAAGCCGCTTCGATGAAAGCGCAGATGGAGGAGGAGAGAAGCTCGTAAACGCTTTTATCTGCTCCTCTGCGTCTCAACAAACAACAACAAAACACGAACAACAAACGACAAACAACAACTATATTGTAATTTTATCACACATTCATCAAAGAGTACGAAACGTATACAATCAAATTAAATCATCAATTTTACATCTCTCTCACGAATCCTTGCGCGTTGGTGAGAAACTGCAACAATCCAAACACCAACAAACCGCCGGGAAAGACCTTCGGTCCCGGCCAATCTAACGGATCGTCTTTCGTTTCGTTCAATCTATCAAACTCAATTTTAATCACGTATAAACACGCCAACGCGCCAACCGCTAACCCAATTGGCGTGACGACGTCGTTATCGCTGTTAATCAACGCGAACGCCGTAGCGCACCCGGCGATACCTGGCGCGAGTTTTGGCAAATCCGGTCGTCCGATAAAATCAGAAGGCATGCGCTGGGAATTCAGAACGCCTTCCGCGCCTAAAACTAAAGCCAAGGAGAGGTTTTGTTGCGCCACCGCGAGCGCGACTTGCGGGTCGATCGCTTTTGTTCGCATCGACGACGACGACGACGCTCTCCCTCCTCTCGTCGGAAAGAAAGAAGAAGTTAAAGAAGAAGTTAAAGAAGAAGAAGAAGTGTTTGGTTCTCTCGTTTTCATCGTCTTGGATTTTGTCGTCATCATCATTCTCGCGGGAGTAGTACTACTCGGAGTATAAATCGTCGACGACATCGCTTTTTATTATTAAAGGGGTGCGTGGTTTCTATTTCTTGCGTCGTGTTTTGCGCGTTTCTTTTCTCTCTACTCGTGTGTTGTTATTCTTAGCGCGCGTGCTGGGGAAGTGATGTTTGAAGATGATGAAGATGTTCCACGAGATATCTCTCTCCAAAAATCTGTGAAACTCATCCTTTGTCTCTTCTCCAAAAAACACACCAGAAGAGTCTCCTCCCTCTTTTGCCGTTTGCTCTGTCCGAAAAAAAAAATTCAAACTCTTCTCTCTTCTCTCTCGCAAAAAATATTCCTCTCCTCTTTCTCGCCTTTTCTCTGTCTGTACGAAAAGTCTCTCTTTTTGTTCTCTGTTTTTAGCGTGTGGCGGCATACTAAAAGTTGTTGTCGTTGGTGGTGTCTGTGTTCCAAAATCAACGCTCTCACACTCTCACTCTCTAACTCTAACTCTGTAACTCTCTCTCTCTCTGAAGAAGAATAAAAGAGCGCAAAACGAAGAGGAGGAAGAGCAGAGGAGGACTGATGAGTAGCGTTAAGATGGAAGACAACGAAGAAGAAGACAAAGAAGGAGAAGAATTGGACCGAACGGTCGTCGTGAACGATTCTCCGACGAAAAGTTTGAGTAAAGCTGATTATGCTGATGAAGAAAACGCGACGACGAAGAAGAAGAGCTTTACACCCATAAACGCGACGATGAACGAACGAATGAAGAAACTCTTCTCGAAAGAAAATCGAGAGATTTTCGCAAAGAACGCGAAAGAGACGACGTTTAAAGCGGGCACTTTGTTGCAAGACGTGTCGAGTAAATCGTTCGTGAAGATGAAAGAAAGTGTGCAGAAAATGAAAGAGTTGAGCGTTACTAAGAAGAATGCAGACGAGAACGAAAACGACGACGACGCGAAAGCGAAGAAACGCGTGGAACGAGGGATACGCGCGAGCACGACGGAAACGAATAACAACGCTGATATATTCTTGGACGTGGAGGACGACTTGCGGTTTCTCGGGTACGCGGACGGCGACCACGCGACGTTGGCGAAAGTTACGGTGATGAAATGGAGCGTGATGTTTCCTAGGTGTTTAGCAGTTGGAAGAGAAGATGGAACAATACGAGTGATTGTGTTTGGGAGTAAGAATGGTATGGATAATAGGGCAAAAAATAAGAAGAAGGAGAAGAACAAAGAGGCGAAAGAAGCGACGAGCGAGAAGCGCGCCGCTACGAATGATATTAGCCAGCAGCAAAAAGAAGAGGAAGAAGAAGGAAACGAGAAAAAACAACACAAGAAAGGAGGATCCGTGGCAGATAGAGTAGCGAGCATTGAAAAAGAACAAAAACAAGAAGAGGGACGAGATGGTGCATCAACGCCACCTCCGCCTACGACTGAAATCATTCTCTCGGACGACGAAGACGAAGAGAAAATGGACGAGTACAACGCGCACGGTGTCTCGCACGTGTTTGAGCTCGAAGATGTGTTCACCGAAGCCGTTTCGGATTTAGATTGGTCGTTAGATGGTTCAGCTTTGCTCGCGTGTTCCGCGAAAGGTAAAGAAATTCGCATGTATAAGCTCAACGATAACAATTCTGGGAACACAAACAACGCGACGAAATATTTTCGCTCGGGCACTCTCGAAGCTGTCGTACAAATATCAGAAAATCCAAGGAGCGTAAAGATACATCCGGTGAGAACGAACTTGGCGCTAATCACTACGAAACAGCGAAGTGTAATGTTAGCGGATGTGAACTCTTCGCAACCGCCGGACAGAGTTCGCGTGCAAGGTGATCCCGAAGCTGGATTGAAAGAAATTTGTTTCAACACGTCTGGGAGACTCGCGTATTTCGGCGACGACACCGGAAGAGTCTTTACGCTTTCCTGCATAGAACGGAAAGACTTTACGAAGAAGTTATCCATCTCGAAACTTCTGAATAAAGGTAAGAAAAGCAGTAACAACTCGTCGTTAGCGAAACAAACTGATCCAACTTCTCGACGGATAAAAGAAGAGAAGAACAAAAACGATATGCGTAGAAGTAATAGCAGTAGCGGCGATATGGCTTCAAAAGGCGGCGAAGGCGATGACAGCGGGGGAGGTGATCACGCCGCTGAAAATAACGATAATGCTAATAACGATAATAACAACAACGGAATTAACGGTGAAGCCTCTGAAAGTCCTGCCGCTCCTGCCGCTAAAAAGTCTTTGATGTCCGCGTTAAAACCGGAAGAGATTAAAGAAAAAGCGAAAGAGAAGGCGAATTTGATGGCGAAGCGCATGAAGGACGACGTGAAAGTGGCCATGAACAAAGTGAAGACTTACGCGAAAGAAAAAGCGACGAAGCCTTCCCAAGGATTTTCGCTCACGGTTTTGCACGTGAATAGTTTAGGCCAAGAGCGATCGCCCGTGTGCGCTTTATTTTGGTGCGCGTACGTTGCTTCGATCAACGCGCCCGTCCTCGCCGTGGCTACGGCAAACGGGAAAATTCGATTACTCAGAATTGTCGATTTAGGAACGTCTGGCGACCATTTAGTGCCAATTGCGACGGCATCTATGCCGTCGCAACGCGGTGGTTTTTCTTTTTGTCCGGCTAAAGTCTCCACCGCACCGCCGATGGTCGCCTCTCCGCGCGATAAAGTCACCGGTCTGGTGTGCGAAATTTTGCAAACGAAAAATTCGCTCTCGCAAAACGAGGAAGGCCAGGACGAGCGGAATTACGAGATCAAGCAAGTCCTCGAAACGCGAGAGGACGACACGTTCTTCAGCGATGGCGAAGATGAGACCAAGCAAGATAAACCAAAAACGCCCGCGCTCGCGTTTTGTGCGGATTCGTTCTCCTTTTCGAGCGACGGATTAAGATTAGCCGGTAGCAACGCGAACGGAAAAGTAGCGATTTGGACCAGTTTTGCGATGTAGTAGTCGCGAGCGCGTGTAAATTATGTTCAGAAGGTTTAGATTTGACTTAATAATAAATAAAGCTCGCGGTGTGAGAAACCACCCCGCTCGCCTCTAATTGTTCAAGTAGCGAAATATATACAACAACAACAATAAAGCCTTGTTCTTCGCAACAAACACCACTCTCTCTTTTGCTCTCTTTTTTTTATCAAACGCCGTACGTTTGTTTCAGTTTTTGCGCCACCGCCGGCTCTAAATGATTCCTCTCCAGTTGCGCCCATTGCTCCGCGCCGATGTGATTCTTGTACCCTTGCAAAACGTCGCGCATGGCCGAGGATACTTCTTGGCTTCTGCACTGTCTCCAAGACGCGATGGCTTCACAAATCTCTTTCAAGCAGTTCACGCCTCCGTTTGGATTCACTTTGATCAACTCGCACAAACCTTTGAACGCGTGTTCCTTCTCGACACCGTCTCGTAATCTTCGCATCGCAACGCACCACGTCGGAGCGATATTCTGCAAAGCCGACGCCAACTCTTCCGCGCACTGCATAGAGATTCTTCCTAGCGTAATCGCCGCGTTTTCACCCAAACTTCGATTGACCATTCGCATCTCGAGAATTCCCGCCAAAGATTCCGCAAACGCGCGAGCGTGAGGTTGCAACGCGCTCGGCTCGCATCGAATGGCTAACTCACCAGCTGCCCAGCACGCGTTGTTACAACAGGACACCGTCGCCGCAGTAATCATATCCGGAGCCAAGTTTTGCTTGGCCAAATCGAGAAACTCTCTCAACGATGGACTGACGTGTTGAGGGCACGCCTTGGAGACGTCCCCTAAAAGCGCAAACGCCGATCGTCTAATCGAGGGCGTATCATCCGCACACGTCGCCAGCAAGATCTCTCGCGTATGCGAATTCATCAACAGCGGTTCGCATTGTTGACCTAAACCTTCAGCTAACCCGGAAAGTAAATCTAAACCGACGAGGAGATGCTCGTGTATGTGCGCGTCGTGAGGAAGCTCATTTCTTCGCACCGCTTCTTTCTTCTGCAGTTCCGTCGTGCACAGTTGCGAGGCAGCCGCGAAAATATCCGGCGCATACTTCATGCATCCACTACCAGTACCGGCTACGACTGCTGTGATGCACTCTAAGAGGTGATAAGTTTCTGGATCGCCTTCTTGCGCGTTTTTCCATTTCTCCAACATTCTCGGAAGCAACTGATCGGCGTATTTTGGATCGGAAATCGAAGGACCGATGTACTCCGCCATGGTCTGTAAAGCGTCGTATAAGTTTCTCTGATTCTTTCTCTGATACCTCTCTAACGCCGCACTCAACGCTTGGACAATCTGTTCCGTCCATGGCGCGAGAAGTTCTCGACCTTCTTGTAAAGAGTTTGCCAAAGCGCCGCAGGCGCCCGCCTGAACTTTCTTGTTCTTGTCGACAATCTTGTTCAAAATTCCCATCAACACCGTTTGTAACTGTTGCAAACCAGCCGCGGAAGCTTCCGCGGTCGTTCCTGGAACGGCGTTAGGGTGATCAGCAGGCATGGCGGATCGACATAACCACGGAGAAAATCGAGACAATGTCCAACACGTCGTCGATCTCACCAAAGGTCTCGCGTCGTCCAACATCGGGTACAGGAAACCAACGAGCTGAGGCAGGTACTGCGCGAGACCGTTCGTGCACCCTTCCGCGACTGCACCCAACGCCAAAATCGCAGATTCTCGAATTCTCCAATTCTGATCCGCCAAACGTTGCTCAACCACTGGCAACATGATTTGCAAAAGCTCGTCGCCAAAGTGTAAAGAAAGCGTGTCTAAACCGCTCGCCGAAGATTTCCTTAAATTCCACGTCCCCCAATCGTCGTCGTCGTCGTCGTCGTATTCCTCGTCGCCATCTTTGCCGCCTTCACCGAACGATTTATCCTTTTGCGCACGAAACGTCGGTTTGATATCTTGATCTCGATCCGGTCTGTCTGCGTTCAACTCGTCCTCCTCGGCTTGCAACACTTCCTCGTCGTCTTCTTCGTACGCCATGTTTGTCAACAACACCGGGATTAAGTGCGGAGTGAACTCTCTCAAAATGTTCACAGACTCGGGTTCTAAATCTGCCTCAACGAACGCCGCCCAAAACTCGCACGATTCTACCGCCACGTCCGGGTCCGGATCCGTCTGCCTCTCCAACATGAAAGTAATAATCTCTCTTAAATTCGGCGTCATTTTTTCCGGCGCGATGTGAAGCAATTGCACTAAACCTTGACAGACGTATTTCCTCGCCACGTCGTCCGGGTCGTGCGCTAACGCGAACAAACCTCGTAAATAATCGTCCAACACGTCTCGTTTTTCCCTCGGCCAGGACGGCGCAATCATATTCAAAATCGCAATCGCGGATTGTCTCACCTTCCCGTCCGGATGTCCAAACAGTTGCAACGTTTTCGGAATGACTAAACTCGCCGGGCACTCTGGCAAACCAACTTGGTTCGCCGTGGCCACGTCGCTTTCTAAATACCCGTTCGTCTCTTCGCAAATTTTATACAACGCGTCCAACGCGCCGTCTAACGCGTTCGGGTCCTTCGAAGCGTCCAAATTTTCCGCAATCAATTGCCACAACTGCGGCGCCGATTGCCACCCTTTCTGTCGAACACATATCGCCAACGACGTCCCAACGACTCGTCTGACAATTCTCGACGGGTGCGTCATGCTCCCAGTCAGCGCGTCTCTGATGAACGACTCGTGCGGTTCCTCCGAAAACTGCCAAGTTGTCTTCAAGTTGTTCTTCAGCAAAAGACCGGCGGTTTGCCGAACGTCGTCCCCGTACGTCCCGTCTCCTTTACACAAAATCAACGCCAAATACGAGTTGAAATCCGGGAATTTCGAGCACTCCTGCAGTCTTTGGTACATCAACTGTTGGTTCGCGTTCGGTTGGATGTACTCTTGCAAGAGTTGTCCAACCTGTTGCACGCCTTCTTGCGCCGGTTGCCACGACGACGATGATGCCATTTTTCCTTTCCCGTTAATATTATTTACTTTTGTCTTCTTCTTCTACTTCCTTCCTATTTTCACGCCGCCCTCTACTGCTTTGCTTATTATTCTTAATTATTACTCTCTACTGTTGTTACTCCCTGTTTCTCTCTCTCTAATTCTCACTCCCACCTTCTGTCGTTATTCCTCGTTTCCTGTTCTTCTTCTTCTTCTTCTTCTTCTTCTTTTCTCGTAAAAGCAGCACGCGCGCACCCACTTCCTCTCTTCTCGCGTAACGCGTAAATGCTTTTTATAATCCACACGCGTAAAATGAGCAAACTCTTCTTTCGCTCTCACTCAAACTTCTCCTCTCTCTTTCTCTTACACACACACACACTTTCTCTCTCTCTCCCTGTGTGAAATCGCAAAAAGTCGCGTAAAAGGAGTGGTAGTGTAATAGTAGTGCGGTGTGTTTTTGTTGGTGTTGGTGGTGTGACGACGCGAGAAGAGATGAAAAAATGTGACGATGAGTGATGATGATGAGAATGAGATCGTGCGCGTTCGTGTCCTTTTTCTCTTCTTTTGCTCCTTTTTTGTGCTTGCAAAAAAAACAAAAAAATTCTCATCAAAACGCTGTTGTGCTGGATTTTGATGACAGGACGAGGAATAAATTTTTGCCTGACAGAGACAAAAGAGTGAAAAAAGAAGAGAGATTCTCCCATGAGAGAGAGAAAGAGAGAAAAGAAGAGAGACGAGAGCCTTTTGTCGCAATACACGACAAAAAAAATTGTTATATAGAACTATCATCATCATCATCATCATCATGAGAATACTGTTATTATGTCGCGCGAATAACAACATTTCTGCGAGTGCTACGACGACGAGTAGTACTACGACGAGTAGTACTACTGCGACGAAAAAGGTTTTGAGAGGAGGAGGAGGAAAAGCTTTGAGCAAAAGGAGCAGCAAAAGGAGTAATTCAGGAGGAAATTTCATCGTTTTCGCATCATCGACAAAAAAGAAACGCATCTTCATCGACGGCGAAGCGGGCACGACTGGGTTACAAGTCAGAGACCGCTTAGAAAAACGAGCATCGGGAGATATCGAGCTCATTCAACTTCCAGATAGTTTGAGAAAAGACGCCAAAGCGAGAGAAGAAGCGTTGAACGAAGCGGATTGTGCCATTTTATGTTTACCAGATGCGGCAGCCGTGGAAGCGGTGGCCTTGGTGACCAATCCAAACACGGTGATCATCGACGCGAGCACCGCGTACAGAACGAACGACGAGTGGACGTACGGGTTTCCGGAATTATCGAAAGAGCAACGGGAGAAAGTGAAAACGGCGAAGAGAATTTCCAATCCCGGATGTTACCCGACTGGATTTATCGGTTTGACGAAGCCGCTCGTGGAAAACGGGTTCATTCCGAAAGGGTTGCGAACGACCGTGAACGCCGTCAGTGGATATACCGGTGGTGGGAAACAGCTGATTGCTATTTATGAAAGTCCCGAGGCAGAACCGTACGGCGCGTACGGGTTCAACTTAAATCATAAGCACATCCCGGAAATGCGAAAATACGCGGGATTAGAGCACGAACCGATTTTCCAACCGGCGGTTGGGTCGTTCGCGCAAGGCATGTTGGTTTCCGTGCCGCTTTTTTACGACAACATGGCCAACGTTAAAAGCGGCAAGGAATTGCAAGAGTGTCTGAAAGAATGGTACAAAGACTCCGCGTTCGTCTCCGTTCGCGAGTATAACCAAACGGACGATTTAGAGCGAGGCGCGTTTTTACGCGCGGACGGTTTGCGAGACACGAATAAACTCGAGCTCTCCGTGTTTGCTAACGACGAGAAAGGCACGTGTTTGCTCGTCGCTCGCTTGGATAACTTGGGTAAAGGTGCCAGCGGAGCCGCCGTGCAAAACTTAAACTTGAGCTTAGGCTTAGACGAAACAGTTGGTTTATAATAACTTTAAAAAAAAGGTTTTCAATCGGCTATTTTTAGAGCTTCTGTGTAATGTATTTCTGCCTCACTCTCTCCTCTCTCTCTCCTCTCTCTCTCTCTCCTCTTCCTCCTCCTTTTAATAGTTTTGCTTTCAGACACCAGCATCATCCTCATGACCACGGCGACGACGACGATGAGAACAACGCGTGGTGATACGCATCATCATCCTCGACGTCGTCGTCGTCATCGTAAAAGTCATCATCATCACTCTCAAGACGATACGACAGTTAGGGGTGCCGGACAAGTCAAAAGAAAAGACGTCTTCATTGCGTACGCGTGCGCGTCGTACACCATCTGGGTTCTCATCTCCACGGTCGCGTGGATATCGCACTTAGGATACCGAGTTCCCTGGTTGCAACCACTGATTGCGGCGAAAGGGTACCCGAGTAACAGGAGTTGTCCAGAGGGGAAAATTTGGGAGTTTTTCAAGGAAAACGTGCCCACTGCTTTGGTGTTTGTCTTGCCGCACTCGCTCTTAACGCCGAAACGATTACGAACAATATTCGGTCGACACGGAAGATTATTATACAACGGCATGGCTGCGGTGACGTTGCATATGTTTTTACTCACGTTTAAACCGTTGAAGAGTCCAGTGCTGATGGAACTGCCCATCAAAAAAGAGATTCATAACTTTACGTCGATATCGATGTTGCTCTGCGCGGCGTACGCGTTTTGCCGAGCGCCGGAGACGTACGACATGCTCGGGGTGAATTCGTCTTTATCGAGAGGTGGGCCGAGAGCGCCGGCGAACATGGACGCGATTACGTGGATGGGCGTGTGCGCGTGGAGGAAAGGAGGCGTGTGGGGGTTCATAGCGTTTACTGGATTGTCTATATTACCGCAAACGTTGACTTTAGGGGATGTACTTTCCCGAGGCGTCGCCGCGACGTACTTGCGTTTACGGTCGAGATCGTTTCGAAGATGGGTTGGGTCTATTCCAGGTGCGCACCACGCGACGTGGATTTTACGAGCGACGTTGTTAACTTTAGCGTTATTCACCGCGTGGAGACTCGGTGAAATTAGCGGTCGAAACGCGTGCGTTATTGAATCTTTGGCGACGAGCTTAGCTTTGATTTTAACCGCCGCGGAGAAAGAAAGAGACCGAAGACAAAGATTGGCCAACGCGAAAAAAGAATTCTTAGGCGTCGAGAAGCAGAAGGAAGTGGAGAAGACCACCGGTAGCAGAAATAGCAGCAGTAGTAGTCACCATCATCATCACCGTCATCATCACAGCGGAAACGTGGGGGTCCATCATCGATATTCCCACCATATTGCCAAACGGGTGCAACAACAACAACAACGCGGAGAGAGAGTCTCCGAAGGAGGGGCTCCGCAGGCAGCGCAAAGGACCAGTAAGCCGCACGCTGCCGCACCGGCGTCCGCAGCGAGCGAGTGAGATGATGATTAAGATGACGACGCTAAATATTTATTTATAGCAGCCCCTGACACGAACGAAACGCCAAAATTTAAGACACAGTACGCTCATTTATTTAACGCGCGCGTTTAAGAGAGGAAGCGGAATTAGACGAAAAAAATGGCGCCTCCTCCTCTTTCTTCTCGGTCAGTCGCCGAAGGCCCGCCGTTCGAAGAATTAGAACCTCCTCTGCGGGCACAAACCTTATCTATTCTCAAATCTCTCGCGTTCGTAAATTCCACTCCGGTGCAAGCCGCCGTCATTGGTTTACTCGGGAAAAACAAAGACGTGAGCGTGGAAGCGTGCACGGGATCGGGGAAAACGCTCGCGTTCGTGTTACCGATGATTGAGATATTGTGGAAGGCGAACAAGGAGAGCAAGTTTAAGAAACACTCAATCGGGGCGGTGATCGTATCGCCGACGAGAGAGCTGGCGAGGCAAATTCGAGACGTGGCGGAGCCGTTTTTAGAGAGTTTAAGGGCAATAGCGGACGAAGAGGACGAGGAAAGCAAAGAACACTCGAAATTTAATCCGGACGTTAAACCAATGCTGTTAGTCGGTGGAGGCGCACAAACTGTCGCGGACGATCTCAAACGGTTCAGCGAACGAGGGTCGCTGTGTTTAATCGGCACGCCCGGGCGGATGTTGGACGTGTTGACGAAAGCGAGAGATTTAGACGCGAAGAGGTGCGAGTTATTGGTGTTGGACGAGGCAGACAGAGTTTTAGGTATGGGCTTCGCGAAAACTCTGAACTCGATTATTGGGATGTTGCCGAAACAGAGAAGAACTGGGTTGTTTTCGGCGACGCAGACGGAGGAGTTGGAGGAGTTGGCGAGAGCCGGGTTGCGGAATCCAGTCCGGGTGACGGTGAGAGATTCAAACGCGGCAGCGGCGGCAGCAGCAGCGGGTGGAGGAAAGGAAAATAAAACAGATAAGAAGAAAGGAGCGATAGGAGCTGGTGCGGGGAGTAAATTGCCGATGCAGTTGGAATTGTCGTATAGAATTTGCGAAACCGTCGACGCCAAGATTTTCCGATTAGCGGAATTTTTAAAGGCGAAGAAAGGGAGGAAGATCATTGTGTATTTCCTCACGTGCGCGTGCGTGGATTACTATCAGAAAGCTTTGGATGCGCTTTTAGATGTCGGTAGTGGTAGTAAAAAGAATAATAATAATAACAATAGTAGTAGCAATAAGAAGAAGAAAACGACGAAAAATGGCAACGACAGTAGAATAGAAATTTTCGCTTTACACGGCAAAATGAAGCAGGCGCAGCGAGAGCAAACTTTAGAGAATTTCGCGGAGAATAAAGAGAACGATGAAGAAAACGGCGTTGAATCATCCATTTTGCTCACAACAGACGTTGCCGCGAGAGGTTTAGATATTCCCGGCGTCGATTGGATCGTCCAGTTTGATATGCCGCAAGATCCGTCCGCGTTTACTCACAGAGTTGGAAGAACCGCTCGAATGGGCGCAAAAGGTAGCGCCTTGGCGTTATTGACGAAAGAGGAAAGCTCATACGTAGCATTCTTGAAAATTAGAGGCGTTCATTTACGCAGAGATGGTAATTGCAGATTCGCGGATGGCGATAACGGCGATGGCGAAGAAGAAGAAGAAGAAGAGGATTTGGATGCAGTCGTAGAAGAAGACGCAAACGGCGCGAGAGAAGTGTACGACACGCTTCGAGCGCTCTCTAAACGCGATCGCGAAGCGATGGAAAAAGGCGTCAGAGCTTTCGTATCGTACGTTCGAGGGTATAAAGAACACCACTGTCGATTTATCTTTCGCTTGAAAGAGCTACACTTGGCAAAATTAGCAAACGCCATGGGACTTTTGCGTTTACCGAAGATGAAGGAAATTCGCAAAGCGGCGAAGAATACGCTCGAAGGATTCGAAGAGTGCGTCGATGTCAACATCGAAGAGATTCCGTACTTGGATCTTCAGAGAGAAAAACAGCGCAAAATACAGCTCGAAAAAGATCGCGAGGAGAAGGAAGCGCGAGGAGAGGAAGAAGACGACGACGACGCTCGAAGGAAGAAGGAGAGTCGCGGAAATAACGAAAGGAAAAAAGAGAATAAACCAGAAAAGAAGCTCACCGCGCACAAACGTCGTCAAATCGAAACGCGAGAGGAATTAGACGAACTAGACGACGATTACAGAGCTCTGAAAAAGTGGAAGAAGGGCAAAATTTCCGAAGAGGAGTTTGAATTTGAGCTCGGATGGGACGAGAACCCCAACCAAGCCGGGAAAGTCAGAATCAAAGAAGGCGAGAAAGACGAGAATAACTTTTTAGCGCATCCTTCGTCTTCCGGAAAGCAACAGCAGAGAAAAGAAGACTTTTACCGAAACGGCGACGATTTATGGATGAAGGAGAAGAAAAAACCTAAGCACGTGAAACAATCGAAAGGTGGCCAAGGGAAGAAGTATCAGAAAGCGAGAGATCGAGCAGCCGCGAAAGCTAAATAATGATTAAATCTCTATCTTCTAAATTTCTAACTCGTACACTCTCTCGGGGAATCTTGGTGTTTATACCTCGAACATATCGTCATTCCAACGTCCATTTTCTCCAAAGTCTGTAAGAACATGCCTTGATAATTGAACGAGTGCGCGTCGTCCGCGCCGGTGACTTTATCGTGGTAATGGTACGGAACCGTATGCACCGCGTGATGCGGAATATCCGTATGAAATCCGTATACTCTCACGCTATCGCACACAGCAAACGCTAAGAGTAATCCTTCGATACCACTCGGTGGGGCGTTTCGTCCTTCTGCGTTGACAAGATTTGCACCGGACAATCGAGCGTACACTCTGCGATACAATTCTCGAGCGCGAAGACTTAACGTCGGATCCATGTACAAAATCGGCGACGTCGACTTTTTACAGACGTTTCGAAACGAGCGTTTCGCGCCGCTTCCAAACAACAGCAACGCTTCGCTTTCAGCCCACGGTCCTTTCGGTCCTTTATCTGCCACGTGTCTCGACCATTGGTTATTGATTAATCTAAACGTGGTTTTGCGTCCGACGTATTTCTCAAATCCACTCGTCGGCCCGTCGTTGAATCGAATTACAATGTCCGCACCATCAATCCCGTAGCCTTGGTTTTGATCCCGCATGTTGACTCCACCGTTACCGACGACAGCGCAAGTTTTACCGCGCCTCGTAAAATCCATCTCCGGTATGCACCCGTCCGCTTCTAAATTTTCAGCCAAATCCTTTCCAAACGCCTTCTCCGCGTACGGAAGCGTGTGCACCATGAGTTGCGGCGCTCTCGCGGCTTTCCAAAGTCCGTTTTTTGGCACTTGTATCCCGTCCATGAGATCCTTCAAATCCGTTATATCTTTAAAAGCCAACTTTTGGGATTTAATATCCTCTGCGGCTGCTTTAGACTTTCCCGTCGGCGCGCAGAACGCGTGCGCGGCGACCCGCTTTTCTTCGCCTCCGTCCGCGCGCTCTTCCTCCTCTCCGCCGTGCTCTTCTTCTTCTTCTTTTTCTCCTCCTCCTGCATCTCCTGCTATTGCTACTCCTCCCTCTTCTTCTTCTCCTTCCTCTTCTTCTCTTTCAATCTCCTCCTCCTTCTCCTTCTCCTCGTCGTCTTCCTCGTCTTCCTCTTCACCGCCTCCTTTATTCGATTGCACTAAAACTTCCACGCGACTCGGCACCATGAAATCTTCGAACGCTTTCAAATGTGCATCTTTCGTCCACGCGCCGACGTGCGGCTTCACCGGTATGAACGAGTGCGCGTGGTGTTGCTCCTGAGGGTGATGGTGAGATTTCCCCGAGTTTCTCGTCGTCGTCGCGTGACTTTTTGTGCTCGTACTCGCCGGCGTCTTCTTCGCATCGTCAGCGTCTTCACCTCCTGAATATTTCACTCGCACTGCGTTCGGGGACATCTTCTTCTCTTTCTCAACTTCCTTCTCTCGAAACTCTCGAACGTCGGATAGGTTTGAAATTCTCCCATCAGAGTCTCGTTTGAACTGTTTCAAGTAACTCTCGTTCGGTGTAAGAATCCCGGCCGAAAGTGGTGGTTGGTTCCAGTAACACGCGAAGCACAGCACGAGGAGCACGACGAAAAGGATTTTGTCTCTTCTTTTAGTGCGTGTCATCGCTTTCCCTTTCGCGGGTGGGTTTTTCTCGTAGTCAACCCTTTTTGGCCCAAAAGTCGAATTTGCGGACTCGAGGTCTTCGGCGACGGGGCGATGCTCCGCGACGCGCGAACGCATCGTTGAACTCGTGTCTTTTTTGCGTGCGCGTGGATTTGTGATGGATTCGATTGAATGCTCGAACTGAAAATGTTCTCTCTGCTATTATACGCAATAATCATTCCTATTAGTATAACTACTTATCTGTTGTATCATTTCTCTTCATTTCTCTTCGACGTTTTACGCAAAACGTTGGACCATTTCTCCAGGAGCTCGTTTACGTCGCCGTTCATCCGCGTGCCTTTCCCGCCCCAGACGAGCATATCGGTCAAATCCGTGTTTAACCCGTCGCCTACTTTTCGAACGATTTTAAATCCTAAGCGTTCGTAATATTTCACCAACTTTGGCGCGTATTCGTTCCCGTCGTCGATGGATAACAACTCAGCTTTCGTGCACCCTGCATCTCTACCTAACCGTAAGCTTTCGCACCCGAGCAAGATGCTCACGCCGAACGTCGACTTTAACATTTTTCTCTCTTCCTCGGTACACTGCGAGTTTATTCGCGAATTATACACCCGCATGGTATCCAAATGTAAGATTCGAAACGGAAACGGGGCTATGAAACCGTCGTGCGTGGCTATGACGGACATGTCTTCGCTCTCCTTTTCCAAAACTTCCCCGTCCGCGTTGACGACTTCTATTCTTTTATCTTCGATTTTCCTCCTCGCGGTTATCTTGAAAAACGGTCCAACCGTTTCCGTGGATAACTGTAACCCTTTAAGTCGGGCGATTTCATCCAGCTCTTCTTTCGTGACGTACGATGATGGCGACTCCGACGACGACGACGAAACAGTCACCGCTCTTCGATGATTACTTCTGCTCGTTTTTGTCGCCTCTGATGCTCTTCCTCGTCGTCCTCGTCGTCCTCGTTGGCAAAAACTGTTGTTCAAAGTCGTTAATTTTTTATCATCGAAAGAAGAAAAAGAACACCAACAGCAATTGCTGCTCACGCTTTTCTGCTGCGATGAGAACAGAAACATCGCCGTCGAAAACTGTGTCGTCGTCGTCCTCCTCTTTTCTTTTGTTGTTGTTGTTGTGCGCTGTTCGTAGTATTAATACTACGAACACGAACACTCCTCGCGTTGTTCATCTTGCATTTTTAATACCATCACACTGGGAAATTTGTCCGGAGTCTTTCGAGCATTGGGCAGGTTTTTGAATATTCTCACGTCAGAATTTCCGCACAATACTAAACACGTACACATACAACACTTTGTGTGCCTTCTCGTGAACGCGATGATGATGATGAAACCAACGACGACGACGTGTTCTTCCTCCTCCTCTGTTTCCTCCTCGTCGTCGTCCTTGTCGTCGTCCTCTCTGTTGCGTTCTTCTAAATCGTTTTTTGGTAAGACTTCTTCTTCGACGCAAAAGTCGTTTTCCAAGAGCGCTTCTTTCAAATCATTTTCATCGTCATCATCATCTTCGGGAAGAAGAAGAAGAAGAAGACAAAGAAGCTCTCGAGGAGGAGAAGGACAAGATGTGGTTGTTCGCGCTGCTCAGTCGTCGAAAGATAACGAAGATGAAGATGATGACTACGAAACAGAAGAAGAAGAACAGTACGAGTGGGAAGTGGGAGGACCGAACGATGTTCCAATCCCTCACCTGATGAACATATACAAAGGCGAGAAACCTTTGAAACCGTTGCAAACTTCCTTCTGCGCGCCACATTCGAAGACGTGTTTGCCGAGGCACAATAAAACGACGACGAGAAGGTATTTTCGCAGCGATAAGAAATCGAACGTGAAATTCTTCGTTGACCCGGGAGATCGGGTGGTTTTACACTCGTTGGCGTTCGCGACGTCGTTGTCGCCGGATTCCACGTGCGAATTGCCGACGGAAGCGGACGAAGGAATGTCTTCTTCTTCGTCTTCGTACGAGAACACGTCGAGTTGTACGTTTACGCCGCAGTGGGTGGTTCGGGCCGGGCCGAGAGAGAAGGTGTATTTTGCCCCGGAGGAAGTGCACGCGGCGATTGTCACGTGCGGTGGGTTGTGTCCGGGGATTAACGACGTCATTCGATCCATCGTCGGGACTTTAGAGGAAGGCTACGGGGTGTCAAAGATTTCAGGCATTCGATATGGGTTCAGCGGGTTTTGGGAGGAAGGTTTTGAGAACATAGAATTATCGAAGAAAGCGGTGAGGAAAGCGCACAAGCAAGGCGGGAGTATCTTAGGATCAGCTCGAGGCGGTGGTGACGTCGATAAGATTGTCGACAGCATTTTAAGACAAGGGATCAACATGCTGTTTGTTATCGGCGGAAACGGGTCCCACGCCGGCGCGAATGCCATCTCCGCCGAATGCGCGAGAAGAGGAAGTTTAGTCTCCGTCGTTGGCGTCCCGAAAACGATCGATAATGATATTTTACTTTTGGATAAAACCTTCGGTTTCGATACCGCGGTTGAAGAGGCGCAAAAAGCTATTCAAGCGGCTACGATTGAAGCGCAATCTGCGCTGAGAGGGGTTGGCGTCGTGAAACTCATGGGCAGACAATCTGGATTTATTTCCATGTACGCCACTTTAGCCTCCGGTGATGTAGATATTTGTTTGATTCCAGAGGTGGACTTTGACGTCCACGGAGAAAACGGCGTCATCGAGCACGTGAAGGATCTTTTAGACGAGCAAGGCCACTGCGTCCTCGTCATCGCGGAAGGCGCCGGGCAAGAGTTCGTAAAAGTCTCGGGCACGGACGCAGGCGGAAACCCTCTCCTTGGTGATATTGGACCGTGGTTGTGCAAAGAAATCAAAAAAGAAACGAAATGCGACGTAAAATATATCGATCCAACGTACATGGTTCGCGGTTGCGTCGCCAACGCGCACGATGCGATCATGTGTAACGTCTTGGGTCAAAACGCAGTCCACGGCGCGTTTGCCGGCTTTACCGGAATCACCATCGGTTACGTAAACACGCACTGCGTATACCTTCCCATCCCGATGATTATCGAGAAAGAGCGATTGGTCGACCCGAAAGGAAGGATGTGGCACAGAATGTTGACGAGTACTGGGCAACCCGATTTCAAAGAATACGAAGACGACGAAGACGAAGACGCGTCCAAGGAGAACAACATCCCGGACAAGGAGATCTTCGAACCCGTGCGTTGAGATACTCATTGATTATATTATTATTATTATAACGCACTCCTCCGTAGTGCTCTAGCCACCCGATGTAACTTTATTAAAGAGATAATAATAATAATAATAATAATAATAATAGCGTCCTCTTCCAGGTATCTTACTTTTACTTTATCTCCTCCCTAAAGCTGCTGCTGCTGCTCCCGCTGAGAAAGAGCTTGTACGTGTTGGACTGCTTACAGTCATCAGTTTTGTCTCATTTTACGCAGCAAAAAGAGAAAAAGAACAGTTCCTTCCTCTTCTTCACAACACGCACACGTTTTGTCTTAATATAATACTATCTATTATTAATTCGTAATAATGGCTGACGCAGCCGCACCAGCGCCTGAACTCAAGGAGTACCCGGAGTTTCCCGGGCAAAAGCTCTCCAAGAGGTACGTATATTGCGTTTCTTGTTGTCGTTGTCATCATCATCGTCATCATCATCATCATCATCATCATCACCGCTTTGGATTTTTACACATCCGTTTTAGGAATACTCACCTTCTTCTTCTCTCTCGCATACAAAAACACACACAAAACTTTAGCGAGTACAAAAAAATGCTCAAGAGACAAAAAGCGGACGAAGAAAAAGCCGCAAAAGCTGCCGCCAAGGTGCGATTACTGAGAAGCTTTTGAGAGCTCTTTCATCAAATTCAAAGATGAGAGCGTTGAAGCCCTTCTTTGTTTTTTTTTCAAAAAACGCTCTCCTCTTTTTTGTCCTCCTTGCTGCGACCGATTTATAAAAACTTCTTTTGTTTTCTCTGTTTTGCGCCATATGGTTGTTGTTGTTGGAAAGAAGAAGTACTGACTTAGAATAAAATGAACATCATTTTTCTCTCTCTTATTCACACAGGCGGAGAAAGAAAAGAATCAACCGACGAAGACGAAATCCGCGGAAGATTCCGAGGCTGATTTAGACCCGACGCAATACACGGAGAATAGAATCAAGCAAGTCCTCGCGCAGAAGAAAGCGGGCGGGCATCCGTACCCGCACAAGTTTCACGTCTCTTTGCAATTGAAAGACTTCATCGCGAAATACGAATCTGCCACGAAGGATGGCGAACAGTTGGACGAAGAAGTCAGTTTGGCCGGGAGAATTATGAACAAGAGAGCGAGCGGGAACTCGTTGATCTTTTACGATTTGTGCGCGGAAGGATTGAAGGTGCAAGTGACTGCGGAGGCGCAAGCGGCGGAAAGTTTGGAAGACTTTAAGGCGACGCACGAGAGAACGAGAAGAGGTGATATTGTCGGGGTGAGAGGAAAACCAGGGAAGACGAGAAAAGGGCAGTTATCGTTGTTTCCGTCGTTTACGCAAATTTTGACGCCGTGCTTGCACATGCTTCCAAGAACGGAAGGTTCCGGGTTGAAGGATCAAGAGACGAGATACCGCATGCGCTTTTTGGATTTAATCATGAACAACAACGTTCGCGATACGTTCATCATGCGATCTAATATCATTCGCTACGTGAGAAAGTACTTGGACGACAGAGATTTTGTTGAAGTGGAAACGCCGATGATGAACATGATCGCCGGCGGCGCCACGGCGAAGCCGTTTATTACGCACCACAACGATTTGAACATGACGTTGTTTATGCGCATCGCTCCGGAATTGTACTTAAAAGAATTAGTCGTCGGTGGTATGGAGCGCGTGTATGAAATCGGTCGTCAATTCAGAAACGAAGGCATTGACATGACGCACAACCCGGAATTTACGACCTGCGAATTTTACCAAGCGTACGCTGATTACGACGATTTGATGAGGATGACGGAAGAAATCATTAGTGGAATGGTTAAGGACTTGACAGGATCCTATGTCATTCAATACCACGCGAACGGACCGGAAGAGGAACCGGTGACGATCGATTTTACGCCACCGTTTAGACGCATTTCGATGGTTTCTGGTTTGGAGGAAGCTTTGAACATCAAGTTCCCGGAGGAAGGCTTTGGCTCTCAAGAGTGCGAAGATTTCTTGAAAAAAACTTTGAAAGATTTGGACATCACGGACTTGCCGTTGCCGCATACCACGGCACGCATGCTCGATAAACTCGTCGGTGATTATTTGGAGGAGCAATTGGTGAACCCGGGCTTTATTTGCGATCACCCGCAAATCATGTCGCCGTTGGCGAAATACCACAGATCTCTCCCGGGCATGACGGAACGCTTCGAACTTTTCGTGAACAAGAGAGAGTTGTGCAACGCGTACACGGAGTTGAACGACCCGATCGATCAAAGAGACCGATTTGCGGAACAAGCGAAAGCCAAATCGTCCGGTGATGACGAGGCGATGCTTATCGACGAAATGTTTGTGACGAGTTTGGAGTACGGTTTGCCGCCGACGGGCGGTTGGGGATTGGGCATCGATCGATTGACGATGATGCTCGCCGACCACAACACCATCAAGGAAGTTTTGTTGTTTCCGATGATGAAACCAGACGCCACAGGTCAACAAGTCGCGGACGACATGAAGAAATTATCTGTTAAAGGAGACGGTGCGTAAAATTTTTTCGGTTTGTTCGTTTGTTCTTGTTCTTGTTCTTGTTGTTTTGGTTGTTGAGAAGAAGAACGCTCACCATATTACGTCTCTCAGATAATAAGGAAAAGACGGCTCCTACTGCTGCTAAACACGAGAAGAAAGAGCACGGAAAGCCGTTGACGCACGACGAACCGACTTCAGACGAGTGGGCTACGGGTGCGCACGGTAGAGCCGCTGGTGTTCTCGAGACTAAAGATTGGACTGATACGATGTACACCGCTCCAAAGTAAAAAGTACAACTATTATAAAAATACCATAGCAAAATAATCATATTCACATATACCAAGTATCTTATCTTCTTCTTCTTCTTCTTCTTCTAAATTACAAATGTGTGTATTAAGTCTAATGTTCCACCACCAAAGGAAGGGAATGAGCTAAAAGAAATTTCCTACTTTATATATTGTTGTCTTTCTTTTAATTCTTCTTTTGCGACTTTCCTCTCGTGATGGTCTTCGCTTCACCCGCTTCGCTCTTACCATCCATGGTTTCAACGAACGACAAATCACCCAAATCGCCATATTTGTCCCCGAATCGAGTGACTTGACCGACATCCGTCATGATCGCCCCTTTCTTCCCTTGGAAAAACGGGTGGTTTCCAGACCAAATATCCACGACGTATTCCGCTTGGGTACCGCCGACGGTCATCACCTCTTGTCCGTTGCACACAACCTTCGCCTCTTGGTAAAATTCTGGTTGCACTGCCTTTTCGCCTTTCACTCGTTTCACTTTTTTACCTAAGTCTTGGTTTTCAGCCATGCACACCGTGGACTTTGCAATCTGTGTTTAAAGGAGTACACATAAGAGAGAATTTGGTGAGAAATTTGTTTTTTTTGTGAGAGAAGAAATGGATAAGCGAAAACGAGAAAACAGCCCCGTTTTGAGGTTTTTACGCGCTTTTTTCCTTTCCAGCCAAAGCCTTTGGTCTCTCGCGCGCGCCGTGGGAAACCCGCTTCGCGAAGCGAGAGAGGCGCGAAAGTATCTCTTTCTTCGCACACATTTTCTCGACGAATATATTTCTGGACAGAAACGAACGGTTCGTCCATCTCGCGTCCATCTCTTCTACGCGCGACGTAAACGACGAATGAACCACGCACTCCATTTGGCCACCAAATTTGACTCCTTTTCGCTTGAACAAACAAAAAAACAAGAAAAGAAAAAAAATCAACACTTTCCGCGCGAAAGGCAACGAGAGGAACATACCTTGGTACTGCGTGATTTCGCCGGAGTTCCGACGAAATTCGCGACCTGCGCGGTTCTGAGAGACGTGGATGCGGAGAACATTTTTTATTCGCGTGTCGCGTGTGCTCGTTTTCTGCCGAATTTCGATGGACACGACACCACAAAGAGAAAGAGGAGTAAAAAAGGTGGGACAGAGAAAACGCATCTCTTTTCTCTCATTTTTTGTTTTTTTGTTTTTTCTGCCCTTTTTTGTCTAAATCATACTAGCGAGAGTCTCCTTTGCTTTTGCTCGTGTCATCAATCTTCACACGACGACCGAGAAAGAGAGAGTGTAAAAGAGAAAAAACACTAAAAAGATCATGGCGACGGTCGGGGAGAACAACAACACCAACACCAACAACAAACTCGCGGAGAACAATACCATCGGAGGAAGAGAAGGACAAGGAAAAGTGAGAAAGAGAGAGTTTGGAGAGTGCGAGGATTTGGAAAATTATTATCGTCACGAAGAGAAAAATAATTGTCCAACGAATGCGAACGAGAATACTACGAATACGAATACGAACGAACAACAACAAAGAGGAACGAACATGTCCACCTCCTCTTCCATGCAAAGAGTCGGTGGATTTAAACGGTTACGAACCGGGGACGCGTACGCTCGACGATTGATCGACGTCAGAGGGTTTGAAATGTCCCACTCACAACTGGGAGACTTGGCGAGATTTATAGATCTCTTACCCAGAAGTTTAGAACCAACCGTCGCGCGAATATTAGAGGAGTGTTTGTCCATCGACGATGCGATCGTGGAACTTTCGAGCTTACAAACGACGACGAGTGGTGGTGGAAACACACCAACTGTCAGTCAGTACCAATACGGCGGCGCGGCGTGCTCTACGCACGACACGAACGGGGGCGAGTCCGAGGTCGTCGCCGAGGCGAGGGATTTGGCGTTGAAGACGTCGCAGGAGGATTTGACATCGCCGCAAAGATTGTCGTACGAAACGGCTAGGATTCCAGATGGGGCAGACAGAACGACGCCAGCGACGTCTGGAAATGGGGCGCAGCATCATCACCGTAGCGCGAATAACACGAATAACGCGAACGACGCGTTTAGAAGTAACAACAAGACGAGCTTAGACGCCGGCGAGTGGGTTTCCGCTTTAGTCCGAGAAATGCAAAGCGCTTCGAGCGTGAACGACGCGGAGCATCGGGCGACGAATGTTTTGAGAGCGTTCGAGGAATCCACGCTGGAACAAGCTGAGATAGAAATCAAAAGGATCCGAAAACAGAACGAACTTCTCAAAAGGGCGGTGACTATTCAAAACGCACGATTGAAGCAAAGCGGCGACGCGCAGACGCTGAAAAGACAAGTTGCGGAGCTGCAAAGCATGTGTCAATCGTACGAAGAGCAATTAGCGACGGCACAGAGGAATAATTATTCGCTAGGCGTGCACTTGAGAGAGGCGATGATGAATAACACCAACGGAAATAACCGAAACGGCGGACCGGGAGGAGGCAGTCCTTTCGGCGATCCCAACAGAGATGTATTTTAGCAAAGAAGAAGAGAAAGAGAGACCGTGAAAAACGGTTTCTTTTCAATTGTTGTATAACACAAGCACTTTAGCGAATGTATAAAATCTATAATAAAATCTATAAAGTCTACGAGTATCTATTCGTTTTATCTACGTCTTTTCTTCTTCCAACCAGCTCGCGAGCGCGACGTACGCGTTTCTATACCGTTCGAGCTCTCGTTCGTCTCGAAGTCGTCCTTCGCTTTGGAGCCCTTCGAGTACGCCCATTCGTTCTTTCGCGTACTCTCGGCGGTTGATTGCGTACGCTTTAACGTTTGAGCTCTTTTTCTCTTCTTGTAACTTCCCCAGCCATAAATCGAGCACCGAAAGCGTCTTCTCTTCGCCTGTCTTTTTCGTGCACTTCATGACAACGTGCGCGTTCGCGTTCTCTATAATCAAAGACTCCTTCTCTATGCACCATTTATTTTGCCACAACCACTCGCGAAATTCGACTAACTCACCCGCGGGTGGATTTATCACTAAAGTACGAACGCTGCTGCTCGTTTCCACGCTTCTCCCGCGAGAGAGTAGCTTTCGAATGAGTTTCGTCCCCATCCCGGCGAAAATGACCACGTCTACGTTCTCTTCCGTCACGCTCTCCAACCCATCCCCGATGCGAAATTCTATTTTGTTCTTTGTTTTCTGATGTTCATCGTCATCATCGTCACCACTCTCACCACTCTCGCTCGCACTCGTACTCTTCCTCCGAAAACTCCGTAAACACTCGTTCGCGTAGTTCACTTCGTTTTGGCTCTTATCTATGCCGATGACTCTCTTCACGCCTCGAGAGTGCAACAAGAGAGACATTTGTCCGTGACCGCACCCGACGTCGGCGACGACGACGTCTTTCCCACTTTCCAGAGCGTAATTGACGATAGTTTCTGCCCTGTTGTGCTTCTCACATTCATCGTCAATATCAGCATCATCCCAACGCGTCGTCGTCGTTTCCAACTTGAACCGCCGTCGTTGGAGGACGAGCGAAGGACGAGAGGAAAGGCACCACATCATCGTTCTCTTAGTATTATTATTAGTAGTAGTAGTAGTCGACGACGATGATGTGAGTTTTGTCATCGCACTTCTTACGGTCATCATCATCATCATCCTTTCTCTCATGTCTCATTTTCTCTCTTCAATCGAAATGAGGGGAAACAAGCAAGGGAGAAAAAAAGTTCAAAAATCCGCATTTATTAGCATCACTCTGCGCAACAATGCAGCAACAACAAACACAGATGCAGATTCCAAAGCTCTCGCAAAACATCACCTTACGCGGGAGCACGGAAATCGTGACTGAATTTTTCGGCTACGCGGTCAATTCCATCTTATACCAGCGAGGTTTATACCCACCGTCCACGTTCGAGGTGAAGAAAAAATACGGTTTAGGCATGCTCGTGAGTTCGGACGAGGAGATTAAAAACTATCTGGTGTCGGTTTTAGATCAAATCAACGAGTGGCTGATCGAGAAGAAATTGGAGAAGTTAGTTTTGGTGATCAGTTCGGTGAGAACGAGAGAGACCGTGGAGAGATGGGTGTTTGATATAGAAACGGATTCGGAGATTGGATTGGAAGAAAACGAGGAAAACGTGAAACCAACAGAAGGAGGAAAAGGAGGAGAAAAGAACAAAAAATACGAAAAATCGAAACAGGACATCACGAACGAAATAGCGGCGATTATGCGTCAAATAGCGGCATCGGTGACGTTCTTACCGTTACTGGAAGATGAGTGTTCGTTTGATTTGATCGTGTACACGAATAAGGATTCAGAGACGCCGCAAGAGTGGGAGGAGAGCGACCCGAGATTTATCCGCAACGCCGAGACCGTCAAGTTACGAAGCTTCTCGACGAAAGTGCATTCGGTGGAGGCTGCGGTGGCGTACAAAGCGGAGAGCCCTTTGAATGTGTAACAAACAATGAGAATGATAAAAATAAGATTATTTATGTGAATAAATAACCAAAAATATGCGCGCAAGTGAGAAAGAGAGATACACCAACACCCGTGAAAACGAAAAGAAACGAAGAGAGGAAAACGGAGAAAGATATACATATAGAGTTTTTGTTTTGATGGATTTGTTTATTTTATTTCAATTGTTCTTAGTATATAGTATTCATGGCCAATAGGAATTGATTATGCTGCTGCTTATCTGGCGACTTGAACGGCACCGACTTCCGCGTTGCAGGCTTCCGGCGTTTGCGCCTCAGACGGCGGAACGATTTGCCAGAATTGCTCCTTCATGTTCGCCCAATCCGCTAAGATGGCCTTGCCCTTCGGGGAACCCGTCTTCTCAACGTGTTCAGAGATCAAGTCTTTGCATTGCTTCTCACCAGCTTCGGTGGAAATGCGTTGCATGACGACGATCTCACCGTTCACCTTCGACTCAAACGTGTTGTCTTCGTCGAGAAAATAACCGATGCCACCAGTCATGCCGGCGCCAACGTTTCTACCAACTCTACCTAAGCAGACAACCACACCGCCAGTCATGTACTCGCAAGCGTGATCGCCGCATCCTTCAACGACAGTTTGCCCCAAGGAATTTCTCACGGCAAATCGTTCGCCAGCTCTACCATTGATGAAGATCTTACCGCCCGTAGCACCATACAAGCAGGTGTTACCGGCAATGGTGGAATCTTCAGCCTTGAATCCAGCACCTGGCGGCGGCATAATCGACACGGTACCACCACTGATCGACTTGCAAACGTAATCGTTCGCTTCACCGACAAGTTGGACGTCCATGCCACCGACGACAAACGCACCGAAGGATTGACCACCAGCGCCTTCTAACTTGATCGTCAACTTTCCCTTGAACCCATCATCGCCGTACTTGGAAGCAATGTTACCAGCGATTCTCGCCATAGCGGCGCGGTCTACGTTGACAATCTTGGACGAAACCGTGTGCGTACCTTGCGTTTCGATGCATTTCTTGACGCCGGCATCGGCGAGCAAAATATCATCGAGCAATTCGCCGTCATCGTGGACTTTTTGGTTGATTCTCGCCTTGGACGAACCAGCCTTTCCGGAGGAAGTAGTCAAGAGAGACAAGTCCAAGTGGTTCGTCTTCGGATCATTTTGTTCTTTTTGTTTAAGCAAATCGTTTCTGCCAATGACTTCGTCGAGAGACTTGTAGCCCATTTCGGCGAGGATGACGCGCACTTCTTCAGCCGCAAAGATGAAAAAGTTCACCAAATCACTCGGCGCGCCCGGGAATCTCGCTCTCAATTCTTCTCTTTGGGTCGCAACGCCAACCGGGCAGTTGTTCGTGTGGCAAATTCTCGCCATGACGCAACCGGTTGCAATCATAGCAACGGTACCAAAGCCAAATTCATCCGCACCCATCAACGCCCATTGCATGACATCGAGCCCAGATCGGCAACCGCCATCTGCTCTCAAAACAACGCGCTCTCTCAAACCGTTCTCAACCAACGTTCTGTGAGATTCAACGAGACCAAGCTCGACTGGGCCACCGCAGTGCTTGATAGAAGACAACGGAGAAGCACCTGTACCACCGTCACCACCCGAAATTTGGATGATATCGGCATTCGCCTTGGCAACGCCAGACGCTACAGTTCCGATACCCGCTTGACCGACGAGTTTCACGGAAACCTTTGCTTCCGGATTGACCGCGTGCAAGTCAAAAATAAGCTGCGCTAAATCCTCGATGGAGTAAATGTCGTGGTGCGGAGGCGGAGAAATCAACGGCACACCGGCCTTGGATTTTCTCAACCAGGCAATATACGGCGAAACTTTTTTCCCTGGCAACTGCCCGCCTTCTCCCGGTTTGGCACCTTGCGCAACCTTGATTTCGTGTTGGTTCGAGGACATCAAAAACGAAGTCGTGACACCAAATCGACCAGAGGCGACTTGCTTGATGGCAGATGACGCGACGTCACCGTTCTTCAAACCTCTCAAGTACGGGAACGAGTCCGTCGAACCGTCCGACTTGGCGTCCGAGATCGGGATAAATCGCTTCGGATCTTCACCACCTTCGCCAGAGTTGGACTTACCACCGATTCTGTTCATGGCGACCGCAATCGCTTCGTGGCACTCTTGAGAAATGGCGCCCAAAGACATGCCACCGGTGCAAAATCGAGAAGCGATGTCCGCAGCGGATTCAACCTCGGAGATATCGATCGGCTTACGGTCGGATTTAATGTCGAGACGATCTCTCAAGCAAGTAGCCGGACGCGTGTTGCGGTGTTCTTCGTATAACTTGTAGGATTCGGCATCCGGGGCATCGCCACCTAAACCAATGGCTTTGTGCAAGAGCTTGGACATTTCTTGGTTGTTACCGTGGTATTCGCCATTTGGCTTGACTTGGTACATGCCAGAAATCTTGAGCTTGTCCATGGTTTCCGATTCACCTGGGAACGCAGAGTCGACAAACATTTTCGTTTCCGCGGCGAGTTCGTCCAAAGTCAAACCACCAATTCTGGAAACCGTGCCTTTAAAGGCGACGTCGATGAGCTCTGGTCCAATACCGTACGCCTCAAAGATTTGCGCACCGTGGTACGACGTGATGAGAGAGATACCCATCTTCGAAAGAATCTTCTTCAAGCCCTTGTTGATGGCGTTCTTCAAGTTTCTTTGAACGTCCTGTTGCGACATGAGCGGGAGTTTACCGGTGCTCATTTGCTTTTCAACTTTGGTGGAAGATCTCCACTTTCTCGCAGTTTCCAAAGCCAACCACGGGCACACAGCCGAGGCACCGTAACCAATCAACACCGCAAAGTGGTGTGTGGAAAACGCCGACGCGGACTCAACGACGATCGACGCCTTCGAGCGCAAACCAACCTTAATCAAGTGGTGGTGAACCGCACCAACAGCCAAAAGCGACGGAATCGCTGGAGAATCCGGACCCTCGTCAGGCTTATCGGTGATGACGATGCACTCAGAGCCTTTTTGGACGGCTTCGGCACATTCTTGGCACAACTTGTCCAAACCAGCCTTCAAACCACCGGCGCCGTTGGTGTATCGCGCTTTGATCGTCGCCGTCTTCAAATGCGGGTGGTTTTGGATGACGGTCAAATCCGAATCAAACAAGAACGGACTCGACAAAGAAACTGCCGGCGCGTCGTCCGAGGAGACGTCCAACAAGTTCCCCTTGGCGCCCAAAGTAGTCTCCAAAGACATAACCAAACCCTCTCTCAACGGATCGATCGCCGGATTAGTAACTTGGGCAAATCTTTGTTTGAAGTAGTCGTAGAGCAAGCGCGGTCTCGAAGAGATGACCGGAACCGGAGTGTCGTCACCCATCGACCACGTCGGCTCGATGCCTTCTTGCGCCATGGATTCAACAATCATGGAAACATCTTCGGAAGCGTAACCAGCTCTGGCTTGGGACTCGATGAAGGAAACGTCGTCCATCGTCGGCTCCGGCAACGGCGGGCACGATTTCAAGCGGTGAATGTTGTTCAACCATTTGCCATACGGGCGCGTCGAGGAAACTTCCTTGGAAATTTCTTCGTTCTCTTTGAACGTGCCGTTTTCCAAGTCGACGCAGATCATCGTACCCGGACCCAAACGTCCTTTCTTAACAACGTTCGGCGCGTTGGACATGATATCGTTCAAAACGCCAACCTCAGACGCGACATAAATGTAATCATCCGAAGTTTGCCAGAATCTCGCGGGTCTCAAACCGTTTCTGTCTAAGCGGCAGCCAACTTTCTTACCGTCAGAGAAGACCAATAAAGCTGGGCCGTCCCAAGCTTCCATGATACCAGAGTAGTACTGGTAGAAGTTCTTCGCTTCCGGAACAGTCGCTTCCAAATCCGGGTGATTTCTGAACGCTTCCGGAACGAGCAACATCATAGTCTCTTCCGGCTCGCGGCCAGTTTTAACCAAGAGTTCCGCGACTCTGTCAAGGTTCGCGGAATCAGAAGCCGCCGGGTCACACAACGGACGGAACTCTTGCTCTCTGCCTCCCCATATAGCGTTGGTCATCTTTGCTTCGTTGGAAGCCATCCAGTTCAAGTTACCTTGCAACGTGTTGATTTCACCGTTGTGACCCAAAAATCTCATCGGTTGCGCCAACGGCCACTTCGGCGTGGTATTCGTGGAGAAACGTCTGTGATAGATGGAGAACGACGACACGTAGTCCTTATCTTGCAAATCGAGGAAAAATTGTCCGACAACAGCAGATCTCAACATACCTTTATACACGATTGTTCTGCAGGACATGGTGCACACGTACATGTCTTCCAAGTCAGCCATGTTCCCGAGGCGCACTTTTTCGGCGTTTTTCCGGGCAAAGTAAAGCTTGCGCTCTAATTCGTCCCCAGTCGCGCCAGCACCATCGATCAAGCATTGCTCAATCGCCGGTTGCGTGATCTTAGCCATCGGGCCGACGATATCATTCTTCGTCGGCACGTCTCTCCAGCCGAGAACTTTCAAACCTTCAGCCGCGATGGCTTTCTCAAGCTCCGCCTTCGCCTTGGTTCTTTTGCCCTTATCGGTCGGCAAGAAGGTCATGGAAACAGCGGAAGATTCTTCGGAAAAGCCAGAAATACCGTTCGCAGCACACCATTTGGATAACATCTGCCAAGGGATTTGCGTCATGATGCCGGCGCCGTCGCCGGAGTCGTTGTCCGCAGAGCACGCGCCTCTGTGTTCCATGCAACCTAAAGCAGACAAGGAATCATCGACACATTTGTGGGTTCTTTCACCTTTCAACGACGCGATCACCCCGACGCCGCACGCATCTCTTTCTTCCAAGATTTGATTCAAATCCACCGCGCCGCCTTCGTACGGTTGGTACTCTCCTCTGAGAGCACCGAAATCCATCGCTTTTTGGGCAAAAATCTTAGTCGATCTCAACGCCACCTTGCGAGTAGGAGCCGACGATCTCACATTACTTCTGTTGGCAATGTTCTGTTAAAGTTTAAAGGTGGAGAAAAGCGAAAGTAATCATCAGTATCTGTGTTAAAAGAAATGTAGAAATCGACTCCGCTTTTTCCCTCTCCCACAGAGGAGGGAAAACTCGTTCTTACGCGAACACGTCGATTAATAGTTCGAAATGCGCTCTAGGCGGTTTAACTCGCGAGTCGCAAGTGAAGCAAATTCTATCCAACCAAACGCAAAACAATATCAATGGTGTAATATCCTACCTTTTTGGCACCGAAAACCTTCGTCTGCATCACCTGCGACATAGCCTGGGACGCCATTTTCAGCCTACGTCGCTCTAAATTTGCTTTTTCACCAAATAGGCGTAAAATCCAAATATAATAAAGTGTACACGGGAGAAAAGAAAACTACCGCTTTGATATGTACGTGTTGCGTGTATATCAAATTCAATTTGTGTGTGAATGAAATTCTCTCGTGAGGAATTCCGGATCAATTTCGCTTCGCTTCGCTTACACTCGACGGCGCGCGCGCTCGCTTTTTCTCTTTTTTTGTGGATTGTTTGGGAGATGATGGGTTATTTGCAAACAACAAAAAAATTATAACCACCCGAGTTGTGCCAGCAAGGCTGAAAAAAGAGATTGGAACAGAGAAGTGGATAGTGTGGGCTCCTGGGCTTATGAATATTATTGTTTCCTCTCAAAAATACGAGGGAGAAGAAAGGAGTTTTTGAACGAGGGGCGAAACAAAAAAGGCACACCACCACCACCACCAAAAACAACAACACCAACAACAACAACACCTTTAACAAATGCGCCGAAAGAAAAGGAACACTCGACGAAGAGACGACCAAAAGGACGCGGTAGGAGGAAGTTTTTCTTTTACGCGCCGGGGCCTGCGCGGTGGGTTTTGGTTTCTTCTCTCTCTCCTTTTTGCGACGAGTGCTTTTGCTCTTGTTCCCTCGTCCTCACCAACGGCGAAAGAAAAAAACGAGGAGACGTCCTCGCCATTCACCATTCTCCGCGCTGAGAAGTGGCCAAACGGCGGTCTAAGAATCTTTTACTCCTCTCCGGAAAAAGAACAGAGCGACGAGGGAGAGAACGCTGCTGGTAAGAATACCGCAGTGGAACTCTCCTTCCAAAAGGAAAAAGAAGAGGAGGAGAAAAAGATTATCTTGGAAAGCACCAAAGTTATCGCGACGAAACCATCTTCTTCTCCTCTTCCTTCCTTCTACTCGGGCACGACGACGATTGTTTTAGCACCCAGCGATGGAATTTTAACTCAAAGTATGGTTTCTGGTCTGGCACGATTGATCTGGTCGAAAGATATCCCGGATTCAGAGAAGATAGCCATCTTCGCGTTGAGACTTACCCCCGAGTTGGTCGTCGACTACACGTCGAACAACAAAGTTCACGTTTTGCAGCGACTGAAAGAATATACTCTTCTCAATCATTCATCGATATCACCGGATGTTCCATTTCGTTTGTTTTCGTTGAGAAGAGCACTCGAGTCGATGCCGCCAGACGGTTTGAAAGTTCGTCTCCATCACGACGTCATCTTCGCGCTCGATGAAGATACGATTGAAAATAGAATGTTCGTGGAGAACGCGAGAACACTCATCAAAGCAGAATCATCATCAGCTACTATTTTCGTCAGTTCCTTGTTCATCAATGGAGACAATAAAGTAGAGGAAGATAATTTTGCTCAGTGGTTTGGAAAATTTGTAAAAAAAAGACGCGAAGAGACGCACGTTGCCGCGTCGTGCGACGTTTCAGACGAACAACTCGATCACCATCTGTTCGAGAAGAAGAATACTGAATTGAAAATATCCCCCGCCGTTCCTGATGTTGATCGTAAAAATGACGTGATATCGATGAGTTTCAAAAAGAGAAACAAACACTGTCGCATAGAAGACGTGTTGAGCGGCCCTTATCCATACTTTGATACCATAACGCTTAAGATGGATTTCACGCAACGTAACGAATTTGAAGGGAAAAGAAGCTTTAGAAAAGGAACTTACGATGAAAGAATAGCTGCGAAAAAGAAGTTTCCGCTAACCGTTCAATTTGAAAATGCAAAGCACGGTGAAGTTTACGAGGAGCGAAAAGCTTTCGCAAAATTTCACGGTACCTCCACCTTTCGTGATTGTGAGCGAAGAAAATCGATGAAGATCAATCTCGACGGTGGGAAAACAATGAAATTGGGCTCAGCCGCTGAAAGCGATCAGTTTCTGTTAATTTCGCTCTGTTACGACGATAGATACGTAAAGTCGTGGTTGATGTACTCTCTCTTGCGCCATCTTGGGCTCTTCGAGGATCTCGAGTTTCGATATGTTCGTCTATTCGTGGAAACAAACGACGTGAGAGAGAGCGAAGGCTTGTATCTTTTAGTCGAAAATCCAGTCGTAAAAAGAGAAGACGTCAAAGCTCGAATTAGTGCAGTCGTGCGGAGACGTTTAGATCCCGTTCGACAAACTCGGCCGGGACTCGGCGCGCCAGATGTAAAGTATCCAAAACATTCAGACTTTGATCGCGCTATAAAAAGAAATGAATACGACGAGATTGCTCGAGTCGCCAAGACGTGCGATGATATGAACTGCTATGCTTTATTGAGAAAGTGCATGAATATCGACGCGTACATCACATGGATTGCTTTTAACTCTCTCGTAAAAATGGGCGACTACGTGGATGAAATTTACTTCTATTCTTCTAACGAAAATCAACAGACTCCGTATTGGGGACTACATAGCTGGGATCCGGACGATGCGTTTCAGAAATGTCATCATGGCGGTAAGGATGCGTATATCGATCGATTTCAGATGCTCTATTGTCTCGAAGGAAATATGGATGTCGTATTTTTGCGATCGAAAGATATGTATTCTCGTTTCGTGCAAACGCTTGAGGAGCTCTTAGAAAAACGTTTGAATGATCAAGTCATCCTCTTTTTCGCTGAAGAACAGAAGAAAGAGTTGAACGACGTTCTCAACATCAATAACAATAGCAAGAACGACGATGTAGCGATTGGCATGTTAGAATTGAGACAGATGGCAAAGATACCGGATAACATGGCAGCTTTCAGAGAAATGTCAAGTTCGCTGCTATATTATATCGAGCAGATTCGTTTGAGCAGACGGGAGCTATTCCGCGTCATAGGTGCATTTCATTCTTTTAACGATACGAGTGAAGTTGGTTGGAAACCTGTGCGCCTCAGCGCACCAGCGAAATGTTCGAACCAAAACTTGTCTTCTTTGAAACTACGAGTGTCTGAAAGAAAGTACGATCAAGACGCGAGACAAGAAATCGTGTTCGAGTTTGAGAACGTATCCTCTGTATCAGGTGTTCTTCAAATTGAAATTCTGCTCGATATGAACGTGGTATACAAGTTTAACGAGACGTATTCGGAAAAGTATCTACCAGTCCCAGTTGAGAAAGAAACGAGAGCTCTTTGTTGGACAAACGCAACGCTTCCAGGCGATACGATTAACATGAACGCGACGGATGGTGGTTTCTTGACAACTACAACACTTCCAAAGAAGAGTTGCATCGCTGGAGAAGCCATAAATGTAACCGCTAAGTTTACGAACGAAGCCGTCACCTTTACGATGAAAGAAACACGAACCGATACTACTCCTCGTGATAAAATTTTTCTATCGCTTTACCACGGATTCTGGCACCCATTTTCACAGGCGTTTGCGGCTGTACAATACGCTCGAATCTTAACGTGCTAGCTAGTGTTTCTTCGCTCTTGTTTATATTCTAAAGTATAATCTGTGTATTGCAATTCCTTCTCTTTTGTATTGTTCTAAGTCTCGGCGGGTTTGTTTTGCTGTCTGTATATGTCTTTCAAAGAGTACATGCCGTTGTTTGGACCTCGCCTGGCTAAATTCGCAATCTCCTGCACGGTCTCTCTCAAGTGCATGGCCGGTTGCTTAGTTTCTTCTAATAACTGTTTTAAGCTCCAGAAAGTTCGCCTCTCGAATAGACCAAACAATTTGTCCGTCAATTGTGCTTTTTCCATTTTTTCTGCTTTTGGTTTCGTCACGCCGCCGTCGGCTAATCGAACTAAATTTGAACGTTTCGGCAACGGAGCTATTCTCGCCGCGTCCGCTCCGACGACGGATTGAACAAACCTCGATTTAGATTGCGCTTTTTCTAATCTATTTTTCGAAACCCGAGCGTAGGCTGCATCGGAGGCATCTTTTGGTCGCATGTCTAATTTTTTATGAACTTTCGCTTCGACGATGAACTCGTTGACGTCCATCGCCGACGTCGCCGCCGCGGTACCTTCGCGAGTCTCCGAAAACACGTGAATTTCTGGCGCTTCTATATTCTCCGTCATGATATATTTTACTGGTATTTCGTGCTCTTCGTCTTCGTTGACGGCTGCATTTAGCGTCACCGCAAACGCTTCTTTGTTTTCTTTGTCGAAAGGATCGATCACCACTCTTACTTTCCCGAGCTCGTCGTTATCGTTCAATTCCGCATCAATATCCATCCCATCTTCATCGTTCTCGTTGTCTGCTTTACTCCTTCTATCGCTGAAACTTTTCCACGCGCGATCGACAAAGTTTGGCACTTTCACTAGCCACGCTCGATGGTTCGCTCTTTGCGTATCCAACGCGCTCGGAAACAAATACGCTCTCAACGCCTCCGTAACCTCCTCCGGTAAATCTTTCTTATCGATATTCAACTTTTGACAAACTTGATACCTCCAGTGTTCGCGAAGTAAATACGGCGTCGCGTACGGCCTCCACTCCGGCGCGTTCTTATCCTTTTTCGATCGCGAATATTTCTTCGCCGTTTCCTCCAGCTTTTCTGGATTCAATTTGTGTACGCATTCGTTCAAAGCGTTCAGTTTGTTTAGTTTCTGTAAATACTTTTGCATGGCGCTCACGACGAGCTCCGATCCGGGTGGAAACTCTTCCAAGTCCATGTTGATGATTCGAAAAAGAACTTTTTCTCGTCGTTATTAGTATCGTTGTCCTTGTTATCAGTCGTCCTTCTTGTCGCGGGAGCTTCCTCTGTGTGATGATGGACGAGAAACGTCAAACGAGATGATTTGTGTTGTCGTTGGTTGCACTCTCCTCGAAAAGAAGAGAATCTCTCTTTCTCTTCTCTTTCGAAAAAAAAAGGCAAAAGAAAAAAAAAGCGTCCCCAAAACAGGATTAATTCACCACAAGACAAAAAATTACGCGCACTCTCTCTCGCTTTGACACACACGTGTTGGTGCGAACCACGAAACGCTATTAAGCGAGGGAGAGCCGACGAGGCGGTATTTGTATAACAGGAATTTCTCGTAAAACTCTCGTTTTGATTTATTTTTATAAGAGAGAGAGAGAGAGAGAGAATAAGAGAGAGATTTTTACGCTCAATTTTGTGTGAACGAAAAGCCGAGTGTGCCTTTCGCAAGAAGACGCTGACGAGAGACAAAGGAAAAGAAGGAGAAGAAGAAGACATCATCACGATGTCGACGACGATAAACGCAAAAGAGGATGCATCGATTCTCTTACCAGAGATCGAGGTGAGCGATTTAGTCGACGCTATTCCGATCGATATCGTCGGGGAATTGTTCGAAGAAGAAGAAGAAGAAGACGACGACGTCTCTCGAGGAAGAGGAAGAGTCGGAGGAGGCATGAACGCCGCAAATTTTAATAAAACTTCGTCGAAGATACGAACACCAACGGATGGATTGAACATCATCCAACCTCGGCCTCCGTTCAAGACGGACTCGTTTAATCGAGGAAGTCAGCAACAACATCACAGAGGAGGAGGATTAGCGGAGTCATCCGGGGGACCGTCCTCGAATGGGAACTCTTTAGGTGGAGGTGGAGGTGGAGGCTCGTTTCCCTCCATACCGCCGGTGTATTCGATGACGAGTCCGGGCGGCAGACGAAACTCTACCGAACACTTTCCATCCACGGCTGGCTTTGCCTTAAAAGGTGGATCGACGAGCTCGTCCACGGATGCCTTCGCGTTGACATCTGACGTGGACGCGATATTAAATGGAGGGAAACCTTTCGTTCCTTCTGCCGCAGGAGCGATATCTGCCTCAGAGCTTGCAAAGTCGACTGCGACAATAACACCGGTTGTTCAAGGCCCGAGTGGACCGAGAATGCCTGGACAAGGCGTCGAGGAGCAAGAACAGGTTGTTGTGTCGACCGAGACGGACGAGAATGGTGGAGTTCGCGTGAGAGTGACGTTATTGGCGGCTGGTTTTGTGATTGGAAATGCCGGCGCTTCCGTGCGCGAAATCACGCAGCATACGGGCGCCTCGATTCGATCGTGGACACAACCAGCGGAATATTTTTTCGGCGGTTTTGCGAGACCGACGCGAGTGTTCTGCGTGGAAGGCGATCCAGCCGCGATTGCGGAAGCCACGGAGTTAATTTACGCCGCGGTCGATCGGTACAGAGCTTTGTGCGAGATGAAAAAGCGAGGCGAGTTTGTGCAACGCTCGCAAAAGATTAAGGGCGTTGAGTTTTCATTTCAACCGCCGCCGAGGCAAATAACGCAACGGCAAAGGCAATTGGAACAGCTTCTGAGCGCGCAAACGCATCTTTTACAGCATCAGACGAACGCTTTGTCTGGTGCTGCTGCTGGCAGTTCCGCAGTCGCTCTTCAACAGGCGTTTGCCCAGCAACACTTGTTGATGCAGCAGCAAATTGGTTTTTTGAACCAGCAAATGAGCCAACATCAGCAGCAAGGATATTTCCACCATCATCAACAACAACAATACCAGCAACAACAGCACTACCATCACCACCACCACCACCAGCAGCAACAACAACAACAACAGCAGCAACAGCACAATATGTTTGGCAGTAACCAAAACTACTACTAACAATGTGCCTTGTGACTTCGTTGTGTGCTGATTATACATTATGTACGAAGAGAAGAAGAAGAAGAAGATAAACGAATTGAGTATTATTACACGTTATTGAAAGGAGTTGAAAAGATAAAGAGTCGATCGAGATAGTTTAGCAAGCGTTTTTGCCGCAGCTTATTAGCCGCCACGTTCTTCGAACAATTTAATAAACGAGCGACGGGGCTAAAAGTCAAAATAGAATCTCAGGAGGACTCGATCTATGAGCATTTTTAATCAATTGCATTATTATGATGATAATGATGTCTTTGAATGTTTTTGAAATATATATAATATATCTATATTGAATATACATACACACGTTATGCTATAAACTACATATATCTAAATTCTCCTATTCAAGTTTCTTATCCCACCCGTGAGAATCTCGCCGGTCTATCGCGCAAGTAATACAATTTCGCTCTTCTTACTCTCTTACGCTCAACAACTACTAGTTCCTTAATATTCGGCGAATACAAGGGAAACATTCTCTCTACGCCGACGTTTCCAAGCATCGTTCTCAACGTAAACGAACTCCCCAATCCTCGGTTCTTCCTCGCTATGCATATCCCCGTAAACCTTTGCGTCCGTCTTCGATTTTCGGGAACTTCCATGGTCAACTGCACCACATCTCCCGGTCTAAACGGGCTAATCTTCACCCCTTCCCTTTCATTCAACATCTCAGTAATTCGTTCTCTCTCTAAAGTTTCCATCATGTGTCCTGCTCTCTTCTCGTACGTCTTTCGTTTTTTCAACTCTCTCGTCTTTGTGAAAGGGGACATCCCGCCTCCGGCTTTGCCCCAATCTTTCTGCTTTTTCCCGGCTTCAAAAGAAGTCATCGGAGCCTCGGGACCTCTCTCCGGTGGATTCAACCGTTCCGTGTTTCTCGAGTGATTCTTCCACTGCGCGATTGAGGTCGAATGAAACGGTTGTTTGTTGTTGTTCATGTTGTTGTTCATGTTGTTGTTGTTAATGTTGTTGTGCGTCCCGATCGTTCTCGCTCCTCTCGGCGAGACATTCGAAGAAGAAGAAGAAGAAGAAGTGAAAGAACTAAAGCTGCGAGCAGCAAAACTGAAGCTACTCCTCGCGGTCGTCGTCGTTCCCGCGAGGATGCGTCTCCGCGCGAGTTCCCTCACTGCGACTAAAGCTCTTCGCGTCGTCATCGTCAAAAGTCTCTCGTCTGTCTCTCGTCGTCGCGCAAGAAGAGAAGAAACGGGGGCTTTTCTGAGGCCTTTTGTCGTCTCGTCTGTCTTCTAAAAAAAATTCAACAGAAAAAGACTCGTCGTTCAACAACAAAAGAAATGAGTGCCATGACTGCCGCCGCTGGACGTTTCGTTGCGCACGCCGCTGCGAAAATGACGACGAAAATGACGACGAGGAGGAAAAGGAATTGTTGTTGTTACTGCACGAAACGAGTCGCATTTTTAGGCACTCCCGAAGTCGCCGCGAAAGTCTTCGAACGGTTACACGAGGCGTCCGTGAACTCGAACGGTTTGTTTGAGATTGCTGCGGTGATATCGCAACCGGGGCGACCCAGAGGACGAGGGAGGAAATCGTCTGGGCCACCACCGCCGTCACCGGTGACGCAATCAGCAATAGATAGAGGCGTAGATGAAGCTAAACTGCTGAATCCTGCGAAAGCGAACGAGCCGGAGTTTTTAGAGACGCTGGCGAAGATGAACTTGGACTTGTGCGTGACGGCGGCGTACGGGAACTTTTTACCGCAAAAATTTCTCGATATTCCAAGATTGGGGACGTTGAACATTCATCCTTCGCTGTTGCCGCAGTTCAGAGGTGCGGCGCCTGTGCAGAGGTGCATAGAGAGCGGGTTAGAGGAAACAGGAGTGACCGTAGCGTTTACGGTTCTTAAGATGGACGCCGGTCCGATTTTAACGCAAACAAAGTACAAAATGAACGGATCCGAGAAGGCGCACGAAATGTTGGACGTTTTGTTTGATATCGGCGTCGAGTCTTTGATTGAACAGCTACCAAAGGTTTTCACCGGAGAAGCTGGTGAGATTGCGAAAGACCAAGGCGAAGAAGGGTTGAGTCACGCGGATAAAGTATCATCGGAGGAAGGAGATTTGGATTTTAGCGCGCTTTCTGCATTGGAAGCGCACAACAAAGTGAGAGCGTTTGATGGATGGCCAGGGACGAAAGCGACGTTTATCATTCAAGACGAGAAGAAAGGTGGAGAGCCGAAAGAGATTGTCGCGAAAATACTCACGACGAAAGTTGGCGGTAGCGTAGAAGGAGGAGAAAAAGTCGTAAAAGTCGCGAAGAAACAGTTTTCGATTCCGTGCAAGGGCGGCGAATATCTCGACGTGCTCGAAGTTCAACCTCCGGGAAAGAAACCGATGGACGTCGCGTCTTTCGTGAATGGATTAAAAGGCTCTAGCGTTAGTCTGCCTTAGATTTTCTACCAGTTGTACATTATTTATTTCTAATAAAATCAATCTACTGAAGTACTTTGTGCTAATTTCTACATCTATTTCGCGCGCTTTTTTTGCTATTTTTCTCTCTCTCTCTTCAATCTGAGTCCGCGTTTTCATCGCTCTCTTCTTCTGCTGCTCCTTCCCCACCTGGCCTTAACGCACGAATGTGCTTGTGTGGATAGGTTCTTCCACAATCAGGGCACGGTTCGTTCGCACCAAAGATTTCGTCGTCGCCGTCGTCCGAGCGTTCGCCGTCGTCGTCGCTGTCGAAATAGGCGTACTCGTCCTCTTCTCTGCTCCCCTTCGCTCCGCTATTCCTTCTGGGCGCGTCTGGATGGCCAGGTAAAGCGCCAATTCCAGCGATGTATTTCGTCACGCTCTCTTCTGAAAACCCGTTTCTTCCGCCAAACTGATCGAACCCGTTCGTCCACGAGGAGAGTCTTCTGTTTTTGAAATACACGATGGCTGGCGGCTGCGAGACGTTGCACATTTGTAAAGTTGGCGATTTCGATCCTAATTCCGGTCGAATTCGCACAAACTTCGTCTTTGGAAACGCTTTCGCCAAGTTATCTAAAACTTCGTCTATTCTCGCACACTCGTCTACGCCGTCTAAGGTGAAATGACACAACACTTTCGCGTTCTTTTTCAAGATATCGCCGAGATCCCTCTCGCGCGCGTTCACGTATTCCGCCTGCTTTTGCATCTGCTCCGCTTTCATCGCGTTCAGACGCATCTCCCGAATTCTCGCCGCTTTTAATTCTCTCAAATACGGGTCGCTCTCCTCGTCTTCGTCGTCCGTGTTCCCGAAATCTGAATCTTCGTCTTCGTCTTCGTTCGTCTGTTGTTGTTGTAGTTGTTGTTGTTGTTGAAGAAGAAGAAACTGCTGCTGCTGCTGCTGATGCGCGTCATCCCCGACAATAAACTGCGCCTTCGCGTCCGCTTTCAATTGCACTCGGTCGACGCCTTTAAGAATTTTAATCAATCTCGACGCTTCTCTCTGCTCCGCTTCGTCTTTCTCGCAACACGACGGTCTCGGCATGACGTTTTGCAACTCCTCCGGCATCATTTCGATTTCGTCGTCGATCCAAGTGGAACACGCGCCGGCGTGCGGTTTGTGGGGTTCCTTCTTTGTGTTCTTCTTCTCCCCCGCGTCTTCTTTGCCGCCGCCGGAAGTAGTATTAGGGAAGCTGGCAATCATCATCTCTTATTTATTATGTGTTTGTGTAATAATTTGTTCACGAAGAAGAATGAATGAAGAAAGCTCGAGCTTTTCTCTTCTTCTTCTAAAACCTGAAAACTCAAACTTCGCTGCCGGACGACTGTCTTTTTGGACCATCTGTTTTCCTCACTTTTTTTACAAAGAAGAACAAAAACAAAGACATGTTGAGGAGGAGTAAAAGGAGTAGCAGTAGTTATTATTTATTAAGAAGAATAGCATTAGCAGCAAAAGCAGCAAAAGGAGAACAGTCTCGGTGTGGTATTGTTGGGAGGAGCAGCAGTTGTAGTTGCAGTCGGTTTCTCACCACGGGTGGCATCGACGATGGTGAAGACGACCACGACGCTTCAACATCATCATCATCATCAACAACTCTAATAAAGAAAAGAATAAACGACGAATACGTGGACACGGAAGCAGCGATGGAACGAACTCGAATGAAAGCTGCGGCGTTAAAAGCGGCTGGATTGAAAGCGGAATCGATGACGGTGTTCGACAGAGAAGTGAAGAGAGCGCACAGGGACAGAGCGGCGTATTTGCAACGAGAGAAGAAAGAGGAGAAGGAAAAAAAATCTTCGAGCAGCGAAGGTGATTTTTTACTCGAAGAAGCGACGAGACGAGTGCTCGATCGATTGGACGACATTAAGCGACCGTTTAAACGGATATTAGTTATAGGAGGCGCGACGGTTTCGACCGTCAAGCAGTTACTTGAGAAACGGCGAGATGTGGAAACGATCATCGCGTGCGACTCGAGCGAGGCGACGCTGCTGTTGGTGAAAGATATCGTCGGCGATGCGCCGAAACGGAAGTTTGATAGTTTTCCAGTGGAAATTAAATACGTTCAAGCGTTCGAAGACGATTTACCAATTAAAGACAACGTGGTCGATTGCGTTTTGAGCGTTCTAGGTTTGCACTGGGTGAATGATTTACCCGGGGCGATGGGCCAAGCGAGGTGTACGCTCGTCCCAGACGGCTTGTTTCTCTCCGCCATTTTCGGTGGCGATACGTTGACAGAATTACGAATTGCGTGCGCTTTAGCTGAAACTGAAAACGAAGGTGGCGTGAGTGCACGCGTCTCGCCGTTAGCGCACGTGAGAGATGCTGGAAACTTACTCGGACGCGCTGGTTTACGACTTCCCGCGGTGGACGTAGACACGCTCACGCTGAATTACAAGACTCCGATGGATTTGGTCGAACATTTACGGATGATGGGAGAGCAAAACGCGGTGATTGAGAGGAGACAAACGATTAAACGGAGCACGATGGAATTAGCGAACCAGAAGTACGTGGAAAACTTTTCGGCGTTATCGTTATCGAACGACGACGATGCTTCGATGCCGAAACCATCATCGAGCGAGAGCGGGATCTCGGCTACGTTTCAAATTCTATACATGACGGGATGGTCTCCTTCCGAGACGCAACAAAAAGCGAAGGAGAGAGGATCTGCGACGGTGAGTTTGAGCGACTTGAAATCCGCGTTAGAAGAGAAGGAGGAGGAAGAGGAGAAGAAGTAGAGATAGTTGTAGTTGTAGTTGTCTAGCCCAATCTTTCTTCCTCCTCCCAGCTCCTTCGTCAAATCCAAAAATTATAAAAATCCTCCTCTGACTTCATCCCGCACAAATTCTTCGTGTTGTGTTGTTGTTTTTCTTCTTTTACTTTCAAGAGAGAGGGAGAAAAAACACAGCGCACCATCTATCATCGCAGCGTACAACTATTTAAGTGTCCGTTAACGTCACGTGCGCAAGCATTCCACGTTCGCGTTGTATACGTATTCGCGCGAGAGAAGAGAAAGTCGGTTTGATTAACCCACCCAATATGAGCAAACTTCCGCTCATCGAACGGCTTCCCAGCGATGTCGTCGAAAGCGACGATTGGCTTTCGAATGCATTTCCAATCGTAGAAGAAGATAACGGAGCGTTATCTCCGTTCGATTTGGCGGATATATTTCCGCAACCAGTAGAAACCATCCCGAATACGAATTCGAATAATTTAATAGCTTTAGCTTCTCCTCAAACGACGACGAAGACGTCGTTAGGGAAGCACGCGTTAGCTTCGGCGGAAGTAGCAGCAGTCACTACCATAGCCGAGACAACAGCGACTGCAACGAAGAAGACGACTACTAGACCGGTGAAGAAGGTGAAGAAATCAGTGAGAGAAAAAGCCAGAAGAGATGCGTTGAACGATCGATTCGAGGACCTGTCCAGGTCCTTGCTCGAGAGCGCAGACGACGAGTTGAAGACGGATAAGTCGTCCATAGTCACCGCAGCGAGAGAGTGTATTTTGGGATTGAGAGAACAATTAGGAAAATTAAACGCGTGTTTAGCCGCCGAAAGAAGCGAGTGGGCCAAGACGAAGCAGGAATTGATCGCGGAGAAGATTTTGGTCGAGCAAAAGTTGCAGAACTTTATGGCCAAGATGCCCTTTGCGAGCGCTATTCCAAGCACCGGCGGCTCAAAACATGCCGCCGCCAACGTTGGTATCACCGGTACTGTTGTTACCGAAGACACTGATGGAGATGCGCCACTTGCACCAATCTTGGTTGTTAGCACGACTACGGCAGAAGAAGACGCCAAATGGAGAGCGCCACTCGCGTGAGAAGTGGAAATGTTTTGTTTTTAATCAGTATTTTAGCCACACACAAAAAGTTGTTATTTACATTGACTTTTTATTAGCACACAGAGATATCCATGCATGTATATTCGCGCGAGAATTTTACTCCCGTGCTATCATGTTAATCCAAAGACTTGTCTGTAATCCCTTCCAGGTTTACAAACGATAAAATCGGCCAGGTCGTCGTCATCGTCGTCGCCCGAATCGTCGCCTTCGTGTTCCCGAACAGCCTCCAAATACGGATTGTTGAAACGATTTCGACGCTTCTTCGAACGCCTCTTTCGCAGTACTTTCTTTCTGTTTTGTTGCTGGCTCTCGTCGTCGCCGTCATCGTTGGCTTCGTTCTTCTTACCTTCTCCCTCTCCCGCTCCATCCCCAACTTCTCCAGACTCTTTTCCTCCGTCGAGAAGGTTACTTCTGTCGTTCTGCTGTTGTTGCGCATCTTTCACTTGCGTCGTGGAAGTGTAAATGGAAAGGCCATACTTCCTTTTTCTTTCGTTTATAGCTTTATCATCCACATCTTCTTCTGTATTTTCAACACCAGTTGTTTGTTGATCCGTTATGGATGTGTTTTTATGGACTTTTAATGCGTAGAGAAGAGTTATGAGACTGCGATCGAGGAGTTTCATTTTCTTCAAAGCTTTCAAGTTCGCGTGTACCGCCGCGCACTGTGCCATAAACGCACGCCTACTAAGCTCTAACGTTTCGAAATTTTGAACTGGAATAGCTTCCATTACTTCTTCTTGAAAGAATTCTAAAATACCACCAGTCGCGTAATGCAATCGAGCTCCGGATAAAACGATGGCTGACAAATCTCCTTTTTTCTTTTCCGAATTGGTCAAGAATGACGCCGCCCGCTGGCAGCACTCCAAGCAATACTTAGACGCGATGAAAAGTGATTCTGCTAAAAATTTGATGTCTCGTAAAAGCGATGATGATGCACTTTTATCGTCGTCGTTGTCGCCTACTTCTTCCTCTTTCAATTTTTTCCATTCATTTACGACGAAAGGTATAAAAATTTCAACTGTTTCTCCCAAAGCCGAAGCAGACTCGACTACTGCGTCCACGACCGAAATCCTGTTGTTTCTCTTGTTTGAAGAGGACGACGAGCTGAGTTCGTCCCAAGACGGCAGCAGTGGTAATTCTGAGACGAGCGATTTGGCGAGTATTTTCAACGCTGATATTTTCGTTCGGACGTCTTTGCTCGCAATGCTCGTACTACTTCCAATCTGGGATAACATCTGTGAAACTGTCAGAATACACTCAGCTGACCCGAATTCGAGCTTTTCAAACTTGATCATCATCGATGTCATCGATGAAACCGAACGATCTTCGATGTCTTCCATATGTCTGGTTAAAATCTGGTCGTTCAAAATCACCCCGCTTCGAACAATTTGGTGCAGCCACAAATCCGAGGACTCTCGCATGGCTAAAGGCAATAGAAACTCCATCAATCGGACAATGTCGGGGACGAGAGTAAACCAGTCTTTATCAAGACCCCACTCCTCGTTTAATTGATGAAGCTCGTAACGCTTCATTTGGTGATACATACCATACGATAACGTCGCAACTAGACTTCCAATTGGGTACATCTTTCCAGCTATTTCAATCATTTGCAGCTTTTTCTGTTCAGTTTTCTCAACGTTGTATCTATCGCGAGGATCACGTTGCGCAAGAAGAACCGTTTGCACAGCCTCTCGGGCACCTTGGGCGAGGATGTGCGAGTCCATAGAATTCGTGATGAATGATGAAAGATAATTCATCTTCGATGCACTCGTATCGCACGCGGTAGCGGTATTGAAAGAAGCTTCTAGCGAAGCAAGAAGAAGTTTGAACGCCATGCGCACTTCATCTATGGCAGTATTAGCACTCCCGGCGTCAACTTGGTCTGCAGTTCTACCTTCACGACTGAAATCAAGACCAGACCAATATTTCTGAAGGGATTGCATCGCGAATTTTCCGCATTTTGAAATCAAGGATGATGAATTCAACGCCTCCGCATCGGTAGGAGGCGCAATTCTCTTCAGCGACGCACACAACGTTTCGATCGCGTCACTTTTAACGTCCTCTAGTTCTAACTTGGCCGCTACGTCTCCTTCTAATATAACGTCGATGATTCTTAAAGCGCTGCTCGTCTTGATGCTTTTTTCGGCGTCGAGCAAACTTAATACCGGCATCATCGATTCGTCCTCCTCGTCAAACTCGTTCCCATTCGCGTAAATCTCTTTCATGAGACGCTTCGCTTCTTTCTTTCCTTCAAAGAAATTCGACTTGACAAATAATCTATTCATGGCGAAAACGACGCGCTTTGCGATGGGGTTTCCGAAATCCCGGGACGCTTTGAAATGTGACAACATTTGTAAAAGCATGGAACGGTTGCCGTCTACTTCATCTTTCGTCAATTCGCACGAAGTCGATACGGCTTCCAACACGTTCAACCATGCCGTTTTCCCGATACTTTGCGCGTCGTCGTCGCCATCGTTGTCGTAAGCGTTGACTTTATTTTCTATCATTTTTGCGCACTCGTTTCCGAGGATTTCGAGAATATTTCGTCTGTGTTCCGACCAAATCTGGAAAACGACTCGAAGAAGCGACGCGGATACTTCTTGAGAACCCTTCCGCTGCACACTTTTAATGCACTCGTACAAAAAGTATCGCCTCGATCCTTCGTCCCTAATTTTGCTATTGTTTCTATCGGTATTATCATTTGTCGCGAAAGTATCCGTCATCAATGCAAAAAAATCTTCCTCCTTCAAACACCGAGCGTTTTTCTGGAACTGAGTCCATGCCTCGTCTCGGATTTCCTTCGAAACTTCTTCAGAAGCGCAAATGCCGAATAAAATCGCCGGCCAAATCTTATCGCGCTCGTCGTAGAACGAATCTCGAAACCCTTTTGGTCGCTTCAATAGCAATTTTGCGAGCGCCGGCGAAAGAGCGAGCTCATCTCGAACGCATTTCGAAACAAACTCACACGCGTTTATTTGAGTGCTACTGCTACTGCTGCTAGTAGTCCGTGGTGGTTGCCGCGCAGCCACCTCGTCGTCTCCTTCTCCTTCTCCTTCACCTTCTCCTTCTTCACCTCCTTCCTCTCCCCGAACCGAAAACATCTCTATCCCCAAAGCAGATACGACGATAAACAACTTGAAGTATTGCTTACTCAGCTCGTTTTTGTTCCTTAACTGTTTCTTTGTCGCCATCCGCAACGCGAATCTGCAAATCGTTCGCGCGATGTTTACCGTGAACCCGTCACTTCGTCCGGGTTCTTGCATCTTCTCCTTCTTCAACGTCACCACGCCTTTAGCTACTCGCATCATAACAATCTTGTGTTCGTCTTCGCTAAACTCTTCGTCTAAGAAGGACTCTAATATCTTCTCTAGTTTACCTACCGTCCATATCTCGTGCTTCAACAGCGGATGCGAAGTAGCGTCTCGTAACTTTTTCATCTCCTGTTTCCTCGTCACGTTGTTCTGTCCTTTCCTTCGCTCGAGAGATAAGAACGTCCGCAACACTTTCCTCCCGTTTTCGTTCAAGTTTTCTCCGTCTCCGTAGAGCAAATCTTCATCGAAATATATTCCTCCTCCTCCTCCTCCTCCTCCTCCTCCTCCTTCAGTTGCGTTGTGAATGTTGATGATTTTACTCACGTGTTTCGGATTGTAATGGTACATGGATTCTCCCTCTTCGTTGACGATGGCGTTGTTCATGAGCCGTAAATTTACTTCTCTTCCAGCGGCGGCTTTCAAAGTTCTCTTCCCTAAAGCATCGTGCGTCCCGTACAGTTTCATTTGCACGCACTTCCCGACAATCCACTCTCGGTTTTTCGACCGACACTCTAACCCGGAAAGTTCCGTGTATTTCGTTCGTAAATCTCGAAAGGGGAGTTTACGGAACTCCTCGCCTTGCGCTCCCGTTTCCATCACGTTAAAATACGTCATTTATTACGCGCTGTGTGTTCTTCTTCTCGTCGTCGCTTCCATTATTATTATTTGATGATGACGACGATACAACTCACGAATGAGTGCAATGAGAAAGTCGGAAAATTCAAAAATCTCGTCGCTTTTCGTAAAATTTAAGGGTGAAAGCAGAAATAAATAACCGCACTTTTCTGCTTGGTGGTGGTAGTGGTGGTGGTGAGTCTACTCACTTTTGAAAGGCTCCTCTTCTTTACACACAAAAAGAACAACAAAATGTCTTCTTTGGGAATTCGTCTTCGCGGGGTATTGTTCGCGACGAATAGCGCCGCGCGCACCCACGCCGCCGAAGCGATGATGACGATGCGAAAAACATCACAAAAGACGTCATCACCAACAACAACTTTCAACAGAAGAACAATTTTTACTTCTACGAAAACTCCAAAAGCGTCGTCGTCTGTTTTAAGCGGGGCACGGGCGAACAGGATGGCTGAGAATGCGATACCGCGTGGTTTTAGTGGTCGTAATCCTTCGTCGTCGTTTACGTCGTCGTCGGGGTACGTGTGGAACGCTCTGACCAAAATGCAGAAGAAGATACCAACGAGAAGGACGGGAACGGGAACAACGTCTACCTCTTACAGAACATTTTCATCGTCCTCGCTGGCTGTAGCCGCGCGTCGATCGTCGTCATTTCCTAAACTTCGACGTTATCATGAACAACATCAATCTTTGTTATTACGTCGACGGCGGCAGTATTCAACTTCCGAAACGATGCATCAAAATCCTTTAGTTCTCGGCGGACCGCGAGCGGTGAAACAAGTCACGTATTGGCTCGTTGGCGGATGCGCGTGGGTTTTTTCAATGGTTGTCATTGGAGGGATGACGCGATTGACTCGATCGGGACTTTCTATGACGGATTGGAAGTTTCAATACGAGCATCCTCCGTTAACGTTAGAAGATTGGGAACGCGAATTCGATAAGTACAAGCAATCTCCAGAGTATCAAAAAACAAACATCGGGATGACGCTCGAGGAATACAAGTTCATTTACTGGATGGAGTACGGGCACAGAATGTGGGGAAGGGTTTTAGGGATTTATTTCGCGGCACCGCTAGCATATTTTAGCTATAAAGGGTACATAACGAGCAAGCTCATGAGACGATTGGGCGTGTTTTTCGTTCTAGGCGCGACGCAAGGCATGATTGGGTGGTGGATGGTGAAGAGCGGATTGAAGCAAACGGAAGAGCAAAAATTTGATGTGCCTCGCGTGAGTCCGTATCGGTTAGCCACGCACTTAGCGGGCGCATTCACCATATACACCGGGATGGTTTGGACGACGTTGAATGTCATGAATCCAGTCTCGCCGGCGCAGTTACCAGCGGCTACAGAGGCGTTAATTTCGGCGACGAAACAGTTGCGTAAAGCCGCGCACCCGCTCGCCGGTTTGATTGGCTTGACGGCAATTTCTGGAGCGTACGTCGCTGGGATGGACGCGGGGAGAGCATACAACACGTTTCCGTTAATGGATGGTAAAGTAGTTCCAGATGAGTATTTGAAGGATTGGGAGTCGAAAGGGTGGAGAAACTTTTTCGAAAACACCGCAGCGGTTCAGTTCAACCATCGTGTGTTAGCGTTGACGACGCTGGCGAGCGTATCCGCAGTGCACGCGATGTTTCGAGGAAACGCGGCTTTATCTTCTCAATCAAAATTACATTTAAATGCACTGATGGGAGTAACAGTCGCGCAGGTTGGGTTAGGTATCACCGCGTTGCTTTATCACGTTCCTGCTGAGTTGGGGAGCGCGCATCAAGCGAATGCGTTGATACTCTTCACTGTAATTTTGAGCTTGATGCATTCGGCTCGGAAACCAAAGAAGCTCGTCTTCGTAAAAGACTTATGGGCGCATAAACCAGCAGCAGCATAAATAGTCTCTATTATATAATTATAGCATATATTCTTAGCATTACATAGCACCTACTTTCAGTTTCTCTTTCTATTTATTATCCCCTAACTCTCCGCGCGCTCTCCTCCATTCCAAGGATCCGGTAGTTCTTCCTGGCAAGTTTTTCTTTTCTTCCTCGCCCATGTCGAGTACTTTTAGTTCTTCTCGTTCGTCTTCGTTTCTCTTTCTCACGATCTCTCGTCTCGCGACGTCTATGCGCGTTTGAAGCACTTCCGTGCACCTCGCGATTGCTTTGGACACGAACTCATCGTCCTGAACAATAGCGCGCCTTCTCCCTACCATCTCGTCGTCCATCTTTTGATATCTCTTCGAGACATCTGCGACACCGTCAATCGAAAACGCGACGACGAATGACAAACTCTTCCCCCATCCTTCGCTGTATAATCTCGGTTCATCAAACGCCGCCTCGCACGAGTCGCAATGGATCCACCTATTTTGAGAAGGGCTCCAAATTTCCGTCCAGACGTGATCCGTCCAGTCCAAAATGTATCTCGTCTCGTAATCTAGCGCGCGACAAATGAGCGAAAATGTGTTTGCAAACTCGCCGCAACGCCCTGTTCTCGTTTCCAACAGTTTCACCGCATCGTTGTATCTCGGGAAACGCGTTTGACAACCGCACCCGGAGCAGGCGTAAAGTTCGACCCTAGAAGTGCCAAACACTCGCTCTTCTTCGCTCGGGGCGACCGTGTCAACGCATTGCATGTTTGCCGGGTTTGTTCTTACCGTTGTTTTTCTTCCCACTTCTTCTTGTACGGAGAATGAACACGTCTCGCGACTACAGTTTGGTTTATCGCACCAACTGAAATACTCGTGCTTAAACCACTTTAAAAGCTCGACGATAAACGCGTCTTTGAACGATAACCCCTGGCATTTCGGTTCTTTTCCTTCCTTTACCCTCTTTTCCAACTCTTCCACGGGGACGACGGATAAAGCGCACGCTCGCGCCATCTCGTCTTCGTACTTTGTAATCGTTTCTAAGCCAGACTGCAATCGACTCAGAAACATTTGTTGTTGTTGTTGTTGTTGTTGTTGTTGTTGATGATGATGATGATGATGATTTTGTTCCGTCGTCGTCGTCGTCGTCGTCTGAATCCTCCTTCTCTCGCTCATCATCATCATCAGTCTCTCCTCTTCCTCTTGGAGCTGGCGCGCCAAAAGCTCATCTGAGTTCATCTCGAGAGGAGAGAGTTCAAAAAGAGAGACTGTTGATTTTCTAACGAACTCTCATTTAACTCGTAAAAATAATAAAAATCTTGGTCTGAATTTTGCTTTTGTTTTGTGTCGTTGTGTGATCGTCTTCTTCTCGCCAAATTTATACGCACACAAAATAATATTCACTCTTCTTCAGACAGAGAGAGAAGACAGAGTAAAGAAGACAGAGTAAAGAAGAAGAGCAGACAAAAAGAGTACTCCAATTGGCGACCGACATGACGACGGAAGTGGGAGAAAAGCGACCGAGAGAAGAAGAGGAAGAAGATGATGAGGTCGAAAAAACTAACGAACAACAACAACAACAACAAGAGGAGGAGGAGAAAAAGGACGACGCGAACGACGGAGAACCTCCAAAAACGAAGAAAGCAAAAGAAGAAGACGATAAAGAAAAAGAGACACCATCAACGACGACGACGACGGTACCATCGGCGGGAGGAGCTGCGGGGGGGGGTGGATCTGGATTCGGCTCTGGCTTTGGGAAATCCTTTGGCGGTTTCAGCGGTGGTTTCGGCGGTTTGAAAGCGCAAGTCAGCGGAGGAGGTGGCTTTGGAGCGTTCGGGAAGAAATCAGAGGGAGAAAAGAAAGATATCGACGATAACGAAATTAGCGGCGAAAAGAATAAGAGGGAAGAGGGAGATGGTGGTGGTGGTGGAGGAGGCGGACCAGTCTTTGGCGCCGTGTTCGGCGGGAGTAAAATAGCAAACGATACTAGCGAGAAGAAGGAAACAGAAGAAGAAGGAGAAGGAAGTAAAGAGGAAACAGAAGAAGAAGGAGAAGGAGAGAAAAGTAAGAAAGAGGAGTTCAAAGCTGCAAAAGAGATGAAAGAGATCGAGCAACAAACCGGCGAAGAAGACGAAGATTTAATGTTCAAAACCGACGGCGCTTTGTACGAATACGTCAGCACGGAAGAGGATGGGAAAGCGCCGGGATGGAGAGAACGAGGACGAGGTGAATTTAGAATCAACTCTACGAAGAAGAAAGATAACGTGAGAATGATCATGCGCACGAGAGGTAACTTTCGCTTGATTTTGAACGCCTCAATGTTCAAAGGCCAAAAGTTTGCAAAGATGGAAGGCGGGAAGGGCGTAACCTTTCCTTGCGTCAACGCCGCTTCGGAGAATAAAAAGATGACCACGTACGCTTTGAAAATGAGAGTCGCACAAAGCTCTGCCGCGCAGCAAGTGGATACGTTTCTCGAGCAGATCACAAAGGCTCTTCTAATCGCCGGCGGAGAGGAGTCTACGAAAGAAGATTAAAAATGTTAAAAGTAGTTTCAAAAGTGTGATAAGAGTTAATTTGTTTTTTTCAAATCACAAAAGGTAGTATTGTCTATGTTTCTAGTTATCGCGTTTTCTTGTCTTATCAGACATCAAACACTTAACCTTGCTTCTCCCATCCGCTCGGATCGTGCTTCTGCGGCTCTCCACTCTCCGGGTCCGGCCTTAACGGAAACTTCGGAACGTTTGCCATCGGCTTGAACGGATCCGCCTTTGAATCGTACACGTGTTTTAAAGCAGCACCGAACAAAATTGCGCCAGCAACTAGTAAAACATCGTCCGCAAACGCGGCTGCGTTCCCAGTCCCAGTCCCTACGTGTCCAGAAGCGTCGTGAATTTCTCTCGACATGTTCATGTGTTCCTCGTCGTATTCGTCCCCGTTCGCGTAGCCTAATCGATTTTGTGCCTGCGCCGCTTCCGGATATTCCGCAGATTTATCCATATCCGCGACGTACCCATCGTGAAAGTGTTCTGGCGGAATAATCGGTTTCAATTTATACCCTTGCATCTTCCCTTGTGCTTGTCTGTTCGCGACGACGAAATTCCACTGCTGGCACAAATGCAACGCTCTCTGATCGACTCTCCCTTGCACTCTCGCTTTGGGTAACAACGGCGCTCCGTCGTTTTCGTGCCCTTTCGGCAGCGGCATGTCGCACATTTGCTGCGCTTGGCGGATGGAATAATAAATCGTGGACGGTAAATATTTCGGTTTATCCGGGTCGCCTCTTTTCGCTTCTACCGTTCGTGGTTGCGAGAGTAAGAGCAACGCGGAAAAGACGACGACGTTTAGTAGAGCTTTCTTCGCAATCTGCAATGAAAATCGTCGTCTGTTTTTTATCGTTTTTGTCGTCGTGGTGAACATCATCGTCATCGTCTCTCTCTCTTTCTTTTCTTCTCTCGTGTGTTCTCTCTAAATCTTTCTCTCTCTCTTTCTCTCTCGTTCTCCGAATAATGGAAACAACAGATGTTGTTGTGTACTAATGGTGATTATTGTTGGAAAGGTTGATCTCTTCTCCGAGGAAAGAGGAGGAAGGAGGGGCATCGCTCAAAAAAGAGCCCGCCAAAAAAACAACCACATACAAAAACATCAAACACAAACAACAACACCCACATAATAATAACAACCTCCTACTACTACTCTTCAAAACTCTCGTTTCTTCGTTTTCATCATCATCATCATCATCAACAACAAGAACAACAACACGATCGATGGGAGACACGACGGAAACGACGACTGTCAGAAGCAGAAGAAGAAGAAGAAGAAGAAGAGATGATGGAACGCCTTTTGAGACGGAGGAGGACTCGAAGGTGGTCCTTGAATTGTTGAAAGAACTGTGTGCGTTTTCAACAACAACAACAACACTGACAGCATTAAACCAACGAGAAGGAGTGGTGAAAATCGTCGACGAGGACAAGGGCTGGAATAGTAGTAACAAAATACGGATAGAAGATTTAGGCGAGACGGATAACTTTTTGTTTTCTAAACTCGCCGTCGCGTTTAGCTCGTTATACGTGGAAGCGAAACGCTTGGAAAGTTTGAGCCAAAATGTGATTTTACCGAACTTGATATCTTTCGGGTGGTTTCCTCCTCCTCCCAAAGCCGTCGATAAAAAGAACAACAACAACCAGGAAAATGATGAAAGTAGTAGGAGTAGTAATAATAATAATAACGACAACGCCATGTTGGCACAGTTTACGAAAAATCTGACCGTGCTGCAAGACTCGGTGATGTTTCGGGACCAGTTGAAAGCTGTCGCGGTGAACGCCTTTCGACAGTTGGAGTTTCAATACGCGGACGAGTCGGTGGAGGAGAACAGACCGCTGAGTCACGTGAACTTGACGATAGTTTTTGAGACTTTAACGATGTCTTTAGCCATGGCGTGTAAAATAGACGAAGCGATAGCCTCGAATGGGCATTTACGACGGTCGTTCCAAGCGATGAAAGTAGCCGTGAAAGAAGCTTTAGCAGAGGAAGAAGAAAAAGATGAAGAACGAAAGAAAAAGTTACTCGCTTTGAAGAAAACTACGGAAACGTTAGAATTTGAGCTGTGTTTGAAAAGCTGCTTCGAAACCATCGTGAGAGAGATTATAGATGAAGACAGTCGGGGTATTCATGGTAAAAGGAATGGAATAGAGGAGGTCCCTATGCGACTCTTACGGGCGTTGCACGCGTACGGTTTGGAAACTTTCGAAGCCGACTTTGTCTTGCGAAACGAGGTCGGCGTTTTAGCGTTGGGAGTTTTGTTAGTGCGCCTAGAACCGAACAGTTCAGACACGAGATTGATCGAAAAGATGTTCAAGCATATTTTTGCGGAAAATGTGCCTGGTTTAGCCGTATCTACCGGGATTGTGATTGATCCGCTGCATTTTCTCTTGGTACAACTTCCGGAAAGCGCTTTGCCTGCGAGTAAGAAAAAATGGCAAACGCACTTGGAAAATAAAATTTTACGGTTTAACGACATGAACGCGCAGCTCACGAGGATAGTTATCGATTTTATAGCCGAAGTGACGAGTTGGACGAGCGAATTCGAACGAGATATCTCCGATCGTACTACAGGAGGAGTTTCTCTTGAAACGCTCACGCGAGGCGTTCGAATAGCACGCGACGTAAAAGCCACTTTGGAACTTTTCCTTCACTTGGACAACACGTTTTCAAAAGATGCCGCAAAACAGAACAATATACCACAAGACAACAAAAGACGCGCTCGATTGCGTGCATATGGTCAACTCGCGGAGCTTTTAGAGACGACTCGTGCGTGTTATGCGTCCAAACAAAATGAACTTGCTTTGGAGGTAAAAATTAAAGCACTTTTTCTTCAAATTTAAAATTAACACATTTACCTACAGATTTCCCAAGTTTTTACGGAAAATTTACAGTCATTAGATTTAATTGTGGTACGTTGATTACTTTAAAATTCAAATTTCGTTTGGGAATAAAGTATTAATTAATTTTTACAAAAACAGAAAAAAGCAAAATCTAGTTTGCTCGAAGAAATTAATTTAGATGATCAAAAATCAGATCTATTAAGATCTGGTGGTCATGAAGGTATTTTATATGATGCATTAGATGCGTGTTTGCTTGCAGGTATGTATTAAATTAATCGCATGAAAAAAATTAAAAAATTAATTAATTATTTTTTTCCTCAGAACGATTATTGGCCGATGATTTCTTCAATTTCCCGAAATTAGGACTTTTAAAATTAACAACAGATGTTATTAAAACTATTAAAGTGAAAGAACGTGTTTTTTGGGGAAACATATCGCAGACATTTGAATATTTGGAGATTGTTGCGGATTTAGACTGCGCAATAAAAATTTCCTGTGATTCGTCTTGTTTGTTTAGCGTCGCCGAAGAAGCGTTACCGTTGGTGTTGAGTGATATCTATGCTCATTCGGAGCAATGTTATCGGTTACCGGCGATTGTGAACGCATTCGCGTCTCCGATGAAATATTTGTTGGCGGATGAAAAGATTGCGCGAGAGTTTGGGAAGGAAGTTGTGGTGAGAAGTTTGCGCTCTGAACTGGTCGAAAAGTTGGTACGAGAAATCGAGAGCGATTTGCGCGAAAACGTTTCGATGCAATGGAAACACAAGAGTTTTTCGAGTGTTGAAGGGAATAAAAGCGCGTATGCACACGTGTTCCTCGGTATACCGCCGTTGGACGCGAGCGGTGGTGGTGCTGCTCTTTTCTCCCTCAAACAGGAAGTTCAAGCTGATTTGGCCAAGTTGCTCTATGAAAAGGCAGCGTCGTCTCGCAGCGAATGGAAAATGTATTCTGAAATTCGAAGCATTGCATTGGCGAAGTACGATTTGGACTTATCGGAAATCGATGAACTTCCTCCTGCGGCGACAACTTCCGTGAAAGATACTACCGGCGCGAACACAACTGCCATCGACGTGTTGGACGTCGTTCGAGACATTCGCTCGTTTTGTGTTCGATATAACTACAATATGAACGCGCAAACGTTCATCGAAAAATCTTCCTTCGCGAAGGAAAAGACTTTGTTGAGTACTTTATCCATAAAGCGCGTCTCAGAGTCCATCCGAACGCACGGCACTGGGGTTACCCACGCGGTCATAAACTCCGTCTATCGGTACCTCGCCCAAAGGTTCCAAATATTTTCGCAGTTTCTGTACGAAGACCACGTGAAGTCTTTGCTTCAAAAAGAGAAACAAGCGCATTCGGAGGAGAAATTCGAAGAATATCCCGTCGTTCGAGGCATTCATTTTCTCCATGAAATGCGGAAACTCGGGGTTGCGGACGATGGTCTCAGTTTCCTGGATCAGTTTCGAGCGCTCTTGAGTGAAATGGGAAACGCTCTCGGCTTCGTGCGCATGATACGGCTCGGCACGATGCGTTATTCCTCCAAAGCGAACGAGTTTGCCACGCGAACGAAATTTGAGAGTGAAGAGAACAACGACGAGAATGAACATCCAAACTTTGAGTCTCTCGCTCGAGAATCCACGTTTCACGACTTCACCGTGAACGCTTCCAAGCAACTTGACGCCGAAATCGAATCTCTGCGAAGTAACAGCACGGAGGGCACCGATTATTTCGAAGTTTTGACGAACATATTCTCGAGCGAGCTTCAAAGCGATACGAACAAGCACCTGAACGCTTTCTTCTTGATCGTTCCGGCGTTATGTCTCTCCAACGTCGACGCCATGTACGTTTCCAAGCAAAAGCTTCAGAAAGCGTCGGAAACGGTCGCGTCGCCTTCGTCCTCAAAAATCGAAACTCAAATGCTCCTCAATCAATCGTGTTTCACCGACGACGGTTTCGCGTTAGGCATCGCGTACGTCTTAAAAGTCTTGAACCAAGACTCAAATTTTGATGCTTTGCACTGGTTCGAAAGTTGCGAAAGCTATTACCGTTCCGAGAAGGTGGACACCGCGAACAAGGCGGAAGAAGAAGAAGAACGCGCTTTGCGATTGAAAAGAATCGAACAGTACGAGAGAGAGTTTCGCTTGTTAGAGTTCACTTTCGCGGGTTCGAGAGCGTTCTTCTCTTCAGTCGAAGATGAAGAAGTTTAATACGTAAGAGAGATGGTACTATTAGTAGGAGATGCTTGATGAAAAAATTCTTCAAAAAATTTGCCTAAAACGCCTTCCTTCCCTTCATGATTGTTATTATCCAGACTCCACAACTTTAGAGCGCTTTATTATAATTTTACACAGGAAACACACACACACATGGCTGCTCTTATGACTACGACTATAACGACGACTGCGAGTCGTCGTCAACACGCACAACTCGCGTCGTTTGTCGCGTCCAACAACAAACACGGAAGAAGAAGCGGTCTCCCCGCGCAGCGAAAAGCAAAATCGTCTCCATTTGCCGTCGCCGCCAAATCCGCAGAAGCCGAGGTCGAGGAAACGTTAACTTTGAAACCAATCAAGAAAATTGATGGTACCGTTCGCCTTCCCGGGTCGAAGTCCTTATCGAACAGAATCCTACTCTTAGCCGCTTTGGCGGAAGGGACGACGAAAGTCGAAAACTTATTAGATTCCGACGATATCCGATACATGGTGGATGCGTTAAAAGTCCTAGGCTTGAGTTTCACGGAAGATCGAGCGAATAACGTTTTGGAAATTACCGGGTGCGGTGGGAAATTTGAAAAGACCGATAAAGAAGTCACGGAGTTGTTCTTAGGAAACGCGGGGACGGCGATGCGGCCGCTGACGGCGGCGGTGGCGGCGGCAGGCCAAGGCACGTTCGTTTTGGACGGGGTGCAAAGAATGAGAGAGAGACCGATTCAGGATTTAGTGGACGGGTTAGTCCAATTGGGTGTAGACGCGGAATGTACCATGGGAACGGGATGCCCACCGGTTAGAATAAATTGCAAAGGGTTACCAGGAGGGAAAATCGAATTAGGCGGGAACGTGTCCAGTCAATACTTGACGGCTATTTTGATGTCCGCGCCGTTATCGACCGGAGCAGTGGAGATTCAGGTCGTCACCGAGTTGATTTCGAAACCGTACGTGGAAATGACTATTAAATTAATGGAGAGATTTGGGGTGAAAGTGGACGCGGCGGAAGATTTGCAATCGTTCAAAATCCAAGGCGGGCAAACATATAAATCGCCAGGGTCGATCTTTGTGGAAGGCGACGCGAGTTCGGCGTCGTACTTTTTAGCGGGAGCGACTATTACCGGCGGTAAAGTCACCGTCGAAGGGTGTGGTCTCGATTCCATTCAAGGCGACACGAAGTTTGCGTACACAATGGAACAGATGGGTGCGACTTTGGAGTGGACGGCGAACTCGGTCACGTGCACTGGGCCGAAAGATGGGAAATTGAAAGCAATCGACGTGAACATGAACGCCATGCCGGATGCCGCGATGACTTTAGCAGTTGCCGCATTATTCGCGGACGGAACCACGACTATCCGAGACGTCGCTTCATGGAGAGTGAAAGAAACGGAAAGAATGATTGCTATTTGCACGGAAACTAGGAAGCTTGGGGCGGAAGTCGTTGAAGGAAGCGATTATTGCGTCATCACGCCGCCGAAGGGCGGATTCAACAAAGGCGTCGCTATCGATACATATGATGATCACAGAATGGCCATGGCTTTTGCTTTAGCAGCGTGTGGTGATGAAAATATTATCATCAACGACCCGAAAGTGACAAAGAAGACATTTCCAAACTATTTCGATGTCTTAGCGACGGTTGTTGAGAACAAGTGATGAATACGTTTTATAAATACGGAACTACTACAATTTATAATAATGACAACTACATATAATCTACTAATGTTATCCTCTACTTTATATCATCACGCAGCAGGCGGCGGTTGCTCCATAGTCTGCGCGTTCAGCTCTGCAAACCTCACCGACACTCGCGCGCTATGTTTCAGAAATTTTTCGCAGCACTTGCTCACGCACCTCTCCTCGTCTTTTTCCAAAGACTTCCTTCGGAAACTATTCACGCACTCGCTGAAACACTTCTCGACTAAATTGTTGTACATTCTCAAACTATAATATAATACACGTCGTACGCGTGTTGTTAAGAGGAGGGAAAGTCAGTAAAACTCATTCGTTACATTACTTTCGCGCGAGTCTAGCGAATTGGATTTTGGATTTTCAGATAACGAAGAAAAAATGACGGCTGATGGTAAAGAGAAAAAAAACTCGTTATGCTGCTCGTGTTCATCACTTCTAAACTCGTCGCCTTACCTATCTCTCGTTTGCATGGTTTCAATCATGGCGACCATTTTGGTCTTATCCTCTTCCGGTAAAGAGTTCAACAGTTGCGGATCCATTTTTATTCTTGTAATGTGTCTTTGTGCGTCTTGTGTGTCTTGTGTGTAAAAAAGTGCCGAAGGCTAAAAAAGCGATTGATTTTTGTTTTTTTTGCTCCCTCGTCTTTCAGTTTTTTTTTTCTTCGTGCAAAGCTAAAAAGCGACAAAAAATCTCGGTGGAAACAAGGAACATGCTTCCACTTCCTACCACGACGACGACGCATCATCATCATCATTATCATCATCGAGATCATCATCATCTAGGAGAAGAAGGACACCACCAACAGTCGACGTCGGATTCGGAAGAGATGGCGTTCATGGCGTCCCAGTTATTGGACGGTAACACATAACTTTTTTTTCTCTTGGACTTTTCTTCTCTCTCGTATTTTTTACAACTGAATAGAATACCTGACATCTCTCTCTCTTTCTTCTTTATCTTCTTCTTCTCTCGCAACGACGACACATCAGACGACGGGCCGAACATGAGAGAATACGAGGACACGCACAGGGTATCGCACGCGTGTTTACCGTTGATTCCTACCGCGAACGATTGGCATACTGCCGTGGCGGTGTTGGCGACGAGCGAACAACAGCAACACCAACAACAACACAAAAAAGGACGTAAGAAAACGACTTCTCCAAGAAGAGAAGAGGGAGGAAAAGAAGAAGATGAAGAAGAAGGAGCGGAAGGTTTGAGAAAGAAGACGAAGAAAAAAAGAAAGAAGAACGAGGGGGAAGCAGAAGATAAAGATGATGAAGAAGAAGAGGACGAGATTGAGAAGGTTGACGCGGCGACGCTGGCGGCGAACATGAAGAAAGTGCCTTTGATCGAGAGAGATGCGAGAGGCGGCGGCGATCCAAACTTTCACGGGTTGAGAGAAAGCGGGGAAGAGCAGGGGCGACAGGAGCAGCAGCAAGAACATGAGCAGCAGCAGCAACAGCAGCAACAACAACAAGAGAAAGAAGCGACTCCGCCGCACTCGTCCAGGTTTCGCGGCGTGACGAAACACAAACGTTCCGGTCGATGGGAAGCGCACATCTGGATACGAGATTCGAAGAAACAGGTTTACTTGGGCGGCTACAGCAACGAACAGCACGCCGCCGAGGCATTCGATCTCGTAGCGATGAAGTGCAAACTGATGAAGAACGGGCGCAAAATCAAGTTGAACTATCCAGCGTCGAAATACCAAGACTTACAAGGCTATTTACTTTCCACGCCTCTCGAAGAGCTTATAATGGCGGTGCGTCGCCAGTCCCAAGGCTTCGCTAGAGGCTCTTCGGGCTATCGCGGAGTGACATTACATCCAACGGGGCGTTGGGAGGCGAGAATTGGATTACCTGGCGGGCAAAAACACGTCTATCTCGGCTTGTTTGAAACCGAGGTCGAAGCCGCTCGCGCGTACGATGTAAAACTCGTCGAGTTGCGCGGTCCCTCGATGGCGACAAATTTTGCGATATCGAACTACGCGGAATCGATTAAACTCTTCTATGAGGAAAATCCTGCCGCTGTAAACGAGAGTACCGAAAGTACTCCCTCGCCGAAAGAGGCCAAGTCCAAGAAAATGAAGAGGAAGCCTGCTCCTCATTGATGATCGAACGCGTAAATCTTCTCGTCACTTGATCCGTCCTTGATGATTATTTTTACTACTGCTACTACTACTCTACTACTACTGCTACTCTAACTATCACTACGTAAACTCATTCCTCATTCACATCGAGTCTATTCCGATTTCATCTAATATGATTTTCAACTCTCTGGAGAACGCGTGCACTGGAAATCCAACCACGTTGAAGTAATCGCCTTCGATACCTTTCACGAACGAAGACGCGTACCCTTGTATCCCGTACCCTCCGGCTTTGTCTGTCCACTCGTTCGTAGCCAAGAACGCGTCAACTTCTTTTCGTTCTATTTCGGCAAAGTTCACAACAGTCGTTTCCGAGAAATGTTTCAGTTCAGGTGTAGTCTTCTCGTTCGTATTATACGCTATGCATACGCCCGTGTGCACTTTATGTGAATTGTTCGAGTGTTTCTCCATCATCGCTCTCGCGTCTTGAATGTCCCTCGGTTTTTCTAATATGTTCCCGAAACTTTCCACGACCGTATCCGCAGAAATCACGATGAGATTACTCTTCTTCTTTTGTTCTTGTTCTTCTCTCGTCGTTCGATGATAAACCTCTTTCGCTTTCTCCCTGGCGGTACAAATCGCGTACTCGTGCCCCTTCACTCCTTCTTTAGAAATATTCTCCTCGAACGTGGAAGCGACGACGTCGAACTCGATCCCCAGGTTTCTCAAGATTTCCTGTCTGCGAGGACTTTTCGAGGCGAGCACGACGCGCCATTTCGTCGACGCGTTCAGTGCGTTTATGTATTGTAATATCATTTGATATGATTTTGATGTCTCACGAGTCGTTCGTACAAGACAAAACAAGACAAAAGGGGTGTTGGTTGTGGTTTAAAACCAACAACGAGAAGAAGAGGTTTTGTTTCCTCTTTTCCTCTTGCGAAAAGCTGGTTGTGCGAAATTTAGGTTTCGGCTTTCTGCTTTGCTTTTTCACAAAAAAAGAAACTGTGAGTGACTTTTCATCACACTGCTTTTTCGTCGTGTGTTGTGTCGAATCGAATTGACTTTTCTCTAAAATCACTAATCTTCATAGTAATATTCGTTCTTCTAAACCTGCGCACACCACCACATCCCTCGCATTAGTGGCCCACACACCTTCAGAGAGAGCGGGGAAAAGAAGATGTCGTCCGATCGACTTCAGCTCTCGCTTCAGAAACGCTTAAACGCGTGCTTAAAAAAACCGGAAAACATCGTCTGCGCGGAGTGTCCGTCGCGTTTACCGCGATGGGCGAGCATGAACTTGGGGATTTTCATATGCACGAACTGTTCGGGAATCCACAGAAGTTTAGGCGTGCACATTTCGAGGGTACGATCGACGCAGTTGGATAAGTGGACGGAAACGCAGGTGGAGTACATGGAACGCATGGGAAACGTAAGAGCGAATGTGTTTTGGGAGAAGAATTTACCTCCGAATGTGAAACCGACGAAATCGGATTTGCCAACCGTGGAGAGGTATATTAGACAAAAGTACGAGAGGAAAATGTATTGCGATAAAGAGACGGATGGGCCGGTGCCGTTGCCAGCAGGAGGTGGTGGCGGCGATGGAGTAGCAGCTGCTTCCCCGCAACAAGCGCAGCAGCAGCAGCAACATGAACAACAACAACAACAACAACCGCGACTGTCGGCGGCGGCGGGACTCTTAGACTTGTTCGGCGATATGCCGGCAGCACCGGCGCAACCACCAGCAGCAGTAGCAAATACTAGTAATCAAAATCTAGGAGCAAATTGGATGGATTTTGGGAGCGCACCGACGAGTACGACAGCGGTGCCAGCAACAGCAACGAACGACGACGATTGGGGGGATTTCTCCGCCGCTCCGGCGCCGACTTCCACAACGCCGACGCCGACGACTGCGGCGCCTGCGAATGGTGGGGTGGACATGTTCGCTGGTTTCGACGTAGCTCAGCCGCAGCCATCATCATCAACAACAGCAGCGAAAGTAGATACCACTGCCATACCGCCGAAAAATGTAGCGTCAAAAGAAGACATCATGGGTTTATTCGACGCGGCGCCGCCGTTGATGCAGCAGCCGCGACAGCCGCAACACAACATGATGATGAACGGGGTCATGCCGCATCAGCAGCAGCATCAGCAGCAACAACAACAACAAATTCCACCAATGGGTAATGGTATGATGATGAACGGCGGAGTGCCGCAAATGATGATGCAACAACAACAAAACGTAATGGGCGGAGGCGTGCCGCAAATGCAACAACAGATGGGAGGATTCATGGGAGCAGGCGCGCCGCAACAGCAATACCACCAACAACCGCATATGATGCAAGGAGGAGGATACATGCAACAACAGCTACAACCACAACAGCAACCGCTTCCTCAAATGCAAATGCAAAACATGTACGGTGGTATGCCTCCTCCTCAAGTGCCTCCTCAAATGATGTATAATCAGCAACCTCAAATTCCTGCGATGCCGCAAACGCAACAACTGAATCCGAACGCGCCGCCTCCAATTTCCTTCGATACTTTCGGCATGCCTTCGTCGACGACGACGGCACAATCTGTGCCATCGCCGAAAAAAGAAGATCTGTTCCCCGATTTGAAATGGTAAAGTAGAGGGAAACACGTAGTTAAGAGAGAAAGAGAGAGAGAAACACACAATGAAACTTGTTTTTTTATATTAGTAGATATAATTGAAAACCACAAACAAACACACAAATATTTTCTAGTCTTCGTCTTCGTCGTCTTCGTCCCACTCGTCTTCATCCTCGTCTTCATCGTCGTCTTCGTCCAATCCAATCATTTCTACCGTTTTCTCTCCTCTCGCGTCCAACGCTTTAATTCGTTCTCTCTCTTTCTGCGCTTTCAACTTTCTCTGTTCTTCCGCGCGTTTCACCAGAAGCTTTTCGCGTTCGCCTTTTTCTTTCGATTCCACTTCAGCTTTATATTTGAGTAAAGCGAAAACCCCACCGATGGCTGCCGCGACTGTCGCAGCTAATCTTAAATACACGAATTTTGACTTCTCTTGAACGTTGTGCGTTTTCAACATCGTCACCAATCTTTGCGGCAACGCTCCGCTCATCTCGTCTATTTTCTCTCCACTCTTCCAAATTTGGTACGTCGGTATCGCTTTCACTCCGCACGCAACTGCCACATCCGGGACTAAATCCACGTCCACTTTATACATTTTAATTCGATTATACTCCGCCGTTCGCGATATCGTCGACATGTACGGTTGCATCCCTTTCGATCCCATGGATGTGGAAGACGCAAACTCCACCAACACGATTGAATCTTTCGCTTTTCGTAAGATTTTCATCCACTCTTGTTCGTTGGTGATGTTTTTTATTCGCGATAAAGCGACCATCTTTCGCGCGCCTCCGGCTCTTCGGACGCCTCTTCGCGACATTATATGTTATTCTTTCGTGTCTTTCTCTCTGATACGTCTCTGTCTCTCTGATACGTCTCTTCTGCAAGAAGAAGAAGAAGAAGAAGAAGAAGAAGAAGAAGTGAGTGCGTGGGATATAATAAATGCGGCGAATTATCCATCAGCAGCACGAAAAGCCAAAAAGAAAGAAAAAGGAGGAGAAAAAAGAAGGAAGGAAAAAGAAGGAAAAAAAAAGAAGGAAAAAAAAAGGTTCTCGATGAAAGAAGTCACACAAAGAAGAAGAGAAGAGTTTTGAATCACCATTTTCTCGTCGGAAAGTTTGTGTCTGCAGACGCGCGTTTGTTTATTAGTAACCTCAACACGCAGGACAGCACACAAACAGAGAGATAAATATACACGCAACAACACGTATTAAACATAAAATGAGCGAAAACGATGGAGGAAACAACCCCGAGGATTCGGACTCGGGTGACGAGTATTCGGATTCGGATTTACACGCCGGTGGGGTCTCGGACACGGAGAACGACCAAGCGGTCATCGCGCAAGCGATGTCGGCCGAGGCGACTTTATCCGTGGACGTTGGGTCTTCGCTCACCCACCACGATTGGGCGGACATCGATAACAGCGATTTAGTCGCCAAAGTGAGAGGTTCGGCTGGGTTTCGAATCATGAGAGAGATTCAACCGTGGGACGGGGCGGCGTCTTCATCCGCCGCAGCAACGTTGTTGGATAACAAGGTGTTTGAGTATTTTTACGTGCAAAGGAAAGACTCGGACATGTTTAAGAAATTGGTCAAGGAGTGCTTCCCGAAAGAGTACGAACAAGCCTCCTCGGATAAAGAGGAGAAGAAGAGATTGCAGTCCATGTGGGCGCAACAAATCATGGACGAGTTGAAAGGGATGAGAGAGTACGCGAAACATACCATTCGATGGTTGACGGCGATAAATAACGCGCAAGCGGGAGATTTGTTATTTTTGAAGAGGGAGGCGTTGATGAATGGAGAACACTCGATTCAGTGGAAAGCGGCGGCTATCGTCTGGGAGAGCGTATCGAATAGGATTAAAGATCAAACGTTCGCGGCGATGCACGCGTGGACGAATAAAACTGGAGCGCAATCCGGAGGGGTGCCGAGAATGTATAAACATCAGCACGAACTTTTGGAGGTTTTGGATAAGCATTACACGGTTACTGAACAGGCTGTGGAGAGTGGAGGGAAAATGCCGTTACCGTTGCACGTGATTTTAAGCACACCGACTGGGTCTGGTAAGACGTTTACCGCGGTTCTGACGTATTTGCGTCTGATCAAGCAAAAGCATAAAGACGTCATCTTGTTGTATTCCGTGCCGACGAAGCAGGTTTTGAAGAGAGTTGGCCAGGAGTGCGAAGCGCACGCCGTGCCGTATTGGACGGCGGCCAGAGATAATACCGGTGATGGGACGATGACGCAAGTCAGAAGACCGTATTCTATCCGAGATAAGGCGAGGAATAAAAAAGCTGTGAGAGCGGCGAGGGCCATCGGAGAGAAAGTTTCAGCCGGTAGCGGCACGGTGGAACAACAGCTAGAATATGCCGCGGATATTGGTTTCAAGTTAAAAGATCATGGCGCGGGGAAGCCAGATATTATCATTGCAGATTTGAATACGACGGCGAGAATATTAGAAGCGGCGAAGAAACAGCCGGAATCGAGTTTTTATAACCAATCGAAAATTTTGCTCTACTTTGATGAACCGAATATGGGAATTCATTTAGACCCAAAGGTTTTAGGCGTCGTTTCAAACATTCAAGCGAATATGCCGCACGCGGCTGTGCTAGCTTCTGCAACGCTGGGCACGTGGGATACGTTAGAAGATTGGTGGAAAGGCCCGACGGAGGCGAGGAGAGACACCATTGAAATGGCACCGTACGAGTTACCGATGTCGAAACTCGCGGTGTTTAACCAAGCGACGAATGAAATTTCTACGATTTCTCCGTTTGGGATGTTCAAAAACTATGGTGAATTCCAAAGAGCTATGAATGATATTCGCGTTCCGACTTTGTTGTTGAGGCACATGTCCGCCAAGCAAGGCAACGAGTTATTAGGCATTGATGGTCCGGAAGCGGCATGGGAGAAAGTCTACGGGGACGTCAAATCGTTACGATTGGCCATCGAACCAAAGATGAAAACCATTCCGCAGCCTGATTTCGAAAAGTATAAAGTTCGCTGGGCTACTGGAGAAGGTGCGCCGAAGAAAGTTGCCGGCATTCGAGATGCTTTAAGTAAGGAAGGTGTGACTATGGTTGGTTGCATCAACCCGAGGAAAACGGCGTTGGAACTCGCCGGTTTCGAAAACAAAGAAGACTGGCAAGCCGCCGTGCATAAATTGAATTCTAAATTGAAAGAAGCCGAGAGAATGTTAAAAGAAAACGCTAAGGCTGAAAAACGAGCCGCGAAGAAGAAAGGCGACGCCGACGATGAAAACCCAGCCGATGCCGGGGACGACGTTCAAGTCGGATTGGTCACCTTGAGACCGATGTTGAAAATCTCTTTAGCAGAGGCGTTGGAGTCGGACATCGACACTTTGGTCATGTTGTCCCGAGGCGTCGCGTACGCAAGTGGTAAAGGCACGGAGACTATGGTAAAGCGATTGTATAATCAAGCGTTGTTGACGGTACCGGATTCTTTGAAGGGAAGGTCGCCGCCGTTGAACGTGCTTGTTGTCGATTACTCGTCTATTTACGGTACCGATTGTCCCGCCGTGGACACGTTACTCTTGCAAGAAGAGCTCGGAAGATTACTTGCCTGGGAAGATTTGCAACAGTTTATCGGTCGTCTCCGTCGCGACGGTTTGTGTATCTTCTTCTCCTTGGGGACTTTGCGAAAAGCCGTGTTGGGTTCGCACGTCGAAGCCGAAGAAATTCAGAAAACAATCAACTTTCAGAAAGCGGTCGAAGAGACAACGTTGAAACTCGTAGAATCGAAGAAGTACGACAGTGCATCGGTAAAAGGAGCTTTGGAACCATTAGCCGAACAGTTTGGTAGGCGTACGGGAGAAGCTGGCGCTTTTGCCGTAATTGCTCTCGCGTGCCTTTCGTTGAAGCCACAAGACATGCCAGATTCCGATAAAGAACTCTCCGCGCAAATGGTCAAAAACGTCGAGAAATTTAGTGAAGCTTTAGAAAAAATTATCGGGAAGAAACAAGACCAAATCAGTTTGGTTTCCATTCTTGAGTCTCTCGCGTGCTCGCAAGCCCCATTTGAAGGTCGAACAGGGGGTGCCAGAGTTTTGGGATGCGCAGCATCGTTTCTTAAAGGGATATACGACGCCGACTTGCTCTCTGAAGATGGTATTTTCGCGTGGGCGAATCAGCGGGCGAAAGATATTAAGAACGATCCGGACGCCGATCAAAGGTTCTTTATGAAAGTGAAACCATTTGTGCAGTGGTTGCAAGAAGCCTCGGAAGACGAGGAGTCGGACGAGGAGTAGATAAGAGCACAGAGTAAAAGGAGAGTAAAAATATTTAAATTCAACCAGTAATAATCAATAATCAATACTTATTATGAATCAACAACGCGCGTTCAGCCTAAATCTATTTTGCTCTACTATTTCTACAGCGCAATCGGGGAAGGTCCACGATGCGTCACACGAACACTTAAACCAATCGCATGTTCTTGTTGTCGTTGTTCTTTTTGTTCTTTTTCTATGCCATCCATCCAACGCTTCAGAGCTTCTTTGACGAGCGCGTCTTCAATTAGACTTTCAGGATAGGTGAACCCATACATCACCTCGTCCTTGTCGTTTATGCATTCGACTTTCACCAGCGAACACAAAGAAAGCTTTCGTGCGGTGACGTTGGCGATCTGCTCTTTTTCCTCCTCGCTTTCGTATTTCTTATTCGATCCGTAATAATACAAAATAGGATACCCAAGCATCCATCCGACGAACGTTTGTGGAGGTATGGCGCCTTCGCCGAGATCGCTCTCGTCGATATTCACACCTGAGTTCGAGGATATTTTCGCACGACAAGCGGTCATAACCGTAATCTCTAATGGTGTCATTTTTCGAGCGCGCGCGTTTTCTTGGTCTAAATCCACTAAAATTGGCATATCGTGAGACAACAACTCCTCATCTTCCCCTAATGTAACGAACACAACCGTGTCGAGAATACTACAAACTTTCAAAAGCACTCCTTCTTCTTCCTCTCCTCCTCTTCCGCGCGACCGCGACAAAGGTATTAAAACGTCTTCATTTAGCTTTTTAGATATCAATTCTATGTCTTCTTTCGTCATCAATGGTGCGTAATCGAGCATAAACGCCGGGCGAACACCCCTAATTACAGATACGAAATCTCTCGAGAGTTCTCCCTTCGCTTTGGAACCAAACTTTTTCTTCTGTATTTTTGATTCATCTGTGAGACAGTCGAGGAGACTCTCAACTCTCGAGAGAAGCCAAAGATCGTCTGCAAATGCGCCCGGATGCATCTCTTCTTCTTCTTCTTCTTGTTGTTATTATTTTATCGTTATCATTATTCACCTATTCTGGTGGCGTTTGAGGAAAGAATTTTTTCTGGCGAAACACACACATTTGGCTCAAATCTACTCATTTTATTACATAAATATTCAACTACTCTGGGCGATGTATAAAAAAATATCATTCTTACTTTTACTAACCGTGCGCGTGACTCCCACTCCCGTGTCTGCTCGAGCTTCTGTCTCTGGCATACGCCCAGTGTCGAGGCGGTCGACATCCACCGAAGGACTTGGAACACGCCGGACACGATTTCTTCCTCTCCGCGTACGTCTGTTTCGTCAACTCTCTCTTCAAATCTTTACCTTTCATCTGTAAAGAAGTCGCTCGAAAGTTTGATAAATCTACGCTCGGCATTCCAGCTTCGCTTTTACACTCTTGGCATTTACTCTTGGACTCATGACACTCCACCACGCACGGCTCGGCAAATTTTACGAGTTTCTCCTCGGCGAGTTTCTTCACGACGAACCACTCGGCGCCGTCTCGCTCGCCGTTGGCGGGTTCATCGCACGCGTCGTAGTAGTGATACAAGGCACCGTGTTCGCTTGAAACTTGAAAACCAAATAAGTTCACCTCGTGACATCTAGATAACGCTATTATGATTCCGTATAAACCGCTCGTCGGCATGAAATTCAAAGAGTGCGCCATGTGTTCGACGAACCCTTGATCGAACGCAGCCATTTTAATGGACTTGTCGCCTTTCTTCGTTTTAATAAACGCAGCTAAAGACGCGTGAGATCGCATGTGTACTAACAACAACTCTTTCCCTTCTCTGAACGCCCAATTTTGGGTATTTGTAATCCTATGCGTTGTCTTTGATCCGGCGTGCGCTTCCAATCCACCTTTTGTTGGCGCCGAGTTGAAGCGAAATACTGCGTCGTGTTCATCGATAAACTTCCCGTTTTCGTAATTCAACAATATCCCGGACGATCCGACCACGGCGCATTTATTGTACACCTCCCCAACCGCATCGTTTTGCGGCATAATCGAAAGCAACTCTTGGTCTACTGGGCCTAACACTCGATGTCCTTTGTCCGCGTCCTTCTCCTTCCCGGGTAAAGTCACCTCGATGTTCTTCCTCTTCCCGGTGATTTTCTTGCTCATCGTAATCGACCCAGCAAAACCTAATCCTCTCTCAACTTTAGCTTTGATGTGTTTCCCTTTTAAAGGGTAAGCCCTCTCGCAATGGTCGCCTTGCCAAAGTTTCGCGCACAAACAGGTTCGCGTGGCTTTTTGACAGACGCCTTTCGGGTGATGACAAGCCGTCGCATCGTCCGGGTCGCACGAGGCTGAGGCAGAGGAGGAAAGTCCACTATTCATGCTATTCTTGCTGCTGCTATCATCTATGCTCACGACAATATCGTCGTTCGTGTGTCTATGCGTCGGCTCGTCTCCTTCCTCTGAAGTCTCTCCTTCTTCGCTACTTCTGCTACCCAACTCGTCGTTTGCATCATCAACATCCACATCTTCTTCTTCTTCTTCGTGATTTCCCGTCGTCGTCGCCCAAGTGGAAGCAGAGGATGAAGAGGAGAACCAAGAGGAGGAAGATGCGCTCGAGGAAGAAGAACTCCGACTCGCCGCTAAGTTTGGAAGTTGTTGTTGCACGCGATGATGATGATGATTAGGAGATACGCCTTGTGGAGGCGAATCGCCCAAAATCATAAACAAAACGTATCCGATACACACGGACAGAACGACGGCGACGAGTAATCTCCTTTTCGGTCTCGATTGAGGAATTTTCGGTATCATCGATGAGGATGACGACGACGAGAGAGACGGTGCCATGACTTGAGAGAGAGGGAAAACGAGAGGGAGACGGAGAGAGAGAGAGAGAGAGAGAGGAGTTTGTTGTTTACCTCTTTCTCCCTCGAGAAGTCTGACGTTTTTTTGAAGCGAACATATTTAGGTTTCAGGAGCAACGTTTACGAGACCGTTTTTGTGGATGGTTTCATTCAACGTGTGATTAAATTACAACAACAAAAATGTATGCGGACGTACTACTAAACACGTCCTCTCTCTCTCTCTCTCTCTCTCTCTCACTCTATTTATTATTATATTTCCTCCTCCTCCTCGTCGTCATCTAATTCTGCTTTTAAAACGACGCAACTTCTATCCAAAATGGTAAATCTGTTCGCTCGTAATTGCGGACGAACCATAGCTTCCGCGGTGAACCTGTCTTCGTCGGAGATGTCCTCGGCGCTGACGAAATCAAACGGCGTTTCCAGAGAGGTGTCTAGAACACATCTCCAGTGCAATCCGGCTGGTAACTCGGGTAAAGTGACCAAAATACTCTCAAAGTTGGCGTTGAATGCGACGTAGAACTTTTCCGGGTCTTCAGGAGTGTTGGCGGAGATGGTGTATGCTATAAATCGACTCGTTTCTTCCCAATCTGGTTCGTGCGGTTTGACGCCGTGCCATTGACAGTTGGCGTCGGTCGGGAAGTCCGGTAAGCGGAAGGCGCCGTGTTGAGCGCGAAATTCAGCCATTTCCGAGCAAAATCGTTTCAAACCATCGCCAGAGAGTGGGTCTAACGCTTGGTCCCAGTCGATGTAGTTTAAGTAGTTGTCGTGGCAGTACGTGTTGTTGTTGCCGTTTTTGGTGTGACCGTATTCGTCGCCCATGGTGATCATCGGAACGCCTTGAGAGAGAAACAACGCGCAGAAAAAGTTGCGCATTTGTCGTTCGCGTAAAGCGACGATGTTTTTGTCCGTAGTCGGGCCGTCAGCCTCCGGGCCACTGCCGCAGTTCCATGAAATGTTGTGATTTTCGCCGTCGTTGTTGTCTTCGCCGTTGAAAAAATTGTTCTTTTCGTTGTAGGAAACCAAGTCGCGCAAGGTGAATCCGTCGTGGCAGGTGACAAAGTTGATCGAGCTTTTCGGTTTCCGTCCAGAGGCGTGATAAATGTCCGGGGACCCGCACAAGCGAGAGGCCATGGCACCGACGAATCCGTCGGACCCTTTGATGAAGTTTCTGACGTCGTCTCTAAACTTACCGTTCCATTCGGCCCAGACGCCGTAGTGCGGGAACGTGCCGACTTGGTACAACCCGCCGGCATCCCAAGCTTCAGCGATTAACTTGACGTTACGCAAGACTGGGTCGTTGGAAATCGCGCGCAGCACGGGTGGATCTTCCAAATTTGTTCCGATTGGAATCTTCTGTAACGGATTCTTAGGAATCGGGTTCCCGTCTTGATCGTAGAGCACCTCCTCTTCGTCGTTATACGGCATCCCGTTCGTCGTAGAATCCGCAGAGTTTACGTTGTTGATGCCACTATTCGGTTGCGCGCTGGCTAACAAACTCAACTCTTCGGCCGTCGGACCTTCCTCGCCTTTATAATGCGACGCCTCTCTCGTCAAAATGCTCGCTAAATCGAACCGAAACCCGTCGATGTGGTATTCCTCCACGAAATGTTTCAACGAATCGACGATTAAATCTGCCACCATCGGGTGATTACAGTTCAAAGTGTTCCCGCATCCGGAATAGTTGTAGAACTCTCCAGTCGGAGCAGTCACGTAATAACTTCTGTTGTCTACGCCTCTGAAAGAAAGCGTCAATCCTTTTTCGTTCCCTTCCGCGGTGTGATTAAACACGACGTCCAAAATCACCTCCATATCGTTCCTGTGACACTCTCGAACTAACTTTTTAAACTCGTCGTTACTCTTTCGTCCGCAATCGGCTTCGCCAACTTTGGCGTATTTCGTCATTGGCGTGAAAAAGTTCACGGTGGAATACCCCCAAAAATTTCTCCTCAACTCGCCAGTTTCCGGGTTTCGTGTATTTTCGTCGGAATATTCCAACTCGTTAAACTCGTGAATCGGGAGTAACTCTAAGCAATTCACGCCGATTGATTTCAAATACGGAAGTTTGCCGATCATATCCTCGTACGTTTGTCCAATACCTCTCACGTGACCTTCGTAGATGGTTAAATCGGCGAGTTCGTACTCCGGCGACTCCACGCCTTCCCAATCGAACGCCTCATTCTCGGAACCTCTATTATACAAAGCTGGAACCCCGCTCGCGTATTGCGGCCAGTTCTTTTCCAAATCGTTTTCTGCTCGTTGATTCGTTTCCCCGTACCGTTCGCGGTTGCAACACACGTGCTTGGCGTACGGATCCAACACAATTTTGTTAAAATCAAACGCGTGCCCTGGTAACTTGGGACCATTTACTCGATAGCCGTACAAACACTTCTCGGACAAATTCGGCACTTCGACGTGCCAAATCACCGCGTCGTCCTTCGCTCTTTCCGTTCTAAAGCCACTTGTTGGGTCTAAATCAATCTCTGCCGTTATCTTTCCACTCTTAAAATCTTCCTCGGAATACAACACCAACGTCACATTTGTCGCGTTCTGCGTCCGAAGCGCAAAGTTCACGCTCTCGTTTTCCAACCTCGTCGCGCCCAACGGCGACGGTTCTCCGCAGGTCGGTTCGCCTCGGTTTAACGGAGTCTCCGCTATCGGTCGAAGTATATTTGTCGTCGATTTCGCTTTCTTAGAAGGAGGAGGAGATGAAGGCGTTTTCGTTTTTGATACCGTCGAAACTACTGCAGTTGTTTTCGAACTCTTCTTCATCTTTGGCGCAGGAGGAGGAGAAGGTGAAGGAGGAGGAGTAACAGGAGGAGGCGCTTTTGTGGCGACTGTCGAGGTTGTTTTCTCGTCTTCTCGAGGCTTTTCCCCACCAATGCCACCTAAACCAACCGCGGCTGGATTGTTCGGATCGCCAAACTTTGTCTTTCTCTTCGGCGGGGGAGGATCTGCGGCGATTCCGTTCATTTCCGCCGCGCGAGGAAAAAGTACTCGACCACCACGGATGCGTCTTTTCGTGAGGACGAGATTATGCGCGCTTTTTCTTCTTGGATAATAAAAAGTCGCCGCGAATCGATTATTCTTTAATTGATTCTTTTTCCCTCCTTGTACTCCTCCTCCTCCGCGCATCGTCGTTTGTATTCCCGCGTAACTGCTCGCGGCTGGAAAAACTATCATTCTTTCTTTCTTACTAATGAATGATGATGGAAACCACCGACCTTTTAGAGCAAAGCAAAGCAAAGCAAAGCAAAGCGGTTAAAATCTGAGGAATGAGTATAACGAGATTAGATGAGATGAGTTCACAAAAGAGAGAAAATTTATTGATTATTCCGCCTAAAATAAAAGGAGCCAAAAACACCAAGAACACAACGACATGAAGAGAGCTCTGTATTATTCACGAGTCTTTCGTAGTATTTATACTTACTAAGAAGAAGAAGATGGAGGAGGAGGAGGAGAACAACTTTGACAGTACTACTAATAACGACGCGACAACAACCTTCTTAGAAGAAGAAGACATTCGGTGACGACGGCTATTCTTTATTAGTAGGATTTCATACCATCATCGTCCTGGCCATTCGAATCGCGGCGCGAATGGCGTTGCCGGCGTACGCCACTCTCGTTTCCGCCTGCTCCGCGGTTGCCCCGGGACCGATGATGCCCATCCCTACCGGTTTGCGATATTCCAACTCCAACTGCTTAAAAATCAACGAGCACGTATTTCCCATCTCCTCGCCGTGTAAAGTGGAACCTTTTTCTATGTATCCTAAAACGCACGCCGCGTCGAGCGAGTCGTCCATGAGCATGTTTTCTAATATTAACGGCGCTTCGTACGTGCCCGGAACGAAGACGACTCGAGTGATTTCGGCGTTCATCGCCAACGCCGAGAGGCGCGCGTCTTCGAGCATGCGGTTCATGAGTTGGTCGTGAAACTCGCCGATGACGATTCCAAGCTTCACCTTTGTCTCTTCGTTCACATCGCCGACGTGTGAAATCTCACAATTCGTCCACTTCGACTTCTCTCCGTCGGTTTCGTGCGCGAACGTCACTTTCCCTCCCGGACTGTGAAACTGATACGTTTCCTGTATCTTCGCCGGTTGTTCTTGTTGTTGTTCTGATGATGATGATGATGATGATAAACGAAATCCTCTCTTGAAATTGTTGCCCTTTTTCGATGATGATGATGATGACGACGATGGTCTGTTGATACTATTGTTCGTAGTAGCACGAGTAGACGAAGATGGTAAGCTGGTGACTGATGATGAGTGTATGAAAAAAGGTAAAGAGTTGAGCATATTGACAAAGTGGAAGTGTTGTTGTAATAATGGGCCTTGTTTTTTGTGTGGGATGACGACGAGGTACATTTTGAGAAGAAGAAAAGATATGCGATTATTATGCTGTCTCTCTCTGTGTGTGTGTTATTACAAGAAGTTATTCTTCTGATTCTGATTCTGATTCTGATTCTGAATATAACTCTCCATCCTCGTATCGCCAACCGCGTGGTAATGGGCAGTTGTTGTCGAGGAGGTATTGTACACATTCGGTTTGGTTTTTCTCGTGTGCGTACAGTACGCTCCATTCGTCCCACGGCGCTTTGGCGGTTTCGTGTAAGTACTTCAAACAGTCTAGGTGACCTTCCTCGGCTGCATACCAACACGCCCATGCGTCATATTTATCAAACTTACGCTCAACAAGATATTCGAGTATGTGGAGATGACCATTTCGAGCCGCCCAAGGGGCAATTCTCCAATCCCACGGCGCTTTGACTTCTTCGCGTAAGTATTTGAGTACCTCGAGATGACCTGCTGAGGCAGCATTTGCACACGCAAACACATTGATAGGACACTTCTTTGCAACGCAATACTTTACCATTTCCATATTGCCTTGTTTTGCGGCCGCATTAATCGTCCCTGAATCCCATTCACACTTTTTCTCCTCTTGTATCCACTTGAGCAACTCGAGTTTATTCGTTTTAGCAACTTCCAAGCAGAAATCTCTTTCGCTCCAGTTACTCGGCCACAACGATTTATTCTCCCACGCAACTTCCAAAGTCGATATCGACGACATCTCGCTCACATCAAACCTCTTTTTCAAATCACCCGCGCGAGAGGATCTCTTAAGCAACTTTCTCGTTTCACTGTTCACCTCGTACAAGAATTTCACATCATTCGAATTCAATCTCGGAAGAATGTGATTGAAAGTTATATCGTCGTTGTTGACGATCACATCCCACAAATCTCTCTCACGTATTCGTCTCTTCTGCGCTGTCACTCCAAGAGGAGAAGAAGACAAAGAAGAAGAAGAAGAAGGAGAAGAGCGCATCATTTTCGTCGCTCGCTTTGTTATTGTCTTTGCAAATTATAACTTCTCTTCCTCTCTCTCTTTCTTTCTTTCTTTGTGCGCGCACATGTGAAGATTCTTTTTTTTTGCGAGAATGAGAAATTGAGACGTTTTTTGCCCCCAAAAATCTGGACCCCGAGACGAACGAGACGACTCTGGATCTCGTTAACAAAACGGATGATGACAACAAAACAAAAAAAGAAACGCTTCGGAAAAGTCACGCGGCTTCCACCGAGATTGGAATGGTATCAAGGGGTAGTCATCAAAGCAATTCAATTATTCTCTGAATGAACAGAAAATGGTTTTGAAGTGCGGGCCTTCGTGCTCGACCGCGCAGACTTATTGCTCGTCATCAACGTTGAAGAGTTCGTCAGTTAAAAGGAAACTGAAGAGTATCGAAAAGACTTTAGAAATAATCCATATTAAGTACAGTCGATAACCAATTAGGGTTTAGGAAGGTACATAGAAACTAGTGGTAAAACCCTAAAAAACAAAAATGAGAAGTTTCTCCCGCCACAAACGACGGCATAATAAATGAACCAAAACAACGAAGAAAAGTATTAGGAAATGAAGCGACTTCGGCGCCTTCTCCCTTCCTCCTCCTCCTCCTCCTCCTCCCAAAACGTCGTCGTCGCTCCTTTTATTACTTCTTCTTTTTCTTCTTGGTCTTCTTCTTCTTCGCAACATCATCATCATTATCATCATCATCATCACCGTCAAACACATTCGGTTGTTGAGAACGCCAACAACTTCGATGAAAGAAGAAGAAGAAGAAGAAGAAACGAAAGAAGAGACGATGATGCATCATACGACGACTACTGGAAGAAGAAGAAGAAAAAGGAAGTCAACAACAACAACAACAAAATTGTATCATCGCGTGGATTCGCGGCGTCTTCCTCTTCCTCTTCATCCTCTTCCTCTTCCTCTCCTGCAGTGAAGAATAACAACAACAACAACAACAACAACAAGGAAATAAACCCATATATAGCCTTAGCCCGTTTAGACAAACCCATAGGCATATATTTACTCGCCTATCCGTGTTTGTGGTCGATTTTACTCTCCTCGTCCACGGCTGCGATACCACCGGCGACGGAAGAAATAGCCGCCATGACCGCCTTGTTCTCCGCCGGCGCGGTGTTGCTTCGAGGCGCCGGGTGTACCGTCAACGACATTTGGGACAGAAAAGTAGACGCTAAAGTAGAGAGAACGAAAGATAGACCGATAGCATCTGGCAAGATAACGGTACCAAACGCGGTGGCGTTTTTAGGCGCGCAATTAGGATTAGGAAGCGTCGTTTTATACCAGCTCGATTTCAACACGCAGATTTTGGGCTTGATGTCTTTACCGCTGGTAGTCGCGTATCCTTTGATGAAACGCGTGACAAACTTACCGCAATTATTTCTCGGGTTTACGTTGAATTGGGGCGCGTTAATGGGATGGACCGCAATCACTGGGGGTGTTTTAGAAGCACCAGCTTTAGCGTTATACGGGAGCGGCGTGTGTTGGACGATGGTGTACGATACGATTTACGCGCATCAAGATATCGACGACGATAAGAAAATTGGCGTCAAGTCTTCCGCGCGATTATTCGAAAACAACACGAAAGGTATTTTGTCTACTTTTGGTATCGGTGCAATCTCTGGTTTACTCGCCAGTGGGTATTTAGCGGACGCGCATTGGGCGTTCTACCCGTTCCTTTTGTCCACCGCGGGGACGCATTTGTTTTGGCAAATATATACCGTCGATTTGAAGAACAGAAAGGATTGCGGAGACAAGTTCCGAAGCAACCAAACGTATGGAGGTTTAGTTTTGAGTAGCATCCTAGCCGCAAAAGTTGCCGAAAACGTTTTATAATGTTATTATTTCTCGTCGTCTTTAAAACAACAACTTGCTATTGATTCTGTCTATTTTTTCCTCCGCCTCTTCGCCGCCGCTCACTAAATACGCCAACTTTGCCTCGCTCAACAACCCGATTTTCTGAAGACTCTCACCGGCTTTCTCGAATTCATTCCTGCCAATCTCGTGCGCCCACTTGGCGGTGTCGTTACTCGTCATAAAAAAATGCGAGAGATGTTCGGAAAACTCGTCCGGGAGTTCTCTGAGCAGAGCCGAAACTCTTCTCGACGACGACGACGAATTGAATATCTTTTCAAAGACGTAAAACGCAAACCCGTTTTCGTTAAATGGCGCAGCATCTTCCGCCTTTAACGTTCGCATGTAGTGAAACAATCGCGCTTTTCCACCTTCCGCGTCGCAAAAAGTGAACAACTCGTCGTAGCCAAAGTGCGATTCGCACGTCGCGGCGACGTTTTCCGCGGGACACACGTGCGCCCGAGCGCAAAGAAGCAACGTCGGCAATATCAACGTGCGATCGCTTTTATACTCCATCAACGATCTCTCCGTTCTCGCGTAAAGAACGTTAGACGCAGAAGCGTCGAGTAAAGGTTGCGCCACCGTGAATAACGGGACACCAACGTCCAATCTCTTCCTCGCGTTGAACACGTCGATGGAGAATTTTGAAATCGTTCGCATGCACTCCCTCGCGCTCGCTTGCGACGTCCAGTTTTCTTCAACCGAAACTCTTTGCGCGGGATATAAATCCGACCAGCATCGTCTGTATTCGTTGGAACACTCGAGCGCGATAGACACGATTCTTGCCGCTTGATTTATGCACTCGTACTCGACGTCATCGGCTAAACGTTGCGTTTGTTGAGAAGCCTCTTTGATTTTCTGTTCGACAACCGCGCGAGTCGCGTTCCAAAAGACGTCTGAAAAGAACGACGAACGGCTGAAAAAGATATCGTCGACGTCGATAGCGTCATCGCGAACGAGACGAGTCAGCGTGTTGTCGCCTTTTGCTATGCCTTCCCCCGCAAATCGTACTATATCGCTGAGTAAACTTCGATGCTTTTCAGTTTCTTCCATCTTCAGTTGATCTAACAGCGCTCGCAACCGGAGCAACGCAAACGTTGTCTCTCCGTGTCTCAAGACTTCCATCTTTTCCGATGGCGTAGTGTTTTCCCACGCGCCTGAATCGACGAGAAACTTTGCGTATTTCTCGTGCACGCGCGCTTTTTCTTCCAACAACGTCCTTAATCCTTTACCACTTCTCGATGTTGCTCCTGCCCAGCGCTTCGGTAAGGTATCGACTAAAGCCGCCGAATGCGCCGCGAAAGGTTTCGTCGCTTTCGCAGGTCCCGCGATGGTTTGTTTTGCCGCGAGCTCTGCTATGCCTTCGTAATTGTTCAAATTTTCAAACGCATCTTTCACGAATCTCGCATCTGCTGCTCTCGCGCTATCGTCGTACGCGGTTGAGACGCTCGCGTACGGTGAACGCGGATTGTTGTCGTCGTCAAGCTTCATCTCGTGCGCTTCTCTTACTAACGGCGAAAACATTTGTTTGCGAACGTCTACGATTCGCGATTTTATGGGACTCGTAAACGGCTGCGCAGACGTCGCTTGCGGCGGTGACGCGTATTCTTCCGAATCCGGTGGCGAAAACGTCCACACGCACCTCGATGGATCGAGCGCCAAGAAGCTATTGTATTCGCGCAAACTTCGGCACACCGACGCGACGGATTCTTTCAAAACCATGGATTTATGAAAATGCTCTCCGTAATGACACGTCGCGTTTGCCTGTCCCCTAGCACCGCCAATGAAACTGGTATTACTGTACGTAACAATGGCGTTTCCATTTCTCGAGAGTGCAACTCTATCACACTCAGATGCCGCAATTTCAAAAGAGCGCACCAGATTCGCTTCGAGCGTCGATGCGGAAGACTCGCCGGTGTTCTTTGCCATTTCAAAGACGTGCGCAACTTTTGCAAACTGCAAAGACTCGCACAAAACGACGCTCAAGAATCTATTATTACTATTACTACTACCGATACGGCTACCATTCGGCACAGAAATCCAATCTGAATCTAAAACTTTGCTAAACGCGTTCGTCTTTGCCACGAGTTTCTCGTTTACGTCGCAACTGCACACCATCTCCGGCGTCATCACGGAAGAATCCAGCGAACACATCCACATTTCCATCGCTCCTTTCTCTTTAGCTACAAAGAACATCCTCTGAACCGTGTTCATCCCCGTATTTCCACCTCTCAAAGCCTCTCGCGACATCTCTGCCCACATCATCGCCACCACCGGTTGCTCGCTTCCGTTTTGAAACAGAAAGCTCCCAGCCTTTTTGGATATCTTTGACGCAATTCTCGCGGCAGCCGTTGACGGCGACGCCAAAAGCGACCCAGCTCCTCCTCTTCCTCCTCCTTCTCCTCCACTCCCACCCCCTTTCCTCGGAGTGGACGAATAATCGTATTCCGACCCGACCGTCAACTCCGGTCCTTCTCGTCTTTCGCACTTATCGACGACGCACCCTCTCACGGTATCGTCGCATCGAGCGCACCACACGTCCCCGTTCGCGTCGCCTAAAAGCGCGACCACGCCGCCGTCGCTCATGGCGGAAGCGATTAATGTCGTCAATCGATTATTGCTTCGCTCTCGTTCGCCGAAACATTTGCCGTGGATACTTTCCTCCCGTTCTTCTTCTGTTTCTTCTTCTTCTGTTTCTTCGAGGAGAAAACTGACAACTCCGGTTCTTTTCGACGCGACGACGCACACGCGTTTCTTCGCCGTCGTGGTCACGATATCGCAAAGAATATCGTCCACGTCGGCGTCGTCTGCTGTTGATGTTGATGATGAAACCATCTCGTTTTGAAACGTTCGCATCGTCCCTTCTTCTTCTTCCTCTTCGTCGTCGTTTTCCTTCGTCGCGGTTGAACGAGTACACGAAGCGATCGAGACGACATGTTGTCCGTTCCAATGCTTCTTCGTCTTCTCGTAAAGAAACGCGAGCGGTTGCTCCTCCTCTTCCTCGATTTTTATTCGAGCAGTAATAGCAGCAGAACTAGGACTACTACCAGGACTACTGCGACGAGTAAAAGCTTCCGGTAACGTAAACAGCGCTTCCATTTCTCCGTCCAAAAAGAGTGTCCTCGAGACTTGAACGAATGGAGCGCGTTGGTTCAAAATTTTGCGTCAAAACTTCAGTCTCGCGTTTCCCTACTTTGTGAGAACAACACTCACGCGCGCGAAAACGACGGAGGAGGACTTTTGCCCCGATGCAGAAGACCAAGAAGAAGAACAGTGATAAAATCGATCGTCGGTTTGAAGAACGAGTTTCACCCGGAAAAGGAGGAGGATAGATAACACAACTACGACGGCGTAACGACAGAAGAGACGATGTCCTCTTTGTTTGGGGATTTGCCCCCGATGATGATGATGAGCGCGAAGAATCAGAAGAAGAAGGAGGAAAAGGAAAGAGAAACGAAAACGATTTCAGAAGAAAAGATTTCAAACGCAACAACTTCCTCCTCGTGGGGGAAAAGAGAACGCGCGGTGGTGGCGAGTGCGACGACGACGAGAAAAGAAGAAGACAAAGAAGAAGACAAAGAAGACGTTTTTGGTGCGATGAAGGTGACGAGTACTGCGATGACGAAAAGACGGAGAGGAGTGGAATCCTCGATTGGGAGCAGCGACAGAAAGAAAACGATGCTCAACTTCACCCCGGAACAGATGAAGATGCAACAGTTCGCGTTGAGAGCGAAACACCGAAGACAAAAGCAAGAGCAGTTACAACAACAACAACAGCAGGAAAAAAATGGCGCGAAGACAACAACCCCTAACGGTAGTACGAAAGCAAACAACAACGCGCGAGAAAAGCGAGCCGGCGAATGGAGAGAAGAAGAGCAACGAGGTAACGATGGCTTCGTCGCGGGGTGGGACTGTCCGGATGAATACGACCCGTTCAAACCAAACTCCTACGAAGACGCGAAACTCCAACGCACGCGAGACGACGAGGAGAAGACGCGACGAGAGAAAGACTGGATGGAGAGAAAGAAGATCAAGGAGGAAGCGCGCGAAAAAGAGAAGAAAGAGAAGGAACAGGAAGTGAAGAAGAAAGAAAATGGTGGTGGGGGAAAAGGTATGTCCATGGCGATGAAACTGATGAAGAAAATGGGATGGGAGGAAGGTAAGGGATTAGGCAAGAATCAGGACGGCATCGACGCTCCGTTGGCGGTGAAGAAAGACGGGAGAGACACCGGCAGGATTGTTCAATCGAAAGCTCTCTTTTCTTCAAAATCGGAAAAGATAAAAGGAAAGACTAATGATCCTACTAACATGGAATAAATAGATAGATAGATAAATAGATAAATAAAGCTTTTATACAATAGGTCGTTCGTAGTTATTAGGTAGACAAAAGAGGGCAGACGACAACACCTTTCCCTACTTCTCCAAAACAAAACACGCGCTTGTGCACCGCGAGATATCATCAGATACTTTTGCTTGCGCTCAAACAACAATAACAAAAACAAGAGCGCTTCTCAAACGACGACGACAATGCGAGCGGTGGCATCTTCCTCGTGCTGCGCGTCGTCCTTCTCGAAACGCTTCCTTTCCTCGTCGTCGTCGTCTTCGAAACATTCTTCTTCTTCGTCGACGAAACAGTTACAGATGTTTACGACGCGCTGCTCTTCCTCCTCCACCTCAAATAATAATAACAACAACAACAACAGCGACGATTGTAAGGAGGACGCTAAAATGGTCAAGAAAGAACCGACCGTGCCGATAACATCGATGACGACGAGCAAAACGGCGGAGGTGAAAACTATCTTAGGTACCATGACGTTTGGGTGGAGCTACAGTTCAGAGGATATGGCAGAGAACGAGAGCGAGAAGCTGTTAGATTTTTTCATCGAAGAAGTTGAGAAAGGAACATCGTCGTCGTCGTCGTCGTCGTCGTCTTTGATTGAGTTGGACACAGCGATAGCGTACGCGGGAGGAAACACGGAAGAGATATTAGGTCGCATATTCTCTCGCATGCCGAAAGAGAAACTTTTGAAACTCTCCGTCGCGACAAAGGCGAATCCTTGGGGGGAGAAGATGGCAAGCGTCGCGGGGGAAGGCGGATTACGAGCGGAGAAGTTTCGCGCGCAGGTCGGAAAGAGTTTAACGGCACTCGATCCAAAAAGTATAGATATTTTGTATTTACACGCTCCAGATTCGGAGACGACTTTGTACGACGTGTTGGAGACCGCTCAAGGGTTGTACAGGTCCGGAGCGTTTAAGTATTTGGGTTTGTCGAATATGAGCGCTTGGGAAGTTGTGAGAGCGCACGCGATTTGTAAAGAGAATCAGTGGATCGTACCGACAATATACCAAGGGATGTATAATCCGTTGACTCGCCAGGTCGAGCCGGAATTGATTCCCGCGTTGAAGAGTTTGAACATGCGCTTCGTGGCGTACAACCCACTTGCGGGCGGGTTATTGACTGGTAAGCACGAAAAGTTATTGAACGCGAGCGGCGGCGGCGACGAAGGGATAAAAGCTGGACGATTCAAGAATAACGAGATGTACAAAGCGCGCTTCTGGAACGAGGCCTATTTCGAAGCCGTGGAGGTGATTAAAAAAGCAGCCGAGGAGGAGGGAATAACGCCAACAGAAGCAAGCTTGAGATGGATGTATTTCAATTCAAAATTATCCGGCGCAAAAGGCGATGCGGTCATCATCGGAGCAAGTAGCATAACGCAGTGTCGAGAAAATTTGCTCGCGTCGAGAAAAGGACCGCTGAGCGAGAAATTAGTCAACGCGTTCGATGAAGGCTACGAACTCGTAAAATCAGTTCAACCTCCTTATTTCCGCGGTCACTTTTTACTTTGATCGTTGTTCTAAAACAAGGAATAATACACACTCGTTGCGCCCATAAAATACGCCTTCACTTGATATTACATACACACACGCGCGCTCTCAACACTCACTCCTCTTTATTTTTCGACGCGCCTCGTCTCCCTCCGAACAAAACCGACGACATTGCCATCAGCGACGCAATCATCGTCAACGCGATGGCAATTAGTATCGACCCGTATAGTTTCGGCGACTTTTTAAAACTCTCCTCCATCTCGTGCACCATCGCGCCCATGCCAGCTTCACTTTTCGCCTTCATAGCGTGTTGCCAATCTCTTCTTGCTCGAAGCTTTCTCTCGTTGAACATTCGCGTCGCCACCCCGAACCGGACGCTCGTCGCTTTCGCCATCGATAACGGTTTTGGTACGTTCAAATACACAACCTCTCCTCCCTCAAATTCCTCGTTGGACATTTCTAACCACTCTTCCACGTCTTTCACGCCTTTCCCGAGCGCTTTGTGTTCGTCCCCTTTTGGATGGAGCACTTTAAACTGTCGCATCTTTCGCCGTTCGAATACCGCCAAACACGGGAAGGTGAGCGTATTTTCGAATCTCGCTCTCGTGAGATACTCCTCGTCCACGTTAATAGTCGCCGCGATAAACGGCTCGCCTTTGTACTCTCCGTCGTCTCCATTATTTTGTTGTTGCAATTTATCCAATTTCATTAAGCTCGCCTTCAAAGTCGGCGTTAAGAAGTGATTCAACGAATGGTCCGTGTCAAAGTACACTACCCACTTCCCGGTCGTTTGTCCCGTGGCCGATTGCGTTAAAGGTTCAAACGTTGTATCGGTCAGTTTGAGCAAAGGGTGATTGCCGGCGTAGGATTTCGGGTACTCCTGGGAGAATGAGGAAATGGAAACGAACGAGATGAAGAAGTAAAAGTAAACGCAGAAGGAGGAGGAAGGAGACATGTTACGTCAAAGTGATGTGTAATGAAGAGTTGGTCGACAGACAGACGAGAAGAAAAAATCAAAAGGAACTGACATGACAAAAATTTTCTTTCGTTTCATTTGTTTTACATCATCACTGCTTAAAAGAGACTCTCTTTCACTCTCTCTCACACACACACTCGCTCTTCGTGGTGGCATTCTCCTTTTTGATTTTGAAGCGCTCGCTTCAAAATCACAACCGCTCTCTTTTACTTTCTCTCGCGCTCCAAAACTCACTTTTCTTCGCCGCCTTCTCCATCCTCTTCTTCTTCTTCGCCTTTATTTCCAGTCTTCCCCATCCACCCGGCGACGATTGGGGTCAACGCCACCGTCGGTGGGAAACGAATAGGACTCGCCGCTTTGTGCGCCGCGTACGCAATCGCTACCGTACCAACTTTCTCTGAATTTTGCGTCGCCGTGATGCCGATGACGGACAACAACGCCGCCACGTCCACGCCGGAACTCACCAACACGTAAAACACGCCAAATGAAACCAAAGAGAGTGAGATGGAGGTGATTAAATACGCAGATCCGTAGGTTTTCAACAACTGCTTCGCCATATCCATTCGCGATCCGCTCAATTGTTGCGCTCCTTCTCCTTCTCCTCCCGTTTTGTTGTTGTTGTTGTTGTTGTTCGTACTGCTATTGTTCTTTTCGCTCGACTTGAAAATCTTCCACAACCCGGCTTCTAACCCCCACTTCTTGGTAATCTCGTCCACCTCTTTCGCCGTGGAGGATTTCTTATCCTCCTTCGTCGCTCGGACGACTTTTAATAAAGCGTCTCTTCTTTTTCTTCTTCTTCTGTTGTTGTTATCGTTGTTGTTATTCGTGTTGTTGTTGCTCGCATTCTCGTTGGTGTTGGTTGTAAAAAAATAGTGACTGCGCAGGAAAGAAACCGCTCTGATCGTTCTTCCATTTCTTTGTTGTTGTTGTTGTTGTTGTTGTTGTTGTCGTCGTTTGAAGAGTGCATTCTTCGCGTTATTGGATGATGATAACGACGTAAACGACGACGACGAGCCAGGTAAAAGTGATATCATTTGTTTTTGTGCTACTAAAACGGAGCGCGTTGTTCGGTGTGTGTTAACGAATCGAAGAATAAAATAAGTGAATAAGAATAACGACTTTTCCCTTTCTTTCTTTGGTCGCTTTTTTGAGAAAAAAACTTATATCAACCGCCTTCTTAAAAAAAAGTAGACCCCCTCAAAGAAAGCTTTGGCGGCGGTTTTACGAGCTCGCACGAGAGATGATGTTGTTTTCTTCTTTGAGCGGAGCATTACCACGCGCGAATAACGATGGAACGACGTTTGGGACGATGAGAATGTCCGGCGAAAGAAAAGCCCCCTTTTCTTCTTCTCCTTTTTCTTTACAATCATCGAAAAGAGGAGGAAAAGGTGTCGCGCGATGTTGTGCGCGATTTGGACGATTTCGTGCAACAACGCGTTGTTCGAATTATGGTTGCGGTCTTTTCTTCAATCGTGTTGGTTCCTTCTCTTTGAAGAGCAAAAACCACGCGTTGAGTTTTTCGACTTCACTTTCCTTTTATTCGACGACGACGACGTCGTCCTCGTCGTCGAATACTGCTACTGCTGCGTTCGGGAGTTTTCCGAATCGTCGACGGTTGAGCTTCATCAGCAAAGCGCAAGATGACGACGAGGAATACTTTGAAGAAGAAGATGAAGAAGAAGAAGTAGTAGAAGGAGATGTAGAAGAAGACGACGATCAAGATCAAGATCAAGATCAAGAAGACGAGGAATACGAAGAAGAAGAAGATGATGATGAAGAAGGAATAGACGAGGAAAATGATGATGATGAAGATGATGATGGTGATGAAAACGTTCGTCTGTTGCGAGACACGTTTGAACTGGCAAACATTGACGTCGTAAAATGGATAGATTTAGAGGAGGAGGAAGACGTGGAAATAAGCGGTATTGTCTCGGACGCTCGGTACGCAATACCGGGTGATCTTTTCGTGTGCGTGGATAACTCGTCCGACGATCAAGATCCGCACGATGGACACGACGACGTGAGCGACGCGATAGCGTTGCGAGGTGCCGTGGCGGTTGTTTCCGAGAGAGAAGATGGGGTCGCGGAAAACGCCAACGGAGCGCCCGTGGCAGTGGTGAAGAGCACCAAAGGTATTCTCGGGAAACTCGGAAAGGCGTTTTACGAAGACCCATCTGGAAAGTTGGTCATAGCAGGTGTTCTAGGTCATCGCGGTAAAGATACCACGTGTAATTTAATCAAATCAATCTTCGAAGCAAGCGAAAGGACCTTGAAGAAGAACGGGGCAGACGACCAAAGCGAGGACGAGGACGACGAAGACGAATACGGCGACGAGGATGAGTACTCCAATCGCGCCGGCGTTGTTACTTCGAGTGGGTACTACGTCACGCCAGAAATATCGGAAGAAGACTTGGATGAAATTCCACACTCGTGCGCAGAGTGTGGCGCGACGTGCATTCCAAAAGATGTGAGAACAGAGATGGGATCGAGCGACTTTATTTCGTGTCCATCTTGCGGCGCTGAGGAAATACATCTCGATCCGATCGTCCCTGAAATGAAAATTACGCAACATGGCGGCGTTTGGATTCCAGAGGAGCAAGATTTAACCGAAGGCAGAGCGTGTTCTGCGCCCGGATGGCTCGCGCCGTATCAAGGGAAGTACGAGATTCCAGAGAGCGCTCCGGATGCGTTGCAAAACCAGCAAATTCTAGCCGGGATGGTAGACGCTGGCGCTTCCGCCGTCGCCGTGGAAATTTCTGATGAAAGTTTATTAAAAGGACACATCGATAGCGTCAACGTAGACATCATTGTCTTCACAAACTCTCCGAGAATGACCGCCGCGAATAACGGCGGCGAGGACAACGACGATGAAGACCAAGAAACGTCAACTTCGGCTTCCTCCGGAGACGACGAAGAGAAAGCAGACACTGAAGAAAAATTAATTAAAGAAGGAGAAGGAGAGAAAGAAGAAGATGCGTTCGAGACGAGTTATGAAAGCAATTTAACCGAAGAAGAGGTTCAGAGCTGGCGAGAGAGATCGCTCGCGTTTATTAGTTCTCTAGATGATCCAAAACATCAACGCGTCGTCGTAAACTTGGACGATGATTTCGCCTCTGAAATCATTTCTAACTGCAAAGTTCCAGTAGTAACGTACGCGCGAAGACGTGAACATAGAGACATTGCGGACGTGTATTGCGAGCGCGTCGATTTGTCTCTCTTTGAAACTGCGGTTTTAGTATCTACTCCAGTTGGGGAAACGGAGATTGTAACGGCGCTCGTTGGAGATGCGAACGTTTCCAACGTCTTAGCTTCTATAGCTTCAGGATTAGCGACAGAAATTCCTCTCGAAAATATCGCACAAGGTTTAGGTCGCGCAAATCCCGCGGGTGGCCGCATGGAACTCGTCGACGAGGGTCAGAAGTTTTGCGCCTTAGTCGATAGCGCAAAGACGCCGGAGGATGTCATGAACGCAATTCAATCGGCGAGAGCCATTCCACAATGTCGACGCGTTATTGTCGTCGTCGGTGCGGATGGTACTAACAATGATATCAACGCCACCATTGATAATGGAACTGAGAAAGCAATGCGACGTAAATTAGGCGAAACGGTGGATAAATACGCCGACGTCGTCTTTGTCACCACGCAATCGCCGAAGAACGAAGACGCGTACGATCTTTTAGAAGATGTCGTCGACGGCTTTCGGAGTCGCGTGTACGACTTACCCGAGGTCAAAGAACGATTACCAGATGGTATTATCACCGACATTCCTTTCATGAAAGATATGTATTTGATTCATCCGAACGCGCAATCCGAAGCAGTAGAGTTGCAAAACTTGGTCCGACGATACGTCATAGTGGATAGATTCTTCGCGGTTCGAGCGGCGATTGCGATGGCCGAAGAGAACGACTGCGTGTTAATTTTAGGTAAAGGCGACCAAGATTTCTTCGAGATTGAAGGTCAAAAGTATTGGTTCGATGATCGGATGGAATCCAGAGACGCTTTGAAACGTTTACCCGCTTTACAAGCCGAAGGGGTGGTGACGACCTCGCTCCCGTGGTTTAGAGTAGAAGACGGGGCCTTCCAAGGTAATATTCTTGGCATAACTGCCACGTAGTAGTTTAGAGTAAAGAATGAAAATGCGCGTATATACTATTATATAACTGTGAATATTTGTATCAGTACTAAAGTACTACCACCCTACGTTTTGCTCACATCTTCGTAAGCAGCTCCATCGCTTTCAGACTTTTCTGTTTAATCAAAAGTTGATCTTGTCTCGTTCCAAGGTTTTTCTTTTCCATCTCCTCGCTTTTCCTCTCCAAATCGCTCAATATTTTGAACGCCTCTCTCGCGCATTCATCCGCGTCTGCTTTCGCGTTCTCCGCGATCAAAGCGCACTCTCTCTCCAGCTCGTCCACGGCGTGTTTGAACTGGTCAAGAAACGGTTCCAGTTTCGCGTGGATCCCTCTCCCCGCTTCGCTTTCCAGAAGGCCAGCCATGGTCGTCATCGTCCCTTCTTCTTCTAATTCCTCTTCTTCTCGTTCTTCTCCTCCTCCTCCTTCTACTAAAGGAGGCACGGGCGGAGTCGACGTCGGTTCCTCCTCGACGAGAGCATCTTCAAACAGCTCCTCGTTCGCGCGCATGTGCTCTTTTCTCTCGTTGTTATTGTTCGTGTATTTTTTTCCTTTTTTTTAAGAGATGAAATCTTGTGTGATTTTTCCTCTCTGTGTGTGAACCCCAAAAGAACACCAAAAAAGAGGAAAATCATCACAAAAGGAAACTCTTCTTTATATTCTATACATAAAAAGAGACGATGATGGCATCGAGAGCACTCGCACGATCAGTCGCGAAACGCTTCGCGATCAACAGAGGAGGAGAAACGATTATTCGACCGTTCGCGGCCATCGCGGCCTCGGACTTGGCGCCGGTGTTAGGCCAAGACGAGAACAGCGTCTTTTTGAAATGGAGCTCCCCGGAGACGCAGAACTTTACGCACAGAGGGATTTTGGCGCAAGACGAGTGCAAGGTTTGTGCGACTTTTTTTACATAGGTTTGGAGAGAAAGAGAGAGAGAGAGCGCGAAGGCGATCTTTTCTCTTTCTCTCTTTCTTTCTCTCTCTCTTTCAAACTCTGTTCGTCAGAGGGAAGAGAATGGAAAAGTTGGATCGAATTTTTAACCCGATCGATCAACTTTTCTCTCTCTCTTTCTCTCTTTCGGCAAATCATTTCCACGCATCACTCACGCGGGCAATACTCTCTTCTCACTTCTTATTCTCAACGCTATCTCCTCAGGTCACGACTTTACCGTCTGGTTTACGCGTCGCCACGGAAGCGACGCCGTATAGCGAAACGGCCACCATCGGTGTCTGGATTGATGCCGGATCGCGATACGAGTCCAAGGAGACGAACGGCACCGCGCACTTCCTGGAACACATGGCGTTTAAAGGCACCGCGAAACGAACGGCGGCGTCTTTGGAACAAGAGATTGAAGATATGGGTGGACACTTGAATGCGTACACGTCGAGAGAACAGACGACGTATTACGCCAAGGTGTTGAAGAAGGATATCGGCAAAGCGGTGGACATCTTGTCGGACATTTTGCAAAGATCGGCGTTAGAGCAGAGAGCGATCGAGAGAGAACGCGGGGTCATTTTGAGAGAGTCAGAGGAAGTGGAGAAGGAAATCGAGGAGGTTTTGTTCGATCACTTGCACGCGACGGCGTTTCAGCATACCGGGTTGGGTCGAACCATTCTTGGCTCAGCGGATAACGTGAGAAAAATCACGAGAGAGGATTTGGAAAAGTACATCAAAACGCATTACACGGCGCCTAGAATGGTTGTAGTCGGAACTGGCGCGGTTGATCACGATCAGTTGGTGAAATTAACAGAGTCTGCGTTCAAAGATTTGCCGACGCAAGGTGTCTCCACCAAGGATGCCATCACGTCCGACCCGGGACACTTCACCGGTTCGGAAGTGCGAATCAGAGACGACGATATGAAAGTGACTAACTTTGCGGTCGCGTTTAAGGGTGCAAGCTGGACGTCGCCGGATGCAATGCCGTTGTTGGTCATGCAAGCAATGTTGGGTTCGTGGGATAAAAACGCCCCGGGCGCGTCGGATGTGACGTCGAAGTTGGCGCAAATCTTTCACTCCAACGACTTAGGAAACTCTTTCATGACTTTCAACACCAACTACTCCGACACTGGTTTGTTCGGCGTACACGTAGCGACGGAGAAGAACGATGCGCTGGACGACGTTGCGTTTGCCGTAATGCGTGAGTTTCAAAACTTGATTTACCAAAGCCAACCGGAACACGTGGAAAGAGCGAAGCAAGCTTTGAAGGCGTCTCTTACTTTGCACCAAGAGTCCTCCACGTCGTCGAACGCGGAAGAAATTGGTAGACAATTGTTGACGTATGGCAAGAGAATGACGAGAGCGGAATTATTTGCGAGAATTGACGCGGTAAACGCGGAGACGGTGAAGGAGACGGCGTGGAAATACATTCGGGATCAAGAGTTGGTGATTGCCTCCATCGGCGCGACGCAATTCCTCCCGGATTATAACTGGTTCAGATCCTCCACGTACAATAACTTCTATTAATATACATATACCATCAATACTTGCATTCATACTAGAAAAAGTAAACAGAAGAAAAACCCAGCATACCGTAGTACGTATTTGTTCCTATATTTTGATTAGAAGTCTCTCTTTTTCTCTCTCTTCCCAAGCCGTGGAAGAAGGAAAACGCGCGACGGTGAAGTCGTAAATACTACGATATAGTTAGTTTAATATAATAATAAATGATTTTACAAGGGGTGTGTCTTTCTCTTCTATCAGTGCTTCTTATGGCCGTCCTCATCGTCATCGTGGTGGTCGTCGTGTAAGAAATGCGGTTCGTGTCCGTAAATCAACGTCTCGCCGTCGTGGTAAAATCTATACATGACCCAAAACCACATCAACCCACCCATGGCGGTTCCTAGAATTTTATGCACCGGCGCGGCCGGGTGAATGGTTAACCCTTCGTGCGTCACGCCGCCTTCGCCTCCAGCTGAACATAATACGAAAGATTCATCAGAGAGGAGCGCGTTTGAAAGAGAGAGAGAAAGAAGACGACGTCAGTCACACGGCAAAGCATAGTACGCACAGAAGGAAGAAAACCAAAATCAAACGATCGATTTCCCTTCAACTCTCTCACGAGAAGAAAGAGCAGAGGAAAGAAGAGTAAAGAGATAAAAAAAAACGCACCCATCCCTCTCTTCTGCGCGGTCGTTGCCAGTTTCGACGTTCTCGTTCTGCTGCTGCTGGCGAGCGCTCTTTCGGCGAACGTCACCGCGCTTCGTCTCAACATGATGAAGATGGTTTGTTTTTTTTGAAGAAATTTGACACAAGTCGTTCACTTCTTTTTCTGTTTTTTTTTTCTTCGCTTCAACCACTGACTGAAAAGTCGTTCGAGAAGAAGAACGAACGCGAGCATTTCTACGATCGCGCTTAAAACCGCTCCGTTTTTCGACCCAAGTCCCATTATTTTTGGTTTTATTTTGACCTCTCGTATCATCACTACTTCGGCGGGGAAAAGAAGACCCCGAGAGAGAGAGAGAGAGAGAGAAGAATACGAGAGAGAAAAGAAGAAGGAGAAAAGCGCGCGTTGCGACTTTTATTACCGCGTCGTCGATCTCGTCGTCGTCGTCGTCGTTTCTTCTCTTCTTTTGTCTTCTTTCCTCTGCGTTTTGCGAGTAGTAGTTCGTAAACGAAACAAACGCGAGGATAAAAACGGACGACGACGAGAAAAGCTTTCAGTTGGTCGTCGCTTTTTCGCGTATTTTTTCCCCGCAAAAAGAGAAGACGAAGAAGGGGAGAACGAGGTTGAACGTGGCTAAAAATGATGTCGTCGCGAGTATATCCCGAAGAAGAAGGAGAAAAAGAAGAAGAAACGACGACGACGTCGGAGTTGTTGAGCGATTATTTCGGTCACTACGTGGTCGCGTCGAAGAAAAAAAACAGCGGACGAAACCCAACAACAAAAGGACGAGTCTCCTCCTCCTCGACGAAAACGTCGTCTCAAAAAAATCTTCTCGGACGCAAAGAAATATTCGCGGCGCATAAAGAGGATAAGGCGAAAGACGTGTTCATTTGCGAAGGAGAGCAGACGAGGAATCGAGGGTCGTACACGTTTTATAGCTCGAAGAACTTACCGAAAGCGTTCGCGAGTGTTGGAGGGACGTTGCGCGCGGCGACGAGAGACGAGTTGAAAGCGTGGCTGGAAAAGATGAACTTGGAAGGCGCGGTTGTTGAAAACGACAAAGATGAGACGCGAGCCGTTTATATGCACGAAAACGGTGGCGAAGATCATAAACGATTAGAAAATGCTCGCATGGTGAACCCAAGGGCGAAAACGGGCATTCCCCCTCAAGGGATAGCGTCAAATTTGGCATATTCATCCGCGGTGCATACGGTAAAAGAATCTCACGAGAGAAAGATGACGGAGAAGCGTCTGAAACAGCGACAAGAGGAAGAAAGAGAAGCAGAAGAGGATGCCGAAAGGCAAATAGGACACAAGATGCGAAAAAAACCAAAGACGGAACCAAAATTCGTTTCCATCAAATACCCTTCTCCGACGACAAAGAAGCTGCGACGAGGAAGCAAAGATGCCGAGAATGAAGATTTTTTTGGGCATCGCGAAGATCCGTTCTTGCGCACGATTGCCGGTGACGAGAGCGACGACGACGGCGACGACGACAACAACGACGGCGACGACGAGAATAACGATACAAACAACAACGACAACAACAACAGTATCAAAGTTGTTCAATTTAAAACAGGAGAAGCAGGAGGTGACCTTCGTCATACATCGGATGTTGACAACGGCGGTGGCGCGTTCGACGAGAAATTTTCTTACGACTCTGATATCATGAACAGCCTTGCAAATTTCGATGAACAAGAGCTTAACGACTTGGATTGCGGAGAATTATCGTTATCACATCGTCGATTTTCCTCCTACGAAGAGATTAACGCGCCCTCCATTGCGTCAAAGAAAGATATGGAGGAAAATCCGTTCCACAAACGATCCGGTTTCTATCTTCGTTCGCGGGTATTGAATGAGAGAGGTATTTTTGCAATCATCAAGGAAAGAAAAGAGAACTCGAACGGTCATTACAATTATAACGTTTCAGATGAATTGCGTGGATTGTGCGAGCCGTCGTGGAACCCTCCGTCGTTTAAAAACGCCGCGGACGCGAAGGCGTGGTTGGACGAAGTTCTCAAAAAAACCCCGCTCACCAAGAAAGAGCGCAAAGATCTCGAGGAAGCTTCGGAGCAAGACGTGAACGCGCGCATGGCTCCTGACCCCGTGATGAAAACGTACAAAAACGGAGACGAAAAAAACATCCGTAAAACGATGTCTAGAAACGACACCAACGCCGCCACCACCACGACCAACAGAACTCACGCTGGAAAGAAAAATGGAAAAATTTGCGGTGGAGTTGCTGAAAATCAAAGGCAAAATTTGCAAGCCTCGTTCACGTGGACGATGCAAAGAGCAGACGCGTCTACGGTCGAAGCACTTCGCGACATCGCTCGAGGTATCGTCACCCGTCTCAGTTCGAACACGTTACCTCCGGAACGCGCTGTTTCTGCACTGGACGCTTTAAAAGATGTCGATATGAGTCTCGAACTGTTAGAGCTCTCTCCCATCGCATCCGCCGTAAGCGCTATTGCCGAAGACGATTGTAGCATGACCAATGAGGCGAGACAAACAGCGAAAGAGTTGTTACAAAGTTGGAAAGAAGCAGCTCAACGAGGTGTGAAAGCGATCGAGAGCAGAATCCAAGCGAGCGAGCAATACTTGATGAGATCCGGGATCAAGAGATCATCCGAATGAGTTGGGGTGAGATTTTAAAATAAAAGGAAAGTACAAACAAAAATACACCCGCGCGTGAGTACCTTAACCAACATCTGTTTCTTTTTGATATTCGCTTTTGAAAACTACATGTATATAACTGAAGATGAATTACAACGCAACCATAGTGCGAATTTCTTTCAAGACCAAGCGAGTGAGTAATAATCCCGCGACTAAATCAGCCGTGTAAAGCATATAGAAGACGTTGTTCCAATCATTCGTTCGACTAGAAATGTACCCAGTCAACATCGGTCCGATTGCCGCCCCGATCGATCCCGTACCATCAATAATCGCCGTCACCGTCGCTAGCGCCTTCGCGTTACCTTTTAAACTTTCGTGCGTTCCTAAATCCGCGGATACTGCGGTCGTAATGAGCGCGTATGGTCCATTCACTAAAACGCCCGCCAACATCATAAATCCAATATTCACGTTCATCGATAAAGATCCGTACTCTCGGTACAAATACAAAACTGGAATAGACGCGTACACAAACCCGGCGGAGACCATGGAGCGAGCGTTATATTTATCGCTCAAATATCCAGCTAAAATACCTCCAACGACACCCCCAATATCAAAAAGTGTCGATAACTCGCCCGCTTTTGCTGCCGATAAATACTCGCCACCAATTTCCGTTCTTTCGATGTAGAACGGAAGCCAATAAAGAAACGTATACGCGACGAGTTTGGTGAAGAACAAACACAGCGAGAACGTCACGACGCCAGGAATTCTGAGCGCCGCTCTAAATCCAACCGCCTCGCTTTGGTGTCTCTCCACGAATCCTGAGCGCGATGACCCGCCTAATCCAGGCGTCGACGCTCTCTCGTCGTCCGAGGACGCCATGGAGGACATCGATTCACCTCCACCAGCTGCTGACGTCAACGCAATTCTATCTTCGCTAATATCCCCTCCTTCTTGATGCGATGACGTGTCGTGCGGTGACGCGTGTCCCGCATCTTCGGGATCGACGACTAAAAACAAGTTAATAAAGAGGCCGCTTACCGCCATCAAGATGCCGGGGATAATAAACGACATACCCCAATTCGAGTCTCTCAAACATCTCGCCGCAATCAACGACCCAAGAATGTTCCCCACCGACGTGTGCGCGTTCCATATACCCATGATCAAACCTCTTTTGCTCTTTCCAAACCAGTTCCCAACCACAGACACGACCGAAGGCCACCCGGTTGATTGAAACACCCCGGCCATAATCTGCACCGGGACGAAATAATACATCGAGTGAATGTCCCAAAAATACGCCATACCGAACAAGCAGACGAAAAAACCAGACCCAATCATTCCAATGGTTAAAAACTTCCTCAAATCCATCGAATCGCCGATGTGCCCGGAAAAGAACATCCCGATGGAATACGCCGCCAAGAACGAAACGTCGATCGAGCCTAACAAAGAGTTCCCGTCCGGGCCGCTAAACGGTTCCCACCCGTCTCTCCCTAACTCTCGTTGCGTCGAGTCTGGATTTAAAACAGATTTCACAATCGAAGGCGGTTTCCTCGTCGCGTGATACATCGTGTAACTCAAGAATGTCAAACCTAACACCGACCATCGATACTTTTCGATGGAGAAATTTTTGCCTCCGTTTCGATTGATTAAATATCGAGTCCCGACCGGGAAATTTTTCTTCATCATTCGTTCTGTTTCTAAAACTCTCTCTTCCTCTTCTTCTTCTTCTTCTTCGTCTGAGGAGGACGCCGATACACCGTCTTCTTCTTCTTCTTGGTCTTCTTCTTCTTTGTCTTCCAACAACAACAACGAAGAACCTCTTCGTCTCTTCACTCTACTTCTTCTTCTCGATGATTGTAAAAAAAGAAGCTCTTCTTCTCTTTCTTCTTGGTCGTCGTCGTCGTCGTCTGATGAAACTCCTCTCGTCGCAGCCCCCCCTTTGCGCGTCGTCGTCGTCGTCGTCGTCGTCTTCGAGTTTCTCCCACCAAATCCGAAAATGATGACGAGAGAGCGCGTTGTTTGTTGTCTGTGTCGAAAGCGTGTTATTATTAATGTGAAACGTTTCGGGGGCTCCTTTTTTTGTTGTCCTGTCTGTGTGTTTTCGCGGCTCTGAATCGCAGACAGAGAAGAGATGAAATCTCTTTTTTTGTTTCGGTTTCTCTTTTTTTTCGAGCAGAAAGAGAGAGACAGAAGAGGGAGGTCTGATGAATGAACGAAGGGAAGAGAGAGAGAAACGAGCGCCGCCTTTGCCTCGTAAAGGACACTTTTTTATCCTTCTTTCTTCATCGACCTTCTTTTATTTACTTCATTAGAGAGAGAGACAGAGAGAGATATAACAGAGACCCGAAAGAGAGTCTTAATTCACTAACTAAACACACACAAAGAGCAAATGACGACATCGATGGCATCATCATCCTCCGCTTTACTGTCCTGTTCTTCCAACGTGGTTTCCTCGAGAAGAAAAAATTTGACGACGACGACAAGCAGGCACTCGAGAAGAGGAAGACAAAATGTATCCGTGCGAGCGGAAATCATCGAAACTTCCCCGGGGTTGCAAGAATTGTGCAAGTGCGAGATTCCTCCGCACATTGGACGCGTGGATTTCGTGAAGCAAATGTACCGATGGGCGGACATGACGTACACCGACGGCGGTTTGGCGACGTTCGGGAAGCGAATGGAAATTTCGGCGATAAATGAAAACCAAGCGGGAGAAACGAACGGGTATTTGATAAGCGTGTTCGACTTTAAAGACGGTGAAGAGCAAGTGGTGGCGGAATTAATCTGTCAGATGGACCAAACGTTGATCCAAACGTACGATACGATTTTACCGCCGTCGAAACCAGGAGATATCGAAGGGATTAAAAAGATGAACCGCAGCGGTAAGGACGAGTTCATCGAGGGCGAGTTTTTCGTGATTTCGAGAAAGCTTCCGACCGATGAAACTGTCGGATCTGTTTTGAAGGTGATGATTAAGAGGATGATGTCCGCTATTAACGCGTATTACGCGTTTGGAAGTCCGTTTTCTGAGGAGTTTTAAGGAGAAGAAAGCGAGAGCAAAAGAGAGAGAGAGAGAGACAGAGAGAGTTTTTACACATATTAGGGACTTGTTTTCATTCGTACTATTATAATATAATTTACTATTTCAACTACATACCACTACTAGGACGACTACCGCTACTATATACTACCGCGCGTAACTCTCTCTACAACTCTTCCTCAATCAACTCAATCTTCGGGAGCGGCTCTGGCGCCGCTCTCATTTTCTTCACTCTTTCGCAGAGCGCTCGAAACGATTTCGGCTCGTTCACGGCCAACTCCGCTAAAATCTTCCTGTCCAAACAGACGTTATCAACCCCAATCCCTCGCATAAACTCCGCGTATTTCACCCCGTGTTCGCGACTGGCCGCGTTGATCCTTACGATCCAATCCTTCCTCGCCTCTCGTTTCTTCGTCCGTCGATCTCTGTATTGATACTGCAAGGCTTTTTCCACTCTTTGGTTGGCCACTCGGAAACAATTCTTCGCTCGGCCTCGAAAACCTTTCGCCAGGGCGAATATTTTTTCTTTTCTCGTCATTTAAATGACTCACTCAGCGTGGTGGTGCTTGCGCGCGCGTTCTCTTTTTCGTGCGTTCTCTTCGCGTTTATCCTCCTCTTCAAAGTTTGCTCGTTGTTGTTCAAAAGTGATGAAGATTGGAGATGATTGGAAGCTCTTCTCTCTTTCGTGCTGTTTTCTCGAAAGACCGAAATTCTCTTTGAGACTCTCCCCAAAAAATTTGCACACGAAAACCACAGCGTGCGAACATTTTACCACACAACAAACACATCACACATAAAATACAATGGGCATCAGTCGCGACTCGCTCCACAAGAGACGCGCCACGGGCGGTAAACTCAAACCGTGGCGAAAAGCTAGAAAGTGCGTCCCGTTTTTACGTTCGCGCGTCGTCGTACTTGTATACTTTTTTTTTCCTTTCGCGCAAAAGTTTTTGGACGCTTGTGCGATTTAGAGGAAAGATGATGGTTTCCTCGTCCGTGTAAAAAAAAGAGGGCTTCGCATTCGAAATGCGCGCGGTTCGCGTCGATCGGTCGCTCAGACGCGCGTGAAAGTGGTCGAAATGAATGCGCGCGCGTTTGATTCTCGCGTTTACGTCTTTTCTCGATGGATTGTGCGCTCGCGGAGTGGTCGTCTTTCTCTCTTTATTCATCACCATCGCGCGACGCGCTGGAAATTTTCGGTTTTGGCTTTCTGTCGTGCTCTCGCTGCTTTTGCTCTCTTCCTGAGGGCCAAGCTCTCGTTTATGCGCGTATGTAATAATATACTAACCAACTCTCTCATCATCATCATCATCATCTACAGACACGAACTCGGACGACAACCGGCGAACACGAAGCTCGCGGCCGCGAAGGACGTTCGACAAGTGCGATGCAGAGGCGGCAACATCAAGTTTCGCGCCTTGCGTCTCTCCGATGGTAACTTTTCCTGGGGTAGCGAAAACGTCACGAGAAAGGCGAGAATTGTCGACGTCGTGTACAACGCGACCAATAACGAATTGTTGAGAACGAAGACGTTGGTGAAATCGGCTGTCGTTGCCATCGATTGCGCGCCGTTCAGAGCGTGGTACGCGCAACACTACGGGAAGAAGATTGGGGTCAAGGAGCGCGCCGGGCAGTTGACGGAGTCGGAGGACATCGACGACGTGAAGAGATCAAAGAACGTTCAATCGAAGCTTTCAACGAGAAACAAGGGTCACGAAGTCGCGAAGAACGTCAAATCGCAGTTCCAATCTGGTAGATTGTTTGCTTTGATCACGTCTAGACCGGGTCAGTGCGGACGCGCGGATGGGTACGTTTTGGAGGGAAAAGAGCTTGATTTCTACGTCAAGAAAATGCAAAAGAAGAAGCACGCGGCAGCAGAAGCTGCAGCGGCCAAGGCGTCTGGAGCTTAAAGAGTTTTGACACGGTAAGAGAGAGAGAGAGAAAGAGGTAAATCATATATACGACTTCTAGTAGAATAAGATAGCATTGTTTAAAAATAATATAAATACGTAAAGTAAGTTCAACTTTCCTTTCTTAACACGCAAAGAATGCGAGCGCGGCAGTTGCCGCGATAAGTTTGACGACGCTCAAAAGAGGTGACGTAGACGCAGGAGGAGGTGGCGATGGTGGTGGCGATGGTGGCGGCGCCAAGGCTGTGATCGTCGTCGGTGCAACGATATTAGATACGGCCAAACCAGCAGAAATTAATTCTGTCTTCATCGTTGTCACATCGGTTACGACCAATTTCGTCTCGAGAGCTGTAGTATCGGAAAATGTGGTCGCTTCCACGGTAAATTCGACTTTCAACACAGAATCGACTGCCGAAAGCTTTCTTCGACCAGCAGTAACATCTACAACGGACGTAATCGTAATCGCGGCAGAATCGACGCCTAAATACTTTGCCATTCCGGTTTTGAAATTAGTTTTTTTATCGTCGTCAAACTCAGCCGCGCTGTAGCCGGTGAGCTGCATTTCCGCCTGCACAGCCGCGGCAGCCGGAGGAGGAGGAGATGGCGGCGGAGGCGACGGAGCGACAGAGCATTCTGCAGTAGTGAATGTTCCTGCCAAACACGAACTCGTGCCCGAAACAGTATAGCCGGTATTGCAAGTAGGCTGACACGTAGAACCACTCGCGAGTGTCGACGTGCAATCACCCACGGCACCATTTACTGGCGCCGCCGAAGCGTCGCAAGGATTGGCCGAACACGTCGCGGCGGTCAAAGCGCCCAAAGTACACGAACTCGTGCCCGAAACAGTATAGCCGGTATTGCAGGTAGGCTGACACGTAGAACCACTCGCGAGTGTCGACGTGCAAGTACCCACGGCACCATTTGCTGGCGCCGCCGAAGCGTCGCACGGACTAGCCGAACATGTCGCGGCGGTCAAAGCGCCCAAAGTACACGAACTCGTGCCCGAAACAGTATAGCCGGTATTGCAAGTAGGCTGACACGTAGAACCACTCGCGAGTGTCGACGTGCAAGTACCCACGGCACCGTTGGTTGGTGCCGCCGAAGCGTCGCAAGGATTGCCAACGCACGTCGCGGCAGTCAAAGTGCCCGCCAAACACGAACTCGTGCCGGAAACAGTATAGCCGGTATTGCAGGTAGGCTGACACGTAGAACCACTCGCGAGTGTCGACGTGCAATCACCCACGGCACCATTTACTGGCGCCGCCGAAGCGTCGCAAGGATTGGCCGAACACGTCGCGGCGGTCAAAGCGCCCAAAGTACACGAACTCGTGCCCGAAACAGTATAGCCGGTATTGCAGGTAGGCTGACACGTAGAACCACTCGCGAGTGTCGACGAGCAAGTACCCACGGCACCATTTGCTGGCGCCGCCGAAGCGTCGCACGGACTAGCCGAACACGTCGCGGCGGTCAAAGTGCCATCATAACACGAACTCGTGCCCGAAACAGTATAGCCGGTATTGCAGGTAGGCTGACACGTAGAACCACTCGCGAGTGTCGACGTGCAAGTACCCACGGCACCGTTGGTTGGTGCCGCCGAAGCGTCGCACGTGGCTAATGTCACCGCCAGAGTTCCAGCTCCGGGAATACTTAAGCCAGGTTTCACCCAATAATGCGTCATTCCGTTGCATGGTTTTGTATCTTGCACCGGCACATTCGTGCTCCAATAGCTGTAGTCTGCATCTCCACGTTTACTAAGGTCTCCACGGAAACACTTGTATGGACCAGGGGTGAAAGCCGGATAAGTTTTACCCGTATTTGCATTCTTATTAACTCCTTTATTCCCTGAAGACGTTGTCGCAGAAATGACTTGAGCGTGATAGTGATATCCTCCATACGCCGTCGAGTCGGCGGAGTGTTCGTGACCACCGCAATCGTCGAGACCATCGCTGAAGCCAGGAGCGGACGTGCTTAAATATCGCCCGTAAATGGTCGGACCGTCGTACGCAAATCCTATCACCGGAGGATGACCGTCAGTGCCATCCGTATAATTCGCGGGTCCATAATGACACATCGTATCGCTCGCGTGGAATGGGTCGCCGTGTAAATGCGGTTGACCACCACCTTGCCCGACGTGTTCGTTGCAACTATCGACTTCGCACGCGTCCAAAGTGATTCGAACGACATTGGAGTACAAGGGATAGATTGACTGTCCCGTCGTACTGACGCCGACGCCCGTCCAAGATGGAAGTCCGAAGCACCCTTCAGCGTCGGTATCGCATAAGTATTTGGTATTTCCATCGCCTGCTCCTCCGGAAAAAGTATCGAAATTATTTGAACCAAGGGCAGTATCCAACAAAGTGTAGCGATATTCGCCTGTCTTCAAAGGAATTGCCGTCGTTTCCATTTTTGGAGATGATACCGTCACTTCGCTCGTCACGCAATCTGTTGCAGTCGTACCATCCGGATAGTATGTTCCTCCCGGTGCTTGCGAAATATCCGCCATATTTGTCGTAAATCCAGTCGCACCCGTCCCGATAATGACGAGGTATTTGTCGTTGCAATACGCCGCGACGGCGCCGCCGGTGCCTAAACGTCCGGCGGACATCCAAGTATTCAACCACGTCGCGCCGCAGCGTTCATCGACCGTTGAATCCGCTTGCGTGCACGTCTGTGCTGTGTATTTCGCAAGCTCTTCTGCAGAGTCAATGCTTGTAGCCGCCACGTTCGGGGATTTTAATTGATTGGCATCGCACTTCGGTTTAGTCGACATATCTGTGCAATAACCGGCGCCGCACGAGCCGGTGCCTCCCCACGAGCAATCCGTATTCCAATCCGCCGCCTTTGTTGCCCCATTTATGTCCGTTGCTGTGTAGGATACATCAGAAGGATTTAAGATCGCGCTGTTCCCTTTCGTGACGTTTACCGTGACGTACATCCCATCCGCGCAATGAGTGCCGATCGAACAATAAAAATAGTGCGTCCCGACACCCATCTGACCACTTGTCGTCGTGTACAAACCCGAACTCGACGAAGCCGCTTTCGATGTTCCACCGCTGCAAGTCCCGGTTGTTGAATAATACACATCGTGAGTATTGCTCCATGAAATCGTGAGCGTGTCCGTCGTCAACATGGTCACCGTTTGCGCGCTATACGCCCACGTTATCGCTTTCGCCGCCGCGTGCGCTGAAGTTGGCGCCCAGGAGGCAAGGAAGACGCAGCACAAAGCAACGCACAGAAAAGAAGAAAAATCCAACATTTTGTCGTTTCTTCCTCTTCTTCTTCTTTTCGAGGACGGAGAAACCGCCGAAGAAAAAGCGGATGCCTTCTTCGCGTTCTTCTCAAAATCGTTGGTCGTCATCTTCGCTGACGATGAGAACGTGTCGTGTCGTTGTTGTTGTTGTTGTTGTTGTTGTTGTTGCGTGATTTTAACGTCTGTCCTCTTATTTATAACGAACGGATAATTCTCAAACGGATGATATCCTCCGACGATACAAAGATGAACGCGAAGCGTCTCTTTTCTCGAACAGCGCAGAGACGAAAACACACGCACAAACACGGAAAGAGAGAAAGAACGGCTCGTGCGGGCTTCTTCACTCTTCGTCGTGAAAACGAGACGCGATTACTACTACTCGAGGAATATATAAATTCAAGGTGCCTTTTTTGTAAGGTTATTGAAGTCTTATTTGAGCACTTTCTCGTCGAGAACGCTTTTGCGCACGTTGCGTGCGTGCGCGTGTGTGTGTGCGTGTGTGTGTGCAGTAGGTAGGAAGAAAAATTGTATTTAAACGTTTAATAAACATAATAATACGTATATATGCGCAAAGAATGAAGAGTCCTTTAAGGCGAGAGCTCTTTTAAAACAAGGCAAACTTCTTCTTCGTCTTGTTATTTTTATCGTCAGACGCGGAGGAGGAGGAAGATCTCGGTTCGCCCAAATCCGCGACGTTTCCGACGTGCGCGATCAAATCCAGGACTCTGTTCGAATATCCCCACTCGTTGTCGTACCAGCTCACGAGTTTGACAAAGTCGTCGCCGAGCATAATACCCGCCTTGGCATCGAAGATGGAACTTCTCGAGTCGTGGCAAAAATCGGTGGACACGACGGCGTCTTCGGTGTAGCCAAAGATGTTGGCGTACGCTTTCGATTCCGAGGCTTCTTTCAAAACCTGGCAAATCTCTTCGTAGCTGGTTTTCTTTTCCAACTTGACGACGAGATCGACGACGGAGACGTCCGGCGTCGGGACCCGGAAGGCCATACCGGTAAGCTTGCCGTTCAATTCCGGCAATACTTTGCCGACTGCTTTAGCAGCTCCGGTGGAAGATGGAATAATGTTCGCCCCGGCGCCTCTCCCGCCTCTCCAATCTTTCGCAGATGGACCGTCGACGGTTTTTTGCGTCGCTGTCGTTGCGTGTACGGTCGTCATGAGACCTTCCTTGATGCCGAATTTCTCGTGGATAATCTTCGCCAACGGCGCCAAGCAGTTGGTCGTGCACGACGCGTTCGAAATCACCGATTCGCTCTCCTTATATTCCGTGTGGTTGACACCGACGACGTACATCGGCGCATCCGCGGATGGGGCGGAAATAACAACCTTCTTCGCGCCCCCGGAAAAGTGCGCCGAAGCTTGCTCCGTGGTAGTAAAAACGCCCGTAGATTCAACAACCACATCCACGTTCGCGCTATCCCACTTAATCATCGCCGGATCCCTCTCCGTGAATAACTTGACGCACTTCTTCGCGAACGGCGTGCCTTCGTAACCAATCTCCAACTCGCCGTCGTCGTTGATCAAAACCGGGCACTTCAAATTCCCGTGCGTCGAGTCGTATTTGAACATGTACGCGAGATACTCAGCCTCGATAAACGGATCGTTAATAGCGACGACTTCGATGTCAGAGCGTTCCAAAGCGGCTCTCAAGACTAATCGACCGATTCTCCCGAACCCATTGATTCCGATTTTAATAGTCTTGTTCGCGTTCACGACCGGTAAATCCTCGGATGGGACGTCCAAAAATGACATTTTCGGGGAGACGCAAAATCTTCTTCTTCGTTCTTGCTTCGTTGATCTGCTGCTGCTCTTCGCGCGATTGTTCCTCCTGCAAAAGAAAAAAACAATCAATTTTAATAATAATAACACGACTCATCGGTTAAAAAAACGAGAAGATGATACCACGAATACGAACGCGATCTCATCAGATCTCACAAAACAATACTCCTGAATCGTCTGAATCGTCGCGCGCGCGTTCAAATTCAAAGCGCCCGCCAAAAGGTGTTTCGGGGGGAGAAAAGAGTTCGTTAAAATTGAGAAAAAAAGTGCCTCTCTCGGGAAAGTGACGGCTCTCGGATTACGGAATATAATTAAAAAGAGATTAGTGACATAAAACTCACGAAGAAACAGCGGATCCGCGCAAAGAAGCGGAGGAGAGCAGCGATCTGGTGGTGGTTATTGTCGACATTTTTATTATCGTCTCTCTTTGTGTGATCTGTGTGTGTAAGAAGCGATTAGTATATAGGATTGTATATAATGACGCTTTATTATTGACTCTGACTTTTTGAAAACTTTGCGAGATCGCAAAAAATATCAAAATTCGTCCTCAAAAAAGAGAAAAAAATACACGGAAAAGAGCAGAAAACCACACTTTTTTGTTGCTTCATACAAGATATTTTTTCCTTCTCCTTCTCAAAAGCGAGGATGATGAGCGGGGGAACCCCGTTTGAAGAAGACGATCAAAGTCATCATCATCATCACGAGCTCGAGAACGTGTACGACGTGTGGATCGCGACGCGGAGTAAACTGAGAGGGTACTCCACCGTCGTGTTCGATCGATTACAAAGAGTTTTATTACTTTTCGGAAGTGAAGAGGAGAGAAGGAGAGAAGGAGAAGAAGGAGGAGAAGAGGACGAAAAAGGTATACGATCGGTCGTTTTCGTGCGCGGGAGTGGACAATGTGTTGGTAAAGCCATCCAAGTGGCGGAGTACGTCTCGAGGAGATTCGTTGGCGGGACGGTGCATCGACAGGTGACGATTGGAACTATTCGAGCTGGACAGAGAGTGTTTCACGGGCACGACGAGACGCATGCACCGAGTTTTCCTCGAGATCGACCGATGATATCTATAGGGTTATCTCTCGATAAGAAGAGGTTGAAGGAGACCATGGATTTGTTGGAAAAAGTTGAGCGCGATATGGCGCGGTTAACCGCGCCGCCGAGGCTGACGACGGCGTATCATCGAGTCGCGCGCGAGTCTCTCGAAGCCCCTCCCGAAGAAGAAGAAGAAGAAGAAGAGGAAGAAGAAGAAGAAGAGGAAGAAGAGTCGGAGGGGGAGGAAGAAGAAAAAGGGGAAGAGAAAGGAGAGGAATCGACCATACATCTGTTGAACGACTCGAAAGAGTTCCCGCGTTTGCAACGCGAGGAAGAAGCTCCTACGCAACGCATAGAAGAAGAAGAAGAAGAAGTCGTCGAGCAAAAGGAAGACGATGAGAACGCCGATAACGACGACGACAACGACAACAACAAAGAGGAAGAAGGAAAAGAAGAAGAAGAAGGAAAAGAAGAAGAAGAAGGAAAAGAAGAAGAAGAAGGAAAAGAAGAAGAGGAAAGTGAATCATCGGACTCGTCGTCGTCAGAATCCGACGAAGAAAATATCTCCCCCGTGGAACGCCGCGCGGCCTCTTCTCATTACGAGTCCGGGACGGATAGAAGGAGACGAAAGAAACTCCACGGCGAGAAAACGACCAGAGGTTCCAGCGTCACGCCGCCACAATAAAAGAAAGAGCGATAACAGCAATAATACTTTTTCTAATTATACAACGGAGGCGGCAACACTAACGATTCTAATATCTTTTCAATCTCTGGTCTCCACTTCTCTTCCTCTCCTTTCGGCATCTGCGCGGTCGTCGAATAGAGATGACTGACTCTCCCGTCGTACCCAATCCCGGCCACGACTAACTGTTTCGAATCAATCCCCGTGCTCGGACGAGTCAACTCGTACTCCACGAAATAGTTCAACCCTTTACTTCCCGCTTCAATCAACTCGGAATACTGCACCTCGTCCTCTCTGCCTTTCTTCGCTTTCGGTTTATTCATCGGGTTTACCATATTATAACCGAACTCGAACGGCGATCCGAAACTTCCCATCTTCGGGTAATCCGCCCCGACTGGAGTCGCCACTAAAGAAATGTTCACGTCTTTCGGGTTCGCGTTTTTCGGCGCGAACGCGATGACTTGTCGAGATCCCGATCGATCTCCCGAACCGCCGGTTTCGCCGACTAAAAGCTGCCACGAATCCGTCGGATACGAGAGACTGAATTTCAGCACCTCGTCGGTATACGTCGTCGTGTTCTTATTAGTATTCGTATTCATCATTTTAGTAGAAGACTCATCTTCCTCAGCCGCGAAAGCGTAATAATTATTCTTATTAGTATCATCCATACTCAGCACCATCGACGCGAACGCGAACGCGGTGGTCGTAGCGGAGACCATCATCGCTTTCCTTCTCGTCGTCGTTTTCTGAATCGTCGTCGTCTGACTTGATGATGATGAATCAAATGATTTTTCGGCGTTCACGACGAAGCACTCATCGACGTCGTCGGCAGCCTCGAAATTTCGGGAGAATGATTTAGAGCGGCATAATATTTCCACGCGTTGGTGTCTCGGCTTCTTTGGTGCCGCTCCTGCTCCTGCTAAAGCTGCTAAAGCTGCCGCGTTCGAAGAACTCGTCGTCTGAATCGTCGTCGTCGGTGTGAGTGCTGCGTTCATGATGGATGATGTGTGCTTCTTTTTGTGATGAATGAGAAAATATCTTTCGTCGTGTGTCTCAGACAGAGGCAACGACAACAAATTCTTGCACAACAAAAAAAGTGAAAAAAAGCAGAATTGGTGGCCGAACGTTTTCACAAAAAAATTTACTTTGATGAGCTTGCGAAAGCACCCGAATGTTTCTCTCTCTTTTTGACTCCTTTTTGGTGCGTTGCTTTGCCGTGAGCTTTTCACAGCCGCAGAAGAGAGAGTTTTTTCAAATAAAACGAGCGTGCGAGAATACTAATCTCGCCAGAAGAAAGAAGTTTTTCTCTTCTTCTCTTCTCTCTGGAGCAGAGAGAGAGAGAGAGAGAGAGAGAAAGCAGAACGACGCTCTCGCGAGAATAAAAGAAGGAGAGAAAACGAGACGAGAGAACCCCCCGAGTATTCTTCTTCTTTATTTTCTTCTTCCGAGTAGTTTCTGCGACGCGCGAAGAAAGAGCAATTGTTGACTCTTTTTCTTCTTGGGGAAAAAAGGAGAGGTCGGGAAACAACGATCAAAAAAATCAGATGTTCGCGCGACCGGGAAGGATACGCGCGTACTGCTCCGTCTCCGGCGGATTGGACGCATTGAGAGATGCCGGAGGGGTTTCCGACGTGGAGTTATTAGATGCGAGACAACCAAGGGTGAAGAGAGAGGAAAGAATGGATAATAAAGATGATGATGATGATTTTTACGAGGCGAGAAGAAAGGAGGAGCTCGAAACGACGGAACGACGAGAACTGCACGCGCAGTTGAACCGAGAGGACAGCGCGTACGGATACTCATCATCAAACATCAACACGAGTCGCCAGAATAGAAGAAACACGAATAATAATAATAATAATAATAGCGAAGAAGAAGAAGGACCGACGACGCCGCCGAATCAGCGGGAGAGCGAACAACCGCCGCCTCGCGTCGGCGCCAAGAGAGGCCTGATTCCGCACAGTCGCTCGATGCCGGAGTTTGGCGAGGCGAAGTTATGGGCGAGGCGAAACCGAAAGCAACCGCAAAGATTAGACGTGAGGTTGCAGTGCGTCCAGTTGGGGGTGATTGAGAGTCCGAGTAGTTATGCATAGAAGAAGAAGAAGAAGAAGAAGAAGAAGAAGAGAATGATGTATTTTAGTTTTTCGTAATATAGAAAGAGGATAGAAGAATTTTCAACCGACGATACGGTACAGTATGCGCGCGAGTGGTAATTACTTTTGATTTTGTTACACTGCTCGTTCTTTTTCAACCGAGAAGCGTATTCCGCGTCTCTTTTCTTTTCTTTTCTCTCTCTTCTAGTTTTTTATTTCGATCGCTTCAACCACCGCAGGAGGAGCTTTCTCTGCTGATTGCGTATCCTCTTCTTTTTCAGAAAGGAGTTTGGAATTAGGTGCGTGATTCTCGGACTCGCATCTGAGCTCGTTCATCTTCGCCACGAGCGCTTGAATCACTTTCCCGGATAACACACCAAAATCGTACATGTTCATCAGGTGTAAATGAAACAACTTTCTCATCTGGCGGTCTTTCACCAGCTTTTCTTTGTGAACGTACATGAACGAACTCGTGCAGTCTGGCATTTGCCTGTTCGCCATGGCGCAATATTTACGCACGTGTTTGTTCCACATTCTAAAGAAATCTTTCTCGACTTGCGCCACGTCCACGTATTCGTCTATAAACAGCGCGTCTTCTTTGTCCCACATTTCTTCCTGCTCCCTCTCGTCGTCGTCGGAATCGGGAATGGTAGATTTGTCTTCCGTTTTGAAAATTTTCTTGCTCATGGGTAAACACGTTCGCGAGTGGTAATACCGACCGCCGATGGCGAATGATTTTCTCGAGCCCGTCTCTTGAATCGTCGTCTTCTTCGTGGCGACAACTTCTTGGTACTGCGCTGATTGACGAAAATTTTTCTTCTGACTCGCCGCCTTATCGAGCTCGCCTTGGGAAGCAAATTTCCTCTTTTCCAGTTTCGATTTTTCCTTTTTTATCCTCTTCTCTATATATTTCTGTTCAGCCTCTTTCGCGAGTCTTTGACGTATCAACTGCTCCGAAGCGGCGTAGCCGAGAGGAAACTCTTCTTCTCTCCCGTCGCCACCTTCTTCGCGATTCCTTTTAACTCCCACTCCTTGTAGTTTCACGTTGTTCGAATGGCTCCACTGTTGCAACAAGCGCTGTTGCTGTTCTGGCGCGCCGACGTGAAACTGTCCCAATTCCGCCGTGGCTCTATTTTCCGCTTGCACTCTTTCTTTCGCCGCGCGAACAACTTTGGTTAAATTGATATCGTTCCCAAACATCCTCTTTTGACTGTTGTAAAAATCCTTCACGTGTTCCTCTGCATTTTCTCCGTTCAAAACTGCCGCCGCTTTGTCCAAGGAAATCTGGTCGTAATAATGCGGAGTAAAAAACTGCGCGAATGGATTCTCCTCCCACCCTCTCTTGTGCTCTTTCTCTTTCAACGCCGCTTTCTTCGCAACTTGCGAGATATTCTCCTCGATGCTTTTGAGCTGCATCTCATTTTGTTTCTGCAACTGCTTATTCCTAATCTCCTCGTTCAACTTTATCTTCAAAATCGCCAACTCGTTCTCCCACCCGTGCGTTTTACTCTGAACGTCTTGACTGGACGTATTCGTCGGCGCCAAGTTCCCAATCGCCGGTAAAATTACTTTATTCGTTCCAACTTTCTGGTATTTTCCTCCGCTAAAGAACTCAAACGATTTATTCGCCGGGTCTTTCAACAGCGTCGCGTCTAACATGTTCAATTTGTCCTGTCCGTTCTCGCACATCACGAACGACGTCTTCTTAATCCTCACTTCGATCGTATTCATGGTCACCACTCTGTCTTCCGATTTTGCCACGTACATTCTGTTCGGATCCGTCAGCGTCCTCTTCTGCACCGTGTTCACCGGTAAAAACGTAAAATAGAACTGATCGTGCGACGCGTTCAGGTGTTGACACAAACCGATAAAATTCCTCGGCTTGAGGTTGCAAAACGGACACCGCGCCCGGTACGCTCTCTCCGTCTTCTCGCTCACTCTCAAATCCGCGATGCCTTTGGCTTTATAAAAGTATCGAAACATCACGTCTTGATCGTCTTTCGGTTGCTTCTCGTCCTCTGATTCTTCTTCTTCCTCTTCTTCGTTCTCGTCTTTGTCGCTCTCGTCGTCGTCGTCGCCTCTACTCCTACTCCTACTCCTCTCGTTACTCTTAATCTTCTTTTCTGTCGTCTCCGCACTCATCTCAGTCGTCGTTGATTTCCTCTTTCTTTTCTTCGGTTTGATGTACCTCAAATTCCTCACCAGGAAGCTTTTCTTCAGCGTTTTCGGTCCTTTCGCTCGTTCGTGCAGCGTTCGGTACAGCATCACCAAATCTTGGTAGTGGTTCTTAAACGTGTTCGAATCTGGCTGCGCGATCGACCCCGGCTCCTGATTTCTCGTTTGCTGCTGCTGCGTGTTGTTAGTATTATTATTTGGCGTTTGTGCGACTCCCGTCGTTACCACCCTCGTCGGTTGTTGCTTTTTAACATTATTCACCGTCGTCATCTCTCGCTGCTTTTTAAGCGCCTCCTCCTCCTCCTCCTCCATGGTTGAGAAATCTTGAATCAAATCCGTCAAAGTTGTGACGCTCGGGGAAATCATCATCGAGAGCGAGAGCTTATAGAGCAAAAGATGGGACTGAACTACACGCGTGGGTCGACCATCATCAAGACGACGACGACGAAAAACAACAACAGCGATCATCGTCGAGAAGTTCCTAAAAGAGACGACGAAGAGACGGAGACGAGAATACGAGGTGAAAGCAGACACCCGACGAACGTTTTGCACGTTTCGAACATCTCCCCGAGACTGACGGGACACCACGTGAGGGAGATTTTCAACGCGTACCAACTCAACGAGAAGAACGAACATCGCGGGATCGAAAACGTCTCCTTCGGCCACGGGAGGAAGTTTTGTCGCGTGCAATTTCGGGAGCTGGAAGACGCGGAATACGCGAGGGAGAACTTGGACGGCGGGGAAATCGACGGGAGGGAGATTAAGGTAGCCTTTGTCGATTCGGTGAGTTGCGTCGAGAAGGGAGGAGTCGGCGGCGGCGCAGCGGAGGAGGAGAGGAGAGGATTTGGCGGCTTTGGAGGGTACGAGAATAATAGGAATAACACGTTCGATAATAATAACGGTAGAGGAGATAGCGGTACTTTTAGAGGGAGGAGGAGAGATTTCGGCGGCGGCGGGTATACTACGAACAACAACGCCAATAACGGAACGCACGCCGCCAGAGAATACGGCGGGAGACGAACGTCGCGGTCGCGTTCGCCTCCGCGGAGAAGAGATAGCGGAACGTACAGAGGAAGAGACAGAGATAGAAGACGAGGGTATTCTGGATCTCGATCTCGTTCGCCTCCTTCGGCGTCTCGTTCTCGATCTCGGTCTCGCTCTCGCTCGAGAGAGCGGTACGGCCGAAGAGGCCGAGTTGAACGAAGTAGACGACGCCACGATCGTTCGCGATCTCGATCGCCGCCTTCGCGAAGAAGAAAGTCGTCTGGGAGTTACGACGATGACGACGATAAAGATAACGCGATGGATGATGGCGGTAAACAAGGACGCCGAAGGTCATCTCGGAGAGACGCGCCGTACCGACGAAGAAACAGGTCGCCATCGCATTCGCGTTCAAGGTCTCCAGACAAGCGAAGAGGAAGAGGAAGGAGAGGTAATCGAGAGTATTCGGAGTAGGAGCAAAAAAGTAACGATAAGAAAAGTAGGAAAATACACGCGACTACTGCACGCGACGACATTCGCAAAAAATCATCTTCTAGATATTACACGTCCTCTCTAACTACCTCTACGAACCTTCTTTCTCTCTCTCTCTCTCTCTCTCTTTTCACGTCGCGCTCCCATCCCCAACCTCCTCTGCTATCTTCACCGCGACATCACCCAAAGTCTCCGGCATTAATCTCTGCGCGACTAAAAAATAAATCACCAACCCGCTGCTATCTACGATCGTCGTCATCAACGGCGCCGACGTCACCGCGGGATTAAAACCCAGCTTCACCGCGAACAGCGGCAACCCGGCGCCTAACACGTTCGCCCACACGCTCACCAAAGGTAACGATATCGCCACCACCAAACCAATCAGAGGCGATATGCCTTCCCACACCAGCGATAACACGAACACTAACATCCCCAAAAACCCGCCCATGATGAACCCGGAGACGGCTTCTTTGAACAGAACCTGAAGAACTTCGCGCGTATTTTCCGGTTTTATCTGTTTCAAAGCGATCGCTCGTATAACGGTCGCGACCGATTGCGACCCGGTGTTCCCACCGTGCCCGATTAATAACGGGACGAAATACGACAGCTCTACTTCGTGCGTTAACAGCTCTTCGAATCGTTCCACCACCACCGCGGCTAAGATTAAGCCGAGGAAAAACGCGCTCAACCATCCGATTCTGCTCTTCAGTATCTTCACGACGGACTCTTTGCGGTAATCTCCAACGAGAGAATGAACAGTATTCGAGTGTTGTTGCTGATTTTGGTGGTGAACTTCTCCTCCTATTCTGTCTCCTCCGACCGTAGTATTGTTCTCCTTCGCACTCGTCTCCGTCGCGAGAGCACTCTCTGCGAGCATTATCATCTCGTCGTATTGACTCTCAACGCTTCTTTGATGTAATGAAGACATTTGTCCAATTTCCCGGCATTACTTTCGAGCGTAAATCACGCGCAAAGAGGAGCATGTCTTCATCATCATCGCACAAGAACCGAGTGGAAGGCATCTCCGGGGCAATCGCGGGATTGTTGGCGTTGCTCGCGACGTATCCACTGATCACGCTGAATACGAGGCAGCACGTTCGAGAGAAGACGAAGACGAAGACAAAGTCGACGACTGGTTCGACGGGGAAAGAGGAGGTCGACTTTGAAGACGATGAAGACGTCGAGAAGAAGACCGAGAGGATAAAGCGCGGAGAGAAACCGAGAGTGCGATTGGTGTTGCCGATGGTGTCGTCAAAAACGAGAGACGAAGAAGACGAAGATGATTCGACGACGATGCAAACGAAACTGGAAAAGTTGAAGAAATTATACGTGGGGGTGAAACCAGCCTCGATTGGGACGGTGTGTTCGCAAGGCGTGTATTACTATTGGTTTTCGGTATTCAACGGCGAATATTTACGCCTGAAACGAGAACGACTTTTAGGACGACATCAGCGAGAGGAACAGAGCGTATTTTTAACACCGATTGAGAGTTTACTCACGGCGAGTTTAGCCGGGTGCGTGAACGTCGGGTTGACGCTGCCGATATGGACGGTGGTGGCGAAGATGCAAGTCGTGTCGAAGACGTCGTCCAGTCGAGGACGGAGCATCGGTGAGGAGAAGGACGACGAGAGTGAGAGCGAAGAGGAGGAGGCACACAAGTGGTCGGCTGTGAAAAAGAAGAAGGGTGGAGTTTCGAGTAGTGTCGATGCGACGCGCCGCGAGAGGCGAGACGAGGCGAAAGCGCTTGGATTTTGGACCGTGGCGAAGGAAGTGTACGATACTTCCGGCGTCGCCGGATTTTACGGAGGCTTATCCGCGTCGTTGATTATGGTCACTAATCCGGCGTTACAGTTTGCAATCTACGAGACTTTGAGGCAGAAACAACGCGGTAATAGTAATAGTAGAAATAGTAGTACCAACGCCATTAGCGCTTTGGACGCGTTCTTTTTAGGAGCGACGGCAAAAATTGGAGCCACGTTAGCGACGTACCCGATGTTGGTGATTAAGTCAAGGTTACAGGTTGGAAGAAGAGGCGTTGTAGGAACGACGAAGAAGAGCAGCATCAAAGCAGATGGTAAGAACGGAAATAATAGTAAAGAGTACGACGGTATCGTAGACTGCGTGAAAGATTTATACACCAACGAAGGCGGCTTTTTTGCTTTTTACGACGGGTTGACGACGAAACTTTCCCAGACCGCGTTGTGCGCGGCGTTGATGTTCTCGTCGAAGGAAGAAATTTCGCGTCGCGTAGACGAAGCGGCGGTTCGCATTCTACAAAGATATGCGAGCAGTAAGTAAAATGATGAACAGCACAAAATAGGTAGTAAAAAATTGATGATGTTTGGTTGTGTATGTATCGCGCATTGCGCTTCATTTCTCTCTCTCTCTCTCTCTCTCTAGTTTTCCGCTTCGTTCGCTTTTTTCTTCGCTTGGATGATGCATTGAATCGATTCTGGATTCGCCACCGCGCTTAAATCTCCAAAGTCACCCGTCAAATCACCTTTGGCAATCTTGCGTAAAACTCTTCGAACGAGCTTTCCCGAGCGCGTCTTGGGAATTCCAGTGCCTGGCTGGAGAAGCAAAATCCCACCGGTTGGTTTTGCAAACGAACCGATTTCCTTCGCGCATGTGTCCATGAGATCTCTTACAATCAACTGCTCCGGGGTATACTTGGATGATTTCAATTCCGCTTTCTCTTTCAAAAATTGAATATCTTCTCTCAGCGAGCAAAACGCGAACAACTCTTGGCCTTTAATCTCAGACGGGATGCCTACGACCGCGGCTTCGGTTACAAACACGTTCCGAGCGAGCGCGTTTTCGACTTCAGCCGTGCCAATTCTGTGACCAGAGCAGTTGATTACATCGTCGACTCGCCCGGTGATGTAGTATTGCCCATCTTCGTCTCTTCTCGCGCCATCGCCGGAGACGTAGTACCCGTCAATCTCTTGAAAATACGACTTGACGTATCGTTCGTGATTTTTGTAAATGTCGCGAAACATCCCAGGTAACGCGGGAGGTTTTAACGCGAGCAGACCTTCCACGTTTGGTCCATCTAATTCTTTCCCGGTTTGCGGGTCGAGAATCGCAGGAATGCATCCGTAGAAAGGTAATCCGCATCTCCCCGGTTTCTGTTCGCCGACGTTCGGTAAAGATAAGATGACGTGTCCGCCGGTTTCGGTTTGCCACCACGTATCAACTATTGGCAACTTTCCCTCGCCGACGACGTCGTGGAACCACGTCCACGCGGATTCGCCGATAGGTTCTCCAACCGTTCCTAAGATCTCCAAAGAATCTCGTTTCGTTTTCGTGACCCACTCGTCGCCTTGTTTCTTCAAAGATCGAATAACAGTTGGTGCGGTGTATAAAACTTTTGCGCGATATTTGTCGCAAATTTCCCACAATCGACTCGCGTTCGGGTAATCTGGTTTACCTTCGTATAAAATCGAGGTGCAACCGTTCAGTAACGGACCGTAGACAAGATACGAGTGACCCGTTATCCATCCGACGTCTGCGGTGCAAAATGTCACGTCGCCAGCTTTTACGTTAAACGCTTCTTTCATCGTCTCCCCGACGTGAACCATATATCCGCCAATCACGTGAACGACACCTTTGGGTGCGCCCGTTGACCCGCTCGTATACAAAATAAACGCTGGGTCTTCCGCGTCGCGCCAGATCGTCACCGGCGGAGGTCGCGACTCTTGCTCGTCCAACGCCAAATCAAAACCTGTTATTTTTCAAAGCAAAAAGAGAAGAGAGTTATAAGTTAGCGTCAGTTTCCTACTTTCAAGAAGGCATAAACCATAATATGGACGCATGATGCCGTGCGGCGCGTCCGTCCAAGCGGGTGACATTTCATTACCTCCGTGTCGTTGTTTGTACGCGGCTAATATCTCCGCTTTTTCCTTTGGCCAATCCGTGTGCGGCTCCGATCCGGGCAAGTTAAAGTGACACACTCTTTCCTCGATTCGATGCCCTTGTATCTCGCAAATTTTTTCCGCTTCGGCGACAATCTTAAACAACTCAATCGCCTTTCCGCCTCGATACGACATCGCCGCCGATACCAAAACTTTAGCCTCGCTATCGATGATTCTTTTCGCCAACGCCTCCGCAGAGTACCCGGCGAAAACGACGTTATGCACCGCGCCGATCCTCGCGCACGCCATCATCGTCACCACAACCTCTGGAATCATCGGTAAGTAACACACAACCACATCCCCCGGTTTCACGTTGCACACGTAAATCAAGTGATTGGCTAACTTATCGCTCTTCTCTTTCAACTCCAAATACGTGAGCGTTTCGCACCGCTTCTCTCGCTCGAAGCCTTCGTCGGACTCAAAAATAATCGCCGGCGCGTCTCCTAAACCTTTCTCGATGTTTCGATCCAAACAGTTGTACGCTATATTTGTCTTCGCGCCTTTAAAGAACTCGACGTTTACGTCGCCTTTCCTCGCGTCGAAATTTTCGCGTTCGTTGTGTTCGTTGTGTTTGAAAAACTCGTCTCGATTTTCCCAACTATAGTTCTCGTACGCGAGTTCGGCCCAAAACGCACCCGGGTGCCGAATCGAATACCGATACTTCTCCTGATACCGTTTCAACTGCTCGCGAGGATCGTCCGTGACGACTTCAATCGTTTCTTTCTCCACGCTCGAGGAGTGGATCGTCGCGTGCGATGGTCCCAAAACCGAAGGAGGAACTTCTTCTTCTTCTTTTGCGCGCTTCTTTGTCTCTTTCTCCGACGACGACGACGCGCGAACCCTCAACATTCTCTTCGCCCCGTGGTTCTTTCTTCTCCCGCTGCTGCTGCTTCGAAATACTGCCGTCGTCGTCGACGACGATGCTGGGAGCATCAGCGTCATCGCGCAACTGTTTGCGTTTTAAAGTGAAGCAGAGAGATCTATTATCGCGTATTTTTTAGATACAGAATTTATTACAAAAGCGATTTTTGAAATGATGATGTTGTTGATGATGAGATGATGATAAAGAGGAGAAGAAGTTTCTTCCTTTTATATCTCAAACTATTACTCGTCGTCGTCCATGTAAAAACCGACGTCGGTCATGCACGTCGGACACTCGCTGTGACCTCGTTCGTTCCATTCGACGATACACGCGAGATGGAAGTGGTGCGCGCACGCTAAGGTGATTTTCGGGTTATCTTCTTGGTACTCCTCGAAACAGGTTGGGCAACAGTTGGTGTCGTCAAAAGGTGTCGATGGACGGTCTTCTTCTTTTTCGTGTTGTTGCACATCGTCTTTGTTATTGTTGTTACTCTTTTCGAGCGCTTGGAAGATGGAGGCGCGCAAATCGTTCGGTTCTTTGCCGTTGTTCGACCCGTCTCTTTCAAATTTCGCCGCCGGTACGAGGGAAAGACTTCTAAAGTGCCTCGACGTGGAAGTGGATGCAATTGTCGCACCAGTTGTCGCGCTTCGCCGGACGACGTTCTTCTGTTCTATTTGCGCTTGCTGCTCGTCTTCTCCGTCGTCTTCGAACGCTTTATAACTATCGTTTATAACAATCGGAGATATCAACCTGGACATCCGCGACGTTCGCCCGCCGCTCGGCGGCTCCTTCCCGCTGCTATTGCTACTGTTGTTGTTACGAAAGTGACCAGTAACTTTCGGCGGCGGCTCCGATTCCGTCCTTCGATGTTTGCCTTTTTTATTATTATTTTTATTACTACTCCCGCTCGCGCCGACGCCAAAGCCCCTCCGCATAAACGACGCGGACAAAGATTCCACTTTATTCCCGCTCTCCCGATCGTCGCTTAATCTCCCTTTTTTCAACAGTCTCACCTCCTGTTCGTCCTTGTTCGAGGTAGTTTCCGAACCTTCTTCCATCTCGTCTCCTTCTTCTTCTTTGTTGTCGCTCTGGATCGCCGAAGCGCTCTTTTCCTCCTCCAACTGCTCTTCCTCCTCCTCCTCTCCTCCTCGGTCTTCTTGGTCTTCTTCTTCTTCTTGAGACCCATTTCCCATCATAAACTTCGCGAACGGATTCTTCACCCCGAAAACGTACTCCGAGGACATCGTTTGCCGATGGCCTCGGTGTTGATGTTGGCGAAACCGTCCGTCCATTTCCCGGCGCGCGTTGTTGGTGATTCGTTGACGATTGTGATTTGACGATGCGTTTCTCCCCGTTGATCTTCTTCTTCTTTCATTTTCGTCGTCGGTCGCGGTCGTCGACGAGAAACAACACCCCATCGTCGGTAGAGAGTATTAGAGAGTGTATCTGTTTGTTCGTTTATTCTTTCGATGTATCGAGTGCTTTGCGCGAGAGAGAGTCTAAGAGAGAAAAGAATGGAAGAAGGAGAGATATGAGTTCGTTAGTTGTGGGGTGAAAAGACACTTACGTTTCAGTCAAAAGAAGAGCTTTTGGTGGATTTTAGTAAAGCGTGCGATTTATTTTTCGCTCTCTCTTCTGGTGTTCTTGTTCTTCTGTTCTTCTTCTCTTCGCGCGTGGTGCGTGTCGTTGAGGAGGGGAGCATTTCTTAAATATGATTTGACGATAGTTTTATTACATTATACTCTTCGTCGTCGCGGCTGCGCATCGCGTCTCTTCGCTTTTCTCTCCGATTCATCCGGTATTATTATTACTTATTATGTTGGTAGTAGTATTACACAGCAGTAGCGCTTTTTCGGACTTCTTTCTCGCTGCTGCTGTTCCCTAACTTTTTTCTCGTTTTTCTAAAACGGCACTGCTAATCTTCTGCTCAACCATAACCCAAAGGCTAACGCTACGCCGTGAGCCACGTGCCATCTCACCGCGAAATATTTCGTCTTGAACAACATCTTTTCGTTTTCCACGTTATCCAACGCGTAGTTTTGCATCGCTCTCGCTAATGGGTAGGTGATAAAAATCATCGCTCCGGCAACGGAAGGTAACCATCCGCACGAGACGAACGTCGCGATCAAGGCGTAATAGGCGGAAACGACGTGTTGAATCGAGCTGACGCAAAAATCCACGCCGAATCGAACGCACGGCGACAACTTCCCGCTCACCTCGTCCCCTTCTCTTTGGTGCAAATGACTGGCGAATAGAATCATGCTCGTCGTCACGCCAACCATCCACGCGTTGACCCATAACAACGGAGGCACGTTCAAAAAACTCGGCAAGTTTGCGCCCGCAAACACCGCGAAAAACGCGCTCGTCGCCAAAGGTCCAAACGCGGTAAAGCACAACGGCTCCCCCAACCCTTTATAGGACAACCGCAAAGGCGGCGCTTGATACGCATACCCGCACCCGATCGCCAGCAACAACGCCATCGGCGCCACAGCCGGTGCGTTTGCAAAAAGCGGCAACAAAGTCACCACCCCGGCGATTAAAAAGAACGCGCTCGTCACGTGCGCCGCCTTGACGTCTCCGTTTAATAAATTCACAATCGATTCCGGTTTCCTGTTCCCACTATCCACTCCAGTCTGATAATCCCACGCGTCGTTCGATATGTTCAGCCACGCGATCACCGAACACGCGCCTAAGAGTAAACGTAACGTCAAGTTCATCGCGCTCGCGCCAATTTTTGGGTCAATCAGGTTAAGATAACTCGCCGAAGAAGCAGCGACTAAAACGGGAATTATGGCCACCGAATACATCGGCAGTTTCGCGCAACGCCACCACAAACTGCTCGAGCTCAGTTCTCTCTCTTTAGAGTTGTTGTTGTTATTTGAGTTGTTGTTTGAGTTGTTGTTGTGAGCGTTATTGTTTGTATTTGAAGACGAAGAGGAGGAAGAGGAAGCCGATTCGAAGAACGAATTGGACGAAAAACTCTGCAGCCGCCTTCGCCTTCTGTACTTTTCCTCCTTTTCCTCCGTAGTATTCTCGCGATGACCCCGGGGACGACGACGATTCCGAGGACGAGTGCTACTAAACGAATCGTCGTAAGAATTATTATGAGAAGAAGAACACGACGCGCTGTTTCTCCGATGACTTCTACTCTCGCGACGAAGATGATGACGATGATGATGATGATGATAATAATTGTCGTCCAATTCTCCCTTCGTCCTCGTCCTCCTTTGCGTAAGAGCAGTCGCGCTTTTACTCACACTAAACCTCGATTTTGAGGAAAACGAAAGCGCACGAGACGACGCCTCCATCGTTCTCTCAACTCTTTGTTTTTTCGATCTTCGTTGTCTGTCTGTCTGTTTCTTTTTCTCTTTCGCGTGCGCGAGTGTGTTGTTGTGTGCGGAAATTCTCTCTCGCGAGTAGTGCTGAGAATTTTATTTTTTCCTTGAAACACTAAATGTAAAACAAGTATATTCCTTATTTTGTGTTTAACTCTTATCTGTCGTTCATACCACGTGAAATCCATCGCTTCCCATCAGCACAGCGAAATTAAGCCACGTTGGGCGCCAATAGTATTGCGGTTAGTAATAACGTGAGAAGTCGGCGTGATGACAGGTTTTCTTTTTGCTTTTTGTACGTGTGTTTCTCTTAATTTCAATTCTGAGCTGTTTCTAGCACCATATCTCTATGTATGTATTGTCTCTCTGCGTTCTCCGCGTATTTCGCGCATTCGAAATCGGAAGAAGCTCCTCGTATTCTTTTTTGTTGATGAATGATACCTATGATTTTAAATCGTGTGTAGCTCTCCATGTTCGTATCGCCAACCAAACGGTAACGGACAGTTATTGTCGAGGAGGTATTGTACACATTCGGGGTGGTTGTTCTCGTGCGCTTTTCGTACGGCGTCGGCGTCCCAAGGCGCTTTGGCGGTTTCGCGCAAGTACTTCAAACAGTCTAACTGACCTTTTTCGGCTGTATTCGCACACGCCAACACGCTATATTTATCATACTTGCGTTCAACAAGATATTCGAGTATGTGAAGATCACCATTAAAAGCCGCGCAACTGGCAGTATCCAAATCCCAAGGCGCTTTCGCTTCTTCGTGTAAGTATTTGAGTACCTCGAGATGACCTTTCCAGGCAGCACCTGCACACGCCGTCTCATTGATAGGACACTTCTTTGCAACGCAATACTTCACCATTTCCAGATTACCTTTTTGTGCGGCCGCAATAATCGTATATTTATCCCACTTACACTTTTTCTCCTCTCGCGCCCACTTGAGCAACTCGAGTTTATTCGTACAAGCAACTCGAACGCAGAAAAGTGTTTCGTCCTTCCACAACCCCCGTCGATTCTCCCAAGCAACTTCCAAAGTCGATATCGACGACATCTCTTCAAATTTAAACTTCTCTTTCAAATCACCCGCGCGAGATGATCTCTTCACCAACGCTCTCGTCTCTGTATTCACTCCGTACAAGAATTTCACATCCGTCGAATTCAATCTCGGCAGAATGTGTTTAAAACAAATATCGTCGTTCTTCACAATCACGTCCCATAAATCTCTCTGACCAACCTTCCTCTTCCGCATTCTCGTCGTAACTCCTTCTGCAGACATCATCAATCAGCTTTTTTTGCAACGCTGCTCTCTTTCAATAAAAGGACATTGTTTTATATTCGTCGTCATTCGAGAGCGTCCTTTCTTTGAAAGACTTTTAATATGGGGAGAAAATGCCATGCATACAGTTGAGGAGTTGAACACATGAATGTTTTTGGGCGGTTTGAGAAAGGAGATTTCTCTCATCAAAATTTTGGTTTGTGGCTGTGATTTTATTTCGTTCGTGTTTTGTTGTTTTGTTTTCATCCCCGAAACGTCGTGAGAAACAGAAACAGAAGAAGACAACTAAGAAGAAGAAGAGGGACAGAAGAAGAACCCCTCTGTTAACACGGAGAGAGAGAGAGAGAGAGAGAGAGAGAGAGAGAGAACCATCATGTTTTTGTCGTTCGCGGCGAGAGAAGGAAGGAAACGAGCAGCAGCGAGTGGTGGTGCTTTTTTTTCCTCCTCCTCCTCGGGAAATACTACGAAAAGCGGATTGATGATGATGATGATGTTGAAGGAGACGACGACGGTGGGTGTTGGTGGGTCGAGTGCGATAAAAAAATGCGCGACGACAACCATCCCGCGGCGTTTGATTTCTTCCTCGTCGTCGTCTTCTTCCTCGGCGAGCGTTAAAGTTGTTCAGAAAGAACTCCTCCTCGCGAAAAGAGGGATGATGAGGAAAGAAGCGAGAAGAAGGACGTTCGCCTCGGATGTCGCCGCCGGACAACAAACGCAACAACACAGCGCGAAAGGAGAATTCCGGTTACTTCCAAAAATATGCTCCATCGCTGATATGAAGCTCAACGAGATGCAGTTTTTCCAAAAGACGATACCGTTTTTACGGTGCACGTCCTCGTCCAGTAGAAACGGCATGACGCTTACCGAGCTGTGCGGCCACTCGGCGTTTGTTTTGCTCGGATGGTCCTACGTCGTCGACGATCCGTTCTTGTTGCGATGTTTAGCCACGGCGAGTTTTACCGCGCAAATTTGTTTCCAGTTTTTTAGAGAGAAGCCGTTGTGGTTGCCGATTCGATGGAACGTGTTGTTCGTAGGGGTGAATATGATTTGGATAGCGAAGATGTTGAACGAGTACAGCGAAAAATCGTTGAAAGATTTGACGAGCGAGGAGAGGGAGGTGTACGATGCGTTCTTTAAAGTCAAAGAGAAAGAAGTGGTGACGATGTCGTCGTCGGAAGTTGAAGAGACGAACAGTCGCGGCGAGAAAGTAGTATCGGCGGCGCCGAAGAAAACGACAAAGACGTATCGAACGCACCAGATTCACCCGAGCGATTTCAAAGAGTTGGTGAAACTCGGCGAGTGGAAAGAGTTGAAAGGAGGCGATGTTATTGCGGTCAAAGGGAAGGTGAATACAAACATTTACGCGATTGTAGACGGTGCAGTTGCGTTGACATTAGACGATTCGGTGGTACCGGTTGCGGCGAGCGCGCGAGAGAAGACGGCTGCCACGACGAAGAAGAGCGCCTCCTTGCCGGCTAATAATAATATTAGTAAAAATATCTTGCGAAGAGGCAAGTTTGTCGGCGAAATGGCGTTGAGTCACGGTGCCGCTTTCGGTACCGTCGTCGTTGAAAAAGAAGGCGCGAAAGTCATGGTTTGGGACACACACAAATTAAGAGAATTTGTGATGGAAAATCCTCGCGCGATGAACTCCGTGCAAGCGTCGTTTGGTCGATCTTTAGTCGAGAAGATGAAAATCGTCGGCATGGAGTGAATGAAAAGCAGGAGAAGAAATGTACTATTATATAACAACACACAAATCACGCTTTTTTTTAGCAAGAGCAGTAGTAGCGATACGGACAAAGTTATCATCTCGTAGTTTTAATGAGAAAAACAACAAGAGTAATACTACCTAAGGTAGTATGTAACACTATTCATTATTGATTTGATTTTATATACGAGCACGTGTATACCAATGGTAGTATCAACGCGCTTTCACTATAGGGACTACTAAGCGCTAAGCGTCATCTCTAAAAGTTTTACAAACTGCTAATCTGCTATTACATAATCGTACACTGCTCGACCGAAAACCCGGGTTTGGGTTGATATCCTCCAAACCCTCTCTCTGGGCACTGGATCAACTCACCGACCCGTAACTCTCTCCACACCTCCCTCGCCCTTTTCGAGTGCATGTCAAAATCCTCGGAATTGTCTCTCCCGGCGCCTTTCATCATCACCTCTCTCCCGGCTGGATGAAAGCGCACAAACGCAGACGCTTCGTACACGTTCCCGTGCGCGACTAACCAAACTTTTTCGTCCTCTTCACCTTCTCTTTCTCTCGCGCGTTTTCGCAATCGGTCGATGTCGCAACACGTAAACCGACTCGATCGATGATGGTGATGATTTATTGTACCCGTCGTCTTTGCTTCTCGTCTTTTTGTCCCACCACCTTTAAGAGTATCTCTCATCATCGACGACGAAACCAACACCAACATGCTCGCGCAAAACTCGCACTCTTTCAGCGAGCAGTAATACGCACAACTCGCGCATCCGTAACACCTCTCGCTTCTCCGTTTCGTTTCTTTAATATTCTTTATTTCTTCTACTTCTTCTTCTTCTTCTTCTTCTTCTTCGGGTGGTGATTGACCGTTTCGCGCATCCGGCGCGAGCGCTCTTCGCTCTCCGTTCCTCTCTGTTGTTCTTTTCAAGGGGGCACACGCCGCCTCGATATCGTCTGCCATCATTTCTTTCCCAACGCTACGTATGGTTTCCTCCGAGGACGAGGACGACCTGCTGCTCGTCTCTACATCCGTCGTTTGAAGAGTAGTATTATTCCTGATGTTTTGGTGGAACGCGTCGATCGCGTTCATCACCGTTTGCTTCTGCATCGTTCGACTCGTCGAAGTCCCATCCGTTTCCCCCGTTTTGGAATCCCCCGCGATGGATTTCGAATTCGTCGTCGTTTCCGTCGTCGTCGAGATCGGAGGCTTCGAGTGCGAGAGATTCTCGATGGTCTCCTGGACGTCGTGTTTAGGGACGTGCTGTCGAGCGCGATGGCGCGAGGACGAGCCCATCCTCCCACTGTCTTTGTGTCTCACTCTCGACTTTTTGTGAAGTAAAACAACGAGGTAACAACAATGGAAGAAAGTAAATATTATTGCGCGCAAAACGAGAATGTTTTTCAAAAGTGAGATGATATTTACAACGCACCGACGTCTCTGAAACGCGAAAGTGCGGCACCCACGCCGCCGCTTTTGTTTGAGAATTTCTTTTTCTTTTTCTTTTTGTTGTTGTTTATGTTGTTGTTGCTGTTACTCCTCGGCGGCGCGACGGATGGCGCAGGCGTCGCTCTCGTCTCTTTCTCTTCTTCTTTCTCTTCGACTTCAGATGCGGGAACGATCGCATCGGAGGCTAACGGTACGGCTTCGCCTTTGCACCAACTTGGCAATGGTGCTTGCGCGTTCGGGTTGACGCGCCAATCGCGCGATAAGTGCGATAAAGGGCGCATCGGGCCGATCGCTTTGTTCAACGCGTTTAATCTTTCGATGGTATCTTCGGCTTCTTGGCGCACTTCCGTCTCCGCGCGAGGGTCACTTTCGATCGTTTCGACGAGGTATCGCGCTTGATGGTCTTTGAGAATTTTTCCAAACGCGTTCTCTGGACGGACAAAATAGCGGTACCCGCCATGTGCGGCGTTTTCTTCGTCGTGGAGTAAAATCATACCTCTCGCTTCCAACTCTTCCGCGGATAAGCCTTCGAGACAATCACGTTTCAAGTGCAACTCTTTTCCAGCGCACTTGTCGTTCGCGCACCATTCTAGTTGTTGTTGTTGTTGTTGTTGTTGTTGTTGTAGATCGTCCTCTCTTCCAGCTTGTTCTTGCGTTCGTGTTGGCGCGTGTCCGCGCGGAACACCTAGCGCAGACGGCGGTATTAACCCCGCGCCGTTTCTCAACTCTTTTGGCACGTCTCTGAACACAGCCGTCGCGTCCAACTGGTTCCAAATCGAACGTCCACCAATGCACACAATTTCAGCAAAATCGTCAAAAGAAAGCTCTAAAAGACCGTTTGATTGGTAAGGAGGTGGCGCCGGTAAATTTTTCTCAAACCACAATTGCCCGGCTGAAATCGCCCGATCCTCTGGATTCGGACGAAGTCTGATCGTTTTATTCTTCACGTCTACGTATTGGACAGAACCTCTTAGCCATTTGGACACTTCGGGAGTGCCATCGGTTTCGTTAATCGTCAACGTTTTGTACGCTAAAATATCCGAGCGCAGAACATTCGATATATCCTTCACTCGTTTCGCTCTTTGCATCGTCTTCCTATCCTCGCCTAAAAGCTTCGCTTTCTTCTCCTCCAACTCTTCCTTTGCGAGCATATCGTCCACGTTCTCGTCGCACCTAAAAATATGCATCCACGCGGCGAGCGGGTCGTCCTCCGCTAACTTCCCGTTCTCCTCTATGCTAAACTGTTCTTCAATCTTCTCGTTATGTATGACGTAATCGTGAGGTTTCATCTTCTTTACCTTTCGCCACTCCTTTTCGTTCTTCGGCCAATCGACTAACGCGTTGTTCCTCCCAAACCTCTTCTGCGCTCTCAACTTTTCAAACGCTTTGATTGCATACCGTTCCGTCTCTTCTTCTTCTTCTTCTTGTTTTTCTTTCTCTTTGCATTTTCTCTTCTCGTCCGGAAAACCGCCTTCGGTTATCGACTTCACTTTCGCCTCTCGTTCTCTCGCGCCGCTACTGCTACTGCTACTGCTACTGCTACCACTGCTCCTACCGCCGCCCGCGCTTCTACCCGCGCTAATAATGTTACTCCTATCGAGTTCTATTCTTCGTTTCTTCTTCGGCACCGTGCCACCACTACCACCACCATCGCCTTTTCCTTCTACACGTACTCTTTTCTCTTCTCTTTTCATCCTTCTTTTATTCGCTTTCCGTTCCGCGCTTCGACTCCTAAATTTTTCCTCCTTCTTCGTTTTTGTATCTAATTCCTCTTCCTCTTCCTCTTCGCTGCTGCTGCTGCTTTCTTCGCCGTACCTCGCTGTGATTCGCTCGTCGTCTCTCAAAATGTTCATCGGACTGGATTCGAGCAACTCGTAGCCTCCGTCCAAGGACAATCGAAGTCCTCCGCTCTTCTTCGTCGTCATGTCTTTCCGCCGTCGATTGGAAAATATCGATGCCAACTTTGTCTCGATGAAGTCTTTGACTGTTTTACACGACGACGGCACGTCGAGGACGAGCTTTTTATTCTTCTTCGAGCGGTCGGAAGAAGACGAGCAGAGCTCCACGCGCACGCGAGGAGGCGTGCTCATCTCTCGTTCTTCTTCTTCTTCTTCTTCTCCGCGCACGATGTGCAACTCTTTTGTGTGACTTTTTTATGAAGAAGCGAGAGAGATACACTCTATAATAAAACTGTTTAAACGCTAAAACAACATCTCGAGTACAGGGCGCATCCACGTTCGAACGACGTCTAAACTTCCGTACCACGGATAAATATCGTCCTTCTCGTGTTTCACGCCTTCGATGGCGACTTCGATCGCTTCCGGGCCTAATCCGAGGCCGGACGAGACGCACGTGACGCTATCGCCGTCGGCGCTCGCGTCCTGACAATCGGTTTTATACGAAATGCCGTGCTTGATTTCCTCGAATAAAGTTTTCCAGTCCGTCGTTTTCGTCGTCGTCGTGTTCGAGATGGATGATATGAAGTCGGTAAATTTGAACGGTCTGCCTTTGAAGCCGGTGCCTTGTACTGTTACGTACTTCATCCCCGAGTGGAAACAGTTCGGGTATAATCGTCGCGTTTCTTGTAAACTCGTCTCCTCGTCGTCATCTCCTCCGTTTATTGACGATTTCTCTCTCGTTCGCACCTCTTTCACCCGCCCAAACGGATACGCCTCTGCGCTGTTGTGCGGCGTACCTAGCGTGACGAGCGCCGCCACGGTTTTAGCTTTGTATCCTTCGTACAATTTCCCGTCGTACTTTATCGATTTCCCGCCGAGAAAGAGCCGAGCAATCCAACCGCCCGCGCTGTGCCCAATCAAAATAATTCTCGTCTCCTCTTCGTCGTCGTCGTCGTCGCTCTCTTTTGCAGGTCGAAACGCGATGGCGTCTTCGATCGCGTCCAAGATTTTCCTCAAGCTTTCTCCTCGAAAAGTCACCGGAATCCACCAATCTCTCTCAATTTTCGCCACGGAAACGTCCAACACGTCGAGATTACTCTCCTCCTCCAAAGAATTTCGAAACTCCTTCAAAACCGTCTCCACGTGCTCTCGCATCTCCCGGTAACTCTCGTGTCCTCGCAAAAATCCCGGGATAATCACGCATTTTATTTTCTTCTTCTTCTTCTTCTCCCTCTTAACTGTTTTTCCATCGTCATCATCATTTACACTCAAACTTCTTTCTCCTCCTCCTCTTACTATTCTTCTCCTGATAACACTACTACTCTCAGCTCTTCCGCTCTTTCTCTTCTCCTTGTCGTTTCCGGCGACGCAGTAGTGGCAGCCTTGGCGGCGCAGAAATTTTGCCCCGAAGAAAGCGCCTCCCATTAGTATTCTTTTTGCCTCATATCACATCAGAGATTTGTTTTTTTTTTGTCCTGCTTTTTTGAAAAAGTTGCTTTCTGTGTCTGTCTGATTCTTTGAAAAGGAGAGAGAATTTTTTTTTTTTGACTCTTCTGTTTTAATTTTTGTCTCGCGTGTTGCAACATGCGTTTTTTGATTTTTGAATTGTCTTGACTCTTTATAAAAAACTCGCCCGAAGAGAATCATCGAAATGGTCTGGCCGTTCGATTGGTTCTACGACATTCTCTCCACCTTGGGGTTGTGGAAGAAAGACGCGAAGATCTTGTTTTTGGTACGTTTGAACGCGCGGCGCTTCTCTCTCGTCGACGTTCTTTTCGGCGCTTCTTTTTCTTTTCTTCTCTTTTTTCTTTATCGTTTATGAGTCGTAGATCTCTTTCTCTCGTTCTCTCGATCGTCGCGGGGAGATGAGATGAGATGAATCAGAGCTTTCTTTGTCTGTGTACTGACAAACCGTAAACTCAAAACAACAGGGCCTAGACAATGCCGGGAAAACGACACTCATGCACATGCTGAAAGACGAACGATTAGCGCAGCACCAACCGACGCAATACCCAACGTCCGAGGAGTTATCGATTGGACAAATCAGATTTAAGGCGTTCGATCTCGGCGGGCACGAAGTCGCGAGGAGAGTGTGGAAGGATTATTACGCGAAAGTGGACGCGATCGTATTTTTAGTCGATGCGGTGGATAAGGAGAGATTTATCGAGTCGAAGAAAGAGCTCGATCACTTGTTAGGCGACGACTCGTTGGCGAGAGTACCGTTTTTGATATTAGGAAATAAAATCGACGTGCCGCACGCGGCGAGCGAAGAGGAGTTGAGACATTGCTTGGGTTTGTCGAATTACACGACTGGGAAAGGGAAAGTGAACTTAGAGGCGTCGAATATGCGACCGATTGAGGTGTTTATGTGTTCGGTGGTGAGAAGGATGGGTTACGGGGAAGGCTTTAGATGGGTATCGCAATACATTTAATTCGAGATTTTGAACGACAAGACACGGGAAAAAAGAAGAGAAAGCGAGGAGACGGAGAAAAGAGCTCATCGCCACCGCCGCTTTCTTTGCTGCTCGACCAAAAGAACACAGAAGAAAAGAAAGAAAGAAAACAAACCGATACACATAAATAAAATAAACAGATTTAAATCGAAAAAGTACAACCAAACAACTCGCATAAATCCCGCGTTTATATTATAAACGATACATGGAGGGGTTCAATCCTCGACGCGTGTGTACGAAATGAATTTCTTCTCATATAATTAGTATTTTATGACACATTTTTATTAAACTCTCATCAGTTTATTAAAGTCAGTACGTGACGATAAAAACAAGTATTTATACGCGCGGGCATGCGCGCAACTTATTCTCTTATTCTCTCTTTCACTCCCTTGCCCACATTCGCATTCGGCTTACTTCGTGTACTTGCCTTCAGCCTTGTCGAAGCCGATGGTCGGGAACTCCTCGGCCAAAGTTTCCACTTCCTTCTTCAACGCGGCAATCGCCGGGAACTCCTTGGACTCCAAAACCTTCTTGAAGTCCCCAAACTTCTTCCCTTCAACTTCTTTACTAATTTCAACCGAAATATCGATGCCTTTCTTGATGTAATCCGCAACCTTAACAAAGTCTTCCTCGGTGAAACCTCTCGTCGTCAACGCCGGCGTACCTAAACGCAAACCACCCGGAACCAACGCGGATTTGTCCCCCGGGACGGTGTTCTTGTTGCACGCGATGTGCGCCAACTCCAACACTCTCTCCACGCGACTACCGTCCACGCCAAACGGTCTCAAATCGCACAACACCAAGTGGTTGTCCGTGCCTTCCGAAACGATCTTCACGCCGTGTTCTTTCAATCTGTCAACCATCGCAACCATGTTCTTCATGACTTGCTGTTGGTACTTGACGAATTCTTGCGTTTGCGCTTGCTTCAAAGCGACGGCCAAACCAGAGATGGTGTGGTTGTGCGGCCCACCTTGCAATCCCGGGAAAACGGAAAAGTTAATCTTCTCCTCGTAATCGTACATGATGTCTTTCCCCGTCTTCTTGTTCACGCCCTTCTTCCCTTTGCGGTAAAAGATCATCGCCCCTCTCGGACCTCTCAAAGATTTGTGCGTCGTCGTCGTGACCACGTCGGCGTATTCAAACGGCGACGGGATCAATTTCGCGGCGACCAAACCGGAAATGTGCGCCATATCCGCCAACATCAACGCCTTGGTATCGTCGCACGTCTTGCGCATTCTCGCGTAATCGATCTTTCTCGAGTACGCGGACGCACCGGCGATGATAATCTTCGGTCTAAACGCTTGCGCCAACTCGTCCAACTTCTCGTAATCGATCAAACCCGTAGATTCGTCCAATCTGTATGGCATGGAGTTGAAGTAAATGGACGTGGCGGAAATCTTCTTGGCGTCGGTTTGGAAACCGTGCGACAAGTGACCGCCGTGCGGCAAGTCCAAACCCATGATTCTGTCCCCTGGGTTCAACAACGCCGTGTACACTTGGAAGTTCGCCGGAGAACCAGACAAGGACTGCACGTTCACTCCCCACTCGTCTGGGTTCAAATGAAACGCCTCCAACGCTCTCTTTTGGCACAAACTCTCCGCCATATCGATCCATTCGTTCCCTCCGTAATATCTCGCCCCCGGGTACCCTTCCGAATACTTATTCGTCATGACCGATCCGAGCGCTTCTAAAATCGAAGCCGAGGTAAAGTTCTCCGACGGAATTAACTCCAAGCCTTTCCATTGTCTCTCTTTTTCTCTCTCGATGATGTCAAAAATTTCCGGGTCCACGGTTTTCAAATCGTCGTTACAGGCTTTCGGCCACGTGATGCCTGGTTTCAGTTTCGCGTACGCGTCCGCGTTCGTGGAATACTGAATACTCGTCGTCGCAGTAATCGACGCTCGCTGTTCGTTTCACAAAGAAAGAATCGCGCGAAAGAATCCTCAAATGTCAGTTTGTGCGTAAAACGAATACTGCGAGTTCTTAAAGAAAAGAGAGAAGCAATGGGAGGATATGATGATGATTGGAAAAGACGTCATCACGGACAAAGTGCCAAGAAATTTAATCACAAAAAGAAAAAAGAAAACGTCGCACCAAACTCTCTCGTCTTCGCGCGACACCGGTCAACGCTTTGCGCGCTTCTCTTCGTAACGCGTTTGCAATCATTGTTGTTTTCTTCTGTTGTTGCGTTTTACGAGTAGAATGTGTGCCGCTCCCTTTCTGATTATGTGTAGAATAAACCGCTCTCGTGTTCTCGATTGAGACACTTTTCCCCTCGAAAAAGGAGGAGATGTGTATCATTCAAAGATGCACTTTTTCACGCGAAGAGCGAGAGCAGGACGAGACACGTGTGTTTTTCCTGTCTGTTTTTTGAGAGATCGATATAATGTTGTTTAGGGTAAATTTTTCGAGCTCACACACAGGTCAAGCAGTTTATCCATCCTTCGGGAAACGTGACTCATCATCAGACACCGCACAACACTTTGACGCGTTTTTTGCGCGTACGCGTATATATATAGTATATAAATGATGGCATCCGTTGCGATGATGATGCGCGCAGCTGCCGCGACGACGATTCAGACGACGCCTTCGTATTCTCATTTGACCGCGAGAAAAACGATGACTCCTTCTGCGAGAACGAGAAAGAATCATCGGATGGACAACAACAACAACAACAACAGAAGAAGAAGAAGAGGCGAATTACTACAAATAGTGTCCGAAGGAACCGGACGATTCATCGTCGGTGGGAACTGGAAATGTAACGGGACTCGCGAAAGCGTCAAAGCGTTAGTGGAGGCGTTGAATAAAAACGTCCCAAACATCGAGAAAAACTGCGATATTTATTGCTGTCCCACATTTTTGCACCTGCCGTACGTGAAGGACAACTTAAACGAGAGATTTAACGTGTGCGCGCAAAACAGCTGGGTGGAGGCAGATTTAGTCGATCCAGAACACCACTACGACTCGACCACGGGTGCGTTCACCGGGGAGATATCCGCGGAGATGTTGGAGGATTTACAAGTGCCGTTCGTGTTGCTCGGGCACAGCGAGCGACGAACGCTTTTAGGCGATACGGATGAAATCGTGGGGAAGAAGGTCGCGCACGCGAGGTATCACGGGTTGAGCGTCGTCGTTTGCGTCGGCGAGACGCTGGAGGAGAGAGAAAACGGGACGACGTTTGATGTGATTTTTAAGCAGTTGAAAGCAGTCGCGAAGGAAATCGACGACCGAGAACATTCCAGTTGGGGGTCGTCCGTAGTCATCGCGTACGAACCGATTTGGGCGATTGGTACCGGGAAAGTCGCGACGCCGGAGCAAGTGCAGGAGGTACATTCGAAAATTCGCAGCTGGTTGGCAGAAAATGTCAGCGAAGACGTCGCGAAAGCGACGAGAATTCAATACGGCGGCTCGGTTAACGCGTCCAACTGCGCGGATTTAGCCAAGTTGAGCGATATCGACGGGTTCTTGGTGGGAGGCGCGAGTTTGAACGGCGATGATTTTGCGGCTATTTGCAACGCGAGTAGCGTCCATTACAAAGCTGTGGGGAGATAAAAAATAATTTAAAAAGACCTTTAATAATAATGCCGCGCATGATTAATACACAACACCCGTGTAACTACTTCTTCAATTTGTTTTTACATATTCTCGATGCGCTCGAAACACTCCTCGCGAAGCGGCGTGTCCGCAAAACACGCGGAAACGAACGCCAGCACTTCGTTCGCGCTCAACATTTTCAACTCTCCTCTCGTGTACATGTCCGTAATTTCCTTCAACTTTGTCTTCAACAGTTTCGCGTATACAGAACCTTTCTGCCAATTCTCGAGCGCGTCGTAAAAGAAATCATCTTCTACCGACGACGTGCCCAGTTGTAAAGGGGTAAACGCATCCTCGAGCGCATCCGTCAACGCGTCCGCGTCGTCCGCTGAAATATCATGCATTTCTTTGATTGCGGAGACGATGCGTGAGGCGTAAGATTCACAAAATTTCCCCACGATGCGCTTCGCGTTTGTCCTCTGCAACGTTTGACTGGCGGCGGAGCAGAACTTTTTTAGCACGTCGCGCGATATCGCGATAGCTTTCTTCATCGCGGATGCGTTCGCGCCTCGAATACTTTGCGTTTCATTCGCGAATGAGTCTAAAGACTCCTCTAATGCGACCGAGGCGTTGCGTTCTGCGCGCTCGAAAACGGCGTCGCCGGCGTCTCTCAGAGCCTCAACGGCCCACAAAATCGCAGGTCGGTGTTGTTGAGCATTGTCGTCACCGCCGCCGCTGTTGTCCTTTCTGACTAAATTCTCTAAAGCCTTCGCTGCGTCTAAACTTTGCGCGATAAACTGGTCGGCGATAAAGCCGCAATCGTTATAAAACACGAGCGATTCAAAGAGCGACTGTTTGAAAATGGACTCGTCTCGCGTGCTCATGCGCGAACACCGGAACGCTTCGAGACAATCGCACGCGGTTTTAATCGCCGCAATGGCGTGTCGTATGCGTCCCGCGGGCGTGTTGGCATCTTTTGCGTTTTCTTTATCTTCAAACGATGAAGAGAGGACGGAGTGAAACGCAGATTTTGTCACGTTCAAAAGTTGCACCGCGGAGCTCGTGATTGTTCGCGATGCCGGGATTTCAAAGCAGTGCAATTCGAAAAACTCTTCGCAGTAGTTCGTCGTCTCCTTACCATTGCCTTTCACTTCTTCTTCTTTCGCTTTCGTTTGCAACAATTCGTCGGAAATTGCGGGAGTTTTGCCGGCGTCTCTCGCGCTCGCTAAGCTGTTCACTCTGAAGTCTAATCGACTTTCTATTTCGCCTTGCATGGCGGCTATTTCTAAAGGTCCAGCGACGGTATCTAAAGCACTGCCGAGACCGTAGCTGTTGAGCAATCCTAAACTTGCGACGCGCCTTTCGAGCGCGACGACACTATCCACGTCATCGTCCGTAAGTAGCGCTTGCTTTGATCCTAAATTCCAAGTTTGAATGCACGTCTTCGAGACTGTCGGCCAAAAGACACCGCGAGCAACGTCCACGAGATCCGACGAGAGTTCATCCAACGCGAACGACTGCTTCGTAAAAATTCCTTTGAAGAGGAGCACGTCCAATCCCTGGACGAATGTTGAGATCATTCCATCTTCTTCGTCGTTTCCTTTGCCAGCCGTTTCTCCTTTTTTCCACTTCAGCGTTTTCGCGTACCCGTTCTCTTCGTTCACGCTCAACTCAACGTTCCTCGCTCTCGACTGGACAAACGGAACGACGATTTCATCCACCACTTTCCTCGTCACGAATACCGCGCACTCGCGAAATAAAGTCTCCGAAACCGCTCTCGATGCTTTCCACGCGTCTCTCGCGTTGGAAAATTCCACCGACATCCCGCCGCCTCCATCATCATCGCTCACGCTCACGGCTCCCGCGATCCTCCTCCGTATCGCATCCTGCAACTTCACCATCAAATCATCTATCCTTTCGTTAGGAATTTCCACGCACGCGTACTCCTCTCTCGATCGCTCGAGCATTTCGTACGCGTTCGACAACTCTTTCTCCTCGTCAACCATCCTCTCCACCTCTTTCAAACACTCCTCGAACATATTTTCCTCTCGCAACATCTCTAAGTGCAGTTGTTTCAACTCCAGTTTTTCTTCCAGTTCGTGGAATTTCCGCGCGTCTTTTCGCATGCTCGTCAGCGCCTCGCGCAGTTCTTCTTCATGTTGTCGCTGGTTTTCTTCTTCTTCAACACCAAGAGTCGAAGCTGATTTTGCACCACCACCATCGTTCTCCTCCTCTCGTTCCTTCTCCTTTTCCTCTTCTTTCAAAAGCTCTAAAAACTCCTCGCAAAACGTCTCGCACAACTCGACCACTTTTTCTCGTTCGCGCTCGTCGTCGCCTCCTCCTCCGTGGTCTCTGAATTCGTCAAACGCATCTTTTAGTGTTCGCGCAATTTTCGCTCGATTTCTGTTCGATTCCGATTTCAATTTCCTCGACGCGTAACTGAGCGCTTCCAGGGATGATTCCGCTCCAGACGGTACCGATTGGTCGAGCAAATGCGCCACTTCCAGATTTTCGTCGTGTTTGTCTTTTCTCATTTCTCCTCCTCTGTGGTGGTCTCTCGTTGTTTCATTCGAGAGCCGGGACCACCCTTTAATAATAAAAGCTTTCTGTTGTCTTTCGGGAAACTTTCACGCGCTTTGAAAGCACGCACCAACAATTTTTCCTCCCAAATCTCTCTCTCTCTCTCTTTCTCTCTCCCTCTCGCAAAAAGATGGTACGAAAAGTTGATATTTTCGGAAACGATCGGCCGGAATTCGCTCCGATCTCCTCCCATAAAATTTGGGTCACTCTCCACCAAGGGAATGCGCTTGAACACGAAAAAAAAGAGAGAGAAAAAAGGGGGGGTTTCCACTTTATCCTCATTCTGGCGACCTGTATATATTTACTTATACATAACAAAACACAGTTTTCTCGAACTGCTGCACGCGCGTTAATATCACCATCATCATCAATCTCTCGAGTAGCGTGTACTCCTTTTTGATCCTTGGTTTTTGTTGCGTTCACAGAAGACAGAGACGTTTTAGTATATAATTTTTGCTTTTCGTAAAAAGCGCACCAATAAAGTGCTGCCGCGTCAGCAAAAGACTCATGGAGCTTCCCCGAGGCTCGCCACCACCGCCGGACGAGTATTTCGCCTCGGAATTTAACGTCATCACGACCACGAGAGGCAGCAATTCTTCTTCTTCCTCTTCTTCTGCATATCATCAGCGAGGCGACGATTCCCCGAAGTGGTCGTTGAGAGGGTTCTTGCCACCCGCGCATTTGCGCATAGAATTGTATCGGTACTTGAACAAAGAAGTGGTCCCCGAGGAGTCCGAGGAAGAGTCGCCGGCTGGGAGATTAACGCCGACGCCGAGGACGCCGCAGAGGCAGATGAACGGAGAGTCGATCGAGATGTTAGCGAAAGGGGTGCTGGCGTAAAGAGAGTTATATATAGAGAGAACAGTGATGGCCCGACGTTTGGTTTTCTCTCTCTCGTGCTCTCTTATCCTAAAATGTATATCAGACAGAAAAAAGATGCGGATCCTCCTGAATCATCATCTATTTGTAAATGCGATGCGTGAGAAGCATTTACATCCTATAATAAACTACGTATTAGTATTGCTATTTCTTCAAGCTCTCGTTTTATGCGCGCGTGTTTTTATAACCAAACGAGTTTCGTGCTCGATCCGATGGACGGCGTGAGCGAGGCTTCAAGTCCTCCGTTGTCGTTTACGCGCGAAGTTTTTTCGGTCATCGCGCGAGAGAATTTCAGTTGCAGCTGCTTCAATTCGGCGGCTTCGGAAGCCTCAAACAGCTTCCTTTCCGTCGCCATGTACGCTTGCAACTCATTCACCGCTAATTCTGTATCTGTACTCGCGTTGTATCTCAACCCGATTAAAAAATTCACCCACGTCTTCCTCTCCTCCTCCGTCATCGATTCTTCCCAAAACCAGTAACAAAACTTCTGAAACGCTCTCGAGACGTAAAATACCCCGTGCATTGCCTCGTGTATCAGCGCATCTCTCACTTCCTTTTTATCCGAACTCGAGCAGACGGCCAATATCGCCGACTGCTCCTCCGACGGATGCCATCGGTCGTTATCCTTCGCCAAACTCGATTCGTACTCGCCTCGTTTATTCGTTCGCATAATCTTACACTCCATCAATCGATCTCTCAGCACCTTCTCTTCTCCAAACAACTCCTTTGTCTCTTCTTTACACCGATTTAAAAACGTGCAAAAGCTATTCACGCGCATGTTGTGACCGCTGTAATTCGCCGCGCCGCCGCTTCGGCCGGACGGAATCGAGGACACTATTTGCCCGTGTAAATCCACGTCTTCCAAAAACACCGACGCGCGACCGAGGGCCATTTTTTGCGTCATCGCCGATGGAAACTTTAGAAAATAGATTCTCGAATCGTTCGTCCATCGGTGTATCTGTGTTCATCGAGAGAGAGATGAGAGAGAGAGAGATGTGAGAGAAGCAGACAGAGAGAAAAAACAGTTGCGCGGGGAAAGAGAGTTGGAGAGAGAGAGCTGAAAAACATGCAAACGCGAGCACATATACACACACACACACACACACCTCGATGATGGTATTATTACTACTCTTAGAACTCTTACACGCAGAGCAGCACAAACTGTTCGCGAAATCCTCCAAAGTTTGCGTCTGTATCGCGTTTAAACCGTCGTCGTTAATGTTATTGTTGTTGCCCATTTTTGTGGGGAAAATGCGTCATAAAAATCATCACAATGCGTTGCGCTTCCTCTCCCGCTCCTGTCTCGGTTTCGGCGGCAAAAGCAGCCTCCTCCTCTTCCTCCTCCTCTCGATGTTGTTTTCGCCGCTCTTGTTCTCCTTCAACTTCTTCCTCTTCTTCTTCCCAAAGACGACGACTGTTTCTTTCAAACCCGGGGGGATTTTCCGTCAGAGCGGCGGCTTTGTCGTCTGATGATGACACCAACAATTCTGCCGCTGCCGCTGCCGCTGCCGCGACGACGACGACGACGACTTCAGGAGGTGGTGGAGGAAAAGGAGGGAGTGAGGAGCCGAAGAAAGGCACCGCAAAAATCCAACGCATCAGTGCGGAAAACAGCAATCGCGTGAACATTTTGAGCGAAGCCCTGCCGTATTTGCAACGTTTTCAAGGGCAAACGGTGGTGGTGAAATACGGCGGCGCGGCGATGCAATCGAAAGAACTGAAAGCGGCGGTGATTCGAGATATATGCTTACTCGCTACGGTCGGGATTAACATGGTCTTAGTGCACGGAGGAGGACCGGAGATTAACAAGATGTTAGAGGTGGTTGGGATCGAGCCGAACTTTAAGAACGGGTTGCGAGTGACCGACGACGCGACGATGGAGGTGGTGGAGATGGTGTTGACTGGGAAAGTGAATAAAGAGTTGGTGGCGTTGATTAATAACAATTCGGCCGATAGAGGCGATGGAGGTGGAAGAGCGGTTGGGGTTTGCGGTAAAGATGGGAACTTGTTGAGAGGAAAAGTGAAGGATAAAGATTTGGGATGGGTCGGGGAGATTGAGTCGGTGGATCCGAAATTGTTGACAACTTTGATCAACGGCGGGTTCGTGCCGGTGATTGCGACCGTAGCGCAAGATTCAAAAGGAAACGCGTTGAACGTGAACGCAGATACCGCGGCTGGGGCGATTGCAGCGGCGTTGAACGCGCAGAAGTTGGTGTTGATGACGGACGTCGCCGGGGTGTGCACGGATAAAGACGACGTGGATTCTTTGATAAGGACTGTGACGTTTACGAAGGCTGAGGAGATGATTGCGAGTGGGATTATTGCCGGAGGCATGATTCCAAAGGTGACCGATTGTATGAACGCGCTGAGAGGAGGTTGCGTGAGTGGTCACATTATCGACGGGAGGGCGCCTCATTCGTTGTTATTGGAGATTTTAACCGACGAGGGGTGCGGGACGATGATTACGACAGACGAAAGTTGAGTGTGTGTATGTGTGTGTTCTATTTTCGTCGCGCGTGCGTGTGTTTGTATATATTACACTATTATTAATCTATCTCTATACAGCGGGAATCTCACATCTTAACTCTCTCGAACGGTAGCTATCGCATTCGCACGCTCGTTTTTTCTCGCCGTCTTTGTTCGCTTTACACGTATCGCAACAGTATATCGATGTCGAACTTTTCGAGCATTCCTCGCACGCGGCTAAGATGACATGACACGCTTTACTCGCGCATCTGGCCAGATGTGGTATGCACGGTGCTTTACACCCGTCGCACTTTGTTAATGATAATAAATTGTTGTTGTTGATGTTATTATTATTACTAAAATTATTGTTCTCATCGATGAAACCGCCAACGTCGACGCACCCTCGCGCGTCAAACACGTAATTCTTTCCGACAAACCCGTCGCCGCCGATATCTCTCGCGTACGCCACGATCCCGCCTTCTAATACGGAAACTTCTTTCGTCACGTTCAAACTCAACAAATACGCCGTCGCTTTCTCGCATCGCACGCCGCCCGTGCAATACGCGAGTACTTTTTTGTTCTCGATGTACGCCTTCCCGCCTTTCTCTTCCACCCACTCTTTAAACTGATTGAACCTTCGAATTGGGCAACACACCGTCTTTTCCGGGACAAACCTCCCCATTCGACTCTCGTACGAGTTCCTCACGTCTAACACGACGACGTCGTCATCGCTCGATTGAATAGCCTCCCTCCATTCGCTCGGCGTCAATCGATTTGGTTGAAGACGTTGTTGTCCTAACTGAAGACGCTCTTCTGCCTTCTTCTTTGACGACGACGGTTCAAACGGACACACCTCGTCTACGATTCGAACGCTCGCGCTTTCAAAAATGTGTTTACATCTCCCGTATTCCTCCGAAACCGCGCGCGTGTTCACGTTCACGCGTTCTCGCTTAAAATCCACCCCTTGTAACTCCAAAATCGCAAACTTTCCTTTCGTGCTTTTCATTTCCCGTTCAAACTGTTTCACGCGCGATTCCTTCCCCGCGGCGGTTCCGTTTATGCCTTCTGGCGAGAGCCGAATCTTCCCTCTGACGTCCAAGTCGAGCATTGCATTCTCCAAGCTCGTTTTCAGCGCGTTCAACGTCGTCGAATTCAACACGCGCTCCCCGTGAGAAATGTACCGGTAAAAAAGGACCACCGCGTGTGGTTCATCTGTTTCCACCACGTCGCAACGACACGAACAACAACAACACTTCTTCATATTCTTTTCGAAGTAAAATTCGTCGCACGTGCCTTTTGGCACTCGTCTCTGTCGTCTTTCGTCTGTTCTCGTCGTCATATCTCATCTGTTTTGTTGCGACGTTTCGATGGATAAAATGGAAAAATCATCTTCATTTCCACGGAGGAAACAACACGCACAAACGAACGCGATTATTAGAAGCGACGTAAACGACGACTGTTACGACGACGACGATGCGTTTTACCGCGGGAGGACGACGAGGACGACTTTTTACCGCGGCTGGTTCGGCAATGGCGGCCACGACCAAGAGGAACTTCACCACGGGGAACAAAGACCCGACATCTGTGGTACTCGCGCACATTCTCCGCGAAAACGCCCACGCCAACGCACCGAACGCGCCGTTCGTGTACTTCTTCGACGAGAATGAAAAGTCTTTTCGGCATCTCTCGTTCGCGGACTTTCGCGATCGATCCTACGCGTTTGCCGCCGCTTTGAACGATCTCGGGTACAACACCAACAACCAAAGAGAAGGCAAAGAAGACCAAGAGGAGAAAAAGTTATCGATTCGTTTGGGGGATTCTCCGGAACTTTTAATCGCACTCACCGGCGCCGTTCTGAGCGGAACGAAAGTGCAAAGTTCGAAGACGGAAGGGGAGTTTTTATCCGCGAAAAGTTTCGGCGCTTTGGTGCACAGTTCGTTCAGCGGGAAAGCGGGCGAGATGGTCGGCGCGCACGAACCCATCGCGGTTGGTCCCGCCGGGTTGAAAGAGAAAGTCGTCCATTGGGAGGTGCTGATGAACGCGTACGGTAATGGAGAAGAGGACGCTTCGACGAGCGGTGGGATGTCATCATCGTCGGAGAATGAAGCGGTGTTTTACTTCAATTCAACCGAGAAAGGTGAGGGAGCGGAGACGTTGTTTAAATACGGAGAACGAGCGGCGAAAGCGATGGAGTTGAGGAGAGAGGACGTGGTTATGATTGGGGTGCCGTTGTTGCACGCGATGGGGTTTGGGTTTGGCGCATTGGGGGCGATGATGGCCGGCGCGAGGATTATGGTTCCAGGGACGTGCGATGGCGTCGTGGATGATTCGGTGAAAATTGATCGAGCCGGAAACGCGAAGAGGGCGTTGATGAGTAGTATTAGTAATAGTCGTAGCGATAGTAGCGGTAGTGTTAGCGAGGAGGCGGTAACTGCGATGGTGTCCGATATGCACATCGTGAAAGCGTTGAGAGAGGAGGACGGGAATAGAGCGCTGTTGAAGAACGTGCGAACGGGATTGGTTAAAGTCGGAGGCGGCGCAAACGTAGGCGAGCACGCGCCGGTTGACATGCTCGGCGTGCCATTCGTCACCGTAGGTAAAATGAAATGAGCTTTTTTTGTTTTGTATGTGCGTGCGTTTCTATCCAATCTCTATTACTACTACTGTATGTGCTATAATTTTTCTACTTTCGTCGCCAACGTCGTTTGAAACGTGTCTTCGTTTTCTTGAACGTCCACTTCTCTTCTCAACCTTTCCTTCATGAACATCGCGCCGAGTAACGTGCGCCATTTCAAACTCGCGTCTTTCAGTTTTTTCAGCTTTTCTTTCTTTACTCGTTCTTGCTCGTCCTCGAGCAGTTGTTTCCTCACTCTTTCCTCGTTTTCCGAGACGACGACGCACCCGAGAAAGACGGGAAGCGTCGTGCCGCCTTGCTTGTACTCAAAGCCAATCAGAGCAGGGACCGCGTGAATTTGTGGATTGGTAAGTTTACGAGCCGCGGTTAACGCATTTTTGTCCTCAATGTACGCACAACCGTCTGGTAACCCGTCGCCATTCTTCGTCAAATCGACGTTACCGCGATCATTCGTAGGCACGACACCTTTGTCCGCTTTAGGCGGGTGGTAAGTGGTGCACTGCCACTGGCCGTATAAAAAAATATCCGCGAACTGTTCTGGGTGGCCGCCGTACTGTTTCAAGTGAGCTCGCGCTTTGTTCGAAAGCAACTTCTTGATCGGACTATCAATCTCCACGTGTTTCACCATCAATCTCTTCTCCGATTTCCATCGCCGGTCGGTCCGAAGCGTCTGAACGTTTTCGCGAGGGTAAACGAGTTTCCCGTCGACGCACCCGGCGACGCCCGTTTTCGGATAAATGCACTCGTTTTGCCTCAAGTGCGCTTCTATGCACCACAAAGGGTGCAATTTGATTTCCGTGAGCGTTTTTGGCGGTCGCTCCGATTTTTGCATCGTTGCCATCTCGTCGCGCTCGTCGATTAACGCTTTTTTCAAATACAGTTGACTGGAATTTTCCTCGTCGTTATCGTGAATGCCGCTGAGATCAATCTTGTGCGCCGCGCTGAGCTCGTTCCATCTCTGATCACCTTTGATGCGTTTCTTCAAAGCTTTTATGGCAAACTGCTTTTGCGAATACTTTCTCGTCAAGTCCGTGAAGGACAAAACGTTGCCGTTCTTCTCTTGATCGAATTCGTCGAAAGCGACGACGTATCCCGGGTACGTCGACCACGTTTTCACGATATCGTCGACGTCACCGATGGTAAAAGTATGCGTGGTTGGAGAGAGCGCGATTGGCACAAACTTTGCGGATTCTTTTTTCTTCTGCGCATTTGCCGCCGATGGGGTAGATGATGCGGTCGTTTTCTTCTTCTTTGTTTTCTTCCGCGTCGATTCCTCGGTCGTCGTATCGTTCCCGCCTTCTCGCACGAGCGCTTCCAACCAGTGCGTAATCTCGTCCGCCGCATCGTCGTCTTCCTCGCCATTATTCCTCGCCGCTGCTCCGTTCTTCTCCATCGCTTTAAAAATATTTGCCGGTTTACCATCTAACGATCGCAAGGTTGTTTTCCTATCTAAATCCGGTCCTTTCGCGTCGTGCGGCAACGGTTTTAAACTCGCGCACAGTCTTGCGCGAATACCCAAAGCGCGTAAGAAAGCACACAAAAGCGCCGCCTTCATCTCCGAAACGTTCGAAAATGAAGAGAGTCTCATTGTTTCGTTGATGTTTTTATCTTTTCTTCTTAACATCTCGCTCAACTTCCACGCCACGCCTCCCGCGAACCCGGCCTTACTTGCCCGCGCTTCTTTCGCGCTCACGTACGGCGTCCAAGAAGAACGCTCCTCTTCCTCGTTATCAGAAGTACAACGAGAAGGGCTTAACACGTGGTCTTGAAAAAACTTCACCGCGAAATGCAACATCACCCTCACCACTGGTTTTCCTTCCTTCTTCCCAGGTCTTTCTAAAATACCTTCCACCAATCCTCTAGGCGCCACGCTGAGCGCCAAACATCGCAACGCGTCGCTCTCGAGCGCTCGATTGACCAAATGCACCCTCGCTAAACGACACAACAACTCCGCGTGATGTAGCTCTTTAATCTTGTTCCTCTCCTGTCTCGTTATCCTCCTTTTATTTTTATTCTTCACCTTGATCTCGTTCGGGTCCCCGGTGATCTCGTCCACTATTTCGCACTCGCTGTCTCTCTCGTGTTCTTCCTTCGCGTCGTCGTCGTTCGCCGCCGCGCTTTCATTTTCCTCAATCTCTTCCTCTTCTTCCTCCTCTGTTTCCACGTCTTCCCACTCCACTTCGCTCGAGTCCGACGACAAAGAATTCGTCAAATCATCATCTGGACCTTCTTCGTTCCGGTCTCTCGCCGGCATGCCGCACGGATTTGCGACGTTGAAAGCGTTTTCAGCCTCTTTTTCCTCCTCCTCCTCGTTCGTCACGAGATTTTTGTTCCTCTTCTTCTTCTTTCTCATCGCGTTCAAAACTTGTTCCCTGGACGCGCGGAGCAACGAAGAAGCACCACCGTTACCTTCTCCACTCCTTTTCGTCTTTTTGGTCTTTTCCTCTTCTTTTTCTGCACTCAAAGCGCGTCGTTCAAAGTCCGCATCTTTTCTTTTCATCATTTTCCCCCTCATCGCACCACCACCGGACAAATTTTGTGCGATTCAGATCTCAGGAAAAAAGAGACACCTTCTGTCTTTGCGACCGATGAAACAATTTACTCACACACGCAACTCATAAAAACCACATCATCATCATCGCGCGAGAGGAGGAGTAATAATACTCGTTCAAAGTTTTCGTGCGTTTGTGTTTGCTTTTAAAAGCAGTTAAAGGAGGAGAGATGAAATGTGAGCGAAAATTTTAGGGTTTTAAGGTTTAGGGTTTGTTTGTTTGTGTGCACTCTTGAGAATACGAACTCTCTCTCTCTATTAAAAGAGATTCTTAGTACATATACAGAGAGAAAAAAGATACATGAATGTAGCAGCAGGGGAGAGGGCAAAAAAGACGAAAACAAAGAGCGAAAAGAATGATCATTGTTTTCGTCGTCGTCTTTATCGTCATCATCCGTTGTTGGAGTACGCGAGAGGACGGAAGAAAAGATTAGGCGATGCTCATTTTCATTTTCATCATCATTCCCTTTTGGAGAAGAAATTGAATGAATTTTTGCATCCGTACGAGACGTTAGGGATCGATGCAAACGCGATCACGGCGAAATACGCCGGGGAGATGTTTTTGAATTATTGTTTATCTTCTGCTACTTCTTCTTCTTCGCTTTGTTGTTGTTGTTATTGTTGTTCTCAGGAGGGGGGGAAAAGACTCGAGGACGAAGAAGACGGTTTTAGGGGAGAATTGGATTGTTTCTTGGGTGCCAACTTTTGTCAGGAGAAGGAGAAGGAGAAGAAGAAGAGGAGGAAAAGCAGCGACGTGATCGTGATACTCTCGAACAACAACGACGAGAAGACGGGTAATGGTGATACTACTCTCAGAGGAAGAAGAAGTGTCAGTCAAAACACGACGATTGAAATACTATCATCATTGGAAACAGATTCGCAGAAGAAGCGTCTTCGAGTCGACGATTCAGACGACGATGACGACGCGAAAGCATTTTGGAACAGGCGGATTTTAACGACTCCACCGATGTCTCCCATAAAAAAACACCCGGTGCTTTTTTCTTCAAACGTCAACACTCCGGAGAAAGCGAGCGAATCGAAATCGAATGCAGTCGTTAACAAGAACGACGCCGACACCATTCGTCGCGGCCCGACGAAGCATACTCAAAACAGAATCCCACAAAAGACGACGACGACGAAAGTAAAAATAACAAAACGCCAAAGGCTTAAACTCCAACAAAAACAGGAAGAAACCGATCGCGCTCGATTGGATTTACTCGCCATCGCGCGCAAAGAGGAAAAAAAAGCGGACGATTTTGCTCGAAAGTCTCGAGTCAATTGCATCAAATCCAAACGTCTCGCGAAAAAGAAATGGTCGATATACGATTCGCAGAGAAGACGTAAACGAAGTCTCGACGCCATCCTCGCGACGTCAAATACGTTGTTGTTCTCATGACATCATCATCTCTGAGTTACTTTTTCCTATTCCTCGGTCGAGAGAGAGAGAGAGAGAAAGAGAGTGAGAGACGAGATCAACACATCATCGGGTCTTCTTAAATGTGAACACCACTTTCGTCGCGCAAAGTCCAAAGTCTCTCCCGTTTTTTTATATGAATCAGTGTACATGCAAGAAGAAGAAGAAGAGAAAAAAAAATCAAAACGGCAGCACAAAAGGTCTCTCAACTAAAAAGCTGCTGTACTAAAATTGCGAAGAAAAACACACACACACACTAAGAAGAAGTAAACAGTATGGCGGCAGAAATGCGCGCAATGCTGGACCAGCTCATGGGCGCCGAGCGGGACGTCCCTTTAGACGAAAGAGTGAACAGGAAGAAGTTGTTTACGGTAAACGAATACTACTATTAGACGACTCTTTTTACAACATTTTCAATCCGCTTTTTTTTTCTCCCGAACGGATTGACGACGTAAAGTGTTGGTGTTGACGACGACGAGGATGCGGCGAGAGTTTTATCACACTCACCGAGAACGTTTCTTTCTGTTCTCTATTCTCTCTCTCTCGTAAACAGGACGAAGACGTGGACAAATACTTCCTCTGCGGCTTCGACGTGACGATGTTTAAAAACACAAAATCTGCGGACGAAATCGCCCGAGCCTTGCGTGTGCCGGTGCAACAAGCGAGCAAACAAGAGCATCCGTGCGGCGTGCAGTCGATGGAGTTACGCGCAGAATTTCAAGTTCTCACCGATCGAGAGCGAAGTAAATATAACTACGAGAAAGAGACGAAGAAAATTTTGGACCGGCTGGTGTCCGATTGCGATCGACGGATTCGAATTGCCACGGAACGCGTGGAGATGGAACGCGCGGAACGGGCGCGAGTGTACGGGATGGTACCGGTGCACGATAAACAAGCGTTGGCGCAATTGGCCGATCAGACGCAGTGCATGCAAAAGAAAATCGAACAGTTGGGGATTATTGGAGACGTGGATGGTGCGGAGAAAGCGATGAAGGAGCTGGATGAGATTGCCGAAAGGAGGAAAAAGTTAGAGGAAGTCGTGGAGAAAGAATGCGAGAGACGCGTGGAGACGATGAAGCGGTTGATCGTGTGCCCGCTGAGCGGGGTGTTTTTGAACACTCACGATAACGAGCAACGGGTGAGAGATCACCAGATGGGAAAGCAGTATTTAGGATGGAAGAGGATCAGAGAGTTGAAGGAACGTTTGGCGGATATTTTGAGGAAACGCGCGGAAGGGAAAGGAGAGGAGAACGATCGGGTGTATTCGAAGCCTCTCGGGAAGCGAGAAGACGAAGAGGAGGAAGAAGAAGAGGATAGAGCAGGAGCGGAAGCGGAAACGGAAATGAAACCGCCGAGCGAAGAAAAGTACAGGAAAGTAGCAGTAGAAGAAAAAGAAGCATCTAAAGTAAAGGATGAGGAGAAGAAGACGGAGAAGAAGAAAGAAGCGCTGGTCGTCGTGAAGCGACGCAAGATAGAAAAGGAAGCCGACCAAAAACCCGAGGCGCCGGACGAGAAGAACATTCTGAGCGACGTGCCTCCTCCTCCATCTTCGAGAGCATTCGACGGCACTCCAGCCGCGGGAACGACGACTACAACGACGACTACCACGACAAACAACACGACGATGACGCACGTATCCGAAGAGGAAAAAGTAGACGATAACACTATAAAAAAGAAAGACGACTACAACAGTCATCCTCGCGAGCATCATCGTCGTTCTCCGCGCGACCGCGATCATCATCGCGACGACCGCGATCATCGAAGCAGCAGACGCCGCTCACGCTCTCGCTCGAGCGAAGACCGCCGAGAAAGAGACTCCTCGGATCGTAATAAATCGAGCCGCCGTAGAAGACAAAGTCGCAGTCGCAGTCGCAGCCGCAGCCGGGAAAGAGACCGTGGCCACTCTCATCGACGCCGCCGAGACTTTAGTCGCAGTCGAAGTTACAGTCCTTCGAAACGAAGACGCAATAATACCGACAGAAGAAAGTACGATTACGACGATTACGACGATCGTAATACTAAAAGTCGCCGGGGCCAGTACCACCACCACCGCCGCGGTTCTTCCAGGTCGCCCGAGCCGCCGCGAAATAGGAGAGACCACGGTGGTCATCGGAGAACGACGAGAGACCGATCTCGATCTCGCTCGCCAAGACGAAGGTAATAATAAAATGCTGTTGGATTTCATCTGTTTTAATGGTGCATCGTCATCCTCGCGTCTGTCTGTGAAACGTTTTTCATCTCAATACACTTCTGCATAAAAAAGAATCCACACAACACGCTTATGATATGCGCAAATCATAATCATCATTCACACATCATCATCTTACCGTAAAAAATGCCTCCTCCACCAAAACTCCTCCGTACTCAAGTCCTCGATCACTTGAACGATCCATCCACGACGAAGAAATACGTCGGTTTAGCGTTAGCCGTGAAGTTGTTACAACAAAAACTTGGGGAAGAAGAAGACCAATCGAATTCCGATTTCGTTCGTGACGATGACGACGACGTCTTCCTCTCCGTCTGCCAAGCGGCGATGAGAGACGACTTTTTGTTCTCGCTGATTAGTCCTCCTCGTGAGGATGATGATGATGCCGATGACGACGATTCAGACGACGACGAGAGCAAAAGTTTAAGTCAAAAGAAGACGAAGGATTTTAACATCAATCAACCGGAAAATATGCAGAAAAGAAGTCTAGGTATCAACGTCTGCGCGAGTTTAGCCGCCGGTTCGAGAGAGTGCGCGTTAGTATTACTCCCAATATTGGAGGAATTATATACGAACTCGAAGATCATCTTACCGAGGGACAGCATGGCAAAAGTGTGCGAATTTACGGATCGAACGCTCGTGGCGGTGGTCCGCGCCGACGACGGCTCGTGGAAGGGCGAGGACGACAAATGGAAGTGGAAAGATACTCCACTGAAGATCTTGAAGGAGTGCGTGTGCGAGATGTGTGATATTTTGTGTGAGGCGTTTGAATCTGAAGAGGAGGAAGAGAGGAATGAAAACGAGGCGCTCATCGTGTCAGGGATCGCTGCTTTGAATAATATTGTGAGGGAGATTTGTCTCGCGCACGATAAGGAAAACGTTTTCGCGTTCGATCCGTACGAAGAATTGGATTTAGTATATGACAGCGAAGATGAAGCCTCGAATCCGTACGTGGACATTGCGAATCATATCGCGGTTAGTAATGGGATGATTGGTAGAGTTGCGAGGGAGTGTTTGTATAAGAGAGCTGGGACGGAGGCAGCGTTGGTGGCTTTAGAACTCATCAACACGGTGATAGACGCAAAAATATTAGGTGAAAACGACGAGAGCGCAAAGCATCGATATAAGCATTTGGCATGGGAAGATTTTGAGAGCAAGTGGTCGAACGAGCTTCGCGAGGGATTGAAGTTCATCTTGTCGTCCAAGAGTGTCGGTAAAAGACAACGAAGGCTCGCGGTGCACGTCGCGGCCTACGTGCAACACTGCTGCGGAGATGATGGTTGGATGCTGAAAAGCTCGCCGTCGTCGCTTTCAGAAACGAGCAAGGAGAAGAAGAAGAATAACAACAAGAAGAAAATACCAGGCGGAAGAGTAGCTGCCGCTGCCGAAAAGACCAAGAACATCACGCTCTTCGAACTCGTCTCGCAGATTTGCCGCGTGGAGATGCAAATCGAAATTCATCATTTACTCGAATCGGACGATAACGAGATACGATATAACGCGAGCGAGGATTTACGTGATAACTTGCAAAATTTTGGAACCCTCGTGCGAGTGTTCACGCTCGCCATCGGAGGAGGGGACGACGAAGGAGGAGACGATGTGGACGATGTCACAAAAGGCTTGGAGAATCTTGACATCTCCGCGGAAGGGGCGATGAAACAACTAAACGTGATCGTTTCCGTTATGGGTAGTCTGCTGGAAGTCATAGGCTCGGCTGAAAACTACGAGCGCTTGGATGAATGTGGCGCAGACCCGTTTCTTATGTTCACGATTGCGGATATTGTGACGAGATTTGCGAACGAGCTCGAGGTTGTTCACGTAGGCGAAATCGACGCGAGCATGAAACACGTCGCGGAAAATATGCGTAAAAGACTCGCTCAGATAGACAGTTCGTCGAAGAAGAATGGTAAACTTCAATACGGATGGGATCGAATGGAATCAGTCATATACAACTTCAACGTTCGAATTTGGAGTACCTTTGAAACCGCGGACGATCCCGAGCGTCTCGAGTGCCAGATCAATTCTGGTTTCATCTCGCTCTTATTTGAAATGATTGCAGATAATATCTCCGCGAAATGCGACGTATTTCCTGATTCTTTTGACGCGCGGACGAAGTTCTTGAGCTGGGTCGCGAAATACGCGGATGATTTGGCCCAGGACATGTCCCGGATGCTCGTCGAAGGATGGTCGGACCGCCTTCGCGTCTTGAACTTAGATCCCGGCGAAATCGAACGAATAAAGAAGCAATGGGCGAAACTCACAAAAGCCGTCCAAGAAGGAAAAGTAACGACCACTGATTACGTGAAATCTTCTTCGCTACGTGAGAAATCAGCCAAAGTAGCGGAAGGAATACTTCGGATTTTTGAAGATCTGGACGACCCGAAACGCTTAGACGTTTTGTGCGGCAGCTTATAGAGTAGCGGTGTAAAGTTTGATAGTTTTTATAGTATTAGTAGTAAGTTTAATTGTACAACATTAAGATTAACAGCAATAACAGCAACAACAGTTTTTGTTTAGCCTCGGAGAAAATAACTCAAGCCCCGGCGTTGAACGCTTTCACGCCTTCTCTGTGCCCTCTCCCTTTCGGTTTCGCCCTTACCGTCTTATAAAACTCCCTCAACGTCGCCTTATCCGTGTTTTTTCTGTCCACCGCTAACTCTACCCCACCTTCTTTACTCCTCGCTTTAATCGCCCCTTTCCCGAGCTTATTCTCCATCGACCATTTCAACGCTTTCGCTTCGATCCTCTCTTGCTTCAATCTCCTCTCTTCCAGCTCCATCGGCGTCGGTCCTTCCTCCGGCTTCAACGCTAAATACGCCGCTTTCCACGTCTTCTTATCCTTCGGCGGTTTCCTAAACGCCGGTAAACTATCCGCCTCGAACCACGCTTTCGCGCAGTGCGGCCACCACGCCTCGTCCGAGTCGGTCACTTTTCGATACCGACACGAGACGCCTTTCGGGCACGTGCACCTTTCCGCCGTTTTCGCTAAATCTTGCGCGCTTAAATTCGAAATCGTTCGTAACATCGTTTCCGCGGTTAACGCGTCTCCCAGGAACGAAGGGTCTAATAAGAGTTCGAGCGGGCACGTGATATCGAACGAGGACGTCGAGTGGAAAGAGGATGAATCCGAGGATGACTCATCATCGTCCTCGTCTCCCATCATCTTTTTCTCTCTCTCTCTCTTATTCTCTCTCTGCGCGCGCGCGTGCGTCGCAAATCTCTCTTTCTCTCACGAGAAGAAGATATCGTTAAAGAAAAGGTACTCTCGCTCTGTGAGTAAGTATGTAGTGTGTGTGTATTCTTTGTACGTTGGGGAAAAGAAGTGGTTGTATCACACCTTTAACGGTAGGAACACCTCTCGAAAAACTCTTCAAAGCACCCAAATTTTAACTCGGATGACGAAATGTTTTCCGACGAGGGGGGACAGACACCAAAACACTTCTTTTTTCCTTCTTTTTTGGCGACGACGAAACGCAAAACAAAACTTCGCTCTCTTTGTTTTTTGAACGATATTTTTTTGCGTATCTTTTCGGTCACGTCACACGTAACTCGAACAAACACAAATTCTAACAACGTTTTCCCCGAAAGCGCTCCTTTTCTATACTCTCTCTCTGTGCTCACACACACATATATATATATATATATAGAGTACGGACGACGACGACGTAAACGACGACGTGAACGAGTTTCGGAGGAGACGATTTTGTGCAGAGTTTAGCGCGCCTGTTTTGTGTAGCGTTTAAAGAAGACGACGAAGACGAAGATTAGAGAGAGATGATGGTCGTTCGTTCCCGAGGAGGAGGAGGAGGAGTAGGACACGTCTCGCGGAGCACGAAAACGAAAAAGACCGCGAGAGAACGAGCGGCGTCGCATCAATTCGCGAGCAGTAGCAAAAGCAGCGGCTTTTGCGGGGGGTCTTCTTCTCCTTCTTGTATATATTTGCGCGATGATGATTTCGGTGGTGGTCGAGGAGGAGGAAAAGGAGGAGGAGGACGAAGAAGGAAGAACTATTACGGTAGGAGTAAATCATCGGCGAAAGTGTGCTGCGCCGCGATGACGACGATGGATGCGTTTTATGGAGAACAACAGAGCGAGATGATGACGAGTAGGAGTGGAGAAGAAGTTCGTTTTGTCGCGACGCCGCCGACGAGGACGAGCGACGGGTTTAATGGAGTCCTCGCAAAGTACGGCGTAAGTACGGTGTTGGTAGATTCTTCTTCGGAAGATAACGATGATGCGAGCAAAATTTTCCCAGAAAGCATTCTTCGTCGCGATAATAGGAACAACATCATTACTAAAAATGCTCTATTCTTGGCGGACGTGTACCTCCCGACGCCGCGCTTAGACGGAGACCAAACGCCGGCATCCATCGTGAAAATATTCGTCGAACGCGCACAAGACGCGATGGGATTGCTCGATTCTGGAATCGAAGAGGAACAGTTACCGACTGGGGTGATTATACAAGCCGCGGAGAATCCGAGGGCATTCGTGAACGAGTTGGTGAAGGAAACGAGAGACGGGGTAGAATCCGGAGCGACCCTGGACGATAACGAGTGGACGAAGGTTTTGAAGTCGGTGGATGTGGACGTCGGTTTGCTTTTACTCTCGGTCGTGGTTATCGTGCCGACGTTTAGAAAGTTTAAATTATCTCCGGTGTTGGGTTTCTTAGCCGCCGGTCTAGGTTTGAATAAGCTCGGGTTGTTCATCGAGAACCAAGAGGTGGATCAGTTTTGCGAGCTCGGGATTCAGTTTTTGTTATTCGAGATGGGTTTGGAGTTGTCGATTACGAGATTGAAAGCGTTGGCGAAATACGCGTTCGGTTTAGGTTTCACGCAAGTCGCGGCGGTGAACGTGCTCTTCGCTATGGCGTTGTTGCCAGCAGGGAACGCCATCGGGACGAAAGTTTTAGAGTTTGTACAACCGGGGAACAACGAGATGTTACAGGTGACTTCGACGTTAGAGGCGGTGGTGATTGGTTTCGCGTTGTCTTTATCTTCGAGCGCGTTTGGTTTGCAGTTGTTGCAAGATAAGCAACAATTGGCGACAAAGTTTGGAACCGCATCGTTGGGGGTGCTTTTGTTTCAAGATTTAGCGGTCGTGCCGTTTATTATTTTGTTGCCGGTGTTGTCCATGGCGGCAGCGAGCGGCGGAGGAGCGAGCATGGATATGGGCGTTATGGCAGCTGGCGGCGCGACGTCCATGCTCGATCTCGGCGCGCTAGCGTTTGCTGGGAGATCGCTCGCGTTGGTTGGTTTCGAAGCCGTGGAAGCGGCGGAAGCTGGGACGGATGTTTTCGTCGCCATGTCCTTGCTCACTCTCTTCGGCTTCTCCTTCGCCTGTTCTGCGATTGGTTTTAGCGACTCGTTGGGAGCGTTCCTCGCCGGTATCGTTTTGGCGGACACGAAATACGCGCACCAAATCATCAACGAGCTGAACGCGTTCAAAGGTTTATTCCTTTCGCTTTTCTTCGTGACCATTGGCACGACCATCGACGTCCCGTTGGCCATCGAAATGTTCCCGATTATTTTGATCATGACCACGACTTTGATGGCCACCAAAACCGGCGTCGTCACCGCACTTGGCCCACTCGTTGGCCTTTCCTGGCGCGAAGCCTTGGTCGCCGGCGCGGTCCTCTCCCAAGGCGGCGAATTTGCGTTCGTCATCTTTGGTCAAGCCACCTCCACCGGCGCCGGTAACCTCTTCCCGCAAAAATTAGAAGAAGTTTTAGTCTGCGTCGTCATCTTATCCATGGCGTTAACCCCGGTCGCGGTCGAAGTGGCCATGAAAATCGCCGGCCCAGAGTTACCTCTCGGCAACTGTTCCGACGATGCCGCAAACCTCTCCTCGGACGAGCTCGAGGCGTGCGAAGTCACGAGCAGCTGGAACGAAGCCGCATCCGCAAACTTGAACGCCATGGCGGAGTCGGAAGAACTCAAAGCGGCGACCCAGGATTTGAAGCAAATAGGCAGCGGGAGCTACAAGCGCATCAAGAGAGAAAGAGACCCTCTGACGCAATCCATAGACGAATCCGTCGCGCAAGAACTCAAAAGCCAAGATGAAGCCACCAAGCCGCGATAATAATAATACTATAAGCAGTTGTGTGTTGTAAAATATCTAAGAAAAGCCACAGTTAAAAATCAAAATGCGCGCGCACAAACTGCTCTCGTCGCAACAACAGCGCACTTTATTACGACTAAAACCCCAAAGAAGCGAGAACAAACGACGTTCTAGAGCATCGAACGAGCGATGTTACGCTTCTTCTAATAAGAAGAAGCTAAAGGTTGTCGTCTTTTCCACGTCTGATTACGAGCGAGAGATTTTGGAAAAGCAACTGAATTCACATTTCCACGTGACTTTTCTCAAACCTAGATTAACAATAGAAACGGTCGATTTAGCTCACGGGTACGACGCGATGTGTTGCTTCGTGAACGACGATTTATCCACGGACGTTATAGAAAGATTGAGTGAGAAGTGTGGGGTAAAAATGATCGCGTTAAGATGCGCTGGCTTCGATAAAGTAGACGTGGAAAGTTGTAAAAAATTCGGCGTGCTCGTGTACCGGGTGCCGATGTACGATCCGCTCTCAATAGCAGAACACGCCATGGCGTTGATCTTAGCGTTGAATAGGAAACTCATGATCTCGCATTCGCGCGTCAAGTCTGGGAATTTCACTTTAGATGGGTTGGTTGGGTTCTCGATGCGAGGCAAAACGCTCGGCGTCGTAGGAACGGGAAAAATCGGACGAGGCTTGGCGAATATTTGCGCCAACGGGTTTGGCATGAGCGTTTTAGGCTACGACTTGAAACAAAAGCGAGAGTTTGTCGGTCAATATTGCGACGACGTCGAAACCGTGTTAAAGAATAGCGACATCATCAGTCTCCATTTACCGCTCAACGAGCACACGAAACACTTCATCGCGGAGAAGGAAATCGATTCGATGAAGAGAGGCGCCATGCTCATCAACACCTCTCGTGGAGGCCTTCTGAACATCAAAGACGTCATCTGCGGACTTCGTCTCGGGAAGCTCGGCAGTTTAGGCATAGACGTTTACGAATCCGAGGAGAAGATTTTCTTCAAAGACTTTTCCAACTTAACCGTCGAAGAAAAAATGTTATATTGGGACGATACCATGGCGCAGCTCTCGTCTTTGCCTCAAGTGTTAGTGACGCCGCATCAAGCGTTTTTAACGCACGAAGCGCTGACGGAGATTGCTGAATGCACGAAACAAAACATTCTGGAATTTGCAGAAGAATTAGACGACGCGGAAAACGACGACGCTTCCAGAGAGGATGTTTCGAATACCACGAGAGTTTGTTAGTTTCTTTTCTTCATAATAAGAGCGCTGCGCGCGCACGGCATAAACACTATTTATCACGCGCTCCTTCCACATCTCCACAAACTCAGCGCATAGTATATACATATATATTTGTAAGCACACACATCTGCACCCGCGCGACGCTCGATTATTCACAGGTTTCCGTCGTCTCAATGTCTCAGATTTCGGGAAAGGCGGCGACGTCGATGCCGTCGATATCTTCATCGCAAAGAAGAAACACATTCAGCGGCGGCGGCGCTCGAGTTCAACGCGCGACGACGATGAAGAATACTAAAACGATTCAGACGACGCGTTTTGGTCCTCCTCCTCCTCCTCGTCGTCGCGTGCGTCGTCAAGGAAGTCTTCCGCCGTCGCCGGGCTTTTGTTCGATGATATCTAAAGGAGGGAAGAGTTTGTTACCGAATTTAATTGATGAAAAAGCGGATAAGAGAAACGTGACGGCGAAAGCGTCTTCTTCATCATCATCATCTTCATCGTCGTCGATAAAACCCGATTTCGAGGAAGGAGATGATGAGGAAAAAATCATCCTCTATTCCCAACGATGGGTTCAACTCGGCTATCTCGCCTGTTTAGCGTTGATTTCCGATTGGGTGTGCTTTTCAGTTGCGGCAACGCCGGGGACCTGGGATTCGATTTTTCATCGAAGTCCGGAAACGTTGATCGACGTGTTTTTATTTACGAACGTCGCGTTTTGTTTCTTGGAGCCGCAGATTGTCGGGAAGTTTGGTTTGCGAAACGTCGTGGTGAGCGCGGCGGCTTTGATGACGTTTGGGTGCGCTTTACGGTCGGGATTAGAGTTTAACGATTTCATTCCGTTCGCGTCGTTTATGCCTTCGTATACCGAAGAAGTGGTAGGCACTGTTTTAGTTGGAGCTGCGCAGCCATTTTTTCAATGCACACCTACTTTATTGTCGTCGAGGTGGTTCGGCAAAGACGAGAGAGCGTTATCGACGTCGATCGCGATAAACGCGAACCAGATTGGCATAGCGGTCGCCTTCCTCGTCGGCGGATTGATGGGACAAACCAACGAAGGTTTAAATGGGTATTTTTCGTTGATTACTTTACTGAGTGGAATCGTGACTATTGGCGCGTTCATACAGTTTCAAGAGAAACCACCGACGCCGCCGAGTTTATCGCAAATGCAACAGGAAAAAGAGAGAAAACGTAGATGCAAAGCCGAAGAGGCATCGCGCGACGTCGACGCGTCGCAGAATATGGGCAAAGACGAGTTAGCCGAGTTAAATTTCCCGGCTTTATGTAAACGTTTGTTGAACACGCCGGGATTTTGGCAGCCAACGGCTGCATTTGTAGCTTCTATTGCCATTTCAAACAACGTTTCGGCGTTTATTGGAACAACTTTAGGGAAAGCGGGGGTGGAAAACGCGTTCGAAGCCGACGAGTTTGGCGCGGCGTTTCAATTGGCCATCATGTTTGGATCCATCTTTTTAGGCGGCTACGTCGATCGGTCCAAGAAGTATAAACCGGTCTCCTTGGCTTTGATCATCCTCTCCGTATTCCTCTTGATTCCAATTGGCGCGGGAGAAGTCATACCGGACGCGTACGTCCTATTTAGTTTAGTCCTCCTGGGGTTCACCGTCGGCCCCGTCCAACCGATTTGTGCCGAGTTGGCCGTGGAAGTCTCCTACCCGGAGGATGAAAACGGCGTCGTCGCGCTTCAGCAAGTCTGCGGCAACCTCTTCTCGGCCATCTTAGTCCCCATCTTAGCCTTCGCGGCACACGGCGACTTACTCTTCGGTAAACTGAGCGGCGACTACGCGATATTAATAGTCTTAGGTTTGGTCACGCTCGGGTACTTCACCACGTTCGACGCGCCTTTGAAACGCTTGGAAGCGGATAAAGCCGCTTCCGAGTAATACGTTTAAAAAATGTACCATAAACTAATACAAAAACTCGCCGCGAGAGCGAGCATAATAGAGAAACGTTTAGAAAAAAACGAGACTCGTCGTCGAATACGCGAAGAGAAAAACGAATAGTACTACTACCAATATACTCCTCCTCCTCCTCCTCCTCTCGGCCTTCTCATAATTGTGATAAAAGCGTCGTTTCCCAGCTGTTACGTATTCGTATTCGTGTTTCATTCGATAACATGCGTTCGGTACCATTGGCAAAGATAAATATTTACAACGTTTATAGTAGCGGTATTTTCAAGTATTTTTTTTCTTCGTGTGGCAGACAAACGACAACTCATCTCTCTCTCTTTATCCTTTTACATTAATCTAAAGCGGAAAGCGTGCGCTCTCTCTCTCTCTCTCTCTTTCTGCGAGCGCATCTCATCATCCTTCATGTGAAGCGTATCGTTAAATTTATTAATACTTGCCCTTTCTCGCTTGCGCCGGCGATCTGGTTTTTCTCTTACCCGCGGAAACAGAGGAGGATTTCCCGGCGATTGGCACACCTCTTCGGCCTCGTCTCGCCGCAGGCGACGTCGCGACGGACGGCGCCGGGACGACGGTTTTCCCTTTCGGCTTGTACGCGGGTTTCGCGGCGGACTTTTTCGTGGCGGCCGGAGACTTTTTAACCGGAGCAGCGGAGGAGGATGAAGACTTTCTCACTCTCTTCGTCGCCGCGTTGGCGTCGCCGACGGAGAGGAACCCGAAGGACAACACCGCGGCGGAGAGGAAGTCTCTCTTGGATAAAGATTCCGAGCTGATCGCTTTGCCCGCTTGGATGGATCTCGAGATTTTGGATTGTTGCTTTTTTTGCGCGGCAACGTTTACTTTTGCGCCCGCGCAAAAAGATGCGGATTGAGTCAAAGAAAACATCTTACTACTGTTGTGTTGCGTGTGTGTGTACGTGCGTATCGTTGAAGTCGAAGCGTATCTCGATGCGAAAAGTGACGATACGCTGGATGTGTGAGAGACGGAAAAAAGATACTCTCGTTGTGGTTTCCCCTCAAAACAAAGGCCTATTCTGGGACGCAGAAAGCCACGATGGCAAAAAAAAAGAAAGAACGGTCGGTTCAAAATCGCCCAAAAAATTGTGTGTTGGAAAAGGATTTTGTCTCCTGTGATACGCTTTTTGGTCTGTGCTGAAAATGGTTGAGAGGAGCAAAAAGAGGGATGGTGCACAAATTTTGAGGGAGACGTAGTAAAAATAAATGCACACATTCTATCATCTCATTAATAAGCTCTTCTTCTTCTTCTTCTTATTAATAGTTTATTAGTACTACTTCGACGAGTCTCTCTTTCTCTCTCTCTCTCTATTCCTCTCTCTATTCCTAGTCGTCGTCGTCCGAGGCGGAACTCATGTGGGACAAAAATCCGTGCAGTTGCTCGTTCTCCCTGACCAGTCGTTCGTTCTGCGCGGTCAATTCACTCTTCTCTTTGATCAACTGTTGTAACTGGACTCGGACTTGTTCCATCAACTTGTCCTCTTCCTCTTTGTTGTGTTTGCTCTGTTGGCGTTTTTGGAGGCCGAGGTTTTGTTTTTTGAGCAAGTCGATGTCGCGTTGGAGCAATTTTCGGTGCGCGGTTTCTTCTCGCAAGTTTTGAGCGACCACGTCCACTTGGGCGGTTAAAGACGCGTTGCAGCGTTGGAGATGTTTGTTTTGTTGGAGGAGGTGTTTGGAGAGCCTGCGAGGGGTTTGAGGAAAGTTTGGGTCGACGTTTTCTTTGTTGTTGTCGTCAACTTCGTCCCAGTTCTCCCAAGAAGACGAAGAGGAGGAGGCTTTCGTCTCCTCCGCTCCTCCTCCTCCTCCGTTGTCTTTGTTGTTGTTGCTACTGCTGGTACTAGTTCTATTGCTGCTGTTTGTGCTGCCTAACGACTCTCTGCATCGCATTTTGATCACGTTCGGCGAGCTCATCGGGTCTTCGTCTTCCGTCGTTCGGCTCTTCCGCGGACGCCCGCCCGGCGGCGACATCTTTTGCGAGGCAAAGTGGTCCAATTTCAACGCCGTCGTTTCGACCGCTGCATCTAACGTGGACGCGAAGGAGCTCACCGCTCCGACTAAACCGGTGTACGATTTCGTCAAAACGCTGTCCACGGCTTCATCGATAGATTGAATCACTTGCGCGGTTGGCGAAGCCGCCTTGCGCTCGGGCGAGGACGTTCGGTATAATCTGGTGAAATTTTTCTTATTGTTGTTGTTACTCCCGAACCCGCCTCGCGCTCTATTCGACGACGGCGTCCTCGGTGCTTGTTGCTGCTTACTACTGTTACTGGAACCCAACGCAATCTGTTCCATTGGCGTCGGCACGCACTGGAATTTTTTACTCGCAAGCGGGACGGAAGCGCGTTCGCTCGTCTTCTTCGTGTGTTGTTCGCTCCTCCTCCTCGCTTCCGCGGCAACATTTGAGTCCTCCGACGAACACCCCCAACTCTCCCAATCGTCGTCCGAATCGTCGTTCGTGTTCGCTTTTGTTGTTGTCTTCTTCGGAGGACTCAAATGTTTCGCCGATTTGAGCGTGGTATTTGCTGGTTGAGCGTTCGCTGTGGTGGTTTTGACATTTTTTTCAAGAGAGAGGAAGAGGGGGACGAACACATTAGTTACTACTTCTTTTGATGATGACGACGCAAAGAATGCGTACCTTTTGTAGCGACGATGATAACTGCTTCATCTTTACCGCTGCTCGCGAAGAAATCCTCCTCTTCTTCTTTCTCTGCGACTGATGCTGTTTTTGATGGGAACACGTCCGTCAACTTTACCGTCGTCCTCCCTCCCGTGTTCTTCGCATTCGTGCGTTTTCCCGATGGGTGTTGTTTTGCAGGGACTTTGACATTAAAAGTATTCGTACTCCTTCTTTGCCGCTGCAAAACATCATCGCATTCCTCCCAAGTGGACAGAGAGGAGGATTTTGTTGGGTAGTTTCGGTTGGTCAAGTCGGTCAGAGGCATGATGCTCTTTTCCTTGTGTGTGTGTGTGTGTGTGTGTATTAAACGCGCGTAAGTGTTGTTCTTTTTTTTTAATGAAGCAGTTCCCCCTTTTTTTGCTTCAAAAAATGGTAAATGGGTGCCCACATTAAAAAAATACGAGTGCTTAAGGCGTTGGTGTTGGTGGTGTTGGTGATGGTGGTGTCGCCACAATGGCGTCTCTGCGTCTTTGCGAACGCCGAGGAGGAGGTGGGGAGCAAGAGTAGTAATGATACTACTACTACTACTACGAAAGATGATGGAGAGAAAAGGAGGATTTTTGGGGGCATTTTTTCTTCTTGGTTCTCGGAGGGACAAAAACAAACTCGTACTCCTTCGTTCGTCGGAAAGTGCCGAGAGCGGTGTAAAGGACTGAATGTATCGTCTTGGGGGCCTATGTGCGATACGAAAAACAACGCGACGTACGCGAACGAGTGCTGGTTTCGGTGCACACACGATTTGGAGGAAAGTTCTGGTGATGTGCAATCTTTGTCTGTTTTGGAGGAAGGTGCGTGCGCTTTTTTCTTCGATCCGATGAAGCGAGCGTGCGTGTACGAAGCGTGTTTAGGAGCGAAGGATTTAATGGAGTTTCAGCCGGTGTGTGGAGAGACTGGGGAAACTTTTGCGAATGAATGCATCGCGACGTGCGCGAAAGTGAGGTACGCGGAAGGTTCGTGCTTTTAAAGCGTGCTGCTTTTTGTTCATTTTATCAAACTATTTTACTCGTCGACGTTTGAAGAACAAAACGTCCAAATTTTCACGGTGCCGTCGTCCGAGGCGCTGGCGAAATAATTCGTCGATTGCTCGGTTTCTTCTTTCTCACTCGCCATTGAAAACCACGCGATGTCGTTCACGTCGTCTTCGTGCGCGTTCACGACCGCAGCGGCTTCTTCCCAAACGCCCGTTTCCTTTTCGCGATAGACTCTCACCGAGTTGTCGCCTCCCCCGGCGGCTAACGTTGCCGGTTGCTTCTTATTACCACTCTCGCTATTCTTCCTGTTGGCATCGCCTAACCAGTCCACGCATAATATCGGTCGGTCGTGTCCACTCCTAAAACTGCACTCCAAAGGTGCCGCGTCATCTTTTTTACCGCTACTACTGCTACTACCACTAATCTCCGTCCTTTGCGCGCCACCCGCTTTCCAAATCTTCACCCACCCGTCGTCACTCACGGTCGCAAATCTCCCCCCCTCTTTCACTTTCTCCTGAGTTAAATCCCAAACCGTGCTTTCGTGCGCTTTCGTCGTCCCGCTGCAACTCCAATCGTCCCCATCTAAATCTTCCTTCCACGTTTTCACCGTATCGTCGTAACTCGCGCTATACAACACGTCCTCGGTTTCGTGCCATTTCACTTTCTTCACGTCCTGAGTGTGCCCGTGTAAAACCGCCACGCACTCGAAGTGATTTCCAGGCGCGGATTCCCATATCCAAACCGACTTATCTCTCCCGCACGTGGCTAAAAGTGAACCCGACGGCGACCACGCGCAGCTTTTCACCTCGTTTTCGTGGCCTTCCAAGGCGGCGACGCACTCAAATTTTACCTCATCCTCCTCCTCGTTCTCTTCATCCTCCGCTCTCTGATATATCGCCACGGTCGCGTCAAAGCTCGCGCTCGCCAAATACCTCCCGCACGGTGACCACGACACCGATCGAATCGTTCGCTCGTGGACGCCGTCCAGAGTGCACACGCATCGGAATTCGCACGTTTGATGCGAACTCTTTACATCATCATCATCATCATCGCGCTTTACAACATTTCGTTTCCAAATCTTCACCGTTTTGTCGCTCGAGCACGTGGCCAAAATATCGTTTCGGTTCGGTTCGAACGCCACGCACCACACCGCGTCTTTGTGGCCAACCAACGTCGCTTTCAGTGCGATTTTGTGATTCTTCTTCTTCTTCTTCTTCGTATTCTTACTCTCATTCGTAGTCTCATTTTGGGCCATCTTTTCTAAAGGTTGTGCTGAGAGTGAAAAAGTTTTGCCTCTTTTTGCCTCTCGGTCTTGGTCTGCTTTTTTTTTTCAAGAGTAAGAACGAAGCACTTACGAGTAAGAAAGAAGCACTTATCAAGCTCAATTTGAGTAAGAAATACAGACCTACACCCTAAACTATTAGTACGTCACTCTTACTCTCTTCGAAAAAAAAAAAGAGAGCAAAACAAAAGCAAAAAGAGCGGTTGTTTTCCTCATTATTCGCGTAAGGATCATCATCACATTAACCGAGCACATATGACGACGACGAAAATGGAAACGGAAGAAGAAGCGACGAAGAATACATCTTTCTCGCGCGTGAATGAGCTGCACTCGATGTTCGAGGACTCTTTGACCACGTGCTTCGAAGTGAAGACGATTGGGGTGCGTTTATTCTAATTCTATTTTGTATATATTCTTGTGAATGAATTTTGAATTTCTTCGCGTCTTCTTTTTCCCCCGTAATGGGATTGTGTGTGATGTGATGCTGACTTTTGTTGTGCGCTCTCTCTCTCTCTCTCTCTCTCTCTCTCGCGAACACGAACAAACGAACACAACCAACCAGGAATTCGCGGCGCACTTCCCGACCTTGCCGAAAGAGTACCACGTCCCGCTGTACGATTTATACTCGCAACTCTACGCATCCATCAAAGAAAAATCGAGGGAGGAATTCGAGCAAATTTTAAAGGAAGAGTCGTTGGAAATCAAGCTGAAAGCGATCGACGACGCGTGCGTCGCTCGAGGGATCGACATGAATGCGAGAGTAAATTCGATCGAAGCGATCGCGGAGGATATGGTGTCGAAAGTGGTCGCTCCGGAGGAAGCGGCGAGGGCGGCGAGGGCGGATGCGAAGAGAAGGGAGTTGATTTTATTGGAGGAGGAGTGCGAGAAGGAACGCGTCGTCGAGGAGGAACACGTACGGATTTTAGAGGAGAAGAGAAGAGAGGTGCAAATGGCCGCTGGGAGAGTTGGGAGAGCGCAAAACGAGTTGGAAGAGGTGAGAGACGCCAGTTTGCAGTGGGCGGGGAGGCAGGCATACGTGAGTCGATGAGATTTCTAGAACGACGTTCGGTCTCTCGCTCGCGACGGACGGTCGTCTCCGTCCCGCTTCTTTGTACTATTATACATATATTTTAGGATTAGCTGTTAAGATACTGAATACCTTAGTACTATTTATACTTTTACACTATATAAACTACTACTACAAACTACTACTCTATTATTATTGGATAAATTCCATCATCACGTCGTGCCGCTTTTTGGTGGAAGACATTCATTGAAACAGCGCTCGTACGTGTCCGCGAGCGTTTCGTCTTTAATGAGTTTCGGTTTCTTTTTACTCCCTTCTTCTTCTTGTTCTTCTTCTTTGTCTTCTTCTAATTCGCTGGTACCGTCGAGGATGGTGGTGCCGTGGATAGACGTGTCGTCCTCGGAACTTCGAGTTGTGGTGATGGTTTTGTTGAGAGGTGGTTCAGATTGGTCTGGCGTCACGTCGTCCGACTGTTGTCGTCCGCCGTCGGCCGCCTCGGCATCCGCGCGCCGATGTCGTAAAATCGTCTCTTGAGATTCCGAACCTTTACGCTCTACTCTTCCTTTTTGTTGTCGCAGATCCAGTTTCTCCAAACGATTTTCAATTGTTAACGTTTCGATGTTAACAACACCGGCATCTTCATTTTCTTCTTCAATTGTAGCGAGTGAAATGATCGATGCGCTCTCTGCCTCTTTCTTCTTCTTCTTCCTGGTCGCGATAGCATCCAAGGCGGCTCGCGTTTCGAGACCGTAATCGATAACGTCAAGATCGCCATTCGCTTGTCGTCGACGCGTGATGCAATCTGCGATGCTCACAAACGCACGAGGATCCTCGTAAAACGGTGGTATTTTCGAACACATGAGTTGATGCTCAATCTGGCGCAGTTTCTTGTCTTTCAATTTCCCCTCACCACCGGAAGCGCTAGCCTCAAAACCGAAGCGATCATCCCCGTTGGACGATTTTAAAGCCGCTTTGGTGAAATCAATGCACGCGCGCCTCGCTTCTTGCGCTAAATTTGCATCCTTTTCTGCGCGCTTGATCCACTGTTTCTTTACGCACCGCTCGCGAAAATACGCCACTTCGAGGTTAGCAGTTAAAGGTTTCATGAGATTCGCGACTTTCACCTCGACGTGTTTACGCACCGGCGATATAAACGTTCTCATAAAAAATCGCTCGGCGTGCGAACGCACGGTGATCATAGCTTCTGAAGCAATCATCAAGATGATTTCGGCATATTTCTCTGAGAGAGACATGCGAAGTGTGTCCGCGTAATCGTCTTCTTCGCTCATCGCGTTGAAAGTTTCATCCACGTACGACATAAAAAGTTCGTCGTAGACGTTGAGAAGGTGATTGGCAGCATACATGTAAGACTCGCGAAGTCGCTCCTCGAGATCCAACCTTACCGATCCGTTCGGAACTAAGATCGGGAAGAAGTTTTTCGGAAGTTGAAAGAATTTTTGAGCGTCCAAAGATGACCGAGAACGGTTTTCGGTATTACGTCCATTCTCGTTCGTCGATACCACCGAAACCTTTACGATAGCTTCACGAACTTTCGAACGCACGATAGTTTCCAACGGCGTGTTCATCCCAGTTTCTCTTTGTCGCTCTTTCTCCTCCAAGATCTCCTCTGGGGTCATGTTTACCATGCGTTCGGTTTGAACCCAACCGGTTAAATCGTTGTCGTTTTCACCCCCCCCGTAATCTGCCGTGCGAGCGACGAGGAATAATTCTCGCAGCGCCGCCGAGGACGCCTGGTCTCGGAAAGAAGCCACGGGTTCAGACCGCGTTTCTCCTTCTCCAAATTCTTCATCGCTGGAGTTGTTCCACCTTCGAATCCATATTTCCACGGCAGATTTCGCCGCTATTCTCGACCACTCGTTTATCTTTTGCGATTGACAAAGAATAGCACGCGCGGCATCTTTACAAGTTTTCGAGAGCACTTTCTTATCCGTTTCGTATAAATCACCAAAATCTTTCGTCTTTCTCAACGGCAAATCTTGCAATTTTTCGACGATGAAATCGAAAGCGCACTCACAATCGAAAGAAGGTTCCGCGTGTATGTATCGTTGAAACTTGCCGATGATTTCATCGCACGCTTTAATCGCTACGAGACTCGCTACGCGAGACGCTTCCGTGCCGCAACGAGCGGCGACGTCTTCCGCATCCTCGCCAAAGCACTCATACACGGCATCCTGTAAAGCTCTAGCTTCGGTATCCGGGCAATCGTGAATGTATGCAATCGGCGACGCTTTTGCAACAAAGTAGTCGAGTACTTTCGATGCCAAATCGAGGGTAAACGCGGCGCGTTTCACCGCATTTTTGGGCAGAAACTCCAGCAAAGCGCGATCGATTCGAGCAAATCCACAAATTTCGTCGACGATGGCGTCGATTTTGTCGTTGCCGCTCTTCTCGTTGTCGCCACCATCATCTTCAATTTTTTCATCAATCAACTCTTCGCGCAGCGTGTTCACCCAAGATATGCTCAAAGGCACAAACGTCCACGATTGGTGCAAAGCCGCTCTTCCTTCTGGCTGACGAAAGCGAGCGCCCAATTCCATCGCGGTTTGTAAATCGTCGTCGCCTCCATCGCGTTGCTTACTTCGATCAAAAGTAGCCTTCAAGGCCTTGGCAAACTCGCTCAACTCCGGTGGTGAGCCTCGAGTTTGCGTGATTTCATCCAAGAGTTCATAAAAACGTTCGTTTGCGACGATTGCCGCGTTGTCTCTGTGTACTTCGGAAATCGCTGCCTTAGCCGCGAGACCAGTTGGCGGCCTCGCCTGTAGGCGTTTTTTTTCCTCAGTGTCTTCGTCGAATTCGCTTTGCTCAGGCGCTTCGAGTATGGTAGGTAACGATCGTTTCAGCAAATCTTTGATTATGGTCTGTAAATTCGATTTACTTTTATCGTCGTCGATCGTCGTTGCACTTTCGTCGTCCTCGTTAGTATTCTCGCCTTCTTGGCTTTCGCAATCCATCCGCGAGTTCGATCCTTCACCAATGTCGGACGATGGTTCGCTCGAGCCACCGTCATTTGCAAGTACAATCTCATTCAGACCCTTAATTTTATGCACAGCTTTACGCCAAACCGTGTCTAAACCGTCAAAACATCTATCCCCTTGCATGACCGAGATGATTTTAAATCGATCGGGATCCTCCGTGAACTTTCTAAAAAACTGGCTCTTCTTCAGAGCTTTTGTGACATCTTCCGGTAATCTCCTCGCATCAGCGACGATAAACACCACATCCGCGTTAGACAACTCTTTCCTCAGTTGCTGCATTCGCGCTGGATCAGCCTCGCCTGCGCCAGGCGCGTCGACAAAAGTGAGTCCGCGATAAATAGGATTAACGCACGGTAACGTAATCGTGCAATCGCGAACGCATCCCCAGCACCCGTGCGTGGTTTCCTCGCGCAAAGTCGTTCGAAGCATCTTCACGCTAGCCTCGAAATACGCCATCGTCTGTTTTAAATTCTCTAGAGCTCTGTGCGGAATAAACGTAACGCTCGCGCCGAGTCTATCGATTAATATTTTAGGGATGGTCACGTTTTCGAGTTCAACGTCGTTCAAATTCGCCGCGTACGGCTCGTGTCCCGTCATCGCGCACGCCGACGCCGCTTCCGCGTTTAACGAACCAGTCGCGTAATCTATGCACGCGTCGTAATACGCCACTTCGTATCTCTTGCTTTCCTCTTCCTCTTCGCTCAGTTTCCTGTCGTGGAAATGCACGTCGTACCTCTTCTCCCATTCGTCTTTCTTTTTGATCTTCTTTTTCAATTCTAAAATCTCTCGCAAACGCCGAACTCTCTCGTACACGAACTGACTCGAGTGGTACCGAATTTCCAGCTTGAAGTAATCGCCTAAAGTTGCCGCGCATGACACCGAAGTCGTGTCACCAATGTCGCCCTCGCAGAGCAAAAAGTCGTTCTTCTCGTGGACCTCGCCGACTTCCTTAGGCGCCATCTTCTTTTCGATTTCCTCTTCGTCTTCGCACACTGGAATCTTCGCCGCGTATTTTTTCGTCTCCTCCGATTTCTTCCTCCTCTCTTCCTTTTCTATTTCTATTTGTCTCTTTCGTTGTATTTCTATCGTGTTTAATTCTTCTTTATTATCTTCGTTACCGCACTGAAGCTCTATCTTCGCTTGCTCTTTAGCTTTTCTCACCGACTCTTCCAACGTCTCCACGTTCCTCGAGGCTTCGTATTCAATCTTGTCCAACTTAAATCTCTCGTATTTGATATAGTTTTCTAAATCATCCTGTCGATCCACCATGAAAACTGGTACTTCCTCGTCGGAATCGTCCAATGAAATTGAGTTCGCTCCAATCACATACCCTTGCGCTACGTCTAAAACCATAGCGTCGATATCATCTTCGACGCCATTCTTCTTTAACGGAGACTGGAGCATTGGCGGTGGCTCGTCTTCATCGTCATCCTCTCGCGCGGTTTCGTACCCACTCACCTTCTTCAACTCCTCGTCGTCATCGTCGTCATCGTTCTCACCTCCTTCCACTTCCTCTCCCTTTGGAACGCACGCTCGCCTTAACAGTGAATTCACCACGTGCGACTTCCCCACGCCGCTTCGTCCGAGAAACACGCACCGCAGTTGCATCACTTCATTCGACCGCGACGACGACGGAATGAGACGAACCCCGCGAGACGCATTCGCGTTCGCGCATTTCACCAACTCTTTCGCGCACGCGTCCAAAGCGTTCGAAGTTGTCGCGCAGAGAGACGATTTCACTCGAAAATCCATCGAGAGTTGTTCGAGCGATGTGACATTTTTCTCACCACCAGACCCATCAAAATCGTTGTGAGAACGAATCGCATCTCTCGCGCGTTCGATTTTCGGAAGCACAGATTTCTGTTTTTAATAATAATCAGAGGGAGACAGACAGAGAGAGTTAAAGGGAGAGAGAGACGAAAGCGTCAGCGTGCGGACGACGAGAGAAAGAAGAAGAGAGGGACCTCCGAAAAGAAAAGAGTTACGAAAAATTGCATTTTGGAAAATTTCCACGACGACGTAAACAACAACGACGACGACGACGACGACAACAACAACATACGCTTACCTCTAAAACGCTCAGCAAATGTTCGACGTTTGTGTTTGAAGACGACGACGAGTTCTCCTCCTTTCGCTTCTGTCGTCCTCGGGATCTTCTCGCCATTATTTATTTCATTTCTATATAAATGGAGAGTAGTATGTAATGGAGATTTTTAAAGAAAAATGCTCGACACAAATACTACACAATAAAATGGTGGAAATCGAAGAAGTGCACCCCGAGGAACGAGCGCGAGAGGAGGAAAAGAAGGCGAACGATCGCGGTGGTAACGGTGGTGATGATGGTTTTCGAGCGAGAACGACGGGAACGCGTGAATCTGCCGAGGACGAAGAAAAAGAAATCATCGCTTTGGCGACAACTCTGAAATCCAACGGGAACGAGAAGTTTGCGACGAGTGCGTTCGGGGAGGCGCTGAAACTGTACGACGACGGGGTCGAGGTTTTGAGCAGAGAAGGAGAAAACGATGATATCGACGATTCGGACAAAAGCGATGAAGACGATGGTGATGTCGATGAAGCGACGACGAGAACAACAACAAAAACGAAAGGAACTGAAAAAGAAGAAGAAGACGAAGCGAAGAAAAACAAACCATCAGATGATACGGAAAAACGGGACCCGACGAAAAGAGAGGTACTCCTGGCGACGTTACACGCCAACGCCGGAGCGTGCTTGATGAAACTCGAGAGTTTTGAGGAGTGTGTTCGTAGGTGTTCGAAGGCGATAGCTTTACATCCTCGGTACGGGAAAGCGTACGCGAGGCGAGCGCAGGCGTACGAAAAGTTGGACGACGTCGAGCGAGCGTTGGAGGATTACGAGAAAGCGGTGGCGATCGAGGAGAAAGAGAACGGAGAGAGCGAGGATGCGAGACGGAGGATGAGAAAGTCCGCGCACAGAGAGAAGGTAAACGCGTTGAAACCGAAAGTAGAGGAGAAAAGAGAGGAGACGAAGAAGGAGATGTTTAAGCAACTCAGATCGCTAGGCGATATGGTTCTCGGGAACTTTGGTTTGAGCTGCGATAACTTTAAAGCGGAAAAGGATGAGAATACGGGAGGGTTTTCGTTGAAATTCGTGCAAGAGAAAGCAGGTGAAACGAAGACCAGGGTTATCAACGAGAATGATAATAATAATAATACTAGCGCCGCTGCTGCTGCTTCTGCAAAGTAAATTGAGAAGAAATACATCAAACATACAAGCGCATCCAGCGGAGCGCTTCTTCTACATCGCGCGGCTAATTTTCTCTACTACTATCGCTACTACTACTGCTGCTACTCCTACTGCTACTACTACTCGGCACTCGGCAAACTCATCAAACTTCTGCACCTCTTCTCGAACGCTTGAATTTGCGTGTTCGCCACGTCCTCGAAGAATACGCTCAGCGCCGCCGCGTGCGCCGAACTCTTCACTTTGAACGCAATCTCAAAGTCCACGACCGTGGAGACGTTTTTCTTTTGTCTCGTCAGCTTTTCTTCATTCTCTTTTCTGCTCTCCACGTCGTTCACGTCTTCCTCCTCTTCCTCTTCCAACTCTCGAAACCTCCACACCGTTTTCATCTTCTCGAACAAGGCCCCGCCGCCGTCTTCCTCGTTCGACTTATCTTCCGCCGTGACTTTCCTCGGCCGGTCCAATGTCACTCTTGACGTGTACCTTTCGTTGAACACTTTAAATCCAATCTCAAGTTCCGCCTCGAATCGGTCTTTATCTATTTCATGCGTCACTTTCGATCGTCTGCAGAACGGTAAGAACTCGTGATATTTATTCACGTCCGCGACAATGGCGAAGAGTTCAGCAGGCGCCACGTCTCGAACTATTTTCCGAGACGAGAATTTACGTTTTAACAACGAGGAGGAATCTTCGTCGTCTTTTTTATCCTTCTTCTCGTCCGAGGATAAAGAGGAGGAAGAGGACGCGTTGTTCTTCTTATCACCACCGAACAAAGCATCTTTCGCGGCCGAGAATATCGTTCTTTGATTCGATGATGATGGAACTTTACGTAACGGAACTCCGCACTCGAGAGACGACATTTTGTGTTTTCCTTCCGGAACGTCCAAAGCAAAACCGCGACGAAGATGACTCCTCGACGACGAGGACAAAAACGTAAAAGACGAGTTTTGGGTGGAGAAGAAGAGAAGAGCTCCTCGTGTTCTTCGCGCGGTGGTCATCATCATCATCGTCATCATCTTTTAATCCTCCTCCTTCTTTTGAAGCTCTGACTCTGACGCTCTCTCTTTTCTGCCTCTCTTTTCCCTCGTCTTTCACTTCTTTTCAAAAAGTGCAGATGTTTTTGTCTCAGTGCGGAGTGAAAAAAGAGGAGGAAAAGAAGATCGATCCAAAAATCAGAGGAAAATCTTTTCTCTCACCAACACAAGAGCGCAAAACATCATCATCGTCCTCATAACAGCACGCAAAAATAAATACTAATAATAATGGCTTCTATCGTCCAGTCCATCCACATGAGCGCGAAAGCGTCGGTCGCCAAGACCGAAAGCTTGAAGCGACAACGTTCCGTGAAATCGGTTTCGCGAACTTCGAACGTGACCTTCGCGTCCAGCGAAGAAACGGTCGACCGAAGACACGCGATGTCTTTGTTCGCGGTACGCAAAAGAGAGATGCTTTTTTTTTGTTTTTTTGTCTGCAATTCGGTTGCAAAACTCTTCTCTCTTCTTCGAGTGCACGCGATGATGATGCTTCGCGTGTTCGTTTCGAAAGAGCACAAACCCGACCTCGATGCGAACGCTCGATCGATCCGACGGACGCGTATTCGCGCGCGACGACAAAATCCTCGAAGCAATACGCATTTCGATTTTGAGAAAAGAGGGGGTTGAAAAGCAGCAGCTGATCGAAATCGTTTGCTCTCGAATTTGTTCTTCTTTTGCTTCGAGAGTTTTTGGGAGCGAAAACGAGATTTTATCTCTCGTATCCACCAATTTCCTCTCTGGGTGAATCATCGCTTTAGCGAACAAAAATCTGACCAAATGTATTTCTCGGAATCCTCCGTTTTGAACACAGGGCGCGGCCGCATTGACCGCCGCGAAGCCGTCGTTTGCCGCGTACGGTGATTCTGCAAACGTTTTTGGTGGCGTTTCCAACACGTCGGGCTTCATCCCGTACGCCGGCAACGGGTACGCGTTTTTGCTCCCGTCCAAGTACAATCCATCCAAGGAGAGACCGTTCCCGGACACGGACTCGTATTTCGAGGATAACTTTGACCAAGTGTCCAACATCTCGGTGATTACCACCAAGGCGAAGGGTAACTCCATCGAATCGTACGGTAAGCCGGAAGCTATGTTGGCTGACTTTGGCTACTTGTTGGGCGTCCAATCGTACGCCGGCGAGACCAGATCCGAAGGCGGCTTCGCCGCCAACAAGGTATCCACCGCGGCTGTCTTGGACGTTTTCACCAGAACTGACAAGGGCAAGACGTTCTATATGTTTGAAATCTTGACGAGAACTGCGGATGGCGACGAAGGGGGACGTCACCAATTGATCGCCGCGACGGTTTCGGACGGCACGTTGTACATCATGAAGTTGCAATCGGGCGACAAGAGATGGTTCAAAGGTCAAGAGCGCGACTTGAAGCAAACGTGGAACTCGTTCACGGTCGCATAAATATATTAATTTAACGCTGAGCATAAAAGAGAGAGAGAGAGAGAGAGAAAAAGAGAGAGAGAAAAAGAGAGAGAGAGAGAGAGTAAAAGAGAGGGGGCGAGAGAGTATTTTGTAGACATAATAATAATAAGGAAAGAAGCAAAAGAGTTTGTTGGTTCGGCGAAAATACACGCGAAAGAAAAAAAAGGAGGAAAAAAGGGAGAGAACCCGAGAGAGAAAGAGATCACAATAGCTACTACCTAGAGCGTGGAATCCTTCCCGCCTCCTTGCTTTCTCTCTTAGAGAGAGAGTTCTTGAGAGTTTTTTTGTTGTTGTTGTTTTGAGCAGCGGACTACGCCGGTATATTTTGCGAATTCTTCTTCCTCTTTTTCTCTTTCCTCCTCACAAACTAAAATGCATTCTTTTTCTTTCAAGCGAACCAACAACACCTTCTTTTGCCTGTGATGATGCGCGCACTTCTGCGCCCTTCCCGGCGACAGTGTCATCATCATCAGCACATGCTTTTCCTTTACCTGCGTCGTAATCGTCGTCTTCAAACCTCGTCGGTCTCTTTTGATGAGAAAACAAATCGAACCTTTTGGGAGGAAAAAAATCATCATCGTCAACTGTACGCTCAACTTCCGGAACGCATCAAACGAGCAGTTTTGGCGCAAATCCCTCGAGATTTATTAGCATCATCGAAGACGAATAAGAAAACAGTCGTGGCGGTCGCACTTTCCGGAGGCGTGGACTCTTTCGTCAGCGCGTGGTTGTTGAAGAACGCGTTACAAGCAGCAGCAGTGGGAGAAAAAGGAGAAAATATCAAACTGAAAGCAATCTTGATGAAAAACTGGGACGAGCGCGAGGAGACGAACAGCGAATGCCTATTCGACGCCGACCGACGGTCGGCAAAGAAATTGGCGAAATATTTATCTATGGACTTGTACGAGGTGGATTTCTGTCGCGAGTATTGGCAGTCGGTGTTTTCGCCGTTTACGGAGAGCGTGGAGAGAGGCGAAACGCCGAACCCGGACGTGTGGTGTAATCGAGAGATTAAGTTTGGGAAACTGTTAGAATACGTGAAAGAGGAAGAAATTGGGGCGAAGTATTTAGTGACTGGACACTACGCGGAGATTTGGAGGGAGTACGGTGACGACAATATCGAGCAATCGTCGTCGTCGTCGTCGTCGTTGAAAAGAATCGAGTTGCGTCGATCGAAGGACGAGACGAAAGACCAGACGTATTTTTTAGCCTCGGTGCCGTCAAAGGCGTTAGAAAGCGTGATTTTCCCGCTTGCGAAGTTGAGAAAAGCAGAAGACGTGATCGAGTTGATTGCACGGGATCTTTTAGGGAACGTGGCGAACGTGTTGGACAGAAAATCGTCAGCCGGAATTTGCTTCGTCGGGAAGAAGAGGAACTTTTCGGATTTCGTGCACGAGTACGTCCAAAGAGATCCGGCGTGGTTCGTGGACGTTGAATGTATAACAGAAGAAAATTCGTCATTAATCGAGAAGAACAGTATTGGTTGTAGCAGTAATAGCAGTCGTAGTAGTAGCAGTCGTAGTAGTAGCAGCAGCGGCATCAGCAGCGGCGGTAGCGAAAGAGGTGGCCTCGAAGGAAAGGGCGATTCTAACACCATCGACGAGAAGTACATCTTGGGGGAGTGCGAGAGCGTGCACTCCGTGACCGCGGGCCAACGCGCGCGCATTGGCGGTCTTCCCAAACCGTACTTTGTCGTTGGAAAGAGCACAGAAGAGAAAGGATCGTCCAAAGTGTACGTGTGCGAAGGCGGCGACCACCCGGCTTTACTCACAAATTGGTGCGTCATAAAGGACATCCGCTTTGTCCACGAGGACGACACAGACGCCCTCAACTCGTCGCAACAAGTCCGCGTGAAAACGCGCTACGCCTCCCCCCTCGTCCCTGCGACGATAGGAATACCACCACCACCGTCTAACGCGGCCTCGTCGTCGTCGCGACAACAACAACAACAACAAAAAGTGTCTCTCTTCTGCCGCTCGGCGTACGAGAAAGCGACGACAACGCCATCGCCATCATCGCCATCAACAACAGCAAAGTCTTCTTCTCCTTCTTCTTCTTCTCCACCTCTCCTCCAAATCACCTTCGCGAGTCCTGAAAAAGCCGTCTCTATCGGCCAAGCCGTCGTTATGTATCACCACTCAACCTCTCGCGTCCTCGGCGTCGGCTCCGTCGCCTACCACGGACGCACCGTCTTCGAAGAAGAAAAAGAAGAAGAACAACAACGCAGACAAAAAAGACAAAGTGAGAAAAAAAACGACGACGACAAAGAGTCGTAAAAGAGTAAAAGAGTAAAAGAGTCGTAAAAGAGTCGTAAAACAACACCAACAACACACATACTACTGTTTCCTTTTTGTATTAAGAACGAGTAAAGTAAAATCGAGTGGTACTACTTTTTCGTATTTTAATTGGTCGACATTTTTCGACAAAAATTCGACCGAACTCTTCATTAAAAAACGGTTCTATCTCCCCAACTTTTAACTTGACCTGTCTGTCTGTGCTTCTTGGGGCGTAGCTTTTGATACAGAGAGTTTAAGACAGAGAAAGAAAGATGGGTACTCTCGACCTGGAACTCGGTCACAAGTCGTGGTCGTTCCTGTTCTATCTCTTTCACCACTTCCCTCGTTTGATGCTCGGCATCGGCCCGGATGCCGTTTTCGTCTGCATTGGCTACGTGCTCCGATTCATGAATAGGATGGGTCTGAACCGAACGCGGATAATGATGTCGCACGGGTGGACGTACGATAAAGAAGAAGGTTTTCGATGTCCGATGAGCATACGAGAAAGGTTGGTGAACGCGTGCGCGAAGAACGAAACCGCAGAGGCGGCGGAAATAAAGTGGGAGGATAAGACAAAGGAAAAGTGGAAGTATTGGAGTTACGCGCAACGGAGAGAGTACGAGTTGTGTTGCGAAATCGGAGAGTTTGCGAGTTTAGGAATTAGCACGAAAGAGCTTAAATACGACGCGACGTTGTCGTGCTTGGGAATGACAAAAGTTATGCGCGTTTGGCGAACGGATGAGGATTTGCGGACGTGCAAGAGATTTTGTATTTTGCTTCCGTTTACCGGCGACGAAGGCTTTTACCTCAGGAAAGATAGGAGTCAAGAGCTGGTCGCGAAAGGAGTGTGTTGCTTGATTCCAGAGTTGCCGTATTACGGCAGTCGACGAGCTTTGGAAGGGCAAACGGAGTTTTTCATGAGATCTATTTCGGATTATAGCACTAAAGCCTTGGTTTCGTACGCGGACGTGGTCGCGTTGACGGCGCACGTGAAGGAGACGTTGGCGATGCACAATCACGAGAGCGGAAGTTTGGTCATTTCTGGATGTTCCATTGGTGGGTATTATTGCGTTCCAGCGGCGATCTTGGCGCAGTTGTTGACGAAGAATAAAAAAATGAGGAAGAGTAAACGTTCGGTGAATTTGAAAATTGGCGTTTCCGCTTTTTGCGGGTGGTTGAGTTTTGACAATTGGTTTCAAGACGAGGAAAAAATGCCCATGGCCGTACTTCTGACGAATTTAGAAATGTTGGCGAACGTAAGGATGAGTTCTTTAGATAAGATGCCCACGAATGTGCGCGAGGCGTACCTCGGGGCGATGAAGGAAACCAATTTGAAAAAAAAACGAATTAAAATGCGCGAAACTTTGGCGTTGTTTTTGGACGATATGGGCAGTTGGAGTCAATTCGAGTGGAGGATTAAGAAACGCGCGAAGGAGGAAAAGACTGAGAAGAAGCTTTTGAATATTGATGGCATATTAGACGCGGTGAGTTTTGCGCACGCCCGTCACGATAAGTTTATCCCGTATTCGAAGGAGAAAATGGAAAGAGAACTCGAGCAGGTGAACGCTTTGTCGAGAACGAAGCCGATCGTGGAAGTTTTAGAATGCGATCACATGGTGGCTATTTCGCGTAAAGGACCAGCGATACCGTTAATATTGGACACGTTCGATAGAATGGTGTATGAGTGAGAAATAAAAAAAAACGCGCCGCTCTTGTCGTTCGCGCGCGTTGTGTAAGAAAAGGCATGTGTTTTACGAGTTGTGCTGTACGTGTAGTTCAATTCTTGTTTATAAAAATAAGAAATTGATCTTTAGTATTAGTGTTAGTATGTTGTTGTTAGTATCATCATCAAATTGTCGTGTTGTTCTTTAATGTTTTATTCCTCTTTCCCGTCTTTCAAAACCTTCGCCACAAACACGACACCAACGCCAATCGTTCGTTTCGTCCACTGCTTCAATGCAACCCTTCTCTTCTGTCTGTTTTCCTGACGCGTTCGCACTCGCTCTTTTTCGCTATCGGTCAAGGATGCCGCGGCTTGGAATTTCAATTTCTCGCGTTCTTCCTTCTCTTCGAGTCGATTGGCGAGTTTGCGAAGGCCGTTTCGGAGCATGCTCCGTAAAAATCGAGCGTTTCGACGCAAGTGTAAAGGCGTTTCGCGAAGGCGGCGGCGCTCGGCGCGCTCTTCTTCGTCGACGATGTCCGGGTCATCGTCGAAGAGATGATGTTGTTGCTTTTGTTGTTGTTGTTGCCCGCGTTCTGCTACTAGGTCCGTATCGCTATTATTATTATTACTATTTTTCTCCCCGCCGTAGTTGTTGTTGTTGTTGTTGTTGTTGTTGTTGTTGTTGTTTTTGTTCAAACTCGCGTCGTTTCCTGGCTCTCCTAAACTGTTCGTGCTGTCGAAACTCTTCACCGATTGTATGCCACCCTCTCTCTCCAGGCGTTTCCGCATTCTTATCTCCCTTCTCAACTCTCTGTGAAACGACAGCATATACTCATCCAAACCTTTCGCTGCGGTCATGTGGACTAACTTCCTCGGCACGCCCGGCGCTTCGCAATACGTGGAAACCAACATCGCTCCATTTTCAACCTTCTCACCATTCTTCCCTCTCGGCATGTCGTCGTCAAATTTTGGCTGAATCAAACTCGCCGCGTATAAATGTTGCACGTCGTACCCACCTCCGCCTAATTGTACTTGCGTGTGTTTCTTTTTCTTATAGGCCTCTTCGCTTCCGTTGGCGTCGACGCAGACGGAAATCGTCGACCGAGTCACTTCGTCGTGCCAGACGCGCCGAATGCCGATGTAATCTCTCGGTGCCATCAATCGAGGGTAATTAACGCGCCAAAATATCAAATCGCACTCTTTCTCTTCATCTCTCGCTAAAATTCTACTCGTCGTGCTGGAATCGCCCCAAACGTTTCGTCTGTGCTCATCTAGTTGCACTTTCGCCACGACATCGGCGTCGATGTTATCGATGGCTATTTCTGTTTTGATCCGCGCGATGTGCTTCCCGTGCGCGCGAGAAGAGGTGGACGTCGAGCAATACATTCTGTATCTGCAGGGCATCTTCGCACTTTCTATGCTCCCGGTGTGAATCTTCTCCCAAACGACGTCCTCGCGTTCGGTTAAATCCGCCGCGCTATTCTTCCTTCCGCTGTTATTTTCAACCACAGATTCTACAAACGCGTTTTTATGCGTCTCGTTAACAATACCGGCTAGATTCAAGGACATTTTCGGAACAGTCGTGCTCGCACTACCGCTCGTCCAGCTCTTTTGTTTGTCCACTCGGAGAAGAACCGTCGTCTGGTCGCTCGACGACGAATGGTGTTGAATGAAATCCCTCGATCCTAAATCGATCGAGCGTCTCAACAATAAGCTCGCGTTGTTGCTGTTCGTACCGCAACGCGATGATGCTCTTTTCCTCGAATGCTTTATCCTTTCCTCCGAGTTCTTTTTCTTCTTTTTTATACTCTTCCTCATCCATCCACTAAACAGAATTGTCTTCTTCGCTCGCCTCCACCCCATCCGCGCGAGTTCAACCACCACGGGTAACACAAACCTCAGCAACACGTACACCACGAAATACATTTCCAAAGCGACGGAGGCGTTGAACCTAGACCAGTAGTTTCCGCGGAGTAAAATCACGGCAACACTGAGGTAGAGGAGTAGTAATCGCTCTCGGATGTGCGGTAAGATGTGGAACGGGAGGTACTCTTCTTCTTCTTCTGAATCTTCCTCCTCTGCTGAGTCATCACCGTCGCCGTTTTTTTTTTCCATTCTATCCGTCGTCGTCGTTTCCATTTTCGCTTTCACGTACGCGTGAGAAGGTTTCGGCGACGCTTTACCAACTCGCGGTTGTCGCTGTTGTTCTCGTTGTTGTTCTTGCAAAACGGCGGAGGAAAAGGCGTCCTCCGATATTGGTTCCATCGTCAGCTTTTAAGGGGGATGTGACTGCGGTTGAGTCATGATTTTTAGTGTGGATTTGAGTGAAATTTTCCTCATTCGCTCTCGCTGTTGCGCCGGTGGTGGTGTTGTCTTTAGTAGTATTAGTATCGTTACAATCGCGAGATTTGTTGCTAAGTTCTATATACCGCGTTTACGCGCGTTTTTATGCGCTTTTATTTGTTTCTCTGTAAGTTTTGCTACGTTCAATCTTTCCTCGCTTCCCGCATGTTTCTTTTTCTCGAACGAACATCGCCTCGAAGACGTCGTTCAAATCTCCTATTTTTGCGACGAGTTTTCTTCTCGGATGCGAGGAAACGTCGAAATCGTACGCGTACGATTTTTCTTCTCTAGGTCGACGCGTTAGATCTACGACGTCGGGATCGTCGGGCGTTTGTTTCAACGTCTTCCCTAAATGTGAGAACAGTATTCTGGCTTCGGTTTCGTTGGCGATGAGGCAGTTTTCTTTTTCGCTCTCGAGCGGAGTGCGCGCGGACTCGTGATGGAAGGTTTCGCAGTTTCGTTGGAAGAATTCGGGGTTGTCTAAGGACGTGGATGCGTCCTTGAGTTTGTTCTTTGATGCCGCGGTGGAATACTGTAAAAATGTCATCCGCGTCTTTCTTCTCACGTCTTCCCTCTTCCTCCTCTCAATCGTACGTACAAATCCTCCACCAAACGTCTTCAACGCCATCGAAATGGACGTACTCATACATCGCCCCGTATCAACACACGTCTTCTCATCAACGTCGTTAATCATAAAAGCACCACCCGCGCCTTCAAACAACTCTCCGAATATCGCGCACGCTTCTCTCGCCGCCAGCGAAGCTTCTCTTCCGCAGGCTAAAAAATGAATCTGCGTCTCCAAATCAAAGTCCAACGCGTCCGCCGCGACGAGCGCGATATCGCAAACTACTCGTCTTAATCGTTTTCTTCTCTTTCTTCTCGAAAAGTCGTCGTTGGTGTTGTTAAAAGCGTTCTTCAAATCATCAATATCATCATCATCATCATCATCATCCGATGACGTTGATGAAACTTCTTCGTTCAACAAAACTCTTCTTCTTTCATCCAAAAGCGGCACGACCCACGTCTCCGTTTGCGGCAAGTTAAACGCTTTCGCGTATCCAGCCAACGCGTTTACGCTCTCCGCACGATCCGTCAAGAGTAAAAGGAGGTTATTGGTTCGTCGGTGCGTTGTGCACGGCACTCTCTTCGCATCTGTAAACGTCGTCCTTAAAACCTTTGCTTCTTCGTCTGAGATTCTTTTCCCAAGCGGCGAAGCTTTGGATGATGATTTTGGCGACGACGATTCAGACGACGACGTGTCAATGCGTATGGCATCAAATCGAGAGTAATCGATGGTCATCTTTCGTTAGGGCCATCTGTTGTTGTTCATGCTTTTGTTTTCGTCGTTCATGGTGTTCATGTCGCGCAATTATTAGTATTCTATTGTGTTGTAGCATTATCAAGACTTTCTCTAAATATCCAAATCTATGTACCGAGCGGAAAGCATCATCTGAACCTGCTCGAAGCAATGTTTGCTCTGGCAACACCTCTCGTCGCGATATCTTGTTCCCATCTGCTCTTAAACTTCAAATACAAAACCATGCTGCCTCGAGCGTCTTCGGATGGGTCGTGACCGAGGACACTTTTTGATGTCGTTTCCCCGTTTGTTTCGTTCGTTTTTGTCGTTCGTTGAATGGAAAAGTTGCAGTGGATTTTCACCAACTTTCTCAACTTTTGCGGTTTTTTGAAATGCGGCGGGCGTAAGATTGGTTTCCAAGTCGCCGTGTCGCGGAGGAGTTCTTTCGGGTAAGTCATTCGGAGGACCTCGAGGTCGTTTTCTAATCCGTGACCGGTCATGATGATTTTGCGTCTTCTGTCGGTACCACCGCTTCCAAAAAGTTCCACGACTTTATTCTGAACCTCCTCAAAACTCGGCGCGTCGCGGAGATGTACTTCCGTCAATCCCGACCATTGCGTTCGGTAATCGGTCACGGTTTCCGTCGGACGACAATAGCTCGTATACACCACGTTCAAGTGTTCATTAATCACGGATACTTGACCTAACACGCTCTTCACGCCGCCTAAACCAACGCCTACCATCTCGCAATCCAACGCGAGACAGTCGGTGATGGAGAAATCATCGTTGAGCGGTATCGGAGGTCCCGAGCGTACTTCTCGTTGCTTGCGTTCTTTGTCCTCTTCCTCTGCATCAAAGAGGTTAATAATCCGCCCGTTTCGAACGACGCGCAACGCGCCCAACCCAAACGGTCTCCTTTTCGCCATCCTCTCGTAATATTCTCTCTCCTCCTTTTCCTCTTCGTCTTCTTCGTCGTCCTCGTACCTCCCTCTCCTCTCGCTCGGAGTAGAATTTGACGGCGCTTCTTCTCCTCTGCCTCTCCTCCTCGCGCCCGCGAACCGATACATCGCCACCACTATCCCCCAAAAGCTCCCTAGATTCTGAAACACGTCCGCGCTACTCTTCGCGCCAAAATTCGCCAACGCGTCCGCTCGCGCGTTATTCATCCTCGCCGTGTACGAGGATCCTTGGTTCTTCTTTGATCGAATACTCCCATTATTCGCATTCCCTTCCGCGTGCGCCTTCACTTTATGCACCACCGTCCGCCCTTCTCGGGAGAGTAACGCCCAACAGACGCACCTCAAATACCACCTCGTGTTCCCGTCTCTCACGTTTTCGACGACGCTCCCAAAACTAGGATTCCTCTTCTCTCCTCCTCGAGATTGATTTCGAAAACTTTCCGCCGCTTTCAACACATACCTGGAGTCCGTGTACACCGTCAGTCTTTCTCGCCAATCGTGCCTCAAAATGCACGCTAAAAACGCCAACATTTCCGCGCCGTTGCTATCTTTGCAGCTGGATTTTGACACCGCGGCGGCGAAGTTCAATCGATGCCCCGGCGAGTAGTACACGGAGACACCTCCTCCTCCTCTTCCTTTGTCGAACGATAAAGACGACGAGGAGGTAGTACACGGTGTCATCGACGCGTCGATGTAGCAAATGCCGTCGTCGTACTCATCGTCGCGTAAAATCTTCTTGGCGGTTCCTTTCCGAGTATTTTTATCGTTCACGTGTGCGCTGAGTAAAAGTCGTTTCTCTTGCACTTTATCGGGAAAGAAATAAAGCGCGGAGAATAACGAAAACACGAACTGCACGAAGGAAACGAAGTTCCAGAGCTCGTCTTTTATGATTCGTGTGTGTCGAGAGAAGCACACCCGCACCATCATTCGCTCTCCTTTGTTCTCTGCGTCGTTGGGGGAATTTCCTCTCCGCGAGACACACGTTTCCTTCAACGCTTTATGCGCGGAAGTCTTTCGAGAAGGACGCGAAAAAAAGCCGCTTAAAAGGACTCCACGAGTGCGCGCACGTCATCGCATTGCGCGTCAGAATAGTACTTTAGATCCTTTCACTCGGATATCTCGCTCGGGTTTTGTTGCGCTTCATCGCACGACTTTCACTCTGCGGAATTCCCTCATAAAGAAGCGAAGAAGAACACCATGGAATACGTCTCCTTGGAAGGCTTGCGAAACGACGGCCGCCGTCCGAACGAGTGCAGACACACGTCCTGCGCGTTCGAAAATCCAATATCCGCGAACTCGTGCTCTGGGTCCGCGGAGTTTACGTTCGGGCAAACGACTGCCGTGGCGGCGGTTTTTGGTCCACATTCTTCCCTGAGTACGAGTACGATCGATTCTCTGTCGATAGAGCGGTTGAAAGTGACCGTGGAAATTACCAGCGCGGCGTTTGGAATGGATGCGATCCCAAAGAAGCGAGCGACGAACGCGGCGACTCTGATGAAGTCCTCCAAGTCCTCTCGGAAAAACAAAGAATTAGCGGTGAAGTTTGAGCAGATTTTAAGGTGTTGCATAGACGCGAAGCGGTATCCTCGATCGGAGGTGTACGTCTCGGCAGCGACGATAAACGACGACGGCTCGGCATCGGCGGCGTTGTTCAATGGCATAGTATTGGCGTTAGTGGATGCAGGAATTCCAATGTTGGATGTGTTCGTGGCGGTGTGCGCGACGAGGTTGGACGGCGAAACGTTGTTGGACCAAAACGAAGTCGAGGAGAGAGGGCGAGGGGTGGAATGTTTCGTCGTCGCGGAAACGAAAGAGAGAAGGAAAACGGACGGATTGCAGAAAGGAAACATCGGGTTCAATTCGAAGATGAACGACGACTACGGCGACGACGACGTGAAACGAATCGTTTCCTACGACATCAGCGGCGGCAAGTTGGCGCCCGCAGCCGTCGACGACCTGCTTCGCGCGTGCGCGAAAGGCTGCGACGAGGTCTCGCGCGTCGTGCGCAAAGCGATGAAAAAACGGCTCAGAAAGCTCGCGAGCACGACCAGGAACCTCGCGTGACATAACGCAGAAAAGAAGAGAAAAGAGCTAGAGAGAAAGAGAGAGAGAGAGAGAAGGAAATGTTCCTCGTAAAGTTTAGTACATTCGTAGACACCCGCAAGAAAGCGCATCATAGTTTTAGAAAGTAGTACACACACAGCAGCGTTTTTCGCTTGCACATGAATCCTCGTCCTTAAAGCGTTAATGTTGTTCATCCTCCTCTGGCGACTTTACTAAATCTCGAACATATGCATCGATTTTTGTGATGGATAAAAAATGTTCCTCTCGTTCGTTTTATCTTCAGAGTTCAACCCCTTCGTTAACACGCATAACACAACACACACCTTATTTAAGAAAGAACTGTTTATTAAAGGTGGTGAAAAGGCGAGGACTCAGACGACGTGCTCGTAATAATAACACTCATGCACGCCGGGTTACACTCCCGCTTGTCGTCGCACCATCAGCGCGGGAAACATAATCATCATCGACACAATTCGTCGTCGTTGGAGGAAGGATTGGCAAACTTGGACGAGACGACGAATGGCAACGCTCCTGCTCCTCCTGCCAGGACGAGACGCGGAAATTACAACAACAACAACACTAATTCCTTCTGGAGCAACGGCAAGAACGGAGGAGGACAAACGAATGCGTTCTCGCGGGATGGCGCGATTCCAAGCGTTTTGAGAGATAAATTTGGCACCCACACAGGAGGCAACAAGAACAAGACGATATCGGCGTGGAAGCGCTGGCAACCACTTTTGTTCGCGGCGATTTTAATCGGGTTTCCGTTATCTAACGCGGTGTTTTTTTTCGGCGCGCACGTGATGCCGACGTTGTTTTCCTCGGGGTCGTCGTCTGGGTTAGAGCAGAGCGGGATGATGTCGCCTGCAACGTCAAAGTCGCCGAAGTTTAGCGGGAAGCAGAAAGAAGGCGTGTTTGGCGCGATTGGGAGCGAGTACGAAGACGAAGGAGACGAGAACGAGGACGAGGAAGTTTCCGACGATTTTATGGAAGGGTACGACCACAAGAAGAATAAAAAGAAAAGTTTAGATAGAAAGAGAAAGATGGATCCGTCGACGACGGAACCGTTTCCGGCGCTGTCCGATTTCTTGGACCCGTACCGGGAACATTACGAATCGTTTTTCGATGCTTCCAGCGAAGCTTGGAGGATAAAGAAGTACGGGCGAATTTGTATAGTTTCGGATTACGTTTTAGGATTATCCACGGGTTCTGGACCAGCGACGGCGGTGACGACGTTAGCCGAGGAGTTGCACGAAAGCGGCTTCGACGTGACGATTTTGTACACCGGGTACGCGATTCATAAACCACCGGATGTAGAATTTTGGACTGGGTATTACACCGCGAAAGGGATTAACGTGATCGCGTTACCCGAAACTGGGGTTTCGTACGATGTTCCCGTAGACGTTGCCATTGCGCACAGAGTATTCATGTGGATGAATGACCAACAGTGGTACGATTGCGTCCATTTCTTGGATAATCGCGGAAGAGGGTATTTCGCGTTGACTGCGAAAAAACAAGCGTTAGCGTTTAAACACACCGAATTCGTCGTTCACGCGCAACAACCTCACTTGTGGTACAAAACAAACTCGCTGCAAACGTTGGACACGTTGCACGATTTAGTCATCGATTATTTAGAGAAAGAGCAAATGAAAATGGCCGATCACATCGTCGCGCCGAGTCAGTACATTTTGAAATGGTTCGCCGAACAAGGTTGGGAATGGAACAGAACGAAATCAACCAGAGTGCACACGAACCCGCTGCCGAAGTGGGTGAAATCGAAGAACAAAATAGCGCACGAAGCGAGCACAATCAACGAGATTGTCTTTTTCAGTCGATTCGAGTTGCGCAAAGGTATCGTTTTGTTTTGCGACGCTATGGACCAGTTAGCTTTGAGAGGGGACACGCAAATTATGAAAGGCGTGCGAGTAACATTTTTAGGCCACTTGAGCAACTCAGCGGAAGAAAAGTTGACGATTAAAGGTGGCGCGAGAGCGAGAGTCGATCAATACATTCGCCAACGCGCTAAGAAATGGTCGTTCCATTGGCAAATTTTGAAAGACATGGACGTGAAGCAAAGGTACGAGTACATCGAGGAAGGGAACGCGAATAATAAATTAGTCGTGTTGCCGTCCTTACTGGAGAATTCGCCGTACACCTTAGTGGAATGTTTGGTCATGGGTATTCCAGTGGTCGCCTCGGACGTCGGTTCGGCGCGCGAGTTTATCGACGACGACGACGCCGAGAGAGTATTGTTCGTACCAACGCCGAAACCGTTGGCGGGGAAAATCAGAGACATTCTCAAGAACGGATTCGTCCCGGGGAAATCGAAAATCAAACAAGACGTGGAAAAAGACTGGACGATTTGGCAACACCACTTAGTGCACCAATCTAAGGATTCCTCGAACGCCATGTCAACTTTACAAACGTGGGAAGAACCGCTCGTTACGGTGATAGTAGTCACGTATAACAACCCTAAGTTGTTGAAACAAGCCTTGCAATCGATTTACGAACAAGAGTATACGAAAGTTGAAGTCGTGCTGATTGATGATGGTTCCACGTTACCGGAAGCGCAAGCGTATTTACGTGAGATCGACGCCGAATTCAAACGCAAAGGGTGGGTCTATTTGCAACAAGACAACAGAGGTCCCGGGGCGGCGCGTAACAACGGCGCCAAGCACGCGCGCGGCGAGTTCATAATGTTCATGGATGATGATAACTTTGCCAAACCTAAAGAAATTGCCACGTTCGTGTCCGTTGCCATGCATACTAAAGCGGACGTTCTGACTTGTACGAATGAATACTTTTACGGATTAGAGTTACCCGGAAATAGACCGCCGATTGGACGATGGGTTCCGCTCGGCGCGGCTACCACCGTCGGCATGTTTCAAAATCTCTACGGAGACACGAATGCCATGATTCGACGAAAAGTCTTCCTCGATTTAGGCGGTTTCCCTGAAGATTACGGTTACGCTCTTGAAGATTGGGAGTTGTTCTCTAAATCTGTCTTGGGCGGTTATAAACTTGAATCCATTCCTTCTCCGCTGTACTGGTACCGCATTCGTGATACGTCGCACTCTCACGAAACTGCGAAATATGGGAACGCCGCGCGTACCATCCGTCCGTACCTCAGACAAATTCCTCAAAAACTCCATCACATCGTTCTTTTCGCGCAAGGCATGAAAGATTCGCACGACGTCGCTGCCGGCCAACTGGAAGAACAAAACGGCCAAATGCGCGACGTTCGTAAAATGTTGAAAACGTTAGCTACGAGTCTGAACGATTTATGCGACGATGGGTTAATTCCAACCACCGCAAAAAACCAAGTCGAAAATTCGCAATTCGCGTTAGACGAAGACGACCCGTCAATCGTCGAATCTCCATCGTACGAGCGTCTGGAAGAGAAGAATAAACGTTTCAAATCCTGGTCTCCGTTCGCGGACGGATACAACATCGATAAACGAAACGGACGCATCTCCGAATCCTCCTCGGACACTCGCGCCTTGCGCATGCAAAACCCAGACTGGAAAGATGCTCGAGGCGCGGTTCAAGAAATCCACTTGCACCAAAAAGAACCGTCCGCGGTGATCATCTCCGGTTGGTCGAAAGCCCGCGACGTCTCCGGCGCCTCCGACGGCGGCTACTCCATCTACGCGGACATCAAGTTCATCGACGGAAAAATGATGTACGGCTACTCCGTCGCCTTTGACGTCGGCACGCACACTTGGCAGTTCAAAGCTGGAGTCATCGATCCAATCGTAGCCATCGAGAGTATAACCTTATACGCCATGTTTCGTTGGCACGCCGGCACGGCTTGGTTCGACGACGTCACGGTGTCCTCCTTGAAAGAAGGTTTGTGCGATTACACGAAATTGACTTTGGAAGGGTTAGGGCCGGATAAAGGAAACGGTGGGAAAATTGGACCTGGTGGCAACAGAGACGAGTTATAACGTCTAGCAGAACAACGCCGCGAAAAGCACGCGTGTTGTATGTATTTGTGTGTACCATTATTAAATTCATCGTCGCATTCGCCTCGTCGTCGTAACTCCGTTTTCTTTCCTTCTTTTCTTCTTCTTTTCCTCTCGAGGCTGCTCCTCCACAAAAAAAATTTCCATTCGAGAGAAAAAGGTCACGCTCTGTTCTGCTTTAAGACAAATGGGGAGAACGAAATCAAAAGTCCTTCTCACGACGTCGATTCTCGGTTCCTCGCTCTTAATCTTTGCCACGTTTGGGATTCTCGGCCCGAACATTCCAAACTTGACGACGGGAACGACGACGGGTTTGAAGCGTCGACATTCGTTTCGAATCGGGAAGAATGCGCTGCGGGAAGATTACGAAGCCCATCATCATCCTCATCCTCATCTGAGAACGACAATAAGAGAAGATTCGGAGCAGAAAGACGAAGATATGATGGCGAATTTAGTGCCGAGTTTAGAAAAAGAGGAGGAGGAGGAGGAGGAGGAGGAGGAGGAAAACGTTTTAGTCGTCCCGTTCTCTTCCTCCTCCACCTCGAAAAAAGAAGAGGAGAGTTTGATAAAATCGACGTCAGCGGACATGGACATCGAAACGGAGGAAGATCTGCATCCGTTCAGAGGTCGGAAACCGAGACCTCCGCCGGAGAAGTTTACGACACGAAACGAAGCGACGACGACCTCTCCGGAACACGTGCTCGATCCGAACAGGATGCAAATAATCTCTCTCGATCATCCGCGAGCGTTTCTGTATAAGCGGTTCATGACGGACGAAGAGTGCGATTTTTTGATCGATCACAGTAAAAGTCGGATGTCAAAGAGTGGCGTCGTGGACGCGGAGACGGGTGGGACCGCGAAATCGGACATTAGGACGAGCACGGGGAGTTTTGTTGGGATTGGAGCGAATGACTTGATGAAAAAGTTAGAAAAGCGAGTGGCGACGTTTTCGATGTTGCCGGTGAAGCATCAAGAGGCGACGCAGGTGTTGAGATACGAGGTTAAGCAGGAATATAGAGCGCATTACGATTATTTTTTCCACAAAGGAGGCATGGCGAACAATCGAATTGTGACGATTTTGATGTATTTGCACGAACCGGAATTTGGAGGAGAGACGGTGTTTCCAAATACGGAGGTTCCATTAGAGAGAGCGGAGAAAGGATGGGGGAAGAATTTCTCGGAGTGCGGGAATAGAGGGAGGGCAGCGGTGGTAAGAAAAGGCGACGCGTTGATATTCTGGTCCATGAAACCTGGCGGGGAATTAGATCCCGGGTCGTCGCACGCCGGGTGCCCAGTCGTGAGAGGAGAGAAGTGGACGGCGACGAAGTGGATTCACGTAAATCCAACGAACCAATGGAACCAGAACAATCACAAGGTGCACTACGCAGGGGGACCGGCGAATTCAGAAACTTGTAAAGATACGAACGCGGCGTGTCCGGGATGGGCAGAGGGTGGAGAGTGTACGGCAAATCCGGGATTCATGGTGAATTCGTGTAAGGTCTCGTGTAGGCAATGCGTAGGCGGCTGGCGGGACGGCTCGTATACGAAACCAGTGCTGAGCTGAGCTGAGCTTTATGCTTTGTTTTTGCTGTTGTTGTTGTTGTACCATTGTATATTATGTTGTATAGCTACTAGTATAATTTTACATCGTTTCTATCTTCGCGCTGATTTCATCCGCGTGGTTGACAAACATTTCCCACTGTTCGCGATTAAACGCTAAACCTTTAAATCCCGGCGCCCACTCGCCGTTTTTGTTTTGGTAGTACTCGCGAACGTGTACCATCGGTTTCCCTTGATATTTTGACACCGTCACTCTCTTATTCCCTCCGATTTCGCACACCGCTTCGCTTTCCGAGTTACCCGCAGCGACGATATCGATTTTAATCTCCACATCCGCTATCTTCTCTCGTAAATTCTCAAATTGTTCCGCGTTCAAGTTCACGCCTTTCTTCCCCGGCAGCCACTGGCCGTCTTTTTGATAGTACTCTCTGAATGAAATCGTCGGTGCGCCTCTATACACTTGCACGGCTACGCGCTTCGCGTTAGAGAGTCTGCACACCTCGCCATCTACGGCGTCTTCGGCTTGTTGTTGTTGTTGTTGTTGTTGTTGTTGTTGTTGTTGTTGCTGCTGCGTTCCTCCCGATTTCGCCGCCGCGGCACCTCCGCCACTCCCTTTCTCCTTGGTCACGTCCAATGCCCACGTCGGTGGCGCCTTCTTGCTATCGTGCGTCAACCTTAAATCCATCCCTCGCTTCAAGCACAAATACAACACCCGATTGACTTCCGACTTGTCCATCTTCGTCGCTTCCGATATAACTTTCGCCGTCGTCCCGTTCGCGCCGTAATCTTCTAAAGCGTCGAAAATCGTCTCCAGCGTTTGTTTCAAACTTTTCTCGGCGTCCTCGTCCTTGACCGTCTCCTCTTTTGGAAGGACACGTTCAGCGGCGGCAGAAGGAGGAGCTGCTGCTGCTTCTCGCTTCACCGCGAAAGCAGCCCCTTTTTGTGCAGCAGGAGGAGGAGGCCCTTCCCATTTACTCCTCAACAGGTCCTCCTCATCGACACCACTAACTTTCTGCTTCTTCGTCAACGGTTGTGGTGGTTGTTCTCCCGGGGAGCGGAGCACTTCTTCTTCTTCCGCGCGTTCCTTTTGCACGAACTCGTCCACGAGAGACACAATCAACGGTTTGAAATCATCAACGGGAAACCCGAGATCTTGGGCTAATCTCTCGCGAATTTGACGCTCGGAGAGGGTTTCCACATCGACCGTGCGTAAAAGTTCTCGACACTTTGCCTCCACCGCGGCGAGTTTGAAGTCAGACATGTTATGTATGTGCGCGTGTTTGCGTTTGATCTGATGAATTTTGAAAATGATTTCTTTTGTATCTGTGTTTTTCCCAAGGGTGCTCACTTTTCATATCTCTTCGTGTGAGAATGTAGCGATACGTGTCTCTCTAACTCTCTCTAAACTCTCTCTCTCTCTCGCGTGAATAGTAATAAAAAGGAAAAGTGGTAGTCGCGCTCTGCTGCGTGTGCCGCTAAGAAACGACGATTCTTTCTTCTTCTTCTTTTTGTTCTTTTTCTTTGTTGTCCGCAGGCGCCATTTTTTCTTCCTCTCCTCCTCCTCGGCGAGGCGGCAAAGGCGCTTTGTTGTTGCGGCGGTCGCGACGACGATCCCAGGAGAGATGATGATGATGATGATGGTATTTCGAGAAGGATACAAACGCGATCTCAAATTCTCTCTCCCACGAACCGAAATCGAACGCGTTGACGGCGGTCGCTTTGACGAGCTTTTTCACGTCCGAGACGAACGAGGCGTGTTGGCGTTCGCGCTTTTGTTGTTTTCCTTCTTCTTCTTTTCCGTCTTCTTCTTCTTCTTCTTCTCGAAGGTACTCGAACGCAGATAAGGCGACGCCTAACGTCGCCGCCGCGGCGCCGATAGCCGACGCTCGAAACTGCGGCGATGTTGGAAACGAGCGTAAACTCGCGGCGACGATTACGCACGCGTGTTCCTCTGCTTTCGTCCACAACCGTTTAAACTCCTTTGGCCTCGCGCCTTCGGTACCGAACGCGACGATTTCCACGTTCTTTTTCATCGCGTTTAAAAACTCATTCGCCCACATCGATCTCGTCGGTTTCGACACGCGATACTCCAACGTCGTCAAAATAACCGTCTCCATCTTCGCCATCGTCTCCTTATCGAACGTAATCGTTGATATCGGAACGCTAAAGTTGTTCTTCTTTTCCTCCTCGCACATCTCCTGCTCGTAGTCCACATCGAACTGGTCTCTTCTCTCTCTCGTTTTCAAGCTCAATCGAAAGCACGACGCGCTCAAAACTTCGTACGCCCACGCGCTCTCCGTCGTGCACTCCCCGCTCGCAAACGCTCGAACGACTTCTTCCGCGAAATCCACCGCCGCGCACGCGACGTCCACCATCGCAAACGACAACATTTGAGTTATTCTTCTTTCTGAATGACCAACACCACCACGATGAAAACGGTGATTTTCTACCTCCTCCTCCTCAAAGTCGTCGTCCTCCTCCTCGTCGTCGTCGTCGAAACCAGAAGGCACCACCCCCTTTGTTAAAGACAGAAACTCTTCGTTTTTGTTCTGAAACAAAAAGAACTGTTCCGCTCGCGTTAAAACGCCTTCGACGACGGCGTCGCGAACAGTTTTCCATCGCTCCTCGCATTCGAAGTGAATCAAAGACGTTTTTTGTGTAGGATTTTGCACCGCGAATTTATCTTCGTTTTCTCGAGCGAGGAATCCCCCGAGCGTCGTCGCACACGTTTCCGTCTTAAACGTTTCTTTCCTCTTCAGCTTCTTCGTCTTTTCTTCTTCGTCTTCTTCCGCGTTGTAAAAAGCGACTCCTTCTTCTCTCTCGAAACGTTTCATTCTTCTTTAAAACAACAACAACAACGAATTATTATATAAAATCCGCGAATGGAAATCCTTCTTTTGCCGGATATTGATCTTCGCGCGAAGAGTGCGTTCGTTTCCGCGCGCTCGTTTTGAGTTTTTTTCCGCTTATTTTAGAGGACTGTTTTCGTCACATTTTGGCGTAAAACGAATCACACGAACAACACACAACGACGAACAAACGCGACCATGTCGGCGAGATGTACAAAAAGAGGAGAAAGTCTTCTTCGCCGAATGATACAAACGACGACGGCGAAAACGACGGCACCGGCATCGAACGCGCGTTACTTTCGCAGCGCTTTGAGCAACAACGATATCGCCTTTACGAATGGTCGACGTGTTTACTCTTCTTTCGATTGGTCCTCTTCCTCTTCTTCTTCTTCTTCTTCTAAGTCGTCGGGTGCGGCTTTTGCGGGTGCGGCGGCCACGGCGACGATGATGATGGCGTACTTTTTGCCCTCTTCCTCTTGGTCCTCCTCTTCTTCTCTGGCTCGCTGCGAAGAGGCGAAGAAGGAGGCGAAGATGTCGTCTTCTAAAGGAGGAATGCCGTTCGAAAGCGTCACGTTGTACCAATACGACGTGTGCCCGTTCTGCAACAAAGTGAAAGCGTTTCTCGATTATCACAACATCCCGTACGACGTGGTCGAGGTGAACCCGCTGACGAAAACGGAGATTAAACAGTTCGAACACGAGTGGAAGAAAGTGCCGGTGTTAGTCGTGGACGGGAAGGCGACGTATAACTCGCGCGATATTATAAATGAAGTGGACGAGCGAGTGAGAAAACATTCGGGTTTGACGAAAAGGTGGTTCGGAGAGAAGAGCAAGAAAGAGAAGGAGAAGGAAGAGGAGTGGTGCAAATGGGTGGACGATAGGTTCGTGCACGTGTTGACGCCGAATATTTATAAAACGTTTCGAGAGGCGATGGAGAGTTTCGATTACATCACGGAGAGAGGCAATTTTGGGTTTTTCGAACGGCAATCGGCGAGGATTACCGGAGCAGTGAGCATGTACGGGATTTCGAAGATGGTTTTAAAGAAAAGGCACGGGATCGAAGACGAGAGAGCGTCCTTGTTCGAGGAGACGAGGAAGTGGATGTCCGAGGGAGTTGGACAAAGCGGCGGCAAATTTTGCGGCGGGGACGCGCCGAACATCGCGGATATTTCCATGTTTGGCGTGTTCAGAGCCGTGAAGACGTTCCAAACGTTCGAGGACGTGTGTAAAGAGGTACCGGAAATGGTGCCGTGGTACGAGAGGATGCAAAAAGCAGTAGGAGAGAGTTCTAGATCGGACGGGTTGAGTAATTGAAGAAATTGGGAGGATTGTTTAAATGTATAAAAGTAATCAAACCGCAAAGGTTTGTTGTTGGATTCAGCGTAATACTATTTGAACACATAAAAGTACATTTCTGACTGCTACTACTATCTATTTTGAGTTTACACCCCTTTATTCGTTACATTCGTGGTACACATACAGCGCCTTTTGGTCTTACTACTTACTACCAATGGAGGAATCGCGGGTGTCGCTGTCCCCAATGCCAGTAGCGATGATGACCCTGTCGTCGCTGGTTACCTTCCGCTTGTGCCTGCGCTGCTCTCGCGCGCATGAGATGAGCTTGTTGGTGTTCGTGAATGGCGTTATGTTGCGTGAACCACATCATGGTTAAAATAAACGTCCACCAAAGAATATTCCCAATCGCCGTCGCGACTGAATTCGCGGCGTTCTCGTTGATGTACGCCCTGACTTGTTCGTCCGAACTCGCCGCTGTCAACGCCGCGGAAGGTTCCAATCCCGCCGCACTGACGCGTCCAGTGAGCAAAAATAATATCCTTTGGACGACGATGAGAAAGGCGACGAGAATACCTCCGACAGCGGCGCCGAACGAGGCTAAAAAGAAGGATAAATTCCTCGGCGACGACAATGCTATCCGTTTCAACGCGTGAAAAATAACAATAACGTCTCTGTGTAAAGCGTTGTGCACGCGTTCTGCGAGCGCGGTTAATCTACTCACATTGTTTCGCGACGATGAGGACGAACTCCTTCCACCTCTCCCGTCTCTCCCACCAACGGGCACGCCGTATTTATCCGTCGGTTCTCCCGTCGCCGGAGGTGCTCCGCTGGCGCATCGCACTAACGGCCATTTCGGTGGCGGTAGCGTGGTCGTATATTTCTGTTTCTGTTTCTTCTTCTCCTCCTCTCCTTTTCCTTCGTTGTTCTCGTCTGAATCGTCCTCGTTTACGTCTGAATCGTCGTTGTTGTCGTACATCCTCTTCTGAAAATACTCGCTCGCGCCGTACCCTTTCTCTTGCAACCAAGCTTCCACCCCGGCTCGAATCTGCCAATTCGGCACCACGTCCGTGCACGTCACGATTGCATTCGTCGTTGGATCCGTCGGTTGATTCCCGAACCTTTTACTTCTCAGCCATCTCGATATCGCCTCGCGTTCGTACGTGTACCCGGTTTGCAACAACACCACGGGATCCTCGAATAAATCTTGCGTGATGACGCACTTTAAATGTTCCGGAGGTTCCTCAAATTGCGTTAAATGTTTCGAGTAATACATCGACGACGAGGTGCTGGATGCAAAGCCGCTCAGGATGGTTTTCTTGACCACTCCGGCGAGACCGGCGAGGCCGAAGAATAACGCGTTTTGGTTGTTGTTGTTCGTGTTCGACGACGACATATTTTAGACGATTTCTTTCAAGATGATGAGAGACTATATATGCCGACAAAACGGAAAAAACGCGCGACAAAAGGACACGAACCGGCGGAAAAAGAGTTCTTCCTCTCTCTTATTATTCCGCGTACTCTGTGCTCTCTCTTTCGCTCTCGTCGTCTTCAAAATCGCAAGAAAGCTCTTCGTCTTTTTCTTGCGTATTTATGCGCCAAAATATTCGTTTTTTTCCGAAGTGGCAGCCCCGCTCGATTTTTTTTTTTTTTCTTTTCAAGCGGCTGCCCCTTTTTGAGGTTTTTCTGCACATTTCACCTCTTCACTTAGCATATATAAATAAGAATGTCCGCAACTATGTGCACCACCGCGTCTTTCGCACCGTCGTCTTTATTGTCTAGCAGATTTTCGAACGGTACGGTTTCGTTTGCGTGCCTTTTAAGTGCGAGAGCGTTTTTTTTTAAGTCGCGAGACGCGCGTTTTAGAGTTGTGTTCCGCGTGATTTGTACGCCTGGTTGTTGTGAAAAATGATGTTTTTTTTCTCTCAATTGAGAAGCGCGCGATGCTGGTGAAGAGGAGGAGGCGTGCGAGAGAGAGAAAAAAGAAGGAAGCGACAAAATGAACGCGTAAATTGGATGTTTTCGCATCCAAACGCGCGCGGTTTTCATCCTTGCTCGTTTCGCGAGTGGCGGAGTAGGCGGCGATTTCGAGAAGGAATTTTTCTCGCCGCCCTTTATCCTTTTGGCGACGTCTCCTCAGGAAAGGGAGGAGGAGGCACTTTTTATATGCGACTTTGACTGACGCGCGCTTTTCAACTTCTCTCTTTCAATAACAAACAGGTTCCAGAGCATCTGCTTTCCAAACGTCCACCACCACCACGAAAAAACCAGTGTCCGGTTTTCAATTCCACATCGAAGCCAAGCAAAACAAAGTCGCTCGAACGCTCCTCACCCAAAAGGAACGCACGTACAACAAGGCGCGAAAGTCGGAAATCGCCACGCGCATCAAAAAAGTCCGAACGTTAGCCGAAATATTGTTACCGGCCGCGACGGAAGACAACGTCGCGGAGTTGGAGAAGTTAATCAGCGAAGCGACGAAGAGTGTCGACAAGGCGGTTTCGAAAGGCGTTTTGCATAAGAATACCGGCGCGAGACGAAAGTCGAGAATGGCGAGGTGCAAACAAGCCGTGTTGAAGGCGAATAACTTGATGACGTACAATTAATAATAACACACGCGACTACTATAGAAGAGAGAGAGAGAGAGAGAGAGAGAGAGAGAGATTTATATACATAAACTTTTAGCCCCCCAAAACGTGTAATTGGATCGTGATGTACTTGATTAACGTAGCTTTATTTTCATCGACTTCTTTTCAACTCTTTTTGGCTTCTTGAAAAAGCGTTACAAACTTTCCCCCATAAAAACAAATGGCATCTTTCGCCGAACAAAACGCGGTTCGATGCAAAGAAGCCGGGAACGTTCTGTATAAGAACGAGCGGTACGAGGAGGTGCGTTTCTTTTATTCTCTCGTGAAAATGTTGCGTTGTTTCGTTTTTTGTGCACTTTTCGCGCATCTTTCCATGAAACGCACGTTCGTTGAAAAACGCTTCAAGTCGTCGCTTTCTCGTCAAAGACGCTGACGCTGACGACGACGACGCTTCCTTCCTTCCTTCCTTCAAAAACTTCAGGCCATCGAAAAGTACACCGAATCTATTCAGTTCGACGGCACGAACCCGGCGGTATACACGAACCGAGCGGCGGCACATTTCAATCTCAAAAACTTTCCGCAAGCGTTGCTCGACGCGGAAACGAGCACGAGAGTGGACGAAACGTGGACGAAAGGGTACTATCGAAAAGCGAAATGTTTACACGCGATGAACGATACAAAAGAGAAAAAGAAGAACAGATTTGAAAACGTGCGAGAAGCGATCGATGTTCTCCGGATTGGCACGCGATACGACGCGACCAACGCGCAAGCGAACGCGTTCTTGAGAGCGCTGGAACTCGAAAGTCTTTCGCTCGCGAAGGATTGTTTCGAGATGAAAGCGAGAGCGAAGGAGATGTTTCGGGAGGGGAAGTTTGAAGAAGCTGTTGAGATGTACGGAGAGGCGCTGAGAGACGAGGAGACGAGGAGAGGTAAGGAGAAAGGAAAATCCGTTCTGGGCGAGAGTAACGGTGGTAGTAGCAGTGGTAGTCTTCGCGCGACGTTGTTTTTAAATCGGGCGGAGTGTTATCGACAGATGGGTAAGATGCGAGAGTGCGAAAGAGATTGCGAGGAAGCTTTGCAATTGCAACCGAAAAACGAGAAAGGTCTGTTGAGAAGAGCGTTGTGTAGGGAGTATTTCGAGAGATTCGAGGAGGCTTTGGAGGATTTCGAGACGGCGAAACGGCTATCGCCTTCCAGTCTTCTCGCGAGCTCCGGAATCGAGAGGTGCAAGAGGATGCAAAAGGTCATCAATAATGACGGGTAATAGAGTACAGTAGTATCGTATAATTTTTAGTAATAATAATATTAGTTGAAATACAAATGTTTCTTTAGTCATATAAAGTATACTTTCTAATGTAAAGTTGCGTGAAAGAATGTCGGGGTCTATTTCTTTTCCTTCTCGTCGGCGTCTTCCTTCTTCTCTTCCTTCTTTCCGCCACCAGCGACGCTACGGAGTCTCTCCAACGCCGACGGTTTCTTCTCCACCGTCGCCGGTTTTTGGGGAGCATCTTGTTCTTTATTCGAGGCTTCTGGCGGCGCCTCAGGTTTTGAAGTGGGGGCTCCAGTTCTCTTCGCCGCCTCGTTGGCGGCTTTCTGCTCCTCCAATTTCTGCTGCGCCTTGATCTTCTCAACTAACGAAAGCTTCTTCGGATTTCCTCCACCGTCTCCTTCTTCTTTCGTCTCTGCTTCAGATCTCTGTTTTTTCAGGCGCTCCATGATATTCGCAGCGCCTCTGTCTTTCTGAAAAGCGGCTTTCAACGCCGCTCTCGTTCGAATCTTCCTCTCCGTGTCGTTCTCCGCGACGTTGAATCCAAGGCGTCGCATCACCCAGCCGTAAAACATAACGACAAGCGATCTGGATTTGGAACCTTCCGTGGCTAATGGGACAACTTTCGAGACGACTTTGTTCGGTCCATCGTCCGCGGTTAAACGAATTCTCATCAAGTTATCCGCAACTTGAGGAATGACACCTTTTCGAATCAACGAAAACAATCCAGACGGTTTCAAGGATCCCAACATGTTGACGCCTTGTACAGACTTTTGCCGCTGTCTCGCGCGATCGAGTAAATCATTCACTCTTTTTAAAATGTCAACCGCGTGTACTCTGGTAAACGGCGCTGGTAAATGTCTCTCAACGATCCATTGCGCCTGGATGTCCACGCCAGATTCGTTCAACTCCGTGAACTCTTCATCCATGGTTTCTGGATTCACATACTCCGTTCGGTACTTTTCCAAAACCTCCTCCTCGACCGGTAACTGTTGCAAGTAGTCTCTTTGATGCTTATCGAGGACATTCTTACTAGCTTCTTTTAGTTGCGAGTTGACGAATTTCGATCGAGCCTCCGCGCGGAGTTCTTCAGGGGTCAATATGTCCCGTTTAGAACCCAGCGTCATTCGTCGGTACAACGAAGGGCCTTTCTCCAACGATTTTTGTTTTTCCGCTTTTGTCGATATCTTCTTCGATAAACGTTTATCCAGTTGCGCCAACTTATCCGCCGTCGTATTTTTGCTTTCTTTGCCGCCTTTGAAACCTTTGGTGTCGCCAAAGAAAACGCCGACGATGCCTTTGTTGCTTTTCGCAGATTTGACGACAAACGGAGTAACCTCCATGAAGATGTAAATGAGGAAGATCGTCAAGCCTCCTAAAATGAGAACTGCGTTGAACCAGGACAGAAAATCGTCGAATCTCTTCGAGGCTTTTTCGGTTAGAAAAATCAAACCGGAGAAGATGTTCACGAAGGAGATGAAAATAGCCGCAGACTCTAAACGGTCCAGACGTTTGGATTCCTGAGGGTCCGCGAAGAAGTGAATGGTCATCGCGATAAAAATAGTCATCATACAACCCAAAGATTGACCTAGTTGACTCATCGTTGTTCCTTGCGAGAACAACATGGTACTGCCGACAACGCCGAGTTGGCGAAGCAAGACTAAGATCTTGTATCTGTACCACGCCGGGCGATAACCCACGTACAAAAACCCGAACGTCTTGACCGTATCCGGGCGATTCAACTTGTCCCGAATTCGATACAGCGTGAAGTAAAACGTCAAGATGATACCAAAGGGGTACATGCACACCAACACTAACGCGATAGGAAAGTACTGCGTCCAGGGATTTTTCATGTTCCCCCAGTCGTAACACTGTATGCTCGGTTCAGCTTCCAAATACGAGATTCCATTCGCCGGGTTTTTCACGCAATCGAAATATTCAAGCGTCGCTCTCGAGAGAAAGATGTAAGAAATATCCATCAAAGTGAGCATGATGCGAATAAACATCCTCGCAGTTGATCGGATGTGATCACCAACGGAGAACTCTTCCAATTGTATTTTCTTATCTGTGATCATCTTCTTCGCCCTTTCCTTCATCCTCTGCAATTTACCTCTGCGGTTGCCTTCGTCGTCCACATCGCGAGTATCGTACGCGAACCACGAGTCAAACGAACCCGCGAGAAGCATTCTGATGAGCACTTGACCGATGATAAACTTCAGCAAGGTGATCAACACGAACGTCGCTCCAAAAAAGAGCGGCGAGAGCACGACGACAAAATACCGCAAGAAGAAATCAAACTTCGGAATGTGACATTCCGGTTGCAGCAACTGAATGTCAAACGTGAAAATCGCAAAGTACTTGTACAAGTTTTGAATAATCGGAGGCCACTTGAAGTCCAAATCCGATAACACGGCGGTTATTTGGACGAACACGAACAAGAGCGAAATCGCTTTGAATCTTCTCAATAACTTGACGAGGATCGGCAACAACATGATGAAACCAACCAACATCAGGAAAAGAATTAAATACGATTCCCACTTCGTGTCTGGACACATGTTGCATTGCTGCTTCAAGCGGTAGTAATTGTTACTGCACTGCGCGCAACCCTTCTCTTCGTATCCTTCCGTGCACTGGATAGTCCACGGGTAGACGTCCGCCAAAATCTGATCGTCAGTCGCGTTCCCCGGGCATGCTTGTTCAGGCGTGCACTCACGAATTGTTAATTCAGTCCCTAGCGCTGCGTCTGGAATATCGACGAAATATCCAAACTCGGCTTCTGGAACGATTAAACCTCTTTCTGTGCACCTACTCCCCAAAGGCGGGCAAACCTTGCAAATGCTGTCAAAGTCGCTCGTTTGGTCGTCGATGACGGTGAGCAGATTCCCGTACGTTCCAACGTCGCACAAACACTCCGTGAGAGCAATGGCACCACCTTCCGTGGTCGATCTCGATGGACACGCGGTGCACGCTCTCTTACCTTCAAAAGGTTGATACGAGGTCACTCCGCATGATTCGCACTTCTCTGAGCCAGTTTTCCCGGCGAAAGTACCGGCGGCACAAGGCGAACACGAGATCATGTCAAACAACTGCGCGTATTCACCAAAGCCACACGGTGTACACTGCGTTTCCAAAGAGTTCTTAGTGTGTCCAGGAGCGCACTTGGTAGAAAATGTGACTTCAATTATTTGAGCGTTGTCGTCGCCACCTCTATAATTTTCTTGTTGCGAGACAGCAAACTTGAGTGTCTCCATCGGGCCTCTCCAATACTCCTTCGCGCGATAATAGAGCGTCGCGGAAAATCCCGTCTCTTTGTTCCCACCCATTGAGACGACGTTTATAGACCCGTAAAGGTCACTCAAGTCCGTACCCATGGTCAGATCGCCGGTTTGCACGCCCTGTATGAGATGCGTTACCGTTCCTTGGATGGCGTCTGCGTTTATCAACGTGATGAAAAGTCTATCCGTGTCCTCATCCGCGGCTTTAATCTTGAACTCTTGCCATTGCTTTGCGTACTCCTCAAAACTGAGCTCTTCCTTCGTCGTGCCGACGACTTCGGTCACGGTCATTGGCGCCGTAAACATTGGATTGGAGGTTTTCAAAACCTCTACGCCATCCGCGTCTTTGCCGTACACGCCGAGCTCGGACCCGTCGTCTACCTGCGAAATGACAACACTTATGAGCACTGTGGCAGTTTCGTAGTTGAAACCTGTGACGATGCCATCTTTGACCCCGATGCGCATCCAAAGTTCTTCATCTACACCGCCTCGGTCCTTCGTCGGTTCATAAGTAAAATACGCGCTTAGCTCTGTACCAGCCTCCAAAACTTTCTTCGTGCACGTTTGCCAAAAGTTGTTCTCTTCGAAAATGTTCTTTGTGGGGTCGGGTTCACAATCGCACGTGTACATGGTCAACTCGTTCACAGTTACCTGCTCTCCGGAATGTTCCTGCGCGCAAACGTTGCCTTCACACTGGCCGTTGTCCCCCCCTTCGTCCCAACAATGCCACTTGATTCTCCCGTGCTCAACTGTTTCGTAGCCATCCACATCTGTGACGGCGTCGTAAAAAGAGTTTTGCGCCGTGTACACTCTCAACATCGATTCGGTAATGCTTGCGTCTTCACCGTTCTTGTCTTTACCGGAATGAGGTAAATCCGCCGCGACCGCGCGCTTTACCGAGAAGTCCGTCTTCGTATCCTCCACAACATTCGCCGTCGTGGACACTTCGTTCGTGACGAGTTCCTTCACACCCGTGATGGATGGTAAGAACGTCTTTTCGGCGACGGTGATCTTCACCCGTCTCGAGGCCGAATTGACGCCTCTCGTCCCGGCGGGCAAACCCGTCGGCGGATCCAACCCCTCGTGTCCGCCCGCTTCCACGTCGTTAACCGCGTACTCGAACGTATCGGACAATCCGCTGTTATTTCCGTACGGGATATATACAAACGCGCCGGCATCTTCGCCACACAATTGGGCGCCTTTACCATTGTTGGCTGTGTAGTCGCACGACAACCTTACTTCTCCGTACGTCGGCAGCTTGGTGATCACGTATTGTAAATAATCCTGGTCGGCATCCAAGTCTTCATACGCGTACCCCGAGGCGCAGTTGACGAAACCATCTGCGGACACTCCCACATTCGATGCATCGATGCAATTCAAATTGCCTCTCAAGATATACGTGTTGTAGTCCCCGGATGTCCCGGACTCGGTCGGTAACGCGTATGCCGTCGCGGTTTGGAACGATTCAAACGTATACCCTTGCCATCCGCTGTTCGTTCCGGTTGGCGTCAACTTATTCGGTCTCACTTGTTGTCCAAATGTTAAATCTTCAACATCATCGGGCCAACTCGCCGGATCGTTTCTCGGCTCGATGTAAATTCTTCCCGTCGACACCTCCGTGTCTTGCGACAGCATCTCACCGTTAGCATCATACACCGTCTTTGTCACACGAAACGAAAACAGAGACAAATCGGTTTTACTCTCAGAAAATTTGTGCGTATCCGGCGTAAACGATAAAACCCCGCCTTCGCTCAAAAACGCTTGCGCCACTTCGTTTCCTACGGCCCCAACCTTCAACGTCCTGTCCGGCGGGCAAATCAATTCGTACGTCAGCGTGTTCCCTTCCGCTTCCCACTCGTTGTTCGTCGGTTTCAACGTCGTCGTCATCACCGTATCTTCAACCGCGCAAAAATAGTTTTTCAAATCCCCCAACCCTTCTTCTTTGAAAAAAGTGTCCGGATCAGAATTGCAAAAGTAAAACTCGCACGTGGCCGCTTCCAACACGCCGCCCACGCACGTGGTTTTCCCGGAAACCGTATACCCTTTGTTACACGTCGGCTGACACGTCTTGCCCGCGTCTAAAACGTTCGCACACGTTCCAACTGCACCGTTTAATGGTGGTACGCTCGTGTCGCACGGCGTCGCCTCCGCCACCGTGGCTTCCGTTTCCGTGCCTGAAGTTTGTGCTCCAACAAACAAGAAATTCCCAAATTTATTTTCTTTTGTCGTCGCGCTTGGTCTTCTTTGCGGGAAGCTGCTGGACAAAAACACCGCGAACAACGCGCACACGAAAAGCGTTCGCAGCGCGCGTCCTCCGCGGTTTTTGCGTCTGAAACTCTTTCTCGATGAAGAAGAAGTCCTCGTGACTTTGTTTCTCATCATCGTCATCATTTTTTTAACCTCTCTTTAAAGAACCGGCGGTTTGAATACAAGAAGAAGGGGCTTCCTTCACCCTCGAGCGTTTGCAAACGGTCTTTATGCACAAAAGAAGATCTCACCGACAACGAACACACGAGAGGAAGAGAAAAAGACTTTCCGAATGACTTCTCTACGACGCGAAAGTCTTCTCTTTTTCCAGGAAGAATACACGAGAGCGTGAACGACAAAACGAGAGCGTTGATGATGCGCTCGTCGCGGTGCGTGCTCTTTTGGCGATCAATTCCTTTCAGGTGTCGACCGACCTTTTGGATTTTTGCTTCTGGCGATTTTTTTTCTTAAACCCTAAACTCTATGAACGCCTATTTCTATCGCTCTAGGGCAAAAACAATAAACGTCGATACTACGCGGAGGCTTCCGCGGCGTTCACGCGAGCGAGCACAAAAGCATTTTAGTGAACGAGAATACACGGAGGAATACTACTAGCTATGAATACTCTCATTTCTTTCAAAATGTTACGTATTATTACGACTCTAAGAGATCTCGAGGTAGCCTAAGATCGCCAACGTCCGCCTTTTCGCCTCTAACTTGGCGGCGACTAAACCGGTCAGTCGATCGAACTCTTCGCGATTGTCCGTTTCCGTGGCCAACGCTAAATCTCGTTCGAACGCGGCGTCTTGCAACTCGCAGTTCTTTAAAAACTTTTGCAACTCCAAGACGACGTCGTCGACGCTCGCGTCGAGTCTTTCCGTGATTTCTCGACACGCCGCTTTGCCGTCGAACGTTTCGTCCGGGTTTAACGTCATCATTTCGTCCAAAGCGCGTTTGGACGGCGAATCCGCTTCCAGTTGCAAAAGTGTTTGCGTGAGTAATTGAATGATATTTTCTAGAGTTTTCAGAACGTTCTCGTCTTCGCCTTGGTTTTTACACGCGGTGAGGACAACGTACGCTTGACCGAGAACTCCGTTTGTAATTTTTCCAATCAGCGCTAACCTCTTACACTCGGGGACAATTTTGTCCCACGTGCCTAAGGAAACGAGCTGGTTGAACGTTTCTGCGTCCATCGCGGTCGGTTCTGCCGCAGTTGGGCCTATTTTATTACTTTTATTGTTACCATCATCATCGACATCATCAGCGGCTGCTTTCGTAAATGCAGCCGTCCTTTTTCTGCGTCTCGTTCGTAATGTTCTTCTTCTCTCCCGAGACGACGGCAAGAACACGCCACCTCTTCGTTTTCCTCCTTTTCCTCCTCCTCCAGTCGTCGTCGTCGTCCTCCTCCTGCAAAAAAGCACCGTCGTCGTTTTCATCAAAGTCGTCGTCGTATTGCTCATTTATAGTAGTATATCTGCATATCCTTTTCTGAGGTTAATTTGTGCATCTTTTCGAGGAGCTCGTTTGCAAGGAAAAAAAATATCTAAAACACTCTGGATAAAAAAAAGCGCACATTTAACATCACAAAAGCTACCATAAAAATGAAGAAGAAAAGAAAGTTAAAGACGAGGACGACGAATACTAATAAAGGTGATGGTGGTTACGGTCGCGGTGTTCTCGTCATGGGACGTTTTTCGCTGCGCGACACGCGCGCGAGACGACAGGAATCATCATCATCATCGAAGAGAAAAATACAGTTGAAGAAGATGCACACAAAAAAAGGAGGTTTCTCCCCGTCGTCGTCATCGCGGGACCGTCGTCGAAAGGAGGAGGAGGAAGAGGAGGAGAAGGAGAAGGAGCGAGACGACATTAACGTTCCTATTTTTGGAGGGAAACCGAGAATTTTTGAGCAGCGCGGCGGGTTTGATGGCATTCGTAAACTACTACTCAGTGAGGAGGAGAAGGACAAAAAGCATCAGCGGGAGCAAAAGGTAACAACGAAGGAAGAAGAAGAAGACAAAGGCAAAGAGGCTGAAAAGAAGGACGACGATTCAGACGTGAATACTACTAACACGAACGATGATGAGAATCACTCGGACGTGTTCATCGCGTACGAAAAGCACCTCACGAAATCTCAGCAACATCAAGCTCGGTTACGAAGACAATCCGAAGCGAGCGCGAACGCCTACCGACCGGGGTTGCGCAATCGAGGCGAGGATCTGTTGCCGATCACCGCGCAGAAGGCGAAAGAGATGGAGTTTCGCGAAGCCGAGTGGTTGAAATTGTATCCAGTACCGGTGACGAGGTTTACGGAGAAACGGTCGAACGATGGTCACAGGAGACCGGCGGTGATTTTGGAGTCCATCATTAGCAAAGATTATAAGCGAATTAAAACGGAATCGAGGTTTAAGCGGTTGACGAGGTTAGTCGAAGGGATTAACGTCGCTCGATGGGGATTCGAAGGCATCGAGGACGAGGAGGAAGTGAGGATTACCAAAGAGTTTTACGATTTGTCGCAGTATTACGAAACGAAGAAATCGAGGAAGGAGAAGAAGAGACGGCTGAAAGAGTTGGAGAGAAAGAAAAGGAAGGAGGAGAAGAGGCGTAACTTTGTGCCGAAAACGATCGTCCCGAGACGGTTGGCCGCGGTGATGGATTTTCGAAAACCGAAAGCGAGAACGCATCCCATACGCTTTTTGAAGAAAGATACAAACGAGGAAGAAGGAGAAGAAGAAGAAGAAGAAGAAGAAGAAGAAGGTGTTCAAATGCAAGCGGAGGCCGTATCGTCTCCTTCTTACTCGTTCACGGATGTCCTCGACACCATTCACGATTGGGTAGGCTCGAATTTGCTGAACCTTCGCGAGACGTGTCAAAATATAAACGCGAGGAAACAGGAACACATTATGGATCACATCGACGCGATAAGTACCATGCACATGCCTAAAGCCATCAGCGCACAAAAAGACATTTACAGAGACTTTTTGAGATCTCTGGATGTGTCCGTCGTACCCGCGCACGGGACTATAAAAATGTATCAGAACTTGTTCGCCGATGCGAAACGTCGCGTACAAAATCTCGTTTCGGACACGAAAGTACGAGACGAGTGGTTTCTTACGGGCGCCACAAATTTGCGTCGTGGTCGAGTGCAACAACAAAAACAAGTAGAAGTTACTCTTCCATGCGAAGATGAAGATGACGACGACGATCACGAAAGGTGCATCGTTCGTACGCTCGTTAAAGAAGCCATCGAACGCGTCGTCGAGTCGAGCGAAGCTCTCGTCCATCGCATCACACCGTTTCCAAGAACAGAACTCGCCACGAATGCCTCAGATTTAATTTGGGATGCGAGCACGTTTGAAAGCTACGCTAAGAGAACGTCGCTTTCGCCATCTTTCCCTACTGCTGCGGTTGCCGTCGTCGTGAAACCAAAAGTCACGTGGTTGGCGAAATCCAAGCGAAGCGGTCCGCGAACGCCGGGCGAACGCGGCTGGTTCCGATCCGGAAACGCCTTCGAAAACGGTTCTCAAGATGCTCAGCAAAGATGGCGACATCCGAATCCAGAGATAGAATCACGACCGCGCGAATCGTACGACGATTATTTCTCCTCCGATAGTAGCACTAGTAGCAGCGAATCGGACTCGGAAGATATCTTCTTTCGCGACGTGCAGCGAAAGCGAGCTCCGCCGCCTCCTCTTGCGCAGCAGCAATCGAAGAAGAAAAACGTCATCCCGAAAATCTGGAAAGGGCGACAACTCGCCATTCAAAAGTTTGGTCACGATGAGAAACGGATGTGGCGCGATAAAATCGGCGAGTTTCTTCGTAAATCGCGTAAAACTCTCGGTCATAGACCTTTGGACGTCTCCTGGGGCGGTTCAGTCCTCGATTCGGTCATCGGCGCGAATTTAACGCAAAACGTGACGGACGTTTTATCATCAACAGCGATGTTAAATTTGATGGCCAAGTTTCCAGTGACGGAGGAAACGCAAAGCAAGCATTTAGAACGCGTCGAGAGAGCGGTAAGAGTGAAGGATTTGGTGAAAAATGTCATCAATTCGGTAGTTGAAAAAGACAGGGAGAGGTACGAGAAGGAATGCGCGCAAGCGGCGAGCGAGGTTGTACGAAATGCAATTGATCGCATTGTTTCGAGAGAAACCGGGAGAGATAATATTGCTCAGGAGGAGGATGTAGAAATGCGAGATGCTTTAGATATAGAAACTGAAATGGGAGCAGCAGCCGTGGCGGAAGTGATTGAGCGCATACAGATTGACGATAAAGATGACATCGAGCAACCTTCCTTCTTCCTTTGTCGCGGTGTTCCGAAGATCGACTCGTCCTCGTTTGAGCTCGATAGGACATCACTTGATGAAAATACAGACCTTCACGAGTCTTCAGTTATTGTCGAGTTACCTGTCATGTCTCCGTTAGAGCAACTGTATTACAGCGAGCGACAAATGTGGAACGATTTTTCGAAAACGCCGTTGACGAAGCGCAGATTTAGCGAGAAAGAGGCGTGGATCGAATGTTCGAACGAGGATTGCGGTAAGTGGCGACGGATACCAAAAGCGTTAGCAGATTCATTACTTACTCACAACACGACGTCGGAGAACGTAGAAGCAGCGGATTACTTGAACTGGACCTGCTCTCGAAGTTTCGATAAAAGACACAACGGGTGCGATAAGCCGCAGGAGATGTTGAACGACGATATCGACGAAATCGTCCGGGAAGCGGAAATTTTGCGCAAAGAAGACGAAGAGCAGAAAGCAAAAGAAAAGAAAATGCGCGAAAACAAAGCAAAACTGAGAGAAGAGAGAGAAGCGTCGAAGCAACAAGCAGCCTCGAGGGCAGAATTGAACCGACGCGAGCGACGAGCAAAGACAGATAAATTGAAAGCGCTCGCGCAAGCTGCTCGAGATCGTCAAGACTTCATTTGCGACAACGATCCTACCGAGAATGAAATTATAGTGCGCGACTGCGTAGATTGGCACCGCGTTTTGCACGAAGCCTCAATCGACGATATCATCGAGTGCATTCGATGTCGCGGCATGCACTCCATGCTCGCGCATAGAATCAAGAAAATTCTTCGGCGTGTGCTCGACGAACGCGGCGTTTTGTCGCTCGAATTCCTTCGTGAAGCCTCCACAGAAGAAGCAAACGCGTATCTCAACGAGATAGAAGGCATGGGCGCAAAGACTTCGGCGTGCGTAAACTTACTCTCGTTGGAAAATAGAGACTTCCCTGTAGACGTCAACGTCGGACGAATCATGGCGCGCCTAGGATGGGTTCCGCTCGAAGACGATTTCAAGCTCGAACTTCTCGAGCAATACGCCCCAGAAGAATCAGTGTACGAATTTTTGAGCGAAAGATTGAACACGTTCGACGTGACGATGTTGTACGAGCTGCATTATCACATGATTACGCTTGGGAAGGTGTTTTGCGCGAAGCGCGATCCGAATTGCGCGAGTTGTCCAATGAACTCCGACTGCGAATACGCCAAGTGTGGTGGTAAACGAAGGAATAATAACATGAACAACGTCGGAGTATACACGCCTGCACCGAACGTCAACAACGCAGAACCTCCAACGCCGCCGAAAGAAGTAGTAACGATTGATCTTACGAAGGAACAAACGAGAACGCAACCGATCGAAGATATCGAAGATATCGGCTTGGCGTCGCCGTCGGAGGGTTCGTCGCCGAAGATGCCGTTGACGCCAACGGCGACGAATAATAACGTCATTGGAAAACGGTTTCCATCGAATTCGAGCATAGAATCACCGTCTAGTCTAGATGGATTCAACAGCCCTACGGAATCGTCTGATAATCTTGCGGCGGATGTTCTCACAGTTGAAGAATTCGTTGAGCGTGCAAAAGCGCAGAAGCACCAGCAGCAAAATGAGAAGGATTTTTCCGAAGCAACAGCAGCATCGGTAGAAGATGCGTCTCCTATGCATGTAGAACCATCACATACTGCGCCCCTTGCTCCTTTCTCTCTACAAAACGACGCGTTCGCAAACACCGTCGCGGAAACGATGGATTCAATCGTCGCCGCCGGGAAGATCTGGACAGATTTAGGTAAACCCGCCGGCAAGAAGGCCATGCGCGTTCTTTTACTCCTTTCCTCGGAGGATGATTCCGACGACGACAATGTCGAAGAAAACAAAAGCGCCGTGGCAGCGATGATCATGCGGCGATTTAAATCGTTGTCAAAAATCTGCCACCCGGACAAAAATCGAAACGATCTCGAGAGAGCGTCCGCCGCGTTTGGCATTTTAGCCGAGGCGAAAACAAAGGCGATGGAAGCGGTTGCTGAAGTCGACGAGAGAGCGCTGAAAGATGATGCGGCGTTTGAAAGCGAAGCCGAAGACGAAGTTTTGAGGGAAGTCGAGGATCCTCGGTTCGCAAAGTTCAATGCAGCAACTGCCGCCAAGACGACAACCGCCGAGGAGGAGGAGGAGGCGTTTTTAACCCCTAATCGACACAATCAACTCGCGGATTTATCCTCGTTCACAAAAGCGCAGTTTCGTTCAGAGGCACAAGGGTGGCGAGTGCCAGATGAATGCGTTCCGGCGGAACTTTTGCATTCGCTCTCGCCACATCCAACGTCTATAATCGGCGAATGCGACGCAACGCGGCGGTATTGCGTCATCGCAGCTCCGAGAGAGGCGAGCGATTTTGAACGCGTCTATAAAATATCAACGTCGTCCGAAGAGGAGCACGAACAAAATAACCACGATAACGACGACAACGACGACGATATCGTCATGGAAGATGCAAAGACGAACATCAGCAAAGAGAATGATGAAGAGGATATCATCATTACCACTCCTCCTCCTCCTCCTTCTCATCTTTCTCCTCCCTCTGAGCCTTCTTCAATAAAATGCGTCTTCTTCGTCACCGCCTTGTGCGCCTGTAAACGCAGCTTCCCGCTGCACGGCACGTACTTTCAAGTGAATGAAGTCTTTCTCGACCTTCGCTCGGCGGCAAAACCTGTGAGTGTCGACATTGAAACTCTCAAAACGTCGCCGAAAATAGTCACTCTACTCGGCGCGTCCATCGGTTCGGTCACGCGAGGGATGACGAGGACGGAAGTCACGCGTTTGTTTAATCACCAAGTCTTGTGCGTTCGGGCATGGGAGCGCCGTACCGGATATCCGCGCGAGTTGCCAAAATGGATATGTCCTGTCGTTCCAGTCGCTTCGACCGGGCAAGAGTTCACTGAATTTGACTTTCCGAGTCCTTTGCTGCACCCAGAAAAAAGTGCAGCCGCGATGGCGAGTAAAGCGCCAAAACTCGGCAGACCAAAGAAAAAACGTCCGGCGGAGACGATATCAATCGCCATCAATCGAGAACCGACGCCGCCGGAAACGCCTTTCAATAACGATATCTTTCGTTCGTACTTGAAACGTAAATCTGTCGAGAAAGAACAACAGAAGAACAATAACCGGGCGAGCGCAAAGAAAACGAAGAAGAGCGAGAAGGACGGCGATGGAAACAACAGCGAGCAAAAAAGAGCAAAGAAGAAATTCACCTTCCCAATCATACGTTCGAGTCAAAAATGCGGCAAATGCAAGACGTGCTTGAACCCGCAAATGCGCAAAGCGTGCTTGACGAGGCGAGCAGAAATGACGACAACGGGAGGAATGAAAAGACACGAGTTGTCGTCGCCGTTGTCGTCGCCGCTGGCAGCACCGCCATCAACGCCGGTAACAGCGATGATAGGCACAACGATCGACGCCTTCGTCATTCGTTCGAAAGATTACGAAATCGTAGATTGATATTAGATTACAAAAACGCCCGCGCGCTCCCTCGAGCGAGGGCAAGAAACGTCAGAAAATCTTGCCTCCTCCCGCTAAAAGATTTTGCCTAAATTACCGTTCCCCCAATTACTCTTCCCCCGATTGTGCCCTCCATCGTCAAAACCATCCGCAGAAAGAACGTTATCGTTCAATTGCAACGCGTCCACGTACTTCCACTTCCCATCTTTATCCTTTCGATACCTCGCTCGCTCGGCGAGCGTTTTCGCCTTGGCCCTCGATTTCTTCGCCCTCTTCTCTCCCGCGTCGAACGCGCACTCGTACGAAACAAACGCCTCTTCACCACCACTCTCATTTTCACCATTACTCCCTTTCTTCATGATTTTCAAGCTCAAAAACCGAATCTTCTTCGCCGTCGCCTTCGCGTCTGACTCGAGCGTCCTCCGCGCGTTTTCCGCATCCGTCTCGTCTCTCTTGGTAAAATCTGGCGAATCCTCGTGCGTACTCTCGACGATAAACTCCGGTTTATTTTCCTTATAGCTCGTAAATCTCGCGCGAACGATCATTTCTGGCGTCGTCTCTCGCGTTATCCCGTTCTCGTGCGCGCGTTTGCAGCAGTTTTCGTACGTCTCGTTGCTGTTGCAGGCGCACAGTCGCACCGCATCCCCCGACGCATCGTCCTCGCCGACGGCTTCCCCGTTCGTGTCCTTTTCCTCCTCCTTCTCGAACTTTTCCGCGAGTAAACCTTTCCTCGCTCTGACCACGACGCCAGCGTGTGAACCACAAGAACCATACTTCCTCCTCCTTTCAACGACGTAAGAATGCGCGGAGGATCGAACGCAGGCAGAGACGTTTTGCATCGTAAACGTGGTACCTTTTTCTCTTTTCCCCACTCCCGGGGAAAACTTTTGTGGCGGCTTCGTCACTAAATTTGCACGCATTGAATACACAAAATGAGTGCGAGGACACCACAATTCGCCACTTTCACCGCGCCGAACACCGCAACGGCTTCTTTTCACACCCCTCGAAGATATTCTTCGCCTTTTGTGCGCGGGAGGAAAAGGGGAGGAGTCTCATCGCGCGCTGAAAAGACACGTTGGAACATTCAAGCGATGCAACAGACGGATTCAATCGACGCCTCGTTCGAGCGTCGTTTGCATGGCGCAGATGGAAAAGGAAAAGGAGAAGATGACGACGACGATGACGAAGAAGAAAGCGAACAACAGATGCAACTCGTGCTCTCGAAACTAAAAGTCCCGGACTTAAAGAGCGAACTGGAGAAGCGGAAGTTGAAGAAAACTGGGAAGAAACAAGAGCTCGTGGACCGGTTGGTGGTGGCGTTGGAGAGGGAGAGGAAAAGCCTCGCGACGACGAAGAAGATGATGTTGGCAAAAGAGAAAGAAGTGACTGTAGGGGATGAGGAGAGTGATACTACCAGTAGTAGTAGTAGTCGAGAGAAGAAGAACGAGAGCGACGAAAGAGAAGACGACGATTCAGACGACGACGGAGAAGAAGATATGACAACCGCGACGACGGCCGCGACTTCGCCTCCGGCGGGAGTGCAACACGCGAAAGTGCGCAGGCGCGTCGTGAGAAGAGGTGGCGGGATCTCCGACGCGACCGCGTCTTCGTCGTCTTCTTCGAAAAAAGGAGTGAAAAAGAAGAGCAGCGCGGTGAAAAGAGGTTCTACAGCAGTCAACGGGAACGCCAAAAATGACGGTTCGTCGGTGACCGCGATGATGCCTTCATCGTCTTTTTCGTCGTCGTCGTCTTCGCACATTATCGCGCCGAAATATAATCCGTCGCGAGAGGCGAGAGAAAAGCAAAACGAAATGGAATTCGTGGCGGATTTTGAAAAGGCGTTCAAGACGTTGAGAGAGCGGTTAAAGTTGGAACGGCTGAAAGCGTCCTCGGATCCAGAGACGAAGTTGGCGAGGATGTTCGAGGAGAATAAAATGGAGGAAGATAATAGTAATAGCAGCAGCAGCAGCAGCAATAGTGATAGCAGCAAAACAAACGAGGAGAAAGCGAGCGACCGTTTGCGTCGATTATTCACGGAGAGAAGGCAAAGAGGCATGAGAGCGGTGAAACGGTCGTTCAACGAAGGCGAAGACGCGGCGAAGCTGGGCGCTATGACGACCATGGCAGCAAGCATAGTTGACGTCGAGAAGACGCGGTTAGGAGCATCATCGTCGTCGTCAGAGGACGAAGGCGGATTAGCTGAGATGATGAGCGAACTGGATGTGCGAGAGGCGCTCGATGGAATCGGCTACGCGTTGGAAGTGAACAACCGTGTTTTGGAAGGCTACAACGACAGCACCCACGGATTAGCGAACAATTCTATTGATCCGTTCAAGTTGGTTATCGGTGAATACGTCGTCCACCGAAAATACGGCATTGGGAAGTTTTTAGGTATGCGTTCGATCAACCACGAAGACGAGGAGACCGGAAGAAACGAAGGCACGAGGAAAGTGTTCTTGTTCATTCAGTTCGCGGATGATACCGCAAAAATTGAACCGAAGAAAGCGTCCATGCAATTGTATAGATACGCCAGTCCCGGCGCGCAAGTAAAACCGCCGAGACTTTCGAAGCTGTACGATAAACTCGGGTCGTGGGAAGCGAAAGAAGCGCAGATGCAAAAACAGATTCGCGATTTAGTCGTGCACCAAATGTGCGTGTATTTACAACGATTACAGTGCGTCCGAGCACCGTATAGAATATCGAAACCGGATGAAGAGGCAAAATTTGCTGAAGGGTTTCGTTTTGAGCTCACTCCCGACCAAAAGATGGCTATCGAGGATATCAACGAGGACATGACTCGAGACACGCCCATGGATAGAATCATCGTCGGCGATGTCGGTTTTGGTAAGACAGAAGTCGCTTTCAGAGCCATATCTCGAGCGTGCTTTTCCGGCAAGAATTCGTTTATTCTCGCGCCAACGACGGTTCTGGCGAAACAGCACGCCGCGAACGTCGCTGCGCGATTTCGACACTTGGGTGTAGAAGTCAATCTTCTCACGAGGCACGTCAAGACAAAAGATCAAAAAGAAATTTTAGAGAAGTTTAGCCAAAAGGACTCAGGAAGAGCACAAATCATCGTCGGTACGCACGGTTTGTTGAACTTATCGACGGAAGTCTACGACAACTTGGATCTGTTGATCATTGACGAAGAGCAAAGGTTCGGGGTGAGGCACAAAGACCAAATTTCCGCGTTGAAAGCTACCGTGGACGTTTTAACTTTATCGGCGACCCCTATTCCGCGAACGTTGCATATGGCCATCTCTGGTTTTCGGGACGCGAGTTTAGTTCAAACGCCGCCACCAGAACGTCGACCGATTCGAACAAACTTATTGCCAATGGACGAAGACAAAATTCGCGAGGCTATTGAGTACGAAATCAATCGAGGCGGGCAAATTTATTACATCGTTCCCAGAATCATGATGATGGGCGATTCGCGGCAAAGGTTGTTCGGCATTTTGCCAAACTTACGCGTGATTGAAGCGCACGGACAAATGGACGGCGATACTTTGGATGCGGTCATGGATGAATTCTCCAACGGCGAGGCGGATGTCTTATTGTGCACGACGATTGTTGAGTCTGGTTTAGATATTCCGAATTGCAACACGATTATCATCGAAGAAGTGCAATCGTTCGGCTTAGCGTCGTTGTATCAGTTGCGTGGTCGCGTCGGTCGCGCCGATCGTCAAGCGCACGCGTGGATGTTTTACGGGCTAGATCCAGAATCATTGAACGAAAAAGCGAAGGAACGCTTGTTAGCGTTGGAAGAGTCGTGTGGATTAGGCGAAGGTTTCAAGTTGGCGGAAAGAGACATGTCCATTCGAGGCGTCGGTACTCTCTTCGGCGAGAAACAATCCGGCGAAGTCGATTCGGTTGGTGCAGATTTGTACCTCGAGTTGCTCTATTCGCAGTTACAACGCGTTGAAATGATGCGCTTGAAAGCATGCCTTCCAGGGGAAGTGAAAATCATTCACAAAACGCTCGTCCCAGATGACAAGAATCCTGATATTGAAGACGACGCGATGCTGGTTACGACTGAAGTTCGCGGATCGACGGAAGACTTGTCCATCTCGCCGGCTTACATCGCCACGGATACCGCCAGGAGAACGGCTGAAAATATCGTGTTCAAAGCAAAAACCGCGCGTGAATTTTCCGTCGCTTCGCACTGTTTGTTAAAACATTTCGGCGAAGTGACGGACAGTTTCACCTCGTGCGCTTTGCTCGAACGCGAAATTGCTTACGCAGCGTCTGAATTAGGTATTAAAGAAGTCATCGCGGTGAGCTCGAGCGTAAAGAATAGAAGCGGGTACATCGATTGTATCATCGATTTACCCGGAGAAGTAAAAGATATGCTCGTCACCGGTATGGACGAACGATTCCAAGGCGATGTGTTGACAACCGACGACGGCATACGCATTTTAGGTCAGAAGAAGGAAAGTGAATCCAAGGCGGACATTTTGCTCTTAGCGGTCATGTCTTTGCGAAGAATTAGCGAAGGTGTCCCGGCGTTTGTAAAGTATTTGTAATTATATGTACACCTAGGAAACAGGTACTGGTACCGGTAATATATATTTAAAGCGCGCGTCTTTCTCTTTCGCTAAATTCTGTTTTTACAACCTTAGTATGAGTGTATGTTTTTAAAAGCCACTATAAAACCTTCGCGTCTCTCTGAATGTTGTTGTTGTTGTTGTTGTTGTTGTTGTTCAAAAATCACTTTGATCATCATCATCATCATCATCATCATCATCGTCCAATAATTACTGGACGAGTAAATTTAAACACCTCGCGACTTCGAGTTTAGATCTGTATCTCTTCCCGTTCGGGTCGATATAGGTGACGTCTGTGTGAAGCGATATCCGTCCTTTATCCGTCCTCTCGCGACTCGCGACTTTCGCGGACCAGTTCGCCGGTAGGTGGCCGCCCATGGTTTCGATGAACTCTTTGAGCGACGCTAACGCGGTGTCATCGGTGACCGTAGCGACGGTGGCTACTTTTCTTTTCTTCTTCTCTTTTTCCTTCTTCGCGACAACTTTTGCCTTTTTCTGCTTCGGAGGCTGCGAAATATCCTCCGAAACCTTTGCCGGTCGGCCGCGCTTTTTCCTTTGTACCGGTTCCGCTGGTCTGGCTCTTTTTGGTGGTCTTCCACGTTTCTTCTTTTCTACCGGTGGTGGATGAACCATCGTTAAAGCGCCAACTAACTGCGTTTCCGGAACAACGTTTGCGTTGGGATCGACGCCTCCGTGGATTCTCATCGCGTCTCGATCTGGATAGCGCGTCGATTGTCTTCTCGGTTTTCCTTTCTCAACCGTCAATACCGTTGGTTTCTGAACCACTCCAATCTGCTCCTCAATCACAACTTCTTCTTCTTCTTCTTCTTCTTCCTCGTCCAACAACGGATCCAACGCGCTCGATGCTTTCACCTTCATTGCGTGATAGAGCGTTTCAATTTTTCCGAGCTCCATCGTAAACGGATCTCTCTTCCACGTCTTGGACCCGTCGTGATACTCCTCCTTCATCGACAAACCGTCGCCATCCTCATCGTCCACGGCAGCGTCGTCCGCGGCTTCAAAAAATGGAGGTTCGTACGTCGCCGGCGTTTCCTCAGTGTACGTCAAGTTCAAATTCGCTGCGCTTCCATCCGGCAACGCGTCGAGCGTTCTCACCAGCGACAAAAGCGTTCGGGTCGTCGCGATCGCGTTTTTTCGAATCCTTTTCGGATCCGTCAGTCTCTCCTCGTCTCTTTTCTTCCCCGTCGCCGCATCCGCCGACAAAACCCTTTCTTTGTCTTTCGCGCCGCCGCCGCTCGTCAACACCCTCGCTCGCTTCGCCTCGTCGTACTCTACGGTGAACAAATACTCCTCCAACAACGTCTTCGGATCGTCCGGGTGAGAAATAACCAACGCCACCGTTCGCAAGTACCCTCGCTCCAGCGCATCGAACACGCCGTTTTCCATCGCGTCGAGCAATCGTTTCGATTTCGCGCACTTCCGAAGCATCTTTGGTACGTTCAACGCGTTATTACCACCACTCGTACTACTCTTATTCGTTTGTGGTTGCTTCGGTTCCGTAAAGTGCGTGTTCGCGTCAAATATACCTGCATAATCGCACGCGGAGAAAGGAGACCACACGCGTCACCCCAAAGCCGTAAAGAGAGAAGAAGACGAAAAGGTCAGCACCGCGAACGAGACGTCGAAAGACGAGAAGAAGAAGACCGCGAGAAGAAACAGAAAAGAGAATTCAAAAACCAAATCTCTCTCGCGCGTACCTCTCTGATAACACACCACGTCTAACCCGATTCTGAGTTGATTCTCAACCATCGTTCGGCTGGTTTGTTCCGTGATTTGTATCTTTTGCGCGAGTTTCGTCGCCATGATGATGATGATGATGATGATACCAGTAAATAGTAGTAATACTAATACTATCCTTTATTCTTTAATGTGATTTGTGTTTTCAAACGAGAAGAAAAAAAAAGTGGCCGTTTTGGAGGAAAAGACTTCCTTCTTCGCGAAATATTTGCGCGCGCAGTACGAGTAGTATTCAAAGAAGTCTAATTATGATTCTGATTCTAATTATGATTCTGATTCTGATTCTGATTCTGATTCCGAATTGTCTGGCACGTGGAACTCTCCATCTTCGTAAGACCAGCCTTCTGGGAGAGGACAGTCGTTGTCGAGGCAGTATTGTAAACACTCGGGGTGTTTGTTCTCGTGCGCGTAGCGTACCGCTTCTTTGTCCCAAGGCGCTTTGGCGGTTTCGTGTAAGTACTTCAAACAGTCCAAGTGGCCGGACATGGCCGCCCACTGACACGCATCTCCGTTATATTCATAATACTTACGCTCAACAAGATATTCGAGTATATGAAGATGACCATTTCCAGCCGCGAAAGTGGCAGTTTCTGAACCCCAAGGCGCTTTGACTTCTTCGCGTAAGTATTTGAGTACCTCGAGATGACCTTTTAAGGCAGCAAATGCACACGCATGAATATGGATAGAACACTCATTTGCCACGCAATACTTTACCATTTCCATATTACCATGATATGCTGCCGCATTAATCGTCGATCCATCCCACTCACACTTTTTCTCTTCTCGCGCCCACTTGAGCAACTCGAGTTTATTCGTTTGAGCAACTCTCCAGCAGAAAATAATTTCGTTCCGCAAGTATCCCGACCACAACGATTTATGCTCCCACGCAAACTCCAAAGTCGATATCGACGACATCTCGCTCACATCAAACTTCTCTTCCAAATCACCCGCGCGAGAGGATCTCTTAATCAACTTTCTCGTTTCACTATTCACCTCGTACAAGAATTTCACATCCGTTCGATTCAATCTCGGAAGAATGTGTTTAAAACAAATATCGTCGTTACTCACGATCAAATCCCACAACAAAAAAGAATCTCTCTCGTCCCCGATCATCGTCAAAGAAACTCTTTTCTGCAAAACTCGCGTCGTCGCTCCAGACGTGAGACAAAGATGCTTTTCGCTCTTATCTCGCGCTAATCTTCTTTCTCTCTCTTCGTATCTTCTTTGATACTCTAAAACTCCTGATGATGATTGTTTTTTCCGAGAAGAAAAAAACAGCCGTTTCGACGAAACTCTGAATATCTTGCTTATTTTGAAGGAAAAATAGACCAAAAAACCCGCAAAACGAGCGGCAGACTTTTTTGCATGCGCACATCCACCCTCGCGAGAAGACTGAGGGTTTGGGAACACCTTTTTAATCAAACTTTAACGCAGACAACAAACAGAAGACGCGCTCCTTTTGCGACGATGACGACGACGAAAAGCGACTTTGGAGTCGTCTCGATGTGGTCGCAGGTGGAAGCCGCGCCAAAGGTACGCGTACTAATTCGTTTTGTATTTTATCTCTTTCGTCGTTGGGGGTTTTCGGCCGCCAAAGACCATTGTGTGTGAACAACGTTTTGCACTCGGTCTCGTTTCGAGAGTACCCTTTCGCTGACCTCTCTCGTTTTGTTGTCGTCGCTCTCGTAATCATCAGGACCCAATCTTGGGGGTCTCGGAACTGTTTCACGCGGACAAAGATCCGTCGAAAATGCTCCTCGGCACGGGCGCTTACCGAGACGATAACGGTAAGCCTTTAGTCCTCGAGTGCGTCAGAAAGGCGGAGAAGAAACTCATCGAAGACGCGAAGAACATGGAGTATTTACCGACGCAAGGAGATAACCAGTACATATCGAGAAGTTTAGATCTGGCGTACGGGAAGGAGATTGGAAACGCGGAAGCGATTGCGGGGATTCAAACGTTATCGGGGACTGGAGCGTGTCGCTTGTTCGCGGAGTTCATCGCTCGCTTTAAGAAAGGGGCGGTGTGTTACGTTCCAGATCCGACGTGGTCGAATCATTTGAACATTTTTCGCGACGCGGGAGTGGAGACGAAGGCGTATAGATATTACAAAGCGGACACGAGGGGATTGGATTTTGACGGGTTGAAGGAGGATTTGGGGAACGCGAAGGAAGGGGACGTCGTGTTGTTGCACGCGTGCGCGCACAACCCAACCGGGGTCGATCCGAGCGAAGAACAGTGGTTGGAAATCTCGAAATTGTTCAAGGATAAGAATTTGTTTCCATTCTTGGACAGCGCGTACCAAGGGTTTGCCAGTGGCGATTGCGATAAGGATGCCTTTGCGTTGAGAATGTTTAAGAGAGACGGGCACGCCATGGCGTTGGCACAAAGTTTCGCCAAGAACATGGGGTTGTACGGGCACAGAGTTGGGACGTTGTCCATCGTGTGCGCGTCCAAGGAGGAAGCGACGGTCGTCGAGTCGCAGTTGAAAGTAATCGCGAGAGCAATGTATTCGTCGCCGCCGTTGCAAGGAGCGAATTTGGTGTCGACCATCTTAGGCGACGAAAAATTGAACGCGTTGTGGTTAACCGAGGTGAAGATGATGGCGGATAGAATTATCGACATGAGAGCGAAATTAAGAGAGGCGTTGGAGAAGAGTGGGAGCACCATGGGATGGAAGCACGTGACCGATCAGATTGGGATGTTTTGCTACTCTGGCTTAACTCCCGAACAGGTGGATAGATTAAAGGATGAACATCACATTTACATGACCAGGAACGGACGAATCTCCATGGCGGGCGTGACGAGTAAGACTGTCGAAAAGTTGGCGCAAGCCATGCACGCGGTGACTACTTCCTAATAAGTGCTTGTTTAATTCATTCTTTTATTGATTAGGTCATACTCGAGTATTTTAAAATTATTTTGGTTACTTCTTTCCTTTGTTGCCTCCTTTGCGGTTCTTCGCTTTCGTCGCCCCGGTGGAGAAGGAACTCGGGTTCGTAAACGCGGTCCCGGAAAGCCAATCGTCCTCTTTACCCCCACTCTTCTTATTCCCGTTACCCGCCGCACTACCTCCTTCGCTCATCTTCCTCGCCGCTTCCGCTCTCGCCGCCGCCATGTTAATTTCGTGCGTCTTCTTCTTTTGCTTCTTGCTCGCCTCGATGGCGTTCTCCCCGATGAAAGGTAAATACGCGTCCCACCCAAACACTCTCAACACAAAATACAAAATACCGAGCGCAAAGCTCCCCAACGCGACGTACACGAATGTCAGTTGAAAATCAACCGCCACGTTTGGATCCAACACTCTCACCGTGTGATTAAAAAACGTCGTCGCGTACTGTTCCCCGTCTTCTTGGTAAAACGCCGTCAACGCCAGCGTAAAATCCATCCCAGCTAAAGGCGTCGGTAACTGAAACGAATACGGCACCGTCAACTCTCTCCCCGCGTTCACCACCGACTGCTCTTTACTCGTGTACAAATTCTTCGCCGCGTCTGTTTTCCCGCCTGCGGCATTTCCCGCTCGGCGTTTCGTCGCCAACTTTTCGCTCCCAATCTTCGGGTTAAACGACGCGAACTGTTCCTCCTCTTCGTCATCATTCATACTGAATTCATACTTGGAAAAGTTTGCCACGAAATAATGAAACGCCTGAGGTGCGTTCACCGACCCGGCGATTGCTTGTAACTCGATCGTGGAATCGCCGACATTTCGTATTCCGAGCAGCGCGGTGATATCCTCGGCTGCTGGGAATTGCAAATCGGTGCCAAATCCTGGAAAGACAACCGTGGTGTCCACGCTCGCGGAGGCGTCCGGGATGTCGGTTAAGATGTGTTTCGAAACCGATTGCGTTTGTTCCTCCGCCGAAGAGTACACTGTTTTATGTTTTACGTGCGCAAGAGAGAGAGAGTTAAAGAGTTAACATTTAAAATCCGATCGGATTGATGATTTCCCGGGGAACAGAAAGAAAGAAAGAAAGAAAGACAAACACGTATCGTAACGCACCGAGAGAAGACGAGCACCCGGAAAACAACGCCAAAGACGCGAGGAACAACGCGCTGCTTCGTTTGTTCGTGCTGTTGGTAGTATGTCTGTTCAATAAAAAGAGTGGCATGGTGTTCAAGTTGTTGTTGTTGTTGTTAATTCAGGAGTACTAATCAAAGGAGTGAAAAGGTTGGATTTTTTGTGTTGGAAAAGAGAGAAATCAGTTCCTTATTAGTATTCAAACAACGAGAAGGAGGAGTAAAAGCGAACGTTCGCGAGCAAAGACGACGGGCTTTTTTCCAACGAGAAAAAGGAACCGCGAGGATGAAGGTGTTGTTGGTGTTGTTCTCTTCTAGTATACGGTAAAAATATATGCAAATGAGCAACTACTATATACACACGCTTACGTCGTTTCGGTCTACCGGTTTTCAATTCGCTTTGCGATTCGAGCCAACTCTCGTCGTCTTCTTTTTGGTTTAACTGCGCGTTTGCGATGCCTTTTTTGAAGCAGCTTTTGTTTCCGCGACCACCTTCTTAATTAACTCCTTGTCGCTCGTTAAAGCCGGAGTGAGTTTGGTAAAGTCGCCCTTTTCGTTCGTAAACGCGCCGACGTTGCGCTCCATTTTTCGTTTCGTCGCGTGGAATCTGTTTTTTATGGCGTTTGGCGAGCGTCCGGGCATGAATCTGGCTAAGATGGCCCACTGATTGCCGATGTGCGCTTGGCAATCCAAGAGATGCGTCTCCTCCCACCTCGTCCACGGACGTGAGGTTAAACCGGGTTGTAAGTAATCTCTCCAACGCGCGTAGGCTTGTTTTTGCGTCTTCCCGGAAAGCTGACCGGCGATTAACGCCCACTTCTTCGGACCGACTTGGGAAACTAAAACTTGGACGAGATCGTCTTCTTCTTGCGACCACGATCGCGAGCGAACTTTGATATCTTTACCGGGGACTTTATCTGATGATGCCCCGGACTTCTTTTCCTCTGTCCCCGCGTCGTCGTTTTTCACCTTGGCCGCTTGGCTGTCCAACTCCCCAGTCTCGTCGCCTTCCGCGATATCCGTCTCCGCGTCGGAAAGTTCCTCTTCTAAAATACCTCGGACTTTTGCCATGACGTCGTCGGAGGCGCCGGTGATTTTCTGCGCGGCGGCTTGCGCTAAATCCGTAACGGCACCATCGTTTTTCATTCCTCCCAATCCCGCTTTCTTTCTTTCCTCTTCGTGTTCTTTGTTCAGTTGCGTCATTTTGTTCGCATTCGCTTCGAAGCGCTCCAACACGTCCGGCTTCAACAAGTTTCCGTCCACATCGACGATGGATTTATACAGCTCTTCTTTCTCCGTCGCTCGCGCGGTGTGCCCTCTCGTGCTCAACTGTTTCATTTTCTTCGCCGCGTCGTCTTTTTCTCTCTTTTCTCGCTCTTCCGGAGTTTCTTTCAGGTACCCTTCTTGTAACTTCATGACCTCGGCTAAGATCTTTCGGTCGTTCTTCATGTCGCTGATCTGTTCTCCGCCGAAGCTCATCGCGGCGTCGGCTAATTGCATGGTTTTCTGGTTCGTCTCTTCTTGTTTCTTCCCTTTTCCTCTTCCTGGTTTCTTCTCCTGGGACGTCGCTTTGTTGTCTTTGCTGTTCTTCTTGTTGTCTTTACTGTTGTCTTTGCTATTCTTCTTCCCGTCGGCGCCCCGTTTTTTCTTCTTCTGATGTTGCAAACTGGCGACTTTCCTCAACTCGCTGCTCGTGAAGATGTTGTTGCCGTCGCCGGCGGAGTTTGCAAACGGGCTAAACGCAGAGTTGCCTCTCGAGCCGGGTTGTTGATACCCGGCTGAATCCGGTTGTTTCCTTTTGTTGTTTTTGTTGTTATTAGTATTCTGCCCCGCTTTCTTCTTCGTGTTTACGTTGGACAATTTCCTCTTCTTCGCGGCGTCGTTGCTGTTAATCTCCCCGATACCCGCGGAGGCTCCGAATAATTGCTGTTGCAATTGCTGCGTCCTCGCCGCCGTACCCATCTTTAACAACTCTTTTAAATCCTCGTTATCGAAAATGGCGTTGCCTCCGCTACTTTGCGTCCTGTTTGACATCGTCGGCTGCGCTCCTCCCCCCATGCCGGTGGAAAAGTTGCTCAAAAAACTCAACCTCTCGTTGTTCAAGTTCGCGCCGTTGGACAGCGCCTGTTGTGCCGCTTGCAACTGCTGCTGCTGCCCGTAAATGCTCCCAACCAACGCTTGCTGCGCGTAGAACTGGTTCCAAAACGACGGACTCGCCGGTTGCCCCCCGCTATTCGCCGGACCTCCTACTAATCCCGACGTGTTGTTCCCGAACGACTTCAACTGCGTCGTGACCCCTGACAAGGTCAACGCCGCCGCCGCTGCGAAATTCACCGCCGCGTTTTGCTGTTGCTGAAATTGCAACAGCTGCTGTTGCGTCGTGGACCCATCCAGCGGGTTCACCGGAACGCCCGCCGCGGTTAAGAGTTGCGCTAACGTCGGCGGCGCCGCCGAGTTCATCGCGTCCGAAACGTTTTGGTTTCGCTTCCGTTGTTGTTCGCCCGTGGTTTTGGTGGTGGTGTTTGTGGATGCTTTCTTCCCCGCGCCGCCGCCTTTCGCCGTGGATGAGGGCGTCATTAGTACGAGTCTTACTTACTCTACTCGTATTATAGTATTATCTCGCTCTCGCTCCACTCCCCCGCGACCACAAAAAGGTTCTTTTCCTTGAACACTTCAGACGACGCGCGAAACAAAGTTAAGAGAACGACGAGAGAGAGACAACGCTTCTGAGAACTCCCGAAAACGCTCTCTTTTTCTCTGAATCGTCCTCGAAAGCGCGTTTCTTTATCACGCAGAAAGCGCAGACAATTCTTTCCAATTACTCTATTGCTAATGTGCCTTTTTCTTCAATTCTCCGAGAGAGAGATTTCACACAAAACTCTACCCCCTTTCTCTCAACAAAAAAGAAAAGAAAAGAAGAAGAGAAAACGTGGTGGAAAAAGTCAACCTCTCGTCCGTTGTTGGTTACACGTTTATGTATATGTGTCACGGTAAAACTTTGCGAGAGGAGATGTGACGACGACGGCAAAATTGTGTTTCGGAGAAATCCAATGGTCGACTTTTCTATTTAGGGTTTACAAGTGATACCCTAAACAAAACTTCATGTGGAAGAAGACAAAAGAAGAAGAAGAAGAAGACGACACAAAGAAAAGGAAAGGAGAGCACGAGGAGGAGGACGAGCATTCGCGGGCCTTGTTGGAGGACGAAAGTCTCTCTCTCTCTCTCTCTTTTTGTCGTCGTCCTGAAAATCTTCTTCCTTGCGTACTCTATATAAGGGAAAGATATACGCGATGAATGAATCGTCCGAAAACGACTTACGTCGCACGACGCCAACGGAGGAGGAAAAGAAGGACGAGACGAATGCGAAGAAGACGACGAAAACGAAGAAGGAGAAGCCGAAATCCGCGCGAGGCGCCCCTCCGAGACGGGATAAGGAAGATGTATTTGGGGATGGTTTCAACGCGCGCCGAGGAGGAGGAGGAGGAGGAAAAGAAGCGGGTTTCGTGCCGCCGCCGCCGCTGAAACAACAAAAAGAACAGAAGGAGAAGCAAAAGAAGGTCACGACACCACCGAGAGTTCCCAGACGAGCGAACGACGCGAAAAAGAAGAATTGGTGGAAAGAGTTACCGGAGGAAAAGTGCGATCCAATCACGTTGGAACCGTTTTGCGAACAAACGCACGCGCCGTTTGAGTTACTCGGGAAGAAGTTTAAGAGAGAGCAAAGCTATTCGTCTTTGTTGAACGACGACGAGGAAGATAACGAAAACGCAGAGGCGGCGGCAAGGATGATGACGACGACGACGATTCAAACGTCTGAAGAGCAACTGCAAGTGAAACATCTGTTCGACCCGGAGTCGTTGGCGGAGTACGTCGTGAACGCGAAGACGTTTGAGAATCCGTTGACGAGAGAGGCGTTGGACGCGAGCGATTGTCAAAGGTTGGACGAACATTTGCGGAAGTTTTCGTTGAAAAAGTTTAGCGTCCACAGAGCGTATGTAAATTTACAAAAAGAGAAGAAAGATGAGCTGGAGAACGCGGAGAGAAGGACGGAGGAGCAGAGAGCGAGGATGCAAAGAGAACGGGAAGAGTTGAGGAGAACGTTGGCGTCGTCGATGTTTACGAGCATTCGAGAGCGAAGGCAAGGCGAGAATAGTAGTAGTGGAAGAAATCATCATCATCAGCAGCAAAACGGCAATAGTAATAGTAGCAATAGGAACGCCACCTCCACCACCACCAACATGAACAACAGTAATAGCGAAGCTTCCGCACAGCAAGCTTTAGCGGCGAATTTAGAAACGTCCATCGAACAACAAGAAAACGCGTTTCGAGCGTTTGGCGCGTTTGCCATGGTGGACGACGATATCGCCATGTCGCGCGGACAAACGTTGAGAGCGGCGCAGACTTCGTTTAGCGGTTGGTCGAATCCAGAGGCTATTCGAAGGCACGGAAGTAATAGCAACATCCCGCTGTCGAGCGCGGAAAATTTCCCGAGTTTAGGATCCGGAAGCGGGAGTTCGACCACTCGAATCGGTACCGGCGGGTGGAGCCGAATGGCGCAGAGAGCGTCGAGTTTGCACGACGACGATGGCGGTAGTGTCGTTGGACGACCTCGAGTACAACCACCACCACCGACGCAAACTATTTCATCGTCGTCAGAGCCACCGGCGAACCACCACGAAAAACAACGCGAGCGTCAACGAGAGGCTGAGTTTGCCGCCGCGGCGCTTCCGAACGATTCGGTAAACGCAGACGAAGCGAGGCGCGCGCAACTCGCAGCGGCGTTTGGCGTTTCGAATCCAGACTCGCACGTCTCCGCGTTTGCCGTATCGGGCGCGAAAAGTGCGTTCAAACAAGAACACTTGAAAGCGGCGAAAAACAATCCTCGTTTGTGCGCGCAAATCGAACAGAAATTCGAAGAGATGGCGAGAGACGCCAACAATCGTCGCGCGACGTTTCCTCCGATGACAAAATTTCTCCGCGGCGTCGTCCACGAATACGCCGCGTTGTGGGGATTCACTTCGCAAAGCTACGGCAACGAACCGAACCGACGCGTGGACGTGTTTCGAACGACCGCGTGTAAGAAACCAACGATTAACTTACGCGAGGCGATTTTGGCGCACGACGAGTTGAAGAAAGAAAAAGAGGAGAAGGATCGAATGATGATGATGATGGCGACGACGACGACGTCCAACGGAGTAGGAGGCAGTAGTACTCCTTCTTCAATGAACCAGCCACCCGAAGACGCCAACGAGGACGAATACTTCCCCGGTTTTACTTCATACCACACCAAACGAAACGGCGGCGTCGAATACGAACGTCTCACTGCCACGTTCTCCGACGGCGCGGACAAAAAAACGTTGTTTCTCATGCTCCGTCCCTGGGCCGGCCAATTCGCCGTCGAAGTCGACGAAAAGGAATCCGGGGATTTCGACGACGCGGAATACATAGCGCACTTCAAAAACCCGGAGGCTTTGAAAAAAGCCAGCGGCGTCATCGGCGGCGGCGTCAAAGGAAAGTTCAAGGTGAAATACAGCGAAAAAATAGGAGGAGGACTTTTGACTAGACAAAGCCAATTGACAGAAAAAGCCAACCAACAGCAAAGCTCCTCCTCCTCCTCGAACGAGTTTGAGAAAGAATCAATATCGTCTGTAGTATCTCCGCCGCCGAAAATTTTCGAGCTCAGGAGGAAGAAGAAACCGTAAAAGAGATAGTGAAAAAAAGCGTTACTCGAAGTCTCTCTCCATGTATTTCTCTCTATCTATGTGGTCAATCGCTTTTGCTCGACAAACCAATCGCATCGCTCGACAAACCAAGCGTATTCTTCGTCCGTTGGTTCTGGGCACCCTTTTTCGAGCAAGTAGTTTAGGCAGTCGTGGTGCTCTTTGTCACGAGCCCAAAACACACAAAACTGAAAATTTAGGGTTTCAATTAAAAACCCTAAACTGCCGAACACCCAAACGAAGACGCGCCTCAAAATCATCAAAATCTCGTCTCGCAAGAACAACAACAACAAACGCGGAAAGAAAAGAAACCCGACGGACGCTGTTTTGTATCGATTTCGCACGTTCTGCGGTGGGTGAGTGCTGCGCGCTCGAGTGCCTCTCCTTCTTAAGCATCGTAAGCAGACGCAGCAACAGAAGAGAGATACACAAAATCATTTCCATCATCATCATCAGACGACGACGAGCGCGATAAAAAAATGGCGTTACCCCCAAAGCGCAGCAGCATTCCTCAGTCGCCGAGGACGGCAACGCGCGTTGAAGATTTCGCGCAACGACAAAGCTGGTACGTCACGTGCCTCTCGGTCTGGTCGGACGATTCGAGCTCGTTCTCGTGGCTGTTCGTGACGCTCTTATTGTTCCTAGCGAAAGGCATCATCACGACGCTCGAGTGCGAGGGCGATTGGTTGTCCGCGGTGATTGTCTTATTCGCCGCGTTGATTCCGTGCTGCATGTGGGCGGTGTTTTTCGTGTACATGTCCAAGCGAGGGCACAACGACCAGTTTCACGAGCACTTATCGTTCGGGGTTTTAGCGCAGACGTTTTGGTGTGGGGCGATTGTGGCGCCGATCGCGGTGTATACGGTGAGAGCGTTCGCCGCCGGGATCGTGACGGCGTTGCTCGGGTACTCGGCGATGGCGTTTAGCGCGGAACCGCCGACGAACGAGGAAGGTCAAGGAGGCGTCAGCGTGGAAACGATCATGGCGACGGCATGGTTGGCGTTCATTTTAGCCGGATTTAGCGAAGAGACGGCGAAGTATTTCGTCGCCAGCAGGTGGGTGAGAGCGAAAGACGACAGTTTAGGGAGCAAAGCAGAGTTGGAGGAGGATATGGGGGGATGTTCGTACGCCATCGGCTGGTCCAAACGAACTCGGTCGCCAAGGAAGGTTGTTTTGTTAGCCATGGTAGTCGGCTTAGGATTCGCGTGGATCGAGAACGTTCAGTACGGGGTACGAACGTACGAGCAAATGCAAAATACGCAAGTGTTGATGGACGTGACGAAAGCGGATATTACGGTGGTGTGTACCGATCCGCTACACCCGAGGATTGTGGTGTTGAGCGGGTCTTTGGATACTCCAATCGCGGAGGCGGTGATACCGAACGAAGCGGCGGCGGCGACAGCAGCGGCGGCGCAAGAAGTGACGCAAGAAACGCAAAGCATCCCAGCCTTGATCACGAGCACGAAGTCGAAATCTAAAGCGGCGGCGGCGGAAAAAGCAAAAGCGGTAGAAGAAGTAAACGACGACGCGCAAAGAGCGTACGCTCAAGAGCAACAACACATAATTCAACAACAAAAGCAACAATCACACAAAATGAGTTATTTCATGTCCACGGATTCTGGATGGATCCCGTTTCTCGGGAAGATGACTGGTATTTCAAGAAAAAGCAGCGGCGGTAAAGGCCAATTGCACCCGGTGTACGACGATCGCGAGATCATTTGGGAGTTTAAGAACCAAATTTTGCAAGGCATCTACGAAAGTTTTGCGCAAACAAAATTGTCTCTCGAGAAGGCGACAGATGGCATGCATTCGTACATCACGAAGGGGATATTGAGACCATCGAACGCGAAGGAGTACTTGCGATTATCCAGCGTGAGCGCCGCCGAGGATGGTAGATTGACGGTTGGGAAAATGGGCGAACAAGAGAGCGACGGCGAGGGAGGAGAAAATAGCAATAGTGGCGGTGGCATTAGCTACCCGAACAACAACAACAACAACAACAACAACAACAACAACGAGGGGGAACAACAACAACAGCAGAAAAGTAGCGGTCGTTTGGGTGTCGTCACGGATGATCCGAAACAACGCGAAAGCGTCATCGTTCGCGCGTTGACCCGGTACGGTTTCGCCGATCCGAACGGCAACCAGACCGAAGTCGCCATCACGAGCTGGAACCAAACTGCAATCAACTGCACGGTACAAACCATGGACGGGCGTCCATTGTATGACGAAGAACGTGGTGCCACGGCGACGATGATAACCGTTACCAGAGGTTTCATGCCCATGCACGCCATCTGGGCCGGTCTTTCTGGCATGCGGTACGTCCGAGCGCACTGGATCATCCAAGCCTCAAACGGATTTTTCATCGATCCAATCAAGTGCATCTCCCGCTCCTGGCTCTACCACGGCGCATTCGACTTCTTCCTCATGTCCGCCGACCAACTCCGCATCGCCATGCAACCCGAAGTCACGAACCCGTACGTCTCCTGGTTCATCGTCATGGCCGCCGGCACGTTCATCATCCTCTCCTCCTGGGTCCATTTAGTCAAAGAAGGCGACCAGTTAGAAAGAGACTTGAACCGAAACGGCTACCCGGGATCCCAAGACATCGCCAACGTCGCCTTATGCTCCAGTCGACGCCGAAGAGCGTACTGTTGCATCTGCGAATCGTGCTGTTGCCCAAGCGGGGGCGACGATTCGGACGACGACGACCACACGGGGAACTACGACGACGATCGCCACGCGCCTTTGTTAGACGCGCCAAAGGGTGAATCGCCGCCGAGTAAGTACGGAAGCGCTTAAAAAAGAGATTGATTAAAGAAGAAGAACTGAATTAAAGGCATCGTGTTATTGGCGCAAAAGAGGATTTTTTTAATACCAACTTTATTAATACTAGTTTATATTAACAACCAAATCCCACGAGAAACAACTGAGAAACATGAGAAAGAAGTCGCACTTGAAACTGTCCCTTTACGTTCATTTAATTCCATTCTCATGGACTCAAAATACATTTTTTTCGCTCACAAACATGCTTTTCCTCCAACAACCACTCTGGCACAAAAGTCTCCAAATAATTTTTACGGAAACCGCGTTTTGGCCTTTTCACCTCCTCTCACGTGAGAATTTAAGAGGCCACACGCTCCTTTTCTTTCTCCGCCCCCCCGCGTGTAGTCGCGACCATCTCGTGAGATGAGAACGACAGAACAAAGACGCCTCCAAAACCGCGGCGCGCGAATGGTGCCTCCGAGAGAAGAAATTTCCGCGAGAACGATGCGAGCGAGGAGGAGGACGTCTTTAAAGACGAAAAAGTTTAAAGACGAGGACGCGAGAGAGGCGGAGGAAACCGACGAGGACGAGGACGACGGGGAAAACGACGCCCCGGATGGATTAAAAAATGAACGGAAATTGAGTAGCCGACACCACCGTCTTCGTGATATCGACGAGGAAGAGAACGACATTTTGACGAGAGGAAGTCGACGTCCTCCTCCTAAACAAAACACAGGTGGAACACTACACAACGCAGGAGGAGGAGGAGGAGGAGGACACGTTCCGACGACGACGAGGCCCGAGACGAGGGAGATGTCAGATTTGGGAGCAGAAGACCACGGGGGGAGGAAATCTTTCTTTGGTATCGACGCGACGACGACGACGACGACGACGGGAACACCGCCTTCTCCTCTTCCTTCATCGCGAGGAAGGAACAACACCCACGGTGGTTCGAAAGAGGGAAAACATCATCAACGGTTCGTCATCTCGTGGAAGAAAATCGCGCGGAACGTGGCGCCGTTTTGCGTGTTGAGCGTTCAGTACGGCGCGCAGCCTCTGTTGACGAAGAAGTTCATATCGGCGAACGTTTCGAGCTTAGGCGTCGTCGCGGCGACGGAGTGCGTGAAGATTGCGTTGTGTTTGATTTCGATGCGAATGCAAGGTCCGAGGGAGATTCGTCGGCAGTTTGGGAAGGTGAGGTTGAACGTGTTTGCTTTGAGCGTGGTCCCCGCGATTGTGTATTCCATTCAAAACATGTTGATGCAGTACGGATACCACTCCGTCGACCCGGTGTTATTCAACTGCTTGAATCAAACGAAAATCATATGGACCGCGTTGTTCGTGTACGTCGTGTTTGGGACGAAACAGACATTCGTTCAGTGCTTGAGTTTACTCGGGTTGATGTTAGCGAGCGTGATTTTACAAATCAAAGAGATTTTAGAACCAGCGGTGGACGCGCAAAAATCGTTGGGATCGAGCGGCGACGTAAACGGAACGGACGCGAGTGGCATGACGGTGATTGCGGAGGAAGAGTACGCGAGATATTTAGGAGTAATTGCCGTAACCGCGGCGTCTTGTTTGAGTGGACTTGCAAGCACGAGCACTCAAATTTCGCTGCAAGCGTTGCGACGATCCGCGCAAGTGTTGACGATTGAAATGGCCATCGCTTCTATACCGATCGTCTATTTCGTCCACGTCTCCAAGCTGGCATTTGGCGACGAACTCTTCGTGCAACAAGCGCAACCTCATCTCCATGAAGAACAAGACGAGACGGCGGCGACACCAACACCAACCGGTAACCTCGTCTCCTCCGCGGCCATCCAACGTCTCCTCTACGCCGGCTCCACCAAGTGGTCCTCCATGTTTGACAACTTCACCTTCCTCACGTTCATACCGATCTTCACTTCCGCCATCGGTGGCATTTGCGTCGGTCTGGTTACCAAAAACCTCGGCTCCGTCGCCAAAGGATTCGCCATCACGCTCGGTTTAATCTTGACCGGCGTCATCGAATCCGTCACTCGAGGCGAGATGCTCCAAACCGAACAAATCGTCGGTCTCCTCTTGGTCGGTGCGTGCACGCACGCGCACACCGTCTACGCCGTTCACGAACCGTTAGTCACGAATAGTCAAATTAGAATAGCTCAAGCAAACGCGGAGAGAAGAGATAGGCAGAAGAAGCGCATTCGGGACCAGAGCGCTAAGAAATTCGCGTAGAAGTGGATAGAGTTTTATTTCATTGCTTTACAAAATCCCGCGCGCGCGGGTTTGCATAACACACATACACGTAAAAGTACTCCAGCAGGATGCAACACCACCTCTGCTGCTGCTTTGCGACGGGGATTTCAGCGTCGTCTTCGTTCTCCTCTGCGTCGTTTACGTCGTCGTTTACCAAAACGCAAAATCAACATCGCGCTGGTTTACCCCTAACGAGAAGACCATCGACGACATCATTATCATCATCATCAGCAACAAAACCACGAAGAATTCGACGAAAAGTAGGATTGACAACCACCGCGATGCAATCATCACATTACGGCGTCTCAGATCCCGACGGCACGTGGAACGAGAACCAATCCAACGCGTTCAATTCGTTGATTTCTTTAGCCAAAGGGCAAAGAGATATCGTCCAGGCGGGTGAGGCGTGTTTGTACGAACGCTCGAAAGAAGTCGAGGAAGGCGATATCGCGAGCACGGAGGTGCAAGAATTAGTTTCGGAGATGTTAAGGATAGTGAAAGGACGTGGGGTTGGTTTAGCCGCGCCGCAGATTGGCGTGAAGAAGCGGATATTCGTGATGGAAGATACCGAGGAAGGCATGTCGGACGAAAGCGAGGAAGAGAGGGAGAGGAAGAAACGGTATCCGTTTAAAGCGAAAGTGGTTATCAATCCGGTGCTGATACCGATCGGAGACGCGAGCGCGGCGTTTATGGAGGGATGTTTATCCGTGCAAGGCTATAGGGCGCTGGTGAGGAGACATTTAAAGGTGAAATTGAAAGGCGTCGCGCCAGATGGGAAACCTATCGACGTGGATTTAACTGGGTGGCCGGCGCGCATCGCCCAACACGAGATGGATCATTTGAACGGCGTTCTCTACGTCGACAGAATGGAGAAGAGAACGCTGAGAAGAGTCGATAAAGTCAACGCTCCAGTGCCGACGGAGAAGCACGACGAATTCGGCGCGTGCGCTTCTGTCGGCGAAACCGCGACGGGCGGTTCGTACCTCTCCAACAAGTCCGCCATCGCCGGCGCGGAAGACATAGAAACGTTAACGAAGAAGAGCAAAAATAGACGGAGGCGGTGACGACGAATGATAACGCGCGAGTTTAGTAACTCTCTCGACATTTTAGTCAATAGCCAAACGGCGTCGTTACTTGACGACAACGACAACCATAATAATAATAATAATAAAAAAAAACAACTACTAGATGAGCAGATCGTAATGCACCGATCCGTCGTACAAAAGCCTCACCGGCGCTCTCTCTGTCACCTTCCCGGTCTTCTTATTCGTTTTCTTCGCGTACTCTTCGCCGTACGTTTGTATGCACACGTACCCGCTTCCGCTCGCCGCGTTCTTCGCCATGTGCGCGGGTAAATACACCATTATCGGCCGTTTCACCAGTTTCGCCAGCACCAATAACTCCGTTTCGCCGCCCCAAAAGTCGTCCTTCTGAATTCTGCGACAGTATCCTTCGATTCCGTCCGCCTCGCCGCCGTATTTAATCGACATGTTCGCCTCCGCGTGTTCTTTCCTTTTCTCCTCCTCTCTGCACATTTGCTCGAAAACAGCCGTTCTCAACGTATCCGCCTCTCTCGTTTCTTCCGAGGACGTCAAGTTCAATTTCGATATATGCGCTAAACCTAACGCCAACGCGCGAAACATGCACCGCCCATCGCCTTTAATTTTTACTCGCTGGTAGTGTTCGCTTTTCTTCTTCTTCGTCTTCTTCGTCGTCTCGTTCGATGCTTTGGAGATTTCCCCAAAGACGCTGTTTTTGATGTGGAGGATGCGTCTCAGAGAAGACAAAGACGACGAAGAAGACGGCAAACTGCCATCGTTCGTCGTTCTGCGATGACGATGCGTGTGATAATTGCCGTTGGCAAAATCGTTCGTTTCTCCAAAAGAGGAAGAGGAGGAAGAGGACATTTTCGTGTTGTTCTTAGGTGCGTGTTCGTTATGAGGTGCTCACAAAACAAAAAATTCTCTTTACTCTTTAAACCGCAAGCGGACTTTATCGCCGTCGACGGAGGAAAACCGTTCCTCTCTGACGTACCAAGCTTTCGGACAGGTCATCTTCGCCCCTTTTAACTTTTTCGTCCACTTCGTCAGAAGTTGGTCGATTTGTTTCAACTCGAAATCGGACAAGCGCTCGTCGCCGGCGTTTGGTAAAATTCTCGCCAACGTGCAGTGCGCGGTGGAGGTTTGTTGGACGCCGCGAACGCCGACGGCGTTGGAGGCGAGCGACGCGCGACATTTTTTGAGCGAATCGTCGACGTCGTCGAAGCACAGGAGAAGGGCCCCACTCGTGGCTAAGACGACGCGATCAACGACTAACTCGACCGGTTCGCAGGTTTGGAGGACTTCTTGCGCTTTGGTGGCTTCGTCGAGGATGGCGCCCGAGGCGGAGCGTTTGAATTTGCTTTGCGTCGACGATATCGGTGTCGACGCGTGCGCGAGATTTTCGGCGCTGCTAATAGCCGACGGCGGCTTGAGTTTAGACATAGGCGTTGGTGGAGATAACACGCGGTCGTAGTTTTGAGCGACAGAACGTTTAACTCTTGGCTTTGGCTTGTCCGGGAGTACCGTTTCTCCTAATCCTTTTGGAATGGACGGTTGCTTCTCTATCGTTCGCGCCGACGGCGGCGGCGTCGACGGCGGTTCTATTTCTTCGTCGTTTTTCTTAGCTAGTACTTCTCTTTGTGTGTCTGCTACACCACTGCCATCGATCAAAAACTCTACCGGCTCCTCTCTCGTCATTCCTTCAATCGGTCGACTAAAAAAGAACATCGTCACGTGATACTGCGCTCGATTGCACACGAACATCGGTCTTTGTTTCACTTTCGTCGCGTTTCCTTCGTTCTCCTCCTCCTCCTCTTCCTCGTCGTCTATACGATCTCCTCCGAAACCCATCATCAATTTGCTCAATTCAGACACAATCGCGGTTCCACTCGCGGCTAAACTCGGCGCGTCGTCAAACACGGACAAAACAATTAACCGCGAACACGAACTCTTCATCGGAAACATTTTCATATCGTCGTACTTCACCGGCCAAACGCCCACCCCTGGAAATGGTTCAAAGTGAAACAAACTCCTCGTCGCTTCGATCGCGGACACATCGAACGATTTCGAGATGATCAAATCTTTCCGAATGTTTCTGTAAATAAGTTGCAGCGGAGACTTCATCGCGAGTTCTCGTTTCCTCGACTCTTTCGTCGTCGTCGTCGCCTTCTTCGGGACATCTTCTTCTTCTTCTTCTTTTTCTGGATCCTCTTCGTCGTCTCCGTCGCCAAACAGCCCGCTGGACGACAGTTTCTTCTCGTTCAGAAATCCTCTCTTCATTCTGTCGTTGCGATGACCTTTGCTGAGCTTTCTCTCTTCCCTCTCGCTTCTGTTCGTCGTTCCATTTTTGCCTTCTGCTTCTTCTGCTTCTTTTACTCGATTATTTCTCATCAGCGGAGGCGGGGGACTTCTCGGAGGTTTCCCTCTCGCGCCTCTTCTTTTCAAATTCGCCGTTTCGAGTTCAACAACGCTCTCAACATCGAACGTTTCTTCTTTGTTGTCTTCTTCTTCTTCTTCTTCTTCTTCTTCCGTGTTGTCTTCCTCCTCCTTCTCGTCATCATCTTCCAACGGGGAAAGATTGGTTCCATCAAAATCATCCTCTTGGAGGTACCCTTGCTTGTACGCGTAATACGCGGTTCCGGTCAACGCGAACGCGATGAACGCGTACTTTGCGAATTTAGTGAAGTACGAGGAGGTAGTGGTTGGCATTTTTTTCTGAAACTTCTTTTCAAGTGCGTGTGTACAGTGCGCGCTTTCGAAGTGTAGCATAAGAGAACTATTTAAAAATTAATAAACGAGCGAAACGCTCATTTTTACATCTGCACGAAAAAGATTCATTCTCTCTTTTCTCTGTTGCATCATCATCTTTCTGATACTAAAGCGAAAGAAGAAGAAGAAGAAGAGAGCGGAGCGATGTCGACCGGAGCGAAGACGCGAGGGCAGAAAAGACGGAGATCAGGGGCGAGAGACGTGTGGGATTTGATCGTGAAGTGCGACGATATTTGTTTCGTTCATATTTTGCCGAGATTGAATGGGACCGATGTGAAATTCTTGTACGAGGTGAATACGGAGACGAGAGCTTTGATTAAGAGATCGTCTCGTAAAGAAGAGTTGAAAAAGAAGTTTTATGTTAAAGAGATGTCGTCGATATCGACGTTGGAGATTGCGTGGGAGAATAAATCGTTGTGGCCGAGTCGGTTGGACAAAACATGGTTCTGCTGGCAAGTTGCTCAAACGAATAAACTCGAGTTGCTCAAGTGGGCGCGAGAGGAGAAAAAGTGTGAGTGGAGTATAGGGCCGATTAATGCGGCCGCAGAACAAGGTAATCTGGAAATGGTAAAGTATTGCGTTGCAAAGAAGTGTCCTATTGATGAGATGGCGTGTGAATATGCTGCCTCAGCAGGTCATCTCGAGGTACTCAAATACTTACGCGAAGAAGCCAAAGCGCCTTGGGATTCTTATACTGCCTTAAGGGCGGCTCAAAATGGTCATCTCTACATACTCGAATATCTTGTTGAGCGTGAGTATGATGAATATGGCGCATGTGCGTGTATGTTGGCGGCCATGAACGGCCACTTAGACTGTTTGAAGTACTTGCACGAAACCGCCAAAGCGCCTTGGGACTATTTGGCCGTACCAGTAGCGCGCAAGAACAAACACACCGAATGTGTACAATACCTCCTCGACAACGACTGCCCATTACCAGAAGGCTGGCGATACGAGCACGGCGAGTTACACACGTCGTAACTGTACATACACACTCAGAGAGAGAGAGAGAGAGAGAGAGAGAGAGAGAGAGAGAGAAAGAAAGAAAGAGAGACACGAACACACACAGAGTGTATAAAAAACTATTACAACTATATTCTAACACAACATATCTAAACCGGGAAACTCATGCTTCCCTTCGCTAGCCACCCACGGCATATCAAACACTCCACTAATCACGTCTTCCGTCTTCAGCGGATACTTCTCAAAGTTCGCGAACACGTGGGCGCAACACGCCTTCCCCTCAACCAATAAATAGTGGATAAATATCGAATCCTTGTTCTCATCCACTTCCTCTTTCGTCGGTGCCTCCGCGGTAAAAATCACCGAGCGCGTGTTCCCGTGCGTCAACGTTTTCGTCTCAATTTTAACCATCTTGTGATTTGAGATTGTTTTGAAGTACAAGTCCGCGGTTTTCCGGATCCGAAGCGTGTTCGAGCAGTGGAAAAATCCATCGCTTTTATCCAATTCCGATTCTAACGTAAACGCGTTCGAACTTTGCCAAACGTCGAGTTCGCCAGGGGAGACGATTTTCCAAATCACGTCCAACTCCGGGAGCGTCTCTGCGTCGTTTACGTTCTCAGAGGTCGTCGTCGCCATTATTTTCACGCGCGCGAGAGAGGAGGTGTTTCCGTTGAATGGATTCCTTCAAGCACATGTGTGAAGAGATTTCCCCAAAACACATCAAGGTAAAACACACGAAGAGTATCAAACATGGCGGTATTGCCAAGTCAACAACAACAACCACACGGCGTAAAAATAGGAGTTGAACTTGTCATCAAACTCGTCGCGTCCGCTCGATCGTCCGGTAAGAAACCACTTTTTGTGCTTTTCTCGCTTTGTTGCGTCGTCGCATTCGTCTCCTTGTTGGTGGTTGACGGGGGAAATGCGCTCGGATTCTCCCCTTCTGTTTCAACGATACAGACGACGATAAAAGAGGAAAAGGAGGATTCTTTGAAGACGATGAAGAAAGACGAGGATAAAACGCTCGATTTCTGGGAAAAACTAGCCAACCTCGCCTTGTTTGCGGCGTGTATAGCGACGATTGGGATTTTGGTTTTAGCGAGACGGGCGCGGAAGAATAGTAGTCATGTTAAAATAGAAGGGCAACCGGCGACGATACCGGCGAATGCGAGTGGGCAACAGAAAAGTTGGAACGGAAGTCACTGGGTGGAACAAACGACACATGCGACGTCGGTGTTATCGAGTCCGTACCGGAATTCACCGTCGACGACGACGAGTTCGAGTTCGTCGAGACCGCCGGACGCCAACTGGGCGAAAGCGAAAGCGCCGACGAGCGTGTGGAGTAAAGGGAGCGAGAGCGCGAATACTAACGGTACAAACATTAACGAAACTTTGGACGAGGATAAAACTGAGTTTGCGACTGGATTTGGGTACAGCGAAGGCGCGACGAGTGAGACGGCCAGAGAACGCGCGTATCGGGAAACGCTCTGGGCGAGACGAGAGGCGGAGGAATTGGAAGCGGAGGAGAACGAGGAAGATCAGAGGAACCATCACGAGTATTTCACCAAACACGAGGAGAAGGAGGATAGACGCGGGGGCAATACGAGCACGAACACTAGGCAACACCAACACCAACAAAAACCCTCCTCCTCGGTATCCTCTTCGAAAAAAGAAAAAGAATCCGCCTCGGCGAAACGGGAACGCCGCTGGTCCAAATTCGACCAGCGCTGGGAATCCCTCGACGCCTCCTCCGCCACCTCTCGCCTCCCGCTGACGTACAACGACATCCCGTGGCCGCCAAAAATGGCAAAACTCTTAGAACGCAAAGTTTCCGAACAAGAAAAACACCACCAACATCAAGGGACAAGCATCAGCAAGAAAAAAGTCTACCGCGAGCTCATCCTCCGCTGGCATCCGGACAAGTTCATGCAAAAATACGGGAAGAGAGTTCGAGCGGGAGGCGACGAGGATAGAATTAAAGAGAGAGTAGATGCGGTCGCCAAAGCGCTCAGCGCCAGCATGTCCTCCTCAGTCTCCTCCTAGTAGTCTGCTTTGTACTGTAATACTACTAATAATAATAGTCATTTAATAATTCCGCTTTTGCGTGCGTATTCATCTCGTTCCGTTTGCGCTGCTTACCAGTTGGTGTTGCCTCGTGTGTCTTATCCAAAATTGGCTGCATAAAAAAACGCGCTTTGACGAGAACGACCAAAGAGTGAGGATGACGATTCAGACGACGACGGTTGTTCGAGCAGCGCTGACAAACAAGAGGCTTTTATCGACGATGCCTCGCACTCCTTTACGCGTTCTTGGGGCCGCGAAGAGTCGTCACGCGACTCCTCTTCCCCGCGATGAGATTCCGTCGTCGTCGTCGAATGTGTTTTTAACGAACGCGCGAGGAAAGCCCCGGCGGTTTAATAAAGGGAGAAAAAAAGTTTCAAAAAAGATGGCACTCGAGGAAGGTTCAGAAGATGTCGTTTCTGTTGTTGACGTAAATTCGAGCTCGGTGGACGAGTTCATCCTCTCGCCTCCGGATTCGGAAATCATAACCGAAGATATCAACGAGTTACAAAAACGAGACTTAACGAGTCAAGCCATCGAGAACACCTTACCGTCACCGCAAACGGCGAAAGTGACATCGGTTGCTGAACTGATCGCGTTTACGTTACCAACGATGGCGATATGGTTGTGCGATCCAATTTTGAGTTTGTTAGATACCGCGATGGTTGGATTGACGTCGACGATTGAGTTGGCGGCGATATCGCCGGCGAGCGTGTACGTGGGGCACACGTGTTACATTTTGTGTTCGGCATTTGCGGTGAGCGCGACGACGTTGATTGCGAGAGACCGGATTGTAGCGAGGAGGAAGAATACGCCGGAAGCGGTGGAGGAAGATGCGAGGACGGTGAACGATGTTTTGGTCATGAGTACCGGGATGGGGTGCGTCGTCGCCGCGATTCTTTTCGCGTTTCACGTTCCCGGGTTGACGAAGTACGTCGGGGCGAATTCGTTGGCGTTGATTCCTTACGCGGCGACGTATGCAAAGATTAGATTGATAGCGTTTCCAGCGGCCATCGCTTGCTCTGTGATGCAATCCGCGCACTTGGCAACGGAAGATCCGTACACGCCTTTAAAAGCGACGTTGGTCGCCGCCGCGATCAACGGCGTCGGCGACTTCGTGGCGGTGTTTTTCTTGAAAGCTGGGATCGCCGGGGTGGCGTGGGCGACAACTTTCGCGCAGATTGTGGTGACCGTGTTGTTCGTCAGAGCGATGGTTACGAGAGGAAAGAAATGCGACGCGAGAAAAGATGATTTGGGGTACCGGTTAAACGGGCCGCCGCCGTTGCGGATGCCTTTGCGATTGCCGAGTTTAGCGGCGATTAGTCGAATTGGAAAGATTGCCTCGCCGGTATTTTTCGTGACGTTAGTGAAAGCTATTTTCGTCGGAAGTACGATTCGTTCGGGAACAGCTTTAGGACCGGCATTTTCTGCCGCGAACGGGGTTATGTTCACCGTGTACTTCTTCTTCGCGGTGATCGGCGACGGCGTGTCGCAAGCTGCGCAAACGTTCTTACCGGCGCAGTTAGGCGACGAAACGAGAGCGTTTGAAATGGCCAAACGCTTATTATTGGCCGCTCTGTGCATCGGATGTTTCTCCGCTGTTTTCTCTAGAATTGTTCCTGTCTACTTCCCGTATTCCTTCACCACAGACAGCACGGTCGCGGCTTTGATGAAAGAAATCTCCCCGGTGTCTTCCTTGGCGTTGCTTTTACACACCAGCTCCATGGCCTCCGAGGGATGCTTATTAGCTGGCAGAGATACCAAATTCATGTCCATGGCGTACGTCCCAAACGCCCTTCTCGCTTGGATCGGTTTAGGGTTCACCTTAAAAGCCGGTTTCGGCATCCAAGCCGCCTGGTTCGCGCTCGCGCAGTTTCACTTCGTCCGCTTAAGCGTGAACTCTTGGCGCTTGCTCTCCCGCCAGTCCCCGCTCAGGAAGCAGTTGAAAGAAGACTGAATTGAATGAATGATGATACTACTACTACTACTACTACTACTACTACTACTGATACTTCTACTACTCACTACAAGCCTTTTAGGTTGATGCTCTGTTGTACTTGCGTAATACTGTGTATGAATAGAATAGCGTATTTTAAATAAGCTTTCAAAATTGCCTTAAACGTGTCAAATGTCTTCACTTCTCACACGCAAATTTTTGCAGACAAACCACAGAACAACAAAAAAATGGCTGAAGAATCATCGGACAGAGGTGGATTTTCGCGCGGTTTTGGCCGCGGCGGCGACCGAGGAGGTCGCGGTGGTGACCGAGGAGGTCGAGGCGGCGACCGAGGTGGTCGCGGTCGCGGTGGTGGTCGCGGCGGTCGCGGTGGCAGAGGTGGGAAGGACGAGAAAGACGTCTGGACGCCGTGCACAAAGTTAGGGAGATTGGTCCAAGCGGTACGTTTTTGTTTTTGTATACATTGAGAGACATCATGGAGGAGGCGCGAAAAACGAGCGCGGGATGGATGCGCTTCGTTCGGGACATTATGGAGGGATGTTTTGATGTCATTTTTATGTGGACGTGCGCGTCGCGACGTGGTCATCGAGCGCGATTTCCGCGCGGGTTTTTTTCCTTCATCTTTGCGTTTTAGGACCCAGACGAGAGGGCTTTTGCGCAAGCGCGAGGATTTTCGAAACGTCCTCCCGGTTTCATCGATGCGAAGACCTAACGCTCACCAAAACGCTTCACTCTTATTCTACTATTATTAAACAGGGCAAAATCAAATCGCTGGAGCAAATCTACCTCCACTCCATCCCGATCAAAGAGTACCAAATCGTCGATTACTTCATCGGCGCCAACTTGGTGGACGAAGTCATGAAGATCATGCCGGTGCAAAAGCAAACCTCCGCGGGTCAACGCATGCGATTCAAGGCGTTCGTCGTCGTCGGGGACAGCAACGGTCACATTGGTTTGGGCGTGAAAGCGTGCAAGGAAGTCGCGCACTCTATTCAAGGTTCTATGATTTTGGCCAAGTTGAACATGGTTCCGGTGAGAAGAGGCTATTGGGGCGCCGCGCTCGGCGCGCCGCACACCGTGCCGACTAAGGTTCACGGCAAGTGCGGTTCCGTTCACATTCGTTTGATTCCTGCGCCGAAGGGTACTGGTGTTGTTGCCGCGCAAACGCCGAAGAAGGTTTTAGTCATGGCGGGTATTCACGACGTGTTTACGTGCTCCAGAGGCCACACGAGAACGTTGGGTAACTTTGTGAAGGCGACGTACTTCGCGTTGAGATCTACGTACGAGTTCTTGACTCCGGACTTGTGGGCGGAGAACAAGTGGCAAAAAGCGCCGGCGCAAGAGTATACCGACTTCTTGTCCGCGCCGCCGAAGAAAGTTCGTCACTACGACGACTACTAAATTATAGATATGGTACATTTTAGCTCTAATAAATATCCTACTACTAAGTCGTACTTCACATTTTCCTATCACGCTATTGCTTTTGCTGCGGAGTGTTTGCTTTTGTCTCTGCGCCGACTACTTTATGCTATCTAGCTCCCGAACCGCGCTCGTATCCGTTCGCGATTTTCTTCTCTTTCGATTTCCTCGAGCAAGCGCACTTTCTGTTTCATCAACGCCTCTCGCAACCGCTCCCGTCTCTTATTATTATTATTATTATTATTCCCATACTCACCATCATCTCTGCGATGATCGCGCGCATTCTCTTTCTCACCCTCCAGCTCCTTCACCGCGGCGCTCTGCAACGCCTCCAACGCGTCTTCGCACGCTCGAGTCTTCCTCGCCTCCGATTTCCATCGTGCTTTCATCTCCTTCGCGTTTTCTCCCAACACTCGCTCTCGAACTTCCACCTTCACGAATTCCTTCTCTCGTTCGTTTCTTCGTTGTTTCAGCGCGGATATGTGCCATCGATGAAACATCTTTCGCACAAGTGAACATTTTTTCTCCTCCTCTTCTTTGTTTTGACCGTTACGGTTTGCAGTCGTTGCAAGTGTCCCATCTTCTCCTCCTTCGTCGTCATCTTTCACTCTCAAACTCATCCTCCACAGTCGAAACGTCGTTTTCATCACCCTCTTCCTGTCCTCCCTCGCGTTTCTCATTTTCACCGCGGTCAAGTGCCACTCTTTGATGAGTTTCCGTCGCAATCGCGTTTCCATCTTTTGCTTCGTCCGCTCTAATTTCTTCCTCAAATGTACGGCGGATGTCCACGCATCAAACGCGATGCGCGTCATATTTCGAGCGCGTTTGAGAATAGCGCGCTGACCGAGGATTTTCCGTCGAAGTGAACGCTCTGCTTCGTCTCCTTTTCCTCGCGGAGGAGGACATGAGTGTTGCTGTTCCTCCGGCGTCATGTCTCTTTCTCTCTGAAGAGATTTTTCCAATTCTCCAAAGTTTTATACATCATACACACGTCTTTCCCCGGGATGCGGTCTCCTCAATCCTCGCTGCCGAGCAGCAGCAACGCGAGCAACAGAGTGCCTTTTACGAGACGACGAAGAAAAACGAGCAAAATCTGTCGCGCGATGTCATCGAACACGAATTCGAAGTCGTTGTATCTAAAAACCGTCGACGGAAACGAAAATCTCCCGATTTCGGATATCGGACTCGGGACCATTTCGTGGGGCGACGAGAGCTACGGATTCAACAAGCAATACCGCGAGAAAGATTTGAAAGAAACGTACAGAAAAGCAAGAGAATGCGGGGTGAATTTCTTCGACACCGCGGAGGTGTACGGGTATAAGAATACAAAATTTGAACAGAGCAGCGAACATATCTTGTCGAGGTGTCGAGAGGAGGAAGCGGAGGACGAATCGGAAGTCGTGATTGGAAGTAAAGTGTTCACGATTCCATGGACGAACGCGTTGTTAGGTGGCGGGTTTCGACTCGGGAAGGAAAGCTTAGTTCTAGCCGGGAAGGAGAGCGTGAAACGAATGAACAATCGACCGATGGACCTGTGGTCGATCCATTTTCCGTTTCCGTCGTTCTCGCAAGAAGTTTTGATGAGCGCGCTCGAGGAGAGTTTAGATTTGGGACTGACCAAAGCGGTCGGCGTGAGCAACTATAACAAAGAGCAGCTGGAAAAAGCGTACGATATTTTAGATAAGAGGGGGATCCCGTTGGCGTCAAATCAAGTGGAGTATTCAATTTTAAATCGGAAAGCGGAAAAGGAAGGATTGTTGCGGAGTTGTCAAGATCGAGACGTGAAGGTGGTTGCGTATTCGCCTTTGAAGGCGTTGAAGACGACGGAAATCGCGGAGAAGTATGTCATAATGAATAAACTTTGCGATTTCATCGGTCAAGTGAACAGCGGAGGGAAATCGAGCGTATCGGTGATGTTGAATTATTGCGTGACCAAAGGCACCATTCCAATCCCCGGCGTGAAGAAAGTCGAACAGATTGCGGATATCGAAAACGCCATGGGTTGGACGCTGGACGAGGAAAGTTTATTGACCATTGACGAGAAGATGGATTACCTCGACGGTTTGTAGAAAAATTGCGTGTAGTTTGTTTCACCATGTAGTAGTATCTAATCGCACTACCTATCATTAGTAGCACTTTGCAATTTCTATTGAGTCACGCGCTGCTTGTGTGTCTACATTTTCTAAATTTCTATTTCTATCTACTACATATTGTACACATTGTTATTCCTTCACCTCGCCTTCTTCCTCTTCTTCTCCTTCCTCTGCTTTCTCCCCCTTCTTCTCCTTTGTTTGTTCTTGCTTCGCGACGTCCTGGTACGTCATATTTTTCGTCTCGCTATCCTTGTAATACTCCGGTAAGTACCGTTTTTGCACCTCCACCCCACACGTTCTCGGATCGGCTTCCATCTCGTTACCTCCTCCGCCGCCGTTATCGTCGCGTTCTTTCGCTTTCTTCGCCGCTCTACTCGTCGTGTGAAAATCTTCAAACCATTCCAACAACATCGCCAACGCCATCACCGCCGCGCCTTTCTTCCCGTCGTCGCCGCAATACTTTTTGATATTTTCCTTCGCCCTCTCTCTCGCCATTTTCGTAAACTTCTCGAACGCTTTCTTTTCGTTCTTCTCTCCGACCATTTCAGCGACGCTCTTTTTCCGCAGCGATACTTTCGCGAATTCCAACGCGATCGAAGAAGAAGCATCCTCGTCCTTTTTTTTCGCGACAACGTTCCCCGGTCCGTCCGTCCAGCTCTTCTTCGCGTTCGCAACCTTCTTCGCTCTCTTCTTCGTCGGCTCTTCCACCACCTCCTCGTCCTCTTCTTCTCTCTCCTCTTCCTCCCTCTTCTTCCAGTCGTCCGGCCCAATCTCCAACTCTAAAATACTCTCGATGTTCCACCCGTCCCACGGCGCTCGACACTCAAAATTCCCGCTCGATATAACTTTAACCATATGACACTTCTCGTTCACCTCGAACGCGTTGAACCCGATTCGTTTCCCGCGTTCGTCCACCGCGTACGCGATCACAGAGCCGTCGTACGGTGTCATTCCGCCAATCATTTTTTTCATTTTTTTCTCCGCGCCTTCAAAGAACTCCTTTTTTCGTGCACATCTCCCCTCGTAATGCGAGAGCAAATTCCCGAGCGAACTCCCGAAGAACGCGCTTCGTTCCTTTGGAATTTTCGCGGTTAAAACGAACGGCGGTCTCGATTCTCTCGCTTCGCGAAGCATGTTTGATAACACGGCGTCTCGTTTCACCTCTTCGTACGTCCTCTCGACGTGGTTGATCGATTCCTCGAGCTTGAGAAAATGCATTTCGCACGCTTTCGAGTCGACGTTTTCTGCGATATTTCTCGTCGTTTTCCCGAGCGCGTCTTTGAGCTCTTTCCAACTTTGTTTGCAGTGGAGGACGGCGTTTTGCGCGTGGAATAAGGCAGTTTTCGCGGCTTCGTCCAGAGGAGGGTGAGATTCGTTCATTTCTTCTCTCTCTGTCTCTCTCGCGTGTCCTTTTGCGGGTGGGTTGTGAGGAAAGTTGGGACGAATACATTACTCTGTTGCTGCTCCTATAGACTTTATGAACTAAATAACTAATGTGAACTATTCCCGAAGATACTTTCTGCGCTCCTTGATGCCTTCGGTCTAAAAACAATCGTCGCGTACTCATTATTCGACGACGCTTTATGTCGTCGTCTCTTGCTGCTGCTGATGTTGGTGTTGCCTGTGTCGCTTTAAGCTCTGTCGTCTTTGTCGAAAGTCGGTTTCGCTTTTCGCCACGCGTTGTAAAATTTTCTCTTTGCTCACTCGGTACTTGGTTTTCGCGGAATCGCGAATATCGCGAACGCTCGCTCGGACGTAATCTCTTCTCTCTTCTCTTCTCTCTTCTCGCTTTTGTTTCAGTTCTTTCCATCCGGGGTGCGAGAAGTACGCTTTGGCGTAATGCGCGGTGGCGTAGGCGGTGGCGGCGAAGGTGAAGTGGGCAAAGTTTTCAGTCGTGGTGGAAATGACTTGCTTTTGCGTCTCGTACGTGTCGAAGAGGAGCGGGATGTGGTCGAGCGTTTGCCCGCACGCGACAGCGAGGAGACCCATTTGTAACGCCGTGGCGACTTTGCCGACGAAGAGCGGTTCCCACTTTTCCGTGGAGTTGAACGCTTCCCAATCGCTTTTCTCTTTCCGTGCCGCCACTCGAGAGGTGTCGCTATTCTCCACGCTACTGCTGCTCTCACCACGACCGCTCTCTTCTGTGACTCCGTTGTCCTCCCTTTCATCCTCCCTCTTCACCGTGTCGATGGCAAAATACTGTCGCCACGTCAAATTTTCAAACTTGAGCGCGTTCGCTCGCCGCCAAAACCCGCTCGCTAAAAAACCACAATCCCTCAACACGAACAGACCAACGATCCACGCCGGCAGCTGCCCAGACGCCGCCATCCCGACCCCGACGGAACTGACGAAAATCTTATCCGCCGCGGCATCGAAAAAAGAACCGAAATTACTCGTTTGGTTCCATCTCCTCGCCAGGTACCCGTCCGCGTAATCCGAAATCCCCGCCAGCGCTATCGACGTCAACACGAGCTCGCTCGAATACACATCTGGACCTTGGATGATCATGTAAGATATGATTGGACCGGATACTGCTCGACCCACGGATAACGCGTTTGGAATGTTTACGATTTTGTTCGTCACAGAGGAAGAAGAGGATGTTTCGGATGTTCCTTCTTCTCGCAGGAGTAGTCCTCGTTTTTGCTCTTCTTTTTCTCTCTCTGAGTAGTTCTTGTTCTCATCATCACTGTCGTCGTCTGTCTCGCCCCCGCTGCTGCTCGAAGCGCTTCTGTTCGAAGACAACACAGATGAAGCACTCGAAAACGCCTGGTTCCTTCCGCCATCGCGCGCGGTGTTCGTACTACTCCGCGCGGCGAATCCTCTCCAAAACACTAATCCTTCCCGGGAAACCACGGGGAAAGCGCTCTTCGTAAAGCTCGCACATTGATGATGATATTGACGCCTCCAAAAGCCCCTACCGATGCGCGCGTGTGCTCCACCTCCTTTTCCGCTTGTGTATGAGGAGGAGAGATGCCTGAGGAGGAGATATCTCCTCGTCGTCGCCGTCATCATCGCTGAAACTTCGCGTCGTTTCCACGACATCGTTTCTCTTTCCCGAGCGATGCAATTCTGAAGGATTTCCATACAAAAACGGCAGAATAAACACTTGATGCGACATCTGTGATGCATCGACCGACAAAAACACCACTCGGAGGAGGAGGAGAGGGCGTTTCCTCGCTCGTCCAGTGTTGGGGATGCTCGGCGCGATTACAACCTCCTCCTTTATTCGGTGATGACGACGATAAAAACGACGGAGAGAAATCCAATCTCCCGAGGAAGCTCGCCCCCAAGTTTTTGTGCGGGCACTGCGGGGCGATGAATTCGTCGCTCGAGTCTTCTCCCGCCGCTTTTTTCGCGCGAGGAGGAAAAGGAGGACTCGGGGGATGCAAAGGCAAAGGAGTGAAAGAGTTTTGTCTCGTTTTGCCGGCGAGATGTCTCGCGAGAACGATGGGAAGGATTTTAATACCAACCGTTCTGTGTTTGGTGTATTATTTAGTCTCGAAAACGTACGAAGTGTCCATTCCAAAGTTGACGACGGAAAGAGAGAAAAGAGTTTTAAATGTTGAAGGGGAGATGATGGAAAGGACGACGAACGCGCGAATGATGGATTTGGCGACGAGTTTTGGATTGAGATGCCTGTTGATGTTCGCGTGCGCGAACATTTATTGGAACTACGCGGTGTCGATTCTTTCGCGGCCGAAGAGCATTCGCCAGTTGCGAGAGGACGGGGAAGGGAGTATGAGTGGGAGCGAAAGCGACGAGGAAGACGTAGAGAGTGGTGGTAGACGTAATACTAGTGATAGAAATAGTAACCGGAATGGGATTATGCCGGTGCCGTGGTGTCAGCAGCAACGTCAAAATCTGGAGAACGAGACTGAGACGGATATCGAAAACGGCACGGAGACAACGGAGAGACATCCGACGACCATCGTGCCTCGAGACTCGTTTAGAAATTGCGCGTATTGCATCAAATGTGATGACGTGAAACCGTTTGGGACCTCTCATTGCTCCACGTGCAATAAGTGCATAGTCGATTTAGACCACCACTGTCCGTTTTTACAAAACTGCGTCGGCAAACATAACGTGAGAGCGTTTACGTGTTTTTGCTTGTGGTGTTCGTTGGGATGCGCGTTGGCGTTTACCGTTGCCATTTTGTTACCGTTCACGTCGCAAAGAGCGACGTTTATGAAACCGTACGAGAGAGTCATGAGTGGCACGGATAAATACTTTGGCAAGAACACGTACGAACACATAGGGCATTTCCCGACGTCAACCGGAGCGCTCATACAGTATTGCACTTTCGCTTTGAAATACGTGAGTGCGTGCGAAGACACGTGGATTGGCACGTGGTGCATAGTCGTATTAGCAACTGCAACCATCACTCCTCTCACGTTTGGTTTATTTTACCAAACGTACATGGCGGTCAAACGAGGCGAATTTTACGTCGCGTCTTTAAAAGCGAAACGGGAAAGAGAAGAGCGCGGCGGGAGTCCCGAGTCGATGGCAAGAGACGCGTCGGGATTGAGTAAGCACGTGGAAGAGGCGAGGGTAAAAGCGGTGTTTGAACGGACCAAAGGCGAACACTGGGTTTTTTGGTTTCTCTTTCCGAGACTCTCTCGAACGGGGAGGCTTGGAAGAAGAAGAGGAGGCGCGCAAAAAGTCCAATAATAGTACAAACAAATGTGTAGTGTGATTTTTTAGCGCCATCTACCGCACGTTCTGATATCATCGAACAAACCAACTGTCGCTTCGACGTCAACGCCCGTTTCGATTTCGTCTTGGCACCACAAAAACCGCGGTTTAACACCTGGAACCGTTCGCAAATGTTTCAAAACGCCTTCCGTAATCGACGAAGAAGCCGCAAAGACGCTCGATGGAATGCGAACTTTTGATTCGGATTCTACGATTTCTTTCAACAAACTCCCATCCGTGGCAGCTTTGGTCAACGCTCGAGCAAACGTGTCCGTCTCGTTTTCGTCGTCATCTCTGGCGGATACCAACACGTTTTCGTTGAGCTCGACGCCGAGCGCGCGAAACCACGTTTTCACTCTCATCGCGCTTTCCCTGATTTCCGCGACGTTTTCTACACTTCTAAAATCTCTATTTTGCAACGCGAGCTTTCTACTATGAGCGGCGGCGCGCTTTAAATCTTCTTCTTCTTCTTCTTCTTCTTCTTCTTTTCCCACCTCTTTGCTCACAACTGTCTTGCCAACACTACCATTTATCGGTATCGTCGCTCTCTCCATCGCCAGATGAATAGCTCTCTCCAAATCGTCCTTCGCCGCGGGATCCGCGCGCAACTCCAACGTCCTTTTCTCCAAATCCGTCATCGGGTAACTCCCAATCGGTTTCGCCTCTGGAAGTATCATCGGTTTCCCATATTCTTCCTCCCACGGCGAAGACGCCGCCACCCCTGACGACGATACCACCCCTCGTCGCGGATTCCTTCGCATGTACTTCTCCTCCTCTTCTCTATTCAGCGTCATCCCGTCTAACCGCTTGTTTACCGTTTTCGTCGTTGCTTCCGCCGAAACACCACTCGTATTCTTATTCGTCGTTTTCTCGCTGGCGAAGTACTCCTCGTCGATCTTGTTCGCATCATCCTCCATTTTTGTCGTAAATGTCAACTCCTCTTCCTCTTCTTCCGAAGAAGAATATCTCGTCTCTTCCCCTAACAGTCTGCTCGGTGGCGTCAACACTTCGCCTCTCTTTCTCATCGGGGAAAGTTTCGGTGGCAATTGCCGAGGCACCGAATCATCCTCCTCCTTTTCCTCCTCTTCCTCTTCTTCCAGCATCGCTTCTTTCTTCGCCGACATCCACGCGAGCAACGACGCCGTTTCCTCCTCCGATGATTCGCCTCCTCCTCCCTCGTTGTCGTCCAAATCCATCCTATAATTTGTGTCACACAAAAAAGCAATCAACAACAACACAAAAGGGCAATAAAACAAGCAACAATCAGCAGAAAGAAAGAATAAAAGGTCCTCCGCCGTTCTCTCGTTGGGCTCCTGTTTCGGAGAACGCTCAAAGAGCGCGCGTCTGATGTGTCTCAACAAAAGCAGCTTTTATGCGGGAAAACAGAGGGAAAAGAGCACCTCATTTTTTTTTGAATTTTTTCAGTCAATTAAATTTTTTCTCATTTGCCTTCAAAAAAACGTAAGAAGAGTTTTACTCACTCCGCGCGAGATATAGAAGAGAGTACACATCACATAACAACAACAACTCGCTAATATTGATTGCTCGCTCGAAAGAGAAGATATACACACACACACACTCAGATATATAATAAGAGTAAATGTCGGAATCATTCGCGTACGGCGCCTCGGAAGACCCAGACAGGAACGATTACTTCTCGAAACTCAGAATCCAATCCTCGCAACGGATGCAACGACTGTTGGACCGATCCGTTCCGTTCGCCTTTCACAGATGGCTCGCGTGGGTTTTTCTCGCGCTTATGTATACGCTGAGAGCGTATTTCGTCCACGGGTATTACATCGTGACGTATGGGTTAGGGATTTATAACCTGAACTTAATGATTGGGTTTTTATCGCCGGCGAGAGACCCAAGTTTGAGCGCGAGTGAAGGACCGACGTTGCCGAGCAGCAATAACGAAGAGTACCGGTACGTTTTAGGAAAAAGTTTCGAGCTTCGTCATCGGTTTACGAATGCATTCGGAGGAGAAAAGGAGCACCGTGTACGCGGTTTTGCGCATCGTCTCTTTCTCGGTTTTCTTCTTCTTTTCCGCTTCGTCGCGTTTTCGCGATGATATTCGGAGGACGCGTTTGATTTTATCGACGCGCCGATGTATAGACGCGTGGCCGTTGCCGTCGCTGACCGGTTCTCTTTTCGTTATTACTTTTGTTGCAGACCATTCGTTCGAAAACTACCAGAGTTTAAGTTTTGGGTCAAATCCGCGAAGAGCTTGCTCGTCTCCTTCTCCATGACCTTCTTCCCGGTGTTTGACGTGCCAGTGTTTTGGCCGATATTGTTGATGTATTTTATCATGTTGTTCACGATGACGATGAAGCAGCAGTTGAGACACATGATTAAACATAAATACGTGCCGTTTTCGTGGGGGAAGCAAACGTACGGGAAAGGTAGCGGGGGAGGTAAAGAGATGAGCGGAGGGAGCGATTAGTGAGAAGAAGCGCTGTAATATAATAACTAAACGTAAATAGCATCATCCTCGCATAATAAAACTAAGAACTACTCGTGCACCTTGGACAGATACTCCCACAACCCATCGCCTAAATGGTGGCACAACTCCACCCCAATGCCTTTATTTTCTCTTCGCATAGCTTCCGCGCTCATAACGCACGTCCCGACCGCTAACGCGTGCTCTTTCCCTTCCGCGTATATCGCTACCGGTTCGTCTTCCTCCACCTCGTCGTGCATGGTCGCGCCCGCGCTCGTTAACCCTGGGCACATGATGTTTGATCCTTTAAACACGAATTTAATCGCCCCTTTGTCTGTTCGTAGTCGTTTCATCATTCGTGGGAATCGGTGGAGGACTTTTAAGGTTGGGTAATACGGACCGTCTTTCACGGTTTGGAAGAATAAAGGTTCGTTTCCCACTAAAACGACAGTCACTTTGTTCTCCAACTTCCCGACTCGGATTTCCGCGTTCTTTTTCGGCAACAACAAATCTAACGGCGTCGGCCCTTCCTCGTTTTCCTCCTCCTCATCCGACGACGACGAGGTTGAATCTGAATCCGAGGAATCCCGGCGTTTTTGGCGGCGTTTTTCGTCGTCCTCGTCTTCATCCTTGACCGAGCGATTGGAACACAAGGAGGGAAACTGTTCGGCGATTTTCGATCGAATCGCGCGTTGGACGGAGGATTTGATCTGCGTGCTCCCGTGGAAATCTTCCAAGGAAAACTTTTTGAACATTAGTATTAGTATTACGTTGGTGTTGTTTTTGTCGTCGTTTACGTCGTCCTCTTCTCTCTTCTTCGCAAAAGGAGGAGAACTTCTTTAGGTATGTAAAGCGCTTTCGAGGTGGTTTTTTCTGAGGTATTTGTGTGTTGCAAAATTTTAAAGTTAATCAACTCCAAATTCGAAAACATAAAAATACAACAATTAATTAATCTACGGAATACTTCTCGCACCCGACGTCGACGCTTTCACTGAACTCGGACTTCCAAAACCCATCGGTTTTATGATTCATCATCCAATCTTTGTGAAATTCGTCGTCGCTGTATTCCGCGTGGTCTTTATTTGTTTCGGCGGGTTTCAAGCCGGTTAAGCCGCCGCCTTGGGACCAAGCGCAGATGGCGCCCGAAGCGGCGCCGGCGAAGATGGAGACTTCAGAGGTGGATTCGTTGGCGCTCATTGCTGCGCACGTGAGGAGGCCTTCCGTACCTGGTAAGGAGTAGAGATAGCCGCCGTTGATGTCAACGTCGGAGTCCAAGACGACTTCGCCTTCTTCGCGTTCGACGAAGAGCGAGCCGGAGAGGCCGACGCCTTGGCCGTCGACGCACCGGACGTGGAGAAGGCCGAGAGGGGCGTCGGAGGAGTCGGAGTCGTCGGAGTCGTTGGAAGTGTCGTCATCGTCGTCGTAATATCCGGAGACACCCATGGTCGTAGCGCTGGATAAGGTGGACGTTTGGCTTTGGCCGCTGGTGGCGGTTTCGAGAACCGGGAGGTCGTCTTTGTGATGGTCCGATGAGGCGTTCGCGGACGTCTTACGTAACAACAAAGTGCTCGCAATGTTCGAAACTGCTTTAGAGAGCGGGGTTTCTCTACTCTTTTGCGAAGGTGGAAAGTACGCCGCGGTGGAAACCAACACTCCAGAGGGTTGGCCGCTTTGTAAGTTTCTCTGATTCGTCGCACTTTTCGGCGTGGCGTTTGGTAAAGAGCAATACTCTAATCCGGAAATGGGCGCTTCGCACCCGTCGATTCTTGGCGCGTTTGGTAAATCACGAGGTCTCGCGGACGGTCTCGCTAACACGTGCGTTTTCACGGAGGAGGAGAAATCGCCGGCGAAAATAACTCCGGGAGGTCCGGCGCATACGGAAAAAACGCGGCGTCTGTGCCCAGTCATGGTCGCCGCGGCAACTTCTTGCCTCGGATCCCAGACTTTGACGACACCGTCCGCACCTCCTGAAACAAACAAACCAGCGCCATCCAAAGACGGTTCGTTGTAGCTAATCACGCACGTGACGTCGTTTTGATGACCTCGGATACTCGCTCTTTTCTGACCAGTGTTTAAATCCCACAAACCGAGCGCGCCGGATCTCGAGCCAACCGCGATGGTCGCCGATTGCCAATCGACAGCGCCAGACGTGACGGCGTCGAAGACGTACATCTTTCGCGTTTCACGCGATCGTTCTAAATCCCAAACTCGAACGGTGTTATCTCTACCACCGGACACGCACAAGAAAGGTTTTTGAATTATGCCTGCGCTGGCGTTGCTATAATCTGCAATAGAGAGAAACTCAACGCGGTCGGTGTGCCCCGATAAAGAGTGGCCGCCGGACAAACCGACGTTTGGATTCCATCGCCAACTGCGAATAGTCCCGTCCCAACCACCGGTGGCGACGATTTTTGCGTTTGGTAGAACGTTCGTCTTCGAACACCCGACGCATGAAACGAGTTCGTTGTGTGCAAACGGATCCTCTTCCGGGACGATTGCGCGTCGAAAACTCGGCGCGCGGTCGCCCGCGCCGCCAAAACAACCCAAGTAAGGATTCAATATCGCTCGATTGTCCAAGCCAAAATTATCTTTTTGATCTTTGCCGCTATATTTCTTCGGATTCACCGCGGGTGTTCTGAGCTGCGCCGGCGGCGCTTTCGCGCCACCCGTCATCGAGGGGAGATACGGAGGCGTTAGATATCCAGCATCTGAACCGCTCGTATACGTAGGCGTTCTTCCGGTCGATTGTTGCGACAGATGAAGTAAATTTTGACTCGAGTTTTCTTTGCGTATGCGTTTCAAATTCGCTCTCGCTCTTCGTTGCGCTTCTTCGGTTTTCTTACTCGTGCCTCCCCGGAACCAATTCAAAATGGTGCTCAAAAATGCGCCTAAAGATTTCCAAAACACGTCGGTGAAGAAATACACCCACTCGTCTAATTTGTTCACAAAATGTGCCCATCGACCAGGCACTAAGGGTAAATCTTCCGAGAAAGTGCGTTCGGAGGAAAGCGTGTGCCCGTGATGGCCTCTTTGTTGTTGTTGTTGTTGTAACTGTTGCTGTTGTCTGGACGCCGAGGACAGTTGTCTTCGTAACGCGTTAATCTTACCACTGTCGTCGCTTTCGCGCCTCGCGCGCCCTAACGACGGCGACGACGGTCGATGGACCGGCGAAGTCGATGAAGTCAAATTCGGCGGCAATACGATGAGTTTTTCCGTGCTCGGAAAGCGAGTGGACGATTTGTCTCGTTCGTGTTGCTTCCTGCGTCGTTCGCTGACATCATCGTCGTCGTCGGAATTGAACGCGGCGTTCTTCGTGATCATCTGTGCAATCTCCTCGACGGCGCTTTTCGTCTTCTTTTTTGTCGGTGTCGTAGCGGTTGATATTGATGTAGTTGTTGCTGTTTCTTTCGACTTCTTCTCCAGCATTCGCATGTGTGCGATGTTCTCCTGACTCGAATTCGCATTCGGCGTAGAGAGCGAAAACGAGCTATCCGTGCCTAACGGCGACTCCGGTTCGGAAGAATACCCGGACGATGAACCGCCTTTATCTTCTTCTTCTCCTTCTTCTTCTGCTGACTTTTTAGTCGACTTGCTTTTCTTCTTTTTCTTTTTCTGCTTGTTTTTACCGCCGCGGCGTTGTTCTTCCTCCTGTAAATGTTGCGACGACGACGACATCGACGTCAATTCCGTCGTCCCTGAATTCTTTCGCATCATGGCCGTTTTAGCTAAATTTGACGCCGACGCCGAGTTCGACGATCCCGATTTCTTCTTCTTACTTTCCACCGTCTTCCACTCTTCGCTGTCGTTTTTGTTGTCCATCTCTTCTTCTTCTTCTTCTTCTTCGTCCTCGTCTAACGAGTTCAACGACCCGTAACTCTCCGAGTTCCTTTTCATCGTCGTCACAGTATCGTCGTCGTCCTCTTGAATATTACTCCTCGCGCCGGGAAGTTTACTCCTCGAAGTCGCCGAAACTTCAGAAGATACGGCGACGCTCCGCTCTTCCAACGCCTCTCCTTCCTCCTTCGTCTCTTCCGTCTGCATCTGTTGCTGCGCCGCTTTCATCTTCCTCCGCAGTTTTTTCTTCTCCTTCCTTCTCTGTTTCCGTTGTTTCAACTCCTCATCCTCCTCTTCCTCTTCTTCTTCTCCGTGTTCCTCTCCTTCGGCGGCTCCGTCCTCCTTCGCGTTTAACTTCTCCTTCGCGTCTTCAAACGCCTCCTCTTCCTCCTCGTCCGAATCTTCATCTCTCTGCTTCAACAACGCGTCCCACGAGTTCACGCTTTTAATCCCACCTCTGTTTCCTCCACCTCCTCCACCTTTCGCGTTGTTGTTAAACCTCTTTTTGTGTTGTTGTTGTTGTTCTTCGACGTTGAATGAGTTTCTCCGCGAGTTTTGCGCGCTCGCATTGTTGGAATCGATGGTGTCGTTCATGGATTCAAATTCATTCGACTTCTTTCCTCCTCCTTTACTCAGAGGCGGTTTGTTCTTTTTCCTTTTCGCGTTTTGCACGACCGTGGTCCACTCCTCCTCCTCTTCGTCTTCTTCTTTTTGTTGTTGTTGTTGTTGTCTTCTTCCGACGTGTTCTTCGTCCGCCGTGTCGTTCATGATGATTTGATTTTTCGTCTCTCAATGCGCTCTCGAAAATGCAATTTTCTTTTCTCTCTTGAACGAACGAATGAAGAATTTTTTTTTTTTTGTCTGCATGCCCCATCTGCCATTTTCATACAAGAAAGCGTTTTTCTTCTAAAGTCATATTCTTTTTTTCCTCATCTCATTTCATCAGTGTTTGACCACCGTTTATGACTCACGAGATGCAAACAGAAGAAGAAGTTAAAGACAAAGACAAAGAAAACAAAGAGGAGGAGAAAATGACGACGATGAAGAAAAACCCTCTCCTCCCGACGGTGCTTTGGGCGCAACGACGCGATCGCATTTTTTTAACGTTCGAGATCAAAAATGCGATCCGAGATTCGATTCAATTGGAGGTACGAAATCCGTACCCGCTGGAAGCGATGGAGGAAGAGGAAGGAAAAGGAGCGGTGTTTGGGTACGTTGGAACGAGCGTGGTTGTGCTTTCGTGCGAGAGTTTGGATGTGTGCGGAGAAGAAGAAGAAGAGAAAGGGATTTTGATGATCGACGATTGTTCGGTGGAAACTGTCGGGGAGAAGTTGAAAAGACAAGCGTTTCGAGGAGAAGACGAAGAAGAAGAAGAAGCCTCGCCGACATCTGTCGTCGACGGCCAACAACGCCTCCGTTCTCCTCTCTCTCGCGAAAGACGACGTAAAAAGCAAACGCACGCCATCGAACTGGAACTTTACAACGCCGTCCTTTCCAACCAAATCTCGCATAAACTCACCGTCACGGATAAAACCGTCCACCTGGTTCTCTTCAAACCAAAACCAACTCCGCACTGGCCTCGGCTCCTCGCCACGCGCGAAAAGTTCCGCCACGTCAAAACCGACTTTGACAGCTGGAAAGACGAAGACGAAGAGTTGGAAGACGAGAACAAGTTCACGTTCGACGCGAATAAGATGTTGAAAATCGACCAGTACGAAGACGCGGAGTTATTCGACGATATCTCCTCGGACGACGAGGACATGCCGGACTTGACCGAAATGGTTTAAGAAAAAGTAAAAAGAGAGAGTAGTTCTACTCCCATCATCTCTTTGAGTAAAGTAGCGCACGTAATCATTCATTGATAAACCATAATACTCTCGATCGCAACCACCAAAGCGTAAGCTTTTTTTGGTCGTATTTTCTTATCCACCAATGCCGTTACAAAACCTCACAATTCCCGCGCATAGAAAAAGAAGAAGTTAATAAAGAAGAAGAGATCAGAGTTCTTCTCAAAACTCAGAATGTATCCTCTTCCTCGTCAAATGCATGCGCGGGACCCCGATGATGCGCGAGAACAACAACAACAACAAGAGCAACAAAACAGCGACAGCGAGGAGGACGAGAGCGAATGCCTTCGATGTCCAATCTCGAGATGCGTCTTTCTCGACCCGGTCATGGTTGCCGGTTCCGGGAACACGTACGAACGGAAATCCATCGAAACGTTCTTCGAAAAGCTAAAACATGCGGGGATGCCGTTGCGGGACCCGATGACGAACGAGCCTTTGAACAACCACACCTTAATCACAAACTGGGAACGACGGAGAGCAGTGCAGAAATATTTAGAAAAATTACCCTCGGAGAAGGTACCGACCGGGTGGGAGAGCAGAGAGGTACCGAAAGCGAGAGAGTTTTTACTCGACGAGAAGAGACGGAAAATGGGCAAGGTAGGGGTGTTTTTAGAGCAGCTGGAAGAGGTTGGACGATGGACGGTGACGCACGCGTACGGGGTGGCGATTGCGTGTATAGTCGCTTTGCTTTGGACGCCGGTGTTTCCTTTGGATTTGTATTCCGGAACACATCCTATATTTGGCGGCGGGAGACGACTCATTGACGGGGACGAGTATGGGCTGTTTCCATGGGTGTTTGGGAGCGCGCGAGAGAGAGTGAAGGAACGGAAACGAATGGAGTTGATTAACGAGGCGTTTGATTCGAAGTTGACGCAAGAGCACGGCGGCATGGCGCCGGTGACGTCTTTGAAACCGTACGGCTCGAGAGTGGTGGCGTACAAGAACAACAAATCGAGTCTGTTGTACTTGGAAATCTCGCCGGCTAAGTTTTTTTCCGCGCGGGGCGTCTCTCAGTTTACATTCAGTTCGCTTTGGATCTTTTGCGTCTCGACGTTTACGAGAGGCGCGTTGAGAGCGAACCATGCGCAGCAAGGCGGCGCGCAGCATTTTTTGCTCCCCGTGTTTTCCGTGCCGTTTTGGGGAGTTGGGTTCGTCGTCGCCAGAGACGCCGTGTTGTCGGTGACCGAGACGAAAATAATAACGATTTCTCCGGAGACGTTTACCATCAAGAGTAAAATTGGCGGGTTCGATTACGAGGTGAGATACGGGAAGACGCAGGAACTGACGAGCGTGAAAAGAGAAGTGGCGAGTATCGTCAACGGCGTAAAACACTACGCGATAGTATTACGAAGAGGCGTGGAAAAAATATTCGTGGAAAACGGCGGTTTGGAATACGAAGACAACGATTTCGTGAGTAAACTCATCGCGGACGCTTTACGGGCGAACAGCCCGAAGCGATGGTTGTTTTCGTGATTAACAATTCAATGTACAAAGGCTAAAATTAATTCTAATGTTGTAATTCTATCTACTAATTATAAAGTGTACCAAAACATTTCTACATGAAAAAATATTATCTACAAGTCTAGGTCGCTCATCAAGTATTCCGCTTGTTTTCTCACGATGACTTCGCCTTCTTTGAACAGTTTTGCGGTCATGACGTTTCGTTGCAACGCGACTATTTTGTTGTGCGCGATCGGTAACGGTCCAGGGAACGACACGTCCACGTGTCTCCAAGGCCCAGCGGATCTCAACCCGTGTTCCATAAACTTCGTCCATCGCTCGTTACCGACGCGACTGTTCTTCTTGACTAACTTCTCCACGCGTTCGCGCAACGGCGCGGTCGGTTGTACTTCCGCTAATCCACCCGCTTTGCGATCTTCTAATTTGATGACGCCGTCGAAAACAACCGTCGGCCCTGAGTTCAAACTCGCCCACTCAGCTTCTTGTCTTCTCGATAACTTTTCGTGTCTAATCGAAGCGGTTTCGTAGGAAACGAGGAAATCGTTCGCGGCGTTTGCAAACGCGCATCTTCGTCTAAACGCGCTCAACGCCTCGATAAAAAACATGTTAGACTCCTCGTCGTCGATTGTCATTCGAGCTAACAGCGGCATTTCATTCGTATCCTCCGTTCCTTCGACATCGAACAACGCTAAATCTTTAACGCTTTGACCAAGGCCTTCCCCGGCCCACATCCGAAGCGGTCCCGGGACTAATTCGAAGTACCCGTACTCGCCTACGCCTAAATGCGGCGTCGCCGTCGTCATGAACGTGTGCATCTCCATCCCTAAAATCGTCTTCGTCTCTCTCTCGTACAACCTCGTCAGCGCGTAGCGACAATATAAACCGCCCATGCTATTCCCGACGAAGCTAATCTTCGTCAGCGGTCCTTTCCTCTTCTCGTCGTACTCCTCCGCGAACGTTTCCACCTCGTCGACGATGCGTTCTCCGCCGGCAACGACTCCGTCAAAACTTCGCATCGGCGTGTTACACGACACTCTCAATATCACGCTGTTCTCGTCTCGCGTCATCAACTCGGTCGCGAGCGCGAGTAAATCGTCCTCGGAGCCGCCCAATCCGTGCACGAACACGTACAAATGCTTCTCATCTCTATTACTCGTCATCGCTTCCGCATTCTTCGCGCTCGCGGCTTCAAATCGCACACGCATGTCTGTTCGTTCCGTTCGCATCCAGTTCGGCGCAGAAACAGTCTTGCTGTTCAACTTCTTCAACAAAGACGACGGTTCAGATACTTTACGTCTCCGTTGTTTCCTTTCCGTCGCGGAAACGTTCCCGAACTGCTTCAACATCAAAAGCGAGTCTCGAGTCGTCATCGTTCGCTGCTTCTCCCTCTTCAAATTTTCCTCGCTTCTCGGTCTGACTTTGTACACGCAGAGGAGATGTAAGATGAATTTCGCGGGGAAACGCGTGCAAAACCAAAGGATTCGAAGGAGGATGGATTTCAGAGGGACTGGAATCTTAGATAAAAACTTCGAAACTTTTGATGGTTTCGAGGAAGAGAGAGAGAAAAAGATGGAGGACAGAAACGAAGCTCCCATGTAATACTATATATATCGCGTGCGTGTGTGTGTGTGCGCGCTTCTTACGGTGCGAACACGAAAGAGAGAGATGCACTCGCTTTTACTGAAACCCTAAACACTCACCGTGTGCAGAGAAAAAACCATCGAGTAAAAGCGGCAGAACGAGACACCAAGAAAGCGCGCGCAGCAACGGCCAGAGCGTGTTATGAAAACGATTTAACGAAAAGAAGAGTAGAGCTACGCGCTGCTTTCACGTAAAGGTTGTAGTATTATATATCTCGAGGAAAAAGGAAGAATATATTCAAATACAACACATTACAATTTCCATTTGTGTTTGGATTTTGGGGCCGCGTTCTTACTCTCGCGAGATATAAATTACTCTCGAAACGATGATGCGGAGCGTCGAAGACGAGAAAAGAGCGGACGAAGAACGGACGTCGCTTTTAACAAAGAAGAACACAAAGAACAACAACGACGGGAACCCCGAGAACAACGCATCGTCGGAAGAGGAAGAGGAAGAGCAGTACTCCTATTACTACCACGAGGAGGAGGACACCGAGGCGGAGGAGGAGAATTTAATTGTCGAAACACCGCCCTCGGCCAACTCTTTTTCGTCGAGGAAGGAACATTTTTTCTCTCCAAACGAAAGCGATTGGAAGAAAACGAGTCTGAGTCGAATGATTTCAACGTCGAAGGACCTATTATTTTGTAACGCGTCGACGTTGCGAGTCCTTTTAACCGTCCTGTTCATTTCCGGCGCCTTGCTCACGGGCGCGTCGTACGGCTCGCGGTTCGGGGGCGATTTATACGTCAAGGTAAGACCGAGACGGGAATCGGCGATTGGGAAATCGAGAAGGCACGCCGAAGCGGGAGTGACGCTCGTGGATGAGATGAGGTATCCGTACGCGAAGTGTTTGGATGGGACGAGCGGGAGTTATTACGCGTCGTTCGCGCCGAGTTCCGGGATCGCGAAGAAAGCGCACTATAAGAATTTAGCCGGATCCGGGGATAAGTTCGTGAAGAAATCGGAGGCGGAAATTGCGTCCTCGGCGATGGACGGGTTTTCGACGCACAGGACGTGGGTGATCATGCTGAACGGAGGAGGCGAGTGCGTGGAAGGGCAGAAGTGCTCGGAGAGAGCGGAGACAGAGTTGGGAAGTTCGAGTTTAGCCGCGCCGACGCACGAGTTTAAGAGCGGATTGACTGAGTTGCACGAGACGCACAACCCGGCGTTCATGTACGCGAATATGGTGGTCGTGAATTACTGCTCCGGCGACTCGTTTTTAGGTCGAGGCACGGAAGCCGATAAAGACGGGTTGTGGCACTCGGGTGGGCACATCGTCGACGCGGTTATCGACACGTTGTTGGAAAAACACGAGATGAAGAACGCGGACAAAGTTTTAATCGCCGGACGGTCTTCGGCCGGAATCGGCGTGTTGAGTCAAGCCGATCGATGGCGCACCATGATTGAACGCGGAGCGAAGAGCACGGATTGGTGGACGAACTTTCGTCGTTCGAAACCGGCGCCAAAAGTGTACGCCGCGCCGTTTGCCGGGTTCAGGTACACGCACAGGTCGGAAGAGTCTAATAATAATAACAGTAATAATAACAAAGAATCTCGCGGCTCAAAGAAACTTCATCAACAACAAGAACGAGAACAACAACACACTCAACGCCATGGCTCCGTGCGAAGAGCCTTACTTTCTTCATCGATTTCTCATCCGGCGGTTGACTTTCCTGAAACCGCCGCGGTGGCGAATCGCGACCGCAATCTCAAGGAAGAGGTTGATCGCACGAAGAAAAAGATTGATTTGTTGGAGATGAAGAAACAGTTGTCGCAACTCGAACGCGAGCGAGTATTAGAAGGAGCTGTCGCTGCGCATGAAAGTAACGGCGAAGTCGCGAACAGAGACAAAAATATCATAGAGGAGATGGAGAGAACGAAAAAACGCATCGAATTGCTGGAGATGAAGAAACAACGGAACCAGTTCGCGGAGGAGCGCTCTGGAGAACGCTCGGCGGAATCGACCGCGGATCTCGGTAAAGTTCCCATGCCACCGACGAGAAAGCGCGATGAAGAAGAAACAGAAGATGATGAAAACGAGCATTCAGCTTCAACGTCATCATCGCCGACGTCTTCTTTAAGAGCGAAAATAACTCGCAAAGCGGCTTTGAAAAAAATGGAAAATGGAGGAAACGACGGCGAATGGGAGACGTACATCAAATACTGGCACGCGAAGCGTTCGCTCAATCGAGCGTGCGTGTCCAAGAACGAAGAGAGCTACTGGAAATGCGCTTCTGCCGAAGAGGCGTTTAAACACGTCAAAACGCCCGTGTTTATTTCGCAAGCGTTGACGGACGCTTTGTTAGCTGAAATGGTTGGCGATAATGCGTCCCCCTACGGTCTTTCTTCGGATCCGTCTAACCCGTCCGTCGAAGGCGCTTTAGGCAAACGCGAGAAGATTGCCCTGAAGAGACTCACCTCTGCTGACATTCTTAGCATGGACACGAAAGAAGAAAGCAACGAAATCTTACGGTTGATGTCTTTGAACGCGACGGCGCGAGAAATCTACGCAGAAAACTTGATGAAAGTCATGCGCTCAGAGTTGAAAATGGTCGTCGAACATCCCAACGCGGGCGTGTTCGCGCCAGCCTGTTACGCGCACAACGACTTTGACGACGTGTATATCGATGGGATCGATCACCACACCGCTTTGGCGTGGTGGGTGTTTAAAGATTCAAACGTCAAGTTAGTCGACACGTGCTCGGGCGTGTTTTGCAATCCTACGTGTAAACACTCGCTGGCGGAGTCCAGCATCATCCCTCGCGCGAACGAGGACGGAACCAACACTCTAAACATCAAGCAAGGCGCGCGCGCAGATATGCCTTGATTTGATGATAAAAGCGACGAATAGCAGCATCTACGTGTAAATGTAATATATAGTATTTAATGTTATTAAAGATCTTCTTCTTGGACAATAATAAAATTTTTTCTCTCTTCCTTTCTTCAAAACCAACGTGTTCTTTTGCGGAAGAGATATACTTTTGAGAGTACCCACCCGCGTTTTCTTCACTCACTCTCTAAATTGACGTATTATTCGTTTATTAGGTATTAGGACGGCATGTACGAGCTCGTGTCAATCTCATCCGGCAGACCGTCGATGCTGACTTCAAATCTCTCGTGCACTTTGCTCAACACGTCGGAATCTTCCGAGCTCGAGACGAAGCTGATCGCCAAACCTTTCGTCCCGAATCGACCGGCTCTGCCAACTCTGTGCAAATACGTATCCGCGTCCCCGGGCATGTCGTAGTTAATCACAATGTTCACGCGCTCGATATCGATACCTCGCGCGACTAAATCTGTGGCCACTAAAATTCTCTTATTCCCGTCTTTAAAACTTTGGTATCTCAACAAGCGTTCCTCTTGCGACATGGCTCTCGAAATCGCGATACTCGGAAAGTTGCACTCCTGCATCAACTTATCCAACGCCGTGCACCTCGCCACACTGCTGACAAAAATAACAACCTGGTTAAACTGCAGCGCGTCCAACAAATCGGTCAACTTTCTATTCTTCTCTTGCTCTTCCAACTTGACGTAATGTTGCACCAAACCGTGCAACGTCAATTTCGTCTCGTCGTCCACGAAAATCTCCATCGGATCGTTCATAAACTTCTTACACACCGGTCTCAATTCTTTACTCAACGTCGCGGTAAACATCATCACTTGCTTATCGTGCGGCGTCAACTTAAAAATCTCTTGCACGTCCGCCCTCATATCCAACTTCTCCAAGCACTTATCGCACTCGTCCAAGATGAAATGCGCGCACTTCTTCAAACTGATCGTCCCTTCTTGCGCCAACACCTTCAACCTCCCCGGCGTCGCCACGATCACGTTCGGCATGTTCGCTTTTAACTCCTCCCTTTGCGTCTTAATATTCACCCCACCGTAAATTACCGCGCATTTCACGTTCGGCATGTGCGCGCTAAACCGAGTCATCTCGTGCGAGATTTGATACGCGAGTTCTCTCGTGTGACAGATAATCACCGCGCCAACCTCCCCAGGTGACGGGTCGAGTTGTTGTAACACCGTAATCACAAATACCGCGGTTTTTCCCATCCCGGATTTTGCTTGGCACAGGACGTCCATCCCGAGAATCGCTTGCGGGATGCACTCGTGTTGTACTAAAATTGAGAAAATTTTGTGAGTTTTTTTGTACCAAAATCCGGCCAATTCGTGTCCAATTCCCCGTCGAATTGTGTCCAATTATGATGTGAATGTCGAACTCTCTTTCGCATCGTTTTCGAGAGAGAGAGAGAGAAAAGAGAGAGTCTAAAGGAAAAGACTACTAATACTAACAACGGACGATCACGTTCTCGAGAATTTCTATGTATAATTACCTTCGGATGGATGTTCGAAACCGCAATCCACGATCGCTCGGAGCAATTCCGGCTTTAAGAGGAAGTCCCGGAATCCGGTGGAATGCATTCCAACGTACCCTTTTTTCTTATTCTTTTCCCCTTTCTTTTCGCCATCTTTTGATGCCGTTAGGGTGGTCGCTTTAGCGACGTCTTCCTCTTCGTAATCGAGCAACTCTTCTTCCTCTTCTTCGGCAGCCATGTTTGTATGTTACTTTTTGAAATGACGCAAATTGGAATTGGACAAATGCTTCAAAATGAGGACATCTTTGTCTCGTATCTCCGGTAATGCTCTCGCAGTTCGAGACCGATTGAAGAGCGCGAAGATACCATCACCAACACCATCAAAACAAGGCGCATTTCTTTGTTGTTGCTGTTGTTACGCCTTTACGACTTTCGCACTGAATAAAGGTGTTGGTTTTTCGTCAAATTCTTCCACGACGACCCATACGAGCGGGGAAAAACAGTTGAAAGCGTTGTGGGCGGGAGCGTACGAAGCTTGGATCGATGTGCCGGAATCGAGAAAAAAAGTTTTGTACATGAAACCAACTTTGAATACTGATACTAATACTAATACGAGGAGGAGTAACAGTGATGATGATGCGTTTCAGTTTCCGACTTGGTTACAGAGGAAACAAGTGTTCGCTTTGACTGGACACAACCCGCGAGGCGTGGAAGTCGATCGAGCGAGAAACGAGCGAGCGAACGAAAAGTTGGAAGAGAAGATAAAGAGGTTAATCACGTCGAGAGGAAGCCAAGGAAAAGACCAGGCGATGTATTGGCCGTCGTTTGGGTTTTCCTCGGAGGATGACTGGAGAGAAGACGGGTACGCGGTGGCGTTTTCGGATGTGGACGCCACCGCGGAGAGCGACGTGGTACGGCTCGCGAAGGAGTTCGAACAAGGCGCGATTTATAAATACAGATGGATTAACGACGAAAAAAGGATGGAGAGGAAGACGGTTGGGGCGTTGATGATGGAAACGGAAGAAACGGTGATCGTGGAGGTGTGCGAGAAACCGGTAGGGGTAAAGCTCGCCGATGTAGCGATATAAATATATCCTTATAGGAGTTGTAAAAACATAAAACTACGAGCGATGAATCATAGCTAACACTTCCTCCGCTTGCCCATCTTCCAACACTTCCTGCTCCGTTTTTATACCTACGACGCCAGAACGGACGCTATCGTCGAGCATTTCCGTGATCCACTTTTTCTTCTTCGTACCGTCTAAACTTTGTCGAGATTTCTCCTTCTCGCTCTCTGAGAGAAACCCTTTACCGAGCATGGCCATGACCATTTCCGTGTGCACGTTGGACTGGACCAGCGAGCGCATGTCGTTATCCATTCGAGTGTATTCGCGAATGCGGATTCTTGAATCGGCGGCGGCGTCGACGGCGCGGAAGACGTGGTCGTGGCGTTCGTGAAGTTTTTCCAGGTCGCGGAGAGGTTCGATGTCCAGTGTCAAAGTTCTACCGGGAGGTTCGTGGAATCGTCTCAGCGTCGCTAATTGCGCGGCAACCTCGCTGGCACCAGCAGCTCTCGTGGCATCTTCTAAATCTCTGGCGGTTACTCGAGCGTGGACGGTGGTCGTTGATCCGCCAGCCGCGACAGACGCGGCGACTTCCGGGTCGTGTTCAAGCATTTTTTGTAAATGTACGAGCGTTTTGTGAATTTCCTCCGAGGAAGCGCAGACAGAGAGCACGTTCGCGACGTGTTTTTCGTACTCGGCCGCTAAAACGGAAGCCGCGATCCTTTTCACGGAATTGTTCAATCGAGCGCCGGATTCGGAGTGCCAATTTTTTTTCGGTCGTTCGTCCAAGGACAAATCGCTCAAAGTCAAATGCGCAGCTAAGGCGCCTCTCTCTTCGTGATCTTCCTCAGCGCCTTCCTCGATTTCGTCCATAGAGAAGTGCTTCTTCGGTTTCGGACTCTTCCTGGCGCGTTTCTCGAGAAGCGCTAAATTTTCAGCCGTGAGTAAACCGGCGTTGAACTTCTTACCAGAAATTGTCGAGTGCCTCCCTAAATTTTCGCCGCTACTTCTCTCAAAACTGCTTCGTCCGGAACTTTGTCCACCAATGCTGCTGCTACTGTTACTGTTGCTATTATCTTCTCCTGTGAAATCATGGTCGATCGTCTTTATATTTTTTCCAACGTCTCCGGTTAATTTTTTCGGGATTTTCAGTTTTTGCGATTGCATCGGACGATGTTTAATACCGGCGACAGACTTTGACCGTTCTAACGTTGACCAGGAGAAACGCAACCAATCGTCCGCGACGCCCAACACTTCTCCACAAGACGGTCGTTCGCTCGCGTTGACCGTGAGTAACGCTCGGATCAACTTCACGAAGTGCCTTGGCGTAGAGTCGTCCAATCTTGGGAAGATGCCGCGAAGCATGTCGTGCCAGACTTGCGCTATCGCCGGTCCGTCTGGAAAGCCAGAGAGTAACGTTAATAACACCACACCGACGCTCCAGCAATCCGTTTTCTTCGCGTACGGCATGTCGCTGCACATTTCCGGGGAGGCGAAAAATTTTGTTCCGTGCATCCCTTTCAACGTTTCTCCGGCGGAGCAAAATATCGCTGAGCCAAAATCGATCAATTTCAAATGCGGGACGCTGTTCGGTTCTCTCGTCCACACATCTTTACACATGATATTGTCTGGTTTAATATCGCGGTGACACACACCCAATGAGTGCATGAACGATACCGCACCCAGCATTTGCGCTGCTATTGCGCGCCAATCATTCTCGTCGAACCATCTGCGTCGCGCAATCGCGTCGAATAAGGAAGATCCGCCGCAAATTTCCGTGACGATATAACAGATCCCGTGATCGCTCGATTTGTCTTGGTATACGCCGTGTAAGATGGGTAAATTTGGATGTTTCCCACTGACAATTCGCAAGGTATCGATTTCGTTCATGATTTGTTTTCTCGATTCGAAGGTTTTGAGCACCGATTTTACCGCGCACACATCACCGGTTTCTCTTCGCACGGCAATTCGAACGGAACCAAACGCGCCTCTTCCTAACAACGCTCCGATTTGGTACTCGTCAAAAACCAGCCTTTGTTGTCGAGTACCGCGAAAGCCGTATACGGTAATATCATCCGCAACGTCGTCGATGAAGAAATCATCCTCTTGAAGAACGTAATCGTCTTCGCCGATGACTCGATCAAAGGAGACGTCTGTCTTGCCTTTGCCGTCGGAGGCGTTCTGATTCGCTTGTTTCTGCTCGTCCATAATTAACTGCATCAATTCCTTTTTCGTTTTCTTTTTTCTCGCGACGCTAACTTGCAATCTATCCTTAATCTCCGTGGCTTTAAACAATTTCACGTACTCCTCCGGGGGCGGTATATCCGCGATCAACAACGTAATATCGTCGTGTCTTCCTCGCAACTCCAATACCTTTTCTATAATCTTGTCCGCGCACTCCTTGGAGCTACTCAAGGTTGCGCAAATCTCGCTAATGTCGCCGTCTGAAATGGCCGCAAACACACCGTCGCTGGCGACGAATAATCGAGCGCCCGTTTTTGGTACTTTTACCCTCGTCACTTCCGGTTCGCAAGTAATCCCGGGAACGGCGAAATCGCCGACCGCTCGGGACACCGCGAAACCTCCAGGGTACGCTCTCAGAGGACCAATCTCGCTTCCATCCGCTCTTTGCATTCTCCCGAGTCTGCATCCGGATTGCACTAATCTCACCGCTTCCAAAGGATCGTCGGCGTTGTGCTCTCGCGTCAACCGTTTATGCGCGCGCAAATTCACCTCGCGATCGTCCGGGTCGTGCTCATTCGGATGCGGCAATAAAAGCGCCCCTGAATCTCCACACGACACGCAGACGATATAAAACGTCGCACCGCCCTCTTTGGTATCCAACCCTCTCTGAATGGAAGCACTCGTCACCGTCGTCCCGCCCGTGGGCACTTTCTGTTTCCCTCCGAAACACGTTCCGAAACATCCGCTTTTCACGTGCACGCTTTCGTCCCCTTCTTCCAACCCGTGCTGTTTGAACCCTTTTTCCAGATCCCTCGTCGCTCGAATCAACGCTTTTTCCAAGTCAAAATCAATCTCTTCGCTCAAAACATCCTCTGCGTCTCCAAACGCGTCGGACGGCTCCAAAGAGGAAGTTTCCCTCAAAACGGGCTTACTCCCACCTTTTCTCTTCTTCTCCTTTGCGGTTTCCTCCTTCTCTTTCTCCGTAGCTTTGAGCACACATTCCAACCAGTGCTTCTCCGCGTACTTCGCCGCTAAATTCGTGATGTGTCCGTCGAACACCGCGAACTGTGCGGTCACGTCCCCGATTCTTGGAACTCTCAAAGTCAATTCGTCTTCCTCGGTTTGCGTTTGCGTTTCAGTCGTCGTCGTCGTTTCCTCTCGTCGTCTGCGCAAATCCAAGCAGACTTGGAACCGGTCCTCGTCTTTCAAGCGGACGATGCGAGAGTTGTACGGGAATAATTTCGTATCGTCCTCTTTGATGTTGTTCATCGTCGTCGTCGTCGTCGTTGTCGCGTGTGATGCATTTCAACTATTATTAGGTAAAAATTGTGGCGTTTTAGGATAACGTCCAAAAACTTAAAAGGGCAACAAAGCGAGAAAACGAGAGAAAGCGGAGGAACCTTCACGCGCGACGAACGCACTCTCGAGAGGAATACTACTACTGTTTATTACGCGAACATTATACTATTTGCTACGTTACAGATGCGACGAAATGCATCACTTCTTGACAGTAAACATCCCGCTCATATCCGCGCTCATTTTCTGCATAAGATTTTTCAGATTTGAGTTTGAGCGTTGGCGTAAATCTCTTTCGCCGTCGTTTCCTGAATTTCCCGCCATCGCCGCTCCAGCGACAGATACTTCGTCGAAAGTATCGTCGCCGTCGGTGGTGCCTAGGCGGTCGAACTGTTCGACGAATCGCGCGATGTCTGCTTTGCGCATGCCTCTGGCTTCGCAGATGCGCGTGAATTCGCTTCGGGTGGCTTTCGGGTCCATGGCGCGGAGGGATTCCGCGATGGAGTCTTCCGGGTTGAGGACGCATTTGAGCACGGCGTCGATGCGGGAGAATTCGCGTTCGACGGTTCGGCGGAAAGAGCGCGCGTAATTGGTTGCGTTCGTTGAGGACGACGCAGACGAGGATCCTCCTCCTCCTCCGGAGACGACCAGAGGGATTTCGAGGAGTTGCGATTTGATCGCGTTCGCGTCCAAGAGCGCTTGTTGACAGCCAACCATAGAGAACTTTTTGACGCGAAGTAACGTGGCTCTGAGTTCTCTGGAAACCGATGCGGCGAGCTTTTCGCAGAAGAATCGGAAATGGTTCTCTGACGACGCGTTCGCGCGAACAATCTTAGACGCGTTCAAAAACGTCGTCGCGCACGTTTCGACAAACTTCGAGTGGTCGCCGACGGTTTCAATCGTCCCCCAGTTCACGCGCAAGACCTCAGTAGAAACGCCCGTTTTAAGCGTGACGGAACGAACTAACGTGTTCAAAGTTTTCGCGATGCATGATTGAAACGCGTCTTCGGAAGAGGATCCGTCAATTTTCTCGCGAAAGGACGGGTCCAAAGCGCGTCGAGTCGATTCCGCGAGCGGCAAAATCGTCTCCGCGCAATATTCCGCCGTGTTCACTATGAGAACTAAAACCTTGATTTCGTTCATTTTGACTTGTTCGGAATTGCGAGGGTTGGCGATGGCCGACGCAGCGCGTTCGGCTCTTTCGTTGAGTTTGAACGCGTACGTTTCTAAAACCGCTTGAAACGCGATGAACATATCGAATAACGTTTGACCTCTCGCCAAGTTGGCGCATCGTTTGAACACTTTCTTGATGTTCATGAACATATCGCCGGAGCTGATGAGAATTTTATCGCTCTTATTCGTAGTGCTCGTCGGTCTCGCGTTTGATGACGAAGTACTCTTGGATCCGGAAGGAGCGCCACTGTCTGATGCGCCCGTCCCCGCTTGAGCGCCATCACCTCCGCCTCCTCCGGCTTCGTAATCCGCGGACCCCCACGTCTCGGTTTTCGTCCCTCGTTCGATGCCATCGAGCATTTGTCTCTTTTCTAAATCGACGTAACTTTGCAAGTGTCCCTCAAACGCGCCGGAAATAGCGCCTCTGAACGTGATATTCATGGCCGCCGAGGCGGCGGAATCCATCGGCATCATTCGACCTCGATTGTTTGCGTTTAAATCTCTTTGTTTACGTTCGCGCTCGGCGCGTTCTCGCACGGCTGAGGCGGTTTCACCATCTAAACTCGTTTCTCCTTCCTGTAACGAGACGCCCTTAGCGTTCGTCGCGTCCGACGAGGTCGACGACGAAGACGAAGACCTTTTTTCGCCGTTCCCAAACGTCTCGTCCAATTCCGCTTCAAACTCAAGCGTCCTCCTCAACGCCATCAACAACACCTGCGCGTCGTCCGAGTTCTGTTGCGATAACGCGTTCACATCGTCTACGCTTCCGTTAATAGTATTAATATTATTATTGCCGTATTCAGCGCGCATCATTTCCTTCTTATTATCCAAAGCTTCCGTCACGAACGCTCTGGTCATTTTACACAAACTCGCCGCGAACAATCTCGCTACCGCCCACCGCTCTGGAAACACCCCCCACGCCGTGCTCTTCTCCCTCACCCTCTTCGCGATCCAATTACACCTCCTATCTACACTCTCCACGTTATTCCTCTCGCTCGCAAAACTCGCCGCGTATTCCGCCAATTCTTTACTCGTCAACCTCCCGACGACGTCCTCCCTCACCCTCGGCTCCAACGCGTCCACGACTAAGCACGCGTCCGATAACGTCCGAAACGCGTTCGGATCGTTCATCAAAATCGTCGGTTGCCACAACGTCGCAAAGTCCTCGAACACCGCCGTCTTCAACCCACTCGCGATTTCCTCGTACTTCGCCCTCAACCTTTGAATCTTCGGCACGTCGCCGTACTCCGCGAAGTGTTGCGATAACTGCCCAACCGCTTCTAACAAGTGCGCCGCCTCCCGATAATTCCTCCGATGACACATCGTTTCCAACTGCGACGTCGCCGACACAAACATCGATAATCTCCGTAAAGATGTGATCGCTTTCTGTAATCGTTTCTTACACGCGTCCAGTTTCCCCACGTCTCTCGAAATATCCCTCGACCTTTCGTACGCGCGTTCGCAATCGAGCGAAAGCTGCACCATTTTCACATGCAACTGTTCCGCGGCGTTTTCGGCGAGCGCGACGTCGCTCGCCACGCGTTCACCGGCAATCGATCTGTCCCGGATGGATTTTCGGACGTCTTTATCCATTTGTCGCGACGCGCGTCTCAGCTTTTGTTCGAGCAACGCGAAAGCATCATTCGTGTTCGTACGATTCGATGATGATTTTCCCCCACCGGTGTCGGTGTTCGTGTCGTGTATGTTGGCATCATTGAACTCGTCGTGCGCGGAGAGAGAAGCCCCGCTGCTCTCGCATGAAGAAGAAGGGAAGATGGCGTTGATGAAATCGATCGGGTCGAACGATTCGGACGAGAACGGGTCGCCTCCTCCGTTTTGTCCTCCTCTTTCTCGGTGTTGATGTGATTGCGCGGAAGACATTTTGTGAGGGAAAACGAAACGAAATGTATGTTTACTTTAGCACTAGTATGTATATGGTACTATTTGTCTACTTTAACCATCATGGTGACCGAATCACCTTTCAATAAAACTCTCCCGACGCTCGTCCTTTGTTTCGCACCTCCGACGCGCTTCACCTCCTCGCAATCGTCCAAGACGAGATTCATGTACTCGTCGAAACCGACGATTTGCCCTTCCAGAACGTCTCCGTTCGCGGCGTGTTCGTACAGCCAAATCTGCACTCTGCTTTTCGTTTGCAGGAAACGGAAGATGAGGTTGATCGGCTGCGTCATTATGCGCTGGACTTTTGTCGCCATGATGACTTTATGTGTGTGTGTGTGTGTAAGCGTTTACTCTTCTCGATGTGATTCGATCCGTTCGATTGATTTCCCCGAAAAGCGATGGGACGAGAACGACGCGCTCTTTTCCCGAACGAGTATATCGATTTTATGCGCGCGATCGAGGACAGTAATATAAAACTCTCTCTCTCTTTTTCTCTCTCTCCGTGTTCTTCTCTCGTCGAAAAGAAGCGCGCCGCTCTCTGTGTTTACTAAAAGTAGTCTCCGCGCTCTCGAGAAAAGTGAAGTTTCAAAGCGGCGGCGAGATGTGACGTTTCCTCCAGAACAAAGACGCGCGTACCCGAAACACACATCGCTTTTTGCACGTCATCGAGCGGAAGAGAGACAACGAACAACACCATGGGCGGCAGTCGTAACGGAGGCAAGAAAATATCCACCGGTTTAGGCCTCGCGTTGTCGAAAGCGGCGGAAAGGAAAGCGCACAAATCCTCCGTTCGAGGCCAAGACGGGACGCACATCAACTACTCGAACACGACGAACCAAGACGTGAATAAAACGCGAGAAAGCGAAGGACTCGTGTCCGTGCTCGAGAGAGACGATTTGGAGGAAATGATGGCCATGGCGCAACTCTCGAACCGAGATTTTACCGCGGAAAGAGAAAGGTACGGAGGGCCAGTGGTCGTGAGCACTGGGGGTGGTTCGGAATACGCAAGCAACAGTACCACGAATACTCATCGGATGAGTGTTGGAGGAGATATACTCGGGGACGAGGCGACGAGAGAGGAAGTGGAGCGAGCGAAACTGACGCACGAAAACGCGGCGAGGATTCCTCGACGACCGGCGTGGACGACGGAGACGCCGAGGGACGCGCTCGATCAAAACGAGAAGAACGCGTTTCTCGAGTGGCGAAGAACCTTGGCGGAGATCGAAGAGACGGAAAGAGTGAGATTGACGCCGTTCGAGAAGAATCTGGAGATTTGGAAGCAGTTGTGGAGGACGTGCGAGTTGGCGGATTGCGTGGCGCAGATTGTGGACGCGAGGGATCCGATGTTTTACAGGTGCGAAGATTTGGAGAGGTACGTGAAAGAGTTGAACGAAGGGAAAGAGTGCGTGATGGTTCTGAATAAAGCGGATTTGTTGCACGAGGAGCTGAGATCGGCGTGGGCGGATAAATTCGACGACATGGGGGTGAAATATTTGTTTTGGAGCGCGAAGGCGGCGACGGAGAAGATTGAGCGGGATGCGATTTTGGAGAAGAGGACGAGGGCGTTGGCGAGGTTAGAGGCGGAAGAAAGGGCGAGGCTCAGGGAGTACGAGAACGGCTCGAGCTCCTCCAGCGAGGATGAAAGAGAGGAAGTAGAGAGGGAAGGCGGTGGAGGAGATGTATCGTCGTCGTCGTCGTCGTCCTCGTTGACTGATGAAGGAAAACAAAACGAAGAAGACGCGAGCTCGATTGCGGCGACGGAACAACTCAGACCGCCGTCGGCGATGTCCGGATGGACGCAAGCCACAAAGACGAGTTTGCAATCGCCGACGAAAGCAGCAACAGTACCAGGGAAAGAAATTAATACAATTGCTAGTATTAGTAGTAATAATAAAAACGGCCGCAACGATCCGCGCGCTAGGGTGCTCGATCGCGACGAACTTCTCGCAGAATTGGAGCGGTTAGCGGTGAAATCAGCCAGAGTCACTCGAAACGATCCGACGTTATACGCGGACGAACAACTCGATTTTCCAGAACACCGACGCGATCGCGTCGTCGTCGGTTTCGTTGGATACCCGAACGTCGGGAAATCTTCGACGGTGAACTCGTTAATTGGGACCAAGAAAACGGGAGTATCCGCGACGCCTGGGAAAACGAAGAGATATCAAACGCTCGACCTCGGGCCTCGATTGACGCTCGCCGATGCGCCTGGTTTAGTTTTCCCTTCCTTTGCGTCATCGAGAGCGGATTTGGTGTGCGCAGGTGTGTTACCAGTCGACCGATTAACGGACGTTCGCGTTCCGGTGTCGAAAATTTGCGAACGCATACCGCGTAAATCGTTGGAGGTTGCGTTACACTGCCAGTTACCGAAACCGGCATTACACGAAGACCAAAACAGACAACCAACCGCGGGTGAACTCTTGCGCGCGTTTTGCGCCGCGCGAGGCTGGGCGCTCGTCCACGGTCGACCCGATGATAGTAAAGCCGGTAGATATTTGTTGAAAATGTACGCCGAAGGTCGTCTGTTGCACTGCGAGAAACCGTACGAGTCGTACAGCGGTAAAATGGGCGACGGCATCGGCGCCGGCGCCATCACCGAAGACACCCAAAAGGCGCTCTTAAAGTTGCAGCAACAATCGACGAGTGTCACATCCGAAGTGCAAGATTTAGACGACCTCGACGTTGCTGATTTAGTCGCCGACTTTCACGCGCGATTAAACAACAACGATACGAAAAAAACGTCCCAACGCGTTCGTCCGGAACACAAGTTCCACAAAAAACGCAAAGAGAAGCGACGAATTAAGCACAAGGGAGCGGGTGAAAATAAAGACGTTGGCGGACAAGGTTTTCTGATGGGCAAAAGAGGTGGAATGATGCCGGCGCACTTACAAGCGAACGTGAGAAGTGCGATTGGAGACGAGGAGTAATAATATAATATGTTGTAAAATTACACGCGCTACCACTAGGAGCAAGTGATATCATCAATTGGTATTATAATAAAACTTCTTCAATTGACGATAGACACGCACTCGTCGCTTTCGATTCTTTTCTCCTTGACTATTTTTCTAGCATATTCGGCGACGATTTTCCCCATTCGTTCGTACGAGTTCACGGTGACGCCTCCGACGTGCGGCGTGACGAAGATGTTCGACGCCCGTTTCCCGTTTTCGCCGAGGCTGAGCAAGTCGCCGCCCACATCCACCGGTTCGTCGTAACACACGTCCGTGGCGTAATACAAAACCATGCCATTTTCGCACGCCTCGCGCATGGCTCGTTCATCCACCAACGCGCCGCGGGCGACGTTCACAACTATACCAGGCACTCTCTCCTCTCCAAACTTTAGCGAATCTAAAAATGTTTTATTCACCATCTTTCTATTCTCCGGCGTACACGTGCACGCGATGACGACGATATTATTTCGCCCGCTCGGAAAGTTACCCACTAAATCTACGTCCGAAATATCGCCCTCGTACAAGCCATCTAACAACTCGTTGTCGTCTTCATCATCTTCTTCTCCTTTCCTCTCTCGTTTCCGTCTCAACGCGTAAATCTTACATTGAAACCCAAACTTGAACATCTTCGCTTGCGCCTTGGCGACGCGTCCCCATCCGACGAACAAAACAGTCGCCCCGAACAACGACTCCCCCATCGGTGATCCCAACACTTTATTTTCGACGGATATTTGACACTCGTTTACTTTTTTTAACGCCGCGAGTGTTAAAAAAACCCCCATCTCCGCCGTGCTCGTTGCGTTCGGGTTCGAGTCCGAGCGAATTCGTCCGACTTTTATGCCTGCTTTTGTGGCCAAATCGATGGCCACTCCTTCTAAGCCGACGCCGAATTGTAGTATCAGTTTACACTTTGACAACTTTTTCCCACGATCACCAGAACCATTACCAGCAGCAGAATTGATAACTGTTTCGTCGAATCTGGTCATCAGTGGCACCAACACGTCGTACTCCTGAATCATATCTTTCACTCTTTCCCGGGGGCAGTTTTGGACTTTTACCGTTACACCATCGGATGATGATGATGATGACGATGACGATGCTTCTGTATAGCGTTTCGTGGCTTCGAATCCACCGATGAATTCTTCGCCGCAGAATAACACTCGAACGATGATGTTATTCTCACTGGTATTCGTTTCATCGTTGTCCTCGTCGTCGTTGTCATCCGTTGTCTTCATTCCATTCCGTTGGGGAAATCTCTGGGGGATTCTTCATTCATTGGTGGGGTAATAACTGCGCACAAATTCACCATTAACACGCGTACCCCGTGTTCTACCACCTGGTTCGAGAAAGGGAAGCGTGAAGACGATAGTATCATAAAAAAATGGAGAAAATAATCGCTTTCTTCAAACCTCCAGACCCGAAACAACTCGCCAAACAGTGGCAATCGAACATCCGGAAAGAACAGAGACGAATAGACGCAAACATTAACGAGATCAAACGAGAGTGCATGAAAACCACTCGAGAGATTAAAACGTGCCTGAAAAGACAGGATATAAACTCTGCGCGAGTTTTAGCGAAAGAAATCGCGAAAGCGAGGAAAACGATGGAGAGTTTATACGAAACAAAGGCGAACTATAATTCGATTTCCATGCGTCTAGGGGAGTCCGTGGGGAGGTTGGCGCAGGCGGGGAGCGTAAAAACATCAGCAGAGATATTAAAGTCGATGAACGCCATCGCGAACGTCGGTCAAGCGACCAAAGACGTCGTCGCTATGAGCAAAGAGATGTTTAAATTAGGCGTCATCGAGGACGTTCTCGAGGACGCGTTCGCCGGGATGGCTTCGACGGACGACGAGGAAGAGGAAACGGAGAGAGCGGTGGATGTGATTTTGAAAGAGTTTGCCGGCGAGGTCGCGGGTGCAATGCCGGAGAAAGTCGTCGAACATGAACAACCAAAGACTACTGAGGCGGTCGTCGTCCCATCGGTTTCCAAAGAAGAAGATGAAAGACGGCCGGTCGTCGTCGACGTGCAAAGTCGACTCGACGCCCTTCGAGAGTAGCGATATCGTCGTCTCGAGTATCGCTCGTCGAGTTTCGACTAAAATAGATCGAACTTCCATCGTGAACGAGTGCTCGCCTGGATACGAAAATCGAATATCTCGGTAATTGGTAGTGCATCAACTGCAGGAAGCATCAAATAATGCGACATCAAGTGCGCATTGTAAAGTGTATCATATAAAACGTAGAAAACATCATTTTGCCTCAAAACGCTGACGCATTGACCCAAAAATCAAAATCATGTTTTGCCATCAAACAACAACACCATTCGCGAATAATCCTCGAAGAAGAGAGGTCGCGTCTACTTCGTCAAAGCACGCTTCGTCGTCTACTTCGTCTTCGTTTGGATGTTACCGAAAGCAGCAGCAGCGCTTCTGTTCTTTGTCTTCTTTAAGACGAATTTCCAATTCGAAATTCTCGTTAGGGAAACGACGACGCTTTCAAAGTTGCGCCAAGAACAACATCATCTCTTCGACCACGGCATCGATGAAGGAGGAGGAAAACGAGGAGAATATGGAAGAAGGAGGAAATTTGAACGTGGATGCGGTCGTGTTTGAATCCGTCGTCGACACTGGCGGTGGTGGAAGTGGTTCTGGTTCTGTTGGTGGAGGGAAAAGCAACTCCAACACCAAGACCAACAACTTTTCAGCGAGCGGGATTTTTGATTCTTTGCTGAAGTCGTACGACGAATTCGACGCGTCCGAGCAACTGGAAAGGATGAAAAGAAACGCGAAACAATCGGATCGAGTGGCGAAAGCGATGCAGTATAAAGCAGGGAAAGCGGCGAGGAGTTTACGGGTGAAAGTGAATAATAGTAATAACGGGAAGGGCACCGCGGGCGTTTTGACGACGAGTTCATCGAATAATCCGGCGGCATTATTGGGAAGGAAAAATGCGTCGTCGGAGAAGAAGAGAGAGAAAAATAAGGTTCCCGTGGCGTATCCAGACGCGACGAAACCGACGATATATAAACTCACCGACGCGGAACGCGCGGCTATGGGTGCACTCGACGCGGACGAGATGCATTTCGTGCCGATACCAAACGAAAATTGGTCCGTCTCTTTACTCCGGTATCTTCCGAAAAGGTCGAGCGCGAACGTGGATTACTCGAAGCCGCCGGTTATATTCATTCCAGGATGCGCGTCGAACGCGCACACGTTCGATGTTGATGCGAGCGATGGTTTTTCCATGCCAAGATTATGCGCGGAAAAACTACGCAGAGAAGTTTGGATTTGCGAATCTCGAGGGGTTGGTCACGCGAGGAACCACGAGACGCCGCTGGAGAGTTACACGAAGCTCGTGATGGAGGAAGACGTCGAGGACGAGGAGCAATACGACGAATCGAACAAAAAGAAATCGCAAACGAAGAAGAAAATTATTGTTTCGGTGCCGAAAATCAAGCCAACCGTATACGGCGGATGGGACTTCGATACGTACGTTTTGGACGATTTGCCGACGGCGTTTACGTATATACGAAACTTAATGGTCAACGAAGGCCGGGCACAAAGGGATACATTTGAGTACGATTTAATCGGTCACTCGATGGGCGGTATGCTCGCGTGCGCTATAGCGGCCAGAAGTCAACACGAACACCCAGGGTGGTCGATTCGGAAAGTCATCGCTTTAGCGTCGTCGTTGGAGTGCTCTTCGACTAACGCGCAGACGGTACCGTCCATTTACGCTCGATTCGCGGCATTAGCCGGGCATTTACCGAGAGGTTTAACCGGAGGCGCATCCGCGATACCAAAAATACACTTACCGTTACAGCCGGTTTCAGTCGGCACCGCGGAACTGTTCACTCGAGTCTTGGGCCCGCCGGACGAGAAAAGGCAAGAAGACGTTTCGAATCCAGCCTCGGCGTTCTGGAACAACTCCGTCTCTGCGACGACGTGTTACCCGGGCGCCACGAGTGCAAAATTTCTCCGAAAACTCCTCGTGTACGGATTCGATAACGTCCCGTTAAGTCTACTTCTTCAAATGTGCACCTTATTCACTCCGGGCGGCATGCGCTCGCGCGAAGGCTTGCGAAACTTCTTCACGGAATCCAAACGCCCGTCCGAAATCACCATCTTTGGCGAAAACAAATTCAAAGAAGACCCAATGGAAATGCAAAAACCCGTCATCAACTACGTCGACGCGTTCGCCAACAGCAACGTCCCCATGCTTTGCATCGCCGCCGATTACGACCCAATCTTTCCTCCCGAACAAGTCAAAGCCTTCGCGAAAAGAGTCAACGCTCGATACGAGTGCGTCGGCGACGGGTCCATTTTCGAAAACGACGACGACAAAGAAAAAGGCGAAAACATCATCGACAAAGAAGAAGAGCAAAAACAGCGCGACCTCCTAAACTCTGGCCGCGTAAAAAGTGATGATATGCCCGAAATGAGAGACGCCAACGGAGACGCGGTTCCGAGCCACATGAGTCACTACGACGTTCTCTGCGGTAAGCGTGCGCCGGTGTTGGTGTACCCGAAAATCCTCGCCTTTCTCGAAGAATAAAAGAACAAGAATACGAAGAACACGGAGAAAAAGCATAATAGCACGTAGGTAGATAGATAGGGAGAGAGAGAAAGAGAGAAAGAGAGAGAGAGATGCGAGATGTTGTAAAAATGTTCGTTTTTTTTCTCCTCTGTCACAACACCAAAAAGCTCCACAAATTCTCCCCTATAAGACACACAACAACTCACACCAAGAACAACAACAACGACAACAGTTTCTTCCGTTTCAACAGGCGACGTTCACGGAACACTCAGAAGCCGACTGACTCCGTAGTATTTACGTCGTTTTTTTCCTCTCTGGTCTCTCTCTCTCGCGCACAACAACATCATCAAATTCATCAACTCAAGGGAAAGACATCTCCTCGCTTCGAGCGGATAAAGAAGAAGAACTAAAGAAGAAGAAGATAAAGAATGGAGGGAGAGGACAAAATTAAAAAAGAACAACACTCGAACGATTTGCGCCGTCGAGCGAGATTGGCGGTGATGAACAGCAAGCGCGTGTTGCTGTCGTCGACGAATGATGATTTCGACGAGAACGAAGAGGAGGACAGTCCCACGAGGAAGGTTTCGGAGGAGGAGGATGTCACGGTGGTGGTCGATTTTATCGGGGACGGGTTACGCGGCGCTCGAAAATGGCTCGGCGCGGCGACGGTTATTGATAAAGAGACGAAAGAGACGACGTTTTACGGCGTTCCGAGCCACGCGAGAAGAGTGTTGAAGGTTGTCGCGAAAACGGGTTTGGTGTCTGTCGTCGGCCCGGATTTAGGCGATCGGAAGTTTAAGTATTTGAGAGGGGTGACGAGCGTGGACGAGGAGAGCGAGGAACCGACGATATTTGCGCTTCCCGCGTGGGGGGATAACGTGTTGAGATCGGATTTTAATCGAGAGGAGGAGAACGAGGTACCGGAGATTGCGAATTGGATGGAGGAGTTGTATTTACGCGACGCGAACGATCGGACGAAATGGGAGGAGAAGTGGATGTGGCACGGCGGGCAAATTGCAAAGACAAAAGATGGAAACTTGTACGCGATTCCGTGTAACGCGAAAGCCGTATTGCGGGTGGACGTGAAACAAGCGAGAAACGGGAAAAACGCGACGGAGAAAGCAAAGGCGATTAGTATGGTTGGCGAGGATGTTATTTCGAAGATGTCGGGCGCGCAGAACAACAAATTTTACGGCGGCATCACCGGATCGGACGGGAATATTTACGGCGTCCCGTATTGCGCGGATAAAGTGTTGAAAGTTATTCCAGACGAAAGAAACCCACGCGTGGAACTGCTCGACGGCGAAGGAGCACTTCACGAGATTGCGAAAGGGAAAGACTATAAATGGCACGGCGGCACGTATTGCCCGATTGACGAATGCATTTACGGGTTCCCGTCGCATGCGGATAAAATCTTACGAATCGACTGTAAAACAGGTAAAGTGACGCAAATTGGTGGTAACTTTCCGCAAGACATGAACGAAGGGCGGTATAAATGGGGTGGTGGGGCCGTCGATAGAGAAGGTCGCGTGTACGCGATACCTTCGGATTGCGCGTGCGTTTTGAGGATCGATCCGAGAACGACCGTGAAAGTAAAACATATAATAACAGAAGAGAACAACAACAATAAGAATAACAACGAGTGCGGCTATGAATCAGAAAGTCAAAAAAGTGCACCTTCGAGCCCAGGTGCGAGTCTGAGCAGTTCGCCGTCTGCGGCGGGTGAAGGTTTTCGCAAAGTAACTTTTGATTTCAACAAAGCGCGAGAGAAATCATACTCCATGGAGCGGAAAAACAGTAGAAAAAAGCAAACTGTGGTCGAAGTCGAGGAACCGCTCGTGGAGTTCCTCGGTCTCGGACTTCCAGGAATGCTTCCCAACCTGCGAAATAAATGGCAAGGAGGCGTCCTCGCCAACGACGGTATGATTTACGGCGTCCCGTGCGACGCGCCGTACGTCCTCCGAATAAACCCGGAAACTGCCGAGTGTTCATTCGTTGGCGGCGATTTAGGCACGATGGAAGATAAATACCAAGGAGGATTCTTAGCGCACGACGGATGCATTTACTGCATCCCCGAAAATGCCGAACACGTGATGCGCATCCACCCTCCAGGATCCACCGCCTCCCCGAAATCTCAATCCTTGAAAGCGCACAACGCCGCCGTCGAAACGCCGATACCGCTCACGAAATCGCAAAGAAAGAAATTCCTCAACCGACGAAACCGAGAAAGAAGTGGCGGTAGTAAACTCCTCAATAGCACCCACGTAGCTCACCATAGCGCAGAGAAGAACAGCAGATCTTCGTGTTGTCGATTGTCGTCGTCAAGCCGCGGTTGTTTTTAGTCAAGTAATTAAGTACTAAGCAGCAAACTGCACAAATTCACACATCATCATCACTTTGCTTCCCCGCAGAACAACAACAAAACAAAGCGTTTGCTGTTGAAAGAAAAGTTTTGTTGTTGTTAGTATTGTACATGCTCCAAAGCAACAGCTCGCGCGCGTTTGCTTCTCTCGCGCTCGTCGTTTGGGCCGCTGGTTTGCATCACAACGTGCAAAGCATTTCCCAATCCGAGGCGTATAAAAACTCGGCGATAGGGCAAAGCGCGAGCAGTTCGGTGTCTTTTTCTTTATTCAGTGGCGGCTCTGAAAGCGCGTCGACGAAACCGTCGAAGTCGTTGTCGTCGTCTGAGGATATTTCGGGCGAAAAGGATTGATTTGAACTGGTTGGAACGCCCCACAAACGCACAGACAAGATGACGGAGTTTGGTGGTGCTGTTGAGAAAATATCTCTCAAACTGCTCGCGAAGCACTGCGTGGACGCGTGCGTTCGAGGATGCAAAGAGATACGCGCGGTCGCGAAACGAAACAAACGCGTGATGGATGATGACGGAAATTTCGCGATGAAAAAGGAAAAGATTAAACACACGTTCAAAGACGAGAACGACGCGAGAAGCGCTTTGACGGAAGCGGACGTGAACGCGCAATCGGTTATCATCGGCGCGTTGAGGAAGAGTTACGGAGAGCGGTTGAACATCGTCGGCGAGGAAGATGGCGACGCGAACGCAAAGCCGAGGGAAGATGAGGAGAAGTTGAGAGACGATTGTTTTGAGTTTTCGAAGATGGAGGAGGTGGAGGACGTTGAAGTCAGAGTCGGCGACTGCGTCGTGTTTGTTGACCCGGTAGACGGGACGCGAGAATTTATAGAAGAACGGTACCAAAATTGTCAGTGTTTGATTGGTATCGCGCATAAAGGACGAGCAGTTGTCGGTGTCGTAGGTATACCGTTTCCAAAAGGGGAAATTACAAAAGATTGCGACGTCGAAGCGTTGGCGGTGGTGTACGGGATGTGTTACGAAAAGGAGGATGAGGGAGGAACGGTGGTGAGAGTTTTGGAGACGTGCAACGAGACGTTGTTAGGGAACGCCGCCGCCGCCGCCACCACCATCGCACTCGCTGAAACGACAAAAACAAAAACAACAAAAACGCCGACGACAAACCAGCAGCAGCAGCAGCAGAAAAAGCAGCGCGTATCGTCCGAAACGACGACGCCGAGTTCGCCGTACATCCTCACTACCGGCGACAGTAAATCGAAAGCGTTACGCGCGGCGGTAGAAGTAGTCGAAGAATGCATACGCGATGACAACGCTTATCCGACCCCACCGGAACGTTTAATCACCGGCGGCGCCGGGAACAAAATCCTCCGCGTTGCGACCGGAATCTCGCCTTCTTCGTCGTCTTCTCAACAAACGCCGCCAACGACGACGACTCCAAACGACCCTTCGAAACAAACAAAAAACGCTCCGCCGGACTGCGCGTTGATGCACATGGGCACGTGCGCCTGGGACACCGCCGCTCCCGAAGCAGTACTCCGCGCCTCCGGTGGTACAGTCACCGACCTCTTCGGCTCTCGACTCGTCTACGACTGCTCGAACAAAAACGAAGCGTACGTCAACGCGCGAGGCGTTCTCGCGTCGAGTAAACGTACGGTCGAGAGTGGTTTACACGATATGTTTTGCCAAAAAATGAGGGAAAGTGAGACGTTGTTGACCTTATTCGGCATCGATGTGTTATAAGAAAGCATCCTCCCTCCTCCTTTTCCTCTTCCTCCTCCTCCTCCTCCTCCTCCTCCTAAAATAGTAATATGTAATAAGCGAGTAAAAATGAGTCCCTAAACGAAACCCTAAAATCAATGAGGGCTTCTCAAGTCCATTTCCCATCAGAAAACCACGCATCGTCTGCGCCTCTCTCTTCTCTCTCGTGCCTCGCTCTTCTCGATTTGAAAAGCACTTTGTTTCATCTCTCGCATTGTTTGGTGGCGTTTTCTTTATTCATCAGAGACAGACAGATTAGGAGAGAGAGAATACTACAGTAACTCATCAAAGGCTTACAACATTTGTTCGGGAAAGTTTGACTTCTTTTCTCTCTGATAAGAACTTCGAATCAAGTTTCCGCTCCGGAGGAGGAGGACGACGAGAAAGCATCATGACGGACGAGAATAAAGACGGTAAAAGAGGTGAAGAACTCAAATCCGTGGCGAAAGAGTTCACGCACCAAGCCTCCTTAAAACTCGCCGAATTCTCCAACGACGAACGCGTTTCCAAAAATTTCGACCAAACGCTCGACACCGCGAGCGAATATTTACTCGATGAAAGCGCAGAAGCGAAGATCAAGCAAAAAGCGAAAGAGCTGATGGAAACGTCCGATTTAGCCAAAAAGTTGCAACTAAAAAGTCAAGATTTATTCGATAACTCTCTGAGGAAAGAAGAGGACATCGAAACGGCGAAACGAAGAGCGTCGCAAGTTTTAGAGATTGCGGAGAGTTTAGCGGCGAAGAGCGCGTCGACTTCGCAAACGGCGTCGGTGTTTGCCGAGGCGACGGCGAATTTGAAACGGTTAATCGAGACGTCGGAGAATAGGAAAGAGTTGGCGGAAGCGGCGAAGGTTTTAGGGAAAGAAGTTTGGGAGAAGTTAGGGAGTCGAGCGAGCGCGAATTCAAACGTCTCGAGCATGAAGACGACGGTCGATCGGTTAAGCAGCAGAGTGAGAGAGTTGTTGAGAAAGTTGCAAGAGGATAAGAAGAAGAGAGAGGAAGAGGCGGCGATGGCAGCCGTTATGGGGTTAGACGGGTTGAGCAGTCCGAGAGGAGGTACGGGGAGCGACGGAGGGTCGCTGATGAACTCTCCGAGAACACCCGGGGGTGGTTTGAGATCAAACAACGGCGCGAGTTTGGACGAGAAGAGCAACGTCAACTCTAGGTTTAAAACCTTAGGCGAAGAATCGCAATCGATTTGGAGAGACATTCGGGGCGACGAGCAAATTAATAAACTCTTAAAAGAAGAAATCGTGCCTGGCTTTAATAGTTTAATCAGGAACGCGGTGGAGGTGAGCTGCGAGTTGATTTCAAAATTAGAGTTGCCTCGCGTGGACGGGATTTACGACTCGCCGATTGGCTCCGTGTGTTACCACGTGGACAACTTGCACTTCAGCGAGTTTTCCATCGATAAAGGCGCTTTGCGAGTCATCAATCACGTCAACGGCGAGAAGCACAACAGTAATAATAGAAAGCATCATAGAAAACCGCATCACCACGGCCAAGACGAAGACGGACACCACGAGTATTACGATTCCGAGGACGATTCCGAGGACGACGAAGATTTTGAGAATTCGTACGACGACGGTAGCGGATACCATCAATTCAACGAACGAAATAATAGTAGCAATAACAACAACAACACCGGGTTACATTCCACGGTGGAAGTGCGAGGAATCAAAACGAACATGGAAGAGATTGAGTTCGCGTATTGCGAACATCCAAGAGGGTGGGGCGTCATCGACGGCGAAGGTTTGTGCACGGTGAAAGTAGACGGAGCGAGAGTTGGCATTTCTTACGAGATCATCATCAACACGCCGAGATTGGTACAGATTGTTAACCAAGGCGTGGAAATCGTGAAGAATGAAACAACGAGAGACGAGTTGACGGCGAAGTTTCAAGCGAGTTTAGAGGAGAGGAGGAAAGGCGCCGCGGCTGAAGCGGATGAAAATAACTCGGAATTTGCGACGCCGGTTTTGAGTCCGAGCGGAAAGAATCCCCACCAAGATTCGTCTCCGTCGTTTCAAGAAGCCGGAGGTGGCGGGAACAAGAACAACAATTTCGATTTATCCACCGTGGACGATGCGTTATCGAGCGCGTTAGACCGCGCGTTTGGCGGCGGAGGCGCGTTTGGCGAACCTCCGGAATCTCCGGAAGACACGCCGCCGCAATCTCCGAACGAAAGTTCCTTAGACGCGCGAGAACACCAACAGCACGCGTACTTTCAACCGCGGAAGCCGTCTTTCGACGGCAACATGATTCGAGACAAAAACGAGAATATTACTAGCAAAAGCAAATCCGCAAACGACAACAACAGGTACGAGAAAAATGGAAAGAGTGAACAAATAGATAGGCAAGCGCAGCTGGAGAAAAATCGCAAGTTTGTCGAGGACGTCCTCGGCGCCGAGTTCCTCGGGACCGACCCGGTGCTTACCTTGCGCGTTCACACGACGCACATCGCCGTCGGTAAACTCGACGTCGAAATCGGCGGCACCTCCGCCGCGTGGCTCTACAACATGATCGCGCTCGTCCTCACCGAACAACTCCGCGGACGCATCGAAGAGCGCATCAATAACATCACCGTCCGCCAACTCGCCCGCCTCTCCGGCGCCGTCGCCGCTTACTCCGCCGGCTTAATCCAAGTTGAAGTCATGGGCGACCACTCCGACTCCGAGGACTACGACTCCGACGAGGAAGGTTTGTTCTCCGGCATGACTGGCTCTTTGCGCGAAAACCTCGGCCAATGGAACGAAGACTGGGTCTGCTCGCACTGTCCAGGAGAAGCGAGCGAAAAACTCCAATCAAAACGAAAGTTTGGAAGTAAAACAGATTTGAGACGAAATTCCAGAGGCGAAAGCATGGAGATGTTACCGGACGTCGACGCGGAAGACGCCAAATGGGAAGCGTTTCAAAACAATAACAATTGAAGCTTGAAGAGAGAAATCTGATGATAATGAATAGAGCGCGCGTTGTCACACTCACACACGTAGTAGTATTATTCCAGAATACCGTAATATCAGGAGGAGGAGTACATCGCGCTCGACGCCGCTCGATTTTCCTCCTCCTCCTCCTAAAGGGAAAATCGTCATAAATATCTTTTCTCTCACTTTACGAACACGCTTTGAAACACTTCTACCCTCTGCGCAAAATAAAGAATATATACGAAAAGCAAATGTCCTCCAATACTGGCACGAACAAATTCCCTTCGATCGTCCTCCCTTCGATCGCGCTCGCGTCCACCGCGTGCGCTTTACTCGTCCAAAACCACCACAGAGTTGGACACGTTCCCGCGATTTTTAAGCGCATTTTTGGACGGTTTGGAGAGAAGAAAACAAAGAAGACAAAGGAAAAGGAGACACCTTTTGACGAGAACGAAACGATTAAAACTTCTTCTTCAAACGACGAGAAGGACGACGACGCAAAAGCAGCGAACAAAAGCAGCAGCAGTAAAGAAGTTAAAGAAAAAGTTATTAAAGAAGAAAAAATTGGTTTTCTTTCCCCACAAGAAAAAATGGAGCAAAAAATGGAGCGAAACGAGGAGCGCGTGAGACGCGCGAACGAGAAAGGGTTCGAGATGATCACCATTCGCGCGAGCAGTCGAGAGGACGCGAAGAAAAGAGAACGGGCGAAGACGACGACGAAAGAGTTGTTGTTCGGGAAGAAGAGGATGAAGATGAAGAAAGGCGCGAGCGACGAGAGCGAGGAAGAGGAAGAGGAGGAGGAAGAAGAGGAGGACGTGAGAATAGAGGTTGATATTTCCACGTTTGGGGCGGCGATTGTGGCGCTGAGAGTGCCGAGTAAAGAAAGCGAGGACGTGGAGGATGTCGTTTTAGGTTTTAATTCAGTGGAGGAGTACGCGAAAGTGGACGACCATCCGTACTTTGGCGTCGTCGTAGGGAGAGTCGCGAATAGGATCAAAGATGGGAAATATACCTTAGATGGCGTGGAATATAAGTGCGATCGAAACGATGGGGAGAAACACACGTTACACGGCGGTCTTGAAGGCTTGGACGTGAAACGATGGACGCTGAAAGACGTGTCGGAAAGCCACGTGGAATTGAGCGTGTTGAGCGGAGATTTAGAGCAAAAAGGGTTCCCGGGAAATTGTAAGATTTCCGTCGTGTATCGAGTGCGGATTATTGAGCGCGCGAAAATTCGCGAGAGGAAGAAAATGTCTCTGTTGGAAGCGCCGTCGTGCGAGTTGTACGTGGAAAAGTACGCGTCGCTTACGTGCGAGTTCAAAGCGACGACGGACGCCAAGACGCCGATTTGTTTGGCGCAACACTCGTATTTCAATCTTAGCGGGTGCGATTCGAACGAAGACGTTGGGTATCACTTGGCGGAGTTTCCGAACGTGTCGAAGTACTTAGTTTTAGACGATGAAAATATTCCAACCGGTGAAATCCGCGAATGTCACGAGGCGTTTGATTTCTCCGAGAAAAGGTTAGTCTTTGCGCAGTTGCCGCCTATGCGCACGCCGCTCGGATTCGATCACAATTTTTGCATCGACGGCGACAACTTCTCGAGATCGGTGAATAATCGTCCGAAATCGTACTTTGCGGTGGAAGATTCTAACTATTCGCGACATGCAAGCATTCCATCGACGCGATTTAACGAAAGTTTAACCCATTGCGCGTCGTTCGAAAGTTCTTCGAGCGGACGTACCATGGACGTATACACCGACGCCCCCGGCTTTCAATTTTACACCGGCAACTTTCTCGATGGCACCACGAGAGGTAAAAACAACGTCGCATACGACGCAAACACGGGTTTCTGCGTCGAAACGCAGTGGTGGCCAAACGCAGTCAACGAAAAAGACTTTCCGGATTCAGTGCTGGAGGTTGGTCAAACCTACGTCCACAACACTTGCTACGAGTTTGGTTTGAATAAAGGGATTGGAGCGAGCTTCGTGGCTTCGTATTGATGATGATGATAATAATAATAATAATATTTATGATAGGAATACACTTCTTCTAATCTACACATTTACTCACGCCGCGGCGAAAAATCTCCGAAACCCGTACACGCATATAAACAACCCAACCAAAACAATCACCGGCATGTACTTTTGAATCAACGCCTGCCTGCTCAAATCCTTCGCCTTCTTCGCGTACTTTTTACTCTCCATCGCTAAATTCCCGCTCATATTTTCCACTCGATCCAACCGTTCGCCTTGCTCCAACACGTCGTTAATGTTCCTCGTCATGATCGATTGAATATCGTGCAAATCTTCGTTCAACTTCTCCAAGTTCCTCTGCGTGCGTTGATCGGAGTACAATTTCTTCGTCTTTTGAATAAACGTGTCGAATTTAATAAACGCGTACGGGCGAGCGACGGAATCGACGTTCATGCCGTGTTTGTCCGCGAATTCGCGTTGCAGTTCTATTAAATGCGACAATCAGAGAGAATATACATAAGGTGAGTCATTATGCGTCAAACAAACGTCTCGAATGAAAACGTGATGACATTTCAATCGAATCGAATACGCGCGAAGAACAAAAACGAGTTCTGTTTGCTCTCACCTTCCAAGTACGAATACGCTAATTTCTTCGGGTAATTCCTCTCGCACAAGGTCAAATAGCACACCCCGCTTTCGATCACGTAGTGCATGAAGTACTCTCCGGATTCGTACGACATCCTCGACGGCGGTGCTCCTCCTGCGCCCGACGCGTGCGACGATGAGTTCTGCCCGAGTTTTTTAAACAGCGTTTTCGCTTGTTGTTTGTAGTATTCTAAATCGAGCGAGGCGTCGGTGTCCAATCCTTCCGCGAGAGGGAGGCCGTCCAGGACGCGCGCAATCATCGTCAGTTTCACCATACTGCACACCACGTATTAAAGCTTCAAACGAGACGTGTGAAAAGCAACTTCAAAGCGCGCGGTTTTATCGTAAACACAAGCAGAGAAAGAGAGGAACACACGCGCGCGTGTAAATGAAGCTCTTCTTTTTTGTGTCTCCGAGGCACGTGAAAAACTTTCCCCTCGTGCTCCCCCTTTTTTAAAAAGGCATTTGGTCGTGTCTTACGAGTAGGGGAGTTTGAACGACATCAGGAGCACACCCAGGAGGCGAAACGCGCACGTTTTAACTTTGAGTAAGAATAACACACGCGGGAGCACACACGCGGCGCTGCGTGTTGTTCTCGCGGCGCGACGAGGTGAAGTGCGAGTATTATATGCGTTGTTTCGTGAGTACAAAGACAGATATACTCTATACTGTGTAGTATTTTTTCCTGATCTGTGCTCGTCTTTTTTTCTTTCACTTTTGCCCTAAAACGAAAAGGCGTTGTTCGTTGGTCTTTTTTTATAGGGGAGTTTTGACTTCACTTTTGTCCGAGACAAACACCCACACACTTCTTCTCAAAGAGAATACTACGACGAATAATAATGTCTGGCCACAATCCATTCCTGGTCGAATCAGACGACGACGATGACGATCGAGAGGAAGAAAACCTGTTACGAACGGCTGCCGCGCGCGCGAACGTGATGGGTTTTGGTGGTTCCAACATTTCGTCCTCCTCCCCTGAAATGATGTACGGAGGAGGAGAGGGAGAGGCATCACACCCGATGAAGACTACTTCTTCTTCTACTTCTTCTTCTTCGGTGTTTGCGAATAAGAGCAGTAGGGAGAGCGTGCCGCCGTTACCGTCCGCGCCGAGGATGACGACGAGAAGCAGTGGGAGTAATAGTACGACGACGACGCATACTACGACTACTGGTGGTGGTGGTGGATTTTGGATTTTCAGCTTCAAATACTACCAGAAATACTTCGACGTGGACACCGCGGACGTCCTCAGGAGGATCAAGAAAGGAACGTACGGCGCGTTAGGCGGGGCGTTGTTTTTGGACGACGTGAAGGAGAAACCGGACTTGTACGGGGCGTTTTGGGGGTGCGCGACGCTCGTGTTTGTCGTGGCGATGGGCGGGAACTTTGCGGAGTATTTGGAGAGCATGTCGTCGTCGTCGACGACGAGTAGCAATAGGAAGAGGATGCTGATGATGCGGAAGTTGTTGCAAGAAGAGGAAGAAAACGTTTTGCCGCCGCCGGCGCCGTATTCTCCTCCTCCTGCGACGACTTCGGTGGTGAGCGCGAAAGAGCCGTGGCAATTCGACGTGACGAAAGTCTCGCAGTGCGCGGCGATGACGTACGCGTACGTCTTTCTCTTTCCTCTTTCATTGTATTTAGTAAAAAGATGTTACGCGGGCGTTCGGAGCGCGAGTTACACCGCGTTAGTGTGCTTGTACGGCTATTCTATCATGTCGTACATCCCCGCGTCGATATTGTGCATTTTTCCTGTGGAAACGTTGCGGTGGGTGGCAGTCATGACGGCGTGCGCGGTTTCGAGCGCGAGTTTGTTTCGAAACGTAGACGCGTTGTTAAAGGGTGAATCTGGGAATACGAAAGCGATGGCGATCGCGAAAGGGATGGGCGTCGCCATCGTCGGTGCGAACGTGATTTTCGCCGTCTGCTTGAAGGAGTTGTTCTTTCGGTTTTAAAAAAATGAATAATAGTACTTAATCTTGGAAGGTTGTTCCAAACAACAATTCGCACTCGAGAACCTCGATGTTCCCCGTGCGAGGATTAAACATCACGTCTAAACCAATACAACCCGCGTTGCATATTTTATGCTCGCGAACTTTTTTCAAAGTTTCTTTCGCCGAGCGCGTGTTGCACGCGTCATCCGTCGTCTGTCTCAACAGCTTGCGAATGAAATCGGAGTGCGAGACGACTGAGACGGAGCTATGCGACGAATTCTTCAACTCTTCCCAGAACTCCTTCGTGCGTTCGTTGACTAAAGAAGAAGACGTGTCGCTCTCGTCCCCAGCGGTCCACCATTTATCTCTCACGTCGCGCGAATCCACGTCAAAGTACTCCGCGCACTTGCGTTCGCTAAAGATGTCTACGATCGTTTGCGTTTCGGCTAGGTTGAGCAAGTTCAGTTTCTCGGACGCTCTTTTGAATATTCTCGTTCCTCCGCATTCGATGCCGACGGAATCGAGGCCGCCGACTGATTTAATTTCTCGACACGCTCTCGAGAATCGAAAATTAACTCTCGGCCACATTTGGGCGTCTTCTTCTTCTCTTTCTCGCCTCGTTTGAGTTTTTACGCTTGGACTTCCACTAATATTCATGCCTTCGATATCAATCAGCGGCGGTAAATCGGAATGTGTCGTCGCTGTTGCAAATGATGACGACGACGACGCCATCTTTACCGCCGCGTTTCTTTTTTGCACGTCCGCGTTCCGTTTGATCGTCGCGGGATGTTTGGCTAATAAAATCATCGCCGTTTGTACCGCTCTGGTCAAAGGCGACACGATTACGTGATAGGTGTTCGCATAGACCTCTTCCCAATCGTCATTGCCCGACGACGACGAAATCGTCGAAATCGTCGGAGTTGGTGGTTTTTTTGCGAGAACAGCCGTTCTCACGCACTGGGCGACGCCGGCTTCCGTCAACGGATGGTCGTACGCCATCATGTTTCGAACGTTCACGTTTCGTTGGGCTTCATTCCACGCGCTCTCTCCGTGCCTGAATAAATAAATGCGTTTTTTCATCGCTGGCACTACATCAAACAACACTCGCACGACCGCTTGACACTTTCTGCTCGCGTTCTTCGTATTCGACAATCCTATTCGAAGCGGTACGATCAAAGTCACGCTTGTTTTACTACCGCTAGGAAAGTTGTCGTCGTCGTCGTCAAATCCACCGTCACCAAAACCACCACCATTTCCTTCTTCTTCTTCTAAACGATCGCAGCACAAACCGCACGTCCCGTACCCGATAACTCTCTGCGTGCACGATTTATCCTTCTCCTTCCCACTCGCACCACCACCCATCATCTTCGACAACCCTCCCGAAAACGTTCCCTCGTTGCTCACGCTCGCCTCGACGACCAACCGGTCGTCCCTCCGCAATCCTACGCGACAGAGCAAATCCCTCGTTTCGCCTCCCCACTCGATCGCGTTGTTGGTGTTGTTATTCACCGTCGTCGCATCTTTCTTTCTATTACTACTACTACTACTCTCGATGTTCGTGTTGCTGTTTTCCGCTCGCTTCCTGGAGCTAAACATGCACCGTTTCCCTTTCAAATTCCCGAACCTGTCGGACACTCTCGCCGTGACGAGTACTTTCTCGTTATGCGCGCAATCCAAATTTTCGATCCGTTCCAAGCTGATGACGAGGTGGTTGTTGTCGGACCCCGAGGAACGCCTCTCTCGTTGCCGTCGCATCTCCTCGTCTGAATCGTTCTTCTTTTCATCATCTCTCAAAGTCGTTCCCGCGAAGACTCCTAAGCGCGTCGTTGATGTCGTTGATGTTTCCATTCTCGCCGCCGTCGTCGTCAAAAACGGATCGAAAGCTTTACTCTGCCGCTCTTGTTGCCGCGCGGGGACAAATGCTTCCTCCTCCTTTCCCGTCATCATCGTCAAAGCGTGAATATCATCCAGAGAGAGATGTGTTAAAAGTGAGGGGAAACTTGCTTCATTTCCCCTAAAACATTTGACCACATGCGGTGAATATATATCAATGTCGTCCGTGTCGTTCGAGCGATGGTTGCTCGACCAAAACGTCATTTACGATGCGACTGCCATCAAATTCGTCGTTTCGAATGCGACTACTCCTAACGCGACGACGAAAGTCCTCGGGAAAAGACGGATACATCACCGGGAAAAAATCGTAATTCGAATCCCTTTCCAAGCGTGTTTCACCTTTGAAACGTCTTTGCTTTTCGCGAGGATGAATGAAAAAGCGAGCAAAAGAAGATGGAAAAAGCGCCTGGAACGTGTCTTGAAGAAGCGTACTAAACAATCGTCGATAGTTTTGGATTGGTTGAGCGCGTTGGCGTTGGCGCTGTGCTTTGAACGGTTTTGCATTTCTCAAAGCGAGAGGAAACAGTTACAACAACAACAACAACAACAACGCGCTTCTTCTCAAAACGCGGAGAAGAAGATAAAGAAGATAAATGAGACGATGAAAAGCAGATTCGAGCCGTATTTGAAAACTTTGAACGAATGCGAACGACACGCGATGTGTAATTGGGAGGAGGGAGAGAAAGAGATGCTCTTGCGAGGCACGGATGTTGGGATGGATTACGTTCGGGATGAAAGGGAAGCGGCGAGGCGCGAGTACGAATCGTTTCGCGCGGCGCTTTTGCCCCGGGACTTTGAAGAAGGGGAAGAAGAAGAAGACGACGACGAAGAGAATAGTTTTGCGGAGTACTTTACGTTGGCGAGATACCGGGGTTCGAGGTCGGTGTGTAGTTCGCGCGCGTTTCAGATTGCTCCCGGATTGGTTGGATTGATGCCGTTGGCGGATTTGTTCAATCACAAGTCGGTAGGGAACGACGTCGCCGTGTGCGAGGGAGACGACGAGACGACGGAGACGGTTGCCGTATCTGTCGTGAAACAAAGTGGCGCGCAAAAAGGAGAGGAATTATTTAATACCTACGGAGTGTTATCAAACACTGATTTATTGAACTCGTATGGTTTTTGCGATAAAAACGCGCTCGACGTTGCGGCGACGGCACCGAGGATTACCGGTTTGAGCGTTCGCCAACGGTTCTTGATGATGGCAAAAACAAGTAATTTACCGGATGCGTTCAGAGAAGACGAGGAAACGCATACCATTGAGGAGACCACTCGCTTATTGCCGCCTGGACGAGAGGATATTCTTCGCTCGGTATTTTTACATCGACTGAAACTGTACCCGAGTCAAAAAGAATTTGAACGCGCTTGCGAGGCGTACTTATTGTCAGGAGGAGGAGATATAAAGAATACCCGAGAAAACGCCGCGTCACTAAAAAGAGAACGCGTGGAACTCGCGCGGATATGCAGACAGTCCGAGATGAACTGTTTAGAACGCGCGATCGAAAAATTGACGTCGAAAGCTGTTTTGGCGCAAGATCGAGAGGATGATGCCATGTTTAGCGTCTTCGCGTAAAAGTATTGTTCTTCTTGTTGTTAGATTTTCTTGTACGATTTATGCGCGTCGCTGCTATATATACACATTTCTTCTCTATCATCTATTCGTGAAACGTTCCTTCGCACTTTCTCAGCGCTTTCGTTATTCCTAATTTTTCGTACTCATGTCTGGTCACCCAAAACTTATCGTTGTCTTTCATAATGTTCGCCAACACCGAGCCGCCGACGAACACGCTATACTTTCTATCCGCCGGCGTTTCCACGTTTACTCGATTCACAAACTTTTCTACGTTCGCGTTCGGGTCGCTTTTCAATATTCGTTCTTTATACAAGTCTATTAAATCCTTCTTTAACCGTTCGCCGAATCCAGGAAACGTGGTCGACCCGCGCTCAAGACGATATTTTCGTACATCGTCATTCGAGAGTCCATATCGCACTCTTGCACGCACTCGAAAACCAACTCGCTCACCCCTACGCTTTCCACGCCCACTAGACTCGGTTCAAACATGATTTCCGGCGCCATGAACCGTTCGCTCTCTACTTTAATCCTCCTCCCGTCGGGCAACTCGTACGACTCGGCGCACGCCGTCGTCTCCCTCGCCAAACGCAACCATCTTTTCCTCTCCTTCGCGACAAAACACACGCTCTCTTTCATCTCCCGAATCGAATCCACGTCGTTCGTGCGTCCAACCGCGTATCCTCTTCTCCCTAAAAGCTCTATTAACCTCTCCGTTACCGTCCGGCCGGCGATGTCCAACCGTTTCGTCGCTTGTCTCTTCGTAAATCCGTCGATAACCGGAACGACGTGCGACACCCCATCTCCGCTATCGAGCACTAACCCGGTCATTAACCCTTGCGAGTACAACGTCAGCACCGCTTGCACGTGCACGAACACGCCTTTAAACCCGAAATGTGTAAACATAATCTCCACCATTTTCTCTCGATTTTTTATCGGATTTTGAGGCGCCTCGGTGAGCAAAATCGTTCGCTCGCCAATCTCCTCTCGCGTCAACTTCAACTCGTCGTAAATCGCGTGCTCCCAAACTAAAATCATATCTTGCCAAGAAGTGACGATGCCGTTTTTTATCGGGTACGACACCTCGTAATTTTGGCGGTTGTCGATGCACTCTTGACCGACGACCGTGAGGCTGCTGTTTTGGGAAGAATTATCAAGCGCTTCCTCGAACCGGACGACTCTTCTCCCGACGCAGGATGGGAACACGATCGGAGGTGATTCCTCCGCAGATGCGAATCCGCACTTGACGTACCCGGTGCCGTTGTCTAGGACAACCGGAGGTGGGGAATTGTCCTCGTTGGACATGTTTCTCGTGCAAATTAAGTGTGTGTTTGAATTGTGGTGAATTTAGGGAGAAGGACGAATGGTATGTTTAACGCGTCGTAACAATGTCATTTTATCATCACACGCGTTTTAAAACTGTATAGTATATATTAACTCTTGTTCTTTTCTTTCTTTCTTTCTCTCTCTCTCTTTCTCTCGTGATTACTGTTTTTAAATAATCATACGCCGCCGGCTTCCGACGATTCGTCTTTATTCTCATCTTCGCTACTACTCCCGCCGGACCCGCCTCCTTTCGCTTTGTCAAAGCCGCTCATTTTTTCGAGGACGGAGACGTCTGAACTCTCCGACAAGGAATCGACTCTTAATCTCGCGTAATCCTCGTCCGTGGCTCCGAACAACTCTTTCAACTTTTGACCGGTTTCCGCGGCAACCTCTTGGTCCTCCACCAACGCCGGCAAATCGGCTAAATAACACAACTTTGAAAACATCTGCGCGGCGATCATTTTACGCTCCGCGCCGCTCTTGGTCAGCTCCGAGACGTCTAAAATCAACGTCCCGTACTTTTTCACCATTCTCGCCGCGCTTTCGGACAGGATCTCGGACATTTGTTTCGGCGTTAACTCGCACGCGTTCTTCAGCGCTAAAATGTCCTCGACAAACGCTCCCGTGAACGGTTCTTCGACCATTTTATACCTCAGATATTTCCTAAACACCTCCTGCGTGGTAAACCCAGTGGAGCGGGCGATTCCTTTCGCGACGTTTCGGGTCATCGATTCTCGCTCGTTCGGAAAGAACGGTTTCAAACGTTCAATCACGAGTACGTTTTTGTTCACCGTCTTCTTCCTCACCGCCCTTCGCGACGTGGATCTTCGGTAGACTTTATATATGCTCCACCCTAACGTCCCGGCGAGAAAGACGCCAACCACGTAGGATAAGTTGCGAATGCCTTCGTTCTCGTAGGCTTTTTGGATGGATTTCGTCACCGTTTGTTGGACGCCTTTCTTTTCTTTAGTGCTGCTCCTTTTTGTCGGCGCCAGATCGGATGCATCTAAATCCTCCTCTTCTTCTCCTTCAGAAGAACCTTCAGTCGCTATTATTTCGTTTCCATCTTCGTCCACCTCGACTTCCTCGTACTCAAACTCCTCCTCGTCTTCCTCCTCCTCTTCGTCTCCCGGCATCTTCTTCTGTTTTTTCCCTTCTTTTCCTTTCGACGATGATGATTCATCAACGTTCGTTTTTTTCCCGCGAACTTTTGCGCTCGCGTTTCCTCGACCAAAACCTTTCACAAACGACTTCTCGCCGTTTTTTACCGTCCCAATGAAAACCCCGTTGTCTCTTTTCCCTCCTCCGCGTGAGAACGACGAGGCGCAAAAGGAGGCGCCTTTCGCACCGTTCGTAAAGGTAGAACTCGTCGCCATGATGTGTTTGGTCTGATTTTTCTGTCGAACTCTTTTCCCTTTTTGAGAGGGTCTCTCTCTAAACCCTAGATACCCTAAACTCTTTTTTTCTCTCGCCTTTTCTCTTCTTTCTTGAATTCGTCAAATTCAATCCTCTTTTGAGGAGCAGGAGAGAGAGTACACACGTCGTTCGTGCATCCGCGAGAGAGAGTCACTTCTGCGAGTGTGAGCGTATTCTTCTTTTTGTTCTTCTTTGTGTTGAAAGAGAGAGAGAGAGAGAGAGAGAGAGAGAAAGCACAAAGTCAAAACATCATCAACATCGATTCAATTCTGAATCAGAGCTTTCCCGGGAAAGAAGAAGAAGAAGAAAAGAATGTCGTTCGAAGGCCGAGGCGGCTCGAAAGTCGGCTCCGCCGGGTTAGCCTCGGCGTCGCAAACCGCCGTGGACAGACGCGAACGTTTACGCAAACTCGCGCTCGAGACGATCGATTTAAGCAAAGACCCGTATTTCATGCGCAACCATTTAGGTTCGTACGAGTGCAAATTGTGTCTCACCATCCACGGGAACGAAGGGAACTATTTAGCGCACACGCAAGGGAAACGACATCAACAAAACCTGGCGAAACGCGCCGCGCGTGAAGCGCAAGAGACGAAAGTTTTACCGCAACAGAGGAATAAAGTCGTGCCGAGGAAACGGGTGACGACGATAGGAAGACCGGGGTACCGCGTGACGAAACAGTTCGACGCGCGCTCGCGGAAGAGGTCTTTGTTGTTTCAAATCGAATATCCGGAACGCGAGACGAACGCGAAACCGACGCACAGGTTTATGAGCTCGTACGAACAAAAAATAGAACCGTGGGATAAGAAGTATCAATACGTGGTTTTTGCGTGCGATCCGTACGAGACGATCGCGTTTAAGATTCCAAACGTAGAGATTGCGACGAGAGGAGGAGGAGGCGCTTCGAGAGGATTTAGCGGGTGTCAAGCCGCGTGGGAGGAAGGAAGTCAGACGTACGCGTGCCAGGTATTTTTCGAGAACAGCAACAGTAGTAATGCGGGTGGTAATATTGGTGGTGGTGGTACTGCACCAGGTGGAATGATGCCGATGGGCGGTATCCCGCCGCCGCCGCCGATTATGGGCGGGATCGGGATCCCGCCTCCTCCTCCTCCTCCTCCTCCGCGATGAATAATGTTTAGAATTATTATTATATATTACATTTTAGCAATTTAAGTTTCTAGTTGTATCTCTAATCTCTCCCTACTGTATCTCCTCGCAATCATTCATCATCATCATTCCATCCACGAATTCTCCACGACCAACTGTACCCTCTTATTATACTCCCTCACCGAATCTCGAAACAACGTCGCCGCTTCGCTATTCGCCGGCGAGTTCGGATTCGGATCGCACAACAAACTCTGTATCGACGTCAACACCGCGGCGACGTCGTATATCGGCGACCACTGATTCTGTAAAATATCCAAACATATCGACCCGTCCGCGTAAATGTTCGGATGGAACATCTTCGTCACGAACTTCACCGTCGGCGCTTTGTTCGGATACTCCTCGGTAAACTGTAACGTCAGTTTAAACGTCCCGCCTTCCCAGGGCGTATCCTCTGGGCCGAACATTACCGCGTGCCAGAGCATGATGTTCGATTCCGTCGGGGCGCCGGAAATTCCAGTCGGTGGGTCCGATTGCAGGCGTTTGAAGTCACGGACGAGGCGTTTCCGAGCCGGGGTTGACATTTTTTAATGAGATTTGATTTCGGTGATGTGTCTTGAACCCGTTCTGGGTGTAAAACTACTCCACGTGAAATCTATTCGTCGTAAACTTGTGTTTACTGACGGACAAAAGAGTAACTCTTCGAGCGCGCGAGAAGAACACCTCTCAGAGAGCGAAGAATAGTATATATCCTCGAGAGTATATCAATCGAAGAATATATGTAACCGACGGACAGAGGACAGAGCAGAGCGGAGAAAGTCAAGCGCTTCGTGTGCGGAAAAAGAAAAGCCTCTCCTTTCCACGAGAAGAATTAGGGTTGTACACCCTAAATGTTAACGAAAGGGAGAGCGCTGAAGGGAAAAAAATTCAAAAAGGACATACAAATTACATGCGCTTGAGTCGCATCGAAAGCTTTGGAAAAGGGTGTTGTTCTCGCGACTCCTTGTACTCTCGCGCCTCCTCGTTCTCTTTGCCCGCTGCTGCTGCTTCTCGTTTTTTTTTGCGTCCGACGATTCAGACGACGACGGTTTGTCTTCTTCTTCTTCCTCCTCATCATCGTCATCATCAACAAAATCGATTCGCGAAAGGAGAAAAGATTTCGATATCGTCCGAGACGAAGAAGTTAAAGAGCCGACGAGGAACGAAAGAAACAAAAGTTTTGGGAGCACAAAGAGTACCAACGACGATGAAAGGTGATGGTAATCGCGAGAATGAGGACGACGCCAACAGGTTTGAGTCGTCGGCGGTTACATTTCGGGAAAATCTGTTGCGTTGGTACGACGCCGAAAAGCGAAGTTTACCTTGGAGAAAACGAGGACAAAGCGACGCGTCAAAGTTTGAACATTTTGGTGGTGATAAAGAAGAAGAAGAAGAACTAGAAGAAGACGCGACGAAAGCGTTTGAGCGATGGCAACGATTAGCATCGTCACCATCATCGTCATCATCTCGTGAAAAGGAAACGTCGTCCTCCGCGCCGACGCCGACGGGTGGGAGTCATACTAATAACAACGGTAGTAGTATCAACAAAAGTAGTGCTGCTGATGATGATTATTGGAGAGAAAAAAGAGTGATGTCGGACGACCAGTACGCGTACGGGGTGTGGGTGTCGGAAATCATGTCGCAACAGACGCAAATCGAACGCGTGGCGGAGTACTGGTCGCGGTGGGTGAAGAAGTGGCCGACGGTGAGGCATTTAGCGAACGCTTCGGAAGAGGAGGTTCGAGAGATGTGGGCCGGGCTAGGGTATTACAGGAGGAGCCAGTTTTTGTTGAAAGGGGCGAAGTATGTCAGCGAAGAATTGAAAGGGAGATTCCCGAGAGATATTATTGGTTTGTTGAAAATCCCGGGGATTGGACCGTACACGGCGAGCGCGGTGGGATCGATCGCGTTTGGGATACGCGAAGCTGCGATTGATGGGAACGTGAACAGAGTTTTGACGCGAGTGAGACGGATACGAGGGGATCCTGTGAAGGAGAAAAAGACTGTGGATGCGATAAAACGCGTCGCCTGGGAGTTGATTGGGAAAGAAGAAGAAAAAGAAGAAGAAGATGACGATGAAAAGAAGGAGGACGCAAAGAGCAAAAATCGACCGGGAGATTTCAATCAAGCGATGATGGAGTTAGGCGCGACGGTGTGTAAACCGAAAAACCCCTCGTGTAAAGCGTGTCCAATCTCTGCGTTTTGTGAAGGGTATCAACACGAATTACTTTCCGATGGGCAAGAGCCAGTCACGGCGTATCCGGAAATCGCCAAGAAAGCGGAAAAGCGCCAAGAGGCGATCGCGGTCGCGGTAGTGAGTTGCACCTTCGAGAACACGAAATGGTTTTATTTAACGAAAAGACCAGAAAATGGATTATTAGCGGACATGTGGGAGTTTCCATCCGTATTCATGCGCGAAGGCGAACTGGCGATGCGTTCTGTTCCGAGTGATGCGGACGTCTGCGACGCGCAAAAATTCTTTCGCGAATCGGACGCGCGAGGCGTCTCGGAGTTGTTCGCTTCGGTCGCGTCTCCTCCATGCGATACTAATAACGAAGGAGAAGAGAAGAGCGAAGTTAAAAAAACGGAAAAGAGGAAGCAAACTGACCGTCGTCAAGACTCCCTGACGTTCAAACACGAACCTGGGGTTGTCACGCACGTATTTTCGCACGTGAAGCATTTTATGCACGTCTTCACCTTAGATCTGGGCACCGTGGACGCCTTACCTCGACGACGAGCGAAGAAAGAAGAAGTAAAAGAAAATGCATCAAACGAACAAAAAGAAACGACGACGAACGGAAGAAGGAACAGCTCGCTTTCCTCGTCTTCCACCTCCTCCTCGTCTTCTTGGTTCCGCAGTTCCGACTTTGAAGACAAAGGCGTCTTCTCCACCGGCGTCCAAAAAGTCTTCGCCTTTGCCGAGAAGCGAGGAAAACACGAATCGAGCGGCGACATTCGAAAGCGCTCTGCGAAATCTCATCCATCACCTCCTTCTCATCCGTTCGACGCAGGTGGTGTCGCTGAAAAAGCGAAAAAAGACACGTTGTTGTTAAAAGACGACGACGCGTTGTTAGGCGTCGAGAACGAGAACGAGACCAAGAAGACCAAGAAGACGACGATGAAGAAGAAGATAAAAATCGAGACGAAAGATATAGAGACGTATTTTACTCGAGCCTCGAATACTCGCAGAAGAGTGTCGCGATAGAGACCAAAACGTTCTTTATTAGGGGTGTGAGAATACAGAGCCTTTACCTTGAAATCGAAAACCCTAAATCTGGAGGGGAATAAAAGGCACCCTCAATTCACTTTAGAATCAGATACAAAACAGACACACTTCTTCGTTGAGCGAACGCTTTTACCACGCGCACCTTTTGCACGCCGAGGGTTCATCCACATCGGGAAACGACAGATAAAAACGAGAGGATTTGTCGAAACAGTTTTAAAGTCGAGGAAAACTTTTGTCGTCCGTCGTCAAAAGCAAAGTTCAATTCAAACACATTCATTTCCATTCAAAACTGTACGGGAAATACCAATTGAAAGCGCACACATTAATTGGAATAATATACAACACGCATAAAAACCAATACTAATGTCGCACCAACACCACCAGCGCATGAGTTTACGCGTCGCGAATAGCAACGTTTCCGCTTCTGTCGTCGACAATACGAACACCACGAACGCTACGAATACGGAGAATAACGAGGAGAATACGAATCAGATGACGTGCGTTATATGCGAGTTTTTTTTTTCTCATTTTGCGCTCGTTTGGAACCCCTTTCTTGGGCTTTCGTTTTGCACTGAAAAATTTCTTTCGCGGGAGTGTAGAAGTGAACATGCGCGATGATGATGACGACGAGGTTCAACACACACACACAACGACAAGGTTTTGTAACACACCACTGACCACTTACGCTCTCTTTATTTTCTCTCTCTCTCTCTCTCTCTTCTCGTGTGAATATATACATACATATAAACAGACCAAACAGAGACGCGAGTCACATCCAGCGCCGGTTGTCTTCGGGATCCGGAATCATCAACTCGGCGATATCCATGCTGAAATCCATCGCCAAGAGCGCGTCTTCGGCGAAGAGAGAAAGGGCGGAGACTATGAGTTCGGAGGAAGATGTGGAAAACAACGAGTTTTTGCAAGGCGAAGATGCGAACGCGAAGAGGGCGAAGAGGAGTTTAGGGACGAATACCGCTTCAACCCCGTTGGTGAACGCGACGAGCGCGAAGAACGACACGACGCCGCCGCCGACGAAAAAGGCGGACGCGGATTCGAGTTTTATCACGAGCTCGTTGAGGAAGAGCAAGAAAAGTAAAAGCGAGAAGGAGGAAAATGGCGGCGGCGGGAGACAGTTGAGATTTGCGGCAGCCGCGAACAACTCGTCGAAACACGCCGCGGTATCGGACGACGACGTGGAGATTGGCGGGAGCGCCAGGGAAGAGGGGGAGGATGACGTGGAAGCGGCGAGAACCAAGACGACGAGACGAAAGACAACGACGACAACGAATATAATGAACGCAGCGACAGCTGCCGAACAAGGAGGAGGAATGATAAGAAGAGGAAGGAAACGGTTCATGGATTCCATTTTCTCGCCGATGTTTTCGTTTCTTTCCGGGACAGAAGTCGCCGAAAAGAAGGGCGTCGCCGCCATCGCCGTCGCGGAAGAGGAGGAGGATGGCGCCGCCAAGAGTACTCGAACTGCTTCGAGGCTTGGGTCGAAAAAATACGCCAGACTTCGCGCGTTGACGCCACCAAAGCACGACAAAGGTCTCGACGACGTTCGTGAAGACGAGGATGATGAGGACGAGGACGATGCGCCGTCAACCTCTTTTGGCGCCGGAAGAAAACGAAGCCGCGCGGAGTTGGATGCCATTCTCAGCGGATTCACCGTCGATACTGACGATGACGAGGCTGAATTTCTCGACTCCGACGACGAGTACGACGAGGAATTCGACCCGTGGGCGTTCATTTTTCACTTGCCTCCTCTAGAGCAGTGCGTCCCGAAACGGAGGAAAGCGGCGTTACCGACCAAAAAGAAAGGCGAACCAAAGAACACTTTGGTGCTCGATTTAGACGAAACTTTAGTGCACTCAAACTTAGAAGAAGAGGAAGGTACGCCAGATTTCACCTTCCCGGTTCAGTTTAACAACGAAACGCACGCGGTGAATGTGCGCATTCGCCCGCATTTGGAGGAGTTCATGAAGCGCGTCTCGAAGAAATTCGAGGTTGTGATATTTACGGCGAGTCAAAAAGTGTACGCGGATAAGTTGTTGGACCATTTAGATCCAGAGCACGTTTACTTTTCGCATCGATTATTCCGCGATTCGTGCGTTTTAGTGGAAGGGAACTATTTGAAAGATTTATCGGTGTTAGGAAGAGATTTAAGTCGAACGCTCATCATCGACAACTCGCCGCAAGCGTTTGGGTTTCAAGTAGAAAACGGCGTCCCGATTGAATCGTGGTACGACGATCCCACCGACGACCACTTGTTGCGATTGTTGCCGGTATTGGACGTGATATCGGAAGTAAACGACGTGAAACCGATACTGAACCGCGCGTTCGGGTTGAAAAAGAGAACTTTACGAGCGGGCGCGAGAGCGAAAAGATGGCGAGAGCTGCGAGAGAAGAGCTTGTATCGTTAAAAAAACGTGGTGAAAAAGAAGAAGAGGAGGAAATTATTGATAGCTTTATATTCGTGTGTGTGTGTGTGTGTGTGTGTGTGTGTTAGTGTGTTTGTTCGTGTTGATTTGAATTGTTAGTCGTTCTGTGTATATATAAATTACTACTACTGCTGTCCGAAAGGAGTAAATCAAAAAAATTGGAAAAAATGCCCCGCACAACAAAGAAAAGAGGAGAATGTCCTCCTCCGATCAGTGCTCCGTGGAAGAGACTCGTAATACTCGAGCGAGCGAAAAGAGCGACGAAATCATCGCGAACGATGACGACGAGAACCCAACAACGACTGCCTTGTGGCGGCTCTTTCGAGAGGCGTCGCTGAAAGGCGGCGCGTGTCGCGATATCGTGGAGACGCATGTGATTTGCAAACTCTCCGCGACGGATCTCAAATTCTTTTACGAGGTGAACACGGAAACGAGAAAGTTGATTAAGGGATCATCTCGCGCGAGGGAGTTGAAAGAGAAGTTTAAGGTCGAAGAGATGTCGTCGATATCTACGTTGGAGTTTGCTTGGGAGCATTTTCCGTGGGGGACTACGATCACGCATTATATCGATGGTGATACGGAGGTGGTAAAGTTGGACGAACCAGCGTTCTGCTGTCGAGTCGCTCGAACGAATGAACTCGAGTTACTCAAGTGGGTGCGAGAGGAGAAAAAGTGTGAGTGGGATAAAGGGACACTTCTGGCGGCCACGCAACGCAATAATCTAGACATGGTAAAGTATTGCGTTGTCAATCAGTGTCCTATCGATTCGGATGCATGTGCGTTTGCCGCCGAATTCGGTCATCTCGAGTTGCTCAAATACTTACGCGAAGAAGTCAAAGCGCCCTGGGATAGGATAACTTTGATGCGGGCTCAATGGTCTCTGAACCCCGCGCTTAGGGTTCCGGACGTAATAGTCTCTGAACAACTCGAGTGTTTACGCTACGCCGTCGCGAACAAATGCCCAGGATGGGTAAGCTACGCGAGCGATGTCGATATCTTGAACGAGTGCGTACGGTACAACCAAGAAGGGTGGCCGGAACCAGAACAACGGACAAACGAACACTACGCTTTGTTCGAGAGAATGAAAGCGCTACAAGAATCACTCGAGCGGATGTAAATCAGTCCAGAATGAAGGTTATTAGATCTTCGCGCTTGTCCTTTTAAAATTTTAATTACATACTCCTTGTGAATACGAATGAAGGATGAAAAATCACCGCTGCGTGCTGAAACGCGTTTATATTTAGAAGGTGATGGGAACAATATATATATAATAAATATAAATTAAAACTCACACGTAATAAAAACAAAATCTTTCTCCTTTCTCTTCTTTCGTTTACTTGCTCAGGTTCTTCATCAACGCTTCTTGCATCTGCGTGCACCCGACCAATTTCATGCCTTCTTGCATTATATCGCCCGTTCTAAAGCCTTGATCTAAAGTCGCGTTCACGGCTTCCTCGATACTTTTCGCCGCCGCTTCCTCACCAAATTGGTATCTCAACAACATCGCGGCGGATAAAACTTGCGCCAACGGGTTTGCCTTATCCTGTCCAGCAATATCCGGAGCCGAACCGTGCACTGGCTCGTACAAGCCCGGTCCGGAACTCCCAACCGCCGCGGACGGTAACATACCGATGGACCCGGTCAACATACTCGCCGCGTCGGAAATGATATCTCCAAAGATATTCCCAGTCACAATCGTATCGAACTGTTTCGGGTCTCGAATCACTTGCATCGCGCAGTTATCGATGTACATGTGCGACAACTCCACGTCTTTATAATTCTCGTGCTGCTTAATCACTCGTTCCTTCCACAATTGCGAAACTTCCAACACGTTCGACTTCTCCACCGAACACAATCTCCCACCTCTCTTCTGCGCAATCTCAAACGCAACCTTCGCAATTCTATCCACCTCTGACTCGGAATATACCATGGTGTTAAACCCGATTCTCTCGCCTTTGGCGTTGGTCCCGAATCCTTTCGGCTCGCCGAAGTAAATCCCTCCCGTCAACTCTCTCACGACCATAATATCCGTTCCAGACACGATATCTTTCTTCAACGAAGACGCGTCCGCTAACTGAGGTAATACCACCGCCGGTCTCAAGTTTGCAAAAACCTCCATCCCGGCTCTCAACCCGAGCAAACCTCGTTCTGGTCGCATGTTCGCCTCGAGCGTATCCCACTTGTACCCGCCGATAGCCGCCAACAACACCGCATCGGATTGCTTGCAACACTCCAAGGTATCTTCCGGCAACGGCGTCCCGAACGCATCAATCGCGGCTCCACCGACGAGTTTCTCCTCGTACGTAAATGTAATCTCGTGTTTGCGCCCGACTTCGTTCAGAACGTCCACGGCGACTTTCATGATTTCCGGCCCGATGCCATCGCCCGGGAGTAAAGTCAGCTTGTAATTTTTGTTACTCGCCGCTGCTAATGCTGCTCCTCTGCTGCTTCTTCTCCTGTTGCTGTTGCTGCTCTTAAGAAAAACACGTTTTTCGCTCCTCTTCAGAGCGTTAGTGTTGAGCGTTTGCGCGTGCGTGTTCATCATCGTCGTCCTTTTATCTGCGCGAAAAGTAAGTGTGAGTGATTTTGGGAAGAAATCTTTTTATCTTTTTAAACGTTTAGGGTTTCTTTCTCTCTAGGATTTAAGTTCATCTTCTTTCGCTCCTTTTTGTCCTGAGAGATAAGAGCGCGAAGAAGAACACCACCAACACCACCGAAAAGGTCGTCTCCGTGCCTTCTTTCGTGCGTTTAGACGTTCTTTTCTTTGATTTGCTTTTCTTCGTCTCTTCTTTTTACCTTTCTTTTTGCGTAAAAGAGAGAGTGAGAGACCAACACACAACAAAACAACAAATCCAGCCGTACGGGAAAAGAAACGACGATGGGGTGGGCGGACGAAGCGGAGGAGGAGTTGGACGACTCCATGCTCCCGTCGTACGCTTTGGAGGAAAAGAAGAACAGAAAGTCTTCGAAGGAGGAGGAAAATGAGGAGGAGGACGTCGAGGTCAAAAAAGATGCGGCAGAAGTTTCTTCTTCTGCGGATGAAAAGCCAAAGTCATTCGCGGCGTTGTTAGGCGGCGGGAACGTCTCGAATCATCATCAGAAGACGGAGACAGACGAGGGGGAGGAGAACCGCGACGAGCAGACCACCAAAAGTAACAACAACAACAACAACAACAACAACGCGACGAACAGTAGTAATAATAACAGTAACGAAAGAGGAGGAGAAAGAGGAGACAGAAGGAAGAAAGAGTCCGGGAAGAAGCAACAACAACAACAACAACAACAACAACAAGGGTCTTCGAAACAAGGAGGAGGGAAAGGCAATAAAGGCGGGAAAAGAGGATCCGATCCGAGTTCGAATTACAACCAAGCGGATTTACACGAAGACGAGCGAGGGTTACACAACGACGTGGAAGTTCGGAGAAGACAGTTGCAAAAGTTGAAGGTGTCGAAATCGACGCGAGCGAAAGATCTGGACACGTTGATTGCGTGCGTGGATTTAGCCGAACCGGGGACCGGGGAAGTGAAACGAGCGCTGAAGGAGTCTATTTTTAAACCGCTCGCGCCGGCGTATACGACGTTGATCAAATGGGTTGGCAAGTCTGGGAACTGTTCGAAAGCACTGGAGGTGTTCGAGTGCATGGGGAGCGTGCACGGAGTAGAACCGAACACGTACACGTGCTCGGCGTTGTTGAACGCGCTCGGGAGGCACCGAATGGGTCAGGAGGCCTGGGAGGTGTACGAGATGATGAAGGAGAAGAACATCGAATGCAATATTTTTACGTATACGGCGTTGATCACCGCGTTCCAAAAGAGCAGAGAACAAGACAGAGTGTATCAAGTGTACGACGAGCTGAAAGAATCCGGGATTCAGATTGATTCGATCACGTACGCGGCGATGTTAGCGGCGTGCGAGAAGGGCGAAACCGGCACCGGCGAGTGCACGGAGAAAGCGCTAAGAGTTTTTGCGGATATGAAAAAATCCGGAGTGGATCCGAACCAACAGTGCTACCAGTTTTTAATGACATGCTGCGAAAAAGGCGGAAGAGTCGATAAGTGCTTCGAATTACACGGGGAAATGGTGAAACACAAACACGTCGTGGATAAAAATATCTACCAGAGCTTAATCGCGGTGTGCGGAAAGAAAGGCATGTGGCAAAAAGCCATCGAAGTGTATAAATCTTTAAAGACGAAGAAAGAAGTAGTACAACCGTACACAAATTGTCAAAACGAAGTGTTGTTAGCGTGCGCGAAGAGTGGTCGCGGTTTAGAGGCGTTGGCGTTGTACGAAGACGCCAGGAAGACGAACAAGCAAATGTCCGTCACGCCGGTTGGACTTGGGTGGGTCATCTTGGCCTGTGAACGAAGCAACATGTGGAAGAAAAATCTTGAATTAATTCCAAAGTTACCATCGTCAGGGTTGCCAAACAAGGCGTACATGTTGTTGATTGGTGCGTGTACGAGAGCTGGGAAGTTTACTCAAGCGAACGAGTTGTTTGAAAAACAACGCCAAGTATTGACGAGCGGGATGAACATGAACAAACCAACGGTGGATTTGTGCGAATTGTGGGTCACCGCATTTCGATGCGCGCAAAGCGAACGCGGCGATGGGGATACGTTAGAAAATAGCAGCAAAGCGGCAGCGGCGGCGGCGGAAAAAATAGTAGATTTAGGTGCAGACCAAGTGCACGTCGGCGAAACGACCAGTAGCAACGAGAATTGGTTCGAGCAGAAAACCGCGAAGAACTCTGTGAGAGCGTTGTGGAAGTACGCTAAAATCGCTGCGCCAAAAGACCCTCTGACGGACCAAGACGCCAACATTGCCGAAGTTGACTTTGTGTTTCCACCAGAAACGAGCATCTGTAAAGCAGCCGCGGCAGCTGCGGCGAAATGGGGTGATTCTGACTTGATCGAAAACATCGTTCACCTTCGCGAGAAATCTAACAGAGAACCCGATCCGATGATTCGCGGCGCGTTGATTGCATCCTACGCAAATCGTGACAAACGAGAAGAAGCGAACGATCGTCTGAAACAGATGAAAGTGAAACGCTTGACTCCTGGATTTGCGACGTATGCCGCGTTATGCGCGGCTGCGAATAGAGCCAAAGATACGCCGGACGTTTTCGCCATTTGCGAAGAGTTTACTATTTTGTACAAAATACAAAACCAAGCACAAGTAAGGGGCGTACCTCCCGTGGCCGTTCCGAAAGACTTTTGCGTCGCCTTAAAAGATACGAGTGAGAGGTTAAAGTCTTGGCTGAGAGCTTTAGAGTTCTTGGAAATTTGGAACCAGTTCCTGACGTGCGGTCCAGACGCCAAAGAGACGTACGTGTTGGCGTTGAAAGAATCTGGAGTGAACGAGAAGGATATCGAGAGCAAAATGGCTGGCGGTGGCATCACCGGTGCCACGAAGAACAACAACGGAGCCTCTCCTTCTGCTGAAACTACTGTTCCAGCAGCGATCGTTCCAAACAACGGCAAGACGTGGAACACCTCTTCTCCCAATAGCGGTAACGGCAACAACGCCTCGAGTTCGAGAGGCAAGCCGGTTTCGCCGCCGTTGCCGCCGGCCCCGATGTTGGGTGGAAGTATGCCCAAACCGAATAAAATACCACCGTTACCGAACGTTGTCACGACGCCGAAGCCGTCTAAAAAGCTTTCCGCGAACGTTTCGGCGTTTGTACCGAACTCTTCGTCGCCCAAAGTCGCGCTCAAAGCCGACGCGAAGCCGTTTGTGTTCAATCCTCCGGCGGCTCAAAAAGAGGTCGAGTCGTCGAACCACGCGGATGATGATGCCGAGAAGAAGACGAAGAAGAAGAAGAAAGACGACGCTACGAATACGGAGGACGATTCAGACGACGACGACGCAAATGCGACGACGTAAAAAGAAGAATAGATAACAACACTAAGTGACACATATTAAAACTTTTGCGAGGCGTGTATATAGAGAGAAATTTATTATACGAGTATCCCTTTAATACTGATGAACCAAAAAAATATCACACAAATTTTGATGAAAAAAATGCATTTTAAACGCCCATAAAAAAGGCAAAACGGTGTGCTCAAACACACGCGCACGCACACCACGGTTACCAACATCCCACGACAGCGACGCTCGACAAAAATGTTCGCACATGTATTGTATCTGTATATATCAAGTTTCGACCGCGTCTGCGAGGTATTACGGAAGAGTAAGGAGTGGCGTGGGAACGCGCGAGGTGCGCGTTTTTAAGAGAGGGTCGGAGGGCTCCTCTTCTGTGGCTGTGGTCACTTTTGAGAAAATAAATATTTCCACGGCGCGTGACATCACGCGCGGGAGAGGAAACGACCGGAAAACGCACGAAAGCGATCGCGGTACCACTCTTTGGTCGTTCCGTGTCCTTTTTTACGCGCTTTACGACTGTTCACGTCGCTCGTGACCACGCTCGGCGTCGCTCTCGTCAACTCCCTCGAAGGCCTTAAACCACTGTTTTTCCCTTGTATTTTTTCTCCCTTTTCCTCCTTTCGCGTTTTTAGAAACGCGACTTTGCCTCATTTCGAGCGCTTCGCCTGTGCAGGACGCGAAGAAAAACTTCTAAAAAAGCAGGCGACTTACGATCCGACGAATAGCGTAGTTTGTAAATCGAGCGATCATGTCTCTGGAGGTACGACTCGTGCGTCTCCGTGCGCTCGCATTTCGCATCTTCTGAAAATTCGATCTTCTCTTTTCTTCGCATCGTGCTTTCGGTTTGGTCGTCCCATTTTTGCATTCAGCGCTTACGCATCTCACCTTTACTCGTACTCACGCGACCCTTCTTTCGCAGAATAACTTGCCGAAACATTTAAAATGGATCTCGAGCATGTGCGAGACGCAGTTCTTTACGCCGTGCCAGTTGCATTCAACCAGTGGGAAGGTACGAATTGAACAATAAATGTGTCCCTTCCATCGAACACGAAGAACTTAAAAATCTCATTCTTCTCAGGGGGAGCTTTTGAACCTATTTTCCGTGGACGCATTGCGAGCGTGGTGCCCGTGTTGCTGCGCTGAGAAGAAAATTAACGACGCTATTCAGGTATGGAGTCGTTGTTCGTTTTTTACGGTCGGATGTGCGCTCACCGCGCGCGATTTCGACCAAATCTCGTTTCCGAATTATCGTTAAAAAACACTTAAAGTCTCTCTCGCGAGAAGTCGTCGTCTCTCTTATTTTCGTTGCAAATTTGGACTCGATTTTACGCGCGCGTTACGCGTTACCGCGCTTCTGAGAAGTCGTTTTGTGCTTTGAAAAACACCAAATCGTTCGGCAAAAATATCGTCGAAACCTACCAAATGGTTCTTTGGTCTCGTTTTTGGTCGCAACCGCGATCATTCGCGCGGTTTAAGCGTCGTTTTTCGGATTCAAATTCGACGAGAGAAGCACAACGAGAGAGAGAAAAATCGGTCTTCGAGGGGCGGATTTTGGACGACTTGGGTCAACCTCTGTGAGATGATATTTTTAAGACTTGGGACAATTTTTTTCGAACGACCACGGACACTGACTGAAACACAATAATAACTACTCTTGACAAACAGATTCGTCGATCTTCCTACCACAACGTCGTCCGGGTCCAAGACGTCGCGAAAGCAGTCAACGTCGCGGGTATTCAGACGTACATCATCAACTCGGCGAGAGTGGTGTTTCTCAACGAACGCCCGCATCCGAGAGGTAAGAACGGCGAGAGCAAGCGGACTTTGGCCTTAGTAGCCGCAAATGGTGGGGCATGCAAGCACTGCTTGAGGACTTTACAGGCAGATAGCGTGAGCTTTTGCTCCATCGCGTGTAAAATCCGAGGCGGGGGCGAAATGACGCCAAACGCGGAGTCGTTGCGGTTGTTGGAGGAGTCGGTGATGAACCAACACGTCGCGGTGCCGAGGAATAGTTATAAGTCTACTAAGGATAAGGATACGAACACCACCACCACCACCACCACCAACAGCACGAATAACAACAATAGCAATACGAACGATACGAACACGAGCGGGGGTGACGGGACGTACAAGGGAGGCGGCGGTCCGGCGTCCAGCGGCGGGAGCGTCGGGAAGAACGGAAAGAAGAGAGTGTACCAAACGAAAGCGAAAAAAGAGCAGGAGTTGATGATGATGTTGAACGGTGGTCTGGCAGCTCTTCCGTCGCAACAAGGGAAACCGGTGAAGAAGGCAAAGAAAGTCCCGGTGAAGAGAGCGAAGAAAGTTCCGGTGAAGAGAGAGATGGTGAATGGAAACCACTCGTCCTACGCGACGCCGGCGAATAGCTCCTTGGGTGTTACTCCAGATGCGACTCCGAGCAGTCGGGCGGCATCGGTAGGACCGACGAACGGGGTCGGTACTGTGATAGCAGCTCCAGCAACCGTCGCGTCTGTTGGAAGAAAGCTGAACAACGCGTCCTTCAGAAGAGCCGCCGAGACGCCGAGTATCGTCACGCCGACGATTCCAATCGTCCCGAACCGTAGGAAAAAATTTTCAGCGCCGCGAAAGTCGCCTGATATGTAACAAATTATATATTATTATAATAATAAAGGTATCGAAGAGAGGAAAGAGAAAGAGAGAGAGAGAGAGAGAGAGAGAGAGAGAGAGAGAGAGAGAGAGAGAGAGAGAGAAAGAGAAGGAGAGGAAGAAAGAGGAGGATATAATGTAAAATCAGTAATCACAGAAAAAAGTTAAGTAAAGACACAAAATCAGAGGTTTGACCGCACCCGGGAGTCGGCGTTGGCGGGAAGAAAAGACGAGAAATCTTCTGTTTCTTCTTGTCCGTGCATCCATCCCATTAGCAGAGTAGTTTAACCATAACGCAACTCGTTTGAATAAAACAAAACATACACCACAAGATAAATAAACTACCCAGTATTAGCGATTATTCAAATTATATTCTGCTCTATTTGACATCTATCTGCTGTGATATTCGCTCTAAAACTACTACGTCCTCGATATCTTCCATCGAGACGCTTGAAGTATAGATGCGGATATCCCTGCCTTGTTTCCGTTCGTCTTGGATTCGGATTCACCGGAACAAACAGCAGGGAGAGGAGGACATTCCGCGCAGCAACACGTCAAAAACGTATTCTTGACGCCGGACATGAACTCGTCTTGCACCATGTGCACGCCGCCGCCGCCGCCTCCTCCTCCTCCATCTTCCATCAAACATCTCCGCATCTCTAAAGATAAAAATATGCACCACAAACGGTAGTTATCTACTTTAAGTGCTCTGGCCTGATCTTTCACGTGAAATCCAAACGCGTCGTGCCTTCTCCTCTGCGGCAAACAACACGGCGATAACACAATCGCCGCTCGACCGTCCATCCTTCGTCTCACGTTTCTCCACAAACGAATAGCCACTCGAGACAAATCCCCGCACAAGTGTACCCCGCAAATAAACACAAACTTTGACGTATTCGCCGCGTCCTCCACAATCTTCTCGCACTCCTCCGACGTCACGTCCACGCGACGAAACGTCACGTTTTTCATCGCCTCCACGTGCTCCACGTTCGCGCTTTCGTCTCGGTCCATCATCTCCACTCTCGCGTTCGGGAACGCGAACGATAACGCGATGGACAAAAAACCTTTCCCGGAACACAGGTCCACGAACGTCAGCCCTTCGCCGCCGTTACTCCTCAAAGCCTCCTCTTCCTCAATTAATACTCCTCTCTTCTTCTTCTTCTTCATCAAAACTCGTTCGATCTGTTTCAAACACGCCGTCGCTTCCTCGATTTCCTTCACCAGTGAAGATTTTCTCATCCAGGAATCGAACAACGCATTTTCTCGCATCTCTTTGCACGCGTTCGAACGCAAAAACTCGCGCACGTACGGGGAATATCTCCGTGGGTTTTCGCGGCAACGTGCGATCGTGTACTCGAGTTTGGTTTTCTTCGTCGCGTGATGTTTCTTCTTCGCATCTTCTTCCTCCTCGCGAACGTGACGATGTCGAGAAGACATCCTCACGCGCTCATCTGATGCCTTCTCTACAGTTTCCAGTCCTCGCGTTTGGCTTTGCGCCGACCAAAAACCCGCGAGCAACGCATCACTCGCGACTCGATTTGTAATGGAGTTTCCTTCAGAATTTCCACTCGCAAAACACACGCAAACGCATAATACCTCACGAATGGGTTCCCTCTTCCCAATTCAAAACGCCTTTCACTTGGGCGCGTACCAAGTCGCGATAAACGAAGCCGCGGACTTAGATTCCACCGGAACCACCTCTTTATCCTCCTCGGACGCGATCGAGAAGGATTGTTACGTCTATCGATCGTACATCGCCTTGGGGTCCTACCAGGTACGTTTTTGAAGATGCTCTCTTTGTTTCTTTGTGTCTCTTCGTGATGAGCGTCTTTCGAACAACGCGAGAGATGATGCGAAAGTTTGCGCACGTCTCGTCTCGTTCGTGTTCTCGCGAAAAGCGTTGCGACGGTTTGACGACGACTTTAGACGCGCATTCATTCGCGCGCGGTGTTTGAAAGAATTGGACGAGTGCGGGAAGAGATCTCCCTCGGTTTTGTCTCGCGTTAGTAACTTCTCTCACGCTCTCACTCTCTCTCTCGGTGACTCAAACGACGACGAAACAATGCCTTTGCTTTGTGCGCGTCTTTGACGATTCATATGTATATACTATAACATAAAATAACAGTTGGTTCTGGACGAAATCCCGGACGATTCCCCGTCGCAATTGCAAGCGGTGAAAGAACTCGCCAGATACCTCGCGGATCCTCTCGATCGGGCAACAATCTCACAAAAGATGAAGGAGATGTTAGAAGATCCAGCGATCGCGCAGAACGCGACGGTACAACTCATGGCGGCGACTGTTTTCGCGAAGGAAGGCGAAATGGTGGAAGCCATGCGATGTTGCGCGACGTCGTTGAGTTTAGAGTTGTCGGCGTTTATGGTGAACCTGTTGATATCGATGGACAGAGTGGACGCGGCGGAGAAGACTTTGGCGAAGATGGTGGCGAACGACGACGACGCGACTTTGACGCAGTTGGCGACGGCGTGGGTGAATGTCGCACTCGGTGGGTCGAAGGTTCAAGACGCGATGTACGTGTATCAAGAGTTGGGCGATAAGTACACGTGGACGGTGAAGTTGTTCAACGGCGCGGCGACGTGCGCCATGGCCATGGGAAGGTTCGAAGATGCCGAGAAGGAGTTGTTGGAGGCGTTACAGAAAGATAGTAAAGACCCGGACACGTTGCATAACTTGGCGGTGTGCGCGTTGCACTTGGGAAAACCGTCGACTCGTTTTTTTAATCAGTTGAAGACGTTAACGCCCAAACCCGGCGCGGTGGAGAAAATGGACGAGTTGGAGAAAATGTTTGATACGGCGAGCGAGCAAATGGCGAGCGCGTAATAACGAAGACGTTCGTTGGAAAAACGTGCGTAAGTGTCACCCCTTAATATTTTAGCAACAGTAATAAATTGTTTTGTAAATGATTCGAGAAGAGTATATATATTTTTAGTAAAACACCACCCGCGCGCGCGTCTGAGGAAGAGGAAAAGAGAGTATTCATTATTGCGAGCCTTCGCTGACGACGCACTCGATGTCCTCGTCTTGTAAGGTCAAACCGACGAGAAAGTTTCTCGCGTCGAGAACTCCAGAGGATCCAGTTAAATCGCCGTTGACGACATACACTCTTCGACACCCGTTGGCGAAAAGTACCATGACGTCTTTTAAAGACGTGTTTTTTGGATCTACGCTTTGGAAAACACCGATATCCGCTTTCGTTTGATCGCGATGATGGCGTCTTCGCATGGTCGCCGCAAACGAAAGCGGATCCGATTTCAACATCGATAGGTTCTCAATGTTCATTCCTCTGAGATCAGAGGAGGTTATATCACCTCGCACGTGTACCGTGAAATCTCTCGGACGAGGCGTGACGAAACTCGACGGTACCGTGGTGACGAAACACACCGAGACTTTTTCGCCGACGATATCCGGGAAGAAATCGAGAGCAGATTGCTGTCGAAGCGCATCGTTATTTGTCACGAACAACGTCTCGTCTCTGTAGATCTTCTCTCCGCTTTTCAATACCGTGAAACCTTTCCTAAACAAGTACGGCACATCGGCCAAACAAACGTTGGCCAAAGCGGCTTGAACTTCAACGTTCTCGTTTAGATATTTCACAATATCCGTGCAACTCAACACGTCGTGTTTCGCGTGACTCGTCCCATCTAAACGCTCGACGAGACACCTGTGCGCTCTTGGAATCTTCGCGATCTTTTCCTTCAAAATCGATAAAAGGGTTTCCGAATCTCTCACCACGATTCTCGATCTCGGATTCGCCGTCAGGCGATCGAGCACGCTTTGCACCGTCGCGTGAAACGTGCTCGCGATGGGATCTTCCTCGTCCTCTCTCGTTTTTTTCGCCGGAACGTCCCCGCTGTATTGACACCCGAATCTCGACACGTCTCCTGGTTGCAATCCCAACTCTTCAATCATCGGAGGCATAACTCTCGGATTCGCGCTTGAACTTTCGTGCGAGGTGACACAAAAAGGCTCCTGTTTCCGTCCCACGAGAAACACCGCCATGTTTTCCAAAAACACCCTCAAACAACTCTCCACCGCGACGAACCCGTGGAACGAATCCTTGGTCGTTTTCTTCTCCAAATCCAAAATCGGTAGCGACAGCACGTCTTTTTCTTTCATCTTTTCGAGACACTCGCCGAGCGTGTCCGTGAGCTTCGCGAACGCGAGTGTTCGTTCACTTTTTTTTTGACACCCTCGAACACTCGAAGAAGACAAGGAAGAAAAAAGCGAATTCGCGCGCGCCTCGCTCAAGGCTTTCCTCACCGCCCGGCGCGCCTCCGCTTCTTCCATTTTACTCGAGGAAAAAGACTTCGTCCTGGCGTTCCCGCGAGAGCTCTTCTTTTCAACGACGTCTTATTTTAATCAGAGAAAGAGAGAGAGAGAGAGAGCAATGTGATTGGGAAAAGTGAGAGATATTTTTTTTTCTTTTCTGAAAAAATGTCCGTTTTTTTTTCTTTTTTCTCTTCTTTCTCTTTTCTGGGCACCCTTAACTTTTTAAAAAACACAACTTTATAAAGACGAGCGGCAAAGAAGAGAGATTCTCTTTCGCATAAAAATGGCACCCGTACCGAGACGACCAGCTTTTACGACGAAAACAAAATCGGACAGAGGGGAGACGAGAAGAGGCGAAGCGACAGAGGAGAAGAGTTGTTTCGTGTATTCCGAGCCGCATCAAAACGAACTCGCGGCTTTTCTCACGACGACGAAGAAGAAGAACAAAGATGAAAGTGATGTCGATGCGACCCCTCCTGGTGGAACTAATTTCGAATTATTCTCGTTCGTGCCAAACGCCGGGAGAGGAGGCTCGAAAACGACGACGTCTAAATTCAGCGCGGGATTTGCGCTGTTAAAGTCGCGGGAAATGTCGAGAGAGAAGGAGATGTCGCACACACGCAGCGGCAGCTTTTGCGAAGCTGGTAATGGGTTGGTGTCGATTAAGCAACAGAGAGAACAGAGAGAAAAAGAGGACAAGGCGAGAGCGCGGAAAGAGAAGGAGGAGATGGTGATGAGAGCGCAACAAGAACAACAACACGAGCAGGAGGAGCAACGGCAGCAGCAACAGCAGCAGCAAAATCACGCCGCGACGAACATCAACAACAACCCCGGGAATAATACCATTATTGGGTTCGACGACGACGACGACGAGGACGACGAGATGTTCCAGCTCGTGGATATCGAGGCTTTGGAGACGAGGAAACATGTGGTTGCTCCAGCTCAACCGCAACGACCGCAGCATCCGCAACACATCGAAAGTTTTCCCGTCGTCCCACCGAGGGCTGACAACATGAACGACGCATATTGTTTGCCCATAGCCTTGGACGGAAGTGGTTTAGAGTGGGTGTGCGAACACGGTTGCGCGTTGCGCGAATGCGATAAGATCTCACTTCATTTCCGCGCGCTTCAGCCGATTTTGAGCTCAATCATCCAAAGACTGGACGACGACGAGTACATGATGAAAAATATCGAAAGGAAAAACTTAGAAAAGAAACGGAAAGAAGCGGAAACGATACAAGCGTTTTTGAATAACGGCAGTATTGGTAGCGGCGTACCGAACGCCGCGCCGAGTATCGCGCCGATGAATAATAATAATAACATCATGGACAACAACAACAACAACAACAACTCCTTTCAACAGAACACGAGTTTTGACATTCATAACAACATCAATAACTTTCAGCATAACAACATGCAAAGCAACAACTTCAACAACGACTTTCAAATGAACGGCAATAACAACAATTTCAACAACGATGAGTTTTATTATCAAAACAACAACAACAACAACAACGGCGGTGACTTTCAAGCGGAATGGGACGACGATAACGGCGATGATATCGTCGATATGGAAAATTTACCGAAACTTGGTCTCGGCGCGAACGGCGGTCATGAAGTTATCCCGGCGGTGCAGTGTCAAATGACCGAGGCGGACGGCGGCAAGTGGAATCAGAAGAACTTTTTGTGGACGAAAGATTGCTATTACGCGTTGCGAAACAACTTCGGCGCGCAAGATTACCGAGGACTGCAGCTTCAAGCCATTAATGCGACCATGGCTGGTAAAGATACTCTGGTTTTAATGCCAACTGGGGGCGGTAAAAGTTTGTGTTATCAGCTCCCGGCGATTGTGCGCGACGGCGTAACCATAGTAGTCTGTCCTTTGATTTCGCTCATCCAAGATCAGCTGTCGAATCTGGAGCAATTGGATATTAAGGCGTGTTTGCTTGGCGCGTACAATGCGAAGAACGATGCAGAAGTGTACAACGATTTATACGGCCCGGAACCTAAAATTAAATTGCTTTACGTGACTCCCGAGAAACTCTCAATGAGTAACAAGTTAATCAATTTGATGAAATCGTTGCACAGAAAAGGTAGATTACAAAGATTCGTCATTGATGAAGCGCATTGCATCTCGAGTTGGGGCCACGATTTTCGAAAAGATTATAAAGAGTTGCGAGTGCTGAAGCATCAGTTCCCGGATATTCCCGTCATGGCGCTCACCGCGACGGCGACCGTTCGCGTGCAAGACGACATCGTGCGCCAACTCGGTTTGGCGAATTGCGTGCGTTTCTTCACGACGTTTAATCGAACCAACATCACGTACGAAGTGATTCCGAAAAAGAAGGAAAAGCAAAACGTGGAAGAGATATTAAGTTTAATTCACGATCGCGGATTTGTTGACCGGCGTGGTCGCGTCGAGTGCGGCATCGTGTATTGCTTTTCGAAGAACGATTGTGAGAAGATGGCAAACGCTTTGTGCTTGAAAAATAACCAAGACTCGAGGTTTCGTCATGGGATTAAAGCTTTGCCGTATCACGCCGGTTTAGACGACAAAGTACGTAAAGCGCACCAGGAAGCGTGGACGAATGATACGTGCAACATTATCTGCGCGACCATTGCGTTCGGCATGGGGATTAATAAACCAGATGTCCGATACGTCTTCCATCACTCGATGCCAAAATCGCTCGAGGCGTATCACCAGGAATCTGGGCGAGCGGGGAGAGACGGCGAGAAAGCGCTTTGTGTGCTCTTCTATTCGTGGGGGGACGTCACAAAAGCGCGATCGATGCTCATAGACTCCGCTGAGAAAGACAACGCGCCGCACGAAGTGAAAATGAACAAGCTTGAGTCGTTGGTGACGATGTGCACGTATTGCGAAAATACCGCGGATTGCCGAAGGACGCAACTTTTGCGGCATTTTAACGAAAACTTCGATCGCAGCAGATGTAAAGGCATGTGCGATTGCTGTCAGTTAAGGAAGAACTACGGTTGGAACTGCTTCATAAAGCGAGACATGTCTAAGCACGCGCTCAGTTTGATCTCCATCTGTAAAGATACCTCCGAACAAGGCATACCCATGGGCTTATTGATCGATGTCTTTCGCGGCTCCAGAGCGAAAACAGTCACGCAGAGATACTACGATCGTTTGCCTGGGTTTAACACTGGTAATCAGCTGACAAAATCCGAATCCGATCGACTGGCGAGATACTTGGTGAACCAGGGTTATTTGTGTGAAGAGACGACACGCCTCCCGCCAGACGAGAAAAGGCAATACGCCATGGTTTCCACGTGCATTCGTCCGGGAGAACCCGGTAAGATTCAAGCGTTGAAACAGAAACAACACAAAGTGGAGTTAGAGTTTGAGAACCTTCCGAAAGATACGAGCAAAGGAAAGAAGAAAACGGCACCGACTACGGCGCCGAAGACGAGAGCGCCGCCGAAGAAGAAAACAACCGCCGCGAAAGCTTCGGGAACCGCCGCTGCTACTACTGCGAGAAAGAAGAAGACGTCGACGAAGACAAGAACGCCAAAAGCTACTCAACAACAACAACAACAACAACACGACAACGTGGATCTCACGCTGCCGAGCCAACAACCGAACGGCACGCAAGAAATCGACGGTCAACTCGACAACGCCTTTGCAATTTTGATGAGGAAACAAAAAGAAGAACGGGAAGGCATCGTCGTCGAAGACGATGAGGAGGAAATAGTGAACAACGACGACAACGTCCAGTACGAAATCGACGAGTCGATCGAAGACGACGACGAGGAAGACGAGGAAGAAAGATTGTACGAGTGCGTCTTCCAGGCGCTCACGGTGTGGAGAGATATCCAAGCCACCGACATCGCCAACAGACAGGGCACAAAAAAAAATCCGCAAGGTATCATCAAAAACGCCTTGCTCCGCAAACTCGCCGGCAGCCGACCGACGACCATCGATGAAATGAACGAGTTCCGCGAAGCCGAAGTCGCCGATCTCGCGAACAAAAACATGCTCAATAAGTTTGCATACGATTTAGTCTCAAAAATCGAACAGGCGGTTTTTCACTTCCACAACAACGAGGAGAACCCGTACACGCAAACGCAACGGCAACAGGAGACGCAAGGAAACAACCTCAACAGCGGGGACCCGTACGAGTTCAAAGCGACGCCGGCGTCGAATACGAATAATGGTCCTCGTCCAGCGTCTCAGATGATGACGATGATGCAGCAACAACCGAACAATTTGCAATACAGCGGGGGGGGCCCAAAAAGGCAGCGCTTAATGCTCGACAACAATACGGAGTCTCCGCAGTGGCTCGAGCCCAATCGAGGAAGAGGAGGAGGAGTCAATGAATAACTCCACAAAAAAAAAAAAAGAATTCAAACAACGACAAGAACAACAAAACGATGCCACCACCTCCGAGCCGAACGCCTCAGGCGCAAAGCTTCTTGCGTAAGTACGACAAGTTCACCGCAGTGATGGTGGTGATGGCGTGTGGAATGTACGGGGCGGAGTATTACGTGTCCAATTACGGGAAAAACACAAAATTGGAAAATGCTGAAGAACAAAGGAGGGAAAAAGATTGATGAAAGAGAGACGACGCAGAGATGATGATAGAACTACTCTAGAAAAACAGAACGATTAGCAAAAAGCGATAGTCACCACGAACCGTGTTTAAACGCGTTTTAGTCAGAAATGTTGTAACACGGTGAATGTTTGTATAATAACATACTTATAAATTACTTTTCTAGTAGACAGGTGTGATTTTGATTGAACTGCTTTTTTCTCTCTGAGATTTTTGCGAATAATAATAGTATTATTGAAAGACGCGAAGATTGTGATCACCACCACCGACAACGACACCACCGGCGTCTTTCAAAAACTGCACGCAAAGATTTCCTTTTTTACTCTTACTCTCGAAGGTTTGGACGATGTCCCACTCGCCTTTGACGTTGTACACTTTGGCGGTTTTCCCGGTGCAATAGGCGACGTATTTGCCGCTCTTGTCGAACGCGACGCCTTCACATTTTTCTTTCCCGAAATCGTGCGCGACCGTGTTCTTACGCAAATCCCATATCTTACACCCTTCGTCGCCAGAGACGGCGAAGAAGTAGCCGTTCTCGCTAAACGAGCACGATTTGGCAGCGTTTTTACCGCCGTTGGAAAAGGTTTGTTGTAAAGCGCACGATCTGGCGTCCCAGAGTTGTACCGCGCCGGATTGCGTCAAAGCGGCGAGAAACATGCCGTCCGGGTGAATGTTAATGGAAGTGTATTTGTCTTTCGGATCGTCGTTGGTGGCTTGGTATACAGTCGAGGCGGATTCGACGTCGTGGAAGTGCCAACTGGCGTCGGCGGAGGCGGAGACGAAGAAGGCGCCGGCGACGTGCGAGGCGACGGAAACGACATCTTGCGTGTGTTCATCGTACGTGGAGATGTTCTTTCCTGCCTTCCACACTTTCACGGTGTTATCAGCACCACAAGTGGCAACTATGCCACCACTTTTGTCCGCTCCTACCAAAAACTTCGCGTCTAAACACTTCTTGTGACCCGTCGCTATCGAACTCGATTTTTGTAAGCCCGCGTCGAAGAAAGCCGCCGTTCCGTCTGCGCCAGCCGTCACGATTAGGCTTTTCTCGTGAAGCACGTCTACGTTATGTATCGCCGTATTCACTTTATGCCCCGGCACCGGGTCTTGCAACTTAAACTTCCCAATCTCTTCTTTGGCTTTCAACGACTCGTGCATTTTCTTCTTTTTCCTCTCCGCCATCAACTCTTTATTGGTCGACTCGATCGCGTCCAAAATCGATCGCGGAATGGCATTCTTCGCTTTTTTCGCAAACGCGTCCGCGTCGCCGCCTCCTTCTCTCTTCTTTCCCGTCGTCGTCGTCTGAACCGTCGTCGTCCCGTTCGCCCCACCACCACCACCAATCATCGCCCTCGCCTCGTCTCTCTCCTTCACCAACCTCGCCACCGTCCTATTCGCCGCGTCCACTTGATACGCCATCGACGCTAGCTCCCGTTCCGACTCCCCTAACCGTTTCCTGGTTTCAAACAACTCTAACATCAACGCGTCGTATTCGTCGTGAAATGTTTGCAGTAAACCCGGAATGCTCGCGTGCGCCGTCGCTCTCGGTTTGATTGCGATTGCGCTGCCATTTGAGGCAAAATCAGTCTCGATCGGAATCAAATCCTCCACGGATAAAGGTTGCTTGGTGATTGGATTCTCTCCGGTTTCTTTGACGTATTTTTCGATTAAAGTGCGTTCAAAGATGTGTCCTGATGGGGAGACGCACGGTTTCGTGATTTCAGAGCCGGAGAGTGCGCAGAGTAACATGTTTCGTCTTTGCGTTCGTTTCCAATTTGGCGGCCTGAATTGGTTCTTTTTCTGCGTAATCTCTCTTACTCTCTGCAGCGCTTCAACTCGAGAAAAAGGAAAGCGAGAGCTTTAACTGGCGTTCTTCTCGCGAGAGCGCGTGTCTTCGAGTCTGTTTTGATGCAGTATCAGCGTGGTATTTCTTAATTCGTTTGGGGAAATGTGAGGCAATTTTGGACACGTTTGAGACTCTTACGACGCCGTAAAAAAAAAAAACGCGAGCAAAAAGAGAAAGAGAAACGAGAGCGCAAACGAGACATCTACTCTACCACTAGGCGCTTTTTAGTATTAAACGAGCATTAAATATACGTTCTCGCTATTTCGACGACTCCTTTGTCTTCGGCGTGACTTTCACGCTCACTTCGTTATCTCTCGGTCTCAAGGAATACATCGGTCCGAACGTGCTCACTCGAAACCCGGCGCCGTCGAGCTCGAACGCTTTCGTCTTTTCGACTTCCTCGGCGATGATATCTCGACATCTTCGCACCGCATCTTCCGTTGCCATCCCGACTAAAGGCATCACCGCGATTAACTCACCACCGGCAACTTTCGCAGAGATTGTTTTTGTGTTCTCGGTCGTTTTCGCCGCCGGGTTGGTTTCCGGGTTCACGCGAGGCCCGAGGTACAGTTCCATCGTCTTGCCTAAAATCTCTCCATCCGAATCCAACGCGTATCGCATCGTCAGCGGTTGCGTCGGCGGGTAACGCTCCTTAGATTCGTTCTCACCTTCGATGTACATCAGTAATCGAGATAAGCCTTCCTCTCTGTTCTCGTACGGGGTGATGGCGATGGTGTACGGGTCGAGTAAGCGTATCTCGATGGTGTCGTTCCCGGGAAGCGTTACGACTGTCGTGGATGGGATTTTGTACGCGTCGAGGATGTCGTCGTTTACGATGTCGTCTTCTTCTTTATTGCTGCTCTTTACTTTACTTCCGTCGAAAGTAAGACGACTTTTACGACGACGACGACGACGAGAAGATGATGCGAGCGAGGACGAAGCGACGCGGAGAAGATGAAGGTTCGACGAGAGAGGTGATGGTGACATTTTGTTGTGAGGAAAAGCAAGGCGACGAATGCCCCTCTCTCTGGATGCGGAAAATGTCACGTTCAAAACGAGGTATTATATGATTCGAATTAAACGCGCGACTAAGAAGACTACGCATACTTGGAAACTTTTACGATTGAGAATCACTTTCACTTTCTTTTTCTCCGTCTGTATTTCGATCACTCTCTTGGTGCGAGGAGACGCCGTGGACTTTCTCGCGATGCGCTTGCAGCTTGAACTTTCTCGTGTACGACGCGTCGCACATGTCGCAAACGTGTCGCGCGTTCAAGTGCGTCTTTAAATGCGCGGTTAGGATGAAATTAGTCGCGAAGGCTTTGAAACAGATCGCACACTGAAACGGTCTGTTGGCGTCATCTTTCGGTGGTGGTTTATCGATGTCGAAGTATCGTTGCGGGAGCGGGGGTCTCAACGATTGAACCCCGGGATCTCCGTTTACTTTTTCCATGCCTAACTCGAGGTTCTGTTCGAACGCTCGCGCGACTTCCTTGTGACGCCCGTTCGTCGCGTGCTTCAACACGTGCACTTTCCACTCGTACGGTCGATTGAATCTCCTCCCGCACACGTTGCACCCGTACGGTCGGTCCCCCGTGTGCGTTCGTTCGTGCGTTCTCAAGTGATACCGGCTCGAGCACTCCAAATTGCACCGCGAGCAAAAATACGTCCTCGTCGGCGCAAACACTTTATCCTTCACGCTCGGCTTCCGTTGTTGTTGTTGTGCTATTACTATTTCATCGCTAGGATTGTCCAACAACATCTCATCCTTATTACTCCCCATTTGCAACTCCTTCCGCATCGACCGATACAACGCGTTATAACAGCGCTTGCAGCATCGTTTCCTCGCGTACGCCTTCATTGACACCCGTCTCTCTTCCTCCGTTATCTCCTCGTTCGCCTCGTCCTCTTCCTCTCTCAATCGAAGAAAATCTTTCGGAAACTTGCACAAACGTTTGTTCTCATCTTTCATCCCTCCTCCTTTCCCCGCTCTCTCGAGCAACGCCGTCGTGCACTTCCCTCCTTCCACGAACGCGCAAAATCGGTCCGAAGAATCCTCCTTCTCTTCTTCCTCCTCCTCCCCCTTCGCGGTTCCTCCTCCTTCCAAAAGCCTCACCTTTACCACCTTTGCCTTTTTCCTCAAATCATCCTCGACGGTTTCGACTTCGGCGGCGGCGTCCCACCATTTAGCAACAGCCGCGACGACGGCGTCGTTAAACGATGTCACCGACATCAACGATTTCTGCTCCTCTCTCCTCCTTTTTAATTCCTGTTCTCTTTCCCTGATGATGTGTTGCGCGGCGATTGCGGCGAGTTCAAAATGCACTCGCTTCGGGGGACGTGATTTTCGTCTGCTGCTGCTCATCGTGTGTTGTGTTAAATCTCTCTCTCTTTCTCTCTTTCTCTCTCTCTCTTATATGAGTAAATGTTCTCGTCGTCGTCGCGTTCCTTCTCAAATCCTCTTCTTTTTCCTTCTTTTTCCTTCTTCTTTTAAAGATGCGAGAACAACAACGAGAGCGCGCGCTCTTTTCCGCGTCTCTTTCTTTCTCACGTAATGTGGTGACCTTGCGATTTTAAATGACGACCAAAAAATTGCTCTTACTTCAAAGACGTTCGGCAGCCAACAAACCCTAAGTAAAGACTAAACCCTAAATGAAAAAAAAAAGGAAGGGTAGCTCGGGGGACTTTTCTTGACTCTCGTGAGAGAGAGAAAAGATATATGCGCGCTGCGTTATCCTGCGCTTCCTGCGCTTCCTCCTCCTCCTCTCGAAACTTTGTGGTTTTGAAGAAGGCGGGGATGAGCGCGAAAACGAAGACTCCTTTTTTAAATGATTTTTTGTGTGCCAGAGGAAGGAGAGATGATGGGAGGACTTTGAGACGAGGACGAGGACGATTGATGACGACGAGAACTTTTGCCGCCAACGATGGTGGGGAGAGCGGCGGGAAGAAGAACAACAACAACAGTCACCACCGAAACGGCCGAGGCTCGGAGACGTGGAAAAACAAGAACGAAGCGAAAGATGAATTCTCGGCGAAGAATAAAAACTGCGTCGTGGAAGCGAGACAGTTGAAGAAGACGCACGACGGGGAAAGATATCAATTCGATGGCTTGGACTTTAGCCTCTCGGAAGGGCAAAAATTCGCCGTGGTCGGACCGAACGGATCGGGGAAGTCGACTTTGTTAGAAGTCATCGGAGGGAAAGAGGAACAGTTTCAAGGCGAGATGTGGCGGAGGAAGAACTCGACGTTCGTGTTGGTCGAACAAGAACCGGAGTTTCAAGGGTCGATGACGGTGTTGGAAGCGTTATACGCCGCGAATACGCCCCTGACGAACTTGTTGAAAAGATACGAGGAGATTACGAATAATAGCGAAGGAAGTAACGAGGAAGTACACAGCGGTGAATTAACGAAAGTCTTGGAAGAGATGGACGCGGCGAACGCCTGGGACGCGGAGAGGCGAGTGAAAGAAACGCTGAAGAAATTCGGATTAGGACAAGAGTTTTTTCAGAAAACCACGGAGAAGTTATCGATCGGCGAGAAGAAACGGTTGGCGTTAGCCGCGGCGTTGATTGAATCGCCGGATGTTTTGATTTTAGATGAACCGACGAATCATTTGTCCGTAGAAGGCGTCGAGTTTTTGGAAACTGCTGTGAGGGAAAATAAAAAAATGGCCGCGCTCGTCGTCTCGCACGACAGACAGTTTATCGATAACGTGTCCACGAACATTTTGGAGTTGGACGGGTTCGGTGGTGGTCATCAACACGGATCAGGCGGGTATTCCTCTTATTTAGAAGGCCGAGAAAGGAGATGGCAAGCGGAGGCGAAAGATTTAGCGAGCGCGAAAAACACCTTACGAAAAGAAGCCGAGTGGATGCGAAGGCAGCCGAAAGCGCGATCGACGAAAGAAAAAGCGAGAATTGAAAGGTTTTATTCCTTGAGTCAACGCGCCTCGGAAAAAGGGACGAAAGGAAAAACGTTAGATATTAGTACGGATGTAAAATCGACGCGAATGGGCGACGTTGTCGTTGAGTTCGACAACGCGATGTTGAAATTTTCCAACGAGAAGGTCATTTTAGACGGATTCACCTACGCGTTTTCAAAGAAGGAAAAAATCGGGATTGTTGGACCGAACGGTGCCGGTAAAACGACTTTTATTAAGGCTTTATTAGGCGAAATCCCGTTAGACGACGGATTCGTGAACGTTGGCGAAACCATACGGTTCGGGTACTACTCCCAAACCGCAGAGTTTGCCGACGACGAGCAGCGCGTGTTCGACTACGTCACCGAAGTCGACGCCGACGTCAAAGCCATGGGATACAGTGGATTTCAAGATTCCAATTTAAGCGCGCGAGCGTTGCTGGAAAAGTTCAACTTTGGTGGTTCTAAACAAGCCACGCCGATTGGTATGCTTTCCGGTGGCGAACAGCGTCGATTACAGTTGTTAACCGTCTTGGCAAAACGACCAAACTTTTTAATCTTGGACGAACCGACGAACGATTTAGATCTAGATACGATTGAGGTGTTGGAACAGTTATTGGTTGATTTCGACGGGTGCGTGTTAATCGTTAGTCACGACCGCGCGTTCGTGAACACGGTTGCCGACCACATTTTCGTCTTTGACGGTAAAGGCGGCATATCCGATTGGAGCGGCTCGTACACGGAGCTGCGAGAGTACATACGAGAGACGCAACAGCAAGAGGCAAACGGTGGTATCAACAACGACGAAAATTGCGCCATCGACGATAATGGCGTGAGCACAAGCACCGAAACTGGGGAACCGTGCGGCCCAGTCCTCACTCGAGAGATGGAAAAAGAAGCGTTAAACGCGCCAAAAATCATCGCCAAAATCGAAAAAGCCATCGCGGTGATCGACGAAGACATTTCAAAGCTCGACGCGGAGATGGTCGCCGCGGAGAACGACTACGGAAAGTTGGCTGAAATTCAAAAGCTCAAAGACGAGAAAGTCACGAAACAAGAGGCGTACTTTGCGGAATACACGCGATTGGAAGAGGTCATCGAAACCGTCGAATCCATTCGAAACGCCCAAGCGGCTGCGAGATGACGACGAGAAGGATGACGACGCGCAACTACTCTGTATAACTATGATGTAACTACAAAAACCTAACCTACTAAATCGATTCATCTATTCATCTAATACTTCACTTTCGTTTATACTACTCCGCTCGACATCCCCATCCGTTCCTTTCCCTAACCTCCCTTTCCCGACGTTCGTCCCTTGCACCACTTGCCTCTGGTAAAACGTCCTCGCCTGAAACTGTTCCTCCCTTCTCTTCTCGATTAATTCGCACGTCTCGTATCGTTTCGGCACGTGTATCCCTCGTATCGTTCTATTTTTTATGAACAAGTGCTCGTATTCTCGAATTTCTCGGTCGATGGTGACCCGTTCGCACCGTTTCAACGTCACGTGCATGCAATCGTCGCACTCGACGACGGTCCCTCGAACGACGGAATCGTCTCGCAATTCGACAATCACGAGGGGCACGTTTACCAGCGATTGGACGTAACAGAGTAAAGATTGCTCGGAGTGAGGGGTGCGCGGTTTCGTGCTTTTCTTTCTGTCTTTCTTCGTGTGAGTGTTAGGGAGAGGTGGCATGTGTTTATGTTCAATGTTTAGTATTCGTATTAGGGGAAAATCACTGACGAATTTCGACACAAATGAAGGACAAAATGGAACGCGGAAGACCACTCGCGACGGCATCAAACCGAACTCAAAAGAAGCGAGACCACGTCTCCGCGTTGCAAAAACGAGACTTGAGAGAAAAATTGGAACGCGAGATTAAAAATGTCATCGCGAAACCATCGAACGAGAGAACAAAAGAAGAGTCAAAACTCCTCGACGCGCACGAAGAGAAAGTGAGTTCGCTGCTTAAACAGATGGAAAAGAGTTTACACCGGAAACGATTGCTGGAGGAAAAAGCGGAGGAGAAGGAAGATTCGAGACAAGAGATAGACGACGCAGTCGCGGTGGTGATGAAATTGTTGAGAGAAGATGCCGGCTTACAGTTCGTGTTGCACACCGGGGCGGGTATTTCCACGAGTGCGAAGATACCAGACTTTAGAGGTAAAAACGGAGTATGGACGAAGCAAAGGAAAGGCGAGTCGGTGTCCATGCCAAAGTTTGAAAACACGAAACCGACGAAGGCACACATGGCGTGTAAAGCGTTGTACGACGCGAAAGTTTTGACGAAAATCGTGACGCAAAATGTCGACGGGTTACATCAAAGAGCCGGTATACCGGAGGACGCGATTGCGGAGTTACACGGAAGCGTGTATAAGGAGCGGTGTTCGAGTTGCGAGAGAATATATATGAGAGATTTTGACGTGACGAGTACGAAACCGAGTCACGGGAAGAATCGACATCGCACGGGGAGGACGTGCGAAGTTGATGGGTGCGACGGGTATTTGAAGGATACGATTGTCCAGTTTGGAGAGAGTTTAGACGAGGAGACGTTGGAGAAAGCGAGAGAATGGTCGCAAGAGGCGAAGATGAGCGTTGTCGTGGGGTCGTCGTTACGCGTGCCGCCGGCGAGTACGCTGCCAAGAATGGCAAAAAAACACTGCGTTGTTGTGAATCTGCAGTGGACGTCGCAAGACGCCAAGGCGACGCTAAAGTTGCACGCGAAAGCGGACGACATTTTAGTCAAAATGTGCAAACATTTAGGATTGAAGATACCGGAATACGATCCGTCGACGGAGAGCGTGGGTAGGAAAGTGAAAGAGAGAGGGGAGATATTCGCGTGCGAAGTGAAGGAGAACGATTGGAACGAGAAAGGTATGGCGATGAGAGATATCGACGAAAAGTTGAAAGAAGCGACGACGGGAATGGATGCGATCGGGAAAACGAACGCGCGAATTTTGTTCGGCGAAGCGGACGGTGGTAAGAAGTTATCGAAAACCGCGCGAGAGGCGCTCATTCGAGACGAGAAGCGATTGAAAGAGGAACGAGAAGGCAAGGTTAATGCGACGAAGACAACAACGAGAAAGAGAAAGTCGAAGAGTTTAACGATGAAACCGAGATCGAAGATGCCGTGTTTCCCTCGACCGGGATCGAAACAAACGCCTTTGACGAATACCAGTCCGCCGTTGTTTGACGCGTCGAAAATTGTCAAAAAGAAACGAACGCCTCTGAAGAAAAGGCGAAGTATGGTGACGAAGAAGGAGGAGGAAAAGATGGATAAAGAAGAGAGGATGAAGCCCAAGGTTGCTACAGCCGTTCCGATCGTCGTGAAAACGGAACAGGTTGCTGTTTTACCTCCATCGGACGAAGATATAGCGCGAATGCTGTTTGCGGAAATTAACGGCATGAGAAGACGCAGGTAAGTAGGTAATTTAGTAGTTAGATTTAATAAATACAAAAAACGCTCGCATTCAATGATGATTATAATCATCATCATCATCATCATCCTCGTAAGATTTGCTCTTGAGACGTTGTAAAGTGACCAACTGCAGTGCGAGCAAACACGATGCCGCGAGTATTCCGTAAAGTTTGGAGCGCGCGCGAGCGACTTCCTTATTCTCGTCGCCCCGGAACGCATCCGTCAGCGCGAGTCGATACGAGTCAATCGAAGGCGGTTTCACCCGCAAACGTATTGAAGTCTCGGACGGTTTGAGATTTTTCGAGCTCATCACCGAGGAAATGTGAACGGTAACTGTATCGTTAACGTACTCAAGATCATCACCATATCTATTGTACACGTTCAGATATTCCATAGATTCTAAAAGCGCGTTCGCCACCGTAGGCGTCGCTTCAAACTCAACTTTCGAGTCACCTCCGCCGTCGCCGCGCAGCAACGGAAGTGATGCGGCGGCGTCCAACGCGGTATCATTCGTTAGATAGACTAGATTTTGGCAATCAGAGACGATTGATACGCGCACCAAAAACATATCTGAATCCACTCCGGCGTTCGATACGGTAAATGAACGAGACAAGTCGACTCGCGACATCCATTCAACAACCGGAAAGACATCCGCGCTCTCGGCGACCAAGGTTTTAGCATCCTCGATATTTATCACGTCAAAAATGATTTGCTTCGTGAATGTCGCCGACACGTTTTCGTTGCTCGTCGATACGACGCGAATGGTGGCTATATCACTCCCGTGGTAATTCTTTACCGGTGTATACGAAAATGTACTACACGCGAACACGCGCCCGTCTACTTCTATCGCATATTTTTGCGATTCCTGCCAGTACGCCGCGCCCTTCGTTGGAAATTGAATAAAGTTAACGTTTATATTTCCCATATTTCCTGACGAGAGCATATTCGAGTGTACTCGAGTATCGTTTACGCATGCATGCACAACAGTTTCCTCGTCTTCCGTGACATTCAACACGACGGTGTTTGTTTTCGTTGAACACGATTGGGCGTCGCGCTCGGCGGCGTCTTCTCGAAAAACGCACGCCAAGAGCGGAGGTAAGAGATTGACCGTCACGCGCACTCTCGCTGATTCTATAGCCGACAAAGGATACTCCGTTACATTTGCATCGAAAGGAAGCGCGAGGAACTCTATACATGTCGCTGTCGATGCCGTCACCGCCGAGCGAAGCTTGTGTGGAGGATAATAGCAAAACGTACACGTCGCGTGAGCGCAATAAGTCAACGAAGGAGACTCTTCGTCGCAAGAGCCAACGCGTCCTATGGACGGGGATGTAATCATTTCGACTTTAAACGTGTCGTACATTTCCTCTTTATCAATTGCGAGGACTTGAATCACTCTCCTTTCATTATTGCCGTCCTCGGCGACAACATCAAAAACAACGGGCGTATTTATGAGCACCGTTTCGGGTACTCTTTTTCTCAGCTTTCCGCGGTGCAACGCTTGCACGTTAGATGTACTCAACGATGTATTATACATTGCAAAATACTTAACGTATCCATCAAAACAGCAATGGTCACCGAGGCGGATAAACTTACTCAACGCGTTCATACTCGGCAAAGAGTACGATTGACCAAACTGCACATTTCGCGTCGTCGCGAGACGAAGCGGTTGACCGTTTGCAAACGCGTCTACGCTGAGAAATATGGATTCAGAAGAACCATCTATCTCACCGCCTCGAAATGAAACCACGAGCGAGACGGCTAAATATGACTCGTTACTATCACTACTGCTATTCCATCGATATGAGTTTTCAAAAACAGGATTCTTTCGAAACATCACCTCTTCCGGAGCAACGAACGCGTACTGTTGACATTGCACGTGCGTTTCCACGATAACCGCGGCATTCTCTGTTCCATCCATAAAGTACTTCGGTCCGTACCGAACGCGGAATCTTGGCGGTACGCCAGGCCACGCATCGCATGGTTCCCTCGCGACCACTGAAGGCGTCGTCCCGCCGTTTGGAGTGTAGTTTTCAAAACTATCTTCCAAAGTCCAAATCGTCGCGTATCCGGACGACGCGTTTGCGCTTCGCATCGTCTGCGTAGGTACGAACGTAATCTCAAAACTACTGTTCGTACCCAAAGGTAAAGAAAATGGATTCGTCGAATCAGTGTTTTCAAACGCTGAAATAACCGCGCTCGAGTTTACGTATAAATGTTCCTTCGGTTTGAGCTTAATCGACTCTGTTCTCAAACGCGTATCCGCGACATCGGTTTCGTTCGTACAGATGTTGGCGCAAGAAGAATACCCGTCATCGCTCTCCTCTCCTCTTTTATCGCATGGCAATCCTCGGTCGTTGTTTGAATAATACAACGCCAACATCGAATGTAGAGAAGGAATATGCGAAAAATCGTTCTTCTCCTCCTCGTTCGTCTCAAAAATGGGCATAACCTTTTCCAACGCATCTTCGCCGTTTCTCCGAACAACGCAAATCTTCTCCCGCATGGACCAGGCTAAAAATGGTCTTGGAATCATTTCCACTTCCCCGATGTCCTCGATCATCGCTTCCGCGAGAACGAGTACTACGAATACTACTCGGGCAAAAGTAGCCACGGAAAGGAAGAGGATTGGGTTGAAAAGCGCATCATCGCGCGAGGACGAGAGGAGAGAAAAACATCCCCTCCTGGTTTTGTTCGTACGCATGCGCATGTGGTTTTTTGCGTTGACTCCGAATAAGCGTTTCAAAACGTGAGTATCAGTTGCAATATCAAAGCTACCGCACGGGTCATCGGTGGACTGAAAAATTCGTCGTAATACGCATCGTCGGTGGTGAAGTGCTCCTCCTCTCTTCCTCTCCTTTTAATGATAGCGCTTTAATACTACCGTAAGAGAGCGAGCACACGCGCTCAAGCCTTAGTATTTTTGAGGAAAAAAGAGGCAAAACTTCCCCTCATTTTGTCATAAAAACAAGACTAAAATGATGCCACGACGACGATGACGGAAGACAAAGAAGACCACCAAAGCGAAGGAAAAAGACTGAAGTCGATTTCAGTCGTCATCTCGTGCCTGAACGAAAGCGAGAACATTTCCAAGTGCATACACTCCACCCTCGCACAAAAAGGACGCAAAAATTGGGGAAATCATCATCACGCGGACGGTGTTCGGGAAAAAGAACGAGTGCGAACAAAAGTCGTCGTCGTGGATGGAGGATCCACGGACGATACCGTTTTAAGAGCGAAAAAAGTAGTCTCGGACATGAAGACAAAGAGTGACGGTAAAGACGAGGAGGAAGTGATCATTGTCGAGTGCGCGGAACGAGGGCGAGCGAAACAGTTTAATCGAGGCGGGAGAGTTGTACTGAGGGGTTCGTTGGAGGAGACGAAAGAAGAAAACATTTTGGTGTTTTTACACGCGGATACGACGATGCCGGAAACGTACAGAGAAGATATTTACGACGCTTTGCGCAGAGAACGGGAGAGGCGCGAGAGAGAGCGGCGGTTTCCGAGCGCGTGGGGGGTGATTAAAAATGGCTGCGCCAAGTTTGCGCGGCTCGGAAGAAGCGTCGGTAAGGCCGAGAGTACGAACGAGAACAACAGAGCGGATGTACCGTGCTGGGGCGCGTTTCCCATCAAACTCTCCGGCGAACGCTCGAAATGGAAGAAATGTGTCGTCGCGTCGTTCGCGAATTTTCGAACGCGACGGACGTCTATTCCGTACGGCGACCAGGCGATATTCGTAACTGCGTCGGCGTTTGCCGAGCACAAGTTTGACGAGTCGAAGATGTTCATGGAAGATTACGAGTACTCGTCGAGGATGAAGAAGTGTTTTGGGAAACCGGCTATTTGCAAATCACCCGTGGTGACAGATTCCAGACGGTTTGAATCGGTTGGGTTTATGAACACGACGATGATTAATATTTTGTGCGTGGTTGGGTTTCATTTAAAAGTGGACGTCGGAGTTCTCGCGAAGTTCTATAGGAATGCAAATAAAAGAAGAGAAGTAGACACGAATTAGGTAGTAAAACGAACATACATACACGTAATAAATTACAAAAATCATTTCACGCGCTTCCTTCAGACACGTAGCACTCATCTAAACCAAATACCGACCCACCCGTTCGCGCTTCTTCTGGAATATGCCTCACGTCGTTAAACTGTACCAAGCCGCAAATGTTCTCTTCCGTCGCCACGTCTAAATCTATCGCGTGAATCCCCGCGTTTTGTGAGCAAAACAACCCCATCTGTCTCCCCGTGGATTTCGGCACGCCGACTAAAATTTTCAACAGTATATCCGTAAACATCCCGTGCGAAACGATGACTAAATCGCCAACTTCTGGTTCGTCGTCCACTTTCCGCTTCTTTGCTTGTTGAGCCTCTTCTTCTTTCTCTACTTCATCAACTTTCTCTTTTAAACCACCGCTACCTCTCGCTCGCTTCCATAACGACTCCGCCACTCTCTCCGCTCTCGCTTGCGCTTCCGGCACTGTCTCCACCCCTCGCTTCGTATCCCACCACCCGTTTTTCAACGCCTCCGGGACTATAACATCTGGAAACACTTGTTTCATCTCGTCTCTCCCCATTCCGGGTCGCCCGGTCGCGGCCGCCGTCGTCTTGTTCTCGTTCGCGCTCGTCTTCGCATCCCCTCCTTTTCCTCCTCCTCCTCCTCCTCTCCCGCCTTCAAAACACCCCCCGTGTTCAAAAATCTCCCCATTCACGCGCGCGTTCCCCGTCCTCAACCCATCTTCGACTGCTTTCGCGGTCAATAAACATCTCTTCATCGGCGACGTCCACATTTCGTTCACGTTTTTATACCTCTCATTCGCTTCCGTGGTGAAACATTTCGTTAAATTCGCACACTGTGTCCACCCTTTCTTGGTTAAACTCGGGTCCGATTGCCTCGAAGGGTTGTCCAAGTTCGGGGAGAGCAACGCGTTGTTCTCGGATTGCGCGTGGCGAACTATGAATACTCTCATTAGGGTATTCTTAGTACTGCTCGCTGCTCCTGTTCTTCTTCGCTCTTTTTTCGTAGCAGTCGTCGTCGAATAGAATAGCGTTGTTCAAGCGCTCAATACTAATGATGAATAAAAGGAGTTGTCTCGAATGCTCTTTTTCCCCTTAATTTAACACACCAAAACTGTGTGAAAGGTCCACCAAAAAAAAAAACAAAAGTACGGGTAAAATTTTTTCAAGTGTCCTCCAATAAAAAGAAAAGCACATAACGTCATACTTTGACACGCTTTAAACGACGCGCAAAGAGAGGAGGGATACACACACCATCACAGAGAGAAGAATACGCGCCGCGCGACACACATAATACGCATCTTTTTTTCTCGCGCGAGTGTTTGAAAAACGCGTCCGAGGCGGGACGAAGAGACGGAGGAAAAATGAGCGCCGTCGACCACCGGAAGGAAAATGTCGAAGACCCGACGAATCGTTTGGAACAATACGCGAGCTTATGCCGGGATGAACTCGAAGCGCACGGAGGGAAACTGCCCTCGGTGGAAATTAAGTGCGATTTTGATTACACGTTACACTTACCGGCGAATAAAATCGACCGGTCGATAAAAACCGTCCCCGGGGTGCTCACGGACGTGGCGATGAAAATTCCGAATAAAGTGAGAGAGAAAATCAGCGGGAAGGAAAACGACGCGACGAAGATGGAACCGTTTCGGGTTTTGAAAGACGTGGACTGTTGCTTTAAAGCGGGGTCGTTGACGTTGGTATTGGCGCCTCCTGGACACGGGAAGACGAGTTTGTTGAAAGCGGTCGGGCAGATTTTACCGAGCGCGGTTTTGAGCGGCGGGAAAGGCGTCACGTATTCGAAGATGACGGCGGAGGAGTTGAAGGAGAAGGATATCGACGCCAATAGGATGGCAATGTACGTGACGCAACAGGACGAACATTTACCGTTTTTGACGGTGAGAGAGACGACGAAGTTTTCACACGAAAACGCGACGCCAACGCCGACGAATGAGAGAGAGGAAGACGTGCACTCGAGGAAGATTGATAGCGTGCATCGATTGTTGTCGTTGGAGAACTGTTTGGATACAATCATCGGGAACGATTTAGTGAGAGGCGTTTCTGGAGGGGAGAAAAAACGCGTCACGATTGGCGAAGCTATGGTAACGAACGCGCGAGTGTTTTGTATGGATGAGATATCGACGGGATTGGACGCCGCGGTGACGCATAACATCATCGCCGCTTTGAGAGAGTGGACGAGAATCACCAACGGGACGGTTATCGTTTCGCTCTTGCAGCCGACGCCGGAGGTGTACGAACTTTTCGACGACGTCTTGTGTTTGCGAGACGGAACTCCGGTGTATCACGGTGACGTGGATAAAGTGGTCGATCATTTTTGTGGTCTCGGCTTTGACAGCGAGAACGCGAAGAAAGGCGACGTGGCAGATTGGTTGTTGAGCGTTTTGGTGGATCCGTTGGCGCATTCCAAAACGGGCGCGTCGAACCAGTTTGCCTCTGGCGACGGGTTAAGGAAAGGATGGGTCGAAAACTCGAACGGATTATATAAAAAGAGCATCGGAGAGACCGATTGCGTGGACAAATCGGACGGGAAGAACATGATTGATTTGCGAACGCCCTTCGCCAAGGCGCAATATTCCACCGCCTACCCGAAAGCGTGGCCGAGTATGTATAAATCCGTCATCAAGAGACAATTTCAAATCACGCTTAGAAATAAAGTCTTTTTATCGGCAAGAATGTTTGGTGCGTTGATCACGTCCGTCGTTCTCGGTTCTGTTTGGTTTGATTTGCCCTTGGATAGAGGTTTCGAGCGTTTAGGCATGCTCCTGTTTTGCGTCTTGCACATTTCCTTTAGCAATTTTTCCGAGTTGACGTTTAGCGTCGAACAGAAATACGTGGCGTATAAACAACTCGATTACAAGTTGTTCCCAACGTTTGCGTACATCGTGTCTTCTATTGCCACGCAGTTACCGATCGCGGTGTTAGAGACGGCAATATTTAGTTGCATTTTATACCCGATGGTTGGTTTGTCCATGGAATTTGAAAACTGGTTGGTGTTCTTCATCAATTTAACGTGCGCGAACGTTGCGATGGCGAGTTTCTTCAGAGTCGTCGCTCTTCTTGCGCCAAACATGGAAGCGGCACAAACTTTTCCTGGCCCCGTTATCGCGATTATGGTCATCTTTGCGGGCTTTTTAATCTCCCCGGAGAAGATGGGCGTGTTGCACTTCCTTTATTGGATTTCTTTGTTCGCGTACTCGTTGAGATCTTTGTGTCAAAACGAATTCCTCAGCGATCAGTTCAAGTATAAAGTGCCATTGGATCCCACCGCGGCCGCTGTGTACGTTCAAGGGTACACGGGAGACCCGAAAACGATGGCGGAGTTTTGCGAGGAGAACGCGTTCCCGTGCGAAGACGCCGGGAAGATTACTCTGAGTACCATCGATATCAGCTCGGATAAAAAATATTTCTGGGCCGGGCCGATATTTTCTATCGGGTTCTTTTGCCTGATGACCGCGATAGGTTATAGAGCGTTGTCGAAGATTCGTATTCAGCGCAACATCGGGTCGTCGAGAACGTCGTCGAGTGAAAAGAAAAAAGACGGGGAAAATGCCGAAGAAGTGAGCATTTCAATCTCGAAGGTTGACGCGGAGGCGTCGCAAAGAGCGTTAAGTTTTACTCCAATGAGCATCACGTGGGAAGATTTGGAGTACACGGTAAAGGTTCCTGGAGAAGACGGTAAGCCGTTGTCCGGATCGAAGAAAATTTTGAACTCAGTCACCTCCGCGGCGCAACCGTCGAGAATGTTAGCGCTCATGGGTGCATCTGGCGCTGGAAAAACGACGTTGTTAGACGTCATCGCCGGGCGCAAGTCTGGCGGGGAAATGAGAGGTACGATTAAATTGAACGGTCACGTGGTCAAGAAGGAAACGTTTGCGCGATTAACCGCGTACTGCGAACAACAAGATTTGCATAACGCGTTTACAACCGTTAAAGAAGCTTTGGAATTCTCCGCGACGCTCCGTTTGCCATCGGACGTTTCCAAAGACGCTCGAAAAGCGGTCGTTGACGAAGCTTTGGATATCTTGGAGCTGAGAGGCATCGAGAATCGTTTAATCGGCGTGGCGGGTTCGCCGAGTGGCTTATCGCCCGGTCAACGCAAAGTCTTAACCGTTGGCGTCGAGTTGGTCTCGAACGCCCCGGTGTTCTTTTTGGATGAACCGACGTCTGGTTTGGACTCGAGAGCGGCGTTGATTGTCATGCGCGAGGTGAAAAAAGTCGCCAATCTTGGGCGGACGGTCATCACCACGGTCCACCAACCGTCCAAGGAAATTTTCAACTTGTTCGACGATATGTTGTTGTTACAAAGAGGCGGCTATCAGGTCTATTTCGGCCCGTGTGGCGTGAATGGCAAAACATTCGTTGACTATTTGCAAAAGATTCCAAACGCGCACGCGTTGCCGGACGGCATGAACCCGGCGTCGTGGATGTTGGACGTGTTGGGCGGCACCGACTCCTCAAACGCGGGCGAAAAAAGCGCGTTGAAGAAATCGAAATCAACCGCGGCGGGCAGTTTGCAACCGGCAATGACGATGAAACGCAGCGGTTCCGGGGGCGCCTTGAACGGCCTCCTTTTGGTCGAACGGTTCAAAGCCTCCCAGGAAGGCGCCGCCGGTACGCGCTTAGTCAAGGAATTGTGCGCCAAAGGCGAAAAGTCGGAAATGTTCGCCTTTGCCTCGCCGTACGCTCGATCGTTCTTGGCGCAACTCAGATGCCTCATCCAACGCGCATCCCTCGCGCACAACCGCGACGTCGCGTACAATCTTGGGCGCATTGGCATTCTCTTTGTTCTCTACCTCCTCTTCGGGTTTGTCTACTTCGATTTAGACGCGTCGAACGAAACCGGCGTCCAAGCGATGGTCGGGGTCATTTTCATGACGTCCATTTTCGCCGGTATCATCTTCATGAACTCCGTCATGCCCGTGCGCGTGAGAGAAAGAGCCGTGGCGTATCGCGAACGCACCTCGTTCATGTACGACGCCGTCCCATACTCTCTATCGCACGCGATTTGCGAAGTCCCGTGGGTCTTACTGGTCACCTTTGTCACCGTCACCCCGCTCTACTTCATGGTCGGCTTAGTCCCAACCTTCGAGCACTACATCTTCCACGTTCTCATGGTCTTCACCGTCTCAATGGCATTCATGTCTTTAGGTCAGCTCATTGCGTGTCTATGCGCGACCATCCAAACCGCGCAAGCTGGCGCGTCTGCCTTCATCCCTATCTGCTTCCTCTTCGGCGGTTTGTACCTCCCGTACCCGCAAATTCCCGTCTATTGGAAGTGGGCGTACTTCATCGACCCGGTCGCGTACGCCATCCAAGGTGTCACCGCCCCGCAATTCGAACACCGAGGGTGTACCGGCGCGTACCCAGACGGCGACTGTCCAACCATTCAAGCCTTCCGAGGCACGTATTTCGAAACCGTCGACACGTTGGCGTACGTGGAAGAAAAATACGACGTCCAACTCTCCCAAAAATGGTACATGTTGATTTACGTCGCCATTTTCGTTTTGTGCATGCAAACGCTCCATATTATCGCGTTCAAGTTTAAAAAAGTCGTCGCTCGATAATACTAGGAGCTTCGTTTACTGGTGGTAGTTTTTAATAATGAAAGAGAGAGCGAGAGAGAGAGAGCGAAGACCATTCATTCCTATTTACGTATCCCTTTTGTTCCTTTTTTTCCTTCGCGTATTTTTCAAATTTCAAATTCACTTCTCACAAAAAGAAGCACGAAAACAGACTCGAGAGAGAGAGTGTTGTCGAGAGAAGGTTCTTTAAACTTCAGTCATAAAGAGCGAGAGAAGAGAGAGAGAGAGCACTCGAGAGGGGACTTTTATCGAGCAGAACAGAAAGAGAGGTTTGATTGAGATTGACACAGAGAGAGAGAAGAAACCTTTTTCTCATCCCTTCTTTTTTCCCTTTCAAGCGCTGTTTGCGCGCAATTTTGAATTCAAAAAATACTCGCGCGGAAACGACGTAGACGAGCGAGATGGTGTCGAAGGAAACCGCGAAACACGATAAAGACGACGAGAGGGTGCCAGAGCAGGTGAAGCAGCCGATGCTGACGGCGAAGCAACGTTTGAAGTTGCAGTTACACCGAGAACAACAACAGAAAGAGAACAACAAGTGTAGCACTCAACAACCGAGGAGGAGTGTAAACACCTCAGAGGAGATCGAGCCGACGATATCACCAATGGTTTCAAACGTTTCGAAAGAGAGCGCGCGAGTGATGGAACACTCGAAATCGCACCCGAGGATGTTGAAATCAAACGCGACGTCGCACGTTTGGGCGTTGGGTGCGTTGGCGGAGTTATTGGATAACGCGCAAGATCGCGAGTGCGGCGCCGGGAAAGTGGAAGTGGACGCGTATGTTCGCGATGGGAAGTACGTGATGACGGTACAAGACGACGGGAGAGGGATGACTCGATCTGGATTGAATAACATGTTATCGTTTGGTTTTTCCGATAAAGAGCACGTATCTGGGAACGTTGGAAGGTTTGGAATCGGTTTCAAATCAGGATCGATGAGATTAGCCGACGACGCGTTGATTTTGACGAAAAGAGACGGGTACGCGCACGCGGCGTTGTTATCCCAAACGTTTTTGGACTCCGTCGCCGCGGACGATATTTTGATCCCGATGTTCTCTTTCACGTTGTTAGAAGGCGACGGAGTAAACTACGTCCCGTTCGAGCCAAGTGATCAGAGCGAGTGGACCAGCAACACGGTCATCTTCGAGAAGTATTCACCGTTTAATGCGACAACGCTCATGAAAGAGTTTGATAAGATTCAAGGTTCTCACGGGACTCGAATTATCTTGTTCAACTTACGAAAGCGCGAAAACGAAGACTCGCATCTCTACGAGCTCGACTTTTGCACTTGGAATGATATTCGCATCTCTGACCACACGGCAGAAAATACGCGCAAGCATCGAGGCCCGGTCTTTCAACAAAATCGAGACGGTCAACTCGCGACGACAGACGTTCCCGAAGATTACTCCATGAAGGCCTATATGGAGATTCTTTACTTGCGACCTCGATGCGCGTTCTACTTGCGCGGCGAGAAGATTGTTCCTCGCTGTCCAATCTCTCGATTGACGAAAGAATATTACGTCTTTCCGGAATACAAACCGAAAGGTTTCGCAGACGGAGTTACTGTCCATTGCGGGTACGTCGAAGGAAACTCCAAGTTGTGCGGCTTCCACATTTACAACAAAAATCGTTTGATTCGCATGTACCAACGCTTTTCGAGTCAGTTGCAAGCGAACTGTATGATGAAAGATATGCTCGGTGTCGTCGAGGCGGACTGCGTGGAACCGACGCACAACAAGCAAGCCTTTAAAGAAAACGCGTTGGCATATCATCGCATGAAATCGCACGTCGCAAAATGCATGAACGATTACTATTTCGGCATTCAACAGCTTCGTTCTGCCGGTAAGCACGGACGCGAACGCGTCGTCGATAATGCTTATGTAAGACGGAAAGGAAAGCTAAGCGATAGGAAAGGGAAGAAACGCAAAGCGAAGGAGCAAAGCGAGGACGTGAGTGGTGTCACGCTCACTGAGAACGAAACCAGGGTGAACGCGCCACTTTATAAGTACAAGATAATCTTACAAAAGTTGATGAACGATCGAAAATACTCATTTCCGTTCTTAGAAAAAGTCGATCCGGTCGCGTTGAACATTCCGGACTATTTCGACGTGATATCCGATCCCATGGATTTTGGGACGATTTTCAAACGTTTAGAACCGGAGGATGAAAAAGGCGTTCCCATCGAACCGACGTATTACACGAACGAGAGTGATCCAGAAATATTCGCCAACGATGTGCGTTTAGTGTTTGCGAATGCGTTTAGGTACAACCAACCGGGTACTTTCGTATACGTTTGCGCGGAAAAGTTAGCGCAAATATTCGAGCGCGAATGGAGCCAGAAGTTTCCGGCTTCATCTTACAGCGCGGGTGCCAAGTTCGAGCCAACGGTGTTGAGAAATCGCGTTTACGAGTTCATCGAGCGCAAAAAAGCGCGCAAAAACGAGAACCGTATTGCCGAAAAAACCAACGACGGCAGTGGCGACGCCGAAGAAGAGTTTGATATCGAGAAAGTTCTCACACAGTACGACGATACGGCGAAGAGAAGATGGATGGAAGCAAGACTCAAAGAGACTCTCGAGATGAAGCAAAAGATGCATAATCAATCCATGGTGGTCGTCAGGCAGCAAAATCACATCGCAGCTCTCGTAGACACGTTGAAAGATACGCAAAAAGACGTCTCGGAAGTTACGAAGAGAAAACAAGGCGCTGTAAGAAGCGATAACATCGCCAACAGGGAAAAATACGCATCTGAACAAACGATGCTCATCAAGCAATTGAACGCGGCGCAGGAGAAAATCACAGAGCAACACGCACAAATAGAGAAACTTCGAAAGAAGGCGCAAGCGAAGAATGGTCATCGATTGAACCAAACTATTGAACCCTTACCAGAAGGCGTACCTGCGGCGGGCGTAGATACGAAAGAAATTTTACAAGCCTTGCGTTCCGCAACAGTAAAGCTCGCAAATCAGTACACGTTGATACAGCTTTTGCGGACACGTCAAAAAATACTCGAAGATCAGTTGACAGCAGAGCAGGAGCGAGCTAAAAAAGTCCAGGCTATACTGTCCTTGGATATTAGTAAGGATGTGTCCGAGAAACGCGTGGAGAAGACGAAGCAACCGCAACACAAAGCGTCGCCGACGACGACGGTAAAAACGTCACACGAACAAACGACACCGTCTAAAACGCAAAGTTTACGCGTCAAAAAGATCAACACGGTCGCTTTCGAGCAACCAGCGCAGTCACAGGAGATATCGCTGCTCCAGCTTCCGCAGCCACCGCCACATGCGCCTCCGCGACTAGCATTACCGGCACCTGCGTTGGAGCAAAGCAATACGGTCATCGTGACAACACCTTCAGGTATTTTAAATCAAGCGTTTGAAGGCGGTAGTAACACTCCGTCACCACAAGGAACGATGTGTTTACCCACAGGGAGTGACGAAAGTCTACAATCGCCGATGAAAATGGTGGATGTGCAACAGGCGTGTCGCGACGAACATCGAGGGCAGTCTCAATCGACACCGACGGCTCAGTATTTCCTGAAAAAGAGTGGTTCATCGACGAAACCGAAGAGTAAGCGGGTTATCAAAGCTCCGCCAGCGAGCTCGCTTCCTCGCGGAATGCACTCTCCCACAAAGGCGCCGCGTCTCGAAAAATTGAAGGACGTTATTATGAGGTCGCCCTCAGTTCACGATAAGCGAGAATAAAGTCTCTAGAGAAAAAAGAAAGAGAGAGACTTATCATTATTCAAAGAGACAACAAAGCAACGAACGTACATAAAGCAGAGAAAGAGAGAGAGAGAGAGAGAGTTCGTTTTAATATATAATTTTAGAGACTTGTTTTTCATTTCAAATTTCTTCTTTTTCTGCGTCCTCCGCGGTTGGCTCAACCACTTCCGGCGCAGCCACTTCCGGTGCAGCTGCCGCACCCGCATCCGCACCCGCATCCGCATTCGCATCCGCATCAACCACATTCTTCTCTCCTTCCCCCGCCGGCGCTTCTTCTTTTCCCACAATAGCATCAATACTAGCATCATCACCACCAGCTTCTCCATCTTTCGCCTCTTCTTCTTCCTTCTTTTTCTTCTCACCTTCGTCGTCCGAATCGTCTGAGTCGTCGTCCGAATCCTCGTCCAACGCCGCCAATTTCGCCGCCAACGCCGCCTCTTCAATATCCAAGTTATCCTTAATCGCATTCACCGTCTCCACCCCGCTCGCTTTCTCGGCTTGCTTTGCCAAAGTCGCCGCCGGTGCGCCTTGTTGCATCGCTTGTTGTACTTGCTTCGGTAACTTTGGCGGTTCCGGTCTACTTCTCAACTTGAACGCTCCGGTCGTAATATCCACCGGAGGCGCGTCCACAACTTGAAACTCGCGATCGTCTAGCTCTTCAATCTTCACCCACTCGAAGGATTCGTTTTCCGTGTTAATATCGTACGTCAAGCAGTGTTCTTTCGTTTCTTCTTTGTAATCCGTCACGATACAATCGAACCACCCGCCTTCCGCCGGCCAAAACCGTTTCACTCTTCGGCAAATATACTCGTTCACTCCCAACGCGTCCAAATTTTTTGCCAAAACCGCCGCTTTCTCCAGTTGTTTCTGCATTCTCGCCGACGGCGGTTTCGGTTCTTTCGGTGGTCTCGCTTGTCTGTACTGTTGTTGCGGCGGCGCGTACCCGTCTTCGTCGTCGTCCTCGTCGCCCGGATATTGCTGCTGATAATATTGCTGCTGCTTCTTTTGCGTCTTTTGTCGCTTCGCAGCCGGCGGTTCCGGCGGCGTCAGCTTATACTGAACGAACGCATCTCTCAACCGTTTCACGTTCTCGTCCCCTCCGACGTTTTCTCTCACCTTCATGTGATCTTCGTTCGAGACGTTCAACTCGATGCGTAACTTGGCGATTAAATCTTCTCTTTCCCAGGTCAAACCGGTCACGGCTAAAGCTTTCATGATCGACTGGTACGCCGAGACTTCTAATCGTCGCACTTGGGTTGGAACGGACGCCATTCTCTTTGTGTGTTTACTACTAATCCGCTTCAATCCGAGAGCCGTCAATTATGTGAATTATTCCAAAAGCAACGAAGAGTTTTCTTTCCAAACCAACGCTTGGTTTTCAGATCTCCTCCCAAAGAAAAAGAGAGAAAGAAAACGAAGCGTCTTTCGTAAAAGCAACAAAGAGAGAGGTTCTTCTTGGTAACTTTCGATAGGATACTTCTGTGTGTGTGTGTACTCAAAATGTCGCTTAATTTTGAGCGACGATTCAATTTTTAATTCTTCGATGAAAACTGTTTAGGGTGTAGGGTTTATCGAGACCGGGTCACTCTTGGCTCCTCCTTTCTTTGTTCCTCTCTTTCCTTCCGTCAGAGTAGAAACCACATTTTTCGTAGTCGAACACAAAATGGTACGTCGTTGCTTCTTTTACGCGCGAAACTCTCTCTCTTCTGTGAATAGTTTTTGTGTCTCTTCTCGCGAACGATGAAGATACGCATAAAACGCGCATCACAGATACGGGAGGACGTTCGCGCGCGTTCGTTTTTATTCGATGTGCGGCTGCGATTTTTTCCTTTTCCGCCTAAACTTTCTTGCGTAAAAGAGAGAGATTTTGGCGCGAAATGAGAGGAGGATTTCGCCGCTTTACGCGTCCTTTCTCGTCGCAAAGGCAACTGCGAACGCAAAATTTGCGCGCGGACAGTTCTCGCGCATGAAATGGAACCGTTGCATCGCCCAAACCGGGTTCGCGAAGACATTCCGTCGTGTTTTGAGCGGCGTAAAATCATCGGAAATTTTTGCTCTCGCATTAGGTTCATTACGCGAGAAAAAAGCACTCAACATCAGGTTCACGCGTTTACTTACGTATTATCTCGCTCTTCTTTCTTTATACGAAACAAACAGGTTGCCGCTCCAGAATCCGTCCTCAAACGCCGCAAACGCGACGAGCAATGGGCCGCTCAAAAAGCCAAAGCGGACGCCGAGTCGAAGAAAGCCCAAGAGAAGAAAAGGGAAGAGGTGTTCAAACGCGCCGAAAAGTACGTCAAGGAGTACGAGTCCCAAGAGAAAGATTTGATTCGCTTAAAAAGAGAAGCCAGAGCGAAAGGCGGCTTTTACGTCGAACCGGAGCAAAAGTTGATCTTTGTCATGCGATTGAGAGGTTTGAACGACATGCACCCGAAGACGAGGCACATTTTACAGTTGTTGCGTTTGAGACAAATTCACAACGGCGTCTTCATGAAGGTGAACAAAGCGACGGTGAACGCTTTGAGAAAGGTTGAACCGTACATCATGTGGGGGTACCCGAACTTGAAGACGGTGAAGGATTTGATTTACAAGAGAGGTCACGGTAAGGTGAACAAGCAACGAATTCCGTTGACCGATAACAGCGTGGTGGAGAAAGTGTTGGGTGATAAAGGTATCATTTGCGTGGAAGATTTGATCCACGAGATTTACACCGTCGGCCCGAACTTCAAGGAGTGCGCGAACTTTTTGTGGCCGATGAAGTTGTCCGCGCCGTTGGGCGGGATGACCAGAAAGAGAAATCACTACATCGAAGGTGGCATGGCTGGTAACAGAGAGGAGAACATCAACGCTTTGGTCAGAAGCATGAACTAAATATTATTGTTGTTATAACTGATCTACGTAGACTATTACTTTACATATTAAGAACTCGTTGTTGCTTCGAAATATCTTCGTCTCTTTCGTATCTTCGCCGATCCTTCTGCACAAAAATGGCGAAACCTTCTCCTTTACCACCGCCGATGGCGACTACGAATACAAATACGACTACCACTACCACGAATACTATTAATACTAACAATATGATGTCGGAAAAAGAGCGCGTGTTGATGCGATATTTGCTCGAACAACCCTCGTTCGGGAGAGACGGACACGTCCCTCCGGACGTCTTGTTTCAACCACCACCGTTCGTGTTGGGAACGGAGGAGGAGCAACGTAACAATCATCAACCTCACGCGAACGAACACTACGACGTAAAGGATACCACGAATACCAACACGAATAAGAATTACGAGTCTTCGTCCTCGAATCAAAAATCCTCTTTAAGCTTACGCTTGAGCGGAGAAACCGTCTCCGGGGAGTGTCTCTCAGTCTCTGGAGGCGCTGGATCGTGTCAGTACCAGTGGCAAAGAGTCGCTCCGCGAGGCGCGATTGAGAGCATAGTTGGCGCGGTTGGACCGAGCTACGTGACGAACGAACAAGATATCGGGAGTCACATTCGGGTGATCGTGAGAATGCTCAGGGTGAGTCAGGATGGGAAGAGTTCTTCGAATAGGAGGCCTTTGATCGCGCACGCGACGACGGACGCGACGGTGGTCGCCGCGGTGAGCTCGAAACATCCCGACGACGATAGATTGGATAGTTTGATAGAAGGGAGAGCGATAACGCCGGGGTTTTTGGGGAGCGAAGAGACGAGAGGGACGAGTACGCCGAGAGGTCACAGCGCGGAAGGGACGAACACGCACAGTTCGGAGAAGAACGAAAACGAGAATAACAACAACGCGGGGGAGAAGGCGAGCAGAGAGGTGTCGAGGGAAGATACCGCCGCGGCAAGAAGTCCTCCGTCGCCGAGTTACAACAACATTACCGCGAGTAATAGCGTGATTAATGGAAGCGCGGTTGGAAAGAACGTCGCGCATAGCGCTTTACTTAATAATATGTTGATTAAAAGCGGCGCCGAGGCGGCCAACGCGAATATCAACAACAACAGCCCGGACGCGCTCAGTCCAAACTTGTCGAGCAGTAATTTGAACAACTACTCCTCCGGTGGGGATGATAGTATTCACAGGAGACGAAGAAAGGAGATTTTACTGGTCGATCGCGCGGACTCGTTGATGCATGGACCTGGATCAGATTCGAGATTGGCGTTTATCCGCGGGAAAGAGCTCGAAGCGAAAGCGAGCGAGGTATTTCGAAAAGTCTCAGACGCTGAAAGTATTAAACGTACGAAAAAGCTCCTCGACGGCGACGGTGAGGATGAGGAGCATCGTAAGAAGAAAGAAAACGACAGTCGCAGTTACTCCGAGTGGGATTCCGAGGATAATAAATCTGAAAACAGCGACGAAAGTGATGTCGATTTCAGCGAAGAAGATGAATTCGATCGAGACGACAACGACGACGACGACATCGCCAACGACGCCTCCGCCGCCGCTGCTGCTGGCGTGAATAGCGACAATGGTGAAGATTCAAGCATCGGGAGTTTGCGAGGCGACGCGAGGAAAGCCGAACGCATCGCCAGGAGAGCGAAGGAGGCGTACGAAGAAGCGGCGATGAAAGGATATCCAGAAGCGATGCAAACGCTGGGTAGATGCTTCGAAAGTGGCTTTGGGACGAGGAAAGATATTTGTAAAGCGGTGGAATGGTACGAAAAAGCCGAGAAACTCGGCTGCGACGAAGCCGCGTGCGATTTGGGATGTATATATTACCTTGGTCGTTTCCCGAGAGATGAACTCAAAAAACGAAACCAATCGGCGCATTTGACCGATTCGTCCGTTTCCGAGATTTCGAGCAACGGAGGGGATGATTTTCAAAACCAACTCGCCGAAGATAGAAAAAAAGCGTTCTCGCTGTTTCAACACGCCGCCGCGAACGGGTCCGGGCCAGGCGCAAACAACGTCGCCATGTGTTACGAGGAAGGCCAAGGCGGCGTTGAGCGCAACTGGCGCGAAGCCGCCAGATGGTACGCGATTGCGGCGAGAAGAGGTGTCTTGTCCGCCCACGCGAGTTTAGGCTACGCGCTTTTAACGCTCGGGAATAGGGTAAGCGCCAAGGAGGCGTTTGAAACTGGCACGCAACACGGAGCACCAGAATGTGCGGATGGTTTGCGTTTGATTCGTGAAGCCGAGAAACACGCGGCGAATAGTCGGAAACATCTTCGCAACGGCGCAAACAACGAAATGGCCACGAAATACTCAATCAAGAGCGCTTCAGGGAACGGATCAGGGAGCGTCTCTTCTTTGGAAATAGTCGAACAGCTTGAGAAAGAGCTGGAAAAATACCACGAACTCAGTCGACGATTATACAACGCCGCGAGTTTACACCCGGAATCTTTAGAAGAAGCGAACGCGGTTCTCATCAACGCGCTTCCGGATATGAATGTCAGTCGAGGATTATGATGATTATGACCTTCATTTTTGTTGTTGTAATAGTAATATATTTAGATATATAGATTTTTGTACAATACGCGAAGTTCTCCGACTTTCTCTTCATCTCAAACATTCTTTTATTAAGAAGCTCTGAACGACTTCAAGAACTCCTTCGTCTTTTTCGTTTCCGCCCGTCGTCTTCGCCACCCCCACTTCAACTCTTTTGCTAACAACTCTACCACGCGATTGGTCGCCATTTCACTCGCCTGCACGTCTAAAAATGCCATTCTCGAACGCCTCGCTAAGAAATCACTCGCCGATCGGCAAAACTCCGCGCGTGCGGCGTATACGACTTCGGCTTCAATCACCGGCACGTTCGGATGTAAACGTTTTTCTAATCCGGCGAAGGAGGCTAAGGATGCGACAGCCATCGCGCGATCGCCGTACGAAGTTGCCAGATGTCTCGAAACATCCGGATCTGGATTTGAACCACCAAATCCGTCGCCTCCAGATTGCGCCACGGATGCCGAAAGAGAATCTTTGTGTCCATGTGCGCCAATAACGCCCATGTTGCTCGTGCGACAGCTCGCAATCGCATTTACGTTTTCCCCACTCTCTCTCATCGTTTTCAGAACTAAATCCACCGTTTCTTCCGCCATCAACCTATACGTCGTCCATTTACCACCAGCGACGACGATCACGTCGCTCGGCGTTTCTTTCGCAATCACGTGGTCTCTCGATAAATCGCTCGAGTTCGTTTTCGTCGGATCTTTCGCCAACGGCCGAGCGCCCGACCACACGGAAAGGACTTCTTGTCGGTGCGGTTGTAAAGCCAAATACGGGGCTATGGTTTCCAATATGTAATCAACTTCGTCTTGCGTCGCTAACGGTTCTTTTGGCGTTTTCTCGCCCGGTTTTAAAGCAATATCCGTCGTTCCAGCGACCGCGTGGTCCAACCACGGCAACAAAAACACGACTCTTCCGTCTTTCGTCTTCGGGATGATCATGCCAAACTTTTCCGGAACGTAATATTTTGGCAACACAACGTGCGTCCCCAACGAAGGCGAGACCATTTTTTTCTCCTTGGTCGCTTTCGACGGATCGTCTAAAGCTCGCACATCGTCCGCGAAAGGTCCGGCGCAGTTGACGATGACTTTCGCTCGCACCGCGTGCGTCTTCCCCGTTTCTTCGTCTTTAAGAATCGCGCCGGTAACTTTCTCTCGATTCACGTCGTCGTCTTTCAATAAATCAACTACAGAGCAGTGATTCAACACGACCGCGCCGGCGTGCGCGGCGGTTACCGCCAACGCTACGTTCAACCTCGCGTCGTCAAACTGTCCATCGCTATACAAAACCGACCCTTTTAAACTCTTCCCCATCGTCGGTTCCTCGGTGCTCAAAATTTCATCCACGTCGTCTCTCTCTCTAATTTTTCTCGCCTCTTCCTCGTCGTCGATCAAAACTTTCCTCTTCGCGACGGTTGGAAACTCCATGATTGTCCTCGAGCTCGTCGCGAACGAGCTAAACGTCAACGCCGACGTCCCGGCGACTAAATCGTACGCCTTCATCCCGGCCCAATAGTACGGCACTTCGTACCACTCGTAACACGGCGTCGCGATCATCAACACGTGACTTAAATGCGGCGCGTTCTGCAGTAACACTTTCCGCTCTTTCAGAGCTTCAAAGACTAACTTTAACTGTCCGTAATCTAAATTGAACACCGCTTTTTCTAAATACCGAACTCCTCCGTGCACGAGTTTCGTCGACTTCGAGGACGTCCCAGAGGCGAAATCGTCTCGTTCGACTAAAATCGTCTTCAAACCTCTCGTTTGCGCGTCCAAGGCGACGCCAGAGCCGGTCGCGCCGCCTCCAATCACCAAAAGATCGAACTTATCGTCATCCTTATCATCTTTATCATAGTCATTGTTCTCAGCAGCTCCTCCGTTCTTCTTATTCCTGGTTGAATGTAAACCAATTCGCCGCTCGATTTCCCGAAACATCTCCGCTCTCGTCGGCAAAGGTTTATCGACGTTCGACCACGGTTCCTGCGGTAATCCTCCTCCTGACCCTTCTTTGTTGTTTCTGCCGTAGTACGTCGCCGCGGAGATGCCGACGACCGAGGAGGCGGCGACGGCGAGTGACCGAGAGACCGTTCGATGAAACATATGGTATTAGAGAGAGAGGTTTGAGGTGTTCGTTAAAAAATGAAGAAAACGTGGAGAAATTCGAGAATACGCGCTAAATGAACGATGCTTTATATTGTTCTCGTATTTGAACACTTGAAAAGCGCTGTTACTACATTCTGACGACGAGACTCTTCTGATACGACGTTTCTACGCCCCGCGGGGGTTCATCATCTCTTCGAAAATTTCAACTTTTCGAACCGATCGGCGAGCGCGTCGTCGTCGGCGGCGGTGGTGGTGGGATCACTTTTCGCTAGTTTAGTTTCGCGCGAGGAAGCTATGCCGGGTGGGGGACCGCCTCTTCCTCTCCCACCTAGTGTGGGTTTTTCTTTCGTCGGAGCGGCGTTTTCGTTCCCGTTTTCGTTTTCGTTTTCGTTTCCTTCTTCTGTTTCTTCTTCTAATCGGACTTCGTCCAAGGCGGCGGCGATGACGGCGTTGATTTCGGCTTCTTTTCCTTCCTCGTTCTCAAAGTCTAAATCGTTAGAGTCGAGCGCTGTGATTTTTCCTTTTCCGGCGGATGATGATGTGGTGGTTGTAGTAGCTAAGAGTTCGTTGGTGGCGACTAAGGCTTCGGCGTACTCGGCGGCTTCTTGCGCTTTGTTGGCGGCGGCGCGAGCCGCTTTCGCCGCCGTTTCCGCCGTCGCGTAGTTTGACGTTTTGTTGCCCTTTCGACGACTCGAAGAGCTTTTCTTGTTTGAATCGCCCGATTCGCATTCGCTTTCGCTGCTGCTGTTGCCACCGCTCGCTTCAGACGAAGAATCTCTGGTACTTTTCTTCTTCTTCTTCTTCGTTGGTTTCTTCTTCTTCTCCGCAACTCTCGGCAACTCGACACCGATCTCCTTCGCCATCTTTTCTAACACCATTCTCGCTTCCACATCGTCGCTCTTCATATCTTTCCGTACCTTTTTCGCGACGATCTGCATGAACTGTTTACTCACTCCACACGCCTCGCTCGTCTTCTCCCGTTCGCAACTCAACCGAAACTCCTTCCCGAACTTCTTCGCGAGTTCGTTAGCGATAGATTTCAATTCCGGTAAATCGTTCGTTAATTCCGAGGAAGAAGTTCCCGCGGCATAAAACATCGACGAAATTGCCGTTCGTAACTGTTTATTCTCACTTCCAGTCAGATCTAAATCCCTGTGCGTCTCTAACACCATCGTCGCAAACTCGCGAACCTCCTCTAAAATCAGAAGGAAATTCCGTTCTCGAGCGATCGAATCGCACTTCTTCAAGGCAACTTCGACGTGTTGTTGTTGCGACAGTAGTAAAACTTTCTTCAGGTCTTGTTCGATCGACTTTATTCTCGACTCGCGTTTCTCGCGTAAAAGTTTAATCCGCCCTAAAAGAATGCGCAGATTGGTCTTCAGCTTTTGGTCGCTGAATTGGTTCGAAAACACCGAAGAGAAGATGGAAAGGATAGAGGACATTATGTTTTTGAGCAGCGAGAAGAAGAGCAGAACGACTCAAGAAAGGTTGCGTGTTTGCAGTCCTATTCGAGAGAGGAATTCGACCGTGTGTTGTTCGGCAAAAGGTTTTGTGCGTCGTTTTGTGGTGCATTTTGGTTCTTTCCCCAAGGGTGGTGCCTTGGGAACGGATTACCGAGCGAGAGCGCTCTCTCGCAATGAAACGTATATACTACTATTAATACACACAAAAGAAGATGACGACGACGACAATCATCCTCTGTCTTCTTCGCTGTCGAAGTTTTTGTCTAGTTGTCAATCTCTTCATCTGAAACGGAGTATGATTCTTCCATCGTCATCGCTCGTCTCAGTTCGGTCGCTTCCTTCTCCATCTCTTCCTCGCCTCGCGGGGTTCGTTCCTCTCCGTCCTCGGCAAAGTCCATCCTCGCTTTCCGTTCCTCCTCTTCGCACTTTTCTAGTTTTTCGTACACGTCGTCGTTTCTCGCGAAATCGTTCGGTTTTCTCGGCATGACGTGCACGTGAACGTGGAACACGGTTTGTCCGGCGTCTTCACCGTCTTGGACGGTGAGCGTCATGGAGTTCGCCGAGTGGATTTTCTTCACCGCTGTTCGTATTGTTTTCGTCCAAGACACAGAGAGAGAGTAAGAGAAAGTCACGTAAAGGTCAGTCGTGCGTACCAAAATGGCATCTCCTTCGACAGAAGAACAAACTCAGCGCTCGCATACGCGCTAAAACATGTGAGAGAACAACTGAAACAACGAACTACCTTTGCTCACTCGTTGACTCGTACTCATCACATCCGTGATTTCCTCCGTGGTCATTTCCTCGAACTTTTCCACGATTCGTTTCGGGACGACTAAAACGTGTCCGGGGACGACTGGTTTTATGTTCACGAACGCAAACGAGAGAGGCGTTTCGTAAAACACGTGCGACGGAGGAATTCGAATTTTGGAGCTGAATTGGAATTGGTTTGATTCTTTTGATGATGATGTGGACATCACGCGGCGAGGATTTCGGTAACGGTGATATCTGGAGGAGGAAGAAAAAAGGCTGTGTGTGATGTTCTTGCTGCTGCTAGTGCCGAGGAGGAGGTAAAGGAATCGCCCTGCTGCTGCGTGAGGAGTACTGCTGCTCCCCATGAGTTGTGAGGAGTTTCTCTTATGTTTTGGTGGTTATATAATTTACAATAGTAGCGCACGGAGAGAGGAGGCAGTATTCGGCAGCAGTCTCTCTCTCCCTCTCTCTCGACGACATCAAGAAGTCACTTTTGCGTTAAAATCCTTTCTTCAACTCTTTTCATCGATGCGTTTCTCTCTCTCTTTTTCTCGCGCTAAAGCCGCGGTATTACGAGGAAAATTTCTCCGAGTAATACGAAACGGACTCGCCGTCGTAGCCGGCGAATTCGTTGTTCACCTCTTCGAAGCTCCCTAACGTTTGGACGCCGAAGAACACGCCGGCGAGTATACCGACGGCGAGAATGGCGCCTGGGATTCCACCGAGTCCGACTTTGGCGTATTTGTCCGAGGTCGGCGATTCGGTGTATAATTGTTTCGGTTCCACGGCGAAGATGTTCCCCATGCCGGTGTTGTCGGATTCGATGAACCCAGTCGTTCGGTCGACTTGCGGCGGCTTTTCCGCTCTGACAGTGAAAGATAACGCTCTGTGCGTTACGTGTTGCGAGTAAGAATAAAGAAAGGGTTGTTTTACGTGTCAGCTTTTGAAGAGCAAAGAAGACGAGAAGAAGAAAACCGCGCGTCGGTCGTTTTCCCCGACATCACATCATCGTCTCGCAAACACATCTCTCTAAAACAAATGAGACAATAACGAACCTTTTCTTTTGAACGACTCTTTTGGAGGTGGAGGAGACGCGCGTCCCCGAGGAGATAGAGGCGATGCGATTGGTTGCAGCAAACATAATAGTGTGTGTGTATTGTTTTTTGTTCTCTAAAAGAGAGAGATGTGACGACACTACTTATCCACAAAGGGAGGAAAATCAAGAAAAATTCAAGTGTGCTCTTCGATTTTTGTGTGTGGTGTTGTGAATATACTATAATGCAAACTTGAAGTAAATGTCCAGACAGTGTTGGTCAGAGACGAGAGAGCACATTAGGGGAGCAGTTTTTGATGTAAAAATCTCTTCTAAATACTACTTACTTACTCGTCGCTGACGTCTCTGCGTGTTCCGCTCTCATCATCGGTACTACTACTACTACTATTGCTACTCCTACTGCTGCTGCTACTGTTAAACTCGTCGAACTTGTAGAGCTGAATGGTTGGCGGCTCGTTTTCGGCGGCGATTTTTTTTTCGTCGTCGGCGGCGCTTTTCCCCGCGTTTTGGGACTTTGACTCCAACAACGCGCTTTTTTTCTTTTGCGCGGATGATTCGCCCACCCAGACGAGTTCTTTGTTCTTCTCCTCCTCTCGCTCTTCGTCGTCGTTTACATCGTCTGAATCGTCTTTCATTAACGATATGTCGTCTATTTCCTCGCCTAGAGCGATGGCTTTTTCGCGAACCATTGTGGTTAAACAATCCTCCATCTCTTCGAGCGCTTCGGTGAGCATGCGTTCCAGTTTCTCCAGTTCCTCTTTTTTCGCGAATCGAGAAGAGTTGATGACGCCGTTCGTCTTCTTCGAGAAGGCGATTTCCTCGCTCGTCATCATCGCCGCTTCTTCAGCTTCCATCTCGAGCTCCTTCATTGCCGCTCTCAATTCTCTCACGCTTTTACTCAAAACTTCAAACTGTTTCGCCGAAACCGCGTGTAAACTCGCCATCGTTTCCGCCAACTTACTCCCTTCCTCCTCTGCGACTTCGATTCTTTTCGCTAACTCTGCCGCCACTTCCCCAAACGCTACGCTCGTCGCCTCTGCTCTGCGAATCATCGGCGATAACTCTCGTCTCGTCAACCTCACTCTCGTCCCAAGTCTCGACACGTCCCGAGAATATCTTCGTTGATTTTCATCCAAACGCTCCAAACCAACTTCTAAATTCTGCACTCGCGCGTTTACCGCTCTCGGAAATTTCACCTTATCACTTTTACTCGCAAACACAGACGAGAACATACCGCTCCCAGAAGCAATCGTTGACGCGCGTCTCAAAACCGCTCCGACGACCACGGCTAAATACAACGGCAAATCCATCAAAGCGCCGCCTGAACTCGAGGCGACCGAAGCGTTCTCGTTCTCCGCTCGCGCTCTTTGCTCCACGTACACTTGCCTCGCCTTCATCGCCACCGCGGTGGTGAGAAAAAACACTTCACCGCCGTCGATTAACGCCGCCAATTTTTGCTCGTTTTCTCTCGATGATGACAGAGAAGAGGATGACGATGTAGAAGACGAGGCATTTTTCCTCCCTTTTCCAAAACCAGTCGCCAATCTCGCTCTTTGCCGATCGGAAGTTCGCTGCCCAACGCGCTCTCGCTCCTTCGCTCGCTCGAAATCTTCATCATCGTCGAAAGAATAATACGCGTTGTCTTCATCTTCATCTTCTAAATACTCGTCCTCTTCCTCTCGGAAAGAAGAAGAAGAAGAAGAAGAAGACACCGCTCTCGTCACCAAAATCGATTTTGATTTCAAACGTCTTTGCGTTCGTGCCTTCGTTGAAAAGACGTGCACTCTGAGAAGGAGCGTTTTCTCTGTTTCCGTTTTCATCGTCGTCGAACAACTTTGAGGTGCTCGTCTTCGTCGCGTTTGAGAAGAGCGACGACGAGCGCTGCTTTTCTTCGACGGAGACTTCCCCGCGAGCGACGTGTTCGAAGCGGAAGAAGACCAAGACGAGGGCGCCGCACAAAGCGACGGGAAGAGATGCATTTTAATTAATTAATTGTGCGGTTTCTTCGCCATTGTCTCCACGAAGAGCGACGAGACTCCTCTGCTACGAATACGATGATGACGACGAGCTTTAGCACCACCGCGACTCGTTGCGAGAATAAATGCGCGACGACGGGACGCAGAAGACGAAAGAATTCTACGACGCGTACTTCGTCTTCGTCGTCGTCTTCGTCTTCTTCTTTAGTCCCGGAGACGTTGAAAGAGATGGCATCCGACCCGGAGTTCCAGAACACTTCGACGCGATTGAAAGCGTTCGGGCAGAAAGCGTTGACGCGCGAGGAAGCGAAAAAACGGAGACGAGCGCTCGAAAACGTCGGCGTGAACGAATCGTTCGCGAGTTACATCGAAACGAATAAAGGGAGCGCTTTGGAACGCCAATTGCCGCCTTCAATACTTCAAGTAAACATAGGGATATATTGCAACCAGGCGTGTTCGCACTGTCACGTGGAATCGAGTCCTTTGCGAGTGGAGGAGACGATGTCGCGAGAAACGAGAGAACGCGTGGAATTTATCTTGGAGAAGAGCGAAGGAGTGACGACTTTAGACGTGACGGGAGGCGCACCGGAGCTCGCGCCGGAATTTCGGAATTTAGTTCGGAACGCGAGGAAGATGAAAGGCGACGCGCTGAAAATTATCGACCGGTGTAACTTGACGGTGTTTTACGAACCCGGGCAGGAAGATTTAGGGGCGTTTCTGAAGGAACACGACGTGACCGTAGTCGCGAGTTTGCCGTGTTATTCCGAAGCGAATACGGATAAACAAAGAGGGAGAGGCGTTTTTGAACGCTCGATTGACGCGTTGAAAGAGTTGAACGCGTTAGGATACGGAATCGAAGGAACCGGGAGGACGTTGGATTTGATGTATAATCCAGGCGGGGCGTTTTTACCTCCCGAGCAAAGCAAGTTGGAGGTTGCGTACAAAAGCGAGTTGAAAGAGGCGTACGGGATTGAGTTTTCCAATTTGTTCACGCTGACAAACATGCCGATTAAACGGTTCGCGGATTTCTTACACCGCGAGAAGAAAACCGAGGAGTACATGAAATTATTAGTGGATAACTTTAACGTCAGTGCGGCGGAGAACGTCATGTGCAGAGACGTGGTTTCTATTAAATGGGACGGATCGTTGTACGACTGCGATTTTAATCAACAGTTGGATATCGGTTTGCTCGGAGCCAAGGCGCCGAAGACTGTGTTTGACGTGGAAAGCGTGGAAGATATCGTAGGTTTGAAAATCGCGAGCGATAACCACTGTTTCGGGTGCACCGCGGGCAGTGGAAGCTCGTGCGGAGGCGCAATCGCCTAGAACAAAAAGTGTATTTAGCAGCGCACCGTCGTGTGGTGTGAATGGTGGAAACTACTACCAAACAAGAAGAACAATCATAATAAGTAATAGCAAAAAATGGCAACAGTTCGCAACAACAGGTCGCGTCTCGTCTTGTCGTGTGTACTATATAATAAATATATATGATAACAAAAAAAAGCTCATCCTAAAACTCATCCTACTTTCCCTTCAATATCATCATCGCTTGCCTCCTTTCTTCTTGGTATTCTTTCCTTCGATAACAACTTCCGGAACTTTCTTATGACTCGCCCAACTTAAATACACGTTCCACGCCAACGCGATGACGTTGGCCGCGCCAACCTGTAAATTTGCCGGCACGAATCGAAAGTTCAAAAACTGGAACGGCACCCAAATCTTCCAATTCGCCACGACCGTCGGAAACAAATCCTGTTTCAATTTATTCGGCAACTTGTCCGTGTTGCCTTCAATCGCGAACAAAGCGCTTAAAAACGTCGCTAAAAACACCGGCGCGAACGCCAACTGGTCCAAACCCAACCGCACGCCCGCGCCGAGAGAACCGCCGACGGTCACAATCTTCCCTAATATCCCGTACCAAAAGTGCAACGCCGGTCCGACCAAAAACGCGCCCAAAAAGGTAAACGTCAACGTCCGTTTCACGTCGACGCTTTTGCCGTCTTCGAACAAGAACTGCGCGAGGAGGTCGCCGAACGCGTTGAGCGCGCCCGAGGTCCACATTTTCGTCGCCAGCGGGTTCGATTCCAAAAGCAACAAATACATCGCCCACATAGAAGTCGCTTTACTGCTCCCGTTTCCTCCTCCTCCACCGCCACCGCCGCCGCCACCGCCTCCAAATCCGCCCCCCGACGATCCGCCGCCACCGCCGCCAGTTTTCCAACTGTCGATCCAAATCTGCGCGTCTTTACTCGCCTCGTTGTTGGTAGTACTCTTACGGACGTTCAAACTCCCCCGAGAAGAAGAAGAAGAAGAGGAAGAAAAAGAGGCGGAGGAAAAGGAGGAGGACGTTTGATGACGACACGCAAAATCACTCGCCCGTGCGAACCTCCTTCGTGGGGGTGCTGATTTCGCCGACGGGTGGGAGGAAAAACCACGCGTCGTCGTGTGCTTCGTCAACACCGAAGACGAAGACGAAGACATCATCTTTTTGCGCATCAAAGCACTAAAACTCCCTTTGGTACACCGAGGAGGAGGACGATAAAAAAGAATCATCGATCGATTCAAAGTCGTCCCTCCTCTCTTCGAGGAGGCAGAGACTGCGAGAGACGCTAAAGCTGCGCTTCGCACACCAACAAAGCGCGTCATCGTCGCGTTTCGCATCATCATCATCTCGTTTTGAAAAGTGGAGAAATTTCGATTGGAAAAGGACGGACCATCTTAAAAACAATCTTCAGAAGTAAAAAGAATACCATCATGGGAGGACCGTATTCGGGATCGTCTCTCGCGCGATTCGTCCGCGTCGGTGCGGTCGCCACCGGGATTACCTACGGGTTTGTCGTCAGCGGCGTGTGGAGTTTGGTGCGTCGTCTTCTTTAGAGCTCTTCTTCTTCTTCGGTTGTTCTTGTTTTTGTTGTTCTGCGCTTTGTGTGTGCGTCGGGGAATCTCTCTCGTCTCTCTCGAGTTTTATACATCTTTCGTTTCTTTCTCTCGTCTCGGAAACTGACAGCGGCAAATGTGTGTACTCGTCGTTGGTATTCTCATTTTTGCGAACAGGTGAAACCATCGCCGAAATCGGCAAAGAAGCACTGAAAACCATCGATTGGAGCACTCAAACTCCTACACAGTAGAGAGCGAAAGATTAGAGCGATCGGATTAGAGAGAGAGAACCACCTGTGTGTTCGGGTACTCTGTTTAATGAAACAACATTGACTATGTGTATATATAACAATAACAAAGGGAAGACTAGTATTACTGCGACGATGATTTCTTCTGCTTCTTCTTTTAAGTGCTCAAATCTTCCATGCAGTTGATCCATCGGTCCAGACTTATGGCGTTGGCGTCGTCCATGGCGTCGTGGTCGCTGCGACCGTGTCTCGCCAACTCGAGAAGGACGAACAATTTCTTAATCGGCGTTTGGTGGTCGAGCATGGCGCACGCGGCGTCGACGTCCTCAACTCGGAAGGCTTCGATTTCTTTGATGACTGCGGTGGCTTCGTCCGTGGTTAAGGATGGGACCGAGACCGTCGCGTCGAAGGCGTCGGTGAGACCCATGTCGTCCAAGACGAGTTTGTTCGACGTGGTACCGATGACGAGTAACTTTTTTCCTTTCGGCGGTTGCCTTTTAATGAGCACGAGCAAGGCTTGCAAAACGACGTTGGAAAACCTCGGGCCGATGGAGACGTATTCTAACAGTCGCTCTAAATCGTCCAAAACTAACAAGGACAAGTTGGATTTGTACGCGTCGTCGAACACTTTCGCCAACGTTTGCACTTTGCTCATCTCGTTGTGTCCAATCATAGAATCCGCGCTGACTATTTTCATGAACGGAAACTCCGCGTTCATCGCTAACGTAGCCGCGAGTGCGGTTTTACCACACCCGACGCCTCCTTCTAACAAACACGCGAGTTTCGGGGTTTTCTCGCTCACTCGGACTTGTTCGACCAACGCCGAAGACGTGCCCAACAATTTTTCAAATCGAGAACCGTAACTAATCATGCCGTTCAATCGACACCGCTCGAACGTTTCCGTGGCTGCACCAAACGCCGGGACAACTTCACTAAACGCGCGATCGAAATCGTCTTTCGTCACTTTAATGTTATCCTCGTCGATTTCTGCGGTTATATCGGCGACGTTGACGTGTCTGGTCAACGCGAACGACACCGCGCTCTTCACTAAACCTTCAATTTCCGCGCCGGAATAGTTTTGCGTCTTCTTCGCCAAATCTGACACGTCCACGTCTTTACTCAGAAACTTATTTTCGGACATTTTGTTCGAGTGGATTTTTAAGATTTGCGCTCGTCCAGCTTCATCCGGTAAGCCGATTTCAATGTGCACTTCTAATCGCCCGGGACGCAAAATCGCCTCGTCGAGCATATCTTTTCTGTTCGTCATTCCAATCAAGAGAATGTTATTTAAAGCGTCCACGCCGTCGATTTTAGTGAGCAACTGATTGACAATGGAGTCGTGAACTCCGGTTCCGCTGTTTACCGAGCCTCTCGATTTACACACCGCGTCGATTTCATCGAAGATGATGATGTGCAACTCGCTATCGTCGCCTTTTTGTTTATACTCTGCTTCGGCGTCCGCGAACAACGCTCGAATATTTTCCTCGGACTGACCGACGTATTTCGACATCACCTCTGGACCGTTGACCACTTTCGGTTCTTTCCCGTTTAACATTTTACCAATCTGTCGCGCGATTAAGGTTTTTCCAGTACCCGGAGGTCCGTGCAACAACATCCCTTTCACGTGCGTGATGCCTAACCGCTGCACGACTGATTGCGGGAAAATTCTCGAAGAGAACGCTCGCCGAAAAATATCCTCGAATTGTTTATCTAAACCGCCAATGCCTAACTTTTCGAACGAAAACTCTTTCGATTTGAACAGAGTGCTGTTCATGACGCTCGATTTCTGACCGGAAATTTTAATCCCGCTGTTCGCCGCGGTTTCGAAAATCAACGTCGTCGAGGACGTAAACAAACCTCTCTGATGTTTCACTTTATTATTATTATTATTATTAGAAGATGTCCGTTCATCCACCTCGTCGTCTCCTTCAACGAGTTGCATGACATCGTTCGATATCCCACCAACGGTGACTAAATAATTGTTCCCGCAAAACTCAATCGCAAACTTTTGCCCAACCGTAAACACGTGCGATATCAACGTCCTCGAAATCACGCCGTGCATCTTCTTCGCGTCCACGTCTTCGTGCTTCCCGTTTTGCACCAACACTTGCCCAACTTGCGGCCGCGTGAATTCCAACTCCATCGTCATCATTAACGCGTTAAAATCACCTCCATCGTTACCACCATTACTGGTCGACGTGCTTTTGGGTGTTTGGAATTGGTGCGCTTGAATCTCGTCCCCGGTGCTCACTCGCAAGTGTTTCCTTTGCACTCCGTTTAAGCCGATTTGCCCTTGGTGAATGGTGTCGTGCGGTTTCGCGAAGAGGACGATGTCGTTTAATTCGATGTACGGACTGGTGGTACATTTTTCGGAGTAGTCCTCCGGGGAGACGAACGCGCAGTTCGTTAACGCTAAATCCTGTATTGTTTAATAACACGTAATACACACATCATCGATTGGTTTCAGAGAGAGAATGTACGAGAGCGTGAGCGGCACCATTTCCAATTCCGTTTTCGAATCAATTCTCTCACAAAGACAAACGCAAAGACGAGACGCGACGAAAGCAACAAAACGCAGAAGACGAAAACGAAAGAAGAACGAAAAAAGAATTCAGAGAGAGAAAGAAAGAAAGATCTCTCTCTCTCTCTCTCTCTGTGTGTGTGTGTGTGAGTAGTATAATACGAAGAGTACATACCTGACTCGGGCAGTTCACCACTTGAAAACGCATCCTTCTTTCTTTCTTTCTTTCTTTCTCGCGAGAGAAGAATTAATGATGAAAAATTCTGAAGAGAAATTTTTTTTTTTTGTGGTTGTTGTTTTGTTGTTGTTGTGAAAAACGCTCTCGCTTTTTTTGTGGGTTGTTTTTAAAACAAAAGTTTTTTGCACTCGCGATTTTTTTTTTCTCTCTTTTTCTCTTGCCTTTTTGAGAAAACAACACAAGTACACTTGACTCTCTCCTGACTGTAAAAAAGAGAGTAAGAGAGAGAGATTCAGAGAGAGAGAGAGAGGATCATCGTTCGTTGGCAGCTCTGAAATACCAAGCAGAGTGCGACATCTCGGGAGCACCGCTGTGCCCGCGAGATTTCGAGATCAATTTTTGTTTCTTAACAGCGTTTCCTCGATCTCGTTGTTGTTGTCGTGTGTGTCGTAAACTTTAGTACACAACTCTTTTTGAATTAGTGCGCAGCAAGTGGACCTTTTGTTTTACATGGAAAGAAATCACGAGAACGAGAACAACACCAACGACGCGAAGAAAGGAGGCGCGTGGGAACGCGGCGGGATTCACTCGCTCTCGGACGCGAAAATACAAAAGCGAGAACAACGCTTTAAACGAACCACTTCAGAGGAGGAAAAGGAAAAGGCAGAGGCAGAGGATAAAAGAGAAGCGGGAGGATCCTCTCTTCTCTCGTATTTAGGCTTCAACGAGAAACAAACGGACGATTCCGTATTCCAGGAACGATTGAAACCTCGGTACCAAGCGGCTGGGTCGAGAGATTCGTGCGGATTGTTTTCGTTAGGGAGAGGGTGGCAGGAGTTGTACGCCGCGCGTGCGGGGTGCGGCGGGAGTTCGAGAGGAGGAGGAGCTTTCGAGGACGAGGAAGACGAGGAGGACGAGAATACGCGTGATAAGAACAACACGAATACTACGAAGAAAAAGAAGACGACGAAGAGTAGTTATTTCTTCAGTACGAAAACGAGTACGAAGAAAGCGAGAGAACGGTGTTAATTGATTAGACGCCGAGAAAGAGAGAGGAAGGTAAACGCGATGACGGATCGTCGTCCTCAGTTTTTTGAGGAGTTGTTGATCGAGATCAAGGATAATGGACCGAGTTGTTCTTACGTACGCGCTGTGCACGATTATCTAAAAGGAACAGACGCGACTTTTGCGTCTTTTGATCATTTAAACGCGTGCAGATGCTTGATGCGTTTGTGCGTGAAGGACGAAGCGTGCGCGAGCGAGGTGTTTGAATCGGACGAGATTTGCGAGTATTTAAGGCAAGGATTACGCGAGAGAGAGGATGTGGTGAGATGTAAAAATACCTTGTACGTGATGATCAACGCGATGCAATGCGCGACGAAGTTTGTGAAAACGCATATCGTTGAGGTAATTGTGATGGACCCGCATTTTAAGGATTTGCCGAGGACTGTGCCGGCGGTGCGCCCGGTGTTGGCAAAACTCATCGCACTGAGTATGCGTAGCGCAGAATTTGTAAATAAGCAACGCGATTACGAAGCTGAGGGTAGATGCTTACATTTAGTGAACAGCTATGACTTTGTTCAACACTTCTTCGGCGCTTTACTTCTATGGACGCGCGAATGGACTTTGGAAGAAGAGGACGAGGCGCGCGCGGACGTTGAGTGTATTTTCGAGCGCGTGGTTGATGCGGAATACTTCCCGACAATGTTTCGGAACCTGCACGAAAAACAGGAGGCAAACGCTCGAAGGAAGGAAGTGTTATTGCGAGAATACTTGTTTAAAGACTTCGGGGGGGATGCGACGGCTTGTTTTGCCAAAGTCGAAAAGATGGTACCGGTGTTGTTTTGCGACGCGCAATCGACTCTGTTGCACTTCTTGGGGAGACTTTCGGTTAAAGCACGCCGCTTTGATGGTAAAACGGTAAACGACAAACACCCGTACGTGTTGCCAGAATCCGTGATGGCGTTCCTTTTGGATACGACGAGGGAAGCTGCGAAAGCGTGCAAAAAGTATGCAAAAAACGACGATGCGGGGTTCGCCGAGCGAAACGTCTTGCGCGAGTGTTTGTTTACCTTGCGTTCGATTTCCGAGATTGAGTCTACACCGCATGTTCCGGATACGGTTGGGTTCTTAGCTGGAACTGGACTCGCTCGTCTTCTCGTTGGGATGATTATTGCGTTAGATCCGCCCTCGGGAAGCCGCCAATCGATGAAGGCGAAAGGACCAGCCAAGGCTGAAGAGATACCTAAATTCCCAATCGACGACCAAGCGTTTGGAGGTCAAAATTTCGTACGCGACAACTTTCCGACGGTGAAACCGTACAACGGATATCGCGTCGACATCATAGCCACGTTAGCGAACGCCTCCCACAGACGTCCGAGAGTGTGTGAAGACGTTCGAAAACTTGGCGGCGTTGCCGTCGTGTTATCGCACACTCGAGGCGAGGAAGGTGACGACGGCGCCATGGACGGATGCGAAGAGGAACCTTTCTTGCGCGAGTGGGCGTTGTGGGGTACGCGAAATTTGTGCGAGGCAGACGATGTGATACGGAAAGAAATCGAAGTTTTAGCGCCGGAAAAGATCCTAGAGGCTGAGGAGTTGATGAAGCGAGGGTTAAGAGCCGAGTTGAATCCGGAAACTGGGAAGCCGAGAGTGGTTTCGATAGAGAAATCGAGTAAAGTCGAGATGGAAACGGTGAGCGCGCTTGGAGGAGGTCCGATGGCGACGCGAAGGACAAAAAAAGTTCGCCACGTGGAAACGCAAAAGAATGAAGATGACAGGAAAGAAGTAAGAGCAGAAGAAGAAGAGTTTCAGATTCCAAAGAATTGGAAAGTCGCCGAGCTTTAATAGAGTGTCTACGTATTGTACATAGGTAGATTAAATTATCATCCCCTACCGGGATGGCAAGGATTTATGATTACTCGTTTCTTTCTTCTTCCGACTACTGCACACAACGAAGCGAACCAACGCGACTAACGCGACACCCCCGGCTAGAACTATCATCCGCATGTCTTTCCTCTTTCGCAACCTCTCCTCGACTCGATCGTCTTGCACCTCCCTCACCGCCGCCTCGTACTCTCTCTCCGCAACCTCTACATCGAACGTCTTTTGAATTTTCACCAAACTCGTCTTCTTTGACCCCACACTCGCGTTCGTTTCGTTCGTCACCACGACACTTTCCGCGCCGTGCTTCTCATAAAACCGAACCAACTTTTTCCTCTCCCCATCCGCAGTCGCGCTCACTTTGAAAACATTATCCTTGGCCGCGTGCAACTGTCCGTAATACATGAGCAAGGACCCGTATTTCAATCCGCGGTACTTTCTCGAGATTGCAATATTCACGCCGTACCACGAGTCCGTATATTTGCACCCTTGCGCGAACCCAATCACCGCAGACTCGACTTGTTTTTTCAACTTTGACGGCGAAAACTTCTCGGTGAGTACTCGATTTTTCTCGCTCGTCTCCGCGTTCGTCTCGTTCCGTTTTCTCTTCTTCTTTTTGTTCTTCTTCTTCGGTTCTTCCTTGACCAACAAAATCCAAAGCTGATCCGATTCTTCGTGCAGCGCGCACAACCTGTCGAAAAACTGATCGTCATCTACTTCTTCTCCTCGATAGTCTCGTTCGTCGCCGTCTCTTTTTTGTCGTCGTCTCGATCCTTCTTCTCTCGTCGCGAATCGATGTTCCTCGGGGAAACACTGCGCGTGTATCTCTTTCACGTCTCGGGAAAATTTGCGAATGGTGTTCCCGCTGCCGTCGTTGAACGGGTTGAGGACGATTAAGGAGAGAGATTGGGATATTTTCTTGGTTAACATTATTTGTGCGACGATAGAATGCGGCGATTGACGTTGAAAATGTTCTCTCTTTCTCTCTCGCGCGTCTCGAGTTAGTTGTGACGATGATGATGAGAAGAAGTCACAAAAAGATACGAAAATGTGGACCAACTTGTGGTAAAAAATCGATAGTTGGCTTTTCTTGCTTTTTGTTCTGTTCTCCTAACGTGGCATGAAGATATATACACACAACACGAATACTACTTATTATGCTCTCTTTCTTTTTCTCACGCATTCTCTCGCTCGCCTTTTCCTTCTCTCTTAGTTAATACGCAGCCTCGGCGGTGATGACGTCGTCAATTTTCAAAATCATCTTCACCACTTGCGTCGCGAGCGATACTTGCTGAATCTTACCAACCATAGTTTCAAACACGCCTTGTTCTTTCATGTCGCACGTGCCGGTTTCTTTGCAATCGATGCCTAAGCAAAAGTTCTTCTCTTTCAACTGTCTCGCTTTAATCGTCGCCACGGTTTCGATGGGAGGTAAACCAGAGTTTTCGGCCAACGCGTTCGGGACGGATTCCAACGCCTCTGAGAACGCACGCATGGCGTATTGTTCGACGCCTGGAATGGAATCGGCAGCCGCTTCGACCGCGATACCACAGGCAATTTCCGCGCTCCCACCACCGTAGACGATGTGGTTACTTCTGACTAAATTTCTCGCCACGCAGATGGCATCGTGCAGCGATCTTTTCGTCTCGTCAACCATCATTTTGTTCCCTCCTCGGACAAAGATGGTCACCGCTTTACTCGCTTTGCAATCTTCGACTAAAATCATGCGTTCTTTAATGGTACCGAACGCGACTTCTTTTACCGACCCAGCTTTACCTAACTTGTCCGCGGTGAGCTCTTGAAATCTAGGGACGATTCTCCCGCCCGTCGCGATGGCTAATAACTCCAACTCGACGCCGCCGACCCATCGAATAGCTGGTAAATCAGCTTGCATCAACAAGTGGTTCGCCTCGTCGTCAAAACCCCACTGGCAAACGACTAAAGTTGCCCCAGAGTCTTTACACTGTTGCACCATATCCGTAAAATATTTCGCTTCTTGCGCGCGCAACTCTTCGTACTTCTCGGGAGTATCGATGTCGATTTTATGTTTCGTTTTCGGTTTAGGCGGTTCAAACGGACACGTTAAAATGGCAATCTTCGCGTCTTCAATTTCCTTGCGCATTTGCGGGTGCGAGATGTCTTTATCCAACACGATCCCGTTCACTAAGCACGTATCTTCCAACTTCCCTCCGACTTTACCTTCCAACTTTATCAAATCTAGATTCACGTCTTTCCTCTCCAAATCCGCGACGCCCATGACAGCTTTGACGCAAATCTCCGCCATCTCTCGCTTACATCTGTTCACAATTTTCGAACTCAACGTCGTGCAACACGTTTGCACCAACGGCTCGATATTTTCGCGACTAAACTCAAACTCTTCCGAGATGCGCTCCAACTCCGTGATGGCGACTTTGGACGCCATCTCGTAGCCTTCCGCGATTCTCAACGGGTGAATCCCGCGATCTAACAACGTCTCCGCTTGCTCTAAAAGCGCACCGGCTAAAACAACCACACCCGTCGTCCCATCCCCGATTTCGTAATCTTGTGATCTCGAAAGTTCGACCAAAAGCTTCCCGATTTGATGTTCCACTTCCATGCGTTCTAAAATCGTCGCGCCGTCGTTGGTGATGGTAATATCGCCGTCGCCGGATTGGAGAATTTTGTCCATGCCCTGTTCATGTTAATATGTTGTTATTATTATCATCACCATTGTTAGTATCAGTATCATTAGTGTGTTCGTATTCGAAAGTAGAAGAGTCGCAGAGAGCACCGCTTTAAATGGGGCGTCTTCGACAAAGTCGCTCGTCGATCGAAAAAGTCAACAACAAACGAGAGTCAACGGAAGAGGAAAAGAGGAGAAAAAAAATCATCATCCTCTCGCTTTTCTTATAATAAAAAACGAATAATCATACCTTTGGTCCGAGACTTGATCTCAGCGTCCTCGCCACGCTCTTCGCGGCGAGTATGTTCGCCTTTTGCGCCTCGATCCCCCGGAGTCTTTGTTTAGAGCTTTGTTCCTGTTCAATAATACAGAGAGAAAAGCGATGCGATGAGACGTTTGTTTTCCGATCTCGATGCGATTCTTTCCGCCGCCGCAAAAGCACCACTCGGCAAAGAATAAAAGCGCGCGAACGAAAAAGAGAAAGAATTACGAAAAGAGAGACGATTAGAATTCGTACCTTGATGATCAAAAACGGTCGCCCGTACTCGTCGAATGCGAGGGACATGGTGAGATTTACTCCTCTTTAAAAGTTGCGTATAAAAGTGGTTGTTGTGTGTGTCTGTTTTTTAAGTGAAGGAAAAGTTTCAAAAAAATTGAAGAACAAACAAACGACAGAGAAAAATGCGACTAATATGTAGGATATACACGTCATACGCGTGTATAGTATACTCTATATATTTACGTATATTTAAACGATCTCTATTTAAACCCCGAAGACTTTGATGCTCCCTTTCGTGTCCGCGATGGCGAACGCGTCTTTGCCGAACGGTTCTTTCGCGGAGGCGTTAAAGTGGCCCCAACAGGCGCACGAGATTGGCGAAGAAGTCGATGTGGATCCAACGTCCCACGAGGCAACGACTGCACCGGTGGACGTGTTGAAACACTGGACGCCGTTACCGATATCGCCGGTGGAAACGAGGACGTGTGCACCATCCGCGGAGGTTTCTAAGATGCCGCCGGTTTTGACGAACGACTTTGAAGCGGCGGAAGAGAACGGGGAGGAGGACGAAGGAGAAGCCATTTGGAACGGAGCCGAAACGCCGGCAAACGCCGAAGTGGCTCTAAATTCACCGGACGCTTCAAACGTTGCCGCATCGCCGTCGCACGCGATGGCAAAGATTTCATTCGCGGCGCAAAACTTTGCGTTTACCCATCTCGGTTGTTTCTCAAAGTTTGGCACGGACAAACGCGAGATTTGGCCGCCGCCGCCGCGTTCTCCCGGACTCGAGCTGCTCGAATTGACGCGCAAATCGAACGCGAAGAGACCACTGGTTGGCGCGGAAGCGAGTAAGGTCGTGTGCCCACTGTCACCGCCGCCGAGTGCAACTGAACTCACGTTCCGAGCGCCGGGCGCGTGAAACGTCAACGGCGCGGCGCCAAAATTGGCACATCTCGCATCCCACACGCGAATGGCGCTTCCTTCGCCGGCGCAGACCAAGATATTATCGTCCGTACCCGTCGTCGTCGACGTTGCCATGCACTCGATGCTTTTATTCACTCTGAGCTGTTCATAATTTTGCACCACTGTGCCTATTTTCTCTCCAGTCGCCAAATCGATTTGCGAGACGCCGCCAAACTTCGTCGCGCAAAACGCAACGCGATCCTTCAAAGTTGTACCCACGCAGCTCAAACCTTTCTCGGTGCGCATTAACGCGAACGGTTTTCGACTGTCCGAAGCGTAAAGGCGGATAACGTCGTCCGCGGACGCCGCGAGTAACGAGGTTTGGCCGTCTAACCAAGAAGATGGGTCGAGAAACTGCATCGAAAGGACGCTTCGATGGACGTCGTACGTTTGTGAGATTTTGGAGGTGAATTTGCGAGTGGACGTGCTCGCCGACGCTCTCGACGCGTTTCGTCTGTCCTCCTCCATTTGGTTTTGTTTTGTCTCTTGTTCTTCTTTTTCGGAGTTTTTTGTCGCCGTCGTCATCGTTAGCTCTTCTTCTTCTTCTTCTTTGACTTCCGCGGCGACGCCGCGCTCCTCCTTCGTCTTCTCTTCCGCTTTCTCTTCCCTCAAAACGTCGAAGTCGTCGCCTAACGGAGGAAGCGCTTCGAAAATGCTCGCCCCACCGAGCTCTATTGCTTTCGACGGGTCTCTTCGCAGCAATTCTCTTTGCATTTCCGCGGCTTTTGCGTACAATTTCTCCTCCTTCTCGCGAAGCGCGATCAGCGTATCTCGCAACCGTTTTCGTCGATCTTGACAATCCAAAATTTCCGTTTTGGTTCGACGAAGCTCCGCGGAGAGCTTTTCGTCCGAAGATGGCGGAAGATGATGTTTCTCTCGTTCGTTGTTGTTCGTTTTCATCATCATCGCGTCTCTGTGTTGATTATGAAGAGTATACAAATTCGTGCGAATATTGCCAACGCTTCCTCCATTTCCGCTCGCGGGCGTTCGTTGGTGTTGAAAAATCGGCGTCCTAGGTAACGGTCCTTCCCCTCTCGCAAAGTTCGCATCGTCTTCGTTAAACCCGCCTTGAAACGATGCGATGCCGTTCAAAAACGCCTCCGTGTTCATGCCTTCGTTCGTGTGATCGTTTGGCCACGGCACCGCCGTATTCGCCAACGGCGTCGGCGGTATGCCTAAAACCGCGGAGCGCTGCTGAGCGTGCGAGTGAAATCCAGGCGTGCTCATCAACGTCCCCATCATCTGCGGCTGTTGCTGCCCAAACTCCACGACGCCGCCGTAAAACTTCGCCTGTTCCGGCTGTTTATGCCACGTCAGATTTCTCGCATTCACTCTCGCCAAAATCTCCTCCGTCGCGTCCACGTTCTCGTGCGTTTCCTTCGGGGTCCCGTCCTCGTCTTCGACCACTTCTTCCTCTTCCTCGCCGTTCAAAACCGCGTGATCATCATCCAAAAAATCCAACTTGAACCCACCCGCATCTTCACCTGTGTTACTCATGCCACGCGCAGGAGTCTCGTTTTGATGTTTAACGACAACACTCGGAGACTTATTATCGTCGTCCGTCCATCGCTTATGCGTCGACGGCGGCATGTTAAATTCTTCCTTCCTTCCTTCCCCTTTGACATCAAAATCATCATTTTCCAATGTCATCAGCGGAGAAAACGGAGGCTCTGTGAACACTTTCTCTTCTCGTTTCTTTGTCTTTTTCTTCGTCGATCGCGTTTTTGGTGTTTTCATTCTCGTCTTCTTCGCGTTGTCTGTCTCTTTGATGATATTATTCGTGTTAAACGTCATCGTCACGTCCTCTAAATTTCGCATCGACCGGAGCGGCGAATTGATGTCGTCTGGGTCTTCTTCTATCGCCTCGCGAACGAGTTGGACGTTGGAAATTTCCGTGAGATCGTTCGATTCTTCCTCCTTGACAGATGCTTCTTCTTTAGCTTTATGTCGACTGCTCCGTCGAGACGAGTGTGCTGCTGTCGCGCTCATTATTGTGTGATTTTGTATCGGTTTGCGCTGAATTTGTAACGTTTGGATTTTGAATTTTGAGGGATTTTACGACGTACAAAAAATGTGGTGAGCGCTCTTCTTACTTTACTTTTGTTATGCGTACATTGTGATTCTACTATTGATGCTGCTGATTAGATTATTATTCTTTTTAAGTTTCAGCGTCCGTTTGGGGCGGGCCGACGGCTTTCCACATGGCCAAACCACCGCCTCTTCCTCGAGCGGCGACGCACTTTTCATCCGCGTAGACGAATTTGAAGAACGGGTTCGCGCCGGGCTTGGATTTATCGTTGGATTTTGTGATTTTGCCTTGACCTTCGGTGGTTTTCTCCTCGGTCGCTTTGACCGCGTCCCATTTGCCGTCGTCGATGTCGAAGCCTTTGACGAAAGAGAAGACGCCTACGGAGCACTTCGTGAAGGTGAACTCGAGCATTTTTAAGTTTTGCCTCCAAATGAAAGGGCCGTCGAAAAAGAATTTGACTGGGCCTACGTACACGCCGTTGCGTATGCGTTCGTTTTTTATGTCGAACGATTGGACGGCTTTGATTGGGAAGTAAGTCCCGTCGCCGTTTCGGTTGACGTTGGCTTTGTTTTTGTTCGTCCCGGTGGTATACACGAGTTCCCATTCGCCGTTGAGCATGTCGCCGGTGACGTTGAATTTACTCTTTTCGCACGCCGCGATGGCGTCGCAGACGTCTTCGACGTTTACGTTTTTCGTTTCGCACGCTTCGTGCATCACCGAGATGGCGTCAAACGGCGCTTTCGGGTCGCCCTCCAGCAACGCGAATTGCGTCAATCGTTTCGGGTCGCAGTAGCCTAAAATCCCCGGATCCACGTGGTCAAAGACAATCTCTCCTTCTTCGTCCAAGACCATCGACCCGCCTCTTTGCACCAAGAGCTGATCGTCTTCGCACACTAAATCGTCCCAGTTGTTTAAAATTTCCGTCATGTTTGCCAATCTCAAGGTCGCCATCTCAAACGGTCTCAAATACTCGGCGCCTAAAGTCGCGTCCATCAATTTCCTCACTTCCGGTACGTCCGCGTTCGAGCCTTCCACTAACACGGGCGGTTTATTCTTCGATCCAAAATACCCCGATATCACCGTCTTCAAAGTCCCCGGAGACCCGATACCGGCGCACATTACCAACAACTTCACCATCCCGGGAAGCTTCACCGGAAGCGCGTCGCCGAACCCGGGCGAATACTCCATCTTCCGATATAACTTAGAACTTGTCGTCACGATTAACTTCTCCGTGGGAAACTTCGTCCGTTCGCAAAACTGTTCCCCGGCTTGAACTGAACCTAAACCAAACGCGATCACGTTTACGTTCGCGGCTTCCAATCGCGGTAAATCGTCCACCATAAATTTCGCCTGTTCCCACGAGTCAAAATCCGCCAGTTGCGTCAGGAATAAAACAATCGTTCTTTTCCCACTTTCATGTTTACCACCGAACACCTGGTCGCTTCCGCCGGAAAGTACCTCTTTCGTATCCACTTTAATCAACTCTTGTTTGCACTCGTCGACGAAAGAGCGAAAGTTTTTCGCGGTGTCGCGAATCTTTCGCCTGTTTGCGAGGATGACGACGTTTGGTGCGTCCGTCGTTCTCCCGACGGATGACGACGACGAATTCATCGCGAACGCCGCGCGACGAGTGCGACGAATATTTTTGGTCGTCGTCGTGGCGTTTTTCGTGGAAAGAAAAGAAGCATCATCGCGAAGAGTACTTCTGTTCGTGCGCTTCTTCGCCGCGAAAGCGACGCGTACCACCCCGCCGGGGCTTGTGTTTATGAAAGCCATGTGTTGTGACGAATGATTAATGTTGTTCCTCTCTTTACTAAGCGCTTGTACGTGCGAGTATGTCGCGTCGATTATAAAATCATCGTTCTCCTATGTGCTACTACTTCTCTCTCTTTGTTTTTACTACTTTTACGGATCAAACTCCTTCCTGGTAAAATCGTCCGAGTCGATGACGTTTGAATCGTTCGAGTCGACGGAGCCTTTTGAAGAGCCGTCGTTGTCGCCGCCGCTTTTGTCGGCGGCGTCGCTTTCCACGAAGACTTCTTTCGGCATCTCTTCTAAAGAAACGATGTTGTTGTTGTTGTTGTTGTTTTCGCCGCCAGACGTTGTCGTTGTTCCAGCCGCGACTACTTTTGTCGTCGTTTTCGTCGCCCCAACGGAATCGTTTTCGGATTCCGGGTCGTCTTGCACCGGCATCGATTGTTTCTCCATCTCGAGAAGCTTTTGTTTTTGCGCTTCGAGTTTTAAATCTCTTTGTTTCTCGCCGATTCGAGCGACGGTCAAGTTCAACTCTTTGTTGTATTGCACGGTCAAGGAATCCGAGAACATATCTTCGCAAACTTCGGCGGAGATGGCAAACGTATCGCAGCCGATGCTCCCTAAATTCGCTAAATCCACCGCCGATCGAACGTTTTTCACCAAGATTTTCGATTCCGAACCGCACTTGGTGATTGTTTTCATCATCTCCTCCGTGGCTTTAAAGCCGTCTCGACCGGCGTCGTACATTTTTCCGAACGTCGGGGCGACGTAACTCGCACCGATCGCCGCCGCCATTAACGCCTGATGCGGCGCAAATACGCCGGATATTTGAACTCTCGCGCCGTCGGCGACGAGCGCGTTGGCCGCTTTGACGCCTTCGAACGTGCACGGTACCGCGACGACGATTCTCTGCGGATCATTCTTCGCCAACACGATTCCATTTTTCCAAATCTCGTCGGAATCTAAACCCCACGACGGCACGTGCACCTCGTTCACGCTTTCGTACTCCAGCGCGGCGTCGACTAAATCGAGCAAAGTTTGAAACGAAAAGTCCTCGTCGTTCGCCGTCGCTAACGTCTCTGACTTTTCCAACAGCTGCACGTTCGTCGTCACGCCAAAGAACAACCCGGTGGGTAACCATTTTCGCCACTCGCTCTCGTCCGCGCTATCCAAAAACAGTTTCACCGACCCTCGCATAGACGTTCTCTTCGGGAGTGAATGAATATCTTTCAATAACTCGTCTCGCTTCTCCTCGTCGATGGAGTCGAAAACAATCGTCGACCCCGACGACGAAGCCGAAGACGACGACTCGTCGGTACCGTCTCCCATCTCAAAGTTTTTCGCTCGCATCATCTCTCCTTCTTCTCCAACACCAACTTCGAACGCACCGTCGTTCTCGTCCTCGTTCGTTTCTTTTCCTCTTTTCTCTTCTCTTTCTTCTTGGTCTTCATCGTCTTCGTCTCCTCGATCGCCGGTTTTTAAGAACTGTTTCACCATGGTATCCGTCAGCTTTTTGAGCATGATTTCCTTCTCCGCGACGCCTTTTAAAACTTCGTTGATGTCTTCTTCCTCTGAACTTTTCATATCGTCTGATAACGAGTACTCGTCCGGATCGTCGTTATTTTCTTCCCCGTCCTCCTCCGAGGACGAGGATACCGCGCGACACAGGAGGAGGTTTGGTGTTCTTCGCATTCGTTGTCGTCTCTTCCCTCCTCCCGATGATGAAATTCCAATTCGATGACGAGGAGTCGTCCGATGACATCGCCGAGAAAGACGAGAGAAAGAAGAACACTTATTATTACGAGGAGGTTTAAACGAAGAGGAAGTCGCTTTCGAAGAAGCGCACGCTCTCATCGATAGAATGTGGTACATAAAAGATAAGCTTTTTGTCTTATTATTATGCCGCTCAGAGGAAAGAAAATTGTACTCTCCAATGCAGCTAAACCCTAAACCCTAAACACACCCTAAATACACCCTAAACTGTTGTCAAGAGAAAACTTCCCACGGGAAATTTTTTGTGACTCGACGACAGAAAGACGAAGCAGAGAGATACTGTAGTATCATGGCATCATCCTCGGCGTACCGCCAAACGCAAATCTTTTTGAAAAAGACCCGGGACCGAGTGCTCTCGGGTAATAACGATGCTCTGATGATAAGTTCTCGTTTCCGTTTGATCGATGCGAAAGGTGAAGTCTTAGGTCGCTTAGCGTCTCAGATTTCCTACGTTTTACAAGGGAAAGACAAACCGACGTTCGATCGATCGAAACCTCTCGGGGACGCGATAGTGGTGATAAACGCGAGCAAAATACATTTAAGTGGAAGGAAAATGGAACAGAAAAAGTTTCACAGGCACACCGGTTACGTTGGAGGTTTAGTCACTCGGACGGCGAAAGCGATGCACGCGAGAGACGAGACGTTTTTGATTCGGAAAGCGGTGGAACGAATGTTACCGGACAACCAACTGAGAAAAGAACATTTGAGAAAGTTGAGAGTGTTTCCGAACGAAGAACATCCTTTTAAAGATTTAAGCGCAGATCGGCTGGTGCCGTTTGAAATGCCTTTGAGAGCGTTGAAACGATCGGATGGGGAGGACGAGTATAGATTGGAGACGGAGAGCGGAAACGACGACGAAGAAGACGACGGGTGGCAAAGTTTCAATCCGAAGAAGAAGGAGGAGTTGAATAAGAGATACAGGAAGAGTTTAGAGGCGAAGAGAGCGTGGAGAATGGGACAGAAAGGACAACAGTTTGTGGATTTAGATGATTGATGATAGGTGTAGTAGTTAAAGTTTTAAAATATTTTATTAGATTTCGTAGCCAGCTTTCTCCGGGTCGAAGGAGTCTCCGTCAATCATCAAGTCTTCGTGTCGCAGTCGGTGCACGGCAACCATCAATATGATCCACATGCAAAAGAACGCGATACCGGTCATGAAGACACCGGTCCACATGAGCGTGGCCGTTTTCACGGAACTTTGTAAACGCTCTTCCGTTTTCCGTAATCCCGCGAGCTCGGCGGCTTCTCTTTCCTTTTTTGGTTTATCTTTGTTCGGGTCCGCCCATAAGTACTCGCACGTCACCAACGAATGCGCTTTCGGCAAGGACTCGATTAAATCTCTCGCCAGTTTCACGTTCGCTTCCACGGCATCGTACGTATCGTACGGAATCCACGGGTCGTTGGAGCTTTCAACGAGGAAACACCGGGCGGCGAACACGGTCGTTTCCGTCGACGCCGCCAACGCGCATCGAGTATACTTCGTTTCAAAATCGTACACGTTTGTGTCCAAGTAATACGCAGACGAATCATCCACGTATCCGGGTTCATCCGTTTTCACGTACGTAATCTCCTCAACGCTCGAACTGTTGTGACGGTAAAAATCACACGTGGTCTCTTCGAACGATGTAAACGTTTCCCCAGAACGCGCGGTGAAATCGTACCGACCGGTTTGCGTCGATTTGTCGTGCAATAACTCTCGCCGTCGTTGAAATCGTCGTTGCTTCTTTCTATTCTTTGCATCATCATCTTCGTCTCTACTACCACTACTACTACTACTACTACTACTACTATGACTACTATTACTACTATTACTATGACTACTGTGACTATTCTCGCTATCGTGATCGTCATCGTCTACTTCTTCTCCATCTCCTTCTATTTCTACTATTTTATTTCCTGCGGTTCCCGTTCTCGTATCGCTCGCCGCAGACGCGCACAAGGTGCTCGTAAACACCGGTTTGAACATCGCATTCATCAATCTTACCGGAGCATTTTCCGCTTTCATCACCTCGAACGGATCAATCTGAACCATCTTCTCGTTTGCACTATTTATGGTGGAATACGTCGCCGCTCTCAATTCGTTGACGACTTTCAAACTCGTCGACGCATCCGCGCACGTCACGATTGCGCTCACGTCCACGTTCTTTGGCGAAGTTAAATATTCGTTCACGGTAAAGTGCGCGTCGTCCAACGCCACACCGAGCGCGGAAACCCCACCGAACACGATCCAAGTGAGCAACAAAGCTTGCGTTAAGAAAATCGAGCAAAACACAATCACGCGCCAATTTCCTCGCACGATTGCAATCGTCGTAATCGAGGACACGATAAACAAGACGCTCGTCAAACCGAGACTGGCTCGTTCAGCCATTTTCGCGTTCGTGGAAATAGTATCCTCGTACTCTTTCGCCATATCCTTCGCGTACGCCACTTCCTCTCGTATCTCTTGCAACGCGTCGCTCGACGACACAAACACGCCTTCGTCTATGCTTTGTTGTAAACTCGCTTCGATAGACGGATACGTTTCGATTTCTAATTTCACCATGATATCTCTCACCGAGTCCGCCGCTTCCGTCAACTCGTCAGTCAGCACGTTTCCGCACGAGAAGACTATGAAGCACCCGATAGCGCCGAGAAGCGCGAAACATACCATCACCGTTTTCGTCTGTCTCAGCGCCGCGCGAGTATACGGAAACGGTTTGAACATCCGCTCGCACGAAGAACAGCACAAAGAGAAGACGCATTGGACTGACTTCAAAACCATCGCGACTGCAATCATCGAAAGCAACAAAAACGCAATCGCGAGCCCCGGTAACGCCTGCCCGATCAAAACGTTCTCGTACGTTTCGTCGTTCCTAAAGTACAATTTGGTTTCAATTTCCCCGGTTTTCGCGTTTAACCGTGGTAACGAGTACAGCGTTTTCGTAGGTAACGCGCGAATTAAATCATCTCTCAAACTTGTCGTCGTCGCGTTCACGAAAGAGGATTGGATCCCCGTGGAAAACGAGGAAGCGAGGGTGTAGTTGACGTTGTTCGGGATCGTGCCGCTCATTGTGCTGCGTGTGCTGGCCGTTTCTCGTTGTCGTTGAGATGATGCTTCTTTTTTTCTATAATAAATCTTCTTCTTCTGCGTTGAATAAATCTCCGCCGCGCTTCTCGGAAGGAAGACAAAGAGGACCAAAAGCAACCCTCTCTTCTCTCTTACTTATTCGTATTCAAACCTCCTTCGTGACGACGAGTTTAGCGGTAGAAAACACAAAAGTGTTTTAAAGAGAGAGGTAGATTAATTTTAAGTGTTCGGTACAGAAAGAAACGGGAGAAAAAAAGAGGAAAAGTCTGGCGAAATAATTTTTTTTTCTTGACACTTTTGACTTTTTTTTCTCTTCAGAAGAAATCAAACCAAACCTCTCTCGTTCTTTCTCTCTCTCTTTTTTTACTGAGACGTATATATTCAAACATGCTTCGTCGAGCGGGGAGGAGAGCTTTGCAACATTCGGAGCAGCGGCAGTTCGGGACGAACTCGTGCTCCCAAAAGCCGCTTTGTTTTTTTCTTCAAACTTCCGAGCGACGAGAACAAAGAGAACAACGGGAACAATTTCAACATCATCATCATCGTCAACAGAATCTGTATTACACGAAAGGGAAAAAGTCGTTCACGACGAGTGCGACAGCCAAGATTGGTCAAACGGGAGTTCCCGAGGAATACGGACAACCGAAAACCGGAGGGACCGCGTTTTTAGGCACACCGAGGAACCATCGAGAACTGTTGAACACACGTCCTCTGAGTCCAGACGTTCTGGACGTGGACGGGAAGAGCGCGCACTATAAGTTTCCGATCGTGGCGTTGTCCTCGATTACCAACAGAGTCACCGGGTGCGTGTTGTCCGGAGCGGTTGGCGTAGGGGGCGTGATCGCGTGCGTGGGAGGCCCAGAGGCGGTACCGGAAACCGTGGAGCTGTTTAAATCGCAGTTTCCTTTGCTCGTGTTTCCAGCGAAAGCGATGTTGAGTTTCCCGTTTGTGTATCACGGCGTCGCCGGGTTGAGGCACGTGATTTGGGACATGAGCGTGTTTGGGATCGATAACGAAAACGCGAAGAAGAGTTCGATGTTTGTGTTTGCGAGTAGCATCGTAGGCGCGGCGGCCATGGCGAGTACAAGCATTTAATAATACAATCTACAAACAAATCTTAGTACTACCACTTGTACAACATTCGCGACTGCATTTAACTCGCCCTTATCGCTCTTATCTTTATTTTTTTCACCACCGCCACCAAGTTCCATCTCCAACGTCTCCCCGGCGACGAAAACGCCCCCCATGCCTAAAGCTACGCACGTTTTCAAGTTCTTAAACGAATCCTCAAACATGACGCATTCTTTCGGCGAGACTCCTATATCTTCACACACCATCTCGAATGCTTCAGGCATCGGTTTCGCGTTGTCACCCATAAAAGAACTCCCGTATATGCCATCTTCGAATAACTTTTCGTCGATGTTCAACGCGCCTAAACACTTCCTCGCTTGCTTTTCCGCCGTATTCGTCATCAACACCATCTTGCCTTTCCTCTTCGAACACGCCAGTTTCAGTCGTTCGAGCGTTTTGTTCACTCTTAGATCGCACGAGAGATACTCGTCGTATCCTTTGCGCACGTACTCCGTAAACTCGTCGTGTTCCACCGCGTATCCTAAACTCCGCAATCCTTTCAACGTCTGATTGTGTTTCTCGAACGCCTCTTTCCGCACGCGTCTCGCGTCTTCTAAACTTAAATTAAACTTCTCGGTTAAAAATTTTCGCTGATTGTCTCGCACGTTCTCCAAGTAACCGTTCGAGGCTGGGTACAAAACGCCGTCTAAATCAAACACCAACGTCGTCTTCTCTTTTCCCCACGATGATGATGATTTTCCCCCCTTATAGAGGAGGACTTCGAAGTCTGAGGACGACGAGAGGTGGAGGAGGTCCCCCGATGAAGAATATTCCTCCTCGTCGTCGTCGTCGTCGTCATCGTAAAAGTCGTCCCGTTCAAAGTCGTCGTCGTCTGAATCGTCGTCGTCATCGAAACGGATGTACCGTTACCACCACCTTAAAAAGTCATCGATTTCATCACCTTTTTTTTGTGTGGGCGTCGCCTCTTTGAAAGATCTCCACCAAAAAAGAGATCTCTTTTCGCCTAAAAATTTCATCCGAAAAAAAAGCTCCGCCCAACAAAAAAAACATCCTCTCGCGCGATAAATATAATTGTTTTCGACGACGAGAGAATAAAGACGCGAACGTCATAATAGTAAACTCGAAATGTTTTCCTTACGCGCGCAATCTGTTTCAACGGTTTCTGCGCTCAGAAATTGCAGAGCGAACTCTCGCGTGAACAGGTGCGACGCTTTCTTTGCGCGTTCGTCTCGTGATTTACGGGGCTAATTTTAGTTTTTTTTTTCCTTTCGTTGGGAAATATCTCTCTGTTGTGTGGGAAGAGCATTACGGAGCAGTCGAAAATCTCTCTCGTCGCTCTCTTTCTTTTTCTTCGCTTCGTGCGTCCAAAACGGTCGTCGCGTGGGCCTCTTTCTGAGAGATGAGGAGACGTGAAGGGTAGTTTTCCTTTGAAACGAGCACCGGAAAAGAAGGGAAGGGGCTTCTTTCCTCGTCGTCGTCGCAAAGGATGATGATTTGATTTTTTGATCTCGTGCGTCCGTCCACTGACTTATCTCTTCTTCGTATTATCCAAAACCGAATATCTTCTTCGAACGACAACAACTTTAACGTATTAAAACAGAACCGTCAAAGCGACGGCGACGAACACGGAGAAGAAACTCTCCCCGCTCGAAAAAGGGGGCACGAAAGCCGGCTCCGAGGCGTTCGGGAAAGATGCCGCGGCGACCACCAAAGCTGGTTTGATGGGGAAATCCACCCAGAAATGGGAGGACTCGAGATGGGTGAATGGGACGTGGGATCTCGCGCAATTCGCCAAGGCGGACGGGACCACGGATTGGAACGCAGTCATCGACGCCGAAATTGTGCACAGAAAGATGTTGGAGGAGAATCCGGCGGTGTATGACGAAGACGGTACGTTTGACCTCGGTCAAATCCCGTGGCAAGTATGGATGATGCGCTTTCACTTGCCCGAGGCGGAGAAGGCGAACGGCAGAGCCGCGATGGTTGGGTATTTGTTCGCGTATTTGATCGACGCAGCCACGCACACTGGTTTGGTTGAGTTACACGACTCGTTTTTGGGCAAGACGGCGATCTTTGCTACCGTTATGTTTGTCTGCTTTGTCAGACAGTTGAGCGATTTGGACAACTTGAAGGTCTTGGCGGACGAGGCGACGTTTTATGATAAGCAGTGGCAGCAATCGTGGGAAGGCGTGGAAAGACCATCCGAGAAGAAGGATTAAGTATTATTATTATTATTGTTAGTAGAAAGAAAGAAAGAAATAATATACACGAGAGAGTCGAGAGTCGATGCAGAGAGAATTAGAGAGAGAAAAGAAGAGAGGCGACATCGAACGTATCACCGTAGAACGAAATACCACGACGCAAAACACACCAACAGGAAAGAGAGAGAGAGAAAGAAAAGAGAGATCCAACGAGGGAGAGCCACTTTAATAGCCGAGAGAGAGAGTGAACATACCAAAATATAGACCTTCATTTTTACATTCTCGCACCGTAACGAGCGCTCTTCTCTCCTCGCCTCATCGGCTCCTCTTTGTCGAATTTTAAAAGAGAATATCTTTTCTAATCCAAAGTCGTTACAAAAAAGAAGCAATCGAAGAACAAAAACGCATCACATGCGCTTCGCTACGGCGGCGGCACCACCATCGTCATCGTCGTCGTTGCATTGCTCTTGTTCTTATTTTCATTCACCGCGTAGTCGTCGCAGTATTCGTCGCGAACGTCATCCTCAGCCTCGTTTTCCGCGGAAGGTTCCGGGGAAAAGGATGACGACGACGGCAACGACATCACCATCCGCTTTTCAAAAATCATCGACGGGAGGAAAAGCAGCAGCAGCTTACGATGATGATGATAATAATGATGCCGTCGAACTCTTACGAATTCTCCGCGAGATGATTGCAAACCGACAAAAGTTCCCCGAACTGAGGAAGACGTGCGTTCAATTTTTCGAACGAAAGATGATGGAAGATGGAGGAAAAGATGAAGAAGAGCGAACGTATTCGATTCCACCGCGAATATGTCTGGATTGCGTGGAGATTTTGGAAGACGAACGACGCGTGCGAGAGGAAGAAAATAGCGACGATATGAAAGAATACGAAGAAGAAGAAGATGAATTTTATGACCGAAACTGGGGGCAGGAAGAGTCCTTCTGCGACGACGACGAAGAAGAAGCGGCGCCGAAAGCGTCGACGAAGGAGATTGAAAGCGAGCGGATTTTACTTCAGTTTGTGATCATCGAGAGTTGCACGAGAGCGACAAACGTTCGAGAAGCGTACACTAGGAACTGGTTTGAACTAAAAAACATCACGAGGTCGAGAGTGAGGTGCGAAAAGAGCCGACGCCGCGCGGCGAATTTAGTGTATTTTGCCGCCAAGGAGCGAGGCGGAGGTGCGCAACAGGCGAGAGTTATCGCGCGCGTCGCGGAGTCGTTCGGGGTTGGCAAAGAGGATTTCTTTTGGGGGGAAGAAACGAACGATATCGTCACCAATCGAGTCATAGAAGAGTACGTTGAATTTTTATTGGAGGAAGCGCCAGGGAGCGCGTGCGCGACGATCACGCATTTCGAGTTGGAAAAGTTTACAAACTCGGAAACGTTTGAGCTCTTGGCGAATAGAGACGAGATTGGTTTAATGGAAGAGTTGACGAAAAATCTGTCGAGAGAGAAGAAGATTGAGTTTGTGGCAACGTGTTTAGCCATGGAGTCGCATGCGTTTTTAAGGGCCGGGTTTCGAGCCGTGAAACGGTTCAATCTGTACGAAGAATTTCCGTACATTAAGAAACAGTATTGGGAAAGTTCCATCGACCGAATGGTTTCGAAAGGCGCGTTCGAGGCGGCGTTGAAACACGCCGGAGATGACGTCCGTTTTCAAGAGCGAGTGGTGAGCGCGCTCGTTACTGCGGGAGAATTAGAGTACGCGAGAACGTTTGCCGAGCGATGTGGCTTTAGCGAAGCTGATATCGCTTCAATTTGTTCGGACGAGATGAGGATGCAAATGCGCATGGACCGCGAGTTGCGATATTATAAACTGCCAGAAAACGTAAACGTGAGTTTCGTGGACGATGAAAATTCCTTGAAAGAAATGTTTAGAGTTTTAAGCGCGTCCAATGCGATTGGCATCGATACCGAATGGGCCGCCAAGCTCGGCGGTTCAGACAGTGAGAATGAGAACGAGGAGGATGAGGAAGAGAGTAAAGAAGACGACGCGAAAGCCGCGCCGCCGCCGTCGAAACGAGCTCGCAGCAGCGCTCTCAGCGAAACCGTCGCGTTGCTCCAAATCAGTTCCAAATCGGATTGTTTCCTCTTAGATCTCCCAAAACTTATCGACGACGCGCCATCGACGGTTTTAAGAGACACTTTGGGCGCTTTATTTTCAAACGATTCGATTTTAAAGCTCGTCTTTGCCGGCAAAGAAGACTTCAAGCGGCTCAGTCAATGCGCGTCGTACCTCGGCCAACCGCGAAACGTCCTGGACCTTCAACACTACTGGAGAACGAGAGTGGAAGACGCTCGAAGCGCGAGACAGAAGAAGAAGATGATGAAGAAGAACGGAGAAGAAGAAGAAGAAGAAGAAGAAGAAGAAGAAAACGGAGAAGGAACCGATCGGAGAAGAAAACCGTGGCTCCTCGAGAAAGAACTCAACCGACACCAACCCATCGGTCTCTCCAACCTGTGCTCGGTCCTTCTCTCAAAACCGCTCGATAAATCCGTCAGAATGTCCGATTGGTCCTCGCGGCCGCTCTCGGAATCTCAAACCGCGTACGCCGCTTTAGACGCGCAAGTATTGGTCGATTGTCACCAGATTTTGTTGGAATACGAAGAACGATGATAAAAAGCGCGCTTTCATTTTGAAAGAGAGAGAGAGAGAGAAAGAGAGAGTTTGTTCATCTCTAATGTATATGTATACGTATATATAGTGTGCCAGGGTTCTTCCGCGCTCGCAAAATACAGCGTTCAAAGCAGGAACAACACACGAGCCAAAATCAAAATGAAAAAATTTGCCAGCAGAGCACTTTTCTCACATTCATAATTTACTCATCTCTTTCTCTTTCTCTTGCTTTCGTTCTTTTTCTGGGAAGCATTCGATCATTTTTCGCCTCTTTTTGGTGCGTGGTTTCCCTCCCTCTGTTTGGGGAGACAAGGAATATTATTCCCCCAAAAGAAACCCATCCGTCAGTGTTTTCCCCTGCATACACGCTTCAAGTCCGAGACTTCTTACCAAGAAAACGCCTATTTCTCTCTCTCTCACTCGTGCGGAGCGTTGTTTATCCTTTTCTCGTTTTTAGCGGAAGATATATATACTCTCACATTCTTCTTCTTCTCTCGTTGTTTGGAGATCCAAGAGAGCGCGTACGAGTAAGAAAATCATCTCATCGGGGAGACGATCCGTTTTTTTAGATACTCTTTCCTTCGCGCGTTTCTCTTCTTCCGCGAAACGCTTCTTCAATTGGAGACGTTAGACGCAATATGAGCGGCACCAAGAGCAGCGCCAGCGCATCCTCCTCCTCGAAAGCAGCGTCCAAAGAAGAGAAGAAGGAAAAAGAGGAGGACGAGATGAAAGTCGTCGTCAGCGCGGCGGAAAAAGAGGAAAAAGAAGATTTAAAGACGACGACGGAAAATGTTGCGGACGAGGACGAGGACGAGGAGAAGAAAGCGTCGAACAAAAGCAAGACGAAGAGTACCTCTGATGTGCAAAGGCTCCCGAGACCGTCGCGAGAGAAACACGAAACCGCGATGAAAAGGTTGAACGAACAAATCGAGGAGAGGAAAAAAACGATCGAATCGGCCAAAAGCAAAATCAAAGTCTTGAGAGACGGACGAGAAAAAGAGCAAGCGAAATACGCACCGATTCGATCGAAATTAAACGAGTTAGCCGCGCAATGTCAAATTTTGATGCAAACGAGAGATGCGTGTAGGAAAGAAGTTCAAGCTTTGGATAACATGGGGAAAGGCGAGAGAGACGGCGGTTCCGGGAACCGAGGAGGAGGGAAGAGCGCGGAGCAAATCGACGCGGAGATGGCGAGAATCGAAGACCAACTTTCGCACGAAACGATGAGTTTGAAGGAAGAGAAAGTCTTGGTGGAGAAGATTAAGCAGTTGAATAAGATGAAGGATTCGGCGAGAGCGATGGCGGCGAAGCAGGCGCAGATTACCGGGACGGACGGGTCGAGGAAGGCTATGCAAGAAAAGGCGAAAGCGAAGGACGTGGAGATCAACGCGAACAAAGCGGAGCAGCAAAAACTGAAGAACGAAATCGATAAGATTCGCGGCGTAGAGGGAGGTGGCAACAACAAGAATAAGAAAGAAAATGGTAAAAGTGGTAATAGCGGCGGCGGCGATAACTTCAACAAGAACGTGAAAGCTTTAGAATCAGAAAGAGACGGCGCGTATAAGCAAATCTTGAAGATTCGGAAAGAAATGGACGATTTGCGAGACGATTTTAAGAAGAAAAACAACGAGTGGTTGAAGAGAGAGAAAGTCTTTCGCGCGGAACGAGACGCGGAGTATGCGTCGGAGAAAAAAGCGTCGGAAGAGAGGAAAAAGCAGTGGGAAAGAGAAAACGCTCCGGAACCGTTCGAGGCGGAAATTTCTTCGTGCGACCAGTTGGTGAGTTTCTTGCAAAAGTTCTTACCGAAAAGTGCACCGGCGGAAGCGACGTCCTCGTCGTCTAAAAACGGAAGCGCGGAGGACTTGACCGCGAAGTTGTCCGGTCTGAAAATGGTCAACAAGAGAGACAAAGACGAAGAGATGGACGATTTGCTCTCCATGACTGGTACGCTCACGAAAGCGAAGAAGAACAAAGTCAACGCGATGAAAAACGCGGGACCTAAACCGCCAAAGGAAACCGACAAAGTGAACCTATCTTTAGACGCGTACGGTATGTTTGGTAAAGTTGGCATTTCCGCGCCGTTAATAGTTGGCGAGGTGCCCAGATGTGTAGAATTGCTCAACGAGAAGAAGGAAGAATTCTTGGAGAAGCGAAAGGTGAAGAAAGAGCGCATCGCCGCCGGATTAGAAGACCCCGTCGTCGAAGAGGAGTCCAAAGACGAAGAAAAGAAAGAAAAAAACGGCGAGAAGAACAAGAATAAAAAGAAAGGTGGTGGTGATGGTGGTGGAGGCAAGATGCTCGTGACGGTATCGTTCGAAGTCAAGGAGGACGAGAAGACGGTGGTTGTTTCGATTTCGCCGAAAAAAGAGGATTAGAAAGAAGAAAAACGTGTTCGAGTCTTCTGAGAGACGTGTAGTGCTCGACAAAAGTGTTATGATGATACTAAAACTAAATACTACATTCTACTACAGTTCTACTTCTTCTCTTCCTCCGCCTCTTCCTTTTTCAATAAATAATACTCCGGATCGGTCTTCTTTAACAACGCTCTCGCGTGTTTCCTCCAAGCTTCGGAAACTCGCAATCGCATATCGAACGCGTTTCCCATACCTCTCAATAAAACAGACACTCTGGAGATCATGACCATTTGCCTCGGCGTGTCAATCATTGGATCCCTTCGCTCCATCTCGTCGATAAATTCTTGCAAATTTAAGCCTTCGGTGATATCTGGCGTGTCTCGATCGTTCCAAAAGGTTGCTAATTTGTACGCCGTATCGACGTCTCTCTTCTTCGTCTTTCCTCCGAACCCGTCCGGCGGCGAGGACCAGACCAGCCTCGCTACTTCTTCTTTATCTTCATGCAGTAACGCCAAGACGAGTTTGGCATACGCGCGTCGGGCGCATTCGTCGATGCGCACGGTTTGACCGTAGTCAATGAGACCGAGTCTTCCATCGGGCATTAAAAGAATGTTTCCCGGATGCGGGTCGCCGTTGAACGTGCCGCACTCAAAAATTTCGTGCGCATGAACGTCCAACATGGTTCGCAACACGTCTCCGAGATTGACAAGCGTCGCGGACGGTTTCTTTTCTGACTTCCCAAACACGAGACGTAACGGTGAGAGATTATACGCCAACCGAATTGGTTCATCGATGAGAAGAAATTTCGCTCGAATCATCGCGTTCGCCTTCCTCGTCGCTCGCGCGGTTTCTTCCACGTCTTTAAAATTCGTTTCGTTTTTTGCCTCGTCGGCTAACAACGCATTCGCCGAATGACGCATCGCGTTCGCGTCCGCGCTCTTCCCAGTCGCCTTCAAAAATCTCTCGTACGACTCCTTCACACCTCTCACCAACGGCACTCCTTCGATCTCTTCCATAAACAACGCGTTCTTTGAACACATCTCCACTTTTGGTTCTGGTATTTTCACCCGATCTGAAAACTTCCCGTCCTCGATCAACCGTTTCATCTCTCGCAAATTCTCCGCCTCGATTCGATAATCAAACTCGTTCAAAAAGTTCCTCTGCACTTCCTTCAACGGCGGCACGTGTTGCGGTTGAAACAGTCTCAAAAAGAAAATCATCGTGTCCACGTCGTTCCTAAACCGATTCTCCACCTCCGGCGCTTGCACTTTGACCACGCACGTTTTCGATTCGCCTCGCAAGCGACATCGATGCACCGCTCCAATCGATGCCACGCCAATCGGCGTTTCCTCCCAATACTCGATCGCGTTTTCATACTTCGTCCCTCGTAAGCTTTCTTCCGCTATTTTCAGCGCCTCACCTTTCTCCAACTTCGTCGGCGCTTGATCTTGCACTTTCTTGCACCACTCGAGATATTTCTCCGGGACGAAGTCATCTCTCGTGCTTAAGAACTGCGCGTGTTTGATGTAAAATCCTCTCTGTTCCCAGACTTGTTTCTCAATTATTGGGCTGAAATAGTTATGTAATTTCTCGTACTCTGCGTTCGCGTCGGTGTCCGAGAGGAGAAAGAAGGAGGAGAACATCGTCGAAAGAGGGAAAGAAGAGGACATCACGTCGTCGTCTTCGTCCCCGGGACGATTTTGTTTTTGATGAAACCGATGGAACAATTCGTTCCTCCGTTGCACGTACCGGTAACTCAAATACGCCGGCAACGCGTGGTACCAAAACGTCGTCGTACGCTTCGCGTTTTCGTAGTTAAAGTACTCTGACGATGATGTTTTTGTATTCGTCGTTGCGGTCACCCCGATTGCTGCTGCGAGTGCTGCTGTCCCACCACCGAAAACCAATCGTCGTCCGACATTCAACATCATCGAAGAGTTCTTCAAACGAAAGCGTTAGTATATCTCCTCGTTTTTCTCGAGCGACCCGAAAGAGAAAGAAAGGAAGGAAAAGAGTGGTTTTCGTTTCACCACGGATAAAACCGGGCAAATCGTCGATCGAAGCGCGGAAAACAAACTGTCACTAACGTGTGTTCTTGATCTGAAAGATTTGATTGAGAAATAAATAAATCAAGCGTTTTTTTATGAAGAGAAAATTTGTGTTTGTTGTGTCTTTTTTCATCACTTTTGCTGCATTTCTTCTTCCCAGTATTCTCCTTCTTCCCAGTCGTCGAAATCTCCTTCTTCTTCCTCTTCCTCTTCTTCTTATTCTTCTGATGTGCATAACGTTCCATCTTCGTGAGACCAGCCTTCTGGGAGAGGACAGTCGTTGTCGAGGCAGTATTGTAAACATTCGGGTTGGTTGTTCGTGTGCGCATCTTGTACGGCCCAATAGTTCCACGGCGCTTTGGCGGTTTCGTGCAAGTACTTCAAACAGTCTAATTGGCCGCAAATTGCCGCACCCCGACACGCCCAATCGTCAAATTTATCATATTTGCGCTCAACGAGATATTCGAGTATATGAAGATTACCATTTTCAGCCGCAGAAGCGGCAGTACCCGAAGTCCAAGGCGCTTTGCATTCTTCGTGTAAGTGTTTGAGCAGCTCGAGATTATTTCCTTTTCCGGCAGCCCATTGACACGCCCCCGTATTGATAGGACACTGATTCGCAACGCAATACTTTACCATTTCCAGATTACCTTGACGTGCGGCCATATTGATCGTCCCTCCACCCCACTTACACTTTTTCTCCTCTCGCGCCCACTTGAGCAACTCGAGTTTATTCGTTCGAGCAACTCGAGAGCAGAATTCTGTTTCGTCCCGGCGCCACGGCCACAACGATTTATTCTCCCAATTCTCCCACGCTACTTCTAAAGTCGAAATCGAGGACATCTCTTCTATTCTTTTTCAAATCCCCCGCGCGAGACGACCTCTTAATCAACTTTCTCGTCTCTTTATTCACTCCGTGCAAGAATTTCACTTCCGTCGAATTCAATCTCGGCAGAATGTGTTTGAAACAAATATCGTTCCACTTCACGACCACGTCCCACAAAGAATCTCTCTCTCCAATCGTCGTCGAAAGCTTTTTCTGTAAAACTTGCGTCTTCATCGCTTTAGAAAGAAGACAAAATCATCTCTCTTGCAAAAGTGTCTGTCTCTTTAACTCTCCCGGGAAACTGAGGAAAATTCGTCATTTTCAGTCACACACAAAACGGAGCTTTTATTCGTTGGAATACTCATACTACTGCTGTGAGAATACGAACAACAGCTCTCTTTGAAGAAGGAGAAAATGTCCTCGATGACAACCTTACGCCTGTACCGTCAAATCCTCAAAGCGACGAAAACGTTCCCCTCGAAAAACAAAAACGGTTTGTACAAAGAAATCCAACTCGAGTTTCGGGAAAATTCAAAGTTGACGAAACAAGAAGAGGTGGAGAAGAAACGAGCGATCGCTTTGGACGGGTTAGACCGACTGAGAGCGTTCAGCCGGTTAGACGGGAAAAGCAGCGAATGGGAGGTACGGTTAAAAGGACCGAGCACGGAAGAGAGCCGGTAGTTTTTAGAGTAGATGTAGGAGTAGTAGTGGTTGTTTAAGAGTCTGTCTAAGTTTCTAGTTTCGCGTGCGTGTTGTCTGATGTTCCTTCTCCTTCTTCTTCTTCTGAAAACGGTTTGTGGCGACGGAATCGTAAGGTGACTTTTACGATACCGTTGTCGTTGTTGTTGTTCGAGGTATCGTCGATAAATCGAGGCGCCCACGTCCTGTGTTTTTTGCTCTTTTCTTTTTCGCTCTTGCCGCGGTGAGGCGGATGTCCGAGAGGGACAACAATCGGGAGGTGTTTACGAACGATGTTTTCGAGGTCGCAGGTCGGAGGAATGCGCCAATCGGTGTCGATGCGGAACGCTTTTTCGGTCGTGTTCATGTCGTACTCGTCGTTTGCGTCGTAACATCGCGCCGGCATATGATAGGAAATGTCGTTCTTGAGCGCGTCCCAAACGGAGAAACATTTCGGTCGCTCGAGTTCTTCGCGACTCGTTCTGTCCACCATTTCGAGCGTTATCGTCCACGGGCCACACGTTCGAGTTTGCGTTCTGTTGTTGTTGTTCAATATTTCCGAAGAAGGAACCGAGAAGTTTTCAAACGTCGCCACCGTCGCTTGGGAGAAAAAGCCTTCGGCGAACATGGCGAGCGTTTTCGAAGCGTCCGTGGTTAAAAACACTTTCGTTTCTCGTTTCACCGGAAGCCACGAGATGATATTGTCTGGATCGCTTCCGCGCTGTTTCGATGGTTCCGCCTTCGTCGTTATCTTCTTCACGATTTGTCCAACTGATTCATCTTTAAAACCGTTCGTGCCTAACTTGTGGCAAAATTCTCTCAGCGTTTCTTTCCAGAAAAACAACGGCTGCGCGGTAAAGGCTTCGCACGGAACGTATATGCCCGCATCTGAGACTCTAAACTTCGAGTAAAACGGATTGAATATCGAGTTCTTCACCATTTCGTCCAACATTTCGCTATTGCGACCAATTTGCGTCACGTTTCGTAAAAATCCTTCGCCAAACATATCCGCCAACAACGGCACCAGTTGGTTCCGTAGCTTGCCTCTCGTGCTCCACGTCGGCGTCGAATCGAGAAAGTACGGAACACCGAACGTGTGCGCGAAATCCAGCACGTCCGATTTCGGTCTCGATAACATCGGTCGCCAGATTCGAACGTTTTCAATGATACCTTCGTCGGACATGCCGTTGACGTTTAACACGTTCGCGCCGCGAAACATGTTCGTGATGACGTTTTCTTGCACGTCGCCATCGTGGTGGCCTAGAAGGACCGCGGGGTACTCATATTTCTGTCGCATGAGCTTGTAGAAATCAAAGCGAATTTTCCTGGCTTCAATCTCGTACGTCTCCCGTGGCGTCACGCCTCGTTTCAAGCCTTCGTTGTTCATGTTTTTAATCTCGCACGCAATGTCGTGTTTTCGACACCACGCCTCTAAGAAACTCGCCTCGGCGTTTGCCTCTGGACGATTGCCGTAGTTGATGTGTAAAGCTATTATCACATAGCCTAACTGTTTCAAAATCATCGCTAAAACCATCGAGTCGACGCCACCAGACAAGGATACCGCGATGATCATTTTTTTATTGTTATTATTGTCTTCTTTAATGTCGTCAAACCAAAAGTCTTGTTTCGATACCATGAACTTTCTCACGGCGTCGACGATTGGCATGCGCGTCGCTTTTTCTATTTGCTCCGCGGTCGGATCGAACTCAAAAAACTCCAAGATCTCGCCGTTCGTTTCTGGATGCCACTGTTTTCCTTCTAAATCTTGGTAACATCGCAAAGTAGTCTTCTTGAACTTTTTCAGCAATTCGAGACTTGCCGAATCCGACTCTACGCGTTTGTCCAAACACTCTATGATTTTCTTCAATTTCGGTAACGTTTTCTGCGTGTGTCTGTACGGCATGAGGAGGAAAACCAAATGCTTCGCATCGATCGAATGCGACGACGTGACATCAATCTTCTCTAAACACCTATCTACGATTGTAACGCACACTTCATCTAAAAGCGCTATGTTTGTCTCGGCTTCATTTACTAAAGAGCGACGACGAAAGTGGTGTCTCGAGAACTGGTCGAGCGTGACGACCGTCGCGATCGTTATTTCCGGGAAAAGAGTTCCTCCCACTCTCGCGTTTTCCTCGATGGCATCTAAGCACTCTTGGACGAACTCGTGATGATGACTATGATTATGGTAATAAAAACTCTGCAACTCATCCAGTAACTGTCCAAATTGACTCGAAATCTTCGCGTCCAAATCTGTTCTCTTCTGCACGTCTGAATGCTTGATAAACCATCGGTTCTCGTACAACTTGTCTATCAACAGCTTTTCTTCTTTAACTTCTTTTACTTTTTCTTCTTCTTCTTCAAAACGAAACCACAGCTCTAAAGCTTTTGCTCTCAGACTGTTGAATTTGCTTTTCGGTTGTTGAATTTGCTTCTTGTGCTCCTCTTCTTCATTTGTCGTCGTCGACGCAACGACAAAGTCATTCTTCTCCTTCGCCGAAACAGACGACGACGACGATAAGAATTCACCACCAAAGCTATTACTCTTTTCGCTCAAACTCGTCGTCGTCAAGATATGGTTTCCCATATTAAAGTGTGGCTTTTTAGAGAAAAATGAAGAAAGGAGAAAGAGAAAACAAAAAAAAGCAATATAATTTTTAAACTAAACCCTAATTCAAGTTACAATCTGGTAGAAAAAATGGCTCAGTGGTCTAGTGGTATGATTCTCGCTTTGGGTAGCAAAGCGCTGCGCAAACAGCAGTTACATTAATCTCTAACGTGCGAGAGGCCCCGATTTCGATTATCGGCTGAGCCCATTACCGTGTTATTTTTTGCCGTTTTGTTTTCTCTTCGATGGAATCTACGTATGTTGGTATCATCGTATCGTGGTTCTTTATGGGGAGAAAGGCGAGTTCGACGACGCGAATATGACGAATACGTTTTTTGCGCATGAAACTAACTATTACTACACTACTGAACGACATCATCATCTTCGAATCTTTCGATCATCTCAACGATTTCCATCTTATTCAGCTTCGAGTACCCTTTGATGCCGTTCTGTTTACACGTCTCGATCAACTCGGGCTTTCTCATCCTTCGCAACATCCACTTTCGATCCCACTTTTCGATTTCGTCCGAGGCTATAGATTTTTCCTTCTCCAACATTTGTTCCGTGGCTTCGATTTCTCGTTCGATTTGCGCGCGAATGCGACCTTCTTGAACGTCCGTGGGTAGGTTTTGTAGTTGCACCTGAAGTTCGCCGATGTATTCTCCGAGGTGTTTCGCGAACGAAGATTTTACCGCCGCGGCGCCGCCGCTCTCTTCTATTTTCCGTCCCTTCTCTTCCGCTTTTACTATTCCTTTACTACTGTTACTAGTACCTAACAAACTCGCTTTCAAACTCGCCGCGATTTCCTCGATCACAATCCTATTCTCGTTGATGTCCTCCTCCTCATCACCATCAAAACCTTTCATCAAAACTTTGCGTTCGGGCTTCAACAACCCAAACGGCGACTCGATTTGCGTGTGCGCGAAGCACGTCGCCGCGACGAACCACGTCTCTTTCCTCGTCAAATCAAACCCGCCAAATCTCGCGTAACTGATGAAATACACCAGCACGTACACGCTGAACCTCTTTTGCCGTTTCAATTCTCCCTCTGACTTCGCCTCTGCTTCCCACGAGCCGAACGAAAGTTGCGGTAAAAACCAACTCATGGAGCCGAAAATAGGGAGGAAAGAGAGGAAAGAAGCGACGGTCCATCTCGTGCGTAAATCATCACCATCATCATCATCATCATCATCATCATCCACGTTTGAAGACGAGGAAATATGATAATAGCTATACAAGACAGAAAGTGCGATCGCACTCGTCAAAGTCGCATCCAACGCGCTTTCCACGAACATGAATCCATTCTCGTTAAAAGATACGACTTTGACACATTCGTGTCTTCTTTTGCTTCTTAAACTCTTGCTTAAACTCTTCCTCTTTTTCGACGATTTTAAAAGCGACGAAGGTGGTACCACCAGCGCTATTCTTATTCTCGTTGTTGCCATTCTTCTTTCAAGAGGAGAGAGAGAGAAAGACAACAACGCGCGAGGAGGAAGTTTGAGATGTTTTGAAGTTTTTCAAAGTTGTTTTTCCGAGAGAAATTCTTGTATCTCGCGCGGGAAGCAGAGAGAGAGAGAGAGAGAGAGAGAGAGAGAGTAAGAGAGAAACAGAGAGAGAGTAAGAGAGTATAACAGAAGAGAAGACGTGCAAATGTCGTACCAGTACCGGAAGAAGAACAGTTCTGAAGCTTCTGTTCCTTCGTCTTCGTCGTCGTCTAAAACGACTTCAACAAAGTTTACGAATTCCATAACGAAATACGCGTCTCAGGCATTGAAAGGCTCGGAATCGAAGCGCGTGGATGCAAACTTGTTAGATTCAGTCGCCGAAATAGTGTCCGGGAACGCGGTGTACATCGAACGGTTTCACTGCGAAGAGAGTGATTACGAAACTTTGGAACGGTTGGCGAATGATTTAGACGAGTGTTCTAAAGAAGAAACAGAGGAAGGAATGATAAACTGGTCGAAACACTTGAAACGGGAAAATCCGGAGTTTTCGGAGACGTTTCGAACAGTCGTGGAACGGATGGCGGAGTACTTCGACGTGGACGTGTTCGCGACGCGTCTTAACTTTTACCGGGACGGGTCGGATTGGAAACCGTACCACCACGACTCGCACGCGTTTGGCGCGAACGGACACAAGGAAGATTTTACCATGGGCGCTTCTTTCGGCGCGCCGAGAGCGCTGAGCTTTCTTCACGAACCGAGCGCGAGTTCGTTCGAGTTTCCTCAGAAGAATGGGGATGTTTTTGCGTTTTCGTCTGAAGTGAACGCGGCGATGAAACACGGCGTACCACAACTGAGCGGCCAAGAGCAGTTTAAGGTCAATCCACGATTTTCAATCATCGCGTGGGGGAGAAGGAGGAGTTTAAACGCGAGAAACTCCTCCGTATCATCGTCTTCCGACGAGAAAACAACCATTGCTGTCGACGAATCGCGAATGCCGTGGCATCATGACACGAAAAACAACGAAGAAAACGAGCAAGGAGGAAGCTACGAAGTCTCGTTAGAGACTCCGAGCAGCGCTAAGAACGCGAACGAAAGAGTCATGTCCAACAACGAAGTCTCGGAACTCGTGCAAAAATTTATCAAACGTAAACGAAACGAGACGAGGAAAACCAGCAAAGCGCTAGTCGAGCATTTGAAAGAGAACAACGGAATAGATGATTTTGATTTCGTTCGAATGAAAAAACAAGCTCGCAAATATCAACGCGACGACACGATTTCGGCGAAGGAGTTCGTCGAATCCGCGTTAGACAGTCGCGTTTCAGTGGACGATTTGAGGAATCTCGCGTCGTACTTACCGAACGAACAAAAGAAGATTGAGTTGACGAACGAGCTTCAAAACTATTCCAGCGCGCTTCCTTTCTTGTCATAGTAATAGTAGTAATAGTTTCAATAATAGTATTAGTAGAAGGTATTAAAAGATAAAGCAACGGCGCTCTTCACGCTCCGCATCGATATTGGAGATAGTAGTAGTTACTTCTTCTTCTCAGTCGCTTTCGTGTACAAGTACGCGCCTAACAAGGCCAAACCGCTCCCGGCGGCGTTCAACGGACTCACCGGGTTGCGAAAGTAAATCACGCTCGCGACAATCACGGCGACTCTCTTCAACGAGTTTCCGACAGAAAACGTCACCGGAGAAATACCCGTCAACGCTTGGTAAGATACCTGGTTATACAAGTGATAAAACACACCGGATAAGAACAACATCTGGCACAACTTCTCGGCGCCGACTTTCGCAACCGCGGCGGACCATCCCGCCGCCCACTGGCTCCCTTCCATATACACCGCCGCCGGCGCCAAGTAAAAGAGACCGACGATACCAAGAATACCGTACAAGTTAATACCATCGACTGCTTTGAAATCGTTCAACTGTTTCTTACTCGTGATGTTTCTCAACACCATCGCGACGTTCGAAATCATCGCGCCGTTAAATCCGGAAATTGAAAACGACACCTCCTTCATCGCCGCCATCGAGCAACCTAACACGATTGGAATCAAACTTGCCCACACGGCTGGAGAATACGTCGCGCCCAACAACGGTCCACTCAAAATTACCGAAAACACCGGCTCCGCCGCTTTAATCACGTGCGTAAACGACACCGCCATTTTAGAGAACGACACGCACGCCGAGACGTGGCCAACCATGTGAAAAAATGCCACCGGTAACACCGCGACCAGAAACGCCTTGGACACTTTCGGCTTCTCTTGAATCCCAGTCGCCCAAACGACGAGCATCCATATCGACGTCGCGGCTAACTGCAAGGTGGAAATCAACCACGGGTACGGGAACACGTTCAGCGTGCTCTTGTTGTACACGTTGAACACGATGTTGAAAAAGTACCACAGGGAGAAGAGCACCGCGGTTCTCGGCCCAGCAGCTAAGGTGGAAAACCCAGTTTTTAAGCTGAAACCATTTCCATCACCCGTGGATGCTGCCGCTGCTTTTGCGGAAGACGACGACGACGTGGACGACGCGTTCGTCTTCAGAGAAACCATTCCTCGAGATTTCTTTTTCTGATAATACTGCGTACTTCTGGACATCAACATCCCTCCTGATGATACTATTCCTTTCGTTGGTTTTCCCCAAAACCCGTTAACCACCACCAAAGAAGCATCATCATCTTTCGCTAAAACTCCTCCTCCTTTCGAAGAAGAAGCGCGCAAAAATCGTCTCGTCGTCCTGTTGTTCGTGTTGGTGTTGTTCCCGTGTCCTCGTGTGGTAATAAGTCGCGCGTTCAACGCGGTTGCCATCGTCGTGAGCATTTAGTCTTTCTCTCTCTCTGAAGGTGGTGTTAAATTTCAAATCTTTTCCACTAAGCAGCAGTTTTGTGGAGATATTCCCTTACTATTACTCTAGCGGATGTAACATCAAACGTTCTTCGATTTGAAGACGAGGATACCGATTTCGACGACGATGAGTAGTAACGCTCACACTCGGTCGGGGTTGAGAAAGAAGACCGGGAGGAAGAAACGAGCGATAGTATTACTCCTCCTCTTACTCATCGTCGTTTTGGTCGTCGCGTTCCAATGCGTCCGGATAGAAGTCGTCTCGTCGGACGAGGACGAAGAGAAGGCAGAAGGAGCAGGCGCGAGAGTTGCGCTGCCCTGCGATCCGAGCTCGAGCGAAGAATTAAAGCATCAACAACAACAGTCGTCGTCATCATCTCGAATGAGAGAGAACGACGACGTAAACGACGGGAAAGCGAGACGAACGAAAAGTAGTGCGAAAGAACGTTCATGCGAAGATCCGGAGCGAGTGGACAGTTTAATCCGCTCGCACGCGTGCGAAACCGGCGCGAGTGGAGAGCACGTGCAGGTGCAGCTGAGAGCGATGCCGAGGAAACCAAGCTCGTCGGATGCGCAGGAGGAGGAGGAGGAGACGAAGAAGAGTCACAACGACGACAACAAGAACAACATCGAAAGGAGGATCCGAAAGAAGAGGAGAAAACTTTTAAACAACGTGGAAGACGTGGACCCGGAGATGGAAAACCAGGAGATGAACCGAGTTTTAGAACGGTTTCGTTCGGGGCGGATGAGAGTCGACGGGACGAGGAACATTTTTCACGACCCCGAAGACGGGAAGGCGGCTTCGACGTTGAAAACGTATAAAACGTGCGCGGTGGTTGGGAATTCAGGGACGTTGCAAAAGACCGCGTACGGAGCGATGATTGATAGCGCGGAGGCGGTTTTTAGAGTGAACGATGGGGTAGCGAAGAGAGGATGTTCTTTGTACGCCGGGTCGAGGACGACGGTGAGAGTCGTGGACGCGAAAGCGCTCGGGAAGATGGAGATTTTAGCAGACGACGAGGAGGAAGGAACGACGAGTACGACGACGAATAGTTTTAGTAGGAGCAGGAACGAAACGATGGTAGTTTTAGTGAACGCGGACGAACACGAGAGAGAAACGATCGCGAGTTCGGAATACTTTAATCACGCGAAAAGTGTGAAGAGAGTGCACGAGGACGTTCAAGACGGCGCGAGCGTTTTAATGCACTCGTTTCGCGAACATTTGGCAAAAGTTGGAAAGATGCAAGGCGCGGGTGGAAACGTGCCTTCGACGGGAATGATCACGTATTACCTGGCGCTTCGATTGTGCGATTTTGTCGGTTTATACGGTTTCGGTTTGTACGTGGAAAAAGAACGCGTGGAAAATACGCCTTCATCCGGGAAGAAAAAATCCGTCGCTCCAGTCACCGCCGTCCACGATTTCTACCGCTACTACGACGCGAAACGAAACGTAGAACTCGGCATGCGCCAAACGCACTCGTTCGACACCGAACGCATGCTCATGTCTCTCATCTCTCGCTCCACCGGTCGCAGTAAACTCTGCGGCTTCAAAAAAGACGGCGACGAAGACGAAGTCACCAAACGCATCCGAAGAGAACAAGACCGACGCGCGAGACAGTTAGCGCGACGCACCGGCCGAGGTAAAGTCAAAGGAGGAAGTGCGAGTAACTCTAACGCGGCATCGGCATCGTCAGAAAGCGCGAACACCGGCGTCTCCGTTGCCGAAGAGAAACCGATCGAACACGCCGTCGACTGGGAAGCGCGCTTGGGCGACGCCGGCTAGGCTTTCTCGTAAAAGTCACAAAGCACACGTCCTCGCATTCGCACAGCAATACCAACAGACGACTTAATACTGCCCTATTCGTACAGTAAAGCAGTTTTAGTAGTAAACAAAGCAGCAAGAATACTGATTTTTAAAAGAGCGAGATGATACTTATACTACTAGAGTAAAGTCAACCTTTTTCTCCAAAGGCACCAAAATTTCTCCACAAAAAACATCCATTTTATCTGATCGACCACCATGTCTTCTTTCGGCAATCGGTTTAAGTTCAGCCCGACGCGATACGAAGAGTTGGACGGCGAGACCTCGCTCATGACCAGCGAAGAGCAGGTACGTTTATTCTTCTTTTACTGATTCTTTTGATTCTTGTTCTTGTTTATATTTACGAAGAAGAAGAATAAATCTCGCGCGCGATTACATTTTATTCCATTCTTGTCACGTCCAATGCCGTTATTTTTCTCGCACGTTTACACTCACCTCTTTCTTTCTCTCTCTCTCTCCTTACACCGTTGTTGATGACGATGAAAACGACGTTCGATGAAATTACAAAACAACACAAAAGGCGGACGCGGTGAACGACATGGCGCACGCGTTAGGCGACGACCGCGCGGCGGCTGGTTTGTCGAGGAGCAGTCCCAATACCCCGAATAAGAACAACAGCTTACCGGGGTCTTTACGAGACAGGTACACGAACGGCGGGCAAAACACTGAGAATGAGAACACGTTCATTCGAGGAGATAACGTGCCAACGTCGCGAATTGTTGGGTTTGGAACGTCGCCACCGGTTGGTGCGTTGCAACGAGGCGGCGGGAAGAGCTTTAAAGAACGAGCGTTCTCGAAACTCGAACAGGTGAAACGCAAGACGCAAGAAGCGTTGCAGGCGAGGAAAGAGAGACAAATACATTTTCACCACGAGGGGCAAAGCGGCGGTAATAATGTGAGCCCCGGGAGCGCGTCGAACAACGAGGCGGCGAGGCAGATGCAACGCGCGATACGCAGAGAGTCGGTGAGTGACGTCGTTATGAGCGCGACGAGCGCGGCGGAACTTTTGTTTGAGTTGAGAGCGTGTTTGGAGGATTCCGACGGGGGAGGAGACGGAGGAGGAGGAGGAGAGGTGGACGTTTCGGCGCACGACATGATCGCGGAGATGACGCATTTGTGCGAGGAGAGGAGAGCAAGGTTAGCTGGGTTAGCCGGAGACGAGGGTTTGAGCGAGACGAATTTGGTATTGGTGTTGGAAACGATCGAGAAAGTGAACGGAGCGTTAGATAGCGGGATCGGTGGGTCTTCGAACGCCTTTTCTACTTCTACGACGACCATCGCGGTGAACGGAGAAGACGAAGATGGCGTGCCTTTACCGCCGGTGAATCCACTTGGGGTATCTCCTGGGAACCCATTCGCGACGCCCGTGGCTTCAGCATCGTCACCAACGACACCAGCACCGAAGACGAGGACGGTCGCGCCAACGGACGTGCCTCAAACGCCGGAGGAAGAAGAAGCCGCTTTGGCGGCGGCGATTGCCGCGAGTTTACAAATAGAAGAGGAGAATAAGCAAAAACAGGCATCATCAAGTTCACCACCAACACAACATCATCAACAACAACAACAAGTCTCTAGGAGTAACGATATTGGAAACTTGATAGACTTCTAAAACAAAACTCCTCGACTGTCTGTAATTATTCGAGCGAAGAGGAGCGGGGAAACAATTATTCTGTACATCATAAAAAAAGTGTAGCATCATCACGATTTAAATTTTCACAATACAAACTCACGACATAATAAACGAACAAGCATCTCTTTTACAGCTGCTAAACCATCACTTTCAACGCTTGTTCGCAGATAATCTCGACGGCTTTATCTATCTGTTCTTTCGTCACGACTAACGGCGGCACTAATCTCAACACGTCGCCTTTGCCAGCGGTGATGACTAACAACCCGTTCTCGCCGCACGCTTTCACCAAAGGAGCCGCCATATCGGTAAACTGTACGCCAACGAGTAAACCAGTACCTCGCACCTCTTTGAACATCGGATGTCCTTTCAATCCTTCCGCTAATGTATCCTTTAAATATTCTCCGTTCGTTTTCACGTTGTCTAAAAATCCAGGTTCCTGCACGCGATCGAAGACGTGCAACGCCGCTCGACACACCAAAGGTCCTCCGGCGAATGTGCTCCCGTGATCGCCCGGTTGCATGGCGTCCGCGACTTTCTGCTTCATCAAAACGCACCCAATCGGTAACCCGTTCGCTAACGGCTTCGCTGCCGATAACAAGTCTGGCTCGCACTCTTTCCCGATCTTTTGGTGCGCCCACAAATACCCGGTTCTCCCTAACCCGCATTGCACCTCGTCGTACGCCAACAAACAATCGTTCTCGTCGCATAACTTTCTCAACCCTTTCAAAAATTCCGCATCGGCTGGAAAAATCCCGCCTTCACCTTGCGCTGGTTCCACGAAAACGACCGCCGTTTTCCCTCTCTTTATAACTTTCGCGGCGGATTTCAAATCGCCGTACGTCGCGAACGCGTTCCCCGGCATCAACGGCTCGAACGGTTTTCTATATTGCTCTTTCCACGTCAACGCCAATGCACCCATGGTTCGTCCGTGAAACCCGTTTTTAAACGAGACCGTCTCCGTCGCCGGTTTCTTATAAAACTCCTGGTCAGATCTCGACATCTTTCGAAACTTCTCGTAGTGATACTTCCTCGCGAACTTCACGCACGCCTCGTTCGCTTCCGTCCCCGAGTTGCAAAAGAACGCCTTCTCCGCGAACGACGTCTCCACCAACTTTTTCGCCAACGACGCTTGCGGTTCCGTGTGGTACAAATTGCTCGTGTGCAGTAACGTCTTCGCCTGTTCCGCGATAACTTTTGCCAATTTCTCGTCCGCGTGGCCTAAACAGTTCACCGCGATGCCGGCGGTAAAGTCTAAATACTCGTTCCCTTCGGAATCGAAACACAAAACGCCTTTCCCGTGCGTGATGACGCGAGATTTCCCTCGTCCGTACGTGTTTAACACATATTCGTTTTCGTTTCTCTGCACTTCTTCCGCGTTTACATTTCGAGCGTATTCAGGAGGAGGTACAGAAGAAGAAGAAGCACTAAGAGTCCTCCTCAAAGTCCTCCCCGTCGGAGGATGATGATGACGATGATTTTGACGGCGACGACAAAAACGAAGCGCGTTGTTGTTCACGTGAGAGTTGCCTGCTCTCAAAGTGCTCCTTTTCAAAGAAAAACAACACTTTCCGTTGTTTTGCATCATCATCGCGAAAGAGTTTTTTCTTTCTCTCTCTCTCTCTCTTCTTTTATACTCTTTTATACTCTCGAAAGCTTTAAATCGTAACAACAACACCCACAACCGATGTGAAAGAATGAAAAGAACAACAAACAGTCAGAAGAGAGGAACGCAGGCAACACAAAAAAAGTGTATTTAGGGTATCGTATAAACCCTAAACTGATTTTTTTGTGTCTCTCTGTTTTTTTTTTGTCTCCCGTCACAAGTTCATTACACGAGAACGAGAAAAGAAGAACGAAGATGAACAATACCTCGGGAGGAGGAACAGGAGGAGGAAGAGAACAACAACAACACGCGCGAAACCAACAAGCGACAAAAGTCGGTTCTGGTGATAATGGTGTTCCACACACGAAGTTCTCCTCGAAGCAGAGCAAAACGAGCACGGTGACCATAACCGGTACGTGGTAATTGTCTATTTAAGTCCGTTCGTTTTTTGATTCGATCTCTCGTATTCGTGTTCTCTGTAATCTCTCTTCTCTCGGATGATGACGAGGATTAGTGCGCTGACTTCTTTTCTGTTCTTCTTCTTTAAATCGAACAATAATACGAATAACATGAACAGGTGAACACGAACACGTCATCTCCGGCTACTCGCTCCTCAAAGGCATCGGCGACGGGGAACCGATCGCCTCTGACCGATTTACCGTCGGGGGACACGAGTGGGTCCTCTTGTTCTACCCGGACGGGAAACAAACGCAAAACGCGCAAGCGCCTCAGGCGCCGCCGCCGGAAGATCCGTACTGCGCGTTATTCGTGGCGTTGATTTTAGAAGGACCGAGGTCGTTAGGTGTGACGCAAAGCTCGAACGGGAAAGTTGTGCGAGCGTTTCATCGGTTTACCTTGGTGGACCAGAGCGGGAACGGGAGAGATATCACGAAAGGGAGGCAAAGAGAGCAAGGCGCGGTGAAGATTTCGTGCGAGAGGCAAGATCCGAACGCGAGGAATTGTCACGGGTACAGGAAGTTTGTCAGGAGAAGCGTTTTGGAAGCGCCGAATAGTGGATATTTGGTGGACGATACGATTGTTATTCGGTACGAGATTGATTTAGTGGTCACGAGCGGAGGCGCCTTGAACAAGAGTTCGAAACAGACGCAGTCGTTCGTCGTGGATATCGGCAAGCAAATGAAGATGGGAGAGCATTTGGTGAAGTTGTTGCCACCGAGTCAAAGTTGGCGGAAGAGAGAGAAGAGGATGATGTTGGCGAACGGGTTAGGTAAGAGGAGTTTGATGTTGGGCGGAGGCGGCTCGAATAAAACAGGAGGAGGAGGAGGAGGAAGTATCGGCGGCGTTCCAAAATTGAAGGGTAGTGGTGGTGATGATGGTGGGCTTCCTTCGTCCTCGGAGAAAGGAGGAGGGAACGGCGGTATCATCGATAATTCCAAGAAGAAGATGAAGAAAACCACCCACGCGAAGAAAGAAGCGATGAATAAGAACGATAAAGACGACGACGAGCTTTTGAGACGATTCGAGCGAGAACACATCGATTTGGATTCGGAACCAGAAGACGACGCCGGGGACGAAGACAGATTGGCACTCGGTAACGACGGAGGAAACCACGGTAATGCGAACAACAACAACGGGAACGACGACGACGAAGAAGAAGACGAAGAAGAGACCGCGGCGAGGCAAGCGAAGACGAACGCATCTGTTGCAGCTGCGACGATGAATAACAACAACAACAATAATAACAAGAGAACGCAACATCAGCCGCAACGACTTTCCCCAATGGACGGCACCTCTTTCATGGGCCTCGATGAACATGATTTGACCGATTGTTGTTTCCGAGTCGAAGACGAGTATTTTCGCGCGCATAAAATCATTCTCTCCGCGCGATCTCGCGTCTTTGCCGCCATGCTTCGCGCCGGGTGGAAAATGCGCGAAGGCACGGAAGGCGTGATTTCTTTGAAAGACATCAAACCGAAAGTGTTTGAAATTTTGTTGCACTTTGTTTACGCGGACGAGTTACCTAAGTACAGCAAGCGCGCGTACAGAAGATTTGTGCTCATGAAAGATGAGAAAAGGAAGAAGAAGAAAGGGAGCACGCGACTCGGAGACTCGGACGACGACGGCGACTCTGACGTTTCGTTATCGGATTTGGAGTCGGACTCGGAAGACTTTGACGACAACGACGATGATGAAGAAGAAGACAGAGACGAGGAGTTCTTAAATGAGGAGCGTCACGTGCGACGACGACGAGACGTAGGATCGGTGCAAGCGAATTCGGAGGCGGCGGCGGGTGCGAAGAGGATTCAAGTCTTCGATAAAGGCATTCGTCAACTGATTGGCGAAAACGGCGCGCAACACAAAGAACTCGACTTGGGCATCGCGATGACGCAGCACTTACTGGTTGCCGCGGACCGATTCGATCTTGGGCGCCTGCGCGCGATTTGTGAGACGAGGTTGTGCGATACGATTGATTTAGAATCTGTCATTGGAACTCTCGTATTGGCTGACCGAAACCATGCGCCGAGTTTGAAGCAAGGGTGTTTGCAATACGTCGCTTCTAATTTACCCGACATTATTGCGACGGAAGCGTACAAGGAAATGTCGATGACGTGTCCGCACTTACCAAGTGAGATTTTGCGTACCGTGTCATCGTTACAAAACGGTGGCGGGAGGGGCGAAAGAGTTACCGGCGAAAGAAAAACCATCATCGTGAGTTCTGCGGCGCAAAACGCGTATCAACAACAGCAACAACAGCAGCAACAACAGCAGCAGCAGCAGCAGCAACAACAACAACAACAACAACAACAACAACAACAAGTCGCCCCACCAATAACACAGGCAGCCATCGATCAAATGATCAATCAAAGTCTCCTTCAATCAAACTATCCTTCGAGTCGTGTAACGGAAGAAATTTTGCGCCGCGGCGAAGCTGAGATTCTAAGATTGACGAATAACGCTGCCAACACTACAGCCGCCGGCAACAACAACAATAACAACAACGTTTCAAACGCTGCGGCAGCAAATACTGCCGCAGCACCAGCCGTTGAAGAAGTGGTGTTCAATAATAATAACAATAACAACACTCCATCATCGGCGAGAGTAAATACCTTCCCGGATCGTTCTCGAGGTGCTCGAGGTGGCGCGGTGAATCCAGTAGACGCGGCGGCGATGGCGGCTTCGTTGGACACGAGTCACTTGGGTATGGATGTGAATAATCCCAGTGTGAATAATCCCAACGACGCGGCTATGATGAGGTTTTTGGGGCATATAAATCCGGACACACAACGCGAACGTCGCGCCGAGCATCGAAATGCAGTGCAAGCGGCGGCGGCGAGAGGGGAGCAACGCGCGCAGGATGTCGGCGATAATGTTCTTGAACTCCCGCGATTTGCTCGTCATTTAATTCCACCGCTTGCTACCGGTGCCGGCGGTGGCGATGACTTCTTTAGTTCTCTCTTGGACCCCACGCCTCACGCGGCGGCAGCTCCGAACACCACCACCGCTGATGCGAACAACAATGATACCGAAGGTCGTGCGAACGCGGCAAACGCAAGAGAGGGTGACGTTCCTGGTATTGATAATAACAACAACGGCAGTGAAAGGCGCGTGAGAAGACGCATGTAGGTAGAAGAAGATTTGAGAGAAATCAACCGTGTTCGGTGAATGCGCAAAGACATAAGAAATTATGTGCGAAAAACATTTCAAATAATATTTCCTAGTAGGTGCACTAAAGTAAAACTATGGCCAACCGTTCGTCTTCCAATCCGTGTTCTTGGCGTACGTTCCCCACGTTTTCCCCGTGTATTTGCCTAAAACTTGCCCTTCGCGAAACTTTGGCGGGCCACCTTTCGCCAACAACCCTTGCACGATTGGATTCCCTCTCTCGTCCATCGCGTCGCCGCTGAACGTGTTCGAAGGGTCTAAACTAAACTTAAACTCGCGATTTTTGAGCACGTTTCGTAAGTTACCGTCAACGACGCCGTGAATCATAACTCCGTAGCCTAACTTTTTCCTCACCAAACGCTTATGCGGCGGTTCCGAACCATCGAAACGCGCGCGAATGTCGCCGCCAATAATACACCCGGGCACGTCGAATATCACGTCTCCTTTCCAATATTTAACCAACTCGAAAGCATCGTCCACCATCGCATCCGTCAACGTTCTTTGCGGCTCGTACTCCAACGCCTTTTCGTTCACGTTGTAGTCATACAACGCCGCGCTGAGATCAATCTTCTTCATACCTTTGGTCAACCTCGTCAAGTCTTCGTCGATAGCATCCAAGCCGTCCAAATCCGTTCTTGAAGCGCCGATGTTTTCCTTATCCACGCACCCGCCGTGCGCGGACCATCCAATGGACAAAATCGCCCCGGGCACAAAGGTTTTCACTTTATCCACAAACGCCGACGGGTGAAACGGTACCAACAAGTTATCGTAGCGATCCTCGCCTTGCTTTTCAATCTGTCCAGTTTGTTCGTTCCTCCCGTACGTCACTTTAGCGCTCGGGATCGGCGGATCTCTCACGTCCGCTTCCCTCAAATTCACCTCGTACGGCGACACTCTCAAAACGCTCCCCATCTGCGGCCGAAACCCGCCTGGACCAGGCAACACCTCCCCGCCAACAATCAAAGGTCCTTTAATCCGTTCGTACTTATACTCCTCGCTCAACAAGCTCAACGTCGGCACTACCGCCCGAGGATCTCTAAACGTCACCATTAACCCTTTCCCGAGATTGGCGTTCAACTTCACAAACGTCGCCAAGAAGTCGTCGAACGTAAACGACGAACTCCTATACGCCGAATGCGACACCACCGGCACCGCGTACGTCTTATCCTTCCCAATTTTCTGATGCCCAATCTTCCTGTTCCCGATTTTATTCGACACCGTGATTTCCGAATACGCCACGTCCACGTTGATCACGTTCACCCCTTCCAACTGCATCGCTTCCCTCAACATCACTTCCCCGTTAATCCGAAACGCAATCGTGATCTCGCTCGGGTTTTCCACCGAAAAGTGTCGGCACATCCGTTCCGTCGTCCATTGCGTTTGCCCGTCGTCTATTTCCACTCTCGTGAACGGTAAGGATAACCCGCCGGCTAACCCTTTCCTCGTTTTCACCGACGCGACCGATTCTTTCCCGGACAAGAGAAGTAAAGATGCGATTGAGAAAAATAACATCATCTTACACGCGAAGGAACTTTTAAACGTCTGGTATCTCTCCGACCAGATTTGTTTTTTTAAAGCGACGTACAGGTCGTCCTGTTGCGTTGCTTTTTGCTCCAAATCGGTGGAAGAAATCATCGTCTTCTGAGTCGTCTGAGTCGTCATCGTAAAAGCAGAGAATATAGAGGTGAGAGGAAAACGACGAGTAAATCGTCCAAAAGTCTCTCGTCTCTTCAAGAGGCGTTTTTTGACGACAATTAAATTTTTCAATCGTTTCACAACATTTTGTCTCAAAACGTTCCCGATGAACTCAAAAAAACTCTTTTTTAAACTCGTCTGAGAAGAAAAAACTTCGTTTTTAAGAGAGAGAGAGAGGAGACGATGACGCGCTCTGCTCGCGTTGCCGCGCTTTTTTTTTCTGCGCTCCCTGGATTGATTAGCAGCAGCAGCGGGAAAGAGGAGAGCACTTCTTTTTTCAAAAAGAACGAGAGTAATGGTTTTGGAGGAGGAGGAAGAGGAACAACGTTAGCGAAGAAGATACGACTGATTGGAAAAAAAACGCATCATCATCATCATCGTCCTCATCATCATCGGTGTCTTTCGGGTTGTGTGTGCGTGTCGTCGTCGTCGTTTACGTCATCATCTGCGGAAGCGCATCGTCATCAAAAGTGTTGTTCTTCAATGACGACGAGCTTTGGTATTTTTGGAGGAGATAAAGGAAGAAGGAATAGCCGCAAAACGAGATTTTTGAAAAACAAAAGGGCAGGTGTTGCCTCGAACAAACACAACGCCGTAGCTTCTTTGAATGCCGCCGCGATGGGTCTCGCGAACAATAACAACAACATCATCATGGCCCAAACGTCGTTGTTCAATCTCGGCGTGAACGAACTCGCGTGGTTGTTGTCCACGTTGTACGCGTTATTTTGCTTCTCGATTTGCGTTCGGGCGAAACGAGGCGACGAGAAAGCCATAGCGAATATCCGGAATTACTCGACGTTGGTACCTTTGGCGGTATTTTACGGCGTGCTTTTGATTCGGTCCTGGAGCGATAATACGCTCGCATTGATGATGCCGGGGAGTTTAGAGGAAGGACTGAGAACCGGAGAAGTGCAATTTATACCGAAACTCAGCGGTATCAGCGAACTGCTCTCGGAAAAAGCCGCGTCGGCGTCCGCTTGGGCGCACTTTATGCTCGTCAATCTCTTCGTCGCGAGGCACGCGACGTTGCAAAGTTTAAAGTTCGATTTGCCCGTCGCGCACACGTTGGCGCTTTGTCTCGTCACCGGACCGTTGGGGTTGTTGTCGCACGTGGTCACGAAATGGATCGTTTTGAAACTCAGAACCAAACGTTCTTCTTCGGAGCGAAGCGCAGAAAACGAGCGATAATAGAATGTGATGATTTAGTATAATAACATGTAGTCTATAGTAATAAGCTGTAATAATAGAAGTAGTTTAACAATACGCGCTCTGATCAACAGTCGTGTTTTCTCATTCAACTTTTCTTCATTTTCCCATTAACGGCATCTCGCCGCTGCGTTCGCAAAGAAGAAGATTCGTCAAAAGAATCGTCAAAAGACTCATCGAAAGAACCGCAGAACCAAAATGACAAAGTTCACCGAGCACGCCATCGGCCAACGCCGAGGCAGTTCTGTAAACTCGGAGTACATCTCGGACGTGATGAAAAACTCCAACTCGTTCGTCCCTAAAGATTTATCCTGTGGCTATCGAGAGAATAGAAAAACGGGCAAGTTGGAACTCGTGACGGAAACTACGGACCCGGAGAAGGAATACGAGACGAAGTGCGAGAATAAGATTTGTTTCGGGACGTTTAATAGTAATAACAACACAAATACGATTGATTTACTGGTCAAAGTGAACAAGAAAGAACGCCTGGGTGACTTCCAGCTGACGCAAAGAAGCGCGTTCGCTATTCGTGATATGGTGAAACGATTTGATTTCGAAACGCAGGAAAGCTTGCGATGGAAAGGCGAGTGGAACGCAAACGCGAAGACGTTTACGATGAACAAAGAAGACAAAGAAGACAAAGAAGAAGAGAAAGTGCAGATGGAAAACGGTGGGGTCGTTCGAACCGCGGGTATCGCGGAGTGCTCGTACGATTACGAGACGAAGGAGACAAGAGTGTACTTCTCCGAGGAAGATGTCAATCGACGGTTGATGAACAAACACGAGTTGATTGGACAGTGCGCGAACGCTATTGAGTTTTTGAAGCAGGTGAGCGAGATTGAACGGGAGAGGAAAGAGGAGAATAGAATTACGTTGACTTTGGAGACGCACGGGGTAGCGGAGGATATCGGTGCCGATTTGATCGCGGCAAAGTTGAGAGCGGAGAAAGAAAAGAAAGTTTTACTGATGAAATCGGAAACCGCAGAGGAGACGGCGCAGAGGATGGCGAAGGAGATGAATGAGGTGAAATCGAGCGTGTTGGATGCGGTGAAGTTTGCGACTTCTTCGGAGAAGAGGAAAGGGGACGGGGCAAACAAAGGGGACGTCGGGGACGACGACGATGCATACGACGACGACGAGAAGAAGAGGAAGAAGAAGAAGAAGAAAATGTCGAGATTCGAGGAGAGCGACGACAGCGACAGCGATTGAAGAAAAGAGAGCTTTAGGTATTGAATAAGATTGCGAAAAATTAGCGCGCGACCGCGGCAGTGCGGCAAGTACAAATGCATAGAATACAAAACTAATTACTAACTACTAACTGAACTGAACGACAACAACCCGGTATCTTGCAAGAATCTATCGGCCATAATCGCAAACGAGGCTAAAAACACGAGCGCTTTGATGGGGATCTTTGTACCGTACTCCATGCCGACGTTGTGAAACGAATTCCGTTCTTCGCTGGTGAACCAAATGAAACACATCACCGAGGGTAACAACCCGTACAAAACTGGTGCGCCGTACGATCCGGCGAACTTTGTCGCCGGTAAGAAGATATCCGAAGCGGATAACGCGATAATCAACGGTAAGATCAACGTCGCGAAATACGAAACCTTTTTGGCGCCTTTCGCCGTTAAACCTTTCTCCGCGAAGGTTTCCTTGATTTTCGGCTCTATCGTACTCGTGACGCCTAGACAAGTGCCTATGAAACTCGTACTAATTGCACAAAAGCTAAAACCTCCGACAATCCATCCGACGTCTGATTTTAACAGTAAGTCCAACGGGTCTTCAAAGCCTAACCCGCTCGCGACTGAGGTGTTGTTGATGGACAACGCGACGATGAGGTAAGCGATAAACATAAACAGTGGAACACAGCTACCAACAACGATCGCTTTACGGATCTCTTTCAAATCACCATTCATGTATGCACAAATAACTGGCACTAAATCGTGGTAAATTAACGATAAAAACATGATGGGTATTGCTTCCGGTAATTTGCTCGCGTCGTTGATGAGATCGTAGTTTTTGAAATCGGCAACGATCGCGCCTTCGTATAATATGCCGAAAAACAAACCCATCAAGACGATCGTTAACACCCTGTTGATGTTATCGATTACGTTCACGGATCCAAACGCCATCACTGCCCCTAGACCGACGGTAAAACCAATCGTGCTCGCCTCGAGCGTCAGCGCCGGATCGATCGTTTCTATAATCTCGCCGGCTTTGGCGATATACGCGACCAACAAAGTCGTCGAGGCGAACAAATACGTCGCAGACATGACGTACGACCCGGTTTTACCCAACGTCGTCATCGCCATGTCCGGCAACGAAATCACTACGGGCGAATGGCCTCGCCCGTGCTCGAACCGCACCTCGTCTCTTTCCCTCATCACGCTCACGTTAATCTCCGCCAACAACAACGCGGAGAGCAAGAGCAACGTCCACGTACCAACGATGCCTAAAATGGAAGGCACCACGCCCGTTTCCGCGCAGACACTCGGTAACGCCAAAATCCCTGCTCCAACCGTCGACCCGGTTATCAGCGCGACCACGCCCGTCAACGTTCCTTTGCTCTCCATGCTCTTATTTTGCAATATCATCTCGTCGAACGCCGTCGGCGGCGAATACGAATCCAAAAACGCCGTCTGGTCCGCTTCCAACGACGCGTAAAATGAGTTGCTCTCTCTTCTCTCCTCCTCTTTTGTCTCTCGAAGATCATCGTATTCCTCCTCGGGCGAATTAATGGTGGTGGTAGCGGTGGTGGTGGTGATTAAAAACGTCTCGAATCTCGTCACTTCCTTCTTCTCGCAAAACGCGTCGTCCTCGCCTTTCGTGAGATTTTTCTGCGTTTCCGAATCTAACAAACCGGATTGTTTCGGTCGGCCCTTCTGTGTATCGACAACCGAAACTATCTCGCTTATCCGTGCTTTTGACGACGACAAAAACGTTTCATCATCATCGCCATCGTCAACGCCGTTTTCTTCTTTCTTCCCAGCAGCAGCGTCAGCAGCATTCAGTGTCGTTCGTTTCCTCGTAAAGTTTCTCATCCTCGATCGATGCTGCTGCTGATGATGATGATGATAATGATGCAAGGAGAAGGCACGTCCTCCTCCTCTTCTGCAGTCGCAGTGCTCCTTCTTCTGCGCGACCACCACCTTTGACGACGACACGTAACGAGACATCATCATCACCTGTTGCCGTTAACGACTAATCTTTTTTCTTCTCAAACGAAACGTCTTTTCTCCTCGTTCGCGGTCGTCGTCGGGCAGCGAAAGCTCTCGACTCGAATGACGATAATGAAAACAGCCGTCGTAACCCTGTCGATGTTTCTGTCGTTGTTGTTGTTTCTGTCGTCGTTCTCGTCGAAGTTGAGAAGGCTCGAGAGCGGAGGATATCTAAAAGGCAGAGAAGCGTCGTTTTTTCTTTTGGAGACTTTTCCCCCAAAAACGTATCTCAACTCGCGTCGTCACTTTCATCGCGCGCATACAACGCACGCGTAATAAAAGCAAACAACATGAACGCATCACCTTGCGTACCGAAATCATCGTCTTTATTGAACTCGCGCGCGACGCGTTTACTGTCTTCTTTTGATCGCAAAACGTCGTCGCATTCATCCCAAAAGAAGATGATGACGACGACGCGGAGTTTCGTCGTGAAGGCGACGAAAGACGTTGGAAGAGTTGCGACGACGACGACGACGACGACGAACAGACGCGAAATAATAATGACCATCGCCACCTCTGTGGTGGCTTTGAATACCACTACTAATAAGGCGTACGCGAGTGAATCTCTCGGAAATGTCAACGTCGGGGATAAAGCGCCGGAGTTTACGCTTCCAGCCACTGGTGGAGGGACAATCGCCCTCTCAGATATTTTAGCCGAAAACGACTACGCGGTGGTGTATTTTTACAACCAAGACGGATCGACCGGGTGTTCGATCGAAGCGGAGAGGTTTAACCAAGCGCAAGAGCAGTTTAAAGCGAAGAAAGCGAGAGTTTTAGGCGTTTCGATGGACTCGATCGAATCGCACGAAGGCTTTTGCGATAAGAAAGGCTTGACGTTTTCGTTATTGTCGGACGGCGACGGCGCCGTGTCGAAAGCGTACGGCGCGGAGTTAACTTTACCAATCTTCGGGAAGTTTTCGGACCGACAAACGTTTTTAGTCGGGAAAGACGGTTTGGTCAAAGCGAAATGGAAAGAAATGGGCGCTAAAGTGGACGAGGAGAAGATGGCCTCAGTCAAAAGTACCGCGCACGTCGAGCAAGTTTTAGCCAAAATGTGATGTATCTTTATTTTTTACGCGTAGTATTCACCGTCGTCAAAGTCGTCAAAGTCTCATCGCAGTCATTTTCGCACTGTTTTATCGTCATCTGCATTTGTCCCGCGAAAGCAACCTCCTGCGATGCGTATATGCGCGCTCCTTCTTTCCTCAAAAATGCGAAAAATGCGCCAAAAAGAAAGACAAGACAAGACAAGACGAGATTCGCCTTTTTCCACCACGAAAAAAAAACAACAATTAAATTCGACGCGTCGAGCGGGGCGTGTGCCACAAAACCCAGAAAATCTCTCCGTCTCGTCTCGTCATTTACACGCCACGTGGTGTTTGATTTCATCCGATTCTTTTAAGTCTCTGTCTCTCTCCTTTACTCTTGCGCGTTTTTTTCGGAACAGAGACGATGACGATGACGCGTGCTGCGACGACGACGACTTTTCGTTGGTGTTGTTTCGAGAAGACGCCTTCTTTACCATCGGTGCGAACGAGAAGAAGAAGAAGAATGAATCAACGCATCATCGTCCGAGCGGTGTCGGAACCGACGCGATCGTATTACGAAGAGAAGGAAGATTATCTCCACGAGAACAACGTGAACAACAACGCGGAGTCTGCGTCGCAAACGTTGAAACTCTCCGTGCAAGACAGATTGCGCATGGGGAAGAATGCGCACAGGTTTCGATCGGTCGTGTGTTTAGGAACCAGTCCGAGAGCGGTGGGATCAGGATCGGAAGTTTTATTCGTCGACGGGGAAGACGTGTATGGCGTACACGACCAATATCTTCCCAACAAAAATACCAAAAACGGTGGAAAAAAAGAAGTCGTATCCTCGGAGCTCATCTTACAGAAATCTGCGTTCGCGGTGGAAATGGCCGTGAGAAAGATTCGGTCGACCTATTTCGCGGCGACGACGTGGGAAAATAGACATTATTTAGTGAGAGAGGAGCGAGATCCGCAGGACGGAAGCGTGATGAATTTGAGCATCCGAGAGGCGAAATTGAGCGAACGGTTGAGAAGACGGATGGAAAACGAACAGATGAGCCAATTCGAGAGAATGGGCAGAGGGTTTCCTATTTTAGACGCGTAAAACTACTGTTTTATTTTGTTGTAAACATAATTCAGAGGGAGAGGGAGGGGAAGTGTGTACCCATAGTAGAGATGCGTACGCAACGTAGAAAAAATGTAGAAATATTGTTGTAATCTAGAGCGAGCGAAAAGTTAGAAAACTTAGAATAAACACTGTGTGTATCGCTATCGTTGTTGCCTTTCTCTTAAATCTTTCAAAACGCGTTGGAACGCGCACGCTTCCGTGGACGTGAAGTTTTTCAAATCGTCGCTCTTCACATTCGCAGTAAACTTTTTCAAATTTGATTGGCTCAAATACGTATTCAAAACAATTTTGGCGCTGTCTGGGTTGCGAAACGCCTCGGCAACGCGTAAGCACGAAAACAAAGCGTCTGCGGCGACTGTCGTCCGTTTGAACTCGTTGGCGAGTACAGAGACGGCGTAAAATAAAGCCGCAGGATTGAACTCTTGAAGTCGACGAAGTAACTCGACGAGGAATACTTTCGCATCCTTCGTCGTTGACGCGTTTACAACAACATCGCCAAACGCGGATTTGACGCTGATGAGCGCTAACGCGAGCTCTCTGTCGATAGTAGAATCGACAGTGATGTTTAGCGATACTTTCCTTACAGATTCGTACGGAAGTAGTAAAGCGTACTTAGTCGCCTCTGCGAGCGGATCGTCATCTCCAGAAGACTTCATCTTCATCAGTTCTATCGCTCTTGACTCGGAGAGAATCGCAAATTTTGAGTCATCGCTCAGTTGCTTCTTTTTCTTTTTTAATTTAGTCGTCGAAGCGAGCGCGATGCACTCTTTTGCGAAGGAAAGATTGCCAGATTTCTTCATAAGACTGAACCACATCGACGACAAGGCGCTTTCGACGACGACATTTTCTCCGGTTCCGTTTTCATCCAATCTCGCCCAAGGCGCGATATCTTCCCACAAGAACAAAACGTCGCGGATGGCGTTCAATTGATTCACATTCGAAGCGTCGACTACTGTTTCGAGCGTGTCGTCAATGAATGCTTTTGCACTCGTAAAATCGACCAAATCAGATTCTGAAATTTTCTTCATCGGCGCGAGCGCTTTCAAACAACTTTCGCTTTGAATTATAAACAAACGAGACACGGATGGTGTCGTCGCGGTTGCCGCCAGCGCCGATGCGGACTGCTGCGGAGGTGGTGGCGGTAAAGGGAGAGGAGGAGGAGGAGGAGCTTGGGCAGCTGCGTTTACTTCCTTTGTATATGTTTTAACTGTAGTTTCTTCTTGCTCATTTCGTTCTTCATCGACAACAACTGGCGGAGCTGTGACGGCATCCGCGGCGGCGGTAGTAGTATCGTCAACACTCATCAACATCAGCATCTCAGACGCAATGTCCGATATCCAGGGTACTTCATTGCTGCTCAGTAAATTGACGACAAACGTGCGATCGTTTTCATTCACAGCTTCTCCGACAAATCTTTCCAGTCGAGCGATTGACTCTCTGCGTACGGTGTTCAATGCAGACGCGTTCTCCTCGTCGTTACACCCTTCGTTCGTGCCGAGAGACTTTATGATCATGTTTTCGAGCTTGTTTGCGTCGAATGGATTTTCATCCAGCGCGATTTCAAGCGCGTTCGAGCACATCGTAGAGCTCAGAGACTTGTAATCTTCATCCCTTTTCGTAGAAGAAGCGTAAATCTCGGCGACGACGAGAGCCGAGACGAAAGGTTCGCCGTTGTTCAAAACCATCCACGAAGACACGACGTCTACCAATGCCGCTACGCTTGTATCTGCGCATACGTCCACATTCGCCTCGAGGGCGTCGAGTTTATCCGGATGTAATCGCGGCAACGCATTTTCCACTTGATGCACAAACTCGAGATTTTTCAAAGAGCGATTTGCGTCTTCTATAAACGATTTCATGGCAACGTCGGCGGAAGATAAAGTAGAATTTTCGAGTTCGTATAGAATATCCGAATATACCGTTATCTTCAACGCGCGAGAAGCTTCGGTGAGAAAAGAATTCTCGCTTCCGTCCGTCAACAATAAGGACTTCAAGAAATCTGTATCCAAAAATGAAAGCGCTGAACACGCGCTTTCCCATCTCGATTCCGGCGTCGACCGTTTCTTTTTCGTCGCCGTCGTCGACGCCTCTCTCAAAACAGTCGTCACGGCCGAAGCAAAAATACTTTCGGAAGAAATCGATGAATTTGCAAACGCTTTCGCGAGAGCAGATGCTAGTGCGTTCGGAAAGTCGGGGTGCGCTTTCGAAGCGACCTCGTTTGCGAACAATCTCGAGATTTCAATCGCAGAGGATTTCCCGTGTATCGCGCCATCCGATTGAAAGATTTGAAATGCATCGAGCGAAGGGACGAGTTCTTCGAACATATCGAGACGCACTAAAGCGTCGTCGTAGGATGCAATCTTGAGATAAGATCGCAGCACATCGACACGTCGCGCGCTTGAAACCACGGGCCAAGCGATGCGCGTCAAAACATCAGTAAAAGAGGAGGATTTTTGCTCCTCCGTTCTCGTTTTTAAAGCTTCCGCGTACGCATTCAGCAACGTTTCGTCGTTTTCGAAATTCGATTCGAAGAACGTCTCAGTTCGGGAAATGTACACGTCTCGCGGATCGACGCCATACGTATCCGCAAGTCGCATGCAAAGTTTTAAAACGGTTTGAGGTGGTGCCGATGATACACTCGATACTTCCTCATCGTCTGATGTTGATTTCGGCAGACGCGATAAATCCGCATCCGAAACGCCACTACTGGCTAACTCGAGAATCGCTTTGGCGCGGTACCCGTACTCGTCTTTTGAATTATCGGCTGCAACGAAAGTGTTCGCATCGAAATTTTCTTGTCCGAGTAAAAACGCCAACGTCTCTGCATCCGTCATCGCGTGAACTCGACTGCGATACTTACCAGCCAACTTCGCGTCGACGGTTCCGCTGTGTTGCAACGCGTTCGTCAAATCACTCATACTCGCCGAGGCAAAAGATGACGCGCCGTTACGAATTGAATTATCGTCACCGCTACCATCATCTAACGCTCTCGCAGCTCTCGAATAGAATCCAAGAGACAACAAAATACGAAGCGCGCGTCCGCTCGAAGCTTTCGCAGCGAGTGCATCCACCGCGTCTCCGGCAATATTCGGATCCTCAATCATCGCGAGGTAGCCGAACGACTTTGCGCACGCGAGCTGTGGAATTTTCGGGAACTGCTGCTGATCGGACTCTTGTGATATATTCTTTGACGAAAGCTTACCAAGCTCGTCAATTTTCTTGAGCATGGACGGTTCCTCTTTCCGTAAAAACGATACCAACATTTCATCCGATGCTTCCGTGCCTTTCAAGCCGAGATCATACAAAGCATTCGGAGTGGGAGATAACGATTGCTGCTCCTCTACCTGCGCTCTTTGCCACTCGTCCAAAAGTCCGGGCACTTGGGAGGTGGCACAGTGCGATACCGCGAAAGATAACAAAGTCAATCGCGTCTTCACCGTTAGCTGATCACTACTGCTTCCGAGCGCCGCGCAGATTCGCCAACACTCGCTATACTCATTCGCAATGAGGCGTAAAGACATTCGAGCGGATGCTTGCAGATCTCTTTGAGCGGAGAATGCGTATTCGGCACACATTAACTCGACTCGAAGTGCATGTATACCGAGACAGTTTCCAACCTCCATCAGTTCGTCCAGGCGCAAATAGTTCTTTTTCGCGTTCCCAGTGAGACACGAAGATAAGATACTCTCTCGATTTTCCTTCGCATTTTCAAACTCGAGTGGAGCGATGAAAACATTGAAAGTGCCGAGTTTTCTAAGAGTGTCGATCAAATACAACTCTTCGAGTACTTCCGCATAATGCGATCCAGTCTCCTCGTCGAGTGGAATCAATCGCAAGACGGTGTCAGCATTTACAATTGTCTGGTCGTTGATGGATAATGAAGCGCGCGTTAAATCTTTTGCGACTTCAAGCAAGAGCGGCAACGCATGTTCTTTGGTCGGTAAAATCGGAATCGATTGATTTTCGGAACGATGAATGTGTTTCTTTGCCGCCGACCACGCGTGATTGCGCAACTGACTTCGAACGAGCCTCTCTAAAGCAAAGAGTAGAATTCCGGAATCTTCCTTGTAGTCGACTTTCGGGAACGCACCGAGGAGAATCGTTTGAAGGTCTTTGAACAAACTGAGCCATCCAGAATCATTGAGTTTGCGGATGTGTTCCTCCCTTAAAATATCAACCAAAAGTTCTCGAGCAAACGTCTCATTCGCCGAAGATTCCGATAGTTCACGCAACGATATTTCGAGCATCTCATTGCGATAAAGGATAACTTCTGCGGCATCGATAAAAGAGAGCAAACGTTTAACAGCTAGATCTTCTTCATTTGCGTTACTGATGTCGTCGTTGACGTGATCGTTATCATTCAAAACGAGATCCGATAATATCGACTTGAGTTTTTCTATGGAACGTTTATCGACGCGCGAGAACGAGTGCGTGATCTCCGTGACGACGCGTTCGATACCATTTAAACCACCGAGATATGCTTTCGCATGTTTATTACCATCTTTCGTAAACCACTGCAAAGCGCGAGAGAGATATGTCAATTGCGAAGGTTTATCGAACGCGATTGATACCAACCATTTTTGTAACAACGTCTGCATCATCGGCGTGCCTTCATCATCATCAACGACGTAAAGATACCGAGTCGCGATGTCAAGCATTGACCAAACGTTATCTACCGTAGTATCTTCTTCGTTCAACAATAACGAAAGTTTATCACCTGGAGCTTTTCCATGGAAATCTCTCAAAGATACCGAGTGGGCACGCATTTGTAAAAGCGCGTCGATATCATCGTCCGCCTCTTCAAGGAGCACCATCGCGCAAAGCGCCGACGCGCTTTGCAGCGCATTTTCGACGCTCGCATCTTCAAAGCAGCTGCTCGAAGACGATGCAACGTAAAATAAGAAGTCGCGTGCGTTTGATATCGATCCAGATCGTTCGTCAATCTGAAATGCACGTTCGATGACCCATTGTCCAATGTTCGTCGTTTGATTCTCCTCCTCCGTGTCGGTCTCTCGGTGTACCGTCGACTGTAACCCGATCACTTTTGCAAAACGGTCGTCTTGTTCAACAATTAACGTCATTCCGTATTCCTCGGAAACGATTGAGCTTAATATCTCAGATGTTTCGCACCAATCGGGAGTGCGAAGTTGATTTTGTTGTCCACCTGAAGAAGTATCTCCACGGTCGAGAATCTCAAGCAAGACTTTTTTGTATTCCGAGACGCGAGCACACTCTGGAATCTCTCCGGCTATGTTTAATAAATCACGCTCACGAAACCAATCGTTGTGTCTTTGAAGTAATACTTCTAATCCTCGCGCGTTTCCGGCTCGTGCGACCGCTTTCGCCGCGTCTAGGTATTCCACAAATCGAAAACTTTCGTACGCCGAGGACGAAAAATAACCTAGATGCATTGCGCGAAGCGTTTCGAGACGATCTAACGCACCAAGAGCCGCTAAGCGCGCTCGCAGCCACCACTTCGTTTCTTCATCATCGGTACCAATATCGCTTGTATTACTAAATCGATCGGTTTCAGCGACGACTTGAGAAAGCAACAACTTTTGCGTCTCGTACGTCGGCGCGACGCGCAACAAGCACTCCGCGACCACCCACTTTCGATCCGATATGGACGACAAAGTTTCAATAATCGCAGATGCGGAGATCCCCGCGTTTTTGCTATTACTGCTAACATTGTGTTTGCACAAATCATCAACAAGAGTAAACCATTTTTTCTTATATAAAGCATTCGTGTCCAACCCGTATACATTCGCCAGTTCGAGCGCTTCGTCCCAGCATTTCGTATCGAGATATTTCGCAAACATTTCTTCCGGCGTTCTTTCATCAATGGTAAGCAATCGCCATGATTGATCGTTTTCCGGAAACGATTCTAGCACGCAAATTCGCTTCAATTCTCTTTTACTACTATTGCCACTACTACTACTACTACTGCTGCTGCTGCTAGTGATTTCGCACATCCCTGAAACGTGCGCGAATGTTCCTTGAAATAAAGTCGTGCCGTTTGTGTTGTCGCGCAAAGTCGTCTCGCCGGACTCGTCGTTTGCAAACGCCGAACAATTATTGGAAAGAAGGGTCGCGGAAGAGGTTGGTTTGTTCCCATTGAATGTTTTATCTGCCTCGTCATCTACTCGCCTAATAGTTCGATACTGATTGTCATCGATGAACTCATCTTCACCGGTAAAACCTGTTTCCCACACCGACGCGCTTCTCGTATTCCCGTCGCGAATACCTATTCGTATCGTCGCGGTTGATGCGTCCGATTCTACGCTCACGTCACATCTGGACGAGGATACTATTCTCTTACTATTACTTTCAACAGCTGAAGAAAACGGAGAGGAAGAGGAACCTTTACCCGACGCAACGACTGGAAACTCTCCGATGTTTTCTGATGTGCTCCGAAAACTATACATCGTCACGCACATCGTCGTTTCCTTTCCTTCGTCGTCTTCAGACGCGGCGCCGACGACAGCGACCGTTCCTGTCTTCTCGTCCACTTCGAAACCTTTCATGAAAACCATGCCTTCCACATTTTTTAGCGTGGTCTTCTTCATTTGATGATGCGCACTACGCACGACCACGTCTTCTTCGTCGTTGAACTCAATCGATCGCACCTCCAACTGACAATGCTTTCTCCTCTTCCCTTTCTTCTTCGTGCTATTTCCAAAAGAGAGAACGTTCATCCATCCGCTCGAGGAGTAAAACGAACGCTCCACGATGGCGCACAAAATAAATGAATTTCTGTCTCCCGACGTCTTCGTCGTCGTCACAGTCGGGAGTACAAACCCGCCGACGAATCGTTCGTTCGCCTTCATCTCTTCTCTCAAATCGACTTTTACCACTTTCCTCCCGACTCTCGTGTGTACAAACATTCGATTCGCTCCAACCTGCGAGGTGAAAAATTGACCATAGCCTTCGCCGCCCTCCGTATTATTATTATGACGAGTAGGAGTACACTTTGACCATTTCGCGAACGCAACGAACAAATCTTCTCTCTTCTTCGACTTTATCTTCTTTCCTCCTCCTCCAATTTTTGCTTCGTCGTGGTCGTTTACGTCTGAATCGTCCTCGTCGTTCAAACGCAAAGACACTAACGGCCGTTCCAAATCTTGGCCTCTGAATACAAATATTTGCGCGTAATCCGTCACCAAAACCATCGACGATTCAAGCTCCTCTTCGTTAAAACCAGAAAAAGACGACGATGCGATCGATAACCGCTCATCGAACGAAGGCACGCAACGATTTTCTGACGATGATGATGATGATGATGATGATGATGATGCTTCTCCTCCTCCAAGATGATGATGATTGTGATGATGAAAATCTCTCGAACAAACTTCTTCGCTTTCGTTCTCGTAGTGCACCAAAACTTCGTGCAAAAACTTCCCCATCGTCGTATCAAATCGTCGGCGCGAGAAAGAGACGACGTTGAAATCGGAGAGAGAGAGAGAGACTTTTCGCGCTTCTTCTTTTAAAAGAGCACGTAAACTCGCGCGTAAAAAGTGACGAGATGAAATGTTTAATTTTGACGACTTTAAGGGAAAAGAGCAGCCAAACCGTTAGAATTTTCTCATCTACTTTACCTAATAATGTCGCGAGAGTTCCAGTTCGAGAACGACAAATCGGTGTGCTGGAAAACAACCGTCCGACCAAACGTGCCGCTGAAGATGCATCGACACGACCGGTTTCGCGTCGTCGTCGCCTTACAAGGCGGCACATTGAAGAAAACGGAAGAAAACGGCACGAAAACAGATTTAGTATTCGAGACTGGGAAAGCGTATTACTTACCGCCAGACCCTCCGAACGAGTTACACGCGGACATCAACGAAGGCGACGAGGACGTGGTCGTGATGGTGTGTGAGTTTAAAAACGAAGGCGAACCGGCAATAGGGGCGAAGACGTGTTCGTGCGGATTAGGAGGGGAATGCAGTTGCCCTAAGTTTACCGGGTTTAGATTAGAAGGGAATTTAGCACACGAGAACTGGCAACCGCCGACGACGAAACGAGAAGAAGGGTGATGACGAAGCGACTCAACTCGCACGACGTATGCGTATGTAATCTCGTAGCCGCTGAAGTATTCTATTATATGCGTTCTCTCTCTTAAAACTTTTATCATTCATTATGTAGGCCCCGCACTTCTTCGGCGAATCGTTCCAACTTTTCTCTCGTTTTAACGCGAATCGTTCTCTCGAGCACTTTCGGGAACTCCATGTACGTCGCTTCGGCGAGCAACCACTCTTGATCTAAGATTTCAAACGCGTCGCAGTACAGCTCGTGGAAAGCGGCGACGAAAGCTTCTTTCCGACGAAAACTACTTCCGCCATTAATGCTACTATCGTTATCATTATTATTATTACTACTACTCGTGGTGCGTCTTCTTCGAACCAACTCAAGAAAGCCGACGACGCACTTATCTACTCTCAACGTTTCATCTACCGATCCGTTTCTGATGATTCCATCCACGTCTAAGAGTTTCGTCAACTCGTGCGTCACGTTCACGCCCGCCGCCGCGAACGGGTACTCCCAATCGCTTCGTTTCCCGTTTTTCTTCTCCACGAGAACTTTGAACAGATCTTTCCTCGTTTGCGAGAAGTAGACTAAATTTTCTAGAGCGAAAACGCCGCACCCTCGTAAATCCGTCGAAGGGTGCGTGCCTTGCCATCCCATGTCTTTCCACTTTTCGCTCGCGTGTCCCAAACGCGGTTGTTGTTGTCGTTCGGACGCGGCTAAAGAAGAAGAAGAAGACTTTGATGCAAGAGGAAATTCAACCCCATCTTCATCAAAACAACTCCTCCATAATATCTTCAACATGTCCACGTGTTCTCTTTGCGTCTCGTCGTACTTCACGTCCAATCGAGATCGAATGTATACCATCGTTTCCAAACCGCTTTCGCTCAGTTTCGTCTCTAATTTTCCATCGTTTTCCTCGTTCACATCGGTGAATTTGGAGGAAAGAAACTTGCTCAACTTCGCGAAGAAATACCCGACGTACTCCACCACCGCTGCGATCGCGTGTTCGATTGGATTGCCCTGTTCTTGTTCTTCCTTTTTATCGTCGTCATCATCTTCAACTTTTGTTGGTATCTCGTTGGTCAATTTTTTCCCTTTCCCAAGTCGATGCCGGATTGATTCTTTCTCGCTGTTGCTCATCTCTCTCTCTCTCTGATATCGAGACGAAAGGCACAAAATCGATTTCGCCACTCAAAACAACAACAATTTCAACAACGTTTTCAAAGCGTCAGAGAGAGTAAAAGAGTGAGAGAAAGATCGTATATCTCTACACTTTTTAAGTACTCATTTGTGGAGAAATGAGGAACGAAATGCAACACAAATACTCCCCTAATAATACGTGTTACGCATAACACGATGATGACGACGAACGCACTCCCAAAACGCTGTTTAGGTTGTTGCGTTCCTTCGAACTGCGACGCATCATTTCTTCGAAAACGAAGACACAGACTCACCGTGAACAACATTTTTCCTGCTCCCTTTTCATCGTCATCATCGCGAGCGGCAAAAGCAAAAGCAACAAAAGCGGAGAAGGTTTTCTCAACAACGACGACGACAAGAAGAAGAAGAAGAAGAAACTCAGAAAGGAGAAGCGTAAACAACGAAGACGACCCGCTGTTATCGTTCGCCGCTCAGTTAGAACCGCCGAAAGTAGACTTAGACTTGGAGTCTTTGCAAGAAGATTTAGGCGCAGTTGTTGACGAAAATGGGTTCGTTTTACGATACGGAGAGGAAATCGAAGAGGAAGTTAAAATTTTACGAAACGAGTGCGCGATTATCGATCGATCGGAGTGGGGGATATTTCGAGTCGCATCTGGCGCCGAGGGAGATATGGTGAAATTTTTAGAAACTCTGTCGTTGTCGTCTGAAAAACTCTCGATGGAGGAGATTGGAAGCATCCAACCGGGCACGGGGAAGCGGGTGAACGGGAAACTCGATATCTACGCGCAAGAATCCGGCGCGTTTTTAGTGATTGCATCGAGGGAGGACGTGAAAGAAAATAGGGTAGAAACCATCGCGAAAGAGTGTAAGATGAGCGAGGTTATGAATTTAGCGAGTCGATGCGTGTTGCTCACCGCGTGTGGGCCGAAAACCTTGGAGGTTTTGAAACCGACTGGGTTAGCGATGGTCTTGGAAGCCGGAAAGGAGTACGAAAATGCGCACGCGGTGTTTGGGTTCGAGAATAGGCCGGTGGTGTGTTGTAAAACGAACGAATTTGTCGGTGAGTGCGGGGAAGAGTCGGCAATGAACTTTGTGGTAGATGAAGGCGTAGCTGGACAGGTTTGGGCGGCGATTATTAAAGCCGGCGCGTTCCCGGTTGGTACCGAGGCGCTCGACGCCATTCTTCAGTAAAAAGAAGTACTACTATTTTTAGCGGCTACTATGTTTATTTTAGAACTCTATTTATCACTACTACTACTACGCTTGAAATTCTAATCATCAAACCCAACGGCGTCGACTTTCGTCACGTCTAATTGAATGATATCGCACTTGGTCCCGTTCCCGAGTAAATCGCCTAAACTCGGGTTGGTTCGGCCTTTATCGCCGTGGCAAAACTCTTTGATGTACGTCCCAGCTTCCGCGCGAAGATCGACATACACGCAACGACCCCTCGTTCCAGGGACTACGGTGACTTTAATTTCACGCAACGTTCTTGGACGGACGAGATCCGATCGTCTGTGCGATACGCGAATGGGAGTTTGTTGTTTCAACTCTACGTCTTTCATGGCGCTCACGACGTCGCAAATCGTCGAATCCATTGGCACCGGCGGATCGCAAATGCACACGCACGAGTAACTCTTTTCTTTTTCGTTCGAGTCTAATCGTAAACCAACGTTTTTGTAGGTTTCTTTTGGAACGACGCGTAAATTGAAAGCTTTGACGTCAGTTTTTAGGAAACTCGATTGGTTCATGAGCGTTTCAGCGCGCACGAGATTTTCTCGAAGTTCGGAGACGCTCGCTTTCGGATTGTGCACTTCGAGGACAAACGGTCTGCCATCGCCGAGCATGCGAACGTCCAAATCTTCTCTCCCGGAGGAGTTGAACTTTGCCCCGTCCGCGTGTGCGGATTTTACGATGGCATCCTCCAACGCGTCTTGAACGCTTTCCGTCGCTCGCGCCCATTTGACTGGACAATTGGACCACGGCGACTGAGGCACGTCTCTCGCGAATTTCGCGTATCTTCCGGCAACGTAGACGGGTGAGGCCCAAACGCGAACGCGCGCGGCGATTGGATTTTCTTTCTTTTCCTCATCTTGTTTCATACGTACCGCTTTATACGTGTTATTGTACAACGCGCTCATCAACGTCTCCGTCGTCGCGTTTTTAATCGCTCGCAAAAAACCATCCGTCGACGTCTCTTTACGTACTCTCGAATACTCCAACCGACTGTCCTCAAACGCTGCCAAGTATTTTGGTTCCGGTTGCGACAGGACGAGTTCCCACTCCGGTTTTCTCCCTTCCCGTCGTTTCCGTTTTTTCCAGTTTTTCTGTCGATCGTTTGGTCGTTTCACGTTGAAATGTCGCATCGCTTTGAAATCATCTTCCAGAGAGACATTCGTCGTCTGAATCGTCCCATCATCTCTTTCACCGTCCTCGTTGTTAAAGTCGCTCTTCTTATCGGTAGCAAAACTCGCCGCCGACGGTACGCCTTCGTACTCGACGTACACCATCACCGTCGCTTTCGCTTTATCCCTCACGTGTTCGACTCGCTCGCACCCGCTGTGCGCTCGCACCATCAACATCGCCGCCTCTCGCGCCTCTCGCGCCATCGCGTCAAAGTCGCCCTCGAGTACGCGCATTTGTTGTTGTTGTTGTTGTTGTTGTTGTATTCTCGCCATATTGACGCTCTCCTTCTCCTCGTCTGAATCGATGACATCTTCTCCTTCTTTGCCTTCTTTGCCTTCTCTCAGTAAAATCTCTTTCGCGAGAGCCTGTCGAAACGCCACGGAGGGAGGAAACGCAAAGTCGACGCACACGCGTTCTCCGTTTTGAACGACTCTTTTTCTGCGTTTAGTAGTATTCTTTTTAGATTTGCACGCGAGGTGTTTCGCGAGTTCGCGCGCGTCGCTGACTACCACCGCTTTGTCTTTGTCTTCTTCTTCTTCGTTGTTGTTGTCTTCTTCTTCTTCTTCTTCTTCCGATGCTGTTTTTGACGGCGCTGAGGAACGACAAGCGAAGAACGAGAAGCAGTTCAAACACGCCGGACAGACGGTATTAAAGTCGTTCTTTATTCGTTCCTTCTTCTTTTTGTCGTCGTCGTCGTTCGACTCGTTCAGAGAAGGATGGCGACAAAACGCGCACAAGTCATCCCTCAACGGAGTTGTACATGTCGGCATTTTAAGTGACGGATGATGTGATGATGATGACCGCGAGATGATGACTTTTACGCAATGTCTGCGCTAATACCACTTCATTAACAAGAACAGTAACAACAACAGCAATGATTCCCTCGGTTCGTAAACGTCGTCGTCTGTTTATTCTGTTCTTTTGCGTCTGCGTCGCCTTCTTTTCCTCCTCCTCCTTCTTTTGTTCTTCTTCGTCTTGCGCTTCGGACGATGCCTTTGACTTTGACGGTGGTGTTGGTGGTGTGTACGCAGTCGAAGAAGAAGAAGAACAGCAACAAAAACGAAGAAGACGAATACTGCGAACGATAGTAAACGAGGACGAAGAGAAAACGAGGACGATGATTCCACCAAAGTGGGCGCGAGCTCGAAACGAGAACGATTTAGAAACAGACCGGAAGTACGTTTTGAAGAACAACGGAAGAGGAGAAGAGAACAAAACGTTGACGAGAAGAGCGAGAGCCTACGCGAACTTTGAAAACGCGTTCGCCGAAGGGTCGTCGAGTTGGAAAGTGAAAGCGAGTAAGCGCATGCCGGCAAAGACGTGCGCGGAAAGGAAATGGATTACGAGTGAAAGTGAAGACGAGAGTACGCGGAGGAGTACGAGCGGGAGTACTGACATCGAGAGGACTCGTAATGATGAGAACAGCGCCGCGAACAGAGGAGGAAGAAGTGAAAGAAGAAGAAACAAACAGTTGGGTATCGTTATCGTGGTGTGCTTGGAAAACATCAGCACGTTGTTGCGAGAGATCGATTGTGAAAAGACGAACGTGTACGCGTACGTGAAATGCGCGCAACACGTAGCGTTCGACGAAGACGTGGAGGAGAAGGTGGATACGTGCGTGACGGTGATTCATTCGAAAATAACGAGGAGGCCGGAGGCGAAAATGCACGTCGAGTGGATCGGTCACATTTTGGCGAACTACGACGACGAGAAGCTCGAACCGAATTTGATGTTCTTAAAAGGCGTGTACAGGAATAAAGGACAATCGAATTTAGAGCCCGCGTGGGTACACATGTTGGAAAGCGAAGAGCAAACACATCTGCAGGACTTTTCGTTCGCGTGTTTGATGGATCAATCGATCGATTTTCCGACTCGAAGCGAGAATTTCTTGGACATTACAGACTCGGAGAAGTTGTTGTGTTCGATGTACGAGCGATACGCCTGCGAAAAAGACACGTGCAATAACTTTTTAGGATGCTCGCACTCGATGTTTGCGGCTTCCTCGGAACGGATTCGGTCTCTGCCCAAAACGGAGTACGCGCACTTATTCGATTTCCTCATGAATGAACGGAGCGAATACCACATATATACTTTCGAGAAAGCTTGGAGCGTCATTCTCGGGTGCGCGAAGACGTACGGAGAATACTCGACGAGGGTAAAGACGTTACCGCTTCGCGTGCGATGCGGGAGGGGAGAGTACGGGACGTTCGATGTTGCGCGAATACTATCGCCGTGGTGGAAAGAAATTTTGACCAGGCAAGATGGCGCGAAATCACCGGCAATAACGATGGCGCCGTGCGAGAATCGAACGAAGCATTTTCACGACGCGTGGTTTCCGTGCGGATTATGGTAATTTTGTGTTTAGAGAGAGAGAGAGAGAGAGAGAGAGAGAGAGAGAGAGAGAGAGAGAGAGAGAGAGAGAGAGAGAGTTGAGATAAATTAGGAGTAATGTAGAAGCGGCGAGTAGAGATAGAGCACATATAGATAGCACATCATATATACATATACTAGGTACGTACCAGGTAGGTATAATTTATGCGAGTTTATCTAAGCTAACGTCCACTTCCTCCCTGGTTTCCAAATTCTTCACCTTGACAATCCCCTCTTCCTGTTCTTTCTTCCCAATGGTCAACAACCGCTTCGCGCCGACGCGTTCGGCGTGTTTAAACGTCCACTTGGACTTTTTCCCATCCTCTAAAACCACGTCTACTCTTCTCCCGTTTTTCCTCAAAACACTCGCCGCTCGCATTGCCGTTTCTCGGCAACTTTCGTCCATGGAAAACACCACGTCGTCCACATTCATCGTTTTCAACGCCTCCTCCGGCATCAAGCCTCGATCTTTCAACAATTCCACAATCACCGCGTCGCCAAAGCCAAAACCAACCATAGGAGTGTATTCACCGCCTAACGTGCTAATCAACCCGTCGTACCTCCCACCGCCACAAATCGCCCTCAGCTCGCCTCGTCGATCGAAACCTTCGAAAACAACCCCGGTATAATACGCCAATCCTCTCACCACGGACGCGTCAAAGACTAACCAATCTTCAATCCCATACGCTCTCGCTAATACGAACAACTTCTCCATCTCTTTCGCGCACTCGTCTTCTTCGCCTAATAAACTTTTCAATCCTTCCAACGAATTTGTTTCCATGCACGTCAAAACGGATTGCGTCGCCTCTTCGTTCAACCCAACCTCTCTCAACTCTTCGATGATTTTCTCTCTCGGTAATTTTTCAATTTTGTCCACGACGACGCACACGTTCGCGAATATCTCCTCCGGCACGCCCGCTTTTTCCATTACTCTCGCTAACACTTTCCTCGAGTTCACCTTGATACCGACGTCTTCGCTCGTAATCCCCACGCTCGCAAAGAAATGGCAAATCGCGCTCAACAGTTCCACCTCCGCCTCCACGCCTTCCACGCCGACGATGTCCATGTTCCACTGGTAATGCTCTCTTCTCCTCCCTCGAGTCATCCTCTCGTATCTCCAACACTGCCCAATCGCGAACCACTTCGCCGGCACCGCTAAACTCTTCCCTTTCTGCATGATCAATCTCGCTAAACTCGGCGTCAACTCCGGTCGTAAACTCACTCTTCGATCGCCTTTATCCGAAAAATTATACAGCTGTCCTTGAATCTCCTCGCCCGCTTTGCGAGTAAACAACGCCTCGGATTCTAACACGGGCGCGTCGAACTCTTCGAACCCGAACAACAACGCCGTTTGGCGAAAACTGTCGAAGAGCCAGTTTCGTTTTCGCATTTCCTCGGGTGGGAAATCTCGCGTGCCTTTCGGAGGATTCAACTCTATTTGTGATTGTTGTTGTTGTTGCGCGTTGGATTTTTTTGCGTCCACGTTGGCGGTTTGTGTCGTCACCGAACGTCCTCCACCATTACCACCACCACCTTCCGCGGTAGATGAGAGCGCGCGCAAAGTTGTCCTCTTCAAAACGTATTGCGCGTGATGACGACGATAATAATTTGGCCACTGATGGTGTGTCCGGAAGAGAAACTTCGAGGAGACTGAGCTCAACATCTTCGTCTCTTTTATCCAATGCTTTGAGCTTTTTTTGAGGTTTTTGAAGAAAAATCGATTTGACAAAAAACTTGAAAAAGTGTTTATGTTTGTTGATAAAAAATCTCTCTTTGCTCTTTGCGCGGAGTATATACTACAAGCTATTATGATGTATGTCATCCCTCTATCTTAACGATTCACTTTCAACCCATCGATTAACCCGTCTTCGAACGCGTCGATGCAAAACCTTTCGTACGACCAGTGGTGTCGTTGCGCCCAGCCTTTGCGGTCCCAGGAGGCGCTTTTCTTCACGAAGTAATGTTTCGTCTCTCGCGTCTCTCGGCTCGTGCCGAAACCGTATAAATTGACTTTACCGCATAAGTTCAAGGCTAATTGTATGCCGTAATACCCGGCGGACATTTTCAACATGTTGCACTTCTTCCCGAGCTTTTGGTTTTCCGCGCAGGAGAGGTCTTCGACGCCTTTGATTTTGTTGAGTTTCCAGTACCAGAAGATGTATTTGCTGTCGCGGTGAGAAGGGTAGACGAGGCGGCAAGAGCCGTTGCCGGCGGAAGAACCTCCTTTGCCGCCTTTGGATTTATCGCGTTCGCACATTTTATCCGGTGGAGAGGCGGTGTAGTGGACGCAGACTTCGTTGCCGAAATTTTTTGAGCCTCGTTCGCCTTTGGCGCAGAAATCGGAATTTTGGATGCGAATGGTTGTTTTCGCGCCGACGACGGATTCGTAACCGACGGTTGGCGCGTCGTTGAATCGAATGACAACGTCGTGAGTATCGATATCTTTGCCGTAGTTTTTGTTGTTCTCGATGTTACCGTTGGATCCGACGACGGCGCACGTATTGAACGGGAGTAAATCGGGCAGATCTGGAGCAGATTCTTTCGTCGTCGCGATGAATCGCGAACGGAGAATGTGCGCCACGCGCATTTTTCTGTCCGCTTTTTCGCCGTACTTTTCTTCGTATTGCGAATAGAACGGGTCGTGGTTGACACCCATGGCGCATTTGATTACTTTTTCCTTTTCGAAGACGTTCGTATCTATGGCTCGTTCGAATCCGTTTTCCGTGCAATTCGGTCCCGAATACAAAACAGGACATCGACATTTCCCATCCACGCACCGGTGGTATTTGGAACACGACGGCGAGCACGACGACGACGAGATTTCTCCTTCGTTGTTTTTGTCACCACTGTCGTCGTCATCATCATCGTTATTACTGCTACTCTTCTCTTCTCCCTCCCCAGCTACTCTACTATTATCGTCGCTATTACCTCTATTTCTATCGCCGCCGCCGCCGAACAGCGCCGAACTCAACGAAGCGCCGGAACCGCCTTTCTTATTATTGTTACCAAAATAATCGTTGTACGTATCCGAGACGTATTGAAAGTGGTTGTTCAGCGATCCCCAACTGGAAACGTATTCAACTCTTTTCTTGTTGTTGTCGTTGTTTTTCTCCTCCTCTTCCTCTTCCTTTTCCTCTTCGGAATCTCCTTTCATCATAATCTTCTTCTTCTCCCCAATATCTTCCCCTCTGGCGACGAGCTCTTGCGTCACCTTCGCGATCGCCGACTCCGCAATCGATAACTTCGTTTTTAACTCCTCTAAACCGATGCTGTCTTTTCCTTTTCCTTTTCCTCCTTTTCCTCGCGGTGATGGTTTCGCCCCCGAAACGAACAAAGTTGCTCTTCTCTCGTTGCTTTCATCTTCAGCGCATAAAAAAAGCACAAACGCGAGTTTTACTAAAAGAAGAACGCAGTGATGATGATAATAACAACGACGACGAACACTCATCGTTTGCACATAGATCGAAAGCGCAAAAGCGCACTCTCCTCCTTTCTCTCCCTCTTTCTCCTCCTCAGCAGAGTGATACTATAATGCGACGAAGAAAAATTGAAGATTTCGACGAAAACACCGGGTGTTTTAATTTCAATCGAAAAATTTTGCTCTTTTTTGCAAAAACTTTTTCCGCACAAAAAAGACTCGAAAGACTTTTACTCAAGAGAGAGAACTCCTCTCTGTATATACTAAAATACTAATGGTGCGACGAGAGAGAACAACAACACACTCTTTGGTATTCTTTTTCTCTCGCGCGCGTGTTGTTCTGTCGTAGAGTATTTCTCGTCTCGTCGCGTCCTCGGTTTGATGATGAGAGAGTTTTGATGAGAGAATTGCATTGGTTTTTCTAATCCAATCCATCTCGTTCTCTGACGACCGCTCGTTTGAGAATTCGATCGCTGACATTTTATCTCTCATTTCTTACACGTACTATGTGTAATAATAAAACAAATATATCAGGCGAAACCAGCGAACGCGGCGATGTTACAACTCATCGTCGGATTCTTAGTCGGCGCGGTGTTTGTGAGCATTTTTAGCGGCAGTGGATCCAACTATTCGGTACGTCTGTTTATTGATTGGTCTGTTTTTTTTCTCAAGAGGGGAGAGGATAGAGAGAAGGAGCAGAGGAGGGCTTTATTGAACAAAAAAAGAGCCAAAGCGCTCCTCTTTCGTAATGAAGAGCTTTTCGGATCTCTCTTTACGACCTTTTCGAGTGTTGACTTTAAATGCACGATATACTGACGATACATTCTTTCCTTCTTCCCTAATACCTTTAATGATATATAACAAACAGCAATCCGCGTACGGCTTATCCGGTTTGCTCTCGCCGACGTTTGGACATTACGACGAACTCTTTTTAGGAGACCAGAACACGTTTGACCCGCCGCAGAGGAAACCAGGGTACGTGTATAGATCTACGACGTACCAATCGTTATACGATAAAACGTGGACGGAAGGTGGGTACCCGGCGCAGTCGTGCTGGGGGTGCCGATTCGCCGTGGACGTGACGACAAAGTTGCAGTTTCACACGATGTTAGACGCGGGGACCGGGAACGGCGCGTTGACGAGATTGATGCGTCAACACGGAAAGAACGCGTACGGGATTGAGTTATCAAGGGCAGTTTTGGAAAAAGAATGCCCGGATTTGTTGTCCAAGAACTACGTGGAACCGGGGATTCTTACCAACTTGCCGTTTGAGGACAACTCGTTCGATTTGGTCATGTCCTCGGACGTGTTGGAGCACATCCACCCGGAAGAGGTGGACCAAGTCGTCAAAGAATTAGTCCGCGTCTCTAGACGTCACTTGTTTCTTTCCATCTCCTTGAAAGGACACACCAAAGCTACCGCGGACAAAGACGACGAGGCGCACAGACACACCATGCTCCGCCCGAGAGAATGGTGGCACAACATTTTCCGAAAACACGGCGCCGTCGTCAACGAGGAAATGTTATGGGCCATGCAAGAAAAAGATTTCTCTTACGTCGGAGATAAACTCGGTGACTGCCGATGGGAAGGTAAGCAAGACGACGGCGGCTTGTACGAAGTTTGCAACGTCGACAACAAGTGGTTGGTTGGGAAGAGAGAGCAGGAAAATTTACGAAGAGACCGGTGCATCACGAACGCGAACAAAGAGCTCGAGCCGTGGTTCTTTTCCTTCCGAAAGATTCGATAAAACTCACATATCACGACTAGAAGAAAAAGAAAAGAAATGAAAGGGAAAAGATGTGCTCTCGTCCTCTCGTTTTCCTCGTCGCAAACGATCGTTCGAGAGAGAGGAGAGAGAAGAAGAAGACAACGCGTAGACATTATTTTATTCGATAAAGTAAGTAAAATATACAACACACAAGACCAAATCCTCAGTTTTAATTCTTTCGTTCATCATCATCAAACATGCGTATTATACGCGAAAGAAGACAAAGACAAAGAAGAAGAGCTCGTCGAAGCGTTCTTCTTAAACTCGTTTGTTCTGTTCTTCTTCTCTCCTTTCCGTTCGTATTCGTTCGAGAAGCGCACGCGTGGTCGTTCTTCAACACTAAAAAAGATGATTCGAATTCCGCGGAGTTGGGGGAAAGAATCGAAACGCAATTCGATCGATTTCCCGAAGAAGTGTCCTCGAGTAAAAGTACTACTACTAAGAACAACAACGAGGATGATTTGAACGAAGATGGCGAGGACGACGAAAGAATGAACGCAAAAGAGAGACGGAAACAAGAGCGACGTGAGAAGAAACGATTAAAAAAACTCGAACGTAAAGAAGAGAAGAAAATGAAAGAAGAGAAACGAAAAGAGGAAGAGAAGAAAATACGCGAAGGCGAATCACCCGCCGGGTCGCTCCACGAAGCGATCGACGACGACGATTTCGACGAACTCGAAGACCTTCTCAAATGGAAACCAAACTTGAAAGAAGCGTGTAAAAGGATCGGGCAGACGAAAGATTTTACGCCAATCATGAAAGCGGCACATTTAGGCAGAGCGAAGATGATTGATTTGTTGCTCGATTACGGCGCCAATCCGAACGAAATCGATTCGATCGGGTACTCGGCCTTGATGAGAGCGGTCATGTCGAAAAATTTAGAGAGTGTGAAAGTTTTAGTCGAAGCTGGGGCGATAGTGACGTACGTTCAGAAGACAGCGATGATGGATTTAGGGCTGAGTGCGATTAAGTTAGCGCAGATGACCGGGAGAAAGGACATGGTGGACGTTTTGAAAGAAGCCGGCGCGAACCCAAACGAAGATTTGTTCGAAAAGAGAGAAAAGAAAAAAGAACAGCTCTTGGAGGAGATGGAACGAGAGGCGAAAGAAAATGGAATACAGTTCGACGGGAAAGTCACGGCAGATAAGATGAACGTGAAGAGAGGCGACGACGATATCGACATTTTGATTCAACACGACGGTAAAAACGAAACGGTCAAAGGGAGCGAAAACCTTCGCAAGTGGCGCGACGAGAAGATGAAGGAAGAGAGAGAGAAGAAGAACATGGAGAAAGCGAAAGAAGCCATGTTCGGGAACGGAGAAGAAGAAGAAGAAGAAGAACCAGAGGTGGAAGAGATGCCAGAGAATACGTTTCCTCCGAAAGAAGAACTTTAGCAGCAACGTGTATAAGAAGTAACTTGATACTATCGATGACTATCTAACTAATAATATTACAACTCTCTCTGCGTCTACTCGCTACTACTATCTACTATTTACTCTTACCCCTCTTAAATTTCGTATTTGTGCATCGTTATTCATTCATCGTCTTCAACACGCATTCTACCGCTTCTTGGACGATTTGTCTTAACTCCTCCATCTGTACGTCTTTCCTCACCCCTAAAGTCACGAACAAAGGCGGTAAAACCACCATCTTCTGTTCTGTAAAACACACTTTTTCTCTCAACAACTCATTAATTCTCGCGCACACGGTTTCCGATAACCCGGAGTCCTCCTTATGTCCGAGAACGCACTTGGCGGTTATTTGATTCGACGAGGAAGAAAAAACACCGTCGGCGACGGATTCCCCGACGGTAAACATGCTACCGAACGTTTTTAATTGCGTGATGACGAGCAAGATTCGGTCGCTGAAGAGCGTGCACACGAACGTGGTCGGGTGGGAGTTAATGGTTATCGTGGATAAGGAGGACTTTAGCTCAGACGACGACGACATGTTTGTATTGTGGCGTTTCGTTCGCGTTGAAAATTGACTAAAGAGCTTACTACTGCAGCACATGTTATTCGACGATAACATCAATCAAATACGATAATAATACAAAGCACCAAACGCGACGGCGATGAAGGACGCGGACAGGACGTTCACACCAGAGTTGCTTAAAATTTCCAAACCGGAAATTTTCGTCACCGTCGGTCCGGGTTTGCTGACAACTTTTTTACGCTCGCGGCAATAGCCGCTGTATTGAACCGTCGCGCCGAGGACGGAGTCGACGAAGGAACCGAAGAAACCGCCAAAAGCACCGATGATTAATGCGTAAAGGATTTCAGTTCTTACGCCGGAAGTGATGTACGCGCCTAAAGCCCAGCCCGAGGCAGCGACGAGACCGCCGAAAATACTGGCAACGACGCCGAGTAAGGATACGCCTCCGTTGGTCCCCGGTTCGACTTCTTTGCGACAGAAGGTGGTTATCAATCTCGGTTTCGATTTAGAGAGGACGCCCAACTCCGAGGCGAACGTATCGCCGCCACAACACGAGAAGTAGCTCAAAAAGGCTACCGCTAACGTCGACGCTACTTTTGTTGTCGCGTTACTCATGCTACTATTGCTACCACCGCTACTAATGATCGCCTCCGCAAACGCTCCCGCGCCGGTCGTGTTCGCGATGAAACTCAAACCGCCTAAAGAATATAAACTCGCCGCGGCCAACATCATCGGCACTAACCCGTTCGCCATCACTTGCACGAAATCTCTTAACCCTCCACCTTCTTTAAAGTGCTCGTCGACCTGTTTTTTCACCTCGCTTTGTACCTTCGTCACCGCTGACCCGCTGAAAAAGAAAAACGCCAACGTCAACCCATATCGAACGCCGGAAAAGATAGTCAAAACGCCGACCAAGGACGCCGAGACCGCCCCGGACAAATCCAAAGATTTCTTTTTATACCCGATCGAAGCCAACAGAAAACCTAGTGTAACGCTCCCAGACGCTCTTTTCAACAAAGTTAAAGAAGATGTAGATGGATCGTGCGCGTAACGCATGGACCATCCGCAGACTAAAAGGACACAGAGGAGCTTCAAAACGCTCTTCAAACGAACGGAATTTGTAGCTAAAACCAATTTCTTCTCCGGCGCGGACGGGCCATCGAGAAATATAGTCTCGTCTTCTCCATTCGCGCGAGTTGTCTGGAGCTTCGCTCGTCTTTGTCGTCGTCCTTCTGAAATCATCATCTTTTCGTCGTCCTTCCGGCGTAAAGTGTTTCTCTCCTCTCTTTTGAGACGATGATGATTTTGCGACGAACTCTTCGCCATCATCGAAGGATGATGATTACTGCGCAATCGTCGACGATTGGATAACGATAACGATAGTATCGTTTCTGTTGTTGTTAATGATGATGATGTTGATGTCGTTGCGAACATGTTGACGTAATAAAGAGAGTAATACTATTCGCAATTTATGAAGCAAACAACTTTGGATAACGAACGGATTTTCATCACTGGATGTGGCGAGAGGCGAAATATACGACTACAGAAGAAAGAGCACAAACACGTCGCACATACAGTAAGTATTACAAAACGACGGTCTGCACTTGCATTTTATCTCTCTCGGCTAGATATTGATAACACTCCCCCGCGCAAAATATTCGATTGACTTCTCTCTCTCTTTCTTCGTCAAACACGTTAGATGTCTGGTCTCGTCGCGTAGCGCAAACACTCGCGATTCTTCCAAACATCACTTCTTCCTCCTCCATTCTCTCTTTTTAAATCTTCCTTTTTTATTACTACTTTATATATATATTGCTTCTGTTTTATGTATACCAATCAATAATAATAAAGAAAATTTAGAGCACCGGAGTACGGTCGACGGCGTTCAAGGTGACAAAGTTGTAGCCAAACGGATCGGCGACGTGCTTACCCCAGTTCGCCGCTGGCCCTTCGCCAGTCGTCGCACCTTGGACGAAGACACCCAACATGGCGATCATCGCCAATCGGCCGTTCTTAATCTCCTTAACCTTCAAGATTTCCAAATCTTGCGGGGTGGCCGCGACGTTGTAAAAGTCCAACGGTCCGCCCGGGTTGATCGGGTCCAACTTGGCAAAGTCCTTGCCGGTGAACGAGCCCTTGAACGGGACAAATCCAGACGGCGCAGAGGCCGGGTCGGATCGGAACTTTTCCGCGCCGCCCATCAAGACAATCAACGGAGCGACGGCGATGCCCAACCACAATTCGGCCGGGCCGAATCTGCCAGTGGAACCTTCCAAAAACACCTTACCGGTCTCTCTCCAGTCGCCGCCGGCGATGTTGAGCGCTTCCGGAATGACGATACCCGGGACGGCCAACATAGCCCATCTGGCGTGGATGACTTCCGCGACGCGATATTGCTTGATGGCACCGTCCGCGCCCAAACCGAGCGGGTCAAACCCGTAATCACCGGCCAACTTACCGTCGAGGTAGGACGGGATGTCCGCCGTCGTCAAGAGACCAGACGGGAGGTACAACTTACGTTGCGGGCCTGAAAAGTTTTGTTGGGTAGTAAAAGAGAAGAAGAAGAAGAGTGAAATTGTCCGTCGGTCAGTACATTGATGTTTAAAACGCACAGCAGAAACGCCGCCGCCCTCAAAGCTTCTTCTTTTCCGTCGTTTTCGCGCGTTCTTCTTCTTAAGAGGATTGAAAATTTTTCTCCTCTTTTTTTCGTGGGGTGAAAAACAAGACCCAAAGCGATACCAAAATCCAACCAAAAAAAAAAGATCGAGTTCGGCCACAAGGCGCGACTTGTTTCCTTTTCTATCTCTTTCTCTTTTCCACCACAGGTGTGTAAAGAGGACTTCGGGAAAGACGTATTATTAGTACTACGAGTTTTAATACTTACCGTACCACTTGGACAAGTCCGCGGTTTTCACCGTCGTCTTGACCGGAGCGGCCTTCTTGACCGTCTTCTTGACCGTCACCGGTGCTTTCTTCGCCGGAGTTGGCTTCTTCGCCGGGACCGCCTTCTTCGCCGGGGCCTGTTTGTAAAAAAAAGATTGATGATGGGAGAGCGGGTGAGTGAATGAATAAAAATTTACTCTCGTAAAACAAAAGAAAAAAGCAATCAACATCACGTACGGTTTTCTTGACCGTCTTGGCCGGAGCCGGAGCGGATTTCTTAAAGAGTGCGTTGACAGTGACAGCCATTGTTGTGTTTGTGTGTTTTTGTTGTGGATGAAAAACGTGTGCGTTATATGAGGATCATTTAAAATTCAATGGATGAGATGATGAGAGAGGAAGAAGATACGACAGCCGGAAGAGAGATTTTCTCTTCTTCTTCAATTTTTTTCTTTGAATGGTCTGTTTTTTTGATAAGTGCGTAAGGGCTTACTCGCTCGCGAGTAAGGACGAAGCACTTACGTGAGTCCAAAAAAGGTACTCAAAAAAAGAAAGAGTAACCCCTTTTGACTGCTGTGAGGGCAGAGGAGAGAAAGGACGTCTCTCACACACAAAAAAAAAACGGATGATGATGCTTGAGAAGAGGTTGGTGTTGTTGTGAGTAGTAGGTTGTAGTATTAAAAAAAATGTCGTCGTGTGTGGTGGCTGTATAAGATTGTTATTAATAATAATTAATCCAAGACGGCTAACACGTCGGACTCGTGCAAGACGACGTACTTCTTCCCCTCCCCGTCTTGCATCTGATCCCCGGCGTATTTGAAATACACAACCTCCTGGCCGACTTTCACGTTCATCGGCTTGAGCGCTTTCTTCTCCTCGTCCCAGGCGCCCGGGCCGACTTTGGAAACCGTGCCTTGCACCGGCTTTTCTTGACTTCCGCTGGTTAACAAAATTCCACCTTTGGTTTGCATTTCCGCGTCTTTCAACGTCAAAATCAAGCGGTCTCCTAAGGGTTCCAAGTTTGGAATGTCGTCTACGCTCGCGTTGGATCTCGGAAACGTGCCTATCAAGTCGAGTTCGCGAAGCATGGTAAATTCCTCGTTGTTGAGAATCATATCGTCCGCACCGATGCCGAATTTGTTGTACAAGACGGTTTGGCCCGGTTTGACGCCGTGGACGTCGTCGCCGATCGCTTCCACGTCACCTGAATAAAGAAGCAAAAGAGAGAGAAAAAAAATGTCAGCGCTTAGTATTCTCAATGGAAGCAACCTTCTTCTTCTTCTTCGAGATAAGGAGAAGACAAACAAAATTTCCATCGTACGACGACGAAGACAACGCACCACTCGTTGGTTTCTGTTGACTCCCTTCGGTCAACAAAACGCCCCCTTTCGTTTCTCTTTCCGTCTCCGCGATTTTAATCAAAACTCGTCCTCCCATTGGTTGTACTTTCGTGTATTTCTTCGGCACTTCGAACGGCTTCCCAGCCATCGCAATACAGGTTTTCCCTCTCAGGGGGCTTCTTTTTTTGACTACATTTGATTTGGACAACAACGACGAGGACGACGAAAACGCCATGGTATTTGATGTCATTTTGATGATGATAGTCCTTTTATAATAAAGAGATGATTTTAGAAAAGAACGCCGATGAGTAGTGAGAGTTTACGCGCGTTCTTGACTGCAAAAAGTAGAGAATGCGGCGCTTCGTGAGAAAAAGAGTCGATGGGTTTTTTCAAGCAGATTTATGCAGAAGGAGAACAGAAAGAGGGAGGGAGACGCAACAAAAACCAAAAAGACAACCATGCATGCAACACCAAAAAAAAAGAGAAGAAAACAAAACAAACAGACAGAAATATCTCTCTACTATATATATTTGTCTACACACACGTAAGTGAGTAAAGATGTTCGCGTCGAAAAAATCCTACCGCGAGAAGAAAGAAGAGCTGGCTCGCGTGCGCGTGCAACTGCACGCCTTAGCCTTGGAGAATAAGAAGTTAGAACAACTGATTCAAGACTCTGAAAATGCGTCTCTGATTTCAACGCACGATTACGGGCTCGAATCTCCCGAAGATTTACACTCCGCGTTATCTGGGATGAAGAAAATGCTCGACGTGGCGGAGGAGAAAGCGCAAAGAGAAGAGGTTTTGAGGCAAGAAGCCGAGGAACAGTTTCAAGCGAAGAAGCACGAGTATTTGCAATCCGCGGTGAGTGGAATGCAAACGATGTTGACGGAGACGGAAGTGCAGTTGCACGAGACGCAGAAAAAGTTGGAGGAGTTGGAAACGAAAAGGCAAGAAGCGGAGACGATGTTCGCGAAAGAGATCAAAGAGTACGAGACGAGAATCGCGTATTTGGAGAGCTTTGTGAAACCGTGCGAGTTGAAGATTGAGGTGAAGTTAACGGAGGAGGAGAGGGATATATTGCACGAAGTGAACGGTCCGCGAGACGGGAAGGTGTTGAAACCGGCGAAGAGCAGAGGGTGCGGTTTCTTTTAAAAAGAGAAAGACGTCGATCGAGGGGGGTGTATTTATAATATTTCTTAGTAGTTTCGTTATGTAACAGTTTTATCTTTTACACGGTTGTATTTTATAACGATGATTGGTCCAGTAGTTATCGTCAATCAATTACGTTGAACTTATTTTCTACTCTCTCAATCTCTCTCTCGGTCTTCTCAATCTCTCATATATCTTCGTATTATTATTAATATAGTAAAGTAATTTCAGGGATGTTAATAGTAATTTACAGAATGACATTTTCGTAACCTTTCTCGGCCACGAGATTGTCTAAATACCGCAACAAGTCGTTGCGTCTGGATAAAAGTCGGCGGCATTCGGACGTGGTCAAAATACCGTCAAACTCTTTCGCAATCGCTCGAGCGTCCAGTAATCGCAGCCGGAAGTACGTCTTCGCGGAAACGCATAACGTTGGTCCGGTTTGGAACGCGTTTTCGTGAGTCATGTCGACCCAGGCGCCGTCTCTAAACGCCGCCGCGTGGTCAATCAAAATTGGATAATGATTCGATCGCGTGTCTTCTGCGTTGTTGTGATTGTTCTTATGTTGTCGATCGCCGTTGTCGTCGCTGATTTCGTTTTTAAACACTTCTGGAATTGGATTCGCATCTACCCAGTGTTCGGCAAAGAGAAAATGACCGTGGTGTCGATCGGAGTTTCCGAGTAACACGTCCATGACTCTCGTGTCCGACAAGACTTGCTTCTGCGAAGTCTTCCAGTGTTCCGGATGGACCTCTTTCAACGTTTGTGATTCTTGCGCCCAATAGATAAACGCCCCTTCGTCAAACTCTTTGTAATCGCATTGGATTGGATTGCTCCCCATTTGGGTATCTTTCTTCGAACACGCCGGTCCTTTTCGATTCATTCTGTACGCCGTCGGCGGGACGTAATCCATTCCTAAAACGCGATTGAGTTTATACGCAACGAGTTCCATCAAGACTTGGTGCCACCCGTCGCCATCGCCGACAATTTTCGGTTTAAACATGCAATCAATCTCTCTCCCGGTATCTCGGCATCGCAAGCGCAATTTATATGTCGGATGTCCAAAAGAATTCAATTTCGCGAGCGAGACGCAGTTGACGATATCGCCGTGCTGCAAAATGTTGGTAATGCCCGCGTGGATGTTTTCTCTTTCTCTGGCAAACTCGCTCGCCTCTCTGGTCGTTTCGTCCACGGCTTCGTTTCTGCACTTATCCGAGAACTGCTTAGCTTCTTCCTCCAACGCTTTCGCGCCGATGGCAATCAAGCCTCTCTTTGAAACCGATTCGTAAATGGAAGGATCGGAATCCACCGCTTGAAATGCCTTCGTTTTAATCCATAACTCAAACGAACCGTCGTCGTTCTCTTTAACTAACCTTTTCGAACACGAGATAACCCCGGGGTGTTCCACGAAACACTGCGGCGTCGCATCCGGAATGGTTGAATCGCCGAAAAACGATTGTTCGGAGACGTACCCTTGTTCGCTACCCGCGCTCGAGCGTTGTTGTTGTTGTTGTTGTTCACCCGTCGTCACCGCCGAAGGCGATTCCAACGCCGCGTGTTCCAAGTTTCGTCGATGCGCTTCCAAAATTTCGTCGTGATTGGCTTTACCTTCGCTCCCGAGCGTGATCTTTAACAAGTCGTCGTCGTCTACGTCGTTGTCCTGGAAAAAAAGACTTTGCGCGCCTTTCATGTCCTCGTTCGTTTCTTCCTCTTCCTCTTCCAAAACGTGATTGTAAATGTCATCGCACTCGGGACCATCCATCAAATCGGACGTTCGAAAGCACGAAATCTTCACCTCGTCCCCTGGTTCCAACTTTCGAAACTGTTCCATCGCTGGACTCTTATCGTGCACGATGACGTTCCCGGTCACTTCCGTCGGGGCCTCTTCGACAAACTTCTCGCTCAAAATAACTTTAAACCTCCCAAACACTTTAAACGTCTGTCCAACCTCTCGATCAAAATCCGATGGGAACTGAAACGTCACTCGACACTGCCCTTCCATTTTCATGATCATCTGTACCGTCGCGAATTCCCAGCTTTGTATACCTCCGCGAACGCGCTGATTCGCTTTTTCGTCACTCATTTCCACCAACTGTTGCTCTAGATTTGAGGTTTCACTTTTTGGCACTTTTTGCCCTCTTTTTTTTCCTCCTCTTCCTGTTTGGGACGATCGCATCTGTAAAACCCCCTGGGAATGCTTTTGCGTGGGGATGACTGTTGTTGCTTCTTTGTTATTATTATTATTATTATTATTATTATTCTCTTCGCTGCTGGTGGTGAACGACGGGTCCGCGATTGCTTTGTTCTTGACCGACATCTTTGGTGATTTTTTTCCTCCTAATACTCTGTCTCCTCCTGATAGTTTATAAGACGTGAGAGAAATACAGTTTGAGCGAGATTTAGGAGAGAAAAGAAAGGATCCGATGATTTGGAAAAATTGTCGTTAAAAAAATAAATCTACTCAAAAGCGCACCTCCACCTCCACCTCTGTTCTTCTTTAACTTCTTCGACAGAGACAGAGAAGAAGAGGAACAGAGAAAAGATGCGTGTCGCCGTCCAGCGAGGAGCAGTGTTTGCTCCATCTTCTCGGGAGAAGAGACAGATGGGCGTTTGTGTGTGTGTAAATGTTCTGTGCGGAATTGTAAGGAAGGAATCGTTTGTCTGAAAAACCTCTCGTTTTTTCCCCTCGAAGAGAAAGATATTTTTTAAAGAAATCAAGAGAGGGAGAGAAAGCAAGGGAAATTTGAGTAGGGTATAACACCCTAAATTTTTTTCTCGTCTCCTTTTTTCAAATTTTTTTTCTCCAAACGGGCTTCAAAACAGAGCAGAAAACTTTTGTCTCGTTAGTAGGAAGCGCAAAAGCACAGCAGTTTAATAAGCAGAGTTAGAGAGAGAGAGAGAGGGAAACAAAATGACGGAGAATAAATTGGAATACCTTGCGATCGATTTAATCACGAACGGGCCGAAAGTTCCCGGCGCGTGCGTCGTGGATGCCACCGGTGTCACGTGGACTGCGACGACGACATCATCATCACATTCGAAAAAAGAAAACGGAGAAAAAGAAGATCAATCTCGCGCTGCTGCGAGTAAAAAGATAGTCGCACCGGCGACGGATATCAAAGAGATCAACTACTCGCAAGTCCCCGGTGGCGTTCAGGTTTTGTTGCGAGTAAAACCGGACAAAGGTTCCGCGAAAACGATCGTTTTGCAAGGTTTCCGAGGCGCTGACGTGAAGCCTTTGAAAGAGTTCGTCGCCGCGCAGTTTGAAAATGTTCGCGTGCGACAACGAGAGTGTCAACCGAACGGACGAAACTGGGGGGACATCGTCGTCTCTAATAGCAATTTTAAATTCGAGGTGAACGAGAAGTGTTCGTTCGAGGTGAACGCGAACGCGATAGCCGGGGTGAACCCAATCGGGAAGAACGATTTGATCGTCGAGATGCAACAAGGAAAGGAGAACGAGAAACAGAGTAAAGACGCTTTAGTCGAGATGGCGTTTTATGTCCCGTTAACCGCGGAGACTTGGGCAGGGGAGGACGTGGATGATGCGGATGATATGGCAGTGCAACGATTGGCGACGGCGATTGATGCGATTGCGGCGACTGGACCGGCGCTGGGCGAGCCGGTGTGTGCGTTCGAGGACGCCAACTTGGTCGTGCCGAGAGGAAAGGTTACGTTTGCGTTGCATCCGAACTTTGTTCGAGTGACTGGTTCTGCCGCAGATTTTAAGATTAATTACACGTCCGTGTTGAGAGTGTACGCGTTGCCGAAACCGAACGCGCATCAGACGCACGTGGTGGTAGCTTTGGATCCACCGATTAGGAAAGGACAAACGTTTTATTCGTTCATCGTGACGGTGTTCAACGACGACGATATCATCACCGTCGCGCCGAGGAAACCGAATAAAGAGACGGACGATATCGAAATTACCGGGGAAATGGAGGAGAGGTTCAAGGCCGTGGAGGAGGAGTACACCGGTGCGGCTGGTGAGGTTTTTGCGAGAGTTTTGAAAGCGGTGGCGGGCGTGAAATTGACGAGACAAGGGACGTTCGTCTCCCCAGCGGGCGGTGCCGCCATTCGCGTCTCGCACAAAGCCGACGTCGGTTTGTTGTACTTACTCGAGAGAGGCTTCTTTTATTTGCCGAAACCGCCGATTTTGGTTCGATACGAGGACGTTTCCGAGTGTGAATTTGAACGCCACGGCGGCGGCGCCGGCGCGAGTAAGACGTTCGATTTGACGTTGACGACGAAGAAAGGTTTGAGTTACCAATTCCACGGCATCTCCCGAACAGAGTTTCAAAATTTGGTCAACTTTTTAACCGCGAAGGGCTTACCCATGGGTGAAGTCGACGCCAACGCCTTGGCGGATCGCTTGATTGACGAGGACGACATGGCCGGCATCGACGACGCGGGTCCCGATCTCGAAAGAGGTTCCGACGAAGACGAAGATTCCGAGGAAGACGAAGACTTCAAAGGTGCCTCGGACTCGGACGGGGGCGAACCGACCGATTCATCCTCCTCAGAAAGCGACTCGGATTCAGACTCGGACGGAGGCGGCGGCAAAAAGAAGAAACCGGCGAAGAAGAAAGCGAAAACAAACTCGGGCTCTCCCCACGCCAAGAAGAAGAAAGAAAAAGACCCCAACGCGCCGAAACGACCGTTGTCGACGTACATGATCTTCTCCGCGGAAATGCGCGCGAAAGTGAAAGAGGAAAACCCGGACTTTTCCATCACGGACGTCGCCAAAGAACTCGGCGTTCGATGGAAATCCGTCACCGACGAAGAAAAGGTGAAATACGAAGAGCTCGCCAAGAAGGACAAAGAGCGCTACGAACGAGAGATGGAAGAGTATAAGAAAACGAAGAAAGAAAAAGGAGACGAGGAGATGGCCGACGTGGCGGGAGAGGAGGAGGAAGATTAGAAGGTGGTCGATGTTCGTGTTATCGTTTAGTAGCTCTAAGATTTGTCAATACGTGATTTATAACGATAAAAAACGTTGCGTTAGAACGACACCACCACCACTCGTTCAATTTTTTACTTTTTATTAGGGGGAAATTGGGGCAAAATTGAATCAGAAATTCCTCTCTCTTGGACCACGCTTTGAATTAATAAAAGTGATAACACACACAACAGTACGTAAAAGAGACGAAATTATGATCGCGACGATGACGATCGGCACGAATTTTTCGACGATTTCGTCTTCGTCTTCGTCTTCTCCTCCTCCTTCTCGTGAAAAGGTGGTGAAAAGGTGTGGTGCTTCGAACGACACCTTTTCTCGAGGATCGTTCGTAAAGAAGAAAGGAGACCAAAGAAGAAGAATTCTGTTGAGGCCAAAGGCTGCCTCGGTGGCGCCGATGGAAGACGCCGCGCCGCCGCCACCGCCAGGGAATAAACCACCAACCGATGATAACTGGGGGAACGGGGGAGGTGATGGAGGTGATGATGGTGATGGCGGGAGCAACGGAAGCGACGATAACTTCTCTGGTTCTTTGTTCGTGCCGTTTGCCTCGCTGGGCGTGGCGGCTATCGTAGCCTCGTTTCTCGCGAAGTTCGTTCGAATCGAAAGCGAGAAGAAGGTGAAAGAGGAGAACGAACGGATGCGACGGAACGCGAATTTACCGACGAGTGCGATGAAGCCACCGGATGGAAAGAACGTCGTGTACGTCGGGCAGAAGCAAGACGAGGAAAGAAGGCGAGTGACGGAGAACGTGGAGAGAAAAGAGAGGGAGGAAGAATCGAAGAGGAAGAAAGCGGCGATGGATGTGGCGACGACGACGACGACGACGACGACGAAAAGTAGCGTCGGTACAGAGACGACCAATAATAATAACAGTAGTAAAGCGAGTAGCAATAGCAATAGCACGAAAGCGCCAAAGCAGTCGGCGGAAGAATTGATGGCCGAAGCGATGCGACACTACGTAGATTTGGAAACCGAGAAGAAGGAAAAGGACGAGATCGAAGCGAGGGAACGACAAGCGTTGGAGGAACTGCAACAGATTGAAGAGATTCAACAGCGCGCGGAGAAGCAGCAGCAACAACAAATACATCAATCGCGAAAGCCTGCACCTCCATCATCTGTACAACAACAACAACGTCAACAACAAGAAGAGACGTTTGATATTCCAGCTCCGATGCGAGGCAAATCGCACGAGAGCAACAGCATAAACACAAGAAGTCCGCGCTTGATGCGCGCGTTATCGCTGGCGGCGGACGCACGCGCGGCGGCGGACCAAGCTACAGAGGCTGCAGAAGCTGCGGCGTACGCTGCCGCGGAACTCCAAGCGACGCTCGTAGATCGAGACGGTCCTCCGTTGAACCGTGAAAAATTCCGAAAGGAATTTCGACAGCGATTGGCGGCCCAATACGACGACGACGACGAGCAGCATCAACAACAACAGCGTTACAGAAGCGGACGATATAGCGGTAGCAGTGGTAATAGCGCAAACGGGGGGTACGGTGGTCCATCGTCTTCTGTTGGCGCGCCGAGTGGAAGAAGATCCATGCACCACCAACATCGACAACGACAGCAACAAGAACAAAGACGAAACCAAACCAAATCGCAAAAACTCCTGGAATCCACGGAAATGTGGTTGAGAGATACCGTCATTCCAACTGCGAAAATTGCAACCGTGAAGACGGTCGAATTCGCTCGAGAAAACTACCCGCACGTGAAAGAAGCGACGTTGAAAACCGTCTCTGCGGCTAAACAAGAAGCTGACAAAGTGCGCTCGACTGAAAAGTTTAAAAAGGCTGAGTCCTTCCTCAAAGAGAAAACGAAAGGCATCACGCGAGAGGTTGAAAGAATCGCCAAGAAAACCATGGAAGAGCCGACGGTGATCGTAGATGAGTTACAGAAAGGCGCGAAAGACATGGCGCGAGAGAGCGTACATCTGTGGGACAAGCACGTCGCGCCGATTGTCGTCAATCCAGAGTTGGTGGCAGACGACGAAAAAAACAAGAAGAATAAGAACAAGAAGAACAAGAAGGATAACAGAAAGCATTGATATCATTGCAGATTGCTCTGTGTGTATATATATAAGAAATGTATCTTGAACGCGTTGTTGCTTTTCAATTCTTCACTTTTATTTATTATCTACGTGCTTTGGAGGTGTGCTGAGTGTGCGCACGCGCGGAGACACGCATGCTGCGATCAACATCGGCAGTATCATCACTTTTCGCGCATTGCATGCCCTGTTCTTCTGGTCATCCGCTCTTTGGTGTCGTCCCTTCGTCGTCGTCTTCATCGTTTACGAGAAGGGAAACGCTTCATCATCATCATCATCATCAAAAACAACGAAGAAGAAGAAGAACATCGACGGGCGCAACGACGACAACAAACGCCACCTCCGCTGGACAAAGCCCGCGAGAAGGGCGGGTGTATTCCTCTTCCCCTTCCTCTTCCTTCTCCTCCTCTTCAAAACTATCTCTGATCGTTTGGGACGTCGATGGTACTCTGGCAAACACCACAACCTTAGCTTTCGAAGCGACGAACACGGTGCTCAAAAAGCACGAGTTGCCCGAGATATCGCTCGAACAGTACGAACGTGGGAGCAAGTACACGACCCCGAAGAGGTTTTCCTATCACGCGTGTGGCGATAGCGAGGGCGAAAGAGAGTTAGGGGAGAAGTTAGGCGCGAGTTTTGATGAATATTACGTAGGATTAGTGACGACGGAGACGGCTGGATTGTTTACCGGTATTCGGACAATCGTCGAGAGAACGAAGAAGACGGGCGGGGTGAGACACGCGGCGTTATCGAATGCGTGCGGAGAGTACGCGAGGAGGGTCGTCACGGTGAACGAATTAGATTCTATTTTCGAAGTGAGTTTAGGCGCCGACGATGTTTCGAAAGCGAAACCAGAACCGGAAGGCATTCGAGAGCTTTGCGAGAAACTGAACGTAGACGTATCCACCGCGGTTTACGTTGGAGACGCGCCGAGCGATGGGAAAGCCGCGAAAGCGGCTGGGTGCATGTTCTCAATAGGTGTAAATTGGGGATCTCACGATTTAAGCGATGCGTCGAACAAAGAACATTTCGATATCGTTTGCGAGACGAGGGAGGAGTTGGAACAGTTCTTTACGATGTGCGGGGCTCTCGTTGAACTCTAAAAGATACATCTGATGATGTGTGTATTATTAATCTGTATGTATTTGAACCTAGTACTGCTGCTTGCGCGCGTCTCTACAATATGGTGAACTCTATGAGATATCTACTTCAAAAAATCTACTACGCTTTCTTATAGGACACGTCTTCCACGCCTACCCGATGATTCGCCACTCTCGCCGCCACGAACAAATAATCCGACAACCTGTTCAAGTACATCCCGACCGATTTCTCCACGTCCCCACTTTCCACCATCGGTTGTACTTTCCTCTCGCACCTTCGGCATATCGCCCTCGCTTGGTGTAAAAAAGCCGCGAATTTCGTACCTCCTGGACATAAAAAGTTTGTCAACGCCGGTAACTCTTCCTCGTACGCGTCTATCCAAGATTCGATCGCGTCGACGTGCGATTCGTCAAACCGACATCTCATCTTCATGCCATCTTTCGTCTTCTCGCTCGTCATCGGCGTCGCGACTGCCGAACCGACGTCTAACAATCGACTCTGAATAATCTCCAAATGTGGTAAGACATCCTCGTCGAAACAGTTCATGTCTGCTGAAGTCGTAGCACCACTGTTGTTATTATTATTATTATTAAACAAAAAGAAATCGCGCGCGTGTACTCTCGCGATCCCGACCGCGACGTTCGTCTCGTCGCAATCCCCCAAAGCTTCAAACGTGAGGTCCGATTTCTTCCTTCGCTCCAAGTTATACAACGACGACGTCCCGTCGTCGCCGGTTTTCGTATACACTTTGAATTTAGTCATTTCATCCTTCGCATCGTTTGCGCTGCTATTAAAAGTGGTTCCTTTTCCCATTTGGAGTTCGTTCTGGTGGTGGTCCTTCTTCGTCGCTTCTTCCTCACCGATTTTTGTTTGCTGCTCTAATCCTCCTCCTCCTCCTCCTCCTGTTTGTTCGTCAACTAAGAAAGTCGTTTCGTTGGTAGCGTTGGCCATTTTTTTCCAAACAAAGACAAGACCAAAAAATTGTGGGAAAATTTTCCTCAAAAAAAAAAAAAAGGATAAAACCGCCGAACAAAACCTCATAATTCTTGTAGAGTCTAACGCACATTCATACTATATATATAATATTTGTTGCGAAGTTTTAAAAGTCAAAAAGGTGCGCTCGCTTCGTCGACATCGCATTTATGCGTTCGTTTTGTGGAATCGATTTTTTGTTCGTTCGTTTCGCGCGAGAGAGAGAGAAACCGCGTATTGAAAGCGCGGAAATCACATTTTGAGGATCTTATTGAGGTTTTGGAAAGAGACTGACCACCGATTTCATCATTCTTCTTCTTCTTCTTCTTAAACAACAGATACTATGAACGCCCTTTCCCAGTCTATTTTATCCTCCCGAGTTTCCAGCACGTCTGCGTTTACGTCCACGTCTAAGTCGTCTGCCGGATCCAGCAACAAACGAGGCGCTTTGCAAGTCATGGCAGCCTCGAAGAAAAAAGACGTCCGATTGCAAGTGACGTTGGAGTGCACGGAGCAAAGAGAAGCGGGCGTGCAAGGGATGAGCCGATACATCACGCAAAAGAACCGCAGAAACAACTCACAAAGAATTGAATTGATGAAATATAACCCGTACATGAAGAAGCACACTTTGCACAGAGAGTTGAAGAAGTAAACAAACTTTTTTTAGTGCTCGAGAGAGAAAGAAAGAGAGAGGAGGAACGCGCGCGTTTATCCACTCGCTCGAATCTCGCTCGACGGGTTAATATAGAAAAATGTATCCTTTAGAAGTTGAAAATATATATACATATGTTCAGAGTAAATAGTAATCGTCGCGTAAGGCATGATTGTTTTCTTTCTTTCTTATTAGAGTAATAAGTATATTTAATAAAGCTAGTTTTATTATCGTATTCCAAAACACCTTTCTAATAGTAGTAATTTGTACATATCAACTCAAAGTTTACGCCTCGACAACGCTAATGCCCATGTTGTTCGCCGTCCCTCTGACAACCTCCATCGCAGATTCAACTTTCGTGCAGTTCAAATCCGGTAACTTAATCTTAGCAATCTCTTCCAATTGCGCCAAGGTGACGGAACCGACGTTTTGTTTTTGCGGGTCCGCCGCGCCCTTCGCGACGCCGGCGGCTTTCTTCAACAAGACCGAAGCCGGCGGCGTTTTCAAGATGAACGTGAACGATTTGTCTTCAAAAACGGTAATTTCGACTGGAATGATCATCCCCGGCTGGTCCGACGTTCTCGCGTTGTACTCTTTGCAAAAAGCCATGATGTTCACGCCCTATTTTGTTGTAAAAGCAGAGGATAAAGTTTTTGGTCAGTTTTTCTTTTTCAGGTTTTGAGAGACGAAGAAATTTACACCGCGCAGCCGAAGGAGGAGGGAAAAAGAAAATCATGCGCTCGGAAACCGTACCTTTGCACCTAAAGCCGGACCAATCGGCGGCGCCGGATTCGCCTTCCCGGCTTCAATGGCCAATTTAATATACCCGGCAACCTTCGCCGCCATCGTCGTCACTCTTCTTTGTCCTCTATTCGAACCATTCATTTTTTGTGTCAATCTCGCGCAACTCACGGATTCGCCGCTAAACGATGCGCTCGTCCCTCGGCTAAACGCGCGCGAGGAAACCGACGTTTGACTCGTGCATTTCGTTTTGGAGGGGTTTACTGCTCGTTTTTGAGGCGCCACGGAGACGAAGGAGGCCGAAATAGATGCCATCTTTTCTCTTCTTCTTCTTCTTCTTCTATGTGGGTGTGTGTTCTATAATTTGTGTGAGGAGAAAAACCTCTCGGTTCTTTCTCGTCGTCGGCGTTTTTTTTGGATAACTGCAGACACGAGCAAGAAAAGTGAGTCAAAAGTGTTGGCACAAACCAAGTGAAACAAAACTTGTGCAAAAAGAGAGGAAAAATTTGAGGAAGCATTTGAGGAGTCAAAAGAGAGAGAAAAGCAATCGAGAAAAAGTGAATTTTGGGTTCAAAAAAAATTCAAAAACTTCTCCTCAGTAGTGTCGTCTCGTTGGTCTGGTTTTTAGTCGTCGTTGCGTGCGCGTACTTTATACGCGGTAAATATATACGCACCACTCTCATCACGAACACTCACTTTTCAACGAGAGCATTTTCATAGAGAGAGAGAGAGAGAGAGAGAGAGAAAAGAGCGCGTAAATAATGGCAACGCCAACGCGTCGTTCGTCTCGACAAACGACGCCACAAAAATCAACGCAACAAAACAACAACGCTCCAAAATCATCGTCGAAAAAGAAAACATCTAAAGCGGACGAGTTGTTCGACGACGTCGCGAAAGAGAGTCCTTCGAGAAGAACGAGAAGCGCGACGACGAGAAGCGCGAGCGCGACGCCGGTGAAGGAGAAAAAGACGACGACGACGACGCCAAACAAGAAGAAGAAGAAAATTGGTGGTGTTTCGCCTTCACAGAAGAAGAAGAGTCCTGCTGCTGCGGCAAAAACGACTCCAACAAAGAAGAAACGAGGAGGGAGAAGTCCGAGCGTGACGCCGAGCAAGAAGAAAAAGACGACGGAAAAAGAGGAGGAAACGGAAGTTATGGAGACAGAGGGAGAGGCGTTAGCGGAAGAAGAGGAAGATGGTGATGATGATGATGCCGCCGCCGCCGCCGCGCCCGTCGTAGAGACCGAAGAGGAAGAAACTTTGGCGCCGACGCAAGGCGGTGGCATCGACGAGAGCATGTTTTCACCACCGCCGCAGAGGCCACCTCAAGAGCAGCAGCAGCAACAACAACAGCAACAACAACAGAATCCTCCTAATACGCAACAAAGGCAGCCTCCGCCGTCGACGGTTCAGCGAACGCCAAGATTTCCCTCGTCGACGCAACAACAACAACAACCGGGCACGCAAGGAAGAGATTCGATCAACGCTTCGCTCTTTTCGCCTACGCCGAGACAAACGCCCAGAAATATGGGCTTCGCGAGTCCGAGTCCGTTTGTGAATGCGAATCCGCCGGCGTCGCAAGGTAGGCACGATACGGGTTTACACGGCGCGCAACCTCGATTCACGCCCGCTTCTGGGGCGAGACCGGGGGCCTCGATGGATCCAGCGAATAATAATAACAACGCGTTCGCGTCGCTCAATCCGAGACCGTTCATGGGACTCACTGAAGAGGAGATTCAAGACGCTAAAGCTCGCGCGGTAAGAGATCCAGATCAAAACGCAGCAGAAGATTTGCAAAGAGAGCAGGACAGGCAAACGTTTATTTGGGGAACAGCGATTAGCGTCGATGACGTGCAAAACCGATTTCGTCGTTTCTTGGAGAATTTCATCTTGACGAAGAAAGATAAGCAGGTAAAGGAAGGCGAAGGAGACGACGAAGACGACGAGGGAGGAGAGAGAAATAACGCGGGCGATGGTGAAAAAGATGACGGTACGAACGGAAGCGCGGAGAAGAGAAACGAAGGCGCCATGGACACTGATAATAACAACAACAACAACAACGAAAAAGATACGGATGCGAACGCGGGGGAAGATCTCGACGACAGTCAACGTCTTCTTCTCCCGACGCAAACACAAAGCCAAGACGAAGAGGATGACGATGACTTGCTCGCGGATTCCTTTTACATTAAAGTCATGCGTTTATGTCACGAGAAAGATATCATAAACTTGGACATTGATTGTGCGCACTTGGAGAGTTACGACCCCTGGTTGTATGAAAGGCTCGTTGCGTATCCGCAAGAATTGATTCCGTTGTTTGACACCGTAGCGAATAAGATTTACGAGGATCAAGTGCTTCCGGACGACGAGAAAGAGAATTTCAGAAAACAAATCTTACCGAGTTTAGAAGTCAGACCGTTCAACTTGCTCGAAAAGCACGCGATGAGAGATTTAAATCCGTCCGATATCGATAAAATGGTCGCGGTCAAAGGCATGGTTACTCGATGTTCAGCCGTCATCCCAGAATTAAAAGGCGCGTACTTCAAATGTTTAACTTGCGGCGCTTCTCCGGAAATTGTCGTTGTCAACCGCGGTCGCGTCAATGAACCGCCTTTGAAATGTTTAGAGTGCCGCAATCAAGGTACGATGACGCTCATTCACAACCGATGTTACTTTGCAAACAAGCAACAGGTGAAAATGCAAGAGACGCCAGACGTGATTCCGGAAGGTGCGACGCCGAACACGGTGAGCATGTGCGTGTTCGATTCCTTAGTAGACGAGGCGAAACCAGGTGACAGAGTTGAAGTGACGGGGGTGTATCGAGCGGTACCTATTCGAGTCGCGCCGAACCAACGAGCTATTCGATCGATTTATAAAACGTATCTGGATATCATTCACATTCGCAAAGATACGAAAGGCAAACTTCGAAACACGGCGAAGAAGGACGATAACGAAGATATGAAAGATGCAGAGTACATGAAGACTGGTAGTGGTGACATGGAGGACGATCTGAACATGGGCGCTCAACAACAACAAGAAGAAAACGATGCGACAAACACGGAAACGATGGCCTCGAACATTTCGCCTCGCGGCGACACCGAACTCGAGTTTTCGCCCGAGCGGATTCGAGAAATCGAAGAGCTCTCGAGACATTCAGATATTTACGAGCGATTGGCAAAATCAGTCGCGCCGTCTATTTGGGAACTCGAAGATATCAAAAAAGGTATTTTGTGTCAACTCTTTGGCGCGACGAACAAGACGTTTAAAGGCGCATCGGCGAATAAAGTGCGAGGCGATATCAACATTTTACTCGTCGGGGATCCTGGCGTGGCGAAATCGCAGTTGTTGACGTACGTACACAGAGTCGCGCCACGAGGCATGTATACTTCTGGTTCTGGTTCTTCTGCGGTTGGTCTGACCGCATACGTGTCGAGAGATCCGGAAACGAAAGACATGGTGTTAGAATCTGGCGCTTTAGTCTTATCCGATCGAGGCGTGTGTTGCATCGACGAGTTTGATAAAATGGGCGACGGCGCGCGATCGATGTTGCACGAAGTCATGGAGCAACAAACGGTGTCAATCGCCAAAGCAGGGATCATTGCCGTATTGAATGCGCGAACATCTGTTTTGGCGTCCGCGAACCCTGTCGGAAGTAGATATAATCCAAACATGAGCATCGTCGATAACTTACACTTACCGCCGACGTTGTTGTCGAGATTCGATTTGCTTTACTTAGTTCTCGATCAGCCAAACCCAGAAACGGATCGACGATTGGCGAGACATTTAGTCTCTTTGCATTATAAAGATCCGCCGAAGAGAGCGAAAGCGACTGTTTCGGCGGAGTTATTGACAGATTACATCTCGTACGCGAAGCAAGTGTGTCATCCCGTGCTCGGCGAAGAAGCCGGCGAAGAGCTCGTCGATGGGTACGTCAAGATGCGACAATTGGGATCAGCCGGAGGGAGGAAAGTCGTCACTGCGACGCCACGACAATTGGAATCTTTAGTACGTATTTCTGAGGCTCTGGCGAGAATTAGATTGTCGAAAACCGTAGACAAACAAGACTCTACGGAGGCGCTGCGTTTGATGCGCGTGGCAATGCAAAGCGCGGCAATCGATCCGAGAACGGGTTTGATCGACATGGATAAGATCTTGACTGGTCATTCCGCGGCGGACAGGAAACAGCGTTCAGATATTGCCGAAGGGGTGGATGATATTTTACAAGGCATGCAAGGAAGAAAAGCTCGATTGAGTGAAATCGTATTGAAATTGAAGGAAAGAAATGCATCCATCGAGATTTCCGTGCAAGAAGTCCGAGACTCGGCGTTGCTCCTGGCAGAACAAGACAGAGCTATCGTGAAGGGCGATTTAGTGCAACTTATTTAATTATCAGATATATTATTATTAGTAGATTATGTGTGTGTGTGTGTGTGTGTTTTATTTCACTCTAAGTTTTAATAGTGTCTCTTGTTGGTTGGTCGCTCCCTCTCTTTCGCCTAATTTCGCTTCTTTCGAATCGAAAGCACTTTCATAAAGCGAGTACGAGCGATTATCCCATACCAGAGGAGCCGGTGTAGGCGGTGGTGGATAATTCCTTACCGTCGCCAGTCATGACGATGATTTCACCCTCAGCGTTCACATCCATGATAGCACTCGTGCCTTCGGCGATGTCGCCACTCAACATCTTCTCCGCGAGGTTGTCTTCCAACAATCTCATGATGGCTCTTCTCAACGGACGAGCACCAAACGCCGGCGAGAAGCCTTCGTCGACAACCTTGTCCTTGAATCTGTCCGTGACGTCCAAAGTAATTTCCTTCTCCTTCAATCGCTTGAACACGTTGTTCAACATGATCATCGCAATTTCACGGACTTCTTGCTTGTTCAATTGACGGAAGATGATGATTTCATCCAAGCGGTTAAGAAATTCCGGTCTGAAGTAGTTCTTGAGTTCGTCTTGAACCAAGGATTTGATTCTTTGGTACGATTGGTCTTCGACGTTGTCGTCCAATTGGAAACCCAAACCGCCGCCACCTTTTTCAATTTGCTGGGCGCCAACGTTCGAGGTCATGATGATCAAAGTGTTTTTGAAGTCAATGACTCTGCCCTTGGAATCGGTTAATCGACCGTCTTCCAAAATTTGCAACATCATGTTGAAGACATCCGGGTGAGCTTTTTCAATTTCATCAAACAACACCAAGGTATACGGACGTCTTCTGACAGCTTCGGTCAATTGACCACCTTCGGAGTAGCCGACGTAACCTGGTGGCGAACCAATCAATTTGGAAACCGTGTGTCGTTCCATAAATTCGGACATATCCAAACGGACCATCGCTTCCTCGCTGCCAAAGTAAAACTGCGACAAGGATTTGGCCAATTCGGATTTACCAACACCAGTCGGCCCGGCGAAGATGAACGAGGCGACTGGACGATTCGGCGACTTCAGCCCCGTTCTCGCTCTTCGGATAGCTCTTGAGCACGCCACGATGGCTTCTTCCTGACCAATCAAACGTTCGTGTAACTTCTCTTCCATGCCCATCAAGCGTTGCGCTTCGTCCGAGGCAACCTTATCGACCGGAATACCAGTCCACGCGGCGACAACGTCCGCAATATCCTGTTCGGTCACGGTCGGACCGGTTTCTTTACCAGACTCAATTTCAGCCTTGGCTTCTTCTTGCTTCTTCTCCGTGATGGCTTTAATTTGAGATTTCAACTCAACCTCCTTGTCTCTGATGCTCCCGGCGGCTTCAAAGTCTTGCCCTCGAATCGCGGTGTCTTTCTCTTTTTGCAAAGCCTTCAATTCTTTGTCCAGCTCTTTGGCTTCTTCCGGAATAGACGTGTGCTCCAAACGAACTCTCGACCCGGCTTCATCGATTAAATCGATAGCCTTATCCGGTAAGAAACGATCAGAAATGTACTGCGAAGAAAACTTCGCCGCGCACTCCAAAGCTTCGTCCGTGTACTTCAACTTGTGGTGAACTTCGTATCGCTCTCTCAAACCTTTCAAGATTTCGATGGTTTCATCCACCGTCGGTTCTGGGACTTGAACTGGTTGAAAACGTCTCTCCAGCGCCGGATCCTTTTCGATGTGCTTTCGGTATTCGTCAATCGTCGTCGCGCCGATGCACTGCAACTCGCCTCTCGCCAACGCCGGTTTCAAGATGTTCGCAGCGTCTATTGCGCCTTCAGCCGCCCCTGCACCGATCAAAGTGTGCACTTCGTCGATGAAAAGAATAATTGCGTCGTCTTGCTTGACTTCGTCCATGAGCTTCTTCAAACGTTCTTCGAATTCCCCGCGATACTTGGTACCCGCAACGAGTAAACCCATATCCAAAGTCATCATTCTCTTCCCTTCCAAAGTTTCCGGAACGGTTCCCGACGCGATTTGTTGGGCCAAACCTTCAGCAATCGCGGATTTACCAACTCCGGGTTCACCAACCAAGCAAGGGTTGTTTTTGGTCCTTCTACCGAGAATTTGCGTGACGCGCCTTATTTCATTCGTTCTGCCGACGCAAGGGTCCAACTTGGCCTCTTCGGCTTGTTTCGTCAAATCCGAACCAAACTCCTCGAGCGTAGGCGTCTTGGAACCACTGGCGGCACCGCCAGTCGCGCCAGCGCCAGCGCCGACCGCTTCTTGGGACTCACCAACCATTCGGATGACTTGAGATCGAATCTTGGCTGGATCCGCGTCCAAGTTTTCCAAAACGCGCGCCGCGACGCCTTCGCCTTCTCTCAACAAACCCAACAATAAGTGTTCCGTGCCGATGTAATTGTGGCCGAGTTGTCTCGCTTCTTCTAAAGCGAGTTCTAAAACGCGTTTCGCTCGCGGCGTAAACGGAATTTCAACCGCTACAAAACCCGAACCTCTACCGATGATCTTCTCCACCTCCACTCTCGCTTCTTTCAACGATATCCCCATGGACTTTAAAACCTTCGCGGCAATACCGGTACCTTCGCCGATTAAACCCAACATAATTTGCTCCGTACCGACAAAGTTGTGACCTAACCTTCTCGCTTCTTCTTGCGCTAACATGACGACCTTGATCGCTTTTTCCGTAAAGCGTTCAAACATCGCTCGTGGGCCCTTGATGACTGCTCCCAATTTCTTACCCGAGGACGAGGAAGAAGAACCGCTTTTCGTAGAAAGTTGCCTCGAGGTGACGCCTTTAAAGTTACCGTTTCTGGATAACGTGCTCGTCATGTCGATGGCATTCGTGGATCGTAATCCGGAAAAGTTACCTGGAATGGACGTTCGCGTCGAAGACATCGACGCGTTCGCGCGCATCACCATTGTCACTTTTCTGCCTTTCGAAGCCGACGACGTCGTTGCCCCACCCACATTCGCACGCGAAAACGAAACGCTCGATAAAGTCGTCGAAGCGAACATTTTTATATCCTTAAATGAGGTGTGTTACTGTCTACGCTACGTTTACTTTATAAAGATACAGAAAAATAGACGCCGTGGAAGACTTACTGCGCGTTGAGTGAGGTCTGTCGAAACTTCTTTTTTTCTAGTTCTCCTTTTGTGAGGAGGAATGGGGAGACGTAAGTGGTGCCGAAGAGGCAAAAGTCGTTATCCAAACAAGCAAAAAAAAAAATTATCGCACTCGTGTGACTGCTCTTTCCGCTTTCCTTTCACACGACGGTTGGACCATCGTCTCTCCTCCTGTTTGCTGGAGAAAAAAATCGCACTGCTTTTGTTGTCCTCCTCCTCACCGTGTAAAGGCGAACAACAACACAAAGAGATGAGACGAGAAGAAGAGATGACATTTTCAGCGAAACTTTGATGCGCCGCATTTCTTAGAGACGTTTTCGTCGTTTTCTCTCTTCTTTCCCTCTCTCTCTCTCTCTCTTTCCCTCTCGGTATTAGTTAACGACGGAAGAAGAATTACGATATTGAAATCCTCCGGTGCTTAGATTTCTTCTCATCTTCTTTTCATCTTCTTTTCATCTTCTTTTCATCTTCTTCTTCTCCGATGTCGCTCTTCGACGAGGAGGAGGACGACTTTGAGATTGAGATGGACAAGGAAAAGTTCGATCAAATTATCGTTCGAGCAGAGGAAGAGAAGAGAAAGAAGCAGAGAACGACGACGACAAACGCGTTTGATTTTATGAAAAATTCTCAGCAACAACAACGACAACAACAACAACAACAAGAGGTTTTGCAGCAACAGAACTACCAGCATCAACATCACGCGGTGAAAAAGATATCCATTTTACCCAGCGAGGGTGGTAATAATAACGCTGGGCGCGTTAAGTTTGAACTGTTCATCTCGGCGCCAATCGCTCGGAAGTTTGACAGACTCGTCGCGAAGTTTGACGCAGCGTTCGCAAGAGAAAGCGCGGAAGAGTACGAGAGAAGAGAACAGTTGGAAGAAATTAATAACGGCACGGTGATGAAAAATATAATCACGTGGGATGGTATACCTCACGGAAGGTTGGATCTAGTCGTGTCGAGTTTGAAGCGCCAATTTGATATCAACGACGCGGTGAATATCCTTTATCCACACCCGTTCGTGAGACGAAGTTTGCGAAGCGCGGATCGAATGATTCACGATAAAATGGTCGACAATCAGTTCAATTCTATTCCGTTTAAAGATAAGTTATTTCCATTTCAAAGCGAAGGCGTAAAATTTGTTCTTAAGAGAGACGGTCGAGCTATGATTGGTGACGAAATGGGCTTAGGGAAAAGCATTCAAGCTTTGGGCGTCTCGAAAGTTTATTCGAAAGATTGGCCGTGTGTTATATTCTGTCCTAGTAGTTTAAAAGACACGTGGAAACACGAAATCGAGAAATGGCTCGGGGGAGTTGATGGCGACGATGGAAAAGGTGAATGCGCAGTGAAAGTGCGCAAGATTGAATCCGCGAAAGAGTCTAAGGATATCTTGAACGAAATGCGAAAAAATAGCAACGGCAGCGGCAGCGCATCGACAAAAATCGATTTTATTATCGTGCCGTATTCCATCTGTAATCAGATACAGAAGGAGTTATTCGAGCTCGTTTTCAACGTTATGAAAGCGAACGTGGTCGTGTGCGACGAGTCGCACTTTCTCAAAGACCGGAAAGCCAAACGAACGATGGCTGTCGTTCCCTTTCTTATACGCGCGAAACGAGCAATCTGTCTTACCGGCACGCCGGCTCTGGCGAAACCAATCGAGTTATTTTCGCAACTGACGAGTTTGCGACCGGATATTTTTCCGAAATTATCAGAATATGGTCAAAGATATTGTTCAGGAGGGCGATTTGGCGCCTTTAGCGGGTCGAGCGAAAGTCAAGAGTTGTTCGCCGTCGTCTCTTCTTCGGTCATGATTCGCAGAAAGAAGAAAGACGTGCTCACGCAGCTCCCGCCTAAACAACGGGAACAAATTTTCTTGGAGATACCGAAAGCGGAGAGGACTTCAAAAATACAACCGATCGTTCAGGCTATGAATGCGTTACCAGAGACGGAAACTTTAGAGCGTAAAATGTTGATGAACAAATATTACTTAAGTACTGCAGAGGCGAAGGTGAAAACTGTACAGAATTATCTTCAAAATCTCCTTGAGTCTGTCGACGAGGAGAAGAAAATTTTGTTCTTCGCGCACCACAAGTGTTTGCTACACGCCGCCGTGGAGACGATGGAGAAGACAAAAACTAAGTTCATTCGCATCGATGGCGAAACGCCGAGCGGTTTGCGTCAAGGTTTAGTGGATTCCTTCCAAAGGTGCGACGCAAACTCACCGAAAGTGGCAGTGCTTTCGATTAAAGCCGCCGGCGTCGGCTTGACTCTCACGCGCGCGAGTTTAGTCGTCTTTTCGGAATATTCGTGGACGCCGGCGGAAATACTTCAAGCGGAAGACCGCGCGCACAGAATTGGACAGCGAGATTCCGTCCTGGTTCAATTTCTTCACGCAAAAGATAGCGTGGACGATATCATATGGCAAAGCGTTCAAAATAAACTAGAAACGTTGGGTCATTTTCTCGACGGTACGAAAAAAGGGAACAAGATGGAAACGAAAATGGAAGATGCGGCCGATCGAAGACAGAGTTTCGACGCCACGCAGAAAACGCTGGACGAGTTCGTCGGTCGTTAGTCATATATATAGGATTTAGTTGAAACTTAGAGAGCACAGTTGCACCTTGCATCTATCGAAAGGATTTGTTATTACTACCTCCTCCGCCACCGGCGATATTCTTGCCCTTCTCGCTCCCTCTCACGCCGTCGCCCAACACCGCTTTCGACGGGTCCTTCATGAACTGATTCTCCGCCTCTTCAGAGTGATACACGCACGACACCTCTGGCGACTTTTTCAAATCCCCGACGTACGCGAACGTGTTCAAATTCCTCTTGCAATCGTTCTCTTGATCTTGCGTGACTACTTTCTCTCTCTCCAACACCGACCAGTTTGATCTTCTTAAAACACACCCCGGTTTCACCTCTGGTTGCGCCACGTACACGTTGAAAGGATTCAAGGACAAAAACACCCTCTGGTCAAACACCATCGCCGAAGCCCCGTTCGCCATGCACACTTCGCTCGACGGCGTTCGTCGATCTAAAATCTCCCTGGACGCGACGTTGGACGGTTCCAAGTCCACTGCGGTGTCGAAAACGACGCCGGCGCCGATACCGACGACAAACGCGCCGGCGACTAAGAATTTATCCAGTTCTCGGGGAAACAGACGAGGTTGTTTATTATTATTATTACTATTCCGTCCTCCTCCTCCTCCTCTTCCTCCTCTTCCTCCTCCTTTTCTCTGTTCTTGCGTCTCGTATTCGTCCTCTTCAAACCACCCGCTACTATTACTATTATTATTTCCTCTTCTCGTTGGCGCAAAATCGTACGTATTTTCTCTGTTTCTCGACTTCGTATAGGCCAGTCGATCTTGTTGCATTTGTTTCTGACGACCTCTTCCTCCATCGTTCTCCTTTTCATAGTACGCGCCGCTGTCGCCGCCGCTGTCGCCGCCGTACGACGCATTATTCTTCCGCGAACGAGATGATGCGCTCGTGGCGTTAAAACTTTTCCTACCCAAACCCTCGCCCGAGCGGCGGCGAACAACATTAATTCGCACTTTGCATCGACGACACAGAAGAATCGCGTCGTCGTTAAAAGTCGTTTTCGGGGGCAAAAGAGAAGGCGTCGACGTGGTGAGCGTCGCACGACTCCTTCCTCCGCGACGACAAAAACGACGACTCTCGGCGAGACGAGCAGAAGCAGGAGTCGCAGCGCTCGTGGTCGTGGTGGTCGCAACAAAGCGAGACATCATCTCTCTTCTTCTTCTTCTTCTTCTTCTGTGTTGTGTTCCTTCTTCTCGTTTTTAATTCACAGTTCAGTGCGGAATCTCGAATTGTGAGTACGACGAGTACAATGACGACTTTTTGGTCAAACGTGTGACTCTCAAATCGAAAAAAAAACACAAAAAACACAAAACAAGTTTTTCTCTCTCATAAAGTTTCTTGTTGTGGATAAAAGATATCTCTCATCTCTTCTCTCTTCTTCTCTCTCTTTCTTTCTCTTTCTCCTCATTTTTTTACCACGACAGACAGAGAGACAGAACGCGATGACGACGACGACGACGACGACGATGACGATGGCTTCTTCTTCTTTGTCTTCTTCTTTGTCTTCTTCTTTGTCTTCGAAGAAGAAGAAGATGATGATGATGATGATGAAGAAAAGTTGTTCAACACGAAGAACACAAAAAAAAAGATTTTACTCTTCGGCGTCTCAAGAACAACAAACAACGAACAGTTCTGCGGAAAAAATGCTCTCCATATGGCTGACTCGCCAGGCACAACTCGGGAATTTGGACGACGATTTAGTCATCGTCATCAATTCCATCGCCATCGCGTGTAAGCAAATCATGAGCTTAGTGAAAGCAGCTCCGTTGCAAGGGAATATTGGATTAGCGGGTGGGAAAAATGAAAGCGGAGACGAACAGAAGAAGTTGGACGTCATCGCGAACGATATTTTCTTAAACGCGGTACAAAAATGCGGACGAAGTTCGGTGATTGTTACGGAGGAGGAAGATCACCCGGTTTTATCAGCGACGAACGTTGGGAATGGAGATTACGTGGTGACGTTTGACCCGATCGATGGGTCCTCGAACATCGACGCGTGCGTCACGACGGGTGCGATTTTTGGCATTTATTCACCCGGAGAGTGCGACATTGACCCGACGCAATCTGCCGAGGAAATCATGAAAAACTGCACGGAAAACGCGAATCAATCCGGGGAGAACTTAGTCGCGGCTGGGTATTGCATGTTTTCTTCGTCGTGCGTTTTTATGATTACCACTGGTCACGGCGTGTTTGGTTTCACTCTGGACGAACAAATCGGCGAGTTTGTCATGTCGCACGAAAAGTTACAAATTCCAGACGGCAAAGATATGAAACGCATTTATAGTGGGAACAACGGGAACGTGCAATTATGGGCTCCGGAGTTAAGAGAGTACGTGAAAAAGTTACAAACGGGCGAAATCGACGGGAGAAAAGGAGATCCTTGGTCGTATAGGTACATCGGCGCTCTCATCGGTGATTTCCATCGAACGTTGTTATACGGCGGCATTTGGTTGTACCCTCCAGACGTGAAGGCGACGGAAGGTAAGGCGAGATTATTGTATGAGGTTGCGCCGATTGCTATGATTGCGGAGCAAGCGAACGGGATGGCGACGAGAGGGAAAATGGCCGACGAACGGGTCATGGAAGTGAAACCTATGTCAATCCATCAAAAATCGCCCATGTTTGTGGGATCGAACAGCGCTGTTCTCGGATTACAGAAGTTCTTGAAAGAGCACTAAGTAAGAAGAAGTAATCCTCGCGTTGTCGTTGTCGCTGTTGTTTGTTATCATTACGTGTTGTACCACTCGCATCTAAATTTATAATCTATTCTTGGTTTCTCGCTACTTTTCTCGTGTTTGTTTTAGAATTATATTACTCGAAATCTGAGTCGTCGTCGAAGTCGCTCTCTTCTTCTTCCTCTTCCTCCTCCTCAGATTCTCCATCCTCGTCAGCATCATCATCATCTGAATCCGAATCTTCCTTGTATTTCGTCGCCGTTGCGCTAGAACGTCTCGCTGGTCGCGCCTTCTTCGCGATTGGTTCGTCGTCTTCGCTGCTCTCGTCCGACGATATGAGGTCCATGACGTCGTCCGAGTCGTCCGCGTCCGAGAGCTCGATTCGCTCCTCGCGTTTCTTCTTCTTTTGATGTTGCGCCTTTTTCTTCGCGGCAGCCGCGGCGGCAGCTTTGTCCGTCGATGATTTCTTTTTCGCGTTTCCACTACCTCCACCGCCTGGTGATCGCAACGATACCTCTCTCCCGGCTATGCTCGGCTGGATGGGCGAGATTATTGATATCGTCGCTTTCCCTCTCACGAGCGCTTGCGGCGACGTCATGTGCCCGTCGTCTGAATCGCTGTCGTCGTCTCCATCGAAATCAATGTTTCCTAAACCGTCGTTATCGGCGAGATTCTTCTCCGCTTTCGCCGCTGCCTGACGTTTCGGTCTTCGACCACCCGCGGCGTCTTTTGATTTATTATCTTTTCCTCCTCCTTCACCTTCTTCTTCGTCGGAGTCGCCGAGCGTAATCACGCTATCGTCGGCGGCGTCGGTGTTCGCGTCGTCGTTTTCATCTCCCTTCTTTCCTCCTCCTTTTTTCTTGCCCAACGTGCTGTTGTTCTTCCTCTCCCAATCAATCGCCGTCTTCTTATTCCCGCTATTCATGGTCTTCCAAACGCTCTCGGGAATCTCCAACAATGGCTTCTCCTCCGGATTCTCCTCTTTCGTCCCGATCCAAGCCCATTGGGAGAATATTAACACCCCGTCGAAGAAATCTTCGAGATTCGCGTTCGCATTCGCCCCTGAATCTTTCCTCGACGATCCGCCGCCTCCGCTTCCAAGGTTCAAGGTGAAATACCTCGACTCTCTCGCCCTCGCTATGGTCCCGTACAGTTTCATCTTCCCGATGCCGTTCGGGAAGTTGATGTAACAAACTGGATTTTGCGTATCCAAATCCGCGAGTTCTCCAAACTCCACCGCGTTCGCGTTCGTAGCAGTAGAAGTAGTGTTATTATTATTATCTCCGTTACCACCATTACCACCACCACTCGCGTTGTTGTTCATGAAACTAATCTGCGCGAATTGTCCGGGAAATACCACCATGTGTCTCGACTTTCTCGTGTTCGCTTTCTTCGCGATATCTTTCGCGTCCGATTTGAACAGCTGGTTTTTCCTCGTTTGAATAACCTCCGCGGTGGACGGCAACGCGGACGAGACAATTCTGCTGCTCAGCGCGGACTGATAAATTTTCGTGGATACTTGACGCTCTCTCAAAATTTCCTCGTCTGTCTCGAGGACTGCGGCTCTTTGCGCGTCTGTTTTCCCGTCGTCTTTGTCGTTCTTCTTCTTCTTCCTCGGCGGCATTTTTTCTTTATTTGATGTGTTTGATTGGAAATTCCCCCCAAATCCGTTGTTAGAGTTGTCGTTCCTCTTTCTCTCTCTCTCTCTCTCTTCTCCTACAAAAAATATATTATTAAAAGCAGAGGATGATGATGATGACGATGTTTTAATAAAACGTGCGCGTTGTGTGCTTTAACACACAGTGGTACAATATAAAACGAGACGAGATGAGTGAGGAGAAATTTTTGTGATGCGCAACTCATCAAATCTCTTTTTTTTTGTTTTTTGAATTTTTTCCTTTTTTCTCTGTTTTTGTTTGTTTTGTCTTCTCCTTCTTCTTCTTCTTCTTCTTCATACTAAAAGAACGTGTCGAGAGAGAAAAGATGCGGTCTTGTTCGATGATGCTCAACATCATCGCGCGACGAACGACGACGGCGATTTGTTGCGCTCGCACCAGCACGAGTACTACGAGTACGAGTACTATTGCTGCTGCTGCTACGAATACTACTTCTTTGTGTTCTTCTTCGCAAAGAAGGTATTTAGTAAGAAGAGCCACATCTTCGTTAGGTTGCAGCACTTCTTCTAATTCCAATTCTTCTTTGAATTCTTCTTTGAATTCTCAAAGCGAGGATGATGCGAACGACGATGATAAAGAAGAAGGAAAAGGAGTATATTATTACGATGATGATATTAATGATTCAGAAGATTTAGATTTAGAAAACGATTACGTAGAGTTGCAACTGGCAAAACAAGCGAAAGCGGCGACGATAAAATCGGTCAAATTCATCTCCTCGGTCGTTCGACACCAAGACTGTCCGCAAACGAAACTCCCGGAAGTGGCGTTCATCGGACGCTCGAACGTCGGGAAGAGCTCGTTAGTAAACATGCTCACGAACAGGAAAAACGTCGCCAAAGTCTCCAAAAACCCAGGGAAAACGCAAACGATTAATCATTACGAAATCACCACCGGCGACGGGAAGTGGTTTCTCGTCGATTTACCCGGGTACGGCTTCGCCAACGCGCCGGAACATCTCAAGAAGGAGTGGGCGAAGTTCACTCGAGAGTACTTGTTAGAGAGGAAAAACTTAATCTCCGTGATGTTATTAGTCGATAGCACGGTCAAACCCCAACAACTAGATCTGGACGCGTTGGAATTCTTAGCCGAGAACGATATTCCAGCCACGGTCGTGTTCACCAAGGCGGATAAAAAACGGAAAGCCAAGGGCGGGAAACGCGCGACGCCGGCGGAACACGTGGACATGTTCGCCGATGAAATCAGCGAAATGTTCGAAGAGTTGCCGCCGTTCGTGTTTACCAGCGCGAATAGTGGGGAAGGGAAGAAAGAGTTGTTGAATCACATCGCCACAATACGAGAGTTCATGAAGAACGGATCAGGAGATGGAGAAGAAGACGAAGCGTTTAGTGATGAAGTAGAACTATAATAGACTTTTGTTCATCCCCATTAATACTCCTCTCATGCTTTCGTTGGCACCGCTTTTCGCAACGAAGACTTTTATTACTACTTTTATCAAAACACCTTCTTGTTCTTCTTCTGTTACGAACACCTTCTGCTTCTTTCGTCTTCGTGGTCGTCTTCGAAGCGCGCATACGATTCAGACGAGGAGAGACGAGAGATTTTTTTCCATGGGCGCGATGGTTTCCCGGGACGGAACAACGAAATCATCATTCTCGAACACCAAAACAAACTACTCTTTTACCAACGAAAAGAAACGCGAAAGAGGAGGAGGAAAGAAGAAAACGCTGACGACGATTGTTTCAGCAGCACAAGCAGCCAAGAGTAACGACCCCGTCGACAACGACGATAACGATGAGTTGTTAAAAACGCCGACGAAGAAGAAGAAGACAAATAAAACAACGAACAACGTGAAACACGAACGAGCGCCGCCGAAGAACTGGGAAGAGTGTTTAGCGAAGATCAAACAGATGAGAAAGAACGGACCGTTAGCGCCGGTGGATACCATGGGATGCGAGAAAATCGCCGAGACGAGCGACGAAAAACAGAAGCGATACCGGACGTTGATCTCCGCCATGCTCTCGTCGCAAACGAAAGACCAAATCAATCACGCGACGATGAATAAGCTCATCGCGTTGAATAAAGACACCGCGGAAGGGATATTGAACACGACGGAAGACGATTTAGACGAAATCATCCACCAAGTCGGGTTTCACAGGAACAAAGCGAAATATTTACGAGCGGCGGCGAAGATATGCGTAGAAAAATACGGCGGAGATATTCCTCCGGATTTAGAGTCCTTAGTAGAACTCCCCGGGGTTGGTCCGAAAATGGGACACTTAATCATGAACGTCGGGTGGGAAAAACCGAGCGGGATATGTGTGGACGTGCACGTACACAGAATTACTGAGAGATTAGGGTGGGTTTCGGAATCGTGCGCGGTGACCAACGCCGGTTCGCCTCGTAAAAGAACGCCCGAGGACACCAGAGTCGCTTTAGAGAACTGGTTACCCAAAGACGAGTGGGTGGAAATCAACCCATTACTCGTCGGATTTGGACAGTTATACTGCACGCCGTTGCGGCCGAAATGTTCCGAGTGCGATGTCGCCGATTTGTGTCAAAACGCGTTCCGAGATGCCGCCACGCCGACGAAGAAGAAGAATAATCTGAAGAGCAGCAAAAATTAAAAGTGCATAATATTAAAAGCGCTCGCGTATGTGTGTGTTATGTCTGCATGTAAATAGAAAAGGAGAAGAAAGTAAACCGTATAGAATTGCGTGTGCGTGTTTTGTTTGTATGTATATATATGTTTAGAGAGAGAGGGAGAGAGCGTGATGAAATCTAATTATTCCATCTCATCATCGTATGTATACTTTACCTCGTTTGTTGTGTTGTGTTGTTTTTGTGTTTTTGTTGAATTGAACGATCTGTTCTGCATTTAAAAGCTGCGCAATTACTCGTACGATCGAAAAGAAGAAGAAGAACATAATAATAATAAGAACATAAAAATGGCGCGTTTATTCTTAGACCAAGAGCCGTTGACGCAGTATAAAGACCGAAGATTCGAGGGTAATCTCGAGGAATATTTAGATCGTTTGCGAACGTCGACGACGTTATACGTCGGGAACGTTTCCTTTTTCACCACGGAGGAACAAATACACGAATTATTCACCTTGTGTGGCCCGGTGAAGAAAATCACGATGGGATTAGACAAACAGAAAATGACGCCGTGCGGATTCACGTTCGTGGAGTTTCACAACCGCAGAGACGCGGAGTTAGCGGTGAAACATCTGAACGGGACAAAGTTGGACGACCGGGAAATTCGGATCGATTTCGACTGGGGGTTTGTCGACGGGAGGCAATTCGGCAGAGGTCGATCGGGCGGTCAAGTCAGAGACGAATACAGAACAAACTTTGATAGCGGGAGAGGCGGATACGGTCAGTTGTTGAAAGTAGAGCTGGAACGCGCGGAGAAAGAAGAGGAGTACGGTGGAGATTTTATAGAAGATTACGACGGGCAACAACAGGAATACGGCGGCGGAGGAGGAAGAGGAAGTCGGTCGAAGCGAAGAGACCGGGATCAGGAGATGGAAGACGCGGATGCGCCGAGGAAACGATGATACTAGCAAATTAAAACAATAATAACAAATTACTAAAAGCCTATATACATATGTGAAGATGATTCTTAAAAACGCTTCGCGATACTACTACTACTAGTCTAAATCTACTACTTTTAAAACAGCGCGAAAGGAAGCACTCCGCGGAAGAAGAGCTCATCGTTGAAACACAACGAAGACTGGCCAAGCGCGGCATAACATTCTTTATATTCAATCAGACGTGCGTCGTAAAAATGTACGCGAATAGACACAACGCGCACGCGAAGCCGAAGAAACGGTGGTCGGATGACTTTTGTCCGGGAGATGTGACGCTGTCCGCGGCGTCACTCTGTCCGGGAGAAGTGATGAATGCTGTGACCGTTTGGAAGCTCGTCGTCGCCTCCCACGGTACCTCGTGACCGACCGCGTCGTAGACGAGCGTCGCTGAACTATATTTTGCGGCGGCATCCCGCGACAGATCGTTGGGTATGATGTTGTCGTTTGTTCCCATAAACACCAAAGCGCGGATGTTCTCGAACGGAGCCGCCGCGTCGATGCGGCTCACGAGTCCGCGATGCGTCGTCGGGAGATAGCCGCAAAATATGAGCGCCACCTCGAACGTCGCGCTCGAAGTTTGCGAGAGAAACGTCGTTACGAAAGCTCCTCCTTGGCTGTACCCCAAAATGCCGTAAAAAGGCCCTTGGTTTGCGACGACCGCTTCTAAAGCATTCACCGAAAGCGAGGCGATATCAGGATCCGTCGTCGGCTCCCCTTTCCCGTTCGGTGGATCTGGGATCCATAAAGGGCCGTCGTAACTTCCCGTGGGAAAAACAAACTCAATTTCTGGCAAAGCTGCGATGAGCGATTGCATACCGCGCGTATTTTCAAAGGAACTCGCCGTTTGGCCCCCTCCATGGAGGCAGAGGATCTTTCGTTGTTGTTGCCCATCACAACAAGAAGAACAACAGATGATGATGAATAGTAGGAGTGCTTTAGGGAAAACCCTGCGTTGTGAGACATAATACTTAAAAGAATTCATCATTGTTATTCGTTAATAACACGTCTTCTTCCTTGTTGTTGTTGTTGTTTCGACAACAACAGCAACAACAACAAAAGTAGTTGCAACCGTTCCTGTAGTGTTCGCAAATAAAAAGTGCCAGACTGCTGAGTGAACTCTTTTTGCGTCTTTTTCGTCTTTTTGTTCTTTTTTGTGATTTTTGTTAATTTTTGTCTTTCTGCGGCGGCGCTTTTTCTCGTCAGAAACAACTTTAATATCGAAGATTTGAGGAGAGAAAGGCGACGAGAACGTCTATAAGTTATTGTTGTTGTTGTTCAGCATGAAAACCAGGAGGGAAGTGGACGACGACGATTCAGAAGACGACGTCTTTGAAGTCGATGATTTCTTCAACGAGAAGAAGAAAGAAATCGAAGTCAAAGACCCGCACTTGGTGTCGAAAGAAATTTCCTCGGTGTCGTTTTCGTTTTACGACCCGAAAGAAGCGCGAGAGATTTCGGTGAAAAGAGTCACCAATCCAGTCTTGTTCGATGCTCTGAATAACCCAGTCGTTGATGGATTATACGACCCGGCGTTTGGCCCGATCGAACAATTCGGCGTGTGCTCGACGTGCGGGTTATCGCAACACCATTGCCCGGGGCATTTTGGGCACATCGATTTGGTGGTTCCCGTGTATCACCCTTTGTTGTTTCCGACGGTGACGAAGGTGTTAAGATGCGCGTGTTTGAACTGTCACAAGTTTAAAATGCACACGGAACGGGTGAATATGTTCAGAGAACGATTGGATTTGATCGATAGAGGGGAATTAGAGAGTGCAGCGGATGTCAGTCAGTGGAAGTTATCGAAGAGTACGATGCGAGAGTTGAGCGAAATCGAAGAGGAAAATCGAAAAGATCGAGAGAACACGAGGAAGGAAGAAGGTGGGGAGGCACCGGAGATGATGGATTTGGACGCTAATTTAATGCCAAAGTTAGATAGTTTGACGAGGAAGAAGACGAAGAGAGGGAACCAGTACGTGCCTTTGGAGTGGACGACGTCGGCGTTGACGGCGAAGAGAGAGTTGATCGATTCGTTTTTCAAAAGCGTGCCGAAAGCGAGGTGCGAGAATTGCAGAGCGTTCGGTCCTGGTTTGAGCACGGAAGGATCCACTAAGATTTACAGAAAACCGTTGCCGAAGAAGCAGTTGGTGACCAACTTAGCGAACGGTATTGACGTGGATTTTTCGATGAAACAGTTGGCGAAAGCGGCGAGCGCGGAAGGGGCGGACGAGCAAGTGGATTCCGGCACCGTGGCGGAAATGACTGGAGGAACCGTCGTTGAAGGTAAATCAAAGAAGATTATACAAAAGACGAAGAAGAACAGTAGGGATAGAAATAGCGATGGTAGTAGTAGTAGTAGCAGTTCTTCTGAAGACGACGACGACGACGATAGCTCGTCCTTGTCTTCATCGACGGACAGCGAAGAAGACAACTACGACGAAGGAGGATTTAAAGAGCGCTCGACGAAACCGATGTACGTGACACCAATTGAAGCGAGAGAGATTTTGAGAAGATTGTGGGGCAACGAGTTTGAATGGTGCGCGAGAGTGTGGTGCGCGAATGGTCGCGATCAAAGTTCAGATTTAACGACGAAAAGACAAGCCTCCAATCCGAACAGATTCTTCTGTCAAACTATTCTTGTGCCGCCGCCAAAGCTTCGACCGCCTTCGAAAATGGGCGATATGGTTTTCGAGCACCCGCAAAATACGCACTTGTGTGCGATAATTCAAGCCAATTTATCGTTAACTGAACTCTTTCGAACGCCGCCGACGGTTCCAGAACCTCCAGAAGTGCGCGCTTCGAGAGCCGTTCGAGCGTGGTTGGTCATTCAAGGTGGCGTGAATAGACTGATGGATGCCACTAAAGCGGATCGGATCCAAGATCGCGTTGGTATTGGAATTCGTCAACAGTTGGAAAAGAAGCAAGGTTTGTTTCGTATGAATATGATGGGGAAAAGAGTAAACTACGCGGCGAGGTCGGTGATTTCGCCGGATCCGTATTTAGGTACTGGCGAGATTGGCGTACCGCCTGTTTTTGCCAAAACCTTAACGTTTCCTGAACTTGTGACGCCACATAACGTTGAACTCATGCGTGAGCTCGTAGAACGAGGCGCGGACGAACACCCAGGCGCGAACGCCGTCGAGGACGAACGCGGAAGGATTATCAATTTAGCGCGATTTTCCAAAGAAAAACGAAGAGCCATTGCGAAAACTTTGTTGTCGGTATCAGCCGCAAAAGATGCCGATGGGCGACCGCTTGCTAGGAAGGTCTACAGGCATCTACGCAACGGCGACATTATGCTCACGAATCGTCAGCCAACGTTGCACAAACCGGGGATTTTAGCCCATTGCGCTCGCGTCCTTCCCGGGCAAAGAACCATTCGCATGCACTACGCCAATTGTTCGACGTTCAACGCTGATTTCGATGGAGACGAAATTAACTTGCACTTTCCTCAAGATCATCAAGCGCGAGCGGAAGCATACGAAATTGTCAAAGCCGAGGAGCAATTCTACGCGCCGACGGACGGGAAACCGCTGAGAGGTTTGATTCAAGATCATATCTGCTCCGCTGTATTGTTGACGTGCAAAGACCGCTTTTATAACAAAGAAGGGTTCTCGCAAATCGTGTTCGCGGCTCTCGTGGATTTATGTGATCGCGAGAATTTGACAATTAAGTTGCCTCCACCTACGATTCTTAAGCCGAGACGGCTATGGACCGGTAAAGATGTCATGCGCACGATTTTAGACCACGTCGCGTATCAACGTCCCGGGGTTACATTGAAACACTCGTGTAAAACTCCGCACACGTTTTGGGGAAGTAAAGAGGAAGGTGACTTGATCGTTCGTCAAAATTACATCTGTACTGGCGTTGTCGATAAGAACGCGTTCGGTAAGTTTGGTTTAATACACGCCGTTGCTGAATTACACGGAAAGCAAATTGCCGGAAAGTTGTTATCGGTGTTGTCTCGATTACTCACTCTGTTCCTTCAACAACACGGGTTCACATGCGGGATGGACGATTTAGTTTTAGTCGCAGAATCTGAAGAGTTGCGCGTGAAGGAGTTGGCCAAAGCTGGCGCGGCAGCAAAATCAGCCGCGGAAGCGTTTGTACAAGTTAAGGATGTTCCCGAGATGGCGTTGCGTTCGGCGGTTTCCGCGAGAGTCACCGAACGTCCAGATTCCGAAGCCGCGCTCGATGCTCGCTCTTCTGGAGCGCTCAATCAAGTCACGTCGGCTACTGTCAAAGTTTGCCTCCCTAGTGGCACGAAGAAACCCTTTCACAGAAATTGCTTGTCCTTAATGACCATGTCTGGAGCGAAAGGCTCGATGGTGAACTTTTCACAAATCGCTGCCGCGCTCGGGCAACAAGAATTAGAAGGTCGTCGCGTTCCAAGAATGGCGAGTGGGAAAACGTTACCATGTTTTGCACCGTTTGATTGTGATCCGCGAGCGGGTGGATACATCAGCGACCGATTTTATTCTGGTTTACGACCGCAGGAATACTATTTCCACTGCATGGCTGGAAGAGAGGGTTTAGTCGACACGGCGGTGAAAACGTCACGATCTGGATATTTACAAAGATGTTTGGTTAAAAATTTGGAAGGATTGAAAGTTCACTACGATCATACCGTACGGGACGTTGATGGCACGATTGTTCAGTTCTTATATGGCGATGACGGCATTGAAGTCTCCAAAGGAGTCTACGCAAAAGAATTTGCGTTTGCGCTGGAAAACATCGAATCGTTAAAACTACAAAACAAATCCGCTCTGAGTGAGTTTGACGATAGCTCATCAAAGAAAGAGAATTCCAATCCCGAAGATGCATTCATGGATAAGAAGACGAGAGCATTTCCAGACGTGCCACGAAACGCATCCTCAGTTGTAGAACACGAGAAACGTTATTCCCAGTTCACGAGTTTAGGTATCTTACCAGAAAAGTTTGCAAAAGATTTGGACGATTTTTTGCACGTCACGCATGGCATTCCATCCGACGAAGAGTTTGAACAAGCACACAAAGTCACTCGTAAAGAGTTTGCAAAGATTATGAACTTGAAGTTTATTGCCTCCATGGCGAGCCCGGGCGAAGCCGTTGGCGTCGTCGCCGCGCAATCCGTAGGCGAACCTTCCACGCAGATGACCTTGAATACGTTTCACTTTGCCGGTCGTGGTGAAGCAAACGTGACGATGGGTATTCCTCGATTACGCGAGCTACTCATGGCGGCGAGCAGAAAGCCGACATTACCGGTGATGACCATGCCTCTGCGCAAAGATAAAATGGCTAAGAAGTATGCGGATAGGCTCGCGAGTCGGTTGCGCAAAGTGACTTTTGCAGAGTTGGTGCAAGATCTCTCGTGCGAGACGCGGTTGTACGCGGACGCGCCGTCTGATGGCTGTAAAGCGCGCGTGTGCGAAGTGAAGGTGACCATGAGATGCCCGGATGAATTTTCAAAAGCAAAAGGAAGCGTGACGTTTGAAGAGATGGAAGCGTGCTTCAAAGAAACCTACTTGGCGGAACTGTATGCAATCATCAAGAAAGATTGCAAGAAACGAGCAGAGCAAAGTGCTGATGTTCAGATCGTGAAATTAAGGCAACGATCTGCGACAGGTGCCGCGAGAAAACCGAGTGATATGGACGATGATGACAACGACGATGGCAAGAATACGGCAGACGACAACGACGAAGGCCAACCGAAGAAAAAAGGAGGTAGTGCAAAACTGAACGCAAAGGAACGAATCGAAAATGAAAACGACGCCTCCGACGACGAAGATAACTCTGACGACGAAGAAGGCGCGAAAGCAGATGCGAGAAAAGCTGATCGTGACGAGGAAGCGTACGGCGACGACGACAAAGTCAATGCGGGTGAATTTTCAGACGAAGACGAAGCACAGATTGCAAGGAAGATTAAAAAGAAGTCCTCTTCTGCAAAAAAGAAAAAGAAAGGTTCTGCAAAGTCTTCCGACGAGGATAAAGACGACGGTAGTCCGTCAGATTCAGATTCAGACGATTCAGATCAAACGGAAGTCGCGGAACCAGCTACTGCAGCTTCGAAAAAGAAGAAATCTTCGAAAAACGAAACTGCATCTTCACGAGAGAAGGGTGGTTTACGCCAGGACTTATCCGATATCCAAGAAGCCGTCGTCGTCAACGCGAGCGCGAAAACGTTTACGGTCATCCTTGAGTTTGATTTAGCAACTCCATTACTTCTCTTACAAAACTTGCTCGATAATGCCGCGGCAAAGTCCAACATTCGATACACGAAAGGCATTGGCGGCGTTTTCGTCGTCGGCGACGAGCTCGATGGTACTTTAGCGGTCCAATGCGATGGTGTCTCCTTCGATGCCGCGTTTGCAAACGAGGATTTAGTCGACGTTAATCGTATCAAAGCGAACGACGTTTGGCAAGTTCGGTTAACGCTCGGCGTCGAAGCCGCGAGACGAACACTCGTAGATGAAATTTCAGGGGTGTTTGGTGCCTATGGCATTGGCGTCGACGCCAGACACTTGTCGTTGATTTCAGACTTCATGTGCCAGCAAGGCGGGTACAGACCGTTCTCACGAGTTGGTATCAACGATTCCACCTCTCCATTTTTGAAAATGACGTACGAGACGGCCACAGCGTTCTTGACAGAAGCCGCTATAAGGGGTGATGTCGATAAATTAAAAAATCCGTCCGCAGCGATTGTTTTAGGTAAAATGGTTAACGTAGGTACAGGAAGTATCGGCTTACAATACGACGCCGAACGGGCGACAAAAATGGAAGAAGAGATGCGCTCGATGGGCATAGAGCCGGTAAAAAAGTTTGAACGAACACCTCGAGCAGCTGCGGTGAAAAAAGAAAGACATACGACGACGCCGTCCGAAAAGCTTACATTCAGCGCGCTTAAAGCGACTCCCAAAAATAAGCACGTCACGTTTGAAGATTAGCTATAGATCGAGAGTGTGCAAATTATGAATAGTTTTCATCCATCAATTGCTCCTTTTAGTGTATAAATAACGCGAAGAAATGATGGAGTTAACCCCTCCTTACTCGATTTTTTTTATCATCTCCACGATTCTTTTAGCTTGCGCGGAAGCGTTACCGACATACGTCGCCGGCGTCATTGCCGCCAAACTATCAATCGCATCTTGCGGGATATCCAACGACTTCACAAACTCCCGCATACCTTCTTGGTTCACTCTTTTCCCTCTCGTCAACTCTGCCAATTCGGTACGGTTTCTCCACGTCGTGCCTTCGCATAACAGTTTGGATCGGTTCCGCGAGGACTTCCCAGTTGACGTCCAAATCCGCCGCCATCGCCGCCGCGTTGACATCCAACTTCCCTAAACCTCTCGACGTACTTTGATATGCCAACAAGGAGTGGCCAAATCCAACGCCCAAGTTACGCAACACGGTAGAATCTGTCAAATCTCTTTGCCACCTGGATACTGGTAATTTTGCCGATAAGTGCGCAAACAATGCGTTGGCAATCCCCACGTTCCCTTCCGAGTTTTCAAAATCGATCGGATTCACCTTGTGAGGCATAGTGGATGATCCAACTTCACCAGCGATAGTTCTCTGTTTAAAATAACCAATGCTAATGTAGCTCCATATATCTCTATCCAAATCCAAAATAATCGTGTTGTATCGCTCAATCGAGCCGAACAATTCCGCCATATAATCGTGAGGCTCGATTTGCGTCACGTAGGGGTTAAACGTTAAACCCAAACCAGTCACAAACTTTTCTGCGACGGCTTGCCAATCTACGTTTGGATACGCGGACATGTGCGCGTTGTAGTTCCCGACTGCACCCGCCATCTTGCCGTACAATGGCACCTTGGGAATCTGAGCGCGTTGTCTCGCCAATCTGTACGCCACGTTCGCCAGCTCCTTCCCTAAAGTCGTCGGCGATGCCGGTTGACCGTGCGTTCTCGACATCATCGGTACATCAGCATTCTCTACCGCCATCGTAGACAAAGTATCCACAATTTTATCCATTTCTGGCAACAAAACTTCCACGCCGTCTCTCAACATAATAGCGTGCGACAAGTTGTTAATATCCTCAGATGTGCACGCGAAATGGACAAACTCTAGCGCCTTTTTCAACTCCGCGTTCTCTTTCAATGCGTCCTTGATCACGTATTCGACCGCTTTCACGTCGTGATTCGTCGTGCGTTCGACTTCTTTCACCTTCATCGCTTCGCTCGGCGAAAAATTCTTCAAATAGTTCTCTAAAAACTGATTGGCTTCGTTGGAAAATTTTTCCACCTCAAACACCTCGGGGATTTCCGAGAGGGTTTGTAACCATCGGATTTCCACCGTCACGCGTGCTTTAATCAACGCGTACTCGGAAAAAGCAGAGCGCAAAGATTTCGTTTTCGAACCGTATCGACCGTCGATCGGGGAAATGGCGACGAGCTCGGAAAGCGCGTCCAAGTTTTCCGCCGCAGCCACCTTGACAACCCCGCGACGATGATGGTTTTCTCGAGGACTCTGTTTTCGTTGTTTAAAAGTGGATGACGCTCGGCGTCCGGAAGCAGAGACATCGACGCGATGCAAGAGAGCGCACGATGGAGTGACGGATGCCGCAATCATTTTCTATTCGCGATGGGCTTTAAAAATGTGCGGGGTATCAAAGGAAAGCGCGCGTTGGTGGTTTTTCTTATGCGGGAGAAAAGGCAGAAATTTTTTTTTGAATGATTTTGAATCCGAGACCAAATGAGAAGAGGCCAAGAGGGAGAGAGTGCGAAACGTATAAAACACATATAATACAAAACATTTATTTCTAAACCGAGACTACTTCGTCGTCTTCTTCTAATTCTTCTTTCGCGATGAACTCTCTGAACCTGGACTCGCGTCTGCGTCTTCGCTGACTACCTATGGCGACGCTGTGGGATGCGTCGCGAACTTTACGTAACAAGTGCATAGCGGGACCGTCAACAACCGTCTCGACGCCTATACCAAGCGTGAAGGCGGTGTCGGTCGTGCTTTGCTCGATTTCTTTTTCTCCTTCTTCTTCTGCAACTAAGAAAACGCGCTCAGTGCCAGAACTGCGTCCTTTTGCGAGCGATGCTAAAGCGACTCGACGTGAAAAGACTAATTTTTCCAACGCTTTGCCGGTTTCGCAGTACGAAGGGTCTTCGAGGTCAGATCGACAGACCACGTTGGTGATGCCAACACCTTCAGCTTCGAGCGCATCTTTTGCGGCTCTTAACTGACCGGCTCCACCATCGACTAAGATAACATCCGGCAGAGGCGTCTGCGATTGGCATCTTTTTGAAATCGCTACTCGAATGCCTTCGTAATCATCCGACGGGTTCACCAAATTCACAGGAAGGTTATATACTTTGTGTTTACCAGAGGACTCCGTGGAACCATCGAAACGCGCGAAGGCGGCTACGGCGTGTTCGCCCGCAAAATGTGAACAATCTAAACCTTCGATAGAAAGGTCCGAGAGGTTCGCGAGAGTAGAAGTCAAAGGTGATTCCATGTTTAAGGCATAGGAAAGCGTCGTCAAAACGTCATTTTCAGATTTGATCGATTCCACTTCTTCTCGGGCATTTTCCAGAGCTAAGCTCGCCAAAGCGTTCAAATACGTTTCATTCTTCTTCGTTTTAACCATACGCTTACGGATACCGAGCGACTTGAACGCCACTCCAGCTTCTTTCGCGTCTTGGAATTTGTGGGGAATATACACTGAATCGGGCAACGAAACCAATCGCGCCGACGCGTACGTGGACTCGATGGTGCGCTGACAAGCCTCGGCCAAATCAAGGGTTGTTGATTCATCTTCGTCGTTGTCATCGTACGTTTCAACCGTCGTCCCTAAAACATCCAAAACATTTCCGTCTCTCACGCGCGCGATTTTCACGGAAATGAATCTTCCAGATTTCACCGCTGCGCATACGTCCACATTCCAATTTTTCCTCTCCTCCTCACTGAGCGATAAGAACGCAGCTAACGAGCCGTTACTTTTGGAATCCTCAAGATTTTGTATCCACGTGTTTGATAACGACTTTAGTCTATCCACAATTCTTGGGTCCTCGTTTGCGCACGTGTTTTCCACGTGTTCCATTGCCTCTCCAATCTTATTCTCGAAAATCAAGCGGGCCGCTGTGATGCGATTGTTCAGCGTTTCCGTTGCATCTTGGTCGCCGTATCTCACGCGGAAACGCGCTCCTCGAAGATCAAGCGCCGTATCTACGCTACGTGACAAATTACGTGCCTCTCTGTAGGTTGTCTGCGTAAATATCCACTTATTATCGAAAGTTCTAGGGTCGGATGTCTCTTTAGATGAGCTGTTTACGACAAACATTTTACCGTCAGGCGAGAGAACAATATACGCAGCTTCGGATCTCGGGACGTCTTTGAGCAAGATGTTCATTCGCGGCCTTTCACGTTGGATAATTCTGGCCTCTAGTGCGAGTGCATCGGCTTCGCCACCCGGTGTCAAAACGCAATCTATTGACTCCGCCTTGTATAACAACGCCCGGTGACGAGCCGAGTTGTCAAGGACGCCTGGAGTTAAATACGAGGAGGTTCTGGAGCGCAAAGATTTCGCTTTGCCAACGTATAAGGACTTGCCGTTCTTATCGAGAAAACGGTACACGCCACATTTGGCAGGAAGTGTTTTCTGCATCTCGCGGATCTTCTTCACTCGAGAAATTGTAGCTTCGTCGAAACCGTAGTGTTTCGTAAGAATCGCTTCGGCGTTGCCGAGAGAGGAAGAGGAGGATTTTCCAGAAGCGTCCATCAAATCTCCCAGTATCGTACCATCTTTCTCCATATACGCTTGATTTTCCCGCTTTTGTCTTTCAGCTAATGCGTCCTCCTTCATTTTCCTTTCCAAAGCTTTCGTCTTGGTCGTCGCTCTTATGAAACCTTCCGAGTTAGGTTCTCGTCGTTGTCGCCATCTCTCCAAAGCGCGCTCCACTTCTTCGTCGTTTATAGTTCCACCATGATTGTTGTTATCGCTATTATTAGAACTACTTTTGGATAGCATAGTTCCTACGGACATTTTCTCGGCGTCAATTTCTTCAGACATGATATCAAATAAGGACCGCTCCGAGGATTCACTTCCTTGTGTGGCAGATTTTGGCGTCACATTGTACTTTTCGTTGTGCAACGCTTGTTTTCGACGTCTCCGCTCGACTTCTTTCAAAGCGGACTTCATTGCGTCAGTTTCTTTATCTGCAAATAAAACAGCTTCGCCACTTTTATTTCTCGCCGCTCTGCCCATCATTTGCATCAAACTTCGCGACGATCTCGCAAACCCAGAAACATCCGCGTCTAATATAGCCACCAACGAAACGCGAGGTAAATCTAAACCTTCGCGAAGTAATTGGGCACCAACAACTACGTCAAGCTCACCGAGTTGAAGTTTTGCAAGCCGTTTTGCTCTCTCCGGAGCTGCGAGTTCAGAGTGCATCCAATCCGCTCGTAATCCTTTGCCGGTTAAATACGCAGCTAAATCCTCGCAATCAGCTTTTGTCAACGCACAAACCAGAGAAGCTTCACCCTTCCGTGCGCGCTTTTCTATCATGGAGGCGAGTTTGGGAAGTTGGTTCTTCTTCGGTAACACTTCCGTCGGCGGGTCTAATATTCCGCTTGGTCTGACAACCATATCTACGCTCCCTTCTTCGCCACCGGACCACTCGTGCTCGTCGTCACCAGGAGTGGCCGAGACGAGTAGGCATTTCGGGACGCGTTGCCAGAATTCATCTCCAGTTAACGGTCGATTGTCCAAAGCGGAAGGTAAGCGATACCCGTACTTCACTAAGCTTTCCTTTCGACTTTTATCGCCGCCAGACATGGCACGTAATTGCGGCAGCATGACGTGCGATTCATCGGCAACCAGTAACCAGTCTTCATTGTTCTCATGAGAAAAATAGTCTAACAGCGTCACTGGCGGCTCACCGGGTTTTGCTCCACGGAGGTGTCTAGAGTAATGCTCCGCGCCTGGACACCATCCTATGTCTCTGAGCATTTCTAAATCTGCAGAAACTCTCTGCCTCAACCTATCCGCCTCTAACACAGCGTCTTCTTCCCGAAGCTCGTGTTCTCTACAGACCAGCTCCTCGTTGATCGATTTTACAGCCATCGTGACGCGTTCTTTTGGCGTCACGTAGTGCACTCGCGGCCAAATCGTCATGGCGTTAATATATTCAGTCTCGTGTTGTTGTTCTTTTTCGTTATATACGACGCGTTTGCCTTCCAAGAAATCTCCGCTATGTTTGTCCAACGTAATATCCACGTGTTCATTTGAGTACGGCGGCCATACTCGGATTTCTACTTGGTCTGTTCCTTTATTTCTCGTTCTAAACTGCCCACGCTCGACCGCTCCAAACGCCGGTGCGCGTTCATACAGACACTCCGTTTCGAGCTTATTGATGATCTTCTCGGTGTTCCCATACTGTCCCACTTCACCGTCTTTGCCTAAAAATAAAGCCGCATCGACAAAATCTGACGGCAATCCCAAACCATACAAACACGACACCGAAGCCACAATGACTGGTGTTCTATTCGTCGATTTCGCTTCAACCAAAGCTCTCGTCGCGCGATGTCGCAATGCATCTAAATCCGGGTCTACCGCAGATCTCTTTTCGACGTATCGACCTCCACGACAACTCTCCGGTATGTAGACGCTAAAGTGACTCACGAAAAGCTCAACCAAATGCGACGTTCGTAAATACCCTCTCAACTCCCTGGCAACCTGCGCTGCCAATGTCTTATTCGGCACAACAACCAATACCGGCTTCTCATGTTCCGCGATGACGTTCGCGACTACGAACGTTTTCCCCGTACCCGTGGCGCCGCGCAAAGAGACAAACTTCCTGTCCTTCTCTTTTAACAATTTCAGAGTTTTTGCAATCGCTGAAGGTTGGTCTCCGCCCGGATGGAACGGGGCCGTGACATCCCTATGATTCTTCGCGTAAGACGTAGATGCGCTCTCGTTCGAAATTTTTCTATTTGACGACGACGACGACGACGACGGCGATGACGATGCGCACGTCGCCCGCCGTCTGGCGATTCCCACGACGCTTCGGATTTGTCGACGCGACAAAAACATGCTTCCACCACCCACTTCCCGCGGAGAAGAAACGTCAACCAACCTTTTTCTTCTCCTATTCCTGCTGTTGGATGATACGAATAAATACTCAGCAGTAACGAATTTGGTTGTTTTTGTTGTCGTTTGACTCTTAAAAGCGGTAGTAGTGGTGGTGGTGTGCGCGTGATGACGAACACAAAAGCTCATGTGATTATGACGGAGAATCTTTTTACAACAAACCGAAGACAGAAGTCTCGAGAGAAAATCAAGAGGGGTGCTCATGTTAATTAATATTAACAAAAAAAAAATCAAAATTCGTCAAAAGAATTATATACTTTTCCGCTTTGCACAGAAAAACACAACAGAAAAAAGAATTAATAAATGAAATGAATTCGAAGAACATCCAAGCTGCGGAGCAGGCAGCCGGATTAATCCGAATAACCGGGACGGAGGAACTCTTGCGCGATGCGAAATACATCTCTCGAGCGGACGCGGCAGACGTCGTGGACTTTGCCATTCAACGGTCGATTGCGAATACGAGCAAATGGGGGATTCCTACGCTCCATTGTTTCAGTTGCTCGGCGACGAACGCGAGGATGTTAGGGAGGCGAGGGGAGATGTACGCGGAGAGAATGCGGAGGAGAGAAGATGGAGACGATGATTATGATGATGATGATACTTCTAATAATGATTTGAACGTTTGGGTGGTTCCTTTGAGCGCATTGCAGAACGTTTTGGTATTGGATAGCGCAACGGTGATGACAACTGAAACAGATAACGGGGAAAGCGAGAGGAGTCACGGGAAAAGATTCAAACTGAAACCGTCCGTGGTTATACACGCAAGGAATTTCGAGAAAAAAACGTGGACGAAGTGTAAAATTGTGGACGTGGTAACCTCTAAGCGCGCAATCGATGACATCGTCAACGCGATCGCAGGACAGAATATCGTGGACGTGTCGTTCGAAGGCGTGGTGCCGTTAAGATTGTGCGAGGCGAAAGGGTTCTTGAAACAGAGAGAGGTGAGGAGAATAGTGGAAAGAGCGGCGAGTTTTGTAGTGTTGAAGGAAGTAATCGAAAGTAGGGATAGTAACGTGTACGATCTGGACAAGCGCGAACAGAGGAAGAGTTCAGGTGGGAACTTTAACAACAGAAGAAGTAATTATAGCAGAACGAAAAGTGACGCCGCCGCCAGGAGGAACACTGCTGAGAGTGGTACTAAGGTTTCCGTTCACGCAGGGACGAAGATTACCACCATAGGAAGTCCATTTGGTGTGCTCAGCCCGAACATATTTTCGCGCTTGCTCAATCGGGGGTGCATTTCGAGTGCATTGGTGGCTATAGCGAATCAAGGTACGAGTAGCAACATAAACGGCGTAGTATCACCGGCGGTTTCCGTGGTTGACTTGTCTATCGCTTTAAAGCCTGGAGCCGAGGGATCGCCAGTTTTCCTCGACGAAAGTACCAGTAGATCAAAGGGTCAACCAATAGTTGTAGGTATACTCATACCACCTTTATCGTTTGCAAAAGAGCGAGATGGTGGTTCGAGCCGCGGTGCGTTTCCTCTGATGATACACGCGCCGTGGATATTAGGAGATGACGCCGATAATACTCTAGATGACGATATGCCCCTAACTACGAACAAAATCGTATCGGCGGCTAGAAATGCCACAGAATCGGTGTGCCGGGTTGAAATTCTAGACGGCGCACACTTCGGTAGCGGAATATTGATTTCTAAAACCGGTGATGATGGCGACTCCTCGGAAGGTATAGTATTAACCAATCGGCACGTCGTACTGCCGGCGATACAGGAGGAAAAGCATAGCAAGAACGCGATTACTTTGCGATTTTCAAACGGAAGTTGGAGACGTGGCGTCGTACAAAGAGTAAGCAAAGGTCCTCTAGACTTGGCACTTGTGCGTGTGCTCTCTCTAAAAAATGGAGGCCGTGGAGCGCTTCCAATCGTGTTACCAACGAGGCGACCTGCGCGAAAACAACGCTCCCCGGCAATCGGTGATGAAGTACTAGTCGTTGCGCACGACGATCGGTTCGGGAACAACGTCAGGAAAAGAAAGTTCGATAAAGCGTCACCGGAAGTTAATCACGGATACGTATCCAAGATTGCTGGGAAGAAGACCATGCTCGTAACTTCAGCTTCTGTCAGAAGTGGTGCTAGTGGTGGGGCTTTAGTTGACGGAAGGACAGGACATCTTATAGGTGTCGTCACGAGTAACGCGCGGTTGGCGACAAGAAGTGGTGGAGCCAATGTATACACGGACGTCAACTTTATAGTCAATGTGAGCGAAACGCAAGGTGGGATAGGTGAGATAATGGATTCTTACGAGCGCGACCAAGAAGTTATAGACGCGTGGGACTTACGTTCCGATAATATGCGCAGTAGGCTGTGAAAACACGCCATTCTTGTATTTGCTATGACATATTACTATACTAAACTATCTATATCACTCAAGTCGTGGAAGCTTCCTTTCCTCGAAGGCAAGGATGTTAAAAATCCACTTTGCGATCTGTTGAAAGAACCGCGTAAGTTGGAAACGGAACTACTCAGTGACCGGCTTCCGTTTCGGCGCAGACCACCTCCTCCGCCAATCAGAGAGCTTCCGTCACTTCCACTTCTACTTCCACGTCGTCCCACACCACGACTATTATCGCTATCGCCATTTCTCCTGGCATTTCTCGACCTTCGCCTATTTTCTCTTGTGCGTCGCACAATCGATACGCACTTAAAGTAAAGCATCTCCCACACGCCGGAGAATACAAATTTCGAGCATCCGAAGAAACCGGCGAGAATATACACGCACCACCAGAACATATCGTTTGCCTCGTGCGTGTGGGAGGAAGCAGACGAAGGAGCGAGACCTGCAGCGGCAGCTATATCGCTCGCAGAGGCACTGGCACTCCTACCAACACTATTATCTGGGGTTAAAATACTCGCCACGGCTATCTTAGATGAGATGATGTTAATGGCCGCCCCCATCGCCCAGTCCACGTTGTATCGTCCCACATTGTTGCCCACCGTAAACTTCAAATCCTCAGGCAAAAGCATACCATCTTTCAACATGGCTACGATGAAGGCGGCGCTGAAGCAATATTTCGACAAGTCGATTTCTTCCCATTTCTTCTGGTCCTTTCTAAACCTCTTTTTCACTACATCTCCCCACGACTCTGCGCATAACTTCTCCCCGGCGCGTTGGAAATCCCTAATCGTCGTCGTTTTGCCTAATTTGAAAAACTCCGCGGTGTAATGGAAATTCTCAGTCGCTAAAAACTTACCGTCGAACGGAGGTAAGTGCTCTTTACGCATCCCACACGGAGTTCTAGGACAATCCTTTGTGTTCTCTGCTAACCCTAACAGTTTTTTCGTCATTGCGTAACACGCCGTGAAATTACCCGTAGGTTTCGACGGCCCTGCGCCTACGGCTAATGCTTCACCGTGTTGCACGGTAGTTTGCGGCGTCCATCCTCTATTCGTGCACGGGTTATTCGGTTTCTCCCCAGTTGTTTCATACTCTCTTCGCAACATCGCGTGATACTCTGCTCGCGCCGCCTCGTGTCCTAAACCGAGTAAACTCGACGCGTATAAATGTTTGACCGAATTGCCTACTCTGACCGTTTCCTTGTGTTTCTTCTGCACCACGTTCTTGGCTGTCGCGTGCGGAACCGCATACGTGACTTGCATACTCGCACCTCCAAGTTCCAAAACTCCGTACGTCTCTTTTGGTGTTTTCTCCGGTGATAACGCGTTAAACGCGTAATTCACCGCCGTCCACCCGTATGACGCTTCCTTCGTCCCCGGCAACACGCTCGCCCACTCGTCTTTTTCAAACGAGAACGGTGATTCTCTCAAGGTTTCTCTGCAAGCATCGATAATCGATTCCGATAAATGCTGCTCAATATGCCTCAAACCCGCGGTTGCCATCAAATGTATCTGCGTCTCTTTCCAATTCTCCATCGGGACAGACTCTCTGGCGAAGTTCAACAAAGGCCGCAACGCGGCGTCGATGCCGCTCGGATCCAAAGCTCTCGCCGAGAGACCTGGCGTCGTTTTAAACGATTTCGTTGGCAAAATCAACTTTGGCGTCACGCTCGCGTCTTTCCCATACGTCGTTGTCGTAACGCTACTCGTGGCTGCGACGCGAAACACGTGACACCTCGTCCCCGTACTCCCGGCGTCGATAATAATCACGTGCTTGAAGTGTGGATGTCTGAATAATTTCGGCAGCGCTTTCCCGTAGTGCAACGTGAACAAACAAAACACGAGAACGAGCGCGAGCATTTGCAAACTTTCGAGAAAGCGCTTCATCTGTCCTCTCTTGTTATTATTATTAGTGTTGTTATTGTCATTGCGTCGTTTCTTCACCGGAGTCGTCGTCGAAGTCGTCGAGGCAGGAAAGTGATGATTGTAATACCCGCCAACACGAACGTTCCTCCGATGGTGTCGCCCCCCAGCGTTATAATGCGTATCAATCATAATACTCGTTTTAATGACCTACCACCGCTTTTTGTACTAGTATTACACGTCGTCGTCATCGTTCAAACAACACCGACCGTTTTATTATAAAGAGAAGATGGAAGAGAGAAGAAAATCTGATGATGGAATTTCATCTCGCAAAAGAAAGAAAAAAGAGCAAGAGTCGAAAGAAAAGCAAATTGAAATTTCACTTTCGTCTCGTTTTTTATACTTTTTTTAAGAAGCAGCAAAAGCTTTTACAACACGAGTCGAAGTAGAATTGTGCTCGTGTACTTCTTCTTCTTCATTCTTCTTCTTCTTCTTCTTCTTCTTTGAACAACGAGAAGAAGAGAGAAGCTTTTTGTGCGAGACAACTACAACTCTCTCTATATATCTCTCTCTTTTTCACACACACGCACTCGTAACGCACTCAAAATAAGCTTCGTAAGAGTGCTTTTTCGGAAGAGTTTTGAAGAAGAGAGGAAATCAAAACGACAAACAACAAAAATGTCATCCGGCGTGTCTGGACGAAAAACGAGAGAGGAACGCAAACGCGAATTCGAGTTGGAAGAAGCGAGAAAGAAAGGTTTAATCGCCCCAGAATTAGACGAAGATGGCAAAGCGATTAACCCACACATTCCCCAATACATGGCCGCGGCGCCGTGGTACGCCTCAGAAGGCGACGGGAAGAAAGGGCTGAAGCACCAGAAAGATTTCAGAAAGAACAAAGAAGACCCGAACGTACATTCGATTCAAGAGGAAGAGAGAAGAACGAGAGAACGCGCCGCCGCAACGACGCAAAGGTATAATAAACACAATACTAACGATAAAGTTAAAATTTTAGCGTCGTCGTTTGGAGGAGGATTTATAACAACAAAGTTCCGCAAAGGCGCCTGCGAAAATTGCGGGAGCATGACACACAAGAAGAAAGACTGTTTAGAACGCCCGAGAAAACACAACGCGAAGAAAACCGGGAAGGATCTGAAACTCGACGAAGTTTTCAAAGAGGAGGATTTCAACAGGAACAGAACGTACGAACAAAAACGAGACAGGTACAAAGGATTTTTAGCAGAAGATTACGAGAAAGTCGTGGAGAGGTACGAGGAAGTGGAGGAGATGAAAGCCGAGGCGGCGAAGAAGAGAGAGTTGGAAAGGGCGTTTAAGAAGGAGAATAAAGAAAAGAACGGAGGAGAAGGCGACGATATCGACGACGACGACGAAAATGACGACGATAGCGACGAAGGCGGGGAGACGGCAAAAGAAAAGAAAGCGAATGATATCTATGCTTCGGATACGGACTCAGATGAAGACGAGGAGAAGCTCAAAGCGAACGAGGACGCCGGGTTTGGGAAGATTGAAAAGCGGATTCGAGCGCCCGGCGGAGGCGCTTCCGGGACGGTGAGAAATTTGCGCCTGAGGGAAGATACGGCGAAATATCTGAGGAATTTGGACCCACAATCGGCGTTTTACGATCCTAAAACGAGGTCAATGCGCGAAAACCCAACTCCGAATGCTGACCCGAACGATAACTTCTTCCGCGGCGATAACGCGGCGAGAAATACCGGCGAGACGACGAATTTCGCTTTGATGAATGTGCACGCCTGGGAGGCGACGACGAAACACGGGCAAGACGTTCACGTGCAAGCGGCGCCGTCGCAAGCGGAATTGATGTATAAGAAGTTCAAAGAGAAGAAATCGAAATTGGACGAGACGCAAAAGACTTCGGTATTGTCTAAATACGGCGACGCGTCGGCGGGGAAGTTAGAAGATGCACCGGAAGGTTTAGTTTTAGGACAAACGGAAAGGTTTGTCGAGTACGATCGATTCGGTAGGGTCATTTCGGGTGGTGGTGGTGTCGGCGAACTTAAAACTATAGCTACATCGCGGTACGAAGAAGATGTGTTGGTGAACAACCACACGAAAATATGGGGATCCTATTGGAACCAAGGGAGATGGGGCTACGCCTGTTGCCATTCGTGCGTGAAATCATCGTATTGCGTCGGGATTAAAGGCATCGAGGATGGAAAAGCGGCGGAGGAATTGATGAAAGCAAACATGGAGCGCGCGAAAGAGCGCGCCCTGGAAAAGCGAGAAGATAATAGCAAGAAGTTTGCAGAAAAGGCAAAAGATATTTGGGGCGCCGACGCGAAGGACGTTCAACTCGACCCGGCAAAACTTGGCGAAGCGTTGAGAAAAGAAGACGAACGTCTGCGAAAAGAGAAACAACGTCGAGAACATGGCGGAAAGGAGGATGGAAGCGATGGAGCAGAAGACGAAGAAGGTGATGTCGGAAACGGAAAGAAACTAAAGAAAAAGAGAGTCAAATACAACGATTCGCACGAAGTTGGCGTCACCGAAGAAGACATGGAAGCGTACAGAATGATGCGGGACAGAGGCGAAGATCCGATGAAGGGCGACGGGACGAATGGCTACGACATGGTTTAGAAAAAAATAGGTGATATTTTTAAATCTAGATATTGGTACTAGAGGTGACATTGCGCATTTTAGTGTATTAGTTTGCCGTAATCATCAATTCGCTCTGCAAACTCGCCGTCGTCGACGACACTTTTGCGATCCATTGGTCCAATCTATCCGCCAATTCTCGAATCTGCGGCTTCAGCAAAATCCTCGGCATCGCCCACGTGACGACGACTTTCGAACTGACTTCATCGATTTCTCCTCTAATCAACCCAGCTGATAACGTCTTCATCAACAAATACTCCACCCCATCTACGGTGAGCTTTGTTCTCACCGCAATGTCTGCCAAATCAATCTCTCTTTTCTCCGCCGGTAACTCAAACACGATTCTCAAAAACGCCAAAATCGTTATCTTCTCCCTCAACTTTCTCTCGTGCGCCACCAACGCCGGCTGCGCGTTCAACTGTTCCGCGTATCGTTCGCACAACAAATCATACGCGTTCAAATCACCATCGTTAAATACTTGCACCATATCTAATAACCAACCAAACTCGCTTCCGTTTTCTTTCGAAATATACTTTGAAATCGGATGCGCCAAAAACTCCGCAAAATTATACACGCCTTCGCCTAAAAGCGCGGCTAACGCTAAATCCACCGCCAACTCCGTCGCCACTTCGTCTCCTAAAGCCGTCGCATCTACGTACGCCATGTACAAAATCCCCGACCCGTAAAAGTTTGCAAAGTCTCTGTTGTGTTTATACAACTGCGCGGCTAAGTAATGATACGCCGCCGAGACGCTCGGATCCGGCGCCTTCCACTGCGCGAGATCTTGCTTCGCGTCCTTCGCGACTTCCGTCTTTGCTTTAGATTCGTCGCCGCCGTGTAAATACAACAACGCGATGTGCAATCTGACGTACACCACTGCCTCTTCAAAACTCGTCTGCCTGGTCGTTTTAATCTTCTCCATCGCGGATGTTAAAAATTCAATAGCTTCTTCTCTGTTTTTACACCTGGAAGAGACGTGCACGGCGACTCGTGCTAAACGCAACGCGTTCAGTCGTTCCTCGAAATCGTTCACGAATATTTTATACAAGTTGACCAACAACTCTCCATCGTCTGGAGAGGGAAACAGACTTTGGTTCGCCACGGTCAGTTCTAAACTTTCCGTCAGTTGGTGCCACAGCTTTTGCGAGTATAACTCTTTCAACTCTTTCAACACTTGAAGTTTGTTTTCGACGATGTTGAGATCGCCATCGCCCCCAAAGTTTGTTGTCTTCGTTTGATGAGAAGAGATCGCGTCGTCGATGAACTGTTCGGCGGCAGAGAGAGACATTTTATTATATAATTATTGTCGTTCTTCCGTTGTTGTGGTGCAGATGAGATTCAAAATAAACTGCTCTCTCCTTTATCGCTGCTCCTGTGTCGGTCGTGTACTCTCACTTTTGAAGACTTTAATCAGAGGAAGAAGAAGAAGAAGAAGACAAAGAAGACAAAGAAGAAGACAAAAAAGAAGAGACTCTTGAGACTAAAATGAAGTGAATGTTGAAGAATTTGATGACGGGACTAAACTACAAAACCGCTAAACTAAAACTAAAACTAAAACTATACTTAAAGCTCTAATAATACATTTCTGTATCATCATCGCGAGGAAGCCATCAAGGATTTGATACCGTTGGCCACGATTTCCACGTGCTCTACTATCCTCTCCTCTTTTTCTCTCTTTTCGCGTTCAACATCCGTTAATATCTCAATGCGCTTTTTGGACAGCGTTCTGGCTTCTCGATGCGAGAGTTGACAGAAGAATCCTAAACCGATATCGACGAAGAGTTTATTAGTATTGTCCACGGCGAGGTCGCAGAGAATTTCAGAGCCTAAATCTATGCGAACTGTTGTCGTCGTCGGTTCTTTTTTATCATCTTCATCTTCTTCTTCTCTTCCTTCTTCGTTCTCTCGTCGTCTTGGGGGGGTGGTTGTCTTTTCTAAGCTTTCGATTTGTGTCAACAACGAGCGATAGTCCGCTATTTTTTCTTCCACTTGAACTCTCTCTTCGTGCGCCTTACGTAACTCAGGCTCCAACTTTTGAGAGAGAAAAGCGCGATAGGAATTGAGCACTTGTTGACGTTGTCGGTATTCCTGCTCCGGGTCCATTGTTATGTGTGTGCGTATATACTCGTATAGTCGTCCGTTTTTTAATGAGGAACAAAAAAGGACGAACAACAAAATGCGAAAAAAGAACTTAAAAAGACCAAAAGAGGGATGACTACCGTACGATGATGTGTATGAATGTTTTGTTATATTTGTTAAAAGTACAAGATTCTTATATTAGAAATATAATACCGTTATTGTAGTTGTAGTTGTTTTGCTAAATCCAGTCGTAGTTTGCTGTTGCTGATGCTCGTCGCGTCTCTTTTTCTCTCTGCTCGAAAACGCGCGTCGCAAGTGTTTGTTCTCTAAAAACGCTGGTCATCTCTCTCTCTCTCTCTCTCTTTCTCCATTCTCTCCACAATACTCGCAAGTCGTCTATATCTTTTTATTTTCTTTTATTTATTATCGAATCGGTTTACATCTTCTTTCTTCTTATTCGTTTTTCTTTTTGTGTTTTGTTGGATTCAAATCTTTCCTCGAGGCGGCGTCGAAGGCCTACCGCCCATCATCGACGTGAAACCACCCATAAGTTTCCGCTCCGCAGGTTTCAAAATCTGGAAAGAGCACATCAAGTTCTCATCGACAGTCATCATCGCCCCGGCGTTATCAAACTCCCCGCAATAATTCGGAGCCGAAAAGACCGTCACGAGCTGCCGCTTCCCAAAGAATTCGTATCCGTTTTCGACAACCTGGTGCGCACGCACGACTAAATCAAAGTCAAACTTCTCCAAAAACTCCGCGACAACGTCTGTACCGTACGTGTAACTAACGCCTCTATCATTTTCACCCCAACCAGTGATATCCGCTTCTGGATCTGACCACAAAAAGTCGCAGAGCATGCCCATGTCTGGAATATCAGTCGGTCTTTTGATTTGTACAATTTGCTGTAAGTCCTTCAACTCCGGCGAAGGTCCCCCGTGGATGCAGAAAATCTTCTCGTCTACGATTGCCGCGAATGGTAAGCAGTTGAACACGTCGCAAAATACTCTCCAAAGTTTAATGTTATACCGACGCTTACACTCGTCGTAAAAACCGTAGATTCGACTAATCGCGTTACACTCGTGGTTGCCTCTCAAAAGGAAAAAGTTCTCCGGATATTTGACCTTGTACGCTAAGAGCAAACATATAACTTCTAAGCCTTGTTTCCCTCGATCGACGTAATCTCCTAAGAAGAGGTAGTTCGCTTCTGGTGGGAACCCTCCGTACTCAAAGAGTCGAAGTAAATCTGAATACTGCCCGTGCACATCACCGCACACCTTCAGCGGCGCTTCCAACTCCAACAGGCACGGTTGCGCGAGGAAAATTTCTGTAAAGATGACGATGTCATAAGAAGAAAGAGAGAGAGAGAGAAATAACGTGTGGTCACGTCAGTGTATGAAGAGATAGACGAGGAGGAGGTCGAGAGAGTGATCGTTCGACGCTCAAAAAGAAAGTAAAAAAATGTGTTGGGAAGTCCAAGAGCTCTCTTTTTTTCTCGGAGAGAGGAGAGAAGAAATTTGAACTGCTTTTTTCCTCCTCTCGCGTTTGTTTTCCAACGACCTTCGCGCAACACGATCGATTTGGGAACGAAATTGAGTTTCGATTTCGCCCGCGCTCGCGTCCATCTGCCTCGAACACGGCCATTCCATCCCTCAGAACGCGTTCACTACACTTTCCTGCGTTTGAATCGACCGCGTTCTGTGCTGATTTCTATTCGCGAGTCGTCGTAACGCTTCCCAAATTCACACTCCCCCGAATTTGCGATTGGTGTGAGTGAGTCTTTTTTTTTCCGAGAGCGCTCGAATTTAGGCGGAAACAAAAAATGAAATTCGAAATCGACCGTACCTCTCGCCGACGCGCACAAAGCGCGTATCTCCCCTTCCGCTAATTGCACCGTGCGATTATTCGGTTGTCCTCTCACGCTCAATAATCGCTCGATGATCGAGTCTACGTCGAGCGTATTTGCGTGCGCCATTTCGGGCAGTTAAAGAGACAAATTCAAGTGCGTCGCTTCCAAAAAACACAATCTCTGTCTCGCGAAGAAGGACTCGTTCTCGCGATCCTTATTCTCGCGCGTATTCGTCCGCACTTTATCCGTCTCTTTGATAAGTGGGAGAATTAACTCGGGCAATTGCCTTTTAACTTTGTCGAAACAAAGAAAACTGTGAGGAGAAAAACCGCACACGCTCGAATTTTACGCCTTTTAAAAAGCAGAGAAAAGAGAGTCACACTGCTTTTTTTGTCATTTTTTTCAGGCAGTCAGTTGCTCTCCGCGAGAATACATTAAAAACAAGAAATTGAACGCCTCGTTTGATGCGGAACTGACGACTGCATGAGAACAGAAGACTTGAGAAAAGCAGCACCGGGGTGGTGTTGATGTCAAAGAGAGAGATGACCTCGCGAAAATTCTCCCTCGCGTTGCAGAGAATGCTGAAAAAACGGCTGACTTTTTTACTTCGCGAAATCGCGTTGGAAGGAAGAGACGGGTGCACGTTGCCGAAAGCGTTTGAACTTTTAGACACTTCTTTGGAAAGGAGAAGGAAGTTACGAGAAGACGGAGAGTCGAACGAACGAGACGAGGACGACACGGACGACGAGGACGATGAAGACGTCGATGTGTTCGATGATTTAGACGAAGAAACTGGCGACGAGGAGAAAGAAGAACATATCGACGACGAGGAGAAGAAAAAGAAGAGAAAAGTTGAGAAACTGAAACGATTGGTGTTCCAACGACTCGTCTCGCGGAGTTCGCTCGCAAAGACGAGTGATTTTGACACGTTGGAATCGATGGAAATGAGACCACCGGACGTGTACTTCATGGTGAAACTTCCAGAGAAGTGCAAAGTGAACACAACAGAGCAAGAAGCGCTCGTGGAAATCGACGCGGCGGAGAAATTCATCGTGCGGGAGAGTTTCGACTTTCGAAAGTCGAGGCGAGGCGGCGGCGACGGTGCAAATAGTAACATCAAGAACAGCGAAAACAAGGCGAGTAATAAAAGTAGCAAAAAGAAATCTAAGAACCAACTACAAGGGTGCGATGGAGACAAAGTGGACGGATGTCTCATCACTTTTGAGGAGTGCATGGATGCTGAAATTGCCAATCCAATCACGCTTGTCGCTTCTTTGCACGCGCGAGAAGCCGTATTGAGTTTAACCGATGCGAGGTCGTGGGAACAAGTTCTTTCGCCATTTGCGAGACGCATTTTAGAATTTGTCGCGAAAAGAAGACAGCATGGCGCCACGACGGCGGAAATGAGTGCTCATCTTAACATGAAATCTTCAAAAATAGATCCACACGCGAGGCAACTCGAAGGTTTGCGCATCAGCTTGAGGAGGAAAGTGTTTCGTCAAGAGTCGAAAACGACCGAAAGCGGCATGTGGCTTCCAGAATTTGTACCGAGAAAGGCGACAGCTTTGAGCCACACGATGAAAAAGAAATACGCCGATCGATTGTTTAATATTTTGGAAGAGGCTGGTAAGGCGCACGCGGTGCCAATTGACGACATTAAACCTGAGATGGCGAAAGCGTTGAACAGTTTGATTTACGACATGAATCCAAGACGGTCTCAAAAATTATTCGGCGAACTTCGCAACGAATTAGTCGAGAAAAAATGCATCCTCCTCGGAGTTGTGAACGTCGAAGACGAAAAAACGGGGAGAACTGTTGTCAAGGAAGCGCTTCAATTGATCGAGCGCCCGCAAGAGTACACCTACAAAGCAACTGCATCGATGGCGCAGGTGATTGACGGTGCCGATAAAAACGCCCCGTTGCTCCTACCGTCCTCAGAAAAGGAAAAGGAGAATGAACTTCTTCTCGCAAAAGCCGATAAGAATAAAACGATAACACCATGGATTAAAGATGATGTCGAATACGAACCCTCTCAGTACACGATGTGGACAGGTAACGGTAGCAGAGAGCTCGTTTTAGAGGAAACGTACGAGTCTCAACTCCTCGAAAGATTAGCAAAAAGTAGCTCCGGCGCAACCGTAAAGGCTCTCGGAATCGAGTTCGATATCGCGTGCAAACCGCTGCAAAGAAAATTAGAAAAATTAGAGCTATCAGATAAGCTTCTTGACCGTACGACGGTTCGAGCGGGATCGAATGTCAACGTGTATTATAAGCTGAAAGAGTCCATTGCTCGAAAGCGCGGCATCGCGATGGCTCGCGAAGGTGAAAATTTTGGACCGAATGGAGACGGCGAGATTACTAATACGCAGCTTATGGCAAATAAACCTCTGGATAGGAACGAAGTTCGATTTCAATACGTAAAGGAACACATATTAGAGAAAGGCTTTGCATTTCAATCGCGTTTGGGTACTTGGTTAGCCAAGAAGGAGGGGCACGGATTAGCGCGCGTCGACGTGATCCAGATCAAACAAATCGTAGAAACTTTACTGCAAAAGGAAAAGTTTTCCCATTTTGTTGTGAGAGGATTATCGGGCAAAGAAGATACATTGCTGTGCTCGCCAGAGTTTTTTAATTCGATAGACCACAAAAATCTTACGGACGAGTTCATAACGAATATGTTGTATCACGGCGAGCAGTTGCGACTTGCAAAGCGAAAAAAATTAGAAAGTTCTGGCATGGAGCTTCCGCAGTTGCAGGCGTTTGAGAAAGAAGTACCGACAACTGCGACTGCGACAACGACGGGAGCAAGAAAGAGTGTGAAAAACACGAGCAAAATGGGCAGCGAAATTTTGCTCTTGGCAAATGGAAACGAAGTTACTAGCGACGATACGAAAAGATTGACACCGCCGCCACCTCCACGAATCTCAACCCTGAGTGTTAGTACTCCTAAAAATCCAGTTGATGTCCCATTTGAGCGGTTGCGATACGAAAATGCGTTACGATTCGGTATTTTCCGCTCACATGTGTTGCGATGCCGCGCTTTGCATTTACATTTAATTCAAAATGCGACGAATGGATGCATCTCCGCGCACGAACTTCGAAAAAATATTCCGGTCAAATTGCACTTTCAGCTCGCACCGCCTCCGAATGGGTTGAGCGCGACTCAGCTTGCGAAGTTATACGTCGCTGTTGTCGAGGATGTAAAATTTTCGGACTTGGATAAGACATTAGCCAAAGCAGCGTACGACTCGGATGCCATAGGAGACGTGTTGAAAGGATTGAAGAACATGGGATTGTGGACGTACGGTACAACTCCGAGCGCGCCGACACCTTTGCCATCGAGGAAGCGAAAAGCGCCCATTCAAGAAGATATTGACTGCAAAGAAGAGGAGAACGGTATCGGTGTTTCTTTACAACTCGCAGCTGTCGGCACATACGTCAAATCGGAAGCTGATGGTGGTAAAAACAAAATAGAAATGAACCTTACAACCATTGAGTCCTGCAATGCGTATTGGAACGCTCTCGAAAAAACGTTTGCAGGTGTGAAAGTTGACGTCGACTTGTGCTCAAATGGAAACAACACCATCGCAATGACGCAGAAGAAGAGTTGGGACTTATCCATGATCATTCAGAATTCCAAAGAAGCGTTGCTTTTAGCGATCCGATTTGAAGATTTGTGGAAGCGCTGGGTGCAAAGCTCGATGGACGAGCCACATCCAAACCATGCGCAGAGACGGTATCCCACAAGAGACGAGCTATCAAAGCCTGAAAATACATCGTTAAGAGTTGATTTAGCAGCTGCACAGCGTAAGGTTGGTTTAAAACCGGTAACAGCCTTGAAGGAAACGCCAATCCTCGCATTTGTGCAGAAACAAATAGTATCGGACAGAAAAGAGTGCACCGGCTTGACTGAAAAGAGGATTGACGATTTGTGGAAAGTATACGGTGAAAGCGTTCAAAAAACTCTTCTTGGAGGCCACGCTACGTTCGGAGTGGATGGTGGGAAGACGCTGGGCGTAAAAAGCACGGACTCTGGCGTTATCACGGAGAACGAGTTACAACAAATTGCGCTCATAGCGAGACAAAAGTCAAAGCGTGAATCGTCCAAGAATCAAAATATTCAACGCAACAACAATAAAAGCAAGAACAATGCTGATGGTAGCGATAGTGATGAAGGAAAGGATAACGGCGATGATATGATTGGTGGTCCCCTTTTACACGATCTCGATGATGACGAAGATGATGACATAGATGAAGATGAAGACAACAACGCAAACCTCTCTTCGAGACTGCGATTCCGGGCGCCAAAAATGATTTTCGATATAGATTCTGATACCTTCTTGCTGACGACTGTGATTCAATACATGATAATATCAGGGCCGGGCGACATTGATCCGTCATTAAATCTCGGAGCTCGTTCGGCTACTTTTGGTAACGTTGCTTTGGTATTCCAGGCTATGCGAGAATCCTGGGTTGATCGATACAGAAATGCAACGGAGTTGGCCATCATGAAAAGATGGAGAATCATATGCAAACATGCTTCTCCAACGGAGGAAGCAGGTGGGATCATCAGATCTGCATACAACTACGCAAAGCTTGAGTACGAATCTGGGAAAGAGTCGCGGCGAAAGCGAGATGAGAGTCTTCTGGATGGATTATTATCTGTAAAATCTACAGAAGAATCTGACGAGCCTATTGGGATCCAGGAGCAAATCGAGCGCGTGACCGATTCAATTCAAGGAAGAGAACGCGCTCCGGAAGGAAAGAATTGGGAAATGTCCGGCGAATGGACTCTAGATATTCAGCAACGCGTCGCGGTGATGGCAAGACAGATTCTCTTAAACAACAGTTTTGAAAGTCGGAAAAATATTATTGCTCCGGAGAATAGAAACGGTGACAGAGTTAACGCGGCAGAGAAGAATGATTATGGGAAAATGGAAGTTGGAACCACCATTACCGCAACGAACAACAATGACAACAACAACAATATGGACGTCGAAAAAGACCATATTGACGATGGGGACGATGATTTCGACGGCACTGCCGCCGGTGTTGACGATGACGACAATGACGAAAAAGAAGTTGGAGAAAAAGTTGAGGGACGGAATGCCGAGAAGGAGATGGAAAAGGATTACGAGAAGAAAGCAACAGCTGCAGTAAAAGTGGATCCTACAAAGGAGGGTGAGGAGGCGCCGGATTCTGAGAAACCATCAGTAAATTTGGATCCATCCGAATGGTTAGTCTTGGACGAAGTCAAATGTGAAATGTGCCAAGGCGGTGATCGCGAAGATGAAGTGCTCTTGTGCGATGGATGTGATTGCGGTTTTCACATATTCTGTTTAAAACCACCTTTAAAGAAAATTCCAGACGGCGATTGGTTCTGTGAGAAATGTAAAGCCGCACTGGAACCGGTAGACGACGATGATGCCGAATTGAGAAAAATCATAGAGAAAGAGCGCGCGGGTATGCGAGACAATTTAGATTGGCTTGAGGCATCACGCCGCGCGACCACATCGCGCAGAAAAACCGCCGGAGTTCCTGCCCGCGTTTCTGCTCTTCCACCCGCTTATCGCGAGAATGGCGAAAATATGGGATTGGCAATGGGAGGCAAACGAAAGTTTACGAAGAAGTTTACGCAAATACGATTCAACGAAGAACGCCGTGCACGTAACGATAGTGTCGGCGAACCTATCATCGAGATTCGTAAAAGGGCAATTGAAATTTTCAATGATATGTTTGCAGAGAAAAGTTCAGAAGGAGAAGAGACTGCAAATGCCAACGGTGTCACGCATGAGATTTTGCCCGTGCACGCGATCAATGCTGCTTCTATGCTGGCTTACGTTTCAGGCATGATTACAAACAATATTGATATGGTATCATTGGCAGAGCTCGATGAAGTGAGCAATCCTTCCGATGCCAAATGGGCATTCAAAGTGCTCGCGAAGAATAGTAAGGAGTGCTCTTCGTTTGGATTTAAAACTTCGGGGGAGAAAATCCAGCGTTCATTCCAACTCATCGCGGAAGATTGCGGCAACAACGCGGATGACGACGACGCGATGAATATCTGTGAAAGCGATCCAAACATCGAGCGAGAAATTACGCGATATGTTTCCGCACGCTTGAATGCGAGCGAATCCGATATCGTAGAGTTCATTGGCGATGACGCCTCCAGCGCAAAACGAGCACTCAAAGCGCTCACGGCGCGAGGTGAGCTTCTTTTACGAACCGTACAAGCGCACCGTTCCAGTGTGCCAAGCATCTTCGGTAAAGTAAAAGAAAGCAACGACACAGCAAACACAAACGCGAAAACTGAAAAGTTTTATTGCGTTCCTATTGAGAATCAAAGGGTCGTTTTGTAACACAAACGACTTACCAGACAAAAGAATCTCTACTAAGTCATACGATACGCTTTTTCGAAACTATTTGGTAATACACGCTAAGCAAATAAGCTAATATCATGGCATAGAGACTGTGATAGCTCGTTTGATTGCATTTGGCATAGTTTGCATGACAATAGGAACGTCCACCAGCTTTTTCGGCACTTTCACATCGCCGTAGCCTCTCAAAAATAGAATCTTCGAACCGTCATCAATCTCCTCTACTTTCGCTTCAATCGTACCAACGCTGACGAACGAGCCAGGGTCGTTCGGATTAGATTTCAAGAAATCCATCTCGAATCCAGTTTCAGTTTTATCTACTTTTTGCGGCAGGACAAACGGCATGTTCTGACCGCTCGTCGTTAGAGTCGTTGCCCACTGGAAAAGCGAAGATGAGAAAGTTTCGACGTTAATATCTGCAGGTAACTTCGCGGTTCCTAATTGAACGCTTTCTGCGCCTTCTAGATTTGATGACGACGCTTTGATTTTCGCCACCCTCGTGGCGTTATTAGATTTCCACCGTCTCGTTGGGTGGACTCGGCTTTCCGTCGTTAAGACTCTTGTTGTGCTCGCGAACATGGTGATACTACTACTAATAGTATTAGGGGATTAGTGAACGGTGTGTGACGTGGTGGTGTTGTGAAAATATTTTTTGCTTAAAAATGAACAAAACGCATGCTGGTTTTCAAACGTCTTTTCAACAACACACATTTCAAAAACGCATGAGCATGCGTGCTTAAAAATGTATTCTCGCCTTCCTCTTCTCCTTTACGTTCTTCTCTTAAAGATTGCCAGTCGGGTGAATGACGCCTCTTTTTCGCCACCACCACCATCGCAACAGCAACAGCAACAGCATCATCGTCAATATCGTCAGCAGCAGCGAGTGAAAAACGCCCCCTTTTTTCCATGCCAAGACCAAAATCTTGACCTTTTCGTCGACGAGATACAATACGAACAGACGAATATAGCGCACGATTTCAGCGTCTTTAGGGCATTATTGTTAGCAACGAAGGGTTTGACTTGTGACGGAAGAGGTCAATCGTATCGGACGATTTTTGCGCCGACAAATCGAGCGTTTGAACGATACGCGTTGAGACATGCGTGTGGGATTTCAACCGTATTTGAGGACGATATGCTCTTGTGCGAGATGGCCAAGCGGCATCGTTTCGAAAGAAGAATACACTCTAAGGATTTCATCGATGGACGTTCGTTTGAGGAATGGGAAGATGGGCATCGAAAGAGAGCTGACGTTCGCGTAGTCAATCGTGAAAGTAAAAAGAGGGAAATTTACGTAACAAACGCGAAAGTGATATCATCGTATCCGACGTGCAACGATTCCGTGACGGTGCACGCGATCGATGACCTAATCATCGATTTATTCAATGCGCAGGATTTGCTCGCAACGCAGAGACTACCATCATTGTATGACTTTCTCGAAAATAGTGCGTTCGCAGAAGATGTTTCTGTTACGCTGGAAGCATTATATGTCGCTTTCGGGAACGTGAAGATCTTTCAGAACGCCGGCTCGGCGAGGACCATGTTAATACCAACGAACGAGGCTTGGAGAAAACTGTTTGCGGAAACATCTCTCACAAAATCGATGCTTTTCAAAGACGAATCTAATCAAGATCAGTTAAAGAATATAGTGTTGAGGTTTCTCGTTTCATCTTTTCAGCAGTTGAAAGCGAGTTCCGGAGCCATGATGTCGTTCGCTCAAAGTTACGGCGGAGATGATTTTATACTCGTGGAAGACATCCGTACCGCAGATGGCTTATTAATGATCGTTTCGCGCCTCCCTCTCATAGAAATGCGCGTAGAAAAGAGTCCGGCGTCGAAATTCTTCGACCCGGTGTTTCTGTTACAAAAGAACGCCAGAGTCTCTTTGTATACAAATTTGTTGCGAAGCGAAAGTCAAATTATTGACTTTCTTCAGCAGGAACTTCCGGCCATTTCCTCATCAAATACGAATAGCGGCGACAAGACGAGATCCGTCATTGGTGTTCTGGTACCCACAAATGCGGCGTTTCGGGGCGCGCTAAGATACTTGAACGTTCAAAATTTGCTCACGCCTTTGAATATATTCAACGCTACGGATGACGAGAGAGCTCTATTGAAACTCATCACGCAGCAAATCATCACGTACAACACGTTTCGGATTTTAGAACCAGACGCGATGGCGCTCGAATCTGCCGCCAAAGACGCGACGGCTGAAGTTAATTTTGAATTATTGGATAGTTACCTCTCATATCCAGTGCTCAGACGACCTGGGAACGTGTTTGTGGGAAATCCGATTGCAAAGAAACTGAAAGTAACGAAACGAAAGGGTGAAAACATTATGAAAGTGCGCGGTTTGCTGAATTCTGCTTCAGTTTTACAAATCATATCGTCAAATAATGGCATATTGATGGTAACGGATGAACTATTGAGTCCACCGACGGCAGAGTTGGGTTTGAGTTTATCAGACAGGCTCGAGAGAATCCCGTTTGCCTTCGTATATCGAAACCTGCTGGCTTATTTGGGACTATTTCCGGAGCTGCGATCGGGATGGAGTGATGTCATAGTACTCATGGCTCACGATTTGCCTATGATTTCCACCTTATCGGGTGTTGACATGAATATTACAATAACGTCTAATGCAACGAATGGAGTGAACACAACGTCGTCATTATTTATTGATAATGAAGATGACAACATGGTCGACGAAGTGCTGTACGATATAATCATGCGTAATATTTGGTTCAACCATCTTCAAAGAGACGCGGATTTGTACCACGAATCCTACGTTTCTCTAGATGCGCACAACTTGGACGAAAACGTAAACTGTTTTCAAACTCTGAACGATGCAACAGGAAGCGACACGTGCAATCGATTTAACAGGGAGGACGTATTTGATACCGATTCCGAAAATGTTGAGAGAAAGGTTTACGTAGAAGTTCTCGAACAAGACAATACAACTCAGATGCGGCAGATTATCGGGGATCAGCAACTAGCGCTCAACGGAGAAGTCAAAATTATATCCTCTTTACTTATCCCGAACTTCAACAAAAAATGCACAAGATTGCCTGATTTTTCGATAAATATTACGGACGACCATGCACTGAGTCATACCATTGTAATCGATGAGTTGCACGAGAAAGTGAAAAAGCGCTTCTCTGTGGAAACTGTCATCAAAACTTTCAAGCGTCAAGTATCAGTAAATTCGTCACAAACCAACGTCACGAGCAACGGTACTTCATCAGATGAGGTGGCAGACGTTTTCGCGTGCAATCCTTGGTGTTTAGGCCCAACCACTTGGATCTTTTGTAAGCCGTGCACAGGCGAACAGTTTCAAGTTATATTTTCAATTGGAGGCTTCGCACCGTATCAAAATGGGGGAGGAGCGATGATACTCGCCGTGAGCGATACAAACGAGTTATTTTTTGGCGTTTCACCGTACGTCGAAAATTTCTCGTTGAAGACACAGGATTCTGGTGGTGGCTTGAGACTCATAGATGCGCGAGTCAAAGCAATTGGCGTATCCATGCCTCGAGAGAAACCTATTCGAGTTCTTGCCACTTATGATGGATACGCAAATATAACAAAAATATACGTAAACGGTAAATTTCGAGGCGTTTCAAGTTTAAACGGCTACCAGTTTGAACCATTCGTCAACGACGACGTGCCTCCATCAATTCGAATAGGGACGTTAGGGGTGACAACAAACAACGCATCATCAGTTTCTGATAAAACACCAGCTTTATTGAAACTGTTTCCTCGACTGCAAAGCACGTATGACAACGACGTGACGAATACATATTTAGACTACGCAGGAGACATTGATGCCGTAAATGTCTGGTTTGACCACGTCAAATATCCATCCACTTGTTATAATACGTAGTTCACTACACGAGTTCAAAACTTCGCACGCACTCTCGCAGTTCCTTCCTGACTTTCTTCCACGACGACAAACTCGCCGTGGCTCTCACGGTCACCTCCACCTTTTCGTTTATGACGAATAACGAAATCAACTCCACGGCAGCGCCGAATCTTCCCGCTGTCCCTCCTCCTACCTCGGTTTCAATCTCCCACGCTTCTCCGATACCTTGTTTTGTATATTTTTCCTTGCGTTTTGTTCTTTGATTCTTTGCAGAAAGTGCCATCTGTTTCGCTTTCGTATCTAATGAGTCGTAAGCGTCCTTCAAAGTTCTTTGATTGGACGGCAAAGTATTTATGAATATTGCTAGCGTACTCGCTTCATCCCTCGGATCTTTAAACGAACAATCGACTCCGACCACTCGCGCGGAATTGACATCTGTTAAAGCCGCGAACCGCTCCGGAAACTCTATTCGGTAGTTCACTCCTGACTTTTCTTTTAATATAGACTCGTCGTCCGACCAAACTTTTCTCGATTCTTTCTTCCGAATCTGGGAACTGTCATACGCGTATCCTTCCGGAGCATCTATCAAGACCACGTCACCCGCATCTGCTGCTACTGCTGCACCGCTGATGGTGATAAGAATAGCAGCAGCTCCGAGAGTCTGCGCGAGCAGCACTTCTCTTCTCCGTTTGATGAGTACTTGTTTTCCTACTTCTATAGATAATAATGCGTACATTGCGCTTTTTTGTATCCTCCTTGATGTCTTTTGCATCTTCTTCTTCCAAGCCCCCGAGAAGCGAGGAAAAAGACCGTGGTCGTTTACGTTCGCTCTTCTCGTTCTCGTCGATGTTTGAAATGATATCATCGAACAAAAAGTACTCATCATTCTACGTTCTCCCTTCTTCTCTCTCTTCTTCTCTCTCTTATTGTAATGTGTGCATTTGATGTGAAGTCCAACAAAACAGAAGAAAAAAGAACGAAAAAAAGATATCTTTCCTCTTCTGTTTTGTTCGTGCGTGAATAATCCCAACCACACTCGATCTTCATATACTCGGTGGTGCAGACATAAACACACACACACACACACACACACACACACACAAGTAAGAGTAAACGGAAGGATGAACGCCACGCCGATGTTCCTTTCTTCCTCCTCGATGGCCTTCGCCACGTCCACTCGATGTAATACTAATAGTAATACGAATGAAAATAACCGATCGAGGACGACGACGACGATGATGAAGCCGTCCCCCACGCAACAACAAAGAAATAAAAACCGGGCATCTGTAGCAGCATTAACGACGAGAAACGAAGATAGAATGATCACGAACACGACGCGACAACTAAAGAATAAAAGAGGCTCTGCGCTGCAAACATCCGCTGCGCTTCCCGATGCTCTTCACTCGGCAGCAACTCTCTCGGAAATCTCCGCCTTGGAAGGCAACATTCAAGGCTTTTACTTGGGAACGCTGTTGTTAATTTTAGGATTTTCCGGATTCATCGTCGTTCGACAGGTGTTTATTCGAAGAGAGTTGGACGATCAAGCGAAAAAGACCGGGGAACGCATTCGCGCCGGGAACGCGTCCTCGGACGACTACTTTGAAATGGGTTCCATCATGTTGAGAAAGAAAGTGTACACGCAAGCGATTCGAAACTTACAACTGGCAGCGGAGAACTGGGAAGGCGATGAGGAGGATTTGGCGCAAGTGCACAACGCGTTAGGGTTCGGATACGCAGAGATGGAGAAGTACGAAGACGCGATTAAGGAATTTAAGTTGGCGAGTCAGTTACAGCCGGGGTACGTGACCGTGTGGAACAATTTGGGCGACGCGTACGAAAAATTGAAGATGCAAAAAGAAGCGGTTAAATGTTACGAGGAAGCTTTAGTGTTAGCGCCGGGGAACTCGGTCGCGACCATGCGGTTGAAGAACATGAGAGAGCGAGCAGAGCGATTAGGATTGACTATTGAATAAAAATGAATTGATTATTATTAAACTTCTTCAATTATTTTGCTACTCTACACTTTTCGTTAACTCAAGTTTCCCATTTGTTGTTGTTGCGCGTTGTATTGGTCCGCTTTCGCTCTCATTTCCTCTTCCATTCTTTCCCTCGCCGCGTCTTGCTCCCGTTTCTTCAATCTCGCCTTCTTATTCTGAAACCAATTATACACGTTGCACTCTTGAATGGGGCCGAGCGCGCTCAACTCTTCCGTCACTTGTTTCAAATTTTCTCTCTGCGGCGTCGTCGTATCAATCGCGAAGAGCTGTTCTAAACGTTCAAACTGTGCCGTCGTCGGTTGCCATCGAACTTTCCCGGGAACGGAATACACTCCAGTGTTGGAGAATATCGAGGCTGGTGTTTTTCGCTCTTTGTGCGGTTTCTCTTTCTTCGGTTGTTTCTCTCGGGGGTAAGCGGAAGACGCGTGCGTCGCGTGACGGTCGTACTCTCCTCGCGCGCTCATTTGCAAGTCTCTTAATGCAGCTTCGTGGGTCAATTGCAACAGCTGTTGACAAATGTGCGCGTAGGAGGCTATTTGTTGCCTCAATGCGTACTTTTGTTGTTCCGTCATGTGTAGGGCAGCGTTTCTGGGGAGGTCCGGTACGTTGGCGAGTATTTTCGGACCTTCTTTCGGGTCGTACTTCTCTCTTTCTTCTTCTTCTTCTTGTTCTTTTTCTTCTTTTTCTTCTTGTTCGTTTTTTTCTCCTCCCGCATCCTCCTCCTCCTCATCGGCAGCAGCTCCGTCGTCAATCTCGGCAGCAGCAGCACTAGGAGGAGCAGCAGGGGCGGTGGTGGTGATGATGATGTTGTCGTTTGCTTCTTTCATTTCTACGTCGTCGTCGTTTTTATTCTTCTCAGCAGCATCGGCCGCGGTGGTAATTGTGGTGTCAACAGCACCTTCTTGCGCCGCTGCTTGTGGTGGTTGCTCTGCGAGTGATGACATCGCGTGGTGAAACGTTTCTCTCGTCTTCCAAACTCTTTTCAAATTGTGAGGGCGATGATGAATGCTGATGAGATGTTTTTGGGACGAATTTTCTGCTCGATGATTTTTGTGAAAAACTGAAATTAGAGTTAGTGTCCTGGGATCAGGGTATAGACCATCACTCCAGAGAAAAGAGAAAAGGTCGTTGGAAAAACAGTTATAGAAAAGTCTCTCTTCTCGGTGCGACGTTTCGGGAAAAGTCCGACGCGCGCGCACTCTAAAGAAAACATCAGTATACACACACACACACGCGCGCACACACGTACACATCGAAGTTTCCGCGAGAGAGGTAGAAAACGCGATCTCGAACGAGTGTGAGACTGGAGAGTTACACACACACACATAAGAGAGAAAGGAAGAGACTGACACCGCGCGCGCGCTCTCGTTTAAAACCATTAATCCGCAAAAAACAAAGTGAACACTACGCTCTTGTTTAGAAGAGAGAGAGAGAGAGGTACAAAATGTTCGCGATCGTGGTCGCCGCTTCTGGTTTGCTCTTGCACCGGATGAAACAGAGATCAGAACAAGCGTCAGATACGTTTGATCCAGACGCCGTGCACGACGCAACCATCGTTTCCGAGATGGTACGAGTTGGGAGCATGAAATCTATCTCCTCTTCTCAAAATTTGTCTTCTCTTTTGAACACCTCTTCGTCTTCCTCTTCTCTGACGAGTAGCAGCGATACGATGAGCGACGATACAATACTAGAAGAAGAAGAAGAAGAACCTGAAGTGCGATGCAGATTTTGCTTCCAAGACGAACTGTGCGGGGATCTCATCGCCCCGTGCGCGTGCACTGGAAGCCAAGAATACGTGCACTTGAAGTGTTTGCGGATGTGGCAGAAGGTGTCTTTGCGCTCGAACGGGTGCGCCGAGAAGAATTGCAGGGTGTGTAAGCACAAGTACATCTTACCGTACATTCCTTTGAAACGACGAGTCTCGTTTTACTTCTCGTTAAAAGCGAAGGATCGATTGAACGAGTATACCAAGGCGTGGTGTGACGTCGTCGCGACTGCAGTCATGCAGGCGCGCCTGCAATCTGTGATTTCCCCGCTTCACATCGTTCGCCGGTCAAACTCACTCGCTGAATTAGCGGTTCTCATGGCCATGTCTGAACTCCGCATTTTTGCAAAGCGAGCGGAAACAAACGCACCGATTAGCGCGGTACCTTCTGCTCCGTCTTCTTCTCCGAAAATCTTCGGCGGAGAGAAGATCAAGAAAGGAGTAAAACTTCTCGGGTGGGGGTACACGACGTTAAATCTGTTCGTCAAATTTCATCACGCCGTGAACAGATAAATAAAGAAAAGCGAGGGTTGTATAATGTACTAGAGTAAAATTGTTGTAATACTAATATACGAATGTGTAATAACTTATGCATGATGAGAAAAACAGAATTTACATTGAAAACGCGCCGCCTAATTTCGCAGTTTCTAAGGCTTTTTCCATCATAGAAGGCGGGCGTCTCGGCGGCGGATACGGACCGACTCTCATTTTCTTCTCTAATTGACCAAGTTTTTCTCGCAGAATCGCCGCCAACGCACTCAAGACGCCACACAAATACGCCGGTTTCAAACCACTCGCACTAGCTGATACCCACGCCGTCGACGAAGATATGCACGCGGCGACAAATGCCGTCGTCACCGCCAACGCAACTAATGAAAACACGCGCAAAAACTTGCGGAAGATGACAATCTTCGCCAACGCTTGGGCGCACGATTTACAGTTCTTCGTATGCGCGTGGTATCTGTCCAACAAAGCCTCTCTCGTCTCTTCTTGCGGTGGTAACTTTGTGCTCATACCTTCAGGCCAAGACGGACCACCGTTGGCAACGTCCACAATCCAGTTTCTAAACGCGTTCACGTACACGTCCGCCGAGGACGGCATGTAACACGCCTTGGCGTACTTTTCATTCTTCACAGTTCTCGAAATTTCAATCAAACGTTCTTGTTTATGCAAGAAGATTTGATCGTCTTCCAAGATTGCGTTTTGATTCGTGTGCGTGTACCATTTCGGGAACAAACCGAACAGCTTTCTCGGCAACGCAGCTTTAAAAATAAATGGAAATCGAGCGATTAAACGACACTTTCCCGGCGCGATGGGAACGGCGTACACAACCGTCAAGGTTGTAAACTGGTCCGTTCGGAGCGTGTGCCGCATCAACGCCGGCGCTTGAAACTCCGTGTATTGCGTGCCATACTTTCCTTTTCGTGGTCCTTCCTTCCACTCGCCGGTGAAACCGTTTCGTGAAACTTTCTTATCCTCCGTGGTGAGTTCTAACACCACCGGCGTAGCGTTTTCGCGCTTACCGACCGAGTTATGGTGCGTAAACGGAACGTGTGAAACGTCCATCACGTTTTCTAACAAAGTCGAATAGTCCATCGGCAAATCTCGAAAGACGTCTTGATACACGCACATCGGGTCGTCGAGTTCTGGAATCAACGGTAAAGGTGGTAAATCGTCCACCGTTTTCGTCCCGTCAATTTTCGTCGGGTAGCACCACAAAACGCCTTGCGCGACTTTCGTGTAATACGGCGTCGCGCACGCGCGCGGCGAATTCAGCGCGGTATCCACCGCCGGACCTTCGCTCCCAAGTTGTGGAATAGACGTGCACTTCCCGCTCTTCCCTTCAAACGTCCATCCGTGGTAACCACACTCGATTTCCCCTTTATCGTTGATGCGTCCTTCGGAGAGCGGCGCCAATCTGTGCGGGCACATATCCGCCACGCACGAATACTCCGGAGCATCATCGCTCGCACCACTCTTTTTGTTCTTCCAAAATACCAAAGGCGTGCCTAATAAGGTGAACGCATACGGCGCGTCGTCTTCCAAATCGCACTCGAATGCAATCGGGTACCACTGCGAGTGCCAGTCGAAAGGCTCCGTGCCTTTGGTTTCCAAGGAAGGAAGAGACTCGTCCACGTCTAAAACCGCACCTCTCGTTTTCGTGTTCCGCGCGCTTTTTATGCTCTTGCTTTTTATCTTCATCATCGTTACTAAAGAAGAATTGGAAGAAGAAGATGAAGACAACGAGATGTGTCCTCTGTGTTGTTGATGGCTGTTGATGTTCCTTTTGATTTTCGCCGCCGTCGTCGTCTTTTTTGGTGACGTTGCATTTCCACTTCTCGTCACTCTCTTCTTCTTCAATAAAAGATGAGAGGAAGAAGACGCGACGATGGAAGACGCGAACGACATCGACGCGGAAGATGAGTGCATCGCGCGAATGATTCGAAGGTTTTAATACTGCTTATCTTCTGATGTAAAGAAAAGATGATTGTATGATAAAAAGCAAAGCGCGAGTACGAAGTCTGTAATGTGGATTGTTTTTTGTGCCGTGTTTTGGATATACTTCTTTTCTGTCTGTCTAATTCTCTCTCTCTAAAACGAGTACAAGAGTACATATTCTCTCTCTATCTTGTATTTAACGTCTCATGCCTCGACCACCGCCTCGACCGCCTCTGCCTCCTCCTCGCCCGCCACCACCACCGCCTTGAGCATCTTCGCTTCTCGGGTTTCGCACGGTTTCATCGATGGAAAGAATCAAACACGTGGCCTCGCACGCCGCGGCGATGGCGTTGCACTTGACCAAAGCCGGTTCCCAAATAAAGTTCGCAAAGGTATCTAAAATCCCGCCCGAGTTGACATCGACGCCGAAATTCAAGCCTTCGTGGTTTGGAGAGGCGTGTTTTTGCCGAAGTTTATTCAAAACGTCCGTGGCGTCGCACCCAGAGTTGTCGCACAACTGTCTCGGGATGACTTCTAAAGCGCGAGCAAACGCGTGAATAAACAGTTGCGATTTTCCTTCGACAGTTCGCGCGTACTCTTTTAAACATTTACTCAACTCCATATCAATGGCACCGCCACCAGGTACTACAGCCGCGTTTTTCGTCGCGCGACGGACGATTTCAATGGCGTCGTTTAAACTTCTCGCCGCTTCCTCGATGAATTGCTCGGCGCCGCCTCGTAAAACTAAAGTGCACGTCTTCGCTTCCGTGCATCCACGGAAAACGTTAAAGCGTTCGGAACCGACTTGAATTTCTTCAAAGATATCGCACGTACCTAATTGCTCATCGTTCAAATCGTTCACAGTCGTTTGCACTGCCGCACCAGTTGCTCGCGTGCATCTGTCCAAATCCGCCTGTTCGACTCTCCCGGCACAAAACAAGCCTCGATCGGCAAAGTATTGCGTAGCTAAATCACCAATGGCTAATCGAGATAGCACAACGTTCGCGCCCGACTGAACGCACTTCTCGAGCTTATCGTAGATGATGTTCCATTCGGCATCGACAATTTCTTGGTACTTGGACGGGTCGCTCAATCGCACTTCGGCGTTGTCTTTTTCCGATTTCAACTCCAACTCCAAATTTAACGCTAAAATCTTCGGTTTGACCATTTTCTTCGTCATTTGCTCGAAACCGGCGTACGAAAACGTTTTCTTAAACGCCACTCCATCGACGAGAAAGGAGTCTCGCATGCTCGCGCCTAAAACTTTCTTCACGCCAATCATTTTTGGGTCTAACAAGTCTTGGTCCAAGTGGCCGACGGCGTCGACGACCATCTTGGCGAAAAATTCCTTCTCGCCACCGACGAGTTTCGAGGACAACGTCGTCATCGCGCACTTTTTCAACATCTCTTCTTTCTCTTCTTTTGAGTTTCCTTCGATGGAAACCGAAACTTCTTTGACTTTTTGGACGGCGAGTTCGCTCGCTTTACGAAACGCGCGAATGATATTCATCGGATGCACGCCATCCTCAATGAACGGTTTCGCTTCTCTCAAAAACTCTCCGCATAACAAAACAACCGTAGTGGTGCCGTCGCCAACTTCTGCATCTTGCGATCGAGCGATGTCCACCAAAGTTTTCACCGCCGGATGGACTATTTCTAACAACTTCATGATCGTCGCCCCGTCGTTGGTAATCGTCGTCACGCCTCGGTTATCGACGACTAATTTATCTAATCCTCGAGGACCTAAGGTTGTTCGAATGGTATCCACGATGGCCATGCACGCGTTGATGTTTGAAATCAATTGGCCTTTGCCCTGTGAAGTGTCCGTGCCTTCTTTTAACAAAACGATTTGCGGCTCTGTTTTATTTTTCAAACAACAACAAAAGAAGAAGAAGAAGATTTATGATGAGTACAACACACAGAAAGAAGAGAACAAGTGTATGTAGGAGAACAAATGAGAATAGACGACGAGGAGAGGACGATACGATGGAATTTTCGGTGGACGCGCAGAGTGCAAACGTCGTCGTCGTCGTCGTCGAATCTCCCTCATCATCATCGGCGCTTTTCTGTCCCGGTCGTCATCGTTGACCAAACAACACAAAAAATTAGAGATGAAGAAAAAAAGAGAACACAACAAACACTTGCTACTATTAGTACTTACGGATCAATCGCCCGTCGGGCATTTGCATGAGCGTCGTCATCTTATCGTCGACGTCGTTCAAAGATCTGTTGTTGTTGTTTGATCTAAAGGTGTTTGATCTTTTTTTTTGTGGAAGCGGCGCGTTGTTCAACAAAAGAAGAGAGAAGAAGAACTCTTTTCGTTGAAAAATTCGTTCTTTGATTTTTTGTTTGTTTTGCGTTCTTTTCGTTTTCTTCATAAATGCAATCTTGGCTTCTTTCAAAGCCTTGACTGCAACTGCTTTTTTATTACGAGCGGTTTCCCTGAGAAAGTCACTCGCTTTCTTTTCGACGGCGACACTCGAATACTTACCGGTCTGTTCGTCTCGTCTTCTCTCCTTCACAACCACCATCACCTCGTAAAGCAAGCTGATGTCACCGTCGACAATGTCTTTGTAAATTTTCTCTGTGGACGATGTAGCAGCTAACTTCTTCATTTTCCTGATCGAATGAGACACGAATACATCTAGAATGGTGCCACACTTTGCGGCTCGTAATTTGTTTTCACTCAGAGTCCTTCTTTTAGTGGCTAGTTTAACGAGAGTATTCGTTCGCTTCTTCGTTTTCCAGTCGCAATTCATCCCGTCGGTGTTTGAAACAAATAATGAGATACGAAAAGAAAAGACTGTTGCGGCGACGAAGAGAGGGAAGAGAAAGAGAGGGCAACACGAGTGCGGCGTTTGCGGAGTTTTTTTCTTTCTCATCACGCAGAAAATCCTTAAAAACAACAACAACAAAAAACACAATTCCTTTAAAAACATTTACTCTCGCATCCGCGCGCGGATGCGAGTAGTAAATGGAAACGAATAGCACTACGTGTGCATCTAAAAGAAAGATTGATGCAAAATAACGATATTCAAATCGTCGTTTGCACACTAGAAGAGATGTTGTTGATGAGCTGTTGATATCCCAAAAGCACATTTTCGATTAAAAATCGAATCGTTATATATCGGCGAGTACATCGATCGTCGTGTCGTTACTCGACAAGGTGGAGTCAAGTAGAGAGTCGACGCGACGATAATCGATAGAGAACAAGGAATTTCAATCAAAGACTCGTCTTCTTTTATAAATGGATTACTATGCATCATCGAAGAAGAAGAAGAAGAAGAAGAACGAGGACGGCGTGAGTTTATGATTCATGTGGTGAAAGTTATCGAAGAAGAAGAAGAAGAAGAAGAACGAGGACGGCGTGAGTTTATGATTCATGTGGTGAAAGTTATCGTACTCATCGTAGTTAAAAAAAAAACATTTCTGTTCTGTTCTGGTTATAGTATCGTATTGTATCGTATCGTATCGTTTGTTGCTCCGCGTTCTTCATAAAGTTGTGACAGTTTTTCAATTCTGTTCAATTTCGACCTTGAAATAGTTCTCTGCAGCAATCAGACAGTCATAACAAATGTGCCCATCTACCCTTTGAAAAGATTTGAAATCCGTGACGCAAGATTCCTCGTGGAGCTTGTTCTCAAAGTAGGAACGAAGAATAACACGGAAAGCTTCTATCGTTACTTCATTCCCACCACGTGCGCTTTCTTGCAACCTTTTGGTTTGGTTCCACAAATAATCGTGAGAGAAAAACAACAAGTATGAGTAACTCCCATCTCTCACGACGGTTCGGCCGTTACACAACGGGCACCATTCTTTCTCGTCGAAGAATTTAATACCTGGAAACTTCCCGGCTTCGGCTTCCCAATTGTTTTTTTGCACGTGAAATCTCTCTCTTGTCTCCTTCTTCTTCTTCGTCTCCTTCTTCTTCTCCAACTTATCCGCCAGAGAGTACGTACCGTCTCTGTTTCGTTTGAAGTTAATTTCGTCTCTCTCCATTGCCTTCCTAATCGTAGAACGATCCATTTTCGTCTTCTTCCCGTTCTTCGTTTCCCCTTCTAAACTCAACTGACTCGCAAACTCCTCAATTGTGGTAGGAGTCATGCTCTTTATTCCTACCGCCTTCCCCGCCAGGAGCACAACCAACGCGACGTAAGCACCGCTTCCTACTGTAAAGTTGAACTCGATCGCTTTCTTCTTTGCGTTCGCGAGAACCTTGTTGTCGTTGATTTTCTTCACAGCGGATTCAATCTCTTCCATCCTTCCTTCCTTCATTGTCTTATTCTCCAACTTCTCCAACTTATCCGCCAGAGAGTACGTACCGTCTCTGTTTCGTTTGAAGTTAATTTCGTCTCTCTCCATTGCCTTCGAAATCGTATGACGATCCATTTTCGTCTTCTTCCCGTTCTTCGTTTCCCCTTCTAAACTCAACTGACTCGCAAACTCCTCAATTGTGGTAGGAGTCATGCTCTTTATTCCTACCGCCTTCCCCGCCAGGAGCACAACCAACGCGACGTAAGCACCACTTCCTTCTCTAAAGTTGTTCTCGTTCGCTTTCTTCTTTGCGTTCGCGAGAACCTTGTTGTCGTTGATTTTCTTCACAGCGGATTCAAACTCTTTCTTCTTGATCTCTGCTCTCTTTCTTTTTTTGTTGTTCTCACCGTTAGGTGCCGCGATGCGTTGCTTCTTCTTTGCGCGTTTATTCTCGCTTCCAGAGTCTTCCTCTTCATCATCACCATCCTCTTCTCCCTCGCTTTCAGAGTCTTCCTCTTCCTCTTCGTCCTCGTCCTCGTCATCTTCGTCTTCCTCTTCGTCCTCACTGGCTAAAGTCGTATTCGAAAGTGCCGCTCCACCAAAGCCTTCTTCATCATTAGCGTATCTAACGTTGCCTTTGTTTCTTCCACTCCTTAGAGCGGCAACGCCTGTTTGCACAAAATCAAACACGAAGAGAAAGAAAAAGTAAAGAAAAAAGGAATCGGACTCACTCAGACGACGAGCGAGAGAAAAAGAGAGAGAAAAGAAAGAGAGAATTTTCGAAATTCCGTCTGCGAAACGCGACGCGAACCGACAAACGCACGGAGAATATGCCGATTCAAGTCCAGTGGAGAAGAAGGCACGAAGGAAGCGAGAGAATGACAAGAAGAGCGCACCTGGAGGAGCCATCATCGACGTATACGTTTTCTTCTTTTCTAACGCGAAAAGTTTAATTCTTTTGTGACGAATTTTGATTTTTTTTTGTTTTGTTAACCTCGCACGCGTTGAATTAACTCTCTCTCTCGGTCCTAAAGAACAGCTCTTGATTATTAGTCACACGACGCACGGGAGAGCACGAAAAGGCCAGCAAGCAGTGAGTGTGAAGAGATGGCATCATCATCAGAAGCATCAAAAGCAGAAGTAAACGACGATACCGCCGTGACCACGACGAGTAGAAACAATAACAACAATCCCTTTGCACGAGAACAAGAAAAACGAGAAGGACATTTTGACGCGGAAGGAAAAAATGAATTGACAAAACCACCATCGTCGTCATCGCCTAAAAACTCTGATGGAAGAACAAACGACGACGGTGAGAAAGAAGAAGAAGAAGATAAAAAAGAAGAAGAACAAGAGAATAAAAGAGACGTTTCGGACATCTCCAGAATACGGTTTCGGAGGCAGAGTTCCGTGCACGACATCGGTCCCATAGAACTTTCGTCCACGAAAACGACCGTCTTGGACATCAAGGAAAAACTGAAACAGTTTGTCACGGAGGAAGAACAACGCGCGAAGAAAAACGAGGAAAAAAAAGACGGAGGAAAAACATCATCAATAACGAATAACTTAACGACGGACGATATAAAGATACTTTATTTAGGTAAAGTTCTAGACGGGTGCGACGATGCGACGTTGTTTCAGATCGGTATTCCCGCCGCCGGAATCACGACGATTATGCACGCGCACGTCGTCCCGCCAAACATGCGAAGGAGAAGTTCGGCGCAAAAGTTAGCCACGTTAGGGACAAAGTTATTGCTTAGCGGCGGAGAAGTCAATGGGAATGGTAACGCGCAACCTTCGTGTTGTTCGATACAGTAGTAGTTTTTTTATAGTCCACCTTTATTTTAGCAGATAAAACAACTTTGTATATATAAGTAGTAGCATTGAATTAAGCGTTGCAAGTTTACCAGTATTATTATTCTTCGCGCATATAATCATTTGATTAAAAAAAGAAAGTATCTAATACACGACACTTCCGCCGAAGATCTTCCATCCACCGTCAGAAGTTCGGCGCATTTCATATCGTGCTCTATATGTCGACTCGTACACATCGTCATCGTCCACTTTGGATCTATCCTTCAACACAGCCAACTCGGTCAATCTCGCTTCTACGATGGCTTCGTCTTCGTTGTAAATTTCAATCTTTTCAATCACCAGTTTATTCAACTCGTACTCCCAGCACCAGCCGTGAGAGGCGACATCTTCTGCTCTCAACGTCCATTGCCTCAACATCGGTCCGTCGAGAATATTGCTCAACGCGCGAGAATCGTGAGAGCTACCGAGCGCTTTTGCTTTGATTTGTTGCCATCTCTTCACGACCGACTCCGCAGTGCTTTCGTCCATAGGTTTCTTCACCGGTTTCGGAAGCGAGATCGAAGGGACTGAAATTTTTGGCATCTCAATCTTGGGAACTTCAATTTTCGGCACAGTTGGAAATTGTGGCGGCTTCAAACCACTGATACCACCACTACTATATTTGCTGTACTTGTCTTTCGTCGTCGTCTTGTAGTTGTTCTTATTGTTTGTGTTCTTTTTTGGCGCGGGCGTAGATTTCTTATTCACGTTTTTCTTTTCCGTGGCGCTTCTTTGCCACGAGGGCAATTGCACGTTTTGAAAAGCGCTCGAGTTGTTGCCAAAGAAGTTCATCGCGCTGAATACGATCGCCCCAGTAAAAGCCAATCGCGAGATCACGCCTACACGGTACTGGGTAACATCTTTCTTCAACGCGACTGGAACGTCATCGCTCGGGAAAAACGAACTCAACACGCTCGCAGAACCTTTTGTCAAAGCGCGCTTGGCCGCAGATCCCGCACCTTCAATCTTCGCAAACGCCGGAGAAAGTGCGTATCTGTCCACAAAACCAGTAACCTTCGGATTTGAGAACCACTGTTCCAAAGAAATCGGTGCAACGCGCGCCGAGTCTCTGAAAAGAGGAAACGCGACTTGCTGAATCCATTGATCGACTAAGGCGCACACGCCTTCGACGACGTCGCCAGACGGAGAATTCTCTCGAACGAAAGTTGCCATTTCCGAGTTGGAAGTTTCCTCCGAAGACAAACCTAAAAGCTTACACGCGGCTTCCGTTTTACCGAGCAACACTAAGCACACCGTGCGCTCGATGGTGACATCCCCAATTTCCGAAGTTTGGTTGGTATTCTTAGCAGCGATTTCAAGCTGTTCCAAGATGTCATCCGCATCCACGAGCAGCAACGGGTTGCCACTCATTAGACCGGCGACAATGTGCGAGATGGAAGCTCTGTACACTTCTTCCGGGTCAGCCGGGACATGATCTGGCGCTTCAACAAACATCGCGGCGTGCTCATACGCGGTTAAGAAGCGAGACGACTGCGCTTGTAAATCTGCTTTTGAAATCAACGCCGCGTCGTCGTTTTGAGCTTCGTTTTCATCGGCCCCTGGCTTCGCCCATAAACACTTTTTCAACGCCATTAAGCCGAGCTCGCGACCTCGCCTTTGGTCTAAAGGCACCGCGAGCAGTTCAAGCGCGACGCCAGGTAACGCGTCGTCGAGTTCCTTGTAGATTGCATCCTTCAAATCCGGAGCGAAAGATTTGGACTTGCCACCCGGCGCCTTCTCCAATGTTTTCAACGCCAGTTCTAGCATGTCGCTTCCTTCCACGTAACTTGGTCGTTTACCTAAGCTATATAAAGCTTCTTGCGCGTATTCGCACGTGGCCATAGAGGACGTTAACGCGACATCGCGCTTCCCGTTGCTGTTAACTGAATCCCCGCCTCTCCTATTTTTCGCCGTTAATATGGCATCCGCGTACTCTAAAACTTTTTGATTTTCGCCCGCTTCCAGCAACATCGCCAAAGCCGCCGGTGCTCGTTCAAAATCAATCGGAGTCAACACACCGTTTCGCAAATCTTCGTCGTGGTACGCTCGGGCTTCTTTATCGGATAAAACTGCCACGGCTTCCTCGATTAAACTTTCTCGGCTTTGACGCAACGTGTTCGAGTAGCCTTCAAAGACTTGCGCGTTTTTCATCGCCTCGGCGGCTTTGGGAATAGTCGCGCGCGTCGCACGCGCAGGAGATAAGTCCAAAATGCCGTAGTACGATATCGGCAAAAAGACGTGCGTGTTTTTCATCTCGTTCATAATAGAATCCTCTTCTTCAACCGGTGAGGACCTCTCCGCCGGAATCTCAAACACTTCTTTCTGCATCGGTAAATTAAACGAACTCATCGTTCCTGGTTCGTCGTCCATCTTCGCCTGCTGCTCTCGTTTATAATTCTCTCCTTCTTTTCCTCCTCCGGCTTCCTCCTTTTCCTTCTTCATGATGGCCACGCGCTCGGCGTAGGACAATATTTTTGGTTTTTCTTCGTTTGTTGCACTATTTGAAGCGGCAGCAGCATCTTCGACTTGTGCTGCTGGCGTGCTCCACGGCAACGGATCCTCCTCCGAAGGCACATCGTACTCTTTCGCGTCACCACTCTCATTACTTTCCTCATTCGCATCGCCGGCGTTAACCGCATCGTCGGCGGTCACTCGCAACTGTTGTCGTCGTCGCGCACTTTTGAAACGAAAACGACGATCAGTCGCAGGATTGATGGCGGGAGTTCGATTACAAAATTGCGACGAGGAAGACGTCCTCCTCCTTCCGGAGGTGGCGGCGGCAGATAAACTCGATCGATCCAGAAGACCAGAAGACGAAGAAGAAGACTGTTTCCTATGGTGGGATCCAATGCCACTCGCCGTCGTAGCAGCGGTAGTACGAGCAAACATTTGGATGATATTTTAAAACGTGTGTGATTTTTTGGCGCGAACTCGTGCACAAATTTTTCGAAAGATATTTCATGCATGATCGTTTTTCCTCGTTTTCTCAAGTATGAATACAGCTAAATATATGCATATTGTACATTAACAACAAACAAAGACTAGTTTTTAATCAATCTTCACGGCGCCGTAAATCACCCGCACGAAGACGTAACACGCCATAAATCCAATCGTTCCAGTTAAAATGCCGAAACCATACGACAACAAACCCATGTACGAAAAGTACATGATTGAAGGTACCGTTTTCTCAATGTCCAGATTTATGTAAAAATAGTACGCAGAATACAAGAACACGTATAAACTCGAGCTCGCGCACGTAAAGAACGATCTCCACTGCCACCTGTAATCCTCCGCACACAAGTGAAAGTAACACAAGACGATTGCAATTTCCGCGCACGTCACGCACAGGATGGCGAAAACTATAAACAAGACGCCAAAAATGTAATACACTTGGTTCAACCACATGGACGTCAGGATAAAGAAGAGCTCGATGAACACGGCGCCGAACGGTAAAATGCCTCCAACTAATACAGCGAAATTGTGTCGAATGAACCACGGTTGCGGTGGGACTTGTCTCGGAATCTTATTCGTTCGCACCGGCGACTCCGCCGCGTCCTTTTTGTATCCGAGGTACGACCCCGCAAAGACAAGCGGAACTGAGATGCCGAACCATAAGAAAACTAACGCGAGCAACGTACCAAAGGGTGCCGCTCCAGACGATCGCTGACCCCAAACTAACAAGTTCAAACAGAAGAAAATGACCGCTGCTACACCCGGGAACATCAACGCCGTTCTGATGGTGACGGATTTCCACGCTAAAATTTGAAACGTCTTGGCAAATCTACCGGCGACATAGCCTCCGACGATTCCCATCAAGACAAAGAGGAGCAACATGGCGGTCATTAAGCTCCCACGATTCGCTGGTGATAGAAAGCCAGCCACGGCGAATATCATCAGAACAAAAGACATGCCGAATAACTGCGCACCGGAACCTACGTAAACGGCCAAAGTCCCCGCCATTTTTGGTGGACGAAAAACATCGCCGTGCACGAGTTTCCAGCCAGTCTCTTCTGCATCTTGCGACATAGCTGCGTCGTCAAGAAGTATTTGGTCCAGTTGGTTGTAATTCGTGATATCACGTCGCAAGGTTCGGATCATAATCACCGCAACCATGCCGGAAAGGAAAAGCAAAATCATGACAGAGTTGACGATAGAGAACCAGTGAATTTGTTGATCTTGCATGCTTAAATAGGTGTCCCATCGCGATGCCCAACGGATGTCACTCATTTTGAATTTGACGTCGTACGTGAATATAATTTCCTCGCCTGCGACCAATGGTTGTGGCGAAACCATGCCGTCGTTTCCGTTCTTGATTTCAAATGGCGATACGGTGGCGGAAGAAGAGGAGAAATCCTCCGCGCCTTGCTGTTTCGTGCACGTTTCCAACCGCGGATACGCTTCGTTGAACTCTTTGCGCGTGTCGTATTCGTGCTTAATCGACATCGGTTCAACTTCAAATCCAACGACTCTGACTAAATCCGTTTCCAAGTCTTTGTGGAAAAGAATAGTAAACCGGACGTGGTTGTTTACGAAGATATCGTCATCGGTCTGGTACCCGACTGGGAATCCTCTGTCGTATGTTTTGTACTCCTCGCCTGTTTGTGAATCGACGTTCTCTTTCGCAATGGCAACGGGAAGGTTGTCTAAAATCATATTCACACGATATTCGTCCTCGATGATTGCTTTCAACCTCTCCGTGTCCTCAGACGACAACGGATCGATTTTGCAAAGCACTTTACAGCTCTCGTCCGTTCGCATTTGTATTTGATACTTGGAATTGTAAATGCGATCGCCACGTAAAACTTCCCCGAGGTTCTCCGCCGAAGACATTATCACGTTTGGTTTACAAAAAGGTAAGTCCGTGTAATAATCTCTCGGCAAGTGCGATTTCATGGATGTTAAACTGTTCACTTTCAGATTGACCAAATCGTCTCTCTCGAAATCTTGAGGAGCAACTCCGGGGAGATAAAACGCGTTCGCAAAGTTCGTCGTCGAACAACAACATATCGCGAGGATGATGATGACGATGACGACGATGGAAGAAAAGAAGGAGGATGCGTACGAGGAGGAGGAAAGTTTTCTGCTCTTCATCGCGCGTGAAGTTGAAGAAAGTGAAGAAACAGCACACACAAACACACTTGTGACAGCTCGCACATCAGCAAACACGACCGAAGGAAAAAATTCAAAAAACAAAAAAATCGAACATCTGATATGCTCCACATCCACATCCACAACAACACACCCCGCCCGGCCCGTTGAGAAGCAGTCAAAAAGAAGTCGAGAGTCGAAAAGAGAAAAAGGGAGAACGAAGATAAGAATGTTTAGCATGCATCCTCACTCGACGGCGACGATGGGAGCCTTTGCCACTGGCGCTGGTGCGACATCCACCAACAGAAAACAACATCATCACCTTCGTCGTTATTTGAACACGTTTTCAACTAACAAAAATAATAAAACGAGAAGAAGAAGTAGTAGCAGAAGAAGAAAGGGAGACGAAAGGAGAACGATGGTATCGGCGAAATACTCGTCAGGTTTACAGAAGTTGGAAAACTGCGTGGACTCTGGTCAGTTCGATCGTCCAATGATGGAAGAGTTATTCACAATCGCGGACGAGATGGCCAAAGTGAAACCCGGCTCCAAGGACTCTTTGTTGTTGCAAGGCTATTTGATGTCAACGCTGTTTTACGAAGCTTCCACGCGTACGAGATTATCGTTTGAATCAGCCATGGGAAGATTAGGTGGAGGAATTGTATCCACGGAATCAGCTGGTGAGTACTCCTCCGCGGCGAAAGGCGAAACGTTAGAAGATACCATGCGCACGGTGGAGAGTTACTGCGACATTGTTGTTCTCAGACACTTCCAAGCCGGGTCCGCGGCAAAAGCGGCAAAAGTTATGCGGGCGCCGTTAATCAACGCTGGCGACGGTCCGGGCCAGCACCCAACGCAAGCGTTATTGGACGTGTACACCATTCAAAAAGAGATTGGTCGATTGGATGGTTTTAAAATAGCATTCGTCGGCGACTTGGCCAACGGGAGAACCGTGAGAAGTTTAGCGATGGCGTTGACAAAATTTAACGACGTGGAGTTTTTCTTCGTGGCCCCAGACGTGGTAAAAATGAAAGACGACATCAAGCTGTTCCTGGACGAGCGAGGCGTGAAGTGGTCGGAAAGTACGGATTTGATTGCCACGGCGAAGAAAGTGGACGTGATGTACCAGACGAGAATTCAAAAAGAACGCTTCGGCGACAGATTGGACGATTACGAAAAGGCTAAAGGAAAGTATATAATCGATCAATCTGTGATGGATGCTTTGTCGGATACAGCCTGCGTGATGCACCCCTTACCGAGAGTCGATGAGATCGACCCAGCGGTTGATGGCGATAAAAGAAGTGCGTATTTTCGCCAAGCGCAAAACGGATTGTTCGTGCGCATGGCTTTATTGAAGGTACTGCTATTGAAGTGAATATCATAGAGAGAAAGAGAAAGAGAGAGTGAGAGAGTGAGAGATGAAGAGGAACACACACACAGACACACAGAGAGAGAGATTAAGGAGTAGCAATGCTCGCTGTTGTTGTTCTTCTTGTTATGAAAAGATATATTAATACACCTCATGTTGCGCGAAAAGTACCCAAAAAATAACAGAATCGGGGGTATCGGTCGACAAAAAAAAAAGTGTCGCCGGAAGGAAAAATATCTCCCATTACAACACGCGCATAGGGGAGTATGATTCGAAAGACTGCCGATACTGCTTCAACTCGGCGCTCATCTGCGGCGTTACCGTTTCTGTGCGCGATCTTATCATTCAGCGCAGTTTGTTTGGTCGTCGCAATGAGTTGTCTCGCGTCTGGTTTTGTTGTTGCGAGTGGTGGAGTTGGTAACAACAACAACATGCAAGAAAAAGTAACGAAGAATCTTCGCACTCGGCTCGATGCTGTGCACACAAACGATATCGATTGCAACACGTGCGTAAGAGTGAATGAATTTCTTCACGCCGAGTTAGTCGAGATGGAGGAAGAAACCAACGTCGATGCCATAGAAAACGAGGAGGAGTTGGCGAAACACCACGCGAAAGAAATGAAAACGAGAAAACGAAAACTGTTACACGGAAGAAGCGAACCGAAAATACGGGACACGGTATTACACGCGTGCGTAAAGTGCGCGGATTACGACCGCAAGAAGACGTATTATTTGCAAGATCACGACTGCGATGCGTGTCACGTGATACTTTTCGGTGGCAAAGAGAGAGGGCGAGTATTACTAGAAGGCAAAGACGGCGAAGTAGAAGAGGACGAGAGGCGACTGGGCCACGCGTTCCACGCGCTCGTCGATCACACGTTTGAATTAGGTACCCCGGAGCTGCAAGAGATGGTAGACTTTCTGTGTGTGCCTCATTTCTGTCGAGTGAAGGAAGTGGAGCAACGCTTCTCTGGCGGATTTGAGGGAGCACGACACGAGGAACTTTAAAACTAAATATTGTACCATATTTTATTCTCATCCCTCTCACTTCGTCAGTCTTCACACCTTTTTTTTTCTTCACAACAATTCATAAATATTCAAACAACAACAACAACAACATCAACGAACATGCACTCTCTGGTGTCGTCTCTTTTATCACCCGGCGCCGTTGTTGTTCCGTTTGATACCCATCGAATACTTCATCGTCGTCATCGTCACATTCCTCGATGCAATGCAAAAGCAGCAGCAACACTGACAACAAACGTCGCCTCTTCGTCGTCGTCGTTAGAAATCCGAGTCGAGGAGGCCGTTAGGGGAATGGATGGATTCATAGAAAAAGCTCTCGTCGAATGCGCCGAGAATGTTCCAGAGATTACCTGGTCGAACGAGCAAATTAAAGAAGAACTAGGGAGGGATATATCTCGCGTGTTCATAGCCGTTGAGGTCGATGACGAAAATGGTCATGATAATGTAGATGAAGAAGTGAAAAAGCAACTCAACGGAGCAAACAACAAAAGAGTGCTCGGGTTTCTCGTCTGTTGGCTCGTCGCCGGGGAGACGCAGATTTTAGAACTCGCGGTGAGAAGCGATCAGAGAAGAAGAGGCATTGCGCGACGACTTCTCGATGCAGCCGTGAATGCCGCTCCTGAAAACGAGTTGCACTTGGAAGTTTCCGAGAGGAACGGAGCAGCGATAGCTTTATACAAAAGGTACGGCTTCGTTTCTTCCTCGCCGGAAGCGGTTCGGAAAAATTATTACAAAGATGGTTCGGGCGCCATTTTAATGTTCATGAATAGCAGTAGCAGTAGTAGCGGCGGCGATAGTGATAGCAGTAGCGACGCCCAGAAAAACGGAAATGAAGAAGAGGTGGTGTCAACTCGCGAATTGGTGAGGCGTTTGGCCGGATTACCAGAAGAGCTCGCGAAAGTCCCCGCCCCGTTGGATCCAAACGATAGAAGCGACGTCGATGGCGACTCATCGACGCGATACTTGAAAACGCAAGCACCAATACGCGAGGTACCTTTCGAACGCAACCGTGATGGGAACGACTTCTCGTACCGACGTTCGAATAGGCGCAATAGTCTTTTAGATGGATAATTACAAGTTTCGTGTACAAACAAAACGTGCGTTAAATTGACAATTGGATTATAACTCTTCTAAACCGCTCAGTAGCTTTTCTAATTCTTTCGGATCCATCTGTGGCGACTTTGTAGCTTCCGGAGATGCTATATTCGCATTTTGCGTTTTGAGGTGAGAGTGTTGATGAGGAGGAGGTGTACTTGGGTGAAGTTGTCCAAGGGCAACATCAGGAAGAAGAGGTGGAGACGGAGAAGACAAAACGCGCGATGGGCTTTGTAAAGTCAGCGATCCCTCCATGCTCATCAAATCACCGATGAACGCTTCTGGATTCAAAATATTCGTACCGCCGATGAACACGTCGCGGTCGAGCTCCTCGCTCAAATGAAATCCCTCTCGAATCTCGCCACGAGTCACGCCTCCCAAGACGAAGACGATTAGGCGTTTCTTCTTTATTTTTCTCTTCTTTTCCATATCGTCTTCTGTGAAAGAATCCGGCGTTCCCGTTCGACTTGGAACATCAGGAATCGCCGAACCACTTCGAGCGTGCAACGCCCATCGTCCTAATTTTGTTTGGGGGCGGGCTGAAAAATTCGAGCCCGAACTCTTCGACCCGTCATCGCCGACGCGAATGTTGGTGCCGTCTTGGAAAGTCTTCGCACCGTCGCTATTTTTGCCGTTTGCTTCGTTAGTGAATGAAGGTAAAACAGAACAGGACGGGAAATCGTCTGGTGAAAGCGAGTTACCGTCCAATTCTCGCACTATTGCCGCGACTCTTGGAACAAATCGGTCAAAGCTCGCTTCAGACTGGTTACTTGACGGCGCTTTCAATCGCTCATCTACTCGAGGTCTGTTCATCCGCGTACTTTTTGAAGTTGTTGCATCTGTTTTACGAATCTTTGCTCCGAGCTGTTCTAATTTTACGACGGTGTCGATATCTTTCTCGGTTAAACCACTCGCTTGAATCCATTTCAGCGCTTCTTGCTCGTCAATCTTCTCTGGATGCGTGGCAGCGTAAATCATCAATAGTCTAAGCTTTTCTGCTGCCGGTAGCATTTGTTCAATGGTAATTGTCGATGGCGCATTGCTTCCTCCCCCGTTCGCGTTGTCGACTACGCTTGAAGGAGGACTGGATAACAGATGAATAATGTCTTTCGATGTCGCTTCCCCGAAAGCAACCATTTGCTCCATTCTCCCTATTAAAGCTAAGTCGCAAACATTCAGCACGTGGTTTAGTTCAGCAGCTATTGAGGTGTGAATACTAAGTTTCGCTCGTCTTGCTAAGGTTTCCGGCAACGCTTGTACCATTCTCTTAATGTCTGAATTCGAGGCGTTCTTCTGGTTCGCTTCATTTTCAATGCGCCCTTTTTCAAACAAATCACCCATTACTTTCGCGACGTGAGCGTGTCGCAGCTCTACAAATAAGGCATCTTTTTCATCTAATTTCGCTATTTTCTCTTCAACACCTTTCTTTGTATTTATAGAGTACGTGTACACAGAATTTGGTACGTTCAAGAGATCGTGAATTATAGCTTCGTACGTCCACTCGTGAATAATTGGAGCGACGTAGTCAAACGATCGGTCTAATATCAACACCTCGCACGTAGATGTATCTCCACATGTGCCTAGATTCGAGCTAACGGAGCCATTCGTTCTCTTCGTCTCCTCGTCCGTTGATTTTTTCTCTCGCATGTTTGAGAGCAAATACTCCGTCTGTCTCGCTACCGCTTCGCATGCGTTTCTTCCGATAATTTCCCCGTCTTCGTTCATGGCTCCTTTCTTATACCGAACGTTTGCATTTAATTCTCCAATCGTCGATAGCATTGTGGATAAACGCGTCGAACACGCGTCGACACATTCGCCCAAAGTTCTACCGCGTTCGCCAAATAACGCCGGTAACGCACCGGCGTAATCGACCGAGAAAGATCTCGAATCATTCACTTGGAACTCCGCGTATACTTCTTTGCACGTCTTCAAATGTCGTATTAAGTTTGCCGTCTGTTGCAATCGTAGAAGCGTTTCTTTTTGAACCGGTGAGGAAAAGAATACGTGCGCCGCGCGATACGGGTTCGTTGGTTTCTTCTTTGACTCTTTCTTGTTGTTGCTGTTGTACTTTTTGTTGCCGAAGAGTGCTATTTTCTTCTTCTTCTTCTTCTTCTTCTGCTCCTCTTCGTTGCTATCGCCTTTTTCATCATCATTAGTTTCGCTCACGTCCCAGTCGTCAATCAACGCTCGTATCGCTTTCTCGTTTGTTGGAGAAATAAAATATATCGCTTCCCTTTCTGGTTGCGGTTCGCGAGATTTGAGAATAGACTCGACGCTCGTGATGGACCGTTCAGCCATCAAGTCAGCCATCCCTACCGCGGAAGAGACGACTTTGGTCGTCACGTCGTCTAAAATCAAAACTCTCCACTCGAACGCCGATTGAGACAAAACGCCTTCACCATTTTCTTCTTCTTCTTCTTCCTTGAAACTGTTAAAAGCGCCGAGCATGTCGTCCAATATTCTTTCTTTCAAACATTTCCGAATTCCTTCGCTCGTGCTGCTATTTGGTACGTTCATTTTTCTACACTACTATTGTTAATATTCCTATTGTTATTCTATTCTCCTTCCTAAACCACAACCGCACTATGTGTGTGTGTGATACGTGTTTGTGTGATACGTGTTGTGTGCGCGCGATGAAACTTCTGAGGAGAAGTGATGCGAAAAAAAAAACGGAAGGAACGATTTGTCTGTTCGTTACTTCTGGTTTTCGTACGAACAAGAGGAGAAAGAGAGACACAAGTGTCTTCATTTTTAATAAAAGAAAGAGAGAGAGAGAGAGAGAGAGACGCACGCACGCGCTCATCATCACTCTCGATTTTCTATCATCATCGTCTCTGATCTGTATCAAAGAGATAGAGAGAAAGAGTGGTTGAGAGAGAGGTTCGAGTAAATCACAGATCCGTGGTATTGAAAATACAGCGCGCGCGCGAGCGCGGCGGAACTCTTTTTTCACTGGCGTGTGTCGTCTTCTTCCAATTCGAAGCGTAGTTTGACTTTTATCGTCGTTGCTTGCCGCCGGAAATCATCACCGTCCGCGTTTCAACACACGCACACACGCACAGAGAGAGAGAAAGAGAAAGAGAAAGAAAGAGAAGATCGAAGAGACGGCGCATTCGTTATTAGCGCAATGCCCATCCCGAGATCGCTCGCGGCGAAGAAGAAACGACGACCCCCGGGTTCGGTAAAGAAAACGACGTCGTCTTCTACTCCTCCGCAACGAGAAGAAGAAGGAGAAGAGGAAGAGGAAGAAGAAAATCAACGACGCCGACAGCCTTCTTCGTCTTCTCCGTCTTCCTCTCCCACTTCTTCTTCGCGATCGTTCTCATCGTCTTCTCCACACGCGACGAGGATGAACTCTCACGAGCATCCGCAGTTCCGACCGGCGCCTGGGTTGTTCGGAGACGACGACAACGACTTGAAAGGCGGAAGTAACAAAAGTAGCGCAGAAAAGAAAAAGACAAAGTTTCGTCTCGAGACGTTGGACGACGATGAGGACGACGAGGACGACGACGAGGACAAAGGTGACGGAGAAGAGTGCGAAAGAGAAAAACTGGGAACGAAAACATCAACAACAACAACAGCGAATACACACATCGAGAGCGACGTGTCATCTGAAGCGAAGGAAGTTCCGCGACTAAAAGCGCTCTACAATCTTGACTCGTTCGAAGACGCGAAACAACTGTTCCAAAAGCTCTCGGCGTGCCGAGCATTAGTACGCGGTAAAACCATGAAACTTTTCCGAAGGAGTTCTCCAACAGCGTCAGCTATTATGCGATGTTTAGAAAAGCTTCATCCGAGGGGAACGCTAGTGATTGATTCGGTCCACTACCGCACGATTTACGGCGACGAAGATCGATGGGATTCTCTGTACTCGTATATTTACGGTGGCGTGTACGGAACGATGTGGGATCCATCAAACGAGCTCATAGAGTATCCAACCTTGGAAATTTGCGACGACTGCGAAAAGCCTTACAAACCGAGGTCGCGAGGTATTTTCGTCGAGGAAAAAGAAGGCGGAGAGGATGTGAATAACTTTAGTTTAGTCAGCAACCGCAAACTCAACTCAGCGCGCGGCGCTGAATACAAGAAACTCGTCGAGAGTAACAACACCAGTAGCAACGACGAAAGAGAGGAAGAACACTCGTTGAGTGACGAGGATTGCAAGCACATGCCCGGGTATATCAAGGCGACGTGGTATAAATCACCGAATCCAAATTGCGACGACTTGGCGAGGATCCCTCGATGCGTTTTGTCTTGCTTCGATATCGCCGAATTGCCCGAATCTTGCAGAGAAGTCGTGTTGAGAATCTTAGAAAGACCGACAAAATATAGCCCAGACTCGAACGCTCCAGAAACCTGGCACAACATCAAAGAATGGAAGAGACCGTTCTTCTCCTTTTCTGGTAACGAATACGATTTGGTTCGAAGTAAATCGGAATACGCGGCGTGGATTTTGGTGTGCGGTCCGTTTCATTGCGAAAGAATTACAATTTCTGCGCATGAACTCATCGATAGTGTCCCTGAATTTGATACCATGGAGGATATTCTGGATTATGTTGAGAACGAAGTTCCGTTTGCGCGAGTGAACGACCAAAATGGAGAGACGATTAAAGTCTCCTCGGACGATAGATTTCGTTCGTTTAGTTTTTGCGCTGAAACTTTTCCTTTCAAGTGCCAGCTCGACGGCGCGAAACGCAAGGCGCGCGGAGCCGCCCTCGAGTTTGCCTTTCGACGTCCAAAACCAGTCTTTGAACGTACCGACCCGTGTGCTGAACGCATGCGATACGACGGATTTGAGCCTTCGTTTTTGTGCGATTTACAAGAGATGAACGATTCGGCGATTGACAAGATGAAGTGTGATTGCGAGCAAGGAGAATTGTACGAAGATCTTTTGAGAGAAACGGAACGCCTGAATTTGATGAAGCGTCCGGAACCGCGGAAGTTGCGATTCCCGTTGGGTGCATGTGTTCAGTGTAAAATGAGCACGGGGTGGAAATCTGGCGTTGTCGTGCAACACTGGTACAAACCAAACGCGGTTGCCGTGCGCGAGTTGGACTTGAATCCTCGAGCGCGCTTCCCGTATCAAATCCAACTCGATGGTAAAAATGGCGAAGAGGGATTGATATTTGCACCAGAAGACGTCGACGACTGCATTCGTCGGCCAAAGACTACAAAAGCTGAGCCTAGACCATTGCTTCGTTTCAACATCAACGACCTCGTCTTGGTTCTCGTTAGGAAAGGCGTCTGGTCGAGCGGCAAAATCGTCAAGCACTGGAGTTTAGGCGAACTCGAAGGAAAAGCGAAGGTGAACAAAAAAGGGGAGATCTTCAGGCTGAAGAAAGGAAGCAGCGAGCAATACGAATCGCAGCCGCACGTCATGTGGGACTGTCTGTGGAACATGTACTCGTACGAAGTTAGTTTGGATTCAGAGGATACCGTGACAAAGTCGAAAAAATGGTTTGTCTGCAACGACTTGGACTCTGAAGTGCGCTTAAAACCTTCGTTTCGGAACCGAAAGAATACGAACAGCAGAGGCGTTAGAAGATAAAAGAAGAGTTGATACTAATAGAAAGATAATATATTTCGACACATATACCCTGTGCGTATTAACAATAATCGTGTTATTATTTGTTTAGTATTTATTCGTAGATCCACTTTTGCAAGGCGTGTTCGTATTCGCAAACGCCTTCCGGGAACCACAAACCGATTTCGTGCTGCGCCGACTCGACGGCATCGGAGCCATGGATGACATTTCTTCCAACTTCGATGCAGAAATCACCTCTCAAAGATCCCGGCTCCGAGGCCAACGGGTTGGTCGCACCGATGATCTTTCTACCAGTCTTGACGACGTCCTTGCCTTCCCAGACCATGCAAACGACCGGGCCAGAGCACATGTACGTGACTAATCCAGCGAAAAACGGCTTGGAGCTCAAATCCGCGTAGTGTTTTTCCGCGTGTTCCTTGGTGACCATTTGCATCTTCATGGCCTTCAAGTAGAAGCCTCTTTGCTCAAATCTCTCGATGACTTTGTGGATGAGACCACGTTGGACGCCGTCCGGCTTAATCATGATGTAAGTGCGTTCCATGTTTACGTGTGTATGCTTGTGTGTGCGTGCGTACAAAGTGGAGAAGATAATCGATCGGCCGCCGTCCAAATTGTTCTTTTTTTAGCCCACACCACGCCCATTCTGATATGAAACAAGAAAAAGTGCCATCAAAACAGACAACAAAAAACATTTTTTCATCAAAAACAACACAACCACAACACAACACACACACAACGAGGAGGGGACAGAGAAGACGTTTGACGATGTTATCCTCGGAAGCTTCATCCACGGCGGCGTCGCAGATTGAGATTCTTCTCAAACCGAGCGACGTGAACACGGAAGCGAAATATTACGAAAAACTCATCCGACGAGGCATCGAGGAATGTGGTCACGAAACTTTTTCGAACGTCTGCGTGCAAAGACACCATCATACTCCTGCCGCCGTCGCTAGTGGTGTTATTTCTCCTCCTCCTCCTCCTGCTGCTGATGTTGCTAATAATAATAATAGTTCTAATCATTCAAATATGAGCGGCGGAAAAAATAGAGGTAAAGGCTTATACGCGACGAGAGATTTTATAGTTGGCGACCGGGTGCTGATAGAACCTCCGTTGGTGGCCATGCAACACGAGAGAAATAGAAACGACGCGATTGTCTGTTCGTTCTGTTTTCGATACGTCGGGTCTATTGAAAAACAGATTGGTCAAAGATTGTTTCATCAGTTATCATCCGCGCAAGAGAAACTGCAGCAACAAAAGGAACAACAAATGGAGGCGACGACGGCCGGCGACGCAGCCGCCGAGGAATCGGCGAGGAGGTCGGGAGATCTCGATGTCTTAAATAGCATGGCATCTGTAGGCGAACCGAAGTTACCTCTCGCGGACCAGTGCTTTCCACTTCCAACGGAACGCGCGTGTGTGGGTGGGTGTTACCGCGAAATTTTTTGCTCGAACGAGTGCGCGCAAAACGCTTGGAATTCACACGAACGAGCCATGTGTATAGGGAACAAAAGCGGAGACCAAGACGAACAGGCGAAAAATCGCGCATCTATGATGCATCAGTTCATCGAGCACGCCAAGGATACGAACGATATCTTCATTTTAGCTGCCAAAGTAGTCGCTATGGTTACAGAAAATGCCAGCCTCGCCTTGAGCGACGCGAGTAATAATATCACATTTTTAGGGGAGGCTTTAGAAGTTGCATGGGAACCGTTTTCTCGCGTTCAGAAAGCTATTTGGTGGGATATCGTCGCGATTCCTTCAGATGTCGAGGAGAAAGACGAGGAAAGCTTTAGGCAGCAACTCATAGAGCTCGCATCGGGTTCTTTAGAGTTGTTATGCAAAGCGTGGCCAGACCGCGCTCAGGCGTTTCCTGGATTGTTCTCTTTACCGGTGTGGGGGGCCATCGTCGGGATGTTTGAGTTGAACAATTTAGAACTCGTCGTAGAGTCTCCGGTGGAAAACTATTTCCTCGCCGTTGATGGCTTAGCCGACGAGAACCAAAAGATGGCAATTTTACCACAAACGCAACCTTTTCTGGACGCGTTGGACGTGAAATACGACATTCCTTGTTTGGGAACGGCGCTTTTTGCGTTGCAATCCAACTGTAATCACGACTGCGATCCGAACTGTCATCCGTTCAAAGACGAGACCGATATAAACGGGAGTTGCGTCTTAGTCGCGCGTAAACCTATACGGAAAGGAGAGGAACTAACAATTAGCTATTTAGAAGACGACCAACTAGATTGGAGCAGGCGTCAAGATGCCTTGTCGGATTACGGTTTCGTGTGCAGATGTGCAAGGTGCGAATCCGAAGTCAGTCAAACTCGAGGACGACAAAAGATGAAAATGTAAAATTGTTCAAATGTAATATACGAAAGTACCGTACATTTATGTTCTAGAATATGCTAAGATTATACGCAGGCTACTACGCTACGAGTTCTTCTTCGATTTTCAAGATGTACGTTGACGTCGTATCTAGAAAATATTCCGCTCGGTCTAAGTGCACGCAAGATGCCGCCGCCTCAATGTTGTTATCAAACGAACACAAGGAATTTCTCACTTTACTCTTGTTCTCGAATTTCGCTTCATTCAACGAAGAAACTAACTCATTGGCGTTGCCCTCCGATATCACATCATTTATACCTCGAACGACCCGAATACCCCGTAAAGTGTCCGGTATTTCGTTCTTGACCGATGCTAAGAGCTTCTTTACGTCCCAATCATTTTCCAATGAAGAAACATATTTTAGCGCCGAAGTTGCGTTTGAGAAACACGTGCCCGATTTGCCTCTGTTTGTCCAATATCGCTCGTAAAAATCGTCGGTTGCAGTATTACGAGCATCTGCGGTGGGAAATTGCAGACTTTCGAAATCTTTCTTATTTCGCTCTGACGAAGATCCGCAGCCGATTAGCGTCAAACTGTGTACGAGATTTTTACTCTGTAACGCGTGTTTCAGCGCAAGCTCGCAGCCGGTGCCGTGCGCGATAATGTGGATGCCCTCGTCTGCTAAACCGCATTCCCTCCGAACGCCAGCAAGTTCCTCGAGTAAAAAATCATCTAGATTCGCATTTGAGTCTAATTTATGTTTCGACTTTCCTCGGTTTAACTGGTCGTAGAAGAAAATCTCCCTTCGGAAATCGTCGGGGGTGAACGCTAAGATTTCAATGGCTTCGAGATATTTCATATCAAGACGCTGGTCGTGCAAAACGAGCACTGGAAGGCACGTCTTGTTACCCTTCTTAAATTTACCCACCTGTCTCACGAACGTTTGCAGATTGTTCACGTAGCCCTCCGAAAACGTGCTTTGGTACGCAGCCTGCGACACGGGAGAGTCGACGTCTGCATAGTAGCCACAGAAAGGTTCTCTTGCTGCTTCAGCTTTTTCAGCGAAAGTTCCAGAGCACGACAAAGACGTCGTCAAAATCGCCAAAGACGAGAAGGATACAAAATCCCGTCTGTTTCGCTTGTTGTGTTCTGTGTTCTTTTTATTCTTGTTCTCGTTCTTCTTCTTGTTCTTGTTCTTGTCATTCGTGTTCGTGTCGTTTTTATCACGACGCTTGTCGTTGCAATAAACGCTCCTAGTTTTCTCGTTAGAAGCGAAACGCATCGCCCACCTTCTCCTTCTGTTCTTGTCGTTATTTCTCACGGCATTGAAACGCCTTAAAGACGAGGACAATGAGGAAGGAAAGAAGAAAGAGGGGGAGGAGGAGGAGGTAGACGATGCCATTGTCGTCGGTGTGAGCGATGCGGTGTTGGATACCGTAAAGCGACTAAAGTACAAAGCGCGTGCACGAAATTTTTATATTTCTGGAGTTGTCGTTGAAAAGGGAATGGCCAAACTGAATGCCGAAACAAAAAAATTCCGCGAGAACAGAACACAAAAAAATTGCGAAAAGGAAAAATCTTCATATAAAACCTTTAGTAAGCGCAAACAATGGCGAAGAGAACGAAGAAAGTCGGTACGTTAATCACATCGAAGAATAGTTGTGCACCGTATGTGCGCTCACGCGAGATGATGCGTTGCGCGCATCGGATTGGATGTGGGACAAATGCACCGCTCGCATTTTCCGCCTAAGCAAGCGGAAGCCCTGTCTCCCTCGTTTTCCGGGCTTTTTCTCGTTTCGAAATGCGCGTAGCTCGTATCAATCATTCGTGTAGATGGTCATATCAATGCGCACGTTAAACGTACATACGTTTTCTTAACGCGTTTATGCATCTTTCGGATCGATTACACGCTCGCGCAGTGGTCATTCCACGGCTTTGGATTTCTTTCTCTCCCACAATTTTTGCGAGTCCGCCCGTCTCAACTCTCTCCTGTTTTGACTGAAACTCACCAAATGTCTTTTCTTTTCTCTCCTCTCTCAAACGTACAGGTATCACCGGGAAATACGGTACGCGTTACGGCGCCTCCCTCCGTAAGGTTATTAAGAAGCAAGAAATCTCGCAACACTCGAAGTATTTCTGCGACTTCTGCGGTAAATATGCGGTCAAGCGTCAAGCTGTCGGAATTTGGGGGTGCAGCGGATGCCACAAGGTAAAAGCTGGCGGCGCGTACGCGTTGAACACTTCCGGTGCCGTCACCGTGAGATCCACCATTAGACGTCTCCGCGAAGCTGTCGAGAAGTAATTTCATTTGCTTCTCGATGTAGTAGTCGTATTTAGTTCTTAATAATCTAGTAGCAAAAATCAAAAACAAAACAAGAATATTCGCGTTTCTATAAAACTAATTTCGCGCGTAGTTTGCTCTCAAACATTAATATCACGCGTATGCGTGTGTTTGTCCATCTAATCTATCTATATCCTATCCTATTCATTTTACTGCACCTCGTGATTCCACAAGTCTTCCTCGGACAGTTCAAATGGTTCTTTAAATGTCGACTTTTGCAAAGTTTGCTGCCTCGTTCGTTTTCGGTTGGTTCTCGCTTTCAAGTTTCTCAGTTGATTCGATATCTGCGCTTGCATCTCCATGGTGCCGACTAGAGATTCAACATCTTTGTCAGCGCGCTTCTCCCTATTGGTGGCGACAGCTATTTTCTTCTCTCTTTCCCGCCTCAGATTCCTGAGTTGTTGTTTCCATTTTTCTTTCCACTCTCGCGTTTGGACGTTTTCTAAGTTGCCTCTGGTTGATTGAATTGTCTCGTATGCGGCTTTGATTTGTATGAACTTTTCCGCGGACTCTGGGGAACTGTTCACGTCTGGATGATACCTTTTGGCTTTCCGTTTATACGCCCGCTTGACGGCTTCTTGACTCGCTCCGACGGAAACGCCCAAGATGAAATACAAGTCTTCAGTCGATTGTGGATATTCAGGCAAGGACGCAGATACTCTCACACGTTGTCCCCGCTTTTCTCTTCTCATTCCTCCTCTCGCGTTGAGCGACGACGCCGCAGATGATGCAGAGGTAAAGCCATTCTTTCTCGCGTCTGTGTTTGGTGCATGCACGATCAGCTGGCATACAAAAGGGTGCGCATACATTCGCTTAATAATATCTTTCCTTTGTTACGGTGCGTTTTTTTGTGTCTGCTGTGTTTGACTTTTTTTTGATTCTCTCTAGAAGCTTCTTCATTTCGCAGAAAAATCAGCTGGCTGGCACAACTGTATTTTTCTTCAATTGTTGCAAAGAACTCGGTCGGCAGAAGGAAGATAAGAAAAGAAGGATACGAAGAGCAGAATTCACGATGATCACTTCCATGCTCACCTCTCGTGCGCTTTTTGGAGAACCAATGGTGATCCAATTGAAAATCTCGAACGCGTCATCATCAACAAAAAAAGGAAGGATTCCTAAAGCAACAACAAATGCCGCCGTCGGCGATACAAACGACGAAAACTCTGTTTCGTCTTCATCTTCTTCATCGTCGTCGTCATCATCAAAATCATCAAAATCAGGAAAGAAAGCGAATCATTCAGACGATATTGTGTATAGTAGTGGTAGTAATAATAACAACAACGACCCGGTGAGCATCTATAACGAAGAGATGAAGGACGTGGAAAAGTTGTCCTTGGAAGAGCTCTCTCGAAACTTTGTCGAGGTGGAATACACAGGACCCAAGGCATCCACATCTTCGCCGTCCTCGAAAGGAAAGATGAACACGGTGTTCAGAAACGTGTTATCCTCTATTTTTTCCCCGCAATGGATTGCGCTCGCGCTGACTTACGTCGTTTTGAAACGTTTTCGAGACGAGAGAGACGTAAAGTTGGTGAAGGAAATGCTCTCGATGGAGGAGAAAGATTTGAACGAACTTCCGGTGAACGAGAGACGCGTGGAAATAGAACGAGCGCGTTTGAAATGGAGGCTGAAACAGTTGCGCAAAGACAGAACAAAGGTGAAAAACTTTAAAAAAGTGGAAATTATGATTACGGAAAGACTGAAAATGCTGACTCGAATGAAGATGAAACAGGCCGAGGCGGAAGTAAAACGCGCGGAATGGCTCGAACGAGTCGGCGACGCCCAGGGCGCGGAAAGTGCCATCAAAGAAGCCGAGCGGATAGTCGATTTGAAAACAGGAACGATAGATATCGCTGGTAAGAAGATGAAAACTCCGCACCCGGGCGCGAATTTGAAATGGATGAAACCGGAAGATTACGTCGAACAATTGCAAAAATCTTTTCTGGCTAAAACGGAAGAAGATAAAGCAGACGATGCAAGCGGAAAAGATGATGTCATCATTCCCACGCTGCTACCCGAGATTGACGAAAGAAATGGAAAAGGATATGACGGATCTGGTCGAGACGGGAAAACTGTTTTTAGCAACATTACCGATAGCATCGATAGCGCCGCGGTGGATAATATTAGCGAAGAAGAGATTAAAAAAGTTGAAGCGAAGGTTAAAGAGTTTTCTTCGTCTGCGAGTAGCGCTGCGAGCAAAAATAGCGAAGAAGAACAAATGCCTGCAGATTTAGAGGAAGCACTTAAGAATATGGATAGAGATTTCATGACGATGAAATACACCGAAGACGAGCTTTTTGAAAAGTACGAAGCCGTGCTGGATAAGTACGGCTTGAATGTGCCAAAAAACGAAACCGGCGCTTCCGAGGAAGATTTCTACAAGCAGATGGATTTCGGCGAGGAAAGCAAAGACGAAAGTAATCTTCACCCGCAACTCCGCGATCCATACTATTACAAATCGTTACGAGCTGTCCACGCTATTTTCGTCAACAGACCAAACCAAGAATACGAGGAGTTTCTGTGCATGCAAATGGTTCCGGGAGAAATACCGGAAAAGGAGAGACCGAAAGATACGTTTCACGTGGTTGCTTTTGAGTCCATAGAAGACGCCGAACGGTTTTGCCACTTGACGCGTTCGCAGCGAGAAGCGAATGAAGATCCCGTATATACGACTCGACCGTTTTCGGTGAACGGTTTAGAAGACGAAGCGGGAAAAATTAACCGTGGCGTAACCGTCGTCGGTGCGAGTCGAGTGGATTTGAAACCCGGGCGTTCGGCTACTTTAATTTTGAACGAAATCATGAGCATAGGAAACGAGGTGTACTTTTGGGAATTCGCAAAACAGTGCAAGCGCACGTTCGACGAGAAGGAGGAGCAAATGAAGAAACCGGCGCCACCAACCATCGACGGAGCGTTTTGAAATTTTTTAGTTTTGTAGTCATTCCTCTACCTTCCAAAAAGCAAAAACTACTCGGAGTTAGCAAATCCCAATTTTAACCCCCCGAGTAAACCACACAAGATAACAAACAAAAAGAAAATGCGACGCCAACTGACACGCACGATAGCGTCCTCCTCTTCTCGGGCAGCGACGCATCAGTTCGCCTCTTCATCGCAGTCGACATTGTACTCTTCTTCCTCTTCTTCTCACACAAGTGCAGCAAACAGAGCAGCGTCGAGTCTGTTTTTTAGAAGAGGAGGGAAAAAGTGGTTGTTAGCAGATGCGCCGTCGCCAACATCATCATCATCATCATCATCATCATCATCAGCGGCGGCGTCTTACTTCGCGTCGAGGAGACTTTTCCTCACATCTGCCCCCGCGAAAACAATCCCACTCAAACGACAGTATTCTTCAAGCGCGATGAAAGCGATGTATCGGAATAGATGGAATAGCGCGACAAAAAGTGTACCTCACTCTGTCCGAGCGCTGCATTTGGCAACGAAAACGACACACAAAGCGGCGATAGCGAGAAAGAGCGCTTTGACTCCGCAGACGATATCGAACGCGAATTTTGCTTTGCGCTTTGCCCAAAGGAAAATGTACATGTCCATCAACGGGAAAACAGCAGTAAAACGGAATACGAAAAGTAGTATTAGTAGTAGTAATAGTAATAGTGGTAGTACGGCGGCACTCAGAAGCGCGAATAAAAGAAATAATAGAATCGTAGTGGGTTCGCTCTGCGCGGCGTCGTTACCGATTTTTGGAATGGTAGCCAAGACATATTACTTCGACAATCGCTTGGCTAAGTGCAATCAAGCCGAGTCATCTGGAACACCGTCGAGTAATAGTAGCACGGCAGAACACGTCAACGATGAGTTGAGCGATCATGCGAAGGAAAAAGTGATGACTATTTTGCGTTCAATACACTTGGCGTTTTTGTTTGCGCCTGCGCTCGTCTTCGCCCCTTTGACGTACCTGAAAAGCTGTCCGCTGTGGTATAAAAAACTCTGGTACATGTTGATTCGAAAGACACTGGAGTTTGCAGGTCCAGCGTTCATTAAATGGGGACAGTGGGCATCGACGAGATACGACGTTTTTCCGGCGGTTCTTTGTCACGAACTCGAAAAGTTACAATCTACCGCTCCAGAACACAAATGGGAGCACACAAAGTCAACTTTAGAAAGGGTGTATGGCGATACGTTCGATCATATTTTTGAATCCTTCGACGAACACCCGATGGCATCTGGATCAATTGCGCAAGTACACAGGGCTACGCTTCGCGAGGGCGTCGCTGAATCGTCGAAGAAACGACAGGATTTATTCTCGAGATTTAACTATGCGCTCATCGCGGGCGTCGAGATGCTCTTATCTGGTCAAGGTTTTAATGCCGTCGTGGACGGCATACGCGACATGTGGAACGATGGTGCTGCTGGAATAGGTCATTTCTTACACTTGGACGAAGTCGTGCACGACGAAGAAAACGGAACAAACGCTGGTGAAGGGGGAGAAGGAGTGGTGACAAAGAAACGGCGAAGAAAGGAAAAACGACGAGAAGTGGCGGTGAAAGTTAGACATCCGGGCGTTGTTGACGCGTTGAAGCGCGACTTTAAAATTCTTCTGTGGTTCGCATCATTCACGAAGAACATTTCTTGGCTAGAACCTTTGCAACTCGAAAATACCGTCGGTCAATTCGGGGTGCACATGTTGTCTCAGGTTGATTTAGGCGTCGAGGCTGAAAATTTGAACCGGTTTCGAAAATCCTTCCTGTTGATGCCAGCGGTATCCTTTCCTACTCCCATAACGTCCTTATCCGCGGAAGATGTGCTGGTGGAAACGTTTGAATCTGGGACAACGATAAGTTCGTATTTAGTATCGCCAGAAGTAGCAGAGAAGATAGGTTTCGAGTGTTCGGAACAAAACAAAACGTTAGCCGCGTTGGGCGTGCAAACTTTATTGAAAATGCTCATCGACGACAACTTCTTACACGCAGATTTGCATCCGGGGAATATTTTAGTTCGATTACCGGGCAAAAATATGATGTTTAGTAGCTCAGAAGCCGACGATCACGGACCAACTTTGGAAGCGAACGGCGAACGACAAATGACGGATGCTCCGAAACCGGAAATTATCATTTTAGATACCGGGCTCGCCGCGACGCTGACGCGAGAGAACCAATCAGATTTAGCGGAAATGTTTTCAGCAATGCTTCGCTGGGATGGACGCGGCGTCGCGGAAAGAATTTTGAAGTTTGTGGCGCCATCCTCTAAAGACACTTCCATTCAGAATAATGCAATCGAGTCCGAGAGATTCAAATCAGAGATGGAAGAAGCGGTGAAACAGTTTGCGGCTGGACCACCGAGAGCGGGAGACTGCATGTCGCGCGTCTTTGAGATTGTGCAAGAACATAGGTTATGTTTGGACCCGTCGATTATGATTGCAGTTGTTACAGTAATGGTTCTCGAAGGTTGGCAATGGCGTCTCGACCCGAGCGTCTCAATTTTAGATCGTCTCAATAGTGTATTGGAGCTCTCCAAGAAAAGGTACCACAGAATGAAAGTCTTGGATTGGTCCTTGCGGGAAATGTATGATCCGTACAGCGGACCAAACTTTTATGAAAAGGACGAAAGTGGCGCGACGAGACGGAGTGAGTCTTTCGATTACGGCCTATCACCCTACGCGTAGCTATTGAATATTAAAAATACAAGTACACTCTTGCGCAAATATTATTCTGCGAATACGTTTTCGCTCGATGCGCCAGCCGGTAAAATGATAAAACTGCCGCCTTTTGTCGCACTCGAAATGTGCCGAATAAATCCTTGATCTGGGAAGAGAGACTCTCGTTTCGACCGTTTTTCTTTCAATCGCTGTTCAGCCGCGTCTTTAATTTGTTGCTCTTCTTTATCACCTCGTTTCACCGTGGCTTGGAACATCTTCGCCATAATCGCTTCGCGTTTTTCCTTCTTCTTCCTCTTGTTGTATTCTTTACTCATTTTCAAGTTATGTTCTTTCTTTAATATCTCCGCGGCTTCGGCTTTGGCGATTTCCTCCTCCGTCATTTTCATTCTCTTCCGTCTGCTAAAGCTACTCAACATGCTCCCTCGCGGGTCTCCGTAATCTAAAGACATTAAACTCTCGTCAAAGTCCGTGGACTGTCCTAATTTCGCTCTTTGTCGAGCGGTTAACTTAGACTCGTCGATAACTGCTGGTTGTTTATTCCGATTATTTTCATCCTCGCCGTCGTTATCGTCGTCCAGGGAAAAGCCAGATTCCCTTTCTTCCTCGTCGTCGTCGTCCAACTCTTCTGCGTACTTATTCTTCTTCGAGTATTTCCCAGTTTTATTGTACGTGCGTACCATTTTCTTCTTCTTCTTCTTCTTGTTTGAGATGTGTTTTTTTCTGCTGCTTTTTTTGATGGAAACCCCTATTTTTATGAGAATAAGATCAGATCTTCATTCTAAAAGCGCTTACAACAAGAGCAACAGCAACAACGAAACAGTAAAACAACAGTACCACTACTAATAAAAAGATGATTTACGACGTCAACGCTCCGTATTTCAGAAGTTTTTTGAAGAACGCCGGCGGGGCCAAGAATCAGTTCGCGAAAGGACCGACGGACAAAGGACCGAGAGCCTCGGAAAACAAACCCGTCATGAACGACTAGGAAGAAATTTAATAAAGAAAGAGAAGAAGAATAAAGAGGAGGAGGACGTGGTCTCTATTCATCGATCGAGAGGAAGAAAAGTTTTATTTAACATAGATTACATTACAATACATAGGTTTGTGCTCTTGTCGTGAACATGGAAGGGCAACAACAAGAACATCAAAAGAAAGAGTGGGAAAATTTAGTTTTCTCCGTTGAAGCACCGGGAGCGGTTTTGAACTTTCAAATCTTACTCGGAACGGAATGTGCGTTTTGTTACGTCGGAACGAGCGATCCGAGCACGTTTAATAGACTCGCCCTGTGTACCAAAGCTCGCTCAATGAACAGTTCGTTTAAATACGCGAGCTCTAATCCTTTGGGCGGCGACGCGAAGACCGGAGCGCAGTCCTTCGCCGAGCGACTCTTGGATTTAGTACACACTCAAAACGGAAATGAAGGCAAAGGTGCAAATTTGAACTCCATAGCGGTTTCAGTGAATGTTGCGGACGATGCGTCTACTTTGCGAGCATTCGCGGAGAAGACTCTCGCCAAGAGACTATTAGAAATGTTACAACAATGAACAAGAAAATACACAAGTCTGCACGATTCCTATGCGCGTGCACGCGCCGCTTTCCTTTTTGTGGAATGCATTCATTACAACACTTCTATCTTTTTCTTTTTCTTCTTCTTGTGAGCTTTTTCGATATTTTCGTCTTCTTCTCCTTCGGCGTCGTCGTTGGTCTTCTCGCTCTTACTATTCCATTCGTTATTAGCGAAACCTCCAACCAACTTTTCAACTTCTTCTACCACCTCCGCCGTTTTCAAATCTACAACGCCCATACCTAAACTCATCTCAATTTGTGGTTTTCCTTCTTCTTCTTCTTCTTCTTCTGCATCGTCCGTGGCATCATCTGCTTCTTCGTCGAGGACGGCGTCGATTTCAATCTCTCGTTTTGCTAATATCGGATTTTTTTGAATTTTTTCCTCCAACTGTAAGTTCGCCTCGTGCATTTGAGGCAAAAACGCGGACAACTTACTCAAAAGCGCCGAGGGTTGCGCAGGGGCTATTGATGGCATTCTGTTTGGTTTTATCAGCACATCTTTTTCTTCTTTGCTATTCGTTTGTTTCTGTATCTCTTCGTTGAGTGCAATGTTGTTGGTATAAATATCGCTCCTTCTTCTGTTTGAGTGATTTTCTTTCATCTGAACGATGTTCAACAAACTCGAAGCAGCTCCACAACCAATCGTCGTCGCCGTTCCGTTTGGTCGCGTCGTGTCTTTTTTCTCGATATCGAGCAGCGATTGCGACGTCGAAGGATTTGACGACGGTTGTAACTGTTGTTGATTCTTCTTCTCCTTCTCCTCGTATGTCATCATCGGAGGCGACATCGTCTTTTTCTTTTCTGAAGTGTTTTTTTTTGTGTTCATCAGACAGAAAGAAGAAGAACGCATCTCAACTTCAAACTTCATTAAACTTTCTTCTCCGTGTCATCATCACACATAATACTTTTGTGACGACAACGCGACCAAAAAGAGGTGAAAAGAAGAAAACACAGAACGACTGATACGCGTCATGTCCGGACCTTCTCCCGCGCAGCAAGAGGTGAAGAAGTTCTCGCAAATTTGTTCGCAATGTAAAGTACAAACGACGTTAGTCGAAGACCACGCGCAAGGGGATTTGATTTGCACCGAGTGCGGTTTAGTCGTCGAAAGTCGAACGATCGATGAGTGTTCGGAATGGAGAACGTTTTCAGATTCGGACAAAGCGGGAGGTGATCCGTCGAGAACCGTCGGTGCGACGAATAACATGCTTTCCGGGGGTGGTTTAAGCACAACTATAGGACGAAATCCAGACGGGACTTTTAACCAAACGCTGACGAGATTGCACAACAGAGAAGGCAATCCGGATAAAGTTTTAATGGCGGCATTTTCGCAAATTGGAGATATGGCGGACCGCATGGCGATGAATCAAACCATCAAGAGTGGAGCGTGTGAGTTATATAAAGTGGTGACGTCCTCGCACTCCACGCAAGGCAAAAGCTCGGTCGCTATGTTTGCCGCGTGTTTATACATCGCTTGTCGACAAGAAGGTAAAACGAGAACGTTTAAAGAGATTTGCGGCGCCGCCGTCGGTTCAACCGTAAAAGAGATCGGGAGATGTTACCGCTTCATCATACGCGTGTGTGAAGGATTGGACTTACAAATGCAAATGAACGAGCAAATGATTACGCCAGAACTGCTCACGAATCGCTTCTGCGGTAACTTGGGTTTGGCGAATTCTGAATTCATTCGAGTGTGTAGTTCGGCGATTCAAAAATTCCGGGAAATCAAAACGGGAGAGGGATATTCACAGAAACAGCCGGCGTCGATAGCCGCGGCGGCGATATACTTAGCGACGAACATATTAGACAAAAAAGATATAGCCAATGTGAGTCAAATTTCAGCCGTGAGCGGAATGGCGGAACAAACGATACGAAATTCGTACGTGGATATGCTCCCGTATTTGGAAAGATTACTACCAGAAGCGTACAACGACAGAGTGCAAGCGCTCTTGGCGAGCGTAGCGAGAAAACCTGCGGCTCTGTTGCCATCATCCGCGGCCTCGGACGAAGCGGCGGCGGCGGTGAAATCTGAACCTGATGCTCATAAAAACGGAGAAGAGGAGACAAAAGTAGGAGAAGAGATTAAGAAAGAAGAAGTAAAAGTAAAAAAAGAGGAAGAAAGCGTGGCTGCTGGCGTCGAAGCCGTTCCGGCTTCTTCCTAGAGGAAATTGAAATACTTACAAGAACAACAAATGCAAGTGAAAATATATAATTACAATTCCTATTTATATATCATCACCGTTGGCGATAGCAGCTAAGCAATACAGGCCCAGACCGGTTTAATACGTCTATTTTTGTAACCGTAATCTCTGGTGGAAAACGCGAAACAAAATCGAGAACGGCGTCGGTTTCCTCTGAACCTCCTTCATGTCCACGATAGCAGCAAATAGTGATCAAACCACCGACGCGCAACAATTTACTCGCTTTATCGAGCGCCTCTAACGTAGTTCTAGTTCTCGTTACGATTGATTTATCCGTATCCTTCCCGGTCAAATATCCCAAGTTCATCGTAATCGCTCCTATTTCTATTTCGTTCGTTTCGGATTTTTTCTTTCCTTTCTTCTCCGCAATCCCGTCAACGACGGATTCAAACACAGAGTGACATGTTCGGGCAAAATACACTCTCTCTTCTATTTTCTTTCGTTCGGCCTCGTCGCTAATGTGTTCGCAGAACTCTTCACGTATTCTTCTCCTCGTGATGTCAAGCGCTTCTTGTTGAATATCGAGCGAAACAATCAAACCATCAGCTTTAACTAGCTCTAAAAACAAAAGTGTATCAGTTCCTCTACCACAGGTCAAATCTACGACTACATCGTCCGCTCGCACGCAAGAACGAAGTAGCTGATGCGCAATCTTTGTGACTTTTCCATTTGATAGTATTGAATTCGCTAAGACATCATCGTTCTCTTTGCTGTATGTGTGTTGCTGAACTGCATTATGAACCCCTAATCGGGGGAAAACGCGCCGTCGCGGTGCGCGCACTCGATGAGTGGACGCGGTTGAATACACATACGTGCAGGGAATGCAAACTACGGGAGATGATAATACCAATGAAGGGAACATCGACAGTATGACAAATACTGTAAAGCATTTAAATGAAGATGAATAGTAAAAAGGGGTGTTCTGTTAGAAACCATTCTGTTAAAGTCTGTTGATGCATGTGTTGAAAAAACTTGAAACTTGAAATACTTGAAGTATTACATTAATCTACATCTTCGATGATATCCTCCTCCTCCACATCTTCCAAGCGATTATCCATTTCATCTATATCCTCGCTCGTGAATAAACGTTCGCTAACGATTCTATCTTCGTTTCGTCTATATCTTTGACTACTCATCTGCGTCCGACATGTCTGTTAGTTCAACGAAGCGAACCTTGGAGGAATTCGAATACGGCGACGCGTACATCGCATCACTCACTGCGATTTCATCGCTCCAATTTATTCTCCCATCTCTTATTTTTAAGATATTAGCTACGCAATATCCAATCGTGCATATCGAAGTATACAAGATGTATCGCACCCAGGCGACAGCGCCTAAACTGACCAACAACTGACTCGTCGCTAAAACACCCAGCGCCGGTAACCACGGCACGAAAGGCGTTTTGAAATCACCCGCCGTCGGAATATTCATTTCTTCCACATCGAGCATATAGAACGAGCCAGTTTCTAGGACTATAGATACTGCCATGACAATCAGCGACCAGGACGGTTCATTTTGTATGTACAATCCCGAGAATATCATCGACGACGCACAAAGAAGTGCACATCTCAGCAACGCAGGCGATCTGTCTTTGAAAGAAGTCCCATCTTTTGGTGTGTATCGACGCACCAACAGCCCCATGTTAACGCTCAAAAATATTGAGAGCGTGCCTATTGAAACTAATTGCGCTAAAATATCTATATCTACAACTAAAGCGAGCAAGCCGGTTGTGACTCCGGTGAAAATGGATGCATTTGCGGGTGTTCCAAATCGAGGCGATACTTGCGCAAACCACTCTGGGAGCAAACCATCTCTGGACATTGTCATATAAACTCTCGGCTGCCCCATCAACGAAGAGAGTAAACTTGTCGTGATTGCAAAAACAGCACCAACGGAAACGACTACGGAGGCCCAATGTTCGTGATTGTTATCAAAAGCAACCGCAAAAGGAGCATCAACGTTAATCTCCGTGTAATGGACCATGCCAGTAATCACCAACGCCATAAAGCAATACAAACATCCGCATATTGTGAGTGACCCCAAAATTCCAATCGGCAAATCTCTGCTTGGCTTTTTCGTTTCCTCTGCTAACGTCGCCACGGTATCGAAACCGACAAACGCGAAGAATACCATCGAAGCGCCAGAAAGAATACCTCGGAATCCAAACTCCGGAGGTACGAACGGTTTCCAATTCTCCTCGTCTACACTCGTACTTCCGGTGATTAGTACGAAAACGACCGAAAGTAATGCTGCGCTCGTCACTGCAATATTAAACTTCGCCGTCTCTTTCATGCCGACGACAAGTAATACAGTTAAAACGCCCACCAATAAGAATGCGACGACATCAATCTCAATCAAAGACTCGTACACGACGAAGCGAAGAGCGTTCGGACTTTGCCCGATGAGAGTCGAGAAGTAACTTGTAAATCCACGAGCAACGGCGGCGCCCGCAATGGTAAGTTCGAGAGCGAGATTACATCCAGTGATGAAAGCGATGTATTCGCCAAAGGTCAAGGCGATGTAATTATAGGCAGAGCCGGTGACAGGAATTTGTATGGCAAACTCAGTGTATGCTGTCGCCGTAATCAAGGACGTTATTGTCGCGAGTAAATACGAAATAACAACTGCCGGCCCTGCGTGTACTTGTGCCGCAGCGCCAGTCAAGACAAACACGCCGGCTCCAACGACACCACCTATGCCGAAGAAAATCAAATCCAATGCGCCTAACTCTCTCTTTAACGACGACTCGCTCGAAGAAGAAGTTGCTCCTTCCAAACACGACCTCTCTGATTTCACTTTCAGAGCTCTAGTGCACAGCAATCGCGTCGCATCGAGGATATCTCGGCCAGTTGGCATGATATGACCTCGAGCTCAGTGTTTGCGTTTTGAAGTTTTAAAGTTTTTCGAGACTCTTTCCAACCAACTGTCTCTCTCGAAGTGTCGAAAACAACAACAAGAGAAACACAACCCACCACAAAAAAGAGAGACACCTACCTACGTGTAGATGATATGAGTGCGGCGTTGTGGTATCACCAGAGAAAATCATTCTTGCGATCAGCGTTTATATTAGTTTTACTCTTCAGTGCGACAGTCGTAATACTCTTTGGTGATGTTTTGTTTCTCGCTCAAAGAAACTCACCAGAGACATCAACATCATCGTCTGCTGCATCTTTTGACGACGGTGTAGGTGTTTCGAACCAAGCAGTCGCACAAGACGTTGATAGAAAGGAACCCACAGAATCAAAACATGTAGAAATTGAAGAAATACACGGAAAGGTTGATGTAATGGAAGAGAATTTCCTCGATGAATCATCAACAACAACGACAACAGAAACAGAAACGACAAAAGCGTCAAAACTGACTCAAATGCAAAAGGACACGTTAAAAAAAGTAGTAGGCGCTGAATTCTTCGATGATCTCATCCCACCCGATTATGTTCCGCAAACCGAATATAAGTCTCCTTGTTGGAGTGCAGACGATAGTTTACGATGTTTGCCGTTTTTCTACGTGTTGGGACACTGGCAATCCGGCGGCCAGGACTTGATTGGAAGGCTTGTTAAACATCCAGAGGTTGTTGAGACCATCTAAGTCCGGCTACACAGTTGTCGGCTGTCGAAAGACTAGCTTGC